AAGCTGGGGAGGGGGTGTATATCTATCACCCTGTGCTCCTTTTCACCGAATCCTTCTTCCATTCTCCTGCTCCGTCCACTTCAAAGAATACTCTGTCCGTTGAATACCCGAAGGTCTTCTCTATCATGCCTCCCCGCAACCCTACACTTGCTCCAGCAAATTACTGGTACTGCTGCAAGTGCACCAATCCAGAGGACATCCTCCAGAACCCTCAGCTATGGGTGATATACTCCATGTGCACCAAGTGCCAACACCGTCGTTGTGAACGCTGCACGCCGGTCCATATCAAGCCCGGAGAAAGCCAGCGTTAAAATGACCGAAGACGCAGCAACCATTCTCATGGCACGGTACAATCCCTTACTGCCGCTGTCAGCACTGTTTACTGACCTTGCCAGGATCGATGAATGACCTCTCCTCCTCTGCGACAACACGACTCCTATTTCACGCATGTCGACAGCAACATCGAATACCACAAAGTTTTACAAGCCACAGCGTTGTCATCAATGCCTCTCCATCAGCAATCTGCAACGCATTGGGACTACAGGACCACACCTTAACCATGCAAAGCCGCCCTGGAGGCGGCTTTTCTTCACATCAACCCCCCTTTTTCCCTGTTTATCATTGGCAGCGGGAGGACTACCATGAAGGCTGGAATTGGCAAGCACGTATGGCATATCATCGACTGTTGCGATTGACGGCTTCTTTACTCCTCAATTCCCCTGGCGGCTGGCCTGCTATTTCCTGCCGTTTCCGTGTCTCAAGAGTCAATGCATAGTGCTGACAAGAAACTCAGCTTCAATTATGTATTAGCTACTTATTGCATCAGTCAATCTTTCTTCCTTGTGAGCCATTAATTGGATACCCCGGTGATAGGAAAGGATTTCAAAAAGGACCAATGCTAGAAGAAGCCGTGCTATGCTTTTACATACATGACACTGAATCTCTTTCGATTGCACCTGTCATGTGTTAATGCTGCAACTCTCGTTGCCGTGACACCCTGTTGCCCTTCTCAAGGCACCAGGAAGACACCTCCTGCCCAAGTTCCGGCTCCAAGCAACGTCTGTGCCCGTCTATGCTGCGCCCCCGAGAGTCCCTCAACCTCAGCGGTCTGTTTGTCCACCTGACGCAACGGAGGGCATTCTTCCAGACCAGTCGCCCCTCTCTAACCTCAGAAAATGGATAGAGAGCTCGATGCTGGCGATGGCATTATTGGCAAGGAGGAAACCAGGCAACCGATCTCCACCCTCCTAAAGGGCAGCAACCTTATCTGACGGGCCCTTCTGCAAAGCGGAGCGTTTCGCACCCCCTTGTGTTCGTGCCCTGTCGTCCCCAACCCTCTCCTCTGCCCTCTCACTTGACAAGCCACGGGCAAACAAGCGCGGCCCTGATGGCCGCAACACAGCGGCAAGGCCCGTACAGCTTTACTAACCGGCGGAGTAGGGCAAGAACACGGCTTTACCGCCTGGAACTCTTAAGAAACGGGTGGAAGAGGAGCCAATGAAGAGGCAACGGGCAGAATTGGCGGGATAAGAGGGCGGATTTGGGAGACCAAAACCGTCTGGCGCCCTCGAATTGCCCCAACAAACCAAGCCACCTGCAGCCTTGCATGATCAGATCGGTGGATATAGCCTTCCTTCTTCGACCCATGTTCGTTGAATCGACAAGTGCACATCACACGAACGGTGGGTGAAACAAATCACTTTCCACGAACATGTATCCTGCTGCAAACACCAGAGTGAACCCAGCGCAAGCCTGGCCACGGCATCAGTCGGCAGTTGGCCTGGGGCCTAGGAGACACAGCCGCACGCTTTGGCAGACGGCTGACATCGTTTGAGATGCTTTCACACATTCATAACAGCCCACGGGCGTAGCAGCGCCTTCGCACACGGAACAACAATCACCGACGACCAGCTTCCTTGGGTCCTCGATGGGTCCAGTGACCACTGCAATGCAAGCAGTAGGGTACGAGGGACGCCATATTTGGATAACAATCAAGGCAACCACAAAAGCGCACCCACAAAGTCAAACGATCAGACACAGCGACTTACCGTTTCGAAGGAGAGGGGCTATGCCGCCGTGAATACCATGACTGACCCCTTGTCGAAGAGAAGAAAAAAAAGGTGGTGGTCTCTTGGTGCCGGTCCCCACAACGCGTGACCAGAGCTGTAGAACCGCTTGCGGCCTCCCTCCTGAGAGGTGTGCTCTGGTTGGGGTTCAAGACACTAACCGACCGATGTGGCCTACAAATTGCGCTCGTGCCGTGTCCTTGGAGGGTGCCTTAGGGAGATTCATCGGCCACGCCAGCCAGCATCGAAAGTGGTCCCCCCAGAAGTACCAGACATAATGGCCACCAACGAAAGAGTCAATATTTCCCAGAACTGGCGCTAATCTGGATAGAGCTGTAGCCGTCCTTGCTCACACTGTCACACATCATCTGGCTCTAGGACGTGGAAGCTGACCAAGGATGTGGGTGAAAAGAGCCGCCAGTCCGGTTCCGCGGGGTTGGACAAAACCATCCGGCTGGCCAGCATATGTCATGATGCATATGCATGGCTGGATCAATGTGCAGTGCACACCGGTCAGAAAGATCGAGTTTAGTCTCTGACGCACAGCCAATGCAATGCGATCAGGTTGGCGGCCACGCTCCATGGCTTGTCTCGCACTTGATCTTAATATAATAATCTCGGTAAGCAGAACCAACTAGTTGCTCATGCTCACCGGTTAGCCATAGGACGGGAAAGAAAAACAGATTCCTATTTCCAAGGGGATTAGCTTATGCAGAAACCTCCCGGTTGCTCTAAGCGAGGGGATCCGACAGACCGTCACCAAATGAAGCGGGGAGGTACATGCAGTTAAAGGGAGTGAGGTTGATGATGAATGCGCAACGATCGGGGCTGCCGAGACGAGAGACAGAGACAGACACCTGTCCACCAAAGGTTTGGAATGGGCCAGACTGGACAGGCAACAGGATAGAAAGATTGAACGGTCGACAAGAGTACAAGCCGCACACGCATGTCACTCTCGGAGGGGGAGGGAACTATCTCCTACCCGCGTGTGTGGTGCATCGTGATGGATGTCAGTCCATTTCCCACCCACTCGAGTCCGAGACCTTTCTCCCTGCTGTACGAACTCCGAAGTTCCTTGCATGCTTGGAACCAGCGAAATGTTCGCTTTCTAAACCCAAAACATAACCAGACAGGCAAGCTGCAAGCAAATAAACAAGCAAGCAAGAGAACGGCGAGACCGAGACCGAGACTCAGACCCAGACTCAGACCCAGACTCAGACCCAGACTCAGACCAAGACTGAATCAGTCTCCCCTTTCCTTTCCTTTCCCTGGGGAAGATGCAAGTAAATGCCCGGCGCAAACAAGGGCCATTGAGCATCGGATCCATGGCACTTCCTGAGAGACAGGGTTTCGCTCTCTCTTCCTGTCTGGCTGTCTGGCTGTCTGTCCGGCCCCTCCTCTCTGACACACACGCACACACGCGCATGCACGCACATTCGTCTCGGTCGTCCGGTCTTTTCTGTTTGGTTCTTTTGTTGTTTCCTGTTTTTTTTTTCCCTTCGTTAGTTGTTCTCTTTGTTCGCCTTTCGTTTTCGGTTTTTAGAGCGAGCGCCTAATGTTTTCTTCCTCCCTTTTGAGGTTTTTTGACTTACGACGCGGCAAATAAAAAAACCCTGCCCTGCATAGGGGAAACTTTGCCTTCTTGTTTTGGGTTTTCGGTTTTGGGGTTTTCTGCGTTGTTGCTCATTGGACCGAGGCCGGATCTTGTCCTGTCCTGTTTTGGTCTTGTCTTGTCGGCCTCTCCCTGTCTCTGTTTGTCTGTGTATCTGTCTGTCTCTCTGCGCACCTACCTACCTACTTGTCCATCGGCTTGCCCGTGAGTATGTCTCTCTGTCTGCCTGCCGGTCTGCCTGTCTGTGGGTGTGTTGACTCTTGTTTGCCTCTCCCTGCCGCAGCGGGAGAGTGTGTGTGGGGCAAAGCCAGAACAGACCAGGGAATGGCCAGGCAGGATAACCTCACGGCAGCACAGGATAAGACAGGGTCACGGTAGGCATCTCATCTGCCTTTTCCTCATTCCCTTTCATATCGCTGTCCTCCATCAGAACCGATTCCTGTCAGATTGGTTTCCTTCCGTTTCATTTCATTTCGCTTCGTTCTGTACCAAGGAGTAGGTTGCCTTGTGCATTGTGCCCTGTGCCCTTTTGTTCGAACGATCCCGACAAAAGCCCTTGGTATGAGTTATGTAGAAAAAGAATCCAAAAAGGGGAAAAGGAGACAAAGCCATGATTGGCCAGAAGTAAAAATAAATGCTGGATAGGCTGCTCGCTACCTAGGTAGTGGGTGAGTGACTTTCGAGAGGATCCCTTTTCTGTTTCATTTCCTTCGCTCCTTTTCTCTTTCTTTCAGCATAGGGGTGTTATGTATTGTTTGTTTGTTACTTACACGATAGTTCTGTGTGAAATCTTTCACTAGCAAACAATTCTGTTGGGAGGTGCGTCGTGCCAGAATTTGCGCTCCCCCTCTCCCTTGCAGGTCACCTCTTTTGTGATCGTCTTGTCATATCATCGGCTTCCAAACTTGGTCTCACGCGCAAAATGCCCAGCTTTGCCCAAAACGGCGATCGACGACTTCCTTGAACCCCAAGCGAAAGCCAGAAAGGTGAAGCAATCAGCCGTAGGCAAGAGTTGGAGGTCGGGGCGCAGTACAGGCAACTGGGATTTGGGACCAGGCGGCTTTCCGAGGCGCATGACTTGAACTGAACTGGATGCAACCCAGGCTTGTCGGCTCTTTCTGCTCGCATCCAACCGGGTGTGAAGTTTACCAGTAAAAGAGCCTGCAAGTGAAATTGCTGCAGATAGACGTCATTGCCCGACGATCTTTACCTCTCTCCTTCTCGCTTATCTTCAACTTCTCTTTTGTCGCTCTTGTAATATGCGAACTCTGATATAGTGGCGTGACCTGTTGTCCGAGAGGCAGTGATTGACATCTGCTCGGCTACTTTCTCTTCTTCGCGCCCGCGTTGGCCTGGGCTCCACTCGCACTGGAGGCTGAAGCAGAGGACTTCAATTCCTTGGTACCTTGACTTTCGAGTGCTTTGGTGCCCGTCGTCGTCTTCTTGCCGTCTTCCTTCTTCGCTTCCTCTTCTTCCCCGTCCTCATCCTCGCCGCCTTGCCCGAACTCATTGACTCTCGAATAGTCCACCTTATACTTGTACTTCTGGTACAGCCAGACAAAGAAGATCACGTCGTCTCTCAGTGTCGCGAGACGATGTAGAATTGGCATTCTGATCGTAAACGCGAACAGATCGTCAATGAACGTATTGAGGAACTTGTACATCAGGGCCTTGCTCGGCATGTGCGCGACAGATTTCAATCTGTAGTTGATGTAAAGAGAAGGCACCATCATGAGGAATCCGTACGCATACACCGATCCCACCAATGTCTCAATCACGAAGCTGTACCAAGACTTGTGGGACTCGTAGATGAGGCTGTAGACCGCGTACGCGAGCAGTAGGGGCACTGCAATGATGTATAAATAACGGAAGGCAATCTGGTCGTACTCTTGCGTTTGCTTTTCCATCTCGGTCAATTTATGTTTATCTTCAAACACAACCACATAAGGTAGGATACCCCTGAACTTCGAATCCGGGCCGGGTTCGCGCAAGCGCACATCAACAGTTTTTGTTATTTTCCACGCCTCAAGTAAGATGCCGAAGCCCTGCGAGGCGAGGATCATCCACGAGGTGTTCTCGGAGTTGTCAACCAAATATAAGAAGATGATGGTCTGCATGAACACGTTCGCAAGGATGGTCCGAACAGATGTGCCCACATTGTCCTTCTTCTTCCGCCAGTGAGAAATATCGTTTTTGAACGCGAGACCTTCAAAGACCATGTGGAGGATGCTGACGACGAAGGTGGTTCCCAACAAGTAGGCATTGGTGTCTAAAAGAATTTCTTTAAATTTTTCGAACTCGCTGCCGTCTCCGCCGCCGGGCATGGGTGTGCCGCTCGCAGCTTGCGCTTGGTTTTGTTTCATTCCCTCGTCAATAGATGCCAATAGATTGTATTTCCAATTGGCCAGGTTGTACAGTTGGATGTTCAGGGGCATTTCCTTGACGGTGTCGTTAAGTTCAGTCATGTGGCTGCGTAATTGCCAGAACGTGTTGAGGAAGACCACTGGATAATACCAGCCATTTTGCCCCGAAGCATCGCGCTGTCCGGTCGGTTCGAGCACGATATTCTTGCGGAGAGCCGGGTGCATTTGACGCCAGCTTTGCACACCTGTGTTTGGGATCACAGCGACTGTGAAGTTGGGGTGGTAATACGAGGCAATCTGCACACCCTGGACCTCTTCCGGTTCTTCTTCTTCTGGCTCCTCGCTTTTCTCGAGCAGGTTCTTCAACTTACGAGCCTTTTTCTTTGGGAGGAACTGGTTCAGCGGCCTCTTGAAGTGAGTTGCTTTATGTGGGTCGTAGTTCGGGCTTGTCGGGTCAATTTCGCTGCCAGCTAGTGCGACGTAGAAATGAGCCCATAGTGTTGCGTTATGCTGGACCTCTGTTGGTATGGCGATATGGGTATGAACCTCTCGGTTTTCTTCATAATTCCCCATTCCAAAACTCTCCTCGTCCAAGACAAGGCTCTCCTTCGGCACGGTCGACAAGGCAGGAAGACTCAGCTGCGGAGACACATACATGCGAATGTCGATGACGCTGTTGTCAGGCCATATCGGGGCAATGTTTTGAGGGACATGCGAATAGTTTGTGAGGGCCGTCACATCGGCTCTTTCATCGAAATTGACATTTTGCTTGGGCGCGGCGGCGCCTCCGCTCTGTGATTTCGAGCCGAAGAATTGGTTCACAACAAACTGCGTGAGCATGAATATGGCGAGACCTTGAATGATCGTTTGAAACATGGACTGCAGAGAGGTCAGGATTTCGAGGTTCACGCTGTCGATGGGAGTCTCTCACCTTTCCCCCTTGTTCCTCCCTTGCGGCAGGTGTGCCGCTGCCTCTAGACTCCGGCATCTTGGGTTGTCAGAGCCACTGGAGATGTGGTTTGAGCAGAGGATAGGGTCTTCTTTGACAGAGTGGCAGAACCAGACTCTGCTACCGGTAATGGAGAGGTTGGGTTCCCGTCCATGTGGGCCGCGGTTCGGCTGGTGGGATGCGCGGAACATTATTAATCCTTCGGCGGAAAGTCTCGTCATTGACACGTGACTTGCAAGCTCAATCTTCGGGCCAATAAGCCTGCCATTTTCGACCACGACTTGATCCTTCTGATATCTGCTAAATCTGCACTCTCTATTGGATTGTTTGATCGTTGGCTGAAAATCTCCCCCAAGAGGCATCGCAGATGGCGTCCTAGGACGCAATGATCAGTCAAGGCTCACGTTGCGCGCACCGATGGCAAATGGTGGCTCGGTGGGCACACCAACGCCTCAGTTTCCCACACATAATGCCCCTCGAGTTTGGCTCTTGACCTCAGGGGACTCTCCAGTTGGCATATCACTTGCACGTCAGGTGCTTGATCACGGCGACTATGTTGTCTCCGGCATCATTCAAGCCGAGTTCGAGAGTGATGGGGCCCGAAGTCAGGAGTTCAAGAGGTTCCTGTCTCAGGTTGGACGCACACCTGGGATGAAGGAGCGGTTAAAAGTTGTGGCTTTGGATATCAGGTATGTGCTGCGGCCCTTGCCTCTGCCAAATGACATTATACAACTTAGGTTCTATTTTGCGTCTGTCTTCTACAAGGTGGCAGAAGTTAACTTGGCGACAGGGCCGTTGGGCAATGTCAGGCGGCTGTTGCAGAGGCCGTGCATACCTTTGGAAAGATCGACATCCTCTTTTGCTGCACCAGTGAAGCAGTAGTTGGGACCGTCGAAGAGCTTTCGGCCAATTCGCGAACCCTGACGCTGGTGCGCGATCAGTTCGAGAAGAATTTCTTTGGCCCCATGAATATCATAAAAGCTGTCATACCTCAGATGCGCTCGCAGATGAACGGTCACATCATCGCCCTCACTGGCATCACGGGTCACCTCGGAACACCAGGACTGAGCATGTATTGTGCGTCTGGATGGGCATTGGAAGGCTTTTGTGACAGTATCGCCTATGAGATTGCACCCTTCAACATCAAATTGACCATTGTTCAAGCCAGCGTCGAGATCGGAATCCTGACCAACAAGATCACGTCAGCGCCCCCAATGAAGGCTTATACCCGAGAATTCGGTCACACGGCTCCAATATTTCGAGGAATCCTGGACGGACTACTGAATCGCCTCCCTGGTATTCGAGCCCAGTATCCGCCTCCGCCGGAAACGGAAATTCAGTCGCCTTCGTCAGAAGCGGAGAGGCAGAGCGGCCCTTACCTTCTTAGCCGTGACGAGGTAGTCAGCTTGTACCCTCCCCTCAGTCATGCACACACAGAAAAATTGATTGCAGAGACTGTCCATGCGTTGACAGCCATTGGTGGTCATGAAAATCCGCCTGCCCGTCACATCGTCGGGATTGAAGGAGTAGCGAGCGTGAAAGAGAAGCTGAAAACGGTGAGCGAGGAACTGGAGGAATTTGTTGACACTAGCGCATCAGCCGATATTGCCGCTCGACAGGGGGCCAGTGGACCGGGGCGTGCAGCAAGTATAGTAGACGTGGACATCAAGGACCCTGAGAGTGACATCTTCGATGCTTCACTGGGGTTGAGATAGTGGAAAATTTTGTTCTTGGATAGCTGCTTGCATCTGATTAGGGATTGGCGAAGTATTTTCCAGGGCGCTTTCAAGCGATCAGGATTCAGCGTCGGTCACCTCGTTCGTATCCTCTCTCCCTCTCACCCCGGCTGCCTTCATGGCGGGGGTTCGATGGAGAGGTGCTTCTAGACCGCTCTCGGCGGTAACGATCACGTTGTCGAGCAGGTGAAGGTGATTGTGATTTTGATCGCAGTCGGTCAGACATGTTTCGCCGCGGGGATCGGGATTGGCGCTCTCTGTGTCGATGTCGGTCGTCCCTATGCCTTCTTCGGTGGCTGTCTCTGTGTCTGTGTCTACTCCGGCTCCGGCTTCTGTGTCTTCGGTCGCCGTGGCGGCGCCTGTATTCTTTGAGCGCATAATGAAGCTCTTTGTCCTGATCTGTGAGGGTGCCTTCGAGGCGTTCCGTAGCACTGGATTTCCCCTCACTGGGAGCCGAGACCCTGGCCGTTCGCCCATAACCAACTCCCCTGGGAGATGCTAAATCCTCGCCCGCTGCAGCCTCTTTCAAAACGTTGTCGACCTCGCGCCGGGCCCCCAGCTCATCCAAATTCGGATTGCTCCGTTGAGGCACAGGCAATCCCAGAGCTCGAGCGAGGGCATCTTCTTCAGCCTGCTTGACACGCTGGATCTCCTCTTTCCGTTCTCTCGCTGCCTTTGCGGCGGCATCCTCGTCGCCCTGTGAATCGGCGTCGCCTTTTGCGTACCAGTTAAGATCGCGGCCTTTCTGCCAGCGACCGACGGGCGCCATCAGCGAGTGGCCGAGATAATTTTCGCGATGAGAAGAGCTTTCGACATCGGTCCACTTGAACTCCCCACGGCCCCCTCGCGAGCCCTCTTTTCTGACCGTAGCCAGCAAATCCATGGTTGTGCTGGGCCAAGCACGACGGAGACAATGTCAAAGATGGAGAAGAGGTCGAGTTGAATTGTAGCCGAGAAATGAGATTGCGGTTGGAAGGTTCAGCGGGAACGTTGGTGGTGATATGCAGTGTAACCACCACTCGTCACCGTCACCGCCGCACCAGATGCTGAGGCAATTTGGACAGAACAGATCGACCAGGTGCCACTTGCGGAGGGCGGACTGCTCTTATGCATTAATCAGGTAGATAAGTCGCATACGGGGGGATGTGTATCGCGTGCAGGGTTGCAGAATCTGACCAGGGGTCCAGGGGACGAGTCGAGCCGTCGCAGAGGTGGCCGGTCGTGTACGAAATACTTGCCGAATCGAGGCTTTCTGTGTTGCCAACCTCGATCAGAAAACGCAGGTGTCGGCGTGCGAGTCAGTCCCTCAGCTACTCGGTAGACCAGGACGAGTGCGTTGGCGGTGGTGGAAGAGGTCGAGTTGGATGTGCTCTTGTCTGTCTGTTGGAGGGAGAATAAAATGTGAGATAGACTTGTGCACGAGCAGTTGCCTTTGTCGCCCACCATTTCGCTTCGTTCCGCCCACCAGCCTTCGGTGCCTGCGCTGCACATGAAATGCGTCATCTCTCAGTCACTCCACCTCATGTCCTGTCTTCGCTATGCTCGCTGTACTCACTGTCCTCCGTACCACTATTGCCACGGCAAGTATTCGGTCCCTCTAGTGTCCCAGCTGTCAATCAGCCTTCACTTGTCTGCAGTAATTGCAACACCCACAATTGACAGTCGATGGTCAAACCTATTTACCTCACCTCCCTCCCTCTCTTCCTCGTCCTCCTCGCGCACAGACACGACAGCCGCTGACATCTACGGTGAGTTGCAGGCAAGGTGAAGCGAGCCGAAGTCTCCCTCTCCATCTACCTGCGCTCATGCGCCTGCACCTCCATCCGTTCCTTGGATCTGAACCTCCTCCGGACGAACTCAAACCCCTCTAGGCCAAGATAAAGAGAGAACACACGCGTTGTTGCGGTGGCCATGACACACTCCGCCATGCCTTGAGCGGCAAGCAAGACTCCCATTCTATTGAACACAGAGCACCTGTTGGCACAACCAAACTCTAGGGCCTTCTGCAGAAGCATGGACGAAGATAGCAGACTATTCGAGTCGGTCAACATTGGTCTCACTAGCATCGAGAAAGGAGCTGAAAGGTTCCTACGCGATGGAGCCCCCTGTCCTCCACCTCTGTCTTACTGGCGGAACAATTTGACTGCTTTGTCCCAACGCTTCAATCTCTACTTTGTCGCGACGAGAGATACCGTTGCTGTCTACAGACCTGACTTTCCCTTTCAGAAACTTCACAGACTACCTGCTCTACTCATTGTGCCTTCGCTGGCGAATCCGAATGCCGCCGGCTACATTGACTCCCAATTTCCTCATGGAATCAACCATTTGATTGTGGGAGACTTGGGGAAAGAGGAGATCCTTCTCATGGCAACCGATTCCGGCAATGTGTGCGCCTACTATACCAAGTCAATTCTTGAAGCCATTCGAAAAGACCCGTACCGCTTCAGCACAGATGGTCGGAGCGACTGTGTCGGAGTCTGGCCTTTCTTCACACAGTGGGTTCATGAATCTGCCTGGGGCCTTGCTATCCACACCAATGCCCGAATGATTGCCGTATCGGCGAACACGCCTCATCACGTTGCAGACGATGATCCTTGTGCTAAAATCACTGTATTTGCCTTCGCCTTGACAGACGCGGGCAGCGAAGGGAGAGACGACGAGGATCGAATGTCCGACGATGATTCCGAGCTGCCCGAACATGCTAAACAAACAGATTGGCAAGAATGGATGGCAGTAGGTCTTGATGCTACCGCTCCACCGCGGAATAAAAATTACAAAATCACTCTCCGTGGTATCGATGGCCACGACCATAACATCCCCTGCATATCCTTCGTAAACACAGACGATGACCTGGGGGGCAATTGGCTCCTGAGCACCGCCATTAATGGTGAGATGAAGATCTGGCAGATTTGGCAAGGGATCTGCCACAAGGCCTGGGATTTCTCGGAAAGGAGCATGCGTGCTAACGCTTACCGAAGGCGGGAAGGCGGCTGGCTTGTCGCTGCCCTAGATCCTTGCGCCTTCCGGCCGGCTAGGACAATGGAGCAATTTTGCGGATACTTCAAGGTTCCCCAGTATCATGGACATAATAGCCTGGAAAGCTACGACCTGACCAATGTTGTCCGACTTCGCACGCCTAGCAACAGTCACATACACTTTATCATGTATGAAGAGAGAGGGAACGACGACGACGACAATGATGAAGTCCGGGAGACTTTTGACTCTTGGTCCGATATGGAAGAAGCTAGTGTCGACGCGGATCATGCTGAGGCTAATGCGAGTTCGCTCCCAGTTTATCTTGGATACAATAATGATGGATCCTCGGAGGACGGCACCTGGACCACGGAAAACCCCCACGACAACCTCGAGTCAGAAACCAGTGAGGTTACCTCTGGTTCTGGTTCTAATGCGAGATCTGTTGACATTGGCCATGACTCTATGACACCTCAAAGAGACGCTCTCTCGCTAGAATATATGCAGTTCGCAGAGGCTGACACGGACTCTGAGGAGAGCGAAGAGGAAGAATTGCAATATCCTTCAAGCTCGGAGGAAGTGGAGGATGCTGACCTTTCTTCCACCAGCCGGCGAAGCACTACATCACTGTCAAGTCTCGCACACCGAACCAGCCAGGAGATTGACGTGGATGTCTTGTCCACATCTGACATGGATTCTCCGTTGCGCAGAAGCCAACACACTGAACTGAAAAGCCCCAAGCCTGTCATCGAGAGCAGTGCTTCGACAGTTCCCAGAGCCGGTGTCAGGGCCACTCCACCCAATATACCTACTCTCCATTGCAGCCTGTCGAATTTAAGACTGCTCATGGCCCCTAAAGCCGATTCCCCACACGTCTTTTGTGCCAACATCCTCAAACAGGCATTGCCTCCTATCATTCAGAGCACAAATCACGCCAACATCGATAGACTCAACATGTTGCTGCAAATTCCCGAGTTGGGCATTGTCATCGTCGCGACCCAGATCGGCCGATGTGCCGTCTGTTCGTTGACGAAGAATGAGAAAACTGGAACACTGGGCCTGCGAGTGAGCTGGATATTACCAACCAAGAAACAAGAGCGGAAAGGACTTCGACCATTTGGGCCACTACTTGGGATAGCAGCTTCACCAGTCCAGGGTTGCTTTAGCACCGATGAATTTGCAGTTCGATCAGAATCCGGCGAGTCAACGAAGTGGGGAAGGGACGGGCTTGTGGATGGAATTCCAACCACATTTGACCATACCGTACTTGTCTTCGATGAGCGCAATGGCGCGGAAGACGACTCCCAGCTCTCGAACGTGGATGCAGACTCCGGGGAGCGTACTAATCGGCCGCGGACGAAGAGGAAACGTCTGTCACATGATCCCCGGAAAAGGGGGTTTGGGAGGATCAGGACCGAGTTACGGGATTGGGAAGTTCCATCAAGTCCAGAGCCATGGCAGGCCTTGGAAAGTAGTCGCCGGTACAGGCTGATGCTGACATATATGGATATGACCGTCCTATCCTACGAGCTGTCGCGGGGTGTGGAAAGGGAGGATATCGCTTACGAGGAGGTATCGACGCTCGACCTGCTTGACTGATCTGCTTATCGAGAATCTATGGCTTTATGAATGTTGCATGAAATGTCCCGAATCAACATCTATATAGGCTACGTATTCTTCGTCTAGGTAGTGTATCGCAGGACGGCAGTTTATGGATAAGAGTGATTGACTTGATATCGTCGGTTATTTGGACCCCTTCCCACTGTAAGGATTCCGCAAACTCCAAGTTCACGCCTCTCAAGCTTCCTCCTACTGTATCTAAACATACGGAGTACTTGGACAACGAGACATGTATTTGTATGTGATCTGGTTCAATAACAGAAAACGTGACTGAGAGATTGTGATTGGCGGGGAATAGCCGATAGACGTGTGAAGTCATTGAAGATACTTGAATCCGGTCTATCAGCCTGTTTTCACCTCTTCTGTCCCCTTCAAAGCCAGATTTTGGCATAATTAATATGGCCGAGCTCGAGCAGAAAAAGTCGATAGTGATTGTCGGTGGCGGCATTATCGGCTGCACGACTGCCTACTTCCTCACTCGCCATCCCAAATACAACCTAGATTTGCACTCAATCCATCTTGTTGAGGCAACAGGGATCGCCAGCGGTGCGTCGGGCAAGGCTGGTGGCCTGTTGGCTTTATGGGCGTATCCGTCGTGCCTGGTGCCGCTGAGTTTCAAGTTACATTCGGAACTCGCCAAGGAACACGGAGGGGAGCAGAGATGGGGCTATAGAGGCGTGGGTGTTGGCCAGATTGAGATGAAGGGACGGCATGTCAGTAGCCAGGCGAAAGTGATTACCCAGAAAGGGCCGGTGGATGGCGAAGCAAGTGGAGGCGGCATGGGCAAAGATGAGGACATCAGAGGGGTGCACAGGGCAGATGTTGCCAGCGATGGCAACGTCGATTCCACCCGCGTCAGTCTCCAAAAGCGAAGCAAAGAATCCTACGCCAATCTACGCAGCATGGGCCTCCCGGATGATCTCGACTGGATCGCAGAAGAATGTGTCTTGGGTTATGAATCAATGGGCTCGCATAAAGACACGGCGCAGGTCCATCCATATCAGTTTACCACGTCGATGGCAAAGCTTGCAGAGGAAAAAGGCGCCCGACTCATCCTGGGGAGCGTCAGCAACATCGAGCCTGCGTCTGGGGATGGAGGAGAGCACACGGTAAGATATACCGATACCTCTACAAACGAATCGAAGTCCATCCTCGCAACAGATGTCATCGTCACTGCCGGGCCGTGGACGAAGACCGTCTGGCCGGGGACCCCAATCGGTGCATTGCGCGCCCACAGTGTAACCATCCGCCCTTCGAGACCCGTCAGCGCATACTGCTTGTTCACGTCTCTCTCGCTGCCCAAGAATTTCAAGGAAGGCGCAAAATCCCGCGCCAGCCACGTCACGCCTGAGATCTATGCGCGGCCGAACAACGAAGTCTACGCGTGTGGCGAGGGCGATCACCTGGTGCCGCTGCCAAAATCCACGGCCGAGGTCCAGGTGGACCACGGTCGCTGCCAAGATATCGTCGACTATTGCGCCAGTGTCTCCGACGAGATGCGCGACGGCACCGTCTTGGTCAGGCAAGCGTGTTACTTGCCGCAGGTAGAGACGGGTGGCGGCCCGTTGGTGGGCTTGACCGGCGTCAAGGGCGTGTATATCGCCGCGGGACATACATGTTGGGGCATCCAGAACGGGCCCGGCACCGGGAAGGTGATGAGTGAGTTCGTGTTTGATGGCAAGGCGGTTAGTGCGAATGTGAGTAGCTTGAACCCCAGGAGGGTGCTGACATAAAGGGAAGCGATATAGAAGCCGGGGCGGGCTTGGAAATATGGCATCCTAAGGGAGCGGTCTTTGGAGGAGATCAACCAAGATACATGTTCTCTGTGCCTCCTCGAAGTCTCTGCGGCAGATAATCTACTGCTGTAGATGGCCAACCGTGTTGATGTCTACTGCTTTATTTGCCATGGAACCCACAATGCCTCTGCGGACAACCCATGACTGTAGGCCCCACCACGAGCGCCTCAGGCTTTCCACGCACTCACCACTTGCACCACGTCCTCATCCGCAACGACATGACCGAGCCCGACTCTCTGTGGAATATGCTTCGCCGAAGCACCCCAAACCAGCGCATATTTGAACGTCTCCTTCAGCGTGCGATGGATCTGGTCACACACGTCCTCGATCGTACTGCCGCTGCGTACAATGAGCGCCTCGCTAAAGTCCGGGTCCACACCCTGTCGCTTCGTGTAGATGCGCATCAGCCGCAACTCCTGCCAACACCTCTCCACCACGTCCTGGACGCCCAAGTCCAGTTCGCAGGACATGACCACCGTGTTCGGCTCGCGGGCTAGCTCGTCCAAATACTCGACGGTGACGCTGTCGATCTTGTTGTACACGTACAGGCACCGGATGTATTTGCGGTGGTCTTTCATGATGACGTCGATGAAGTCGTCGACCGTGGCGTTCTCGTCGCGCACGAGGACCTCGCAGTTCAAGAGCTTGTAGTCCCGTAGGATGTTGTAAAGCATCTTCTCGTCCAGATACTTGGGAGGAGATTGGAAGGTGATTTTCATGCCGCCGGCCTTCTTGGCTTTCAGGTAGATGTTCGGGGGTTCGCGGTTGAGACGTATGCCGACGGCCTCGAGCTCTGCCTCAAGGAGGGCACGTTGTTCGGCCCGTTTTGTAGCGTCGAGAACCATGAGGATTAGGTCGGACGTCTGAAACGGGGGTCAGTGATTTGGAGGTCATCGACTCAAGGGTCTCAATTCCAACCTTTGCGGCACTGATGACCTGTCGTCCTCTTCCTTTACCCTCCGAGGCACCTTCGATGATTCCAGGTAAATCCAGAATCTGAATCTCTGCACCTCCATACTCGAGGACACCGGGGATAGCCGTAAGTGTGGTGAAAGAGTATGCCGCCACTTCGGATTTGGTCTTTGTGATTTTTGAAAGGAATGTCGATTTGCCGACCGAAGGGAAGCCAACTAGGGCTATTCGAGCGTCACCAGATTTCGAGACATCGAATCCTGTTCCGCCGCCGGAACCGGCACCGGCTGCTGGCTCAAGTAATTGTGCTCGTAGCCGGGCGAGTTTCCTGGTCGAGAATGTCAGCTCTCATCAAGGAACACTAACCTATGCCAGTTGAGAGCGGAAGAGTGAGGCTCTAGGGTAGACAACAAATATGGTCCTCCTAGAAAAGGGGCAAGGCTGAGAATAGGACCCGCCCAATTGTCTCGCTAGCAATCATGAGATGTGCTTCTGCTTGACATTCTGTGTCCATCCGGCTTATTTATGGCCCTAGGTCTCTTCACACACAACCGCATCTCAAGCCATCGTCCAAAGGCACTGCTTAGACATGCACGGCACGGATTGGGGTGACGTAGTCACGTGAATCCAGGTAAGGCACGTGCGCTGCTCTCGCTCGTGTCCTCACAATCTCGTCTCCTTTTACTCCATCCCTCTTTGTCATAGGTTCATGGTCTTCAAGAACCAAAGGCAGGACCTACCCTTTCAATAAACCAAGGTGATACTCTGAGGTTGATTCTGTCAGAGCGCGCCCACCGGAATTCTCAAACACTCAGCACGAACCTGTGGCTTTGTTTTCTGCAACCCAATCAGCACTGGACCAGGCCATCTGTGACAAGCTGCAGAAACCCACTCTGAGTTCGGGCCATTTCGGCCTCGATCCTGTATCACGAGTCAGATTCGAGACGGCTTTGTGCAAAACACGGCAACCCACTCCTTGATTTTCTCCGTGATGTTGACCATCTTGAAGGTGAGAATCCGGACAGCCTGTAGAACAGCGTTGTAACCCAATGCGACCCGGGCAAGAGCTAAAGCCGCACAAAGAAAGACAAACTGTGTCCTTTTGACCTGGCAGATACACCTTGTCTGTCGTTTCTCAGTGGGCGCACAGAGACTCTGTGGATGAGTGACACCCAACGACCAAGTTGAATGATCGAGAGTCGGCATTTCGGAATATGGTAACTCCGTTCCGCTGATGTCTTGGCTGTTGAGCCTTGTGCTGTGACTCAAAGACAAGTCTCTGGGTTCTACGACCAGATCTTCTTTTCATTTTAGCGACAACCACAGCAACAAAAACCACCATGATGAGAACAAAAAACATGTTGTAGGTAGTTGCAGCTGTCGCTGCGGCTACCAGGCAAGCGCTCCAAAGGAGTCACCTGCCAAGGCTTTCGCAACTAAAAGACTGAACAGCCCGCGGATCTCCAGGTCCCTGAGGGGGTCTGAAGTGAATCCTTCATCATGCCGGCCAAAAAGAAGGGAAAGAATCATCAAGTGCAGACTCTTGCACCTCAACCACAACCCCCTGCTACCCCGCCGCCTCTCGAGCAATCTCAGCGTACCTTGGAGGAAGAGCTGGCCGGTTATCCGGAAGTCCAGCGTAACGAGTTCCTTGCCACAAGAGCAATCTATTCAGACGATTTTCAGCGTATTCGAGGCAGGAAGGATGCGTGGAAGGTGAGCAGGCCGTGCCGCACCCTGTGCATGATGGCTTCTGACACGGCGATAGACTCAGGAGAACTTAGCTTTTCAAGTCCGGGTTTCACCACTTGGATGTCGCGACTATTTTGTCAAACTCATCTTCGAGTTTCCACGCGACTATCCGAAGGTGCTCCCAAAGATCAACATCGTCGAGGTTCAGCCTAAAGACCCTGACCTCAAAAAGCAAATCGAGCACATTATTGCGACCAACCAGAGACAGAATCAAGGAAGCGAAATAGTCTACGTGGTCAACACTGCCATCATGGACTTCCTTGATCAGACTGTCTCAGACAAGGCTGCCAAGAAGACTGAGTTCAGCCTCGAAGAAGAACGTGCTGCGCAAGAAGCTTTGGCTAGGAAGCATCTCCAAGAGAAAGAAGAAAGCACGCGCAGACAACAGGCAGAAGAAGCTGAGGAGAAAGAAAAGCTGCTGTACTCTCAAGTCGAGAGTGAGAAACAACGTCGCCAGAAGTCCAACCTGTCTCGCACGGCCACTGGTGAAGCTGGCACGGAACTCTACGACTCTCCCGAAGAACAAATCCGATTTGACCAGCCCATGACCTGCAAAGACACAGTCACAAACGCACCGTTCAAGTTCAAGGCAGTCTCTGGCAGGGTCGTCATCCTCAGACGTAAATACAAGAAAATCATGATTGTATCTCCTCGAGTGAATACCGAACGTGTTCAGGCTCCACAGCTTCTACTTAAGGATATCTACATCCCCGAGACTGCGAACTCAAGGGCCCAAATGCAAAAATGTATGGAGGTTATCGAGGAGGATCTGGAATTCTCCAAGGAACATCATCACGAGAATGTTGTCGACCTGATCAACTTTAAGATTGAGCATCTAACCCTTGAGGATGGCACTGGACAGTGGACCCTGGCTATTCTTTCCGAGTTTGCGGATAAGGGTTCTCTTGATGATCTTCTTGAGCTCTCTGGACCGCTCAATCCAGCAAAAGTCCGCACTTGGACTCGAGAGCTTGTTGACGCTCTAGTATTCTTCGATAAACATGGCTACGTCCATCCCGCAGTCCATGCGGGAAATGTCATGCTTTTCATGTCACCCAAGAGAGGAGTTACAGTCAAGCTTTCCGACGGCTACGGGACGAAACTTCGAGAACTTGTTGAAGCGGTTCGCGACAAGTCTGATGCGAAGACAGATGAGCTGCCTCTCTGGATCGCTCCAGAGCTAAACAACGAAACGCCAGCAAGAACAAACAAGACTTGCATATGGGATCTCGGCGTGATTGTGATGCAAATGGCGTTAGGGAAAGCCGTCAAGTCCAAATACACGTCTCCCGCAGATGTGCTCGAAGACGTCGATTTCGAATCCAGTGCTCAAGGACTACTGCAGGAAATGTTTCGATCTAATCCAAATCGTCGGCCTTCAGCCTTTCAACTCTCAAGCAAAAAGATCTTCTTCGAAGAAAATGATAATCTCTTCCGAACACAGTCCCTGACTATGCTCAGCACTCCGGGACGCGTAAGACGCTACAGTGACAGACCTGGAAATTCCAGGTATCGAAATGAATGGGAGGAGTCTGCTGTGCTCGGCCAAGGAGGCTACGGCAAAGTCGTCCGTGCCAGAAACAAGTTGGATGGGCAATTTTACGCTGTAAAGGAGATCAAGAGTCAGTCGATTAAAGAACTAGAAAACATCCTACGAGAAGTCGCCCTTCTTGCGAAACTCAATCACCCAAATATTGTCAGGTATTACAACGCCTGGTACGAGAGCGCACACGAACAAGTGGAAGAACCACACCAGCGAGCAGTCCCTGCCAGATCGATCCCCCAGCCTGCTCCCCTGAGTTTGGGTCATGACTTCATGGAACCATCAGTCTATCGTAACCAGGGGGCTGAGTACAGCGACTCAGACGATGGCAACCTGTTTGCTTATCAAGATCCACCTTCTATCAGTCCCGAGGACGCCTTTGACGATGACCCATTTGATAGCGACCCGGAACCAGAAAGAGCAGAAGAACAAATGACGACTGATCCATTCGAACGTTCAACAGCACCAGAGCCGCCATCCATGGAAGGCGTAAGTCCTTTCCGCAGTCAGAACTCACCACAAGTGCCTTTAAGTCCCGTTCGATCACGCTCACTACCACATAACGAACCATCCGTGTTGTATATCCAGATGGAACTATGCGACGGCCGAACATTGCGTGATCGAATCAACGGCGGTCTACCAAAAGATGTCGAGGCTGGTTGGCGATTGTTTCGGCGCATACTCGAAGGACTTGCCTACATTCATAGTCATGGCGTGGTGCACAGAGATCTTAAACCCGATAATATCTTCCTCGACTCACACGACACTCCTAAAATCGGCGACTTCGGACTCGCTGGGTACGGACAAGCAACCTCAAAGCAACACCTCTCGTTGTCAAGACCAGCAATGGTTACTGTGTCGTACCACATTGGTACCGCAGGGTATATGCCTCCTGAGCTTGAACGGACGGGAAGCAGCTACGATTCTCGCGCCGACATGTACTCTCTTGGGGTCACGTTCTTCGAAATGTGTTTCCCTTTCAGCACCAAGAGCGAAAGAAGCATCTATCTGGAAGGGAGGTTGAAAGAAAACCCACCACGCCTACCCCAGCTCTTCAAGGAAGAAAGCCATCAAAAACAAGGTGACATAATTGCGCGGCTGATTGATCATGATCAAACTCGCAGACCAACCGCTTTGATGCTGCTCAACAGCGGCCTGATTCCCGAGCCTCTGGAAGATGAGAAATTTCAACGCTACATTGATAGAATGGCTGCAGAAAATCCTAGTGAATATCAAGCGCTGATCACGAAGCTGTTCGCCAACCCAAACAGTCCTGTTGCAAGTCTTGCCTGGGAAGACAGGTCAACAATAAGTACGGCTTCTGTCGATTCGATGCTTTGGATATCTACTTGCGACCAGCTGAAATCCATCTTTCGTCGACATGGTGCAGTCGAAGTTGGTCGGCAAAGTATCATCCCAAAAGCCGAGTCCTATCCACATGCCGCAACTTTTCTCGATTCTTCAGGCCTGGTCGTCCAGCTACCATATGACCTCACTCTCCCTTTCGCACGCACGCTCGGACAAACTTCTCCTACCTACAGCAAGATCTACTGCTTTGGAACCGTGTACCGTGCTTCTTCACCAGGCTCGCAGCCAAGACAATTTCCTGAAGTCGACTTTGACTTCATATCCAACAGCGCAAAAGATCTACCCTTGAAGGAAGCGGAAGTCATCAAGGTTCTTGACGAAGTCCTTACTGAGTTCCCTGCCCTGGCTGCACGCTGCTGGACAATGTACATTAATCATGCCGACTTGCTCGACCTCATCCTTGATTTCTGCCGTATCAAACCAGTCGAAGCACCGGACGTTAAGCGGGCTCTATCGCATCTCAATACTCAAGGACAAGGATGGACACAGATTCGGGAAGAACTGCGCAGCCCGGCCATCAACATCCCGGAGACATCTGTGACTGACCTCAAGCGATTCAACTTCGACGGCGACTTGGAAAAGGTCCGCACAAAGCTCCACAAGCTTTTCGGAGACTCCGATCATTTCAGCAAGGCTTTGCCCCTTCTGGGGCGCCTCGATGAGGTGACGAAGTACCTCCAGCGCATGAACGTCCACACACAGATCCTCATCGCGCCTCTCAGCAACAATTCGGAGTATCTCTACCGGCGGTCGCTGCTCTTCCAGTGCGCAGATAACGCTTCCAGACGAGTCCTGGCGGTCGGCGGGCGGTACGACGCCCTAGTCCAAGAATATCAGACCAAGTCTGACAAGGGCAATACTCGTGCAGCGGGTTTCCGCCTCAACATACTAGACTTAATCGGCTACGTCCGCAGCCAGATCGCTGCTCAAGCAAGCAAGTCGTCCAAGACGACGGCGACCGCGGCCGCAGAGTCGAAGCCAGTGGCTAGGAGGTGCGATATCCTGGTCACGAGCTTCGACGCCAACGCGTTGAAGAATTCGTGCCTGGAAGTCTTGTCGTCGTTGTGGGCCGCTGGCCTTAGTGCCGAGCTCTCCGAGGAGTTCCACTCCTTGGAGGAGCTGGAGATGGCGTACGGAAGCCAGATTGCTGGTGGATACTGGCTAGTGATTGTGAGAGGAGGAGCCCTTGGGGAGAGGACCTTGAAGGTCCGGGGCCCCTCTCGCTCCGAAGACGAGGTCAAGGCCGCGGAGTTGGTGAGCTTTTTGCGCCTGAAAATGGCAAAGAGTAGATAGTTTGGAAGGCGGCTTGCTTCTTTCCTTTGATCTCAGCAATACCCACTTTCACGTCTGTAGACCGTCCTATCTGTGTATTGTTAGACATGTTTCATGCAACGTCCGCTGCATTCACTACAGACCCCTGGGACTTGTTGTGTACCTCGTATATGGTGGTATGCTCCGCAGTATGTTGTACGGTTGCGCGGGAGCAGTCCAGCCGTTGCTCCCCTGACGTCGCCGTCGGTGTTTCTTCAAGGCCATGTGTCCACCATGGGAATGTTCTCCGAATCCGACACCACCAACACCAATGGCGAGTTGAAGTGAGGCTCTCGAAGTTAGCCACAAGGCAGGATGTTGGGCCATGCGAGCGGGCCTGTGATTGTACAGAAACTTCATCTTTTCATTCTCACTCTTCTCTCGCTTTATTCCTTGACTGCGCATGCTTCGAACGATACCCTGCTATGGGGTCCTTACCGACCAAACCTGTACTTTGGAATTCGACCACGTGTCCCCAACAGCCTGTTGACCGGCCTGCTATGGGCAAACACCGACAACTATGGCACCGCTCAGGTCAATTTTCGGCACACCTGCGAGCAGCATGAGGGGATGGCCGGTTATGGTTGGGAAGAATATGATGTTCGAAACGGGGGAAGACAAGTTATACACGACACAGGGAATATGATCGATTTGACTATTGATTTTGTCAAGGTTCCTGGAGGGCAGCATGGTGGGAGTTGGGCTGCGAGAATAAAGGGCAATCCAAGAGAAGATGCGCCTGCCACGCTGGTCACAACCTTGATCTTCTATGCTGGCATGGAAGGACTGGGTGAACTTGTATTCAAGGACACGGACGAGGAAGACGGCGTGGTGACTCTGCATGGCGAGACAAGCGAGCTTGGGCAATTCGACATCTCCTTTGCGGATTCTTCAGAGAATCTTCTACCATACAAGACACACCCATCTTGGGATGCAAAACCGCTCGACCGGCCAATCCTGAGCAGCCTGCAGATACCACCGGATGCCATCTGGCAAGCCAAGAATATTGTGTTCGCGAGCATGAAGTCGGAAATTGATGGTCTCGTGCAGCAATACGGACAGGAGAACATGCCACCTCCCTGGCAGGCCTTTTCCATCCAGCAGAACCCTGGTCCTGGAAATTTTCACATGGTCCAAAAAATATTCGTCGGCGCTTTCGAAACCGACATTCAATTCATATCTGCGTCAGGCCCGTCGGTGTCCTCAGAATCTCTCACGAAGGCCATATCGGGCTCCTCAAACGACTTCAAAGAGAAGTTCACAGAGGTTTTCAAACCTTTAGCGCCATTCACCAAGGCTGCATACACCGATTTCTCTGCATCCATGTTCTCCAATTTGTTTGGCGGAATTGGATACTTCTATGGTGATTCGCTGGTCGACAGATCTTATGCTCCAGAATACGACGAGGACAATGAAGGATTCTGGGAGGAAACCGCAGCCGCACGAGCTCGAGCGGAGATTGTCAAAGATCCCCCCGCCGAGCTTTTCACCAGCGTTCCGTCCAGACCTTTCTTTCCACGCGGGTTCTTGTGGGATGAGGGTTTCCATCTCATACCAGTCGCGGATTGGGATCTTGACGTTACGATTGACATCGTAAAATCGTGGTTCAACCTCATGGACCAGGATGGCTGGATTGCTCGCGAGCAGATTTTGGGCCCTGAAGCGCGCAGCAAGGTGCCCCCAGAATTTCAAGTTCAATACCCACACTACGCCAACCCACCCACACTCTTCCTAATCATAGACATTTTGATGGACAAAATGTCGAGTCCTGCGTATGCTGAATCCAAGGATCGCATTGAGACCGAACTCCGCAATCTGTATCCCTTACTCAAACGCCAATATTACTGGTTCCGTCGCACCCAATTTGGGGACATCAAATCCTACGACCGTGAAGCCTTTTCCACCAAAGAAGCATACCGATGGCGCGGGCGCACACCACAGCATATCCTCCCTTCTGGACTTGACGACTATCCGCGCCCTCAACCTCCTCATCCAGGTGAACTTCACCTAGACTTGATCTCCTGGGTGGGCATGATGTCGCGCATCCTCGTGCGTCTTTCCACATTGCTCTCGGAAGCCGACGACATACCTGACTTCACCTCGCAACACAAAGCTATCCTTCGCAACATCGACGACCTGCACTGGTCATCTGAACATAAATGCTACTGTGATGCTACAATCGACGACTATGAAGACTCTGTCCACGTCTGCCATAAAGGCTATATTTCCATTTTCCCCTTCATGACCGGCCTAATGCCGCCTACGCACCCTCACCTTCCCCACGTATTAGACCTCATCTCTTCACCGTCCGACCTCTGGTCTCCCTATGGCATCCGCTCCCTCTCCAAATCAGACCCCTTCTACGGCACGGATGAAAACTACTGGCGCTCTCCGATCTGGGTGAACATGAATTACCTCATCCTCAAATCACTCCTCGACCTCATCCAATCTTCTACCAATAATTCATCACCACCGCCCGCGAAGGTGAAATCCCAAGCCGTCAAAATCTACACCGAATTGCGCAAGAATCTCGTCGAGACTGTGTTCAACGAGTGGGAACGCACCGGCTTCGCCTGGGAGCAATATAATCCGGAGACAGGCGCGGGCCAGCGCACGCAGCATTTCACGGGCTGGACGAGCTTGGTCGTCGTGATTATGAGGATGCCGGATTTGAGTAGGAGCAGCGGCGATACAGGAGGCATCCAACACGGTGAACTGTGAGGAATTTTTCCTGACTGGGTTATTTTGTCTATGGTGGCAGCGTTTTGAGATGAGTGGGTTAAAAACGATATTTGGGAAAGGATCAAACAGACAGGGCATAAAAGCATGGAAGCAGAAGTAGATAAATAAGTCTCGATAGAAATGAGAAATGCGGTTGCCGACTTTTGCACATTTAAAACTAGGCCTTTGTCTCGCTCTCTATTCCAGAGTGATTAATTCTGTTGTGCGGCCTTAATCCTCCTCGTCGTCGCTGCCATATGCGACAAGTGGCCTGGCAGGTGCTGCTGCTGCATGCTTTGAGACCGGCCCTGACCCTATATGCACACTTGAAGTATATCCCCTCAAGGCCGCCAGCGTGGAGCCTGACAAGATGCCGTTCTCGTCTGCTTGGTCGTTGCCATTCTGTACCCCCGGCTTCGATCCAGACTCATTCGGAGCAGCAGCAACATTGCCTTCCGTCGTCCCTTCCGTCGTCGTCGGGCCCTGTTCGGCACTGGAGCCCGGAGCCGGAGTTGGAGGTGCCTCGAGCAATCCTCTCTCGCCCAACCTCTGACCCTCCAACTCTCTCTGTTGCTGCTGGGTATACCAAATCTCCTCGGGCGCCTCATACCCTTCCAACCCGTAACTGCTCTCGATCTTCCTCTGGTCCCTCTCCTCCCTTGTCTCGCGTCCTTCGATCTCCCTAACAACTCTCTTGCCCAGCGCCCGACGGACAGCCTCCGCGGCTTGTTCTTCAATCCTGGCGGCTTCTCTCTTCTGGCTGAGCGGGTTCGGATCCACAGTGGCCCACCGCACATTCAATATCTCATTGTGATCCAGTGCCTGGTGGGCCATTGCCTCCTTTGCGAATTGGCTGTTCGCCTCGTTGACGTATGTGACGAAAGCGACGCCTCGGCCTGTGAGGACTCGAATACGTTCAATCTCTCCCCACTCTTGAAAATGCCGTGCTACTACTTCCTCGATATCGTCCGACACGTGGATCCTCCCGACGTAGAGGATGCGGTTCTGCCTCATGAAACTTCCCACCCCGCCCATGTCATCCCGGTAGTCGCTATGTTTGTCCCGTCCGAAGCAGTCCACGTTTGGATTAAATACGTCGTATATCGTGGGCAGTCGGTGCAGATATTGACATTCGTGACCTTTCGGACACAGTCCCCTCGCGAAGAACAGGCAGAAATAACTCCCCGGCGTCCTGTCTGCTGCCGTCCATCCAGAGTCGTTGCGGATATTGCAACGTGAAGGAGCGGCGTGATTGGACAAATACGCGTCCTCCCGATCACCACCAGACCATTTGTTGTACCAGATGTTAAACACCGTCCCGGTTTGCGGAGGAGGCGTGGATTTTATCGTCGAAGGATCAACCTGGGGCCGCGCAGGGCGGCGCTTGCGGCGGATTAGTTTTGTCTTTTTCGCCGGAGGTTCCTCGTTCGTGGTGAGAGAAGTTTCACTATTCGCCGTTGTGAGAGCGGTGCTTGTTGGGTCGGTGGCGGGCGCTGCTTCGTCCGGAGACGCTGATCGTTTTCGAGAAGACGGCGATGTCAGCGTCGTACGCGCCTGAACGACCTCAGCCATAGTCTGTGGCTCCTCAGCAATAGGAAAGATGTTAGGAGTTTGTCGAACGAAGACGAGTGCTCGCAAATATTTTCTTCGGGATCTACAAAGATGAATTTGAAATGCGGAACGAAGCACCTGAAGTTGCACGTGAAATTCGGCCTCACTTTCTGCGTCAGTGATCCACCTTAGAAATCCGTTCTTCTGCGGAGCATTTGTTGTCCCAAGCGCGCTTATCATGGTTGAATTTTCGACAATCAGAATATTTAGTATACCTTGGTATACCCTGTCTGTTGGATCAGCTGGTCCTCTTTCACGCTTAATTTTCGCCCTTCGATATCTCCATGCTGTCGCTCTGAACGAGCTCCAGTGCTGGCCCTCAGGCGGCTCTCAAGTACGGCTAGTCGACTACACCTAGCCTTGTGGTTATGGGGAGGAAGCCAGTCGCTACGGTCATTTCTTCCGCGAAAGAGTCCTGCGTCGATCCAATTCTATGTCTCCGAGGTTTGGGCGGTGTTTGAAAATGGCGTCCTCTCCCCCCAGAAATCCCCTGATCATGATCATTGGGGCAACCGGCACCGGCAAGTCGAAGGTGAACCCGTACCCTGGTTGGAAACGAAAATGGATGGAGGAAAAAGCTAATCGCTACAGAAATAGTTGGCTGTGGAATTGGCCACTCGATTCAATGGCGAAGTCATCAACTGTGATGCAATGCAAATGTACAAGGGGCTGCCGATCATCACTAACAAGATTCCTGAGAATGAACGAAATGGAATCCCTCATCACCTGCTCGACTTCATCGGTCTGAAAGAGAAACTCTGGACTGTGCAGCACTTTGTCAAAGAGAGTTCACGGGTTATCGATGAGATTCGAGCGAGGGGCAGGCTTCCTATTGTTGTGGGTGGGACGATTTACTACACATTTTCCTTGCTCTTCAATGATGCTATTCTTACTCCCCACGAGGACGAGAATCGCTCAGACCACGATGCAATGGACAGAAACGAAGAGTTTGCTATCCTGTCGGCTTCTACAGAGGAGATCTTTACGAAACTCAAGGAGGTTGACCCCGAGATGGCAAAAAAATGGCATCCAAATGATCGAAACAAGATCCGGCGGTCTCTCCAAATATACCTCCAGAGCGGGAGAAAGGCTTCCGACATATATGCTGAACAACGTCAAGCTCGTCCCGACCACGGGAACGAAGATACCACGATTGACACCGATATGGACGAGGACGGCGCCATGAGTGGGCGGAGAATGACTCTGCGTTATCCGAGTCTCCTCTTATGGTTGGAAGCCGACGACGTCGTACTAAAGCAGAGACTAAATGATCGAGTTGATGCCATGATTGCAAACGGTTTGTGTGACGAAGTATTGCAAATGGCAAGCCTAGAACAGGAGTTGAAACAAGAAGCAGAGCCAGTCGACCTTGCCAACGGTATTTGGGGATCGATCGGATACAAGGAAATGAAGCCCTGGCTCGAGGTGTGCCAAGCGTTGAATCCCGATCCTGCCAAAGTAGGGGTGGCAGAGCAGCAGGGTATAGATGCTGTTAAAGCGAGCACTAGACGCTATGCTAAGCGTCAGAACCGATTCGTCCGCATTCGGCTGGCAAAAGCTCTGAAGGCTACCGGGAGGCTTGATCTGCTTTTCCTTCTCGACTGCACTGATCCGACCGGCTGGGACAGCACAGTGACAGAGCCTGCGCAAGCGATCGTGAAGGCTTTCCTGAAAGAGTATGAGTTACCCGAAGCCAAATCTCTCTCACTCATGGCGGAGAAAGTACTCTCACAGATCGAGGAGGATGACATTAATGATGTCCGCAAAGCCAGGACTTGCCAACTGTGCCAAAAGACTCTTATGACTGAGAAAGAATGGAGGGCACATCTTGCGAGTCGCAGTCACAAGAAAGTTGTCGTATGGCACCGTAACTGCTTGTCAGTGCCGGCTGGAGCAATTGACGTCAATCAGCACGTACAGCTACCGACTTCACCGGGCTGATGCTTGATGCGACTCAATTATACTCTGTTGAAGGCACGTGATGGTGCAAGGATCAGCGCTAGAGGAACGTTCATGGAGGTTCTGACGTCTCGGCTTTGGCCCGTTCTCTGATCTCCTGTAAATGCTGCTGGTGGGCTTTCAGGCCATTGATACGCCACTCGACAAAAGTTGACGACAACATGTCACCGTGGCCTGATTCCTCGAGCTTAAAGACCTCTAGGACGGGGACTTTCTCTCGCTTTCGGATTCGCCAAACGCCGTCAGAAGTTATGACGGTTTTCAGCCCTATGCCGGAGTCAACAATATTCGAGCATGTCTGAGGATGCGCTTACATTCCAGGAAGCTTGCGGCAAAGTTGATGCAGGTTTGTCCATCCCACAAACCTTTGCCCTTCAATTTAACATTGTCTGGAATATTCTGCACATTCAACTCCTCGAGACGTTCCAACAAACCTTGCTGAGTGCGATAACCGACGATAATCTTCGGCACTCCCAACAGGAACGACTGTGCCCAGAATTTGAGGAGTTTCCTCTCATATTTGATTTGCTCCCTCTCGTTGGTGACCGTGGCCGTCGTTTTGAGCTCCACCCATTCAGTCGGCTGCAATTTGTCTTCTGGCTTGAAGGCCATAACAGCGTCCACTTCTCCGCCCAGGATCATCTTTACTTTGCCGAAGCCAGTTCGGACGATTGAGCAATATTGAGCGTGGTTGTTAACCATCAGCTCTTCTCGGGATTCGATGTACTCTCGAGATGCCTCGGGCCATGGTGTCGGCATCAAGGACACGGTCTCGAACTTGTATCCCCAGAAGCTCATAAGGTCTTGGGACATAGCACCTGGTCGTCCCGCGGATGAATACTGTTCTTCGCGGGAAGAAATTTTCTTGGTGTGATTTTCCTCGATGAAGATGGTGTCTTGGAATAAGGTGACATTCATTTCCCACTCATCCAACTTGGAGAATGGAACGATCATCAGCTGTCCGGGCCATGAGTGAGTCTTTCTCAGTTATATCAAGCACATCACACCTTGGTCATCATCCCTCGCCATGTCAGGAAATCGATCTCCGTTTTAGACCCCTTCTCTTTCTCATAGGCGATGATAGCCTCCAGGAGGCCATCCAGATGGTCATCATCTGAGTCATCAAGCTGTCGAAATGTCTCGAACCCTTTGTTGAGGTTGCAGGGCAGTGCCGGTGGGTAGTAGTAGCGCAGGCTCGAGGCATCAAGCCGGAATTTGTGGTCTTCATCGAAAGAAAAGAATGCGATTTCCTAACTTGCTCAGCCCATGCTGCGATTATACGTTCGGAGAGACTTACCCGTGGTCGTCTGATGGCCGCACTCAGGCCGGCGAACCGAGACACCGGCTCAAGATTGAAGTTGTGTTTGTGAGCCATTATGGCGCACCAGTTGTAACAGAAGGCTCATTTGGATTCATGTCTGCCGGCATTGTGTCTCCTGCAAGATACGGCATGGAGGTAAAGATAGTAGGTTATACCCTAGCCACTATGGTCTAGAGGATGCAAGTGCGACATACTGCTTAGACCATCGTAGACGGAAATCCTGAGACCACGTGAGAACGCGATCCAAGTCGCGTCGCGTAGCAGACTTTACGTCATCTGTTGACGAGAACGAAGCCAACATCCCACCAGAGTTAAAAGGAGACCTCTATAGTTCCTAGAAGCCGTGACGAAACGCAACGAGTTGAATGATTGTTTCTCGCTTCCGTGATCCATTCTCCTCCACTTTGTCGTCTTGTGGTTCCGTCAAATCTACCTCTTCTGGATGAAGATGGCAGGCCAGAAACGGGCATTGAGCCAAACTGATAGCAACGTCGCCAAATCACAACCACCCTCCAAGCGACAGTCGCAGCAGTTAGCAGCAGGGAAAGAAAATGCCACCCATGACTATACAGGTCTAAAGAAGCTTGACCTTTGCACGCTGCTTCAGCAACGCAACTTGCCGTACAGCGGTAATAAAGACGTGCTTATCCGTCGACTCGAGGACTCTGATAGGGACCACTCTTCGGCGCGTAATTCGGGGCGTGCAACTGGGAAGGTATGCCTTCAATTCTTAAGCAAGGAGAACCTAAGTGCTATGCTAACTCATAATAGGGTCACGCCACTGCACAAACCATTGCGCCCGAGTTCAATTTCCTAACACTGTGCAGACCGTGGGAAGACGTCGAGGCGGAGAAACAGGTAAATGGTTTGGAATACGATCCGTCTGAAGAGTATGAGGAGGAAGATGAAGCACACAGCGAAGTGGACGAAGATGAAGAAGCTGCACCTGGAGACACGAGCATGGCTGGTCAACGCAAATCAATCTGTGGCAAAAAGAAATGTATCTGCAAGCTTCCGGCCTCTGAGCATCCAGAGCATAACTGGATCCTTACAACGGAAGGATATCGGTTGGTTGCTCGCTTGCAATGGGAGATAGAAATTCGGGACCAGGACAAGTTCGGGGAGCACTTCTTTAGTGATTTCAATGGCTATGGTTTTCAAGAAGTGATGGAGAACCAAGTAAGTTCACGGTTCAGCCCCTGCTCGTTGCGCTCTTGCTGAGCTATGAATGGCTAGCTTCTGTCATTCGACCGCGAATTCTCTAAGGGATCTACACGCGAGGAAGGTCCATCGCCAGCGGGATTATGGTCAATTATTGAAGGATTCGCCTGGGCCCTCAACTATCAAGGCTTCTGGTTCAATATCGACTACCCAGACATGGTGCTGGCGACTCTCAAGCTCATAGGAGGGGCAGTATTCACCACTCTGAACATCTTGGACAAGAATGGATTGCTGCGCCCTGACACACCAGTGAAAAATATTGCGCTCGTGTTGGGCGTTCTGTATGACAACACTCGAGACTGGCCAGGCGATGAAGAGGGGGAGTTGGAATGGCGAGCAGCCATGATTAAAGAAGTCTTGCAACATGGCATTGAGTTCAAAGGGGCGCCTTATGGCATCGAGAGACTGTTCGAGACAGATGGACTGGATAGGTCACAGCTGGATAAACCAGATTCCAGGTGGAAAAAGTGGAAAAGGTTTGACTGGCCCAAAGAGGTGAGTCTGGCATTATCTACACGCACAAGAGCCATTTACTGACGTTGCCAAAGTTTAGGTCATTCTTCAAGAGATTCCGGAAAGGGCCGACAATAGGTGGCCGACAATTCGCCCTGGAGTCAAAAGCCGACCTGGCAAGGGTGCGCAAGACTTGGGGTTCAATCTGGAATGTCTGAACCTTCGCCAAAGGCCAGTTGGGGTAGTGTAAGATTATGATGAGAGAATATATTCGGGGTGGAAATCTGTTGTTCACCACCCGATCCTCTAGCTTTCCCTTCCCTTCGCAAGAACAAAAGGACATATTACCACCGAAAGTCTTCCGCCTTCGCTCACCCCTCTCGAGAAGAACTACGTTTACCTCTTCGAGCTTGCGGATGACTGCACCCAAAAACTAATCTCTCGATCTAACCTTGACGTTGAGGTTGGACTGGAACATTAACCACCGATTCGTGGTCTTCCATTCACTGAGCATATCGAAATCAAGGTAGTGGACAAGCTGAGGGACAAATTTCCATCTCCATCAACGCAACGTTCAGGCCTTGACAGGCTCGAGGGCCGACCCCAAAATTGTCCGTGCTGTCAGCACCTCTCGTCGTCCGTATGACGACCGCCGGAACTTACGGGTATGTAATAGCGATGCATGGCTGTGGTATCTCCCTCGAGCCAGCGCTCTGGGCAGAGGGCGTCTGGGTCAGGCCCAAATACGTCCTTGTTGCGGTGCGCGACCCAGTTGTTGATGCCGACAACAGCTCCCTCAGGGAAATACGTTCCAGAGATCATCGCCCCGCCCTTTGGGACAACACGAAACAGGGGCAACCTAGGAATGTGGTAAGTGAAGCCGAATGGATAATCACACTCCCATCTTACCCAGTGCCAGGGTACATCCTCTGGCCTTCTTTTATCACCGCCTGACAGTAGGGCATTCGCTGGGACTCGTGGAAAGAGATAGGATCCGAAATTGACCCTGTTTCGGCCATCTCATCGATCTCTCTGCGCAGCTTGTCGAGACATCCTCGATTCTTCAGCAGATAATAAATGATAGCGGCGAGAGTGATCCATGTTGTATCAGCGCCAGCCACAATGTTACCAAAGGCTCCGATCAGAACATCCCAGTCCGTGAAAGTGGTAGGATCTCGCCGCTGACCGGCGATGAACTGAGCAAGCACGTCCTTCTTATCCGGCTTTTCTTCTTCCATTCGCTCTGCGATACGCTTCATGGTATAGGAGATGGTATAGTCTACTTTACCTGTGCCTGTGCCGGCGAGCCAGTTGACCATTTTGAACAAGGTTGGATGCAGTTCTGGATATATGCCCACAAAAGTGGCATAGGGCATTCGTTGACGAAGGCTCTCACAGATGCCACCGATATCTTCACCGTCGTCAAGGAACCCAAAGCGTTGAGAAAACTGCGTGTCGCCAGTCAGCACAGCCACTGTTGCGGATTCATGAACGAGCAGACTGTTATATGGCCTTGACAGTCAAACGCCCAGCAGGTAAACCAGTGAGTCAGGTCAATAGTCTCGCTTGACTTAGTGAAGGCCTTGAGCTTCTCAATTAAGAGCTCTCCGCATTCATCGATCAATGGCTCGAATGCCAATATGGATGACATGGAGAATGCTTGTGCATAATTGCGACGATATCGAGTAGCATCCTTGTTATCTGAGGTGCTGAAGTTGGTCGAAGTGCCGGGAGGACAAGAGGGCTCATACCACCTCGACTTCATCCACGGAGTTGAGATGGTGTAAATGGTCTTGATGGCCTCGGGGTCATCAATACTGTACGAATTCGGCTCGAGGCGGACAATTTTGCCTGGAACAAATTGCATCAGAGGAAGTTGCCGAGGCCAGTGACTCGCCGCTCACCATATTTCCTGTGCAATTCGATGTTGATCTGCTCAAAATCACCTCTGATGAGAGCCCTCAGGTACCAAAAGCGGGAGAAACGAGCGAGCAGTGGCCCAGGCGCAGAAGGAAGTTTGCTAGTGCCCTGCCGAAAGCCGAAGTAGAGCAACCAAGTCAAGAAGAGTGCTGACAAGCCAACCAAGACTGATGCTTGGTGCATGTCGACGGTGGCTTCAGAAAGATAAGGAAACCTTTCGTCGCTTTTCTTTTCCTTTCTTCCTTTTTGTCTTTCCCCCGGTGGAGGATCGGACACTCCTCCCCCGCGAAAGCTTTCGGCAGCTGGTTAGGTGCAGCTTAACTGCCGTGGCTGCATTGGCGCTATGCACGTCTTCATGACCAAATCCTGAACCGGGGGCATCACCTTTGACCCCGCCATGATAGGCAGTCGGGTAGGCTAGTGAGAGGAGGAGTCCACGATAGGTGTTTTACCCTACTGAGGGCTGCCTCTAAACAAACAATATGGCGGCCGCTCGGAACGCGTCGCCCATCTTTCCCGGCTTGCCTGGTGGCAGCCGGACGAAGAGCTCGCGTCGCCCTTTCATTTCTTTGATGTCTACATGTACCAATGATGATTGCAGCCCATAAACACCGGGGTTCATAACATCTCAAGGCTTGGAATTCGAACCTTGCTGTCGCTTCGGGTCGCCGGGATTGCTTCCCCGATGATTTATTTCCAGATGGACCGTCCTTCGCCTGGCATTTAGCATCCCTATCTTAATCCCACTCGTATGCCCATCACTGGGTGGGATCCGCACATGCCAGCCGATCTGAAAATGTATCCTGCAGCAGAAGTTATTGGAGTTGACCTGACGCCGATACAGTCTCTCGTCGTGCCTCGAATCTAAGATTCTCAACTGACGATTTCGGGAACGAGTGGACTTGCGAGCAGATACCTTGACTATGTTCATGGTTAATATTTGGCCTCTTCTGTTCGAGACTAGCCGCGATTCGGGTAAGCTTTTTAGTATTTCATTTGATATTGTGATACGCATGCGCAGTCGTAGCATTGGATGTTTCATTCCTGGGTTTCTTCACCAAGCATTAGTTGGGTATCGACGAGGTGGCGATCCAGGAACATAGATGCCGGTGGGTGAGTCGTGTTCCAGGAATAGGACACAAAATGTATTCCGAGGATGGCCCATTGACCAGAGTCGCGGCGCTCTTCAAGTTCCACCATCACAAATGTGGCTGCCGGAGCGCTACTAACTACGATACCCAGCCTAGTCCACAAACTGAGGTTAGCTTCGCGGTACCGGATTCATCAATGTGCGGGCTGTGAAGCTAGCGATTCGGCATGTCTGTATTTTGCTTTGATACCACGACCGGGGTTCTAATTCCCTGGAAACTTTGTAGATCGAAGTTCATAATATATCATATTCCATATATTAGAGCGAAACGTCCTTTGTAATTATCGAATGCTTTCGGTCAACACAACCTACAAGGCTGACAAGGCTGACAGACATGAACGAGGCTAGCGTGCTGCAAGGCTCCGAATTCTACGGTGGATCGGCCCTTGGCATCCACGCAGATGGTTTATGCCCAGACCCGCGCAATCTTCAACCTCACTTTCGCTGCTCACAACATCTTTGTCCATTCTTGGGTTCTTGGAAGATATTTTGACATAGCATCCCGTGGTATTGCGTCTAGCAAAGATGATAAGTCACAAACAACTCACTGCTTAAGGAGTGGTTCGCAGTGCATGCAGGAGGTTGAACGACCAGTTTCGCGCAAACCCCCCCCCTCAGCTCAGCTCGTATCGCGTCTGTCGAGGATGAGCATCACGCTCCGCAATGCCGCGCTCGTGTTCTCCAATATCGTTCTCATAGCTGCTCTTCTCATTTTTGCAAAGGGATTCTTTCCTCATAAAGCCTTTCTACCGGGATTGGCAACATGGCCTACCACATCTGAAGCAGGGGCTCGGCCATCGCCTTTTGATCGCGTCATCTTCATGGTTGTTGATGCCTTACGGAGTGATTTCGTCTATGGAAATGCCTCTGGCTTTGCCTTCACTCAAAGTCTGATAAGGTCTGGCGCTGCAGTCCCATTCACCGGTCATGCTAGTCCGCCAACCATCACTATGCCACGCGTCAAGGCCATCACAACCGGCTCAGTCCCAAGCTTTGTGGATCTCATCCTCAACTTTGCCGAGTCGGACACGACGTCGACCCTCAAGGATCAAGACACATGGTTGGCTCAGTTACGAGCGAAAGGCGGCAGGCTCGTGATGTATGGAGACGATACTTGGCTGCGGCTGTTTCCGGATTTCTTCACTCGAGCTGATGGAACGACGAGTTTCTTTGTGTCCGACTTCACCGAAGTCGACAACAATGTCACCAGGCATATCCCCTCTGAATTAACAAACCAGGACTGGTCTGGAATGACACTCCACTTCCTCGGCCTGGACCATATCGGGCACAAAACTGGGCCTAAAGGACCAAGAATGCCGGCCAAGCAGGCCGAGATGGATGCCATCGTCAGGGACATTTATTCAAAAATGGAAAGCAATGGCCATCTCAAGTCATGCCTATTAGTACTGCTTGGTGACCATGGCATGAATGAGGGCGGGAACCATGGGGCCTCTTCTCCGGGCGAAGTTTCCACGGCGCTTACGTTCATCTCTCCAAAGTTCAGGTCGGCCTTCGAAGGACAACCTTGCCCCGTCAATGATGCGGTTGACTACCAGTACTACGACACCGTTGAACAATCGGACATTGTTCCCACTCTTGCTGCTCTACTGGGACTTCCCATTCCACTCAATAACCTCGGGGTTCTCATCCCGCGGTTGTTGGAGCTCTGGACCCATCCGCAGGATCAGTATGCGTTGCTTTATGGCAATGCAGAACAGGTGCTGCGAATCGCCGAAGCAACATTTCCAAGAGAATTTGGAAAAATGTCTACGTCTGCGAAATGCTCAATCACCGACGGAGAAGACGCCGAAATCCTCGCCTGTCTATGGCAACGTGTCGGAGAGGAGCACCGAGCCATCGCGGCGGACGAGTCACATTCCATTCCGTCGACAACCTGTCTCAAAGCTTTCCTGTACAAAGCGCAAAACCTCCTTAGTGGCACAGCCAGTAATTATGACCTCACTAGCATGCAAGCAGGCATCGGGCTCAGCGTGCTAGCGTTGGCGCTTTGCGTGCCCAGTTTTATACAGGGTATCCTTTTGGCAGGCGTAGACGGGGTGATCCTCCTCGTCATAATGATCGCCTACGCCGTCACTATGTTCGCCAGCAGCTACGTCGAAGAAGAGCATCAGTTCTGGTATTGGAGCCTTGCTGGCTATATGGTCATTCTGCATTGCAAAGACAGCAGATTCAAAATGATCAACGCCAATGGGGGTACTCGTGCTATACTGCAGGGACCGACAGGAACAGCCCTCGCATACTTCCTTTTCGGTGTGGCCAGACGGTGGAGACAGACTGGCCAGAAATACGCTGGCGAGCCCGACTTACTTGCTGAAGTCATCGAACCCAATTCATGGTTCCTCTGGATGCTGGTCATGCTCGCCTACGCCGCACTTTCGCGCAATTTGAGTCATCGAGCAGGGATATGGATGGGCTCACCGCAGATGGGCATATTGCCGGCACTCGTGTCCATTTCAGCCTTCCTCTTCAAGATTGCTTTCACCGCAGCAGATGCGCCTGAGCTGCTCACTTCGTTCGCAATCCTCAATCCGCTGGTCGGATTCGTATCGGCGTACCCACTCGTGAGCCTGGCAAGAGTGGTCTTCCTAGGTCTTACCCACTTGCTCGCCTGCGCAATGTACTACGAAGCGCCCTGGAAAGGCGCAGATCATCTACGGCGGTTTCTCACGGCATTTCAAGATGTGTTATCGCTGTTCCTCATTACGCAGTCCCGCACGGTGTATGTGCCGCTATTCCTATTCTTCAACCTCCAACTTTACCTTCTCCGTCGGGGAAGACAGCATTCGGTCGGCGAGATTACCATTCTAGCTCTCCTGTTTCAATACGCCTCCTTCTTCACTTTTGGCAGCACCAACTCCATCGCCACCATCGATCTATCTAATGCATACAACGGTATCAGCGGCTATAATGTGGCTGCTGTTGGGATGCTCACGTTCATAAGTAATTGGGCGGGTCCGATATGGTGGTCCTTTGCAATTTGCCAGTTGTTCAGTTCGCTTCATCTCAAAAGTGGTACATATTCTTTTCTCTTTACGGCATTGGCAACTTTCGCTTGCATCCATACCTTGTCGGTCATGGTGGCTTGCATGGTGCTCAGAGAACACCTCTTTATATGGACTGTCTTCTCTCCGAAGTATCTCTACACAGCCGCTTGGGTAGTGGGCCAGCACTGTGTTGTCAATGCATCGTGCGTCGGTTGTCTGCTCTGGCGAACACCTCGCTAGTTTTGACGACAATCCCACAGATCATGGGCGGTGCCGATAGATATAGAATACACAAAGACTCGTCGACCAGCTTGTCAGGGATTTACAGATGGCCATTCAGCTCTTTCGAGACACAGAATCCCTCGAATAATTGATCGATTCCTTGCACATCATCGATGGGAATCACTTTCGACACATCTAGAGGGAACGTGGTCAGCAGGCCTCATCAAGCGCAGCGAGAGGGAGAATGCGTAAATAACGTACATTGGTCAGGGCGCACGATCACAGTAGCCCCTTTGTCGGGATCAATGCCATACTTCTCATAAGCATGGCCATGGCCCGAGTTATAATGCTCATCGTCAACGAATACTTTGTGCAGATCTAGTGGCGACGGACAAACAGAATTAGCACAAAGTAGTGGTGTCTCTCGCCTTTCGGGACATTGCGCTCGCTCCTTACTTACCTCTCATCTTCCACTTTCCTGTGACAGGCCAGAAATAATCCGGGATTTGCTCCTGCTCGAGGTCCATGCGATTGCCGGTGAGTACGACGATGGGCTCAATGAAACTGTCAATGTCTGCCGACACAGGAGTGTATTTCCGCCCGGGACCGCTTGGAGATTCCATGTATTTTGCGATCTGGGGCAACAAAAAGATTTGGGTCAGTTTCTGTCCTTTCTTCTTCTAACAGCAAACAACAACAGCAACATTGGTGGGACACAAGAACAAGACAAACCTGGTTCAGCCTCGTCAGCAGATTTGGGTCTTCGATCCGGCCTGCGAAGAAGATCACGCGCCACCGACCGTCTGCCTTCAGGGCCCGAGCGAGTTGCATGGCTTTGACATCGCAGAATCGCACGACCTGCGCGCTGGGGAACCTCATGCCGACCACAATCTCCTTTGCCAACTCCTGCGTGCTGCCTGCGCTGCAAGTCACGCTGGAATCCTCGTATTTGGAAGTCAAGCCGGCAGTGTACCGTCCGGACTTGATGAAGCCCTCGCGGAATTCTTCCGGGGTGATCTTCTTCTCGTTGTTTGCCTTGTTGCTCGCAAATAGCTTCATAAAGTACCGGTCAAAGTCGATGAGATCCGCGGCCGTCTTACCGCGCTCGACGCTGTACGTCTTCAACAACTCCGGAGTCGCCTGACCCGTCAAGACGTGGCCGAGTTTCCAGCCGATGTTGAAGCCGTCTTGCAGACTGACGTTCATTCCCTGTCCGGCCTTGGGGGAGTGCGTGTGGAACGCGTCGCCGGTCAAAAATACCCGGTTGGCTTTGGTAAAGTGATCCGCGAGACGTTGGCCGATTGAATAGCACGACCACCAGTACGTGTCTGCGAAGTCCATCTTGTACGGATGGAAGATCTGCTGAGCCTTCTTGTGCAGGTCTTCGAGTTTGATTTCCTTGACGTTTGTGCCTGTGGGGAATTCGATGTAGAAGCGGGTCAGGCAACCGCCTTCTCGAGGGATGACGAGGAGGGAGCCAGTGTCTGAGTGGACGGTGACTTTGCGGCGGATGTCGGGGAAGTTGGTTCGGGGATAGATGTCCATTACTCCCCAGACCGCGTCGGTGGTGTCTCCGACCATCTTGTAGCCCAGCGATTTGCGCACAACGCTGTGTGCACCGTCACAGCCCTGGATTTAAAGACCAGATCTCAGCAAAGAGGACCTTCACAACCCATCGGTTCTGGTGAACGGACTTACCAGGACGTACTTTGCCCTGAAAATTTCCTCCTTCTCATCCTCCTCCCTCACCGCCACAACCGTGCACGGATAACTCGCCGCGTGCATCTCAGCCAACTCCTCGTCCAGACTCACGCTCTTCACCGTCCAGCCGTAACTGACTTCCTCGCCCCTCCCGGCGCCAAGCTTTCTCATCTTCTCCAGCAGCAAGCCATTGACACGGGCCTGGTTGAGGATCAAGTGCGGCATGTGGCTGAGGCCCTTGACCGTGTCGGCGGCACGATTACTCCGGCTAATCCCGCCGTGACCGTCGGGGCTCCAGAAGGCGACTTCAAGGACGTGATAGGCCTCGCGGAGCAGATCCTCGGATAGGTCCAGAGTCTCGAAGATCTCGACCGTGCGGCACTGGATCCCGTCTGCCTGCCCGATGGCCATAGGCCCCCCGCGTCGCTCGAGGATCTTGAACTTGATCTGTTGCCGCGGGTGCGTCGTGTTGTAGATGGTCAGCCACAGCGCCGCAGTCAGGCCGGCGCTGCCGGAGCCGACGATCAGAACGTCGAGAAGGTCGGCGTCGGTCATTTTCTGGCTGTGGGCGTGGTAGAGATTGACTCGGGTTCGTCCTGTTATGTAACGAAATGTATTGTAATGCAATGCGATAGTTGTCAAAGTCCAATGCAATGTTGTGTAGCGTCGTGTAGTGGGAATGGAATGGGCGTCAGTCTCGGATCTCCAAATAAATAATAGTCAGGCCTCCGTCGAAATCTCCATCTACCCTCGGCGGGTTTATATCTCCAGCGCCTACTTCCAGACCTCTGATGCAGAGCAGATGGACTCCCGATCCGAACGGCAAACCGACCTCAAAGATGAAATGCAATGTGTACGGCGGTACTTGAGCGCGGCATTCCTGTTGCACCACAACTCCAGTCCGCTGGCAGTCTGCCTAACGAGCCTGTCTCTGTGTTTCCCCCTCGGTCGATGGAAGCGAGATGGCTTACTCTCAACTACCCACTGGAGCTTAGTAGCGATTTGTTGGTATCAACGCGGGTTTGGCCTTTTCCCCCGCTCTTTACGGAGTACTTCGCTCTTCGCTCTCGCGTCTTTCATTGTGGCGAGAATGCTTCCGAGCGCGGGATTGTGCGGCCAATAGACATCAAACCCTTCCCGATGGTGCGCGACCCTCGGAAGGAATTGCTTCCATAGGCTTTCCGCTTCACCTGGCATGTATCGCATCCACCGTGCAGAGTAGATGACCCCGTTGAATAGGGGCCGAGCATGGTCACCGTCTTCTGCACTCAGCGTATATATCGGGAACACTGCCCCTTGTAATATTGAAAATGAATGAATGGATATCGGATACCAAGATGGTTATATGCCCTCAAATCAGCCCATACTTTTTGCGGTTAGCATATCTTCTGCTATATAGCTTTAGGCAAGCCAATCACAGAGCCGAGCTGTAGTCACCGCCTCCAGATTAGTACCGGCAGAATATTCTGCGAAATTCACCAATGTCCAGGAAACCAAAACCCCAATTTTCCAGTTCTTCCATACACACTGCGATAATATGTAGGGTGCTCCTTATTTGGCAGAAATGCCTTCGGTAGATCCTCTCACTGCCCTTAGTGCCTCACTGCCTCCCTCTGCCATGCCACTCATTTCTCCCAATGCACTTCTCCACGCCCACTTGAAGCAAAACCCGCCTCGACGCCCTTCAAACCGCATCCCTTCCGAGCCACGACCTATCCAGCTCAATGTGGGCTCTTTGACGCACTGTAATGGCTCCTCTTTGGTCAAGATCGGAGCGACGACAATAGTCTGTGGCGTTCGCGCCGAAATACTCCCTACAAGCGAGATTCCCAGTTTTCGGGTCAGCAAATCCTCAGACAAAGACCGGACAACCCCACTGAGACGGAAGAATGAGGTGGATGACCATGAGGAAGAAGCAGAATACTCGGCCATTGAGCTGTACAACCTTGTCGTGCCAAACATCGAACTGGCCACGGGTTGCTCCCCCAAACACCCTGCCAATACGGCTCCTTCGGTCGAAGCGCAGTCAATATCCCAACGCTTACTCTCATTGCTTCATACTTCACAGCTCGTCAGAACCTCTGACCTCGAGATCATCTACGCCCCACCTCCAGAATCCGAGGATCTAGAGCTCGGAATAGACGCGGATCCTCAGTTGAAGGCATACTGGACGCTTTACGTCGACATGGTGTGTATCAGTCATGGCGGATCTATATTCGATGCCGCGTGGCTTGCTCTAGATGCCGCACTACGGGACTGTCTAATACCAAGGGCGTGGTGGGATCCGGACTTGGAAAAGGTAATCTGCTCAGTGGATGTGAAAGAGGCGAGGAAACTGCGACTAAGAGGAATGCCAGTACCCAGCAGTTGGGGTGTCTTTGTGCCCGAAAAGAGACTGTTGACCATGCAAAATGACGAAGAAGATCGGTATTGGATTCTTATGGACATGGACGCCTTTGAGGAAGAGTCTTGTGGGGAGAGCGGATGTGTCACAGTGGATTGCAGTAAGAGTGCTGATTTGGCATCGTTCTTGAGAATTGAAAAGAGCGGCGGCTCTGTGGTCGGGGTCGACCAGATTGCAGGAATGGCCGAATTTGCTAAGCGGCGATGGCAGCAGTGGAAAAATGTATTGGACCATGCATTGGCTGCCTGAAGACTCGGTCTGAAGGACTTGGCGCGCGAATGGAAAATGATACCCAAGTTTATGTCGACATCGTAATATTCACGGCGTCAAAGCTCGGCAAGTGACCCAACCTTTCTATGTATACCGAAGATAAAGATGACTTGTCGGCAACCCGGACGTTGAGCAGCGATCGGATCTCCTCGCATGCCAGCAGAGAAAAGGCAAAGTCTTAGCGAGAGGATGCTGCTTGGGGAGAACAGTGGCACCAATTTTCAGGGAAGTCTCAAGCCATGCCGTAATTACTGCTGGGCAGTTTGGTTTTTCCCAATGGAAGAGTCGAAAGAGATCAAGGAGAGGTGAAACTGAGAGCGGCAGAGAACTCGTCACATGACACTGTCACATGACAAGAAGCTTCAGTGGTATTTAGACCTATCAAGGAATAGTCTGCTTGGCACCAACTTCATTTGCACGATAAACCTTTGTTGAAGCTCCAGCGTTCTTGAAGCTACATAGCCCAGATAGCCCTCGGGATAGGTTCATACCACGATAAAGACCGTCCCCTCCCTTCCTCCCTTTGGAATTGTTTGAATGCAGCCCTCTTCATGGCCCAGACCCTAGAGATATTCTTCCTCCTCGGCGTCGTCTGCAGCCGTCAACTTCTCCTTCAAATGTTTGAAAAGGGTTTGCGCAAACAAGGGCGGCACCGCATTGCCGATTTGTTTCAGCTTCTCCGACATGGATCCAGCAAAGACGAATGTTGGAGGAAAGGTTTGCAGACTTGCATATTCGCGGATGTTGAATCTTCGCAGACCACTCGGGTGGTAGTGATGGGACTTGACCGATGTCATGATGGTTTTGCACAGCTCAGTCCCCGCGTATGGAGGTTTTGGTGCCCGCATAAAAGGCCTCTCTTTCTGGTGGCTTGCGTTTGCAGGAATCGAGTTGATGGCGCTGTTGATGGATGGAATTGGTTTAAGACCTGGTCCGTCGCCGTGGGTAGGTCGAACGAAAGCAGGAAGTTGCTCGCCTGGCCTGTGCCGTTTTGATTAGCGAATCGGGAAACATGATACCTCAAGAAAAGGTGAGTGAATTCTTCTCTGCTTACCCCGATGCAATTATGATTGTTCGGTTCCTTGTCTGCGGCACGCCGAACTTTGCCAGTTCCACAGCTTTCCACTGGACGCTGTACCCCTTTTCGATGAACCAAGAGATGAGGTCACGAAAATATTTCCTCTTGTCAATATCCGTGAGGCTCTTTGCCTCCTCCAACGTCGCGACGCGAGGCTTGCAGACATCCAACAAGTCGCCGACTTTGGAGAACGCATTCATATTTTCCCTGTTAGCCTCTTCATTTGGACTTCGGTTTGCACCGCAGAAAGGCTGGCAGGGAGGGCTCATATGCAAGAAGTCGACCTTGAAGCCATCCTCTGAAGCGCACGCAATCTTGATGAAGTCGGAGATATCGTTTAGCATGACCTGCGTGCCGGTACACTCAAAGTTATTTCTGTAAGTCGCAATTGCTGTCAGGTCGAAGTCGACACCGAATTTGAACTTCAGGCCTGCCTCGAGAGCACCAGACGAAGTGCCGCCTGCACCGCAAAAGGCGTCTCCAAATGTGTATCTCCTACTTTTCGAGTGTCCCTTTCCACGCCATTGCCGGCGCACCTCTCCATTCGATATCTGGAACTCGATTTGCCGACCGTCCGGGGCGATCAAGACACCATTGTCTGCCTGGCTTGAGTGTAGGTGTTCGATCCTGCCCGTGAGAGGTGGACCAGTTGGAACTCTCCCATCAATTCTCACGTTGCAGTCGGCGCTCTTATAACGACAAAAGTAGAATGGTACGTCATTGAACGGTACGTTATTGTCGCTTCCTAAGTGTCTCCTAACGTGGTCTCGGTAGTTTAAGTCCCCGTACCGTTGACTGGTGAAGATGATTGTACATTTCCTGATCACTTGGGAGACCTTCGCCGTTGACATGGTGGATTGAACACTCAAGTTCTCGTCGATCTTAACGAGCTGTACTAGCTCAAACGGCCGCTCGGGCATCAACAGCTCCCAGTGATTCTGATGCAAGAGTCTGTATCCTTTGATCAAGGGGCCGCCCTCGACAAAGGGAAGATATTCGTCGATTCGCATAAAGGAATGGTCCGCCAACTCGACATCGCACCCGCGATGAAATCCCACCGGCCCATCGAACAATTGCCAAGCCTGGTTGATGTGGACGTCCCTTCGTGGTTTCTGGTTCCATGGTTTTGGAACCTGTCGACTTCCCGTGATAACGAGCTCCTCATCGTTGTCATTGTTGTTGTTGTCGTCGTCATCGCCCAAGACAATGACGTCCTTGTCGTATAGTTCAGGGAGGTGATCTCGATAATAGGGATGAAAACGCCCCGGGGGCGAGTTCGTTCCAGGCGGGCGCGCCTGCGCCTTGAGCAGACCGATCGGGGCTTGCAGGGCTTCCATACCATTATATGGAAGCATCTTGTCCTATTCCTTGCCCTGATGTCAGTGTTGTTGCTGTCTTTCCTGACGAGGTTTTTCTTTACCAAGACGAGAGAAACAAGACAAGACTGGATGGAATGGCGAATCAGGTGGATTGAGCGAATGTGAGATCTTGCGGAGAGTGAGGGAAGATATGACAGAAAGAAGAGAAAGGAGAAGCAGAAGACGAAGAGGACGAAAGCTTCTCTCTCTGTGAGAAGACCAGTACTCGCCTGAATTGAATAAGAAGGGGGAGATGAAAGAATGAACAAGGAGGTGAGGGATCAAGAGAAAGGGCGTCTGAAGACAGTGCCTAAGAAGAGTGTCTGAAGAGAGCATCTGAAGAGAGCGTCTGAAGAGAGCGTCTGAGGAGAGCTTCTGAAGAGAGCGAAAGGGAAGCGATTGAATGCAGGCACAGCAAGTTCGAACGTTGAATATTAAATGGCACACGCAGACCTAGGAGACTAAAAATCCGCCGAGAGGGAGCACGGCGACCAAACCAGCAGTTCTGAATGCGGTCCACTGGGCGCGACTCTTCACTTTCCCTCTTTACCCTGCCTCTTTGTAGAGGTCTCGGTTGGTTTTGAACATTATCAAAGCCCGCGTGAGTTGTTCAGCTCCTCCCATGGTTCAAACAAACACGTCTTCGGGAACATGATTGAGACAACGGTGTTTGTCAGTGTGCAACATGGTTTGCTTTGTCTCAAGGCATACGTGGTAGAGACACAGAGAGGGAGAGAGAAGACCAGATTGCAAAACACTCTGTTCAGACGCCGTCATCGTTCCTCAACTCCGTTCTGTTTGATATGATTATGGTTGAGGTCTACTCCCAAGCTGAAGGTTAATTCATGCTGAGGTCACGTGCGAGGCTCGAACGAAAAGGGGGGTGTTTTCCCCCTTCTTCGCCCTTCATGTTTGAAGAATGCTGAAACCACCACAGCTACCGACGTTGTGAGAATGGGATTGGACAGATCGAGAGAGTCAGGAAGCACGAACTGTGTCGCGGGCAAGTCTGAAGAAGAGATCTGAAACACGTCTTGGTGTCCATAAAGAAAAAGAGACACACGCAGACTCATTGTTCTTTGTTTGCCTTTCAAGGTCATGCAAGTTGGAGACTGCTATCTCACCTCCCACAGTCTTGTCGGGCCTTTTGTGGAAGTGCTGCAGTTTCTTTGAGAGTTAAATATCGTGCCTTGCTGGGCCTGACCAGATCGCCGGCTCTCAGGGAGGTATTGAGAGTCTCTCGCTTCTTTTGCGGCAAACAACCCTGGTGCATTTTGGGCGGTTTATCTGCGGAAAAGGGCTAATACGAAGCAGATAATAGTCGGGCTCATGCGGACTTTCAAACCCCTTTTAGATGTGGCCGTGGATTATACAAGCACAGGGGTCTTCAAAGTTTCGTGGATATGTTGCCATACCTCCTGGATCATAACCAACCCCCCACTTGAGTATCTTTCAAACAACTCCTGCAGCGACGGACGCTCCATCTGGCACCACAAAAGGTGTCTACAAAGCGATATACTTGATGCGAAGTTCCATTTACTCTTGGAATCTACTTCTGTCAAGGCATTTCAAAACAATCTTGTACTGCTTTGGCAGCGAGCTTGTTTGCAATAACGGGAAATTCGGACGGACCGCTTCATTCTGCACATCTTTGCCGCACGAGGCGTCGCTGTCCACATGGATAGAATAAGGCTCATTGGCAACAGCAGGAGAATCATCACCAGACGAGGAGCCATTACGCATTGTTGACTATGGACACTTCATATCTAAGAGAGTCATTTTTCTCTACAATTTCACAGCCTGTTGTTGCACCCTGTGTGACCCTGTCAACCCTGTCAAGCCCTGTGTAGCCTCGGATCCAAAAGTTGACCGAAGATTATCCGAGGTTCTCGGCTCACCTTCTGTCTATGGACGTGCCGGCAACTGGCGGGGCTTCGTCTTTCATGAAAAACGAGTTCACACACCAACTGCGCCAACCACTGACTACAGAATGCGGCAAAATGCCATGCATGCATCGCTCGCTAACCAAATCTCGCCGCTGACCAGAAAAAAAAAAAACATGCCCGTCCCCAGCATGAAGCAGGATTTTTCCCTTTCAGAAGGCTCAGCATGTCGTCTCTTCGCCCGTCTCAATTAGGGAGGACTTCGCTCCAAGTTGGCATCTCCTGCACCCTCTGGACTCACTTCATCCTGAGATCCGCTCTTGCTCGGACCGAAGCGACGAACTAGAACTACAACTACTAGTCCTCGATTCTTCCCGACCATAAAATCCTGACTCGTGTGCTATCTTTCCTCAACCCTTCTGATCCTGCCAGTGTGTCGATTGTCATGTCATTCTAGGTATGTCAGAGCCTTTCCACCCCCCCGCCACGACTGCAGGATGATCCCATTTTGTATATTTTATTAGATGTTAGACTTCATATCTGTTTTTGCTGAAAACTCTCGGGTCTGATTATGGCAGCATTTGGCGCCTTTGAACGGCAAGAACTCGGCATGAACATCTTTGCAGGCTAACCTTTTTCTTAGAATTGTATAGACCTCTGGTCAAAATGTGCGGCATCCTTGCTTTAATTCTTGCCAACACTTCCTCTTCCGCCGCTGCCGTCGACCTCCATGAAGCCCTCTACCTCCTTCAACATCGCGGCCAAGATGCCTGTGGAATCGCGACCTGTGCGACCGGCGGGAGGATATACCAGTGTAAGGGGAATGGCATGGCAGCGAAAGTGTTTCACGATGGTGCAAGAGTAGTGGATCTCCCTGGTTTCATGGGCTTGGGCCACTTGAGATACCCCACAGCAGGGAGCAGTGCGAACGCCGAGGCCCAACCATTCTATGTAAACAGTCCCTATGGGATCTGTCTGGCGCATAACGGCAACCTGATCAATGCGCCCGAATTGAAACAGCATCTCGATTTGGCGGCGCACAGACACATCAACACCGACAGCGACAGCGAACTCATGCTCAATGTGTTTGCCGATGAACTCAATGAGACTGGGAAAGCCCGTGTCAACGAGGATGATGTGTTTGCGGCCCTCAGCAGGATGTATGAGAGATGCAAGGGTGGCTGGGCTTGCACGGCCATGATCGCAGGTTATGGTCTCATTGGGTTTCGAGACGCGTTTGGCATCCGTCCTCTTGTCCTTGGATCCCGGCAATCGGCCGACGGTCCGGGCAAAGATTACATGATGGCGTCGGAATCAGTTGCCCTGGCCCAACTTGGCTTCGACATCATACGGGACATTCTGCCTGGGGAGGCCGTTATCATTCAGAAAGGTCACGAGCCGCATTTCCGGCAAGTGCAGCAACGCAAAGAATACGCGCCTGATATCTTTGAGTATGTCTATTTTGCCCGTCCCGATTCAGTCATGGATGGAATCAGCGTCCACCGGAGCCGGCAGCATATGGGCTTGCGGCTTGCAGCACACGTCAAAAGGGTGCTCAGTCCTCAAGACCTGGAAGACATTGATGTGGTCATTCCCATTCCAGAGACATCTGTCACTTCAGCGTCTGTGGTGGCCAAAGCGCTGGACAAGGAATACTGCCAAGGCTTTGTGAAGAACCGATACGTCTTCCGAACCTTCATCATGCCGGAGCAGAAGGCCCGGCAAAAAGGGGTGAGACGGAAACTGAATGCAATGGCGATGGAGTTCAAGGACCGCAATGTTCTTTTAGTGGATGACAGTATCGTACGAGGCACGACCAGCCGAGAGATTGTAACGATGGCTCGAGAAGCGGGAGCAAAGAAGGTGCACTTCGCGAGCTGCGCCCCTCCGATCACTCATGCACACATATACGGTATCGACTTGGCGTCGCCGTTTGAGCTGGTTGCACACAACTATCAGGGGGCTGATGCCATTGCAAAACACATTGGGGCCGACAGTGTGATTTATCAAACTTTGGAGGACTTGAAGGCAGCATGTGTTGACGCAGCTCGAGAAGCACAAGCGCGTGATGCCCCGACCAATTTCGAGGTCGGCGTGTTCTGCGGGACATACATCACACCTGTCGACGACGACTACTTTGAACACTTGGAGCGAATTAGAGGGCAAACGCGGAAGCTGAAGGTCATTGACGAAGCCCGACGGGCGGTTGCCCAAGGAGTTGCAGGTGAACACCAAATCCAGCTTGCCACAAACGGCGCAGTGGTGACCAAGAACGGCAAGGTGGTCCCTGCAGTCAATGGCGTTTTACACGAGCAGTCGATTCAGACGGACGTTCCGGGCTCGCACCGTGGTTCTGCGACATCCCTGGGTTTCGAGGAGGAAAGCCCGACCGTGCGAGACCGCATGGACATCGCTTTGCACAATTTGGGAGATTTCCCCCGAAATGAGTGAACTTCAGCGGGCCGGCACAGCAAAAGGTGGCATTGGTCTGCGTTTATTAACATGTTTTCCTGAAGCACATAGAGGGGCGGCGGTTTGTCCAAGACCGGGCGAGGGACTCGTCCATTGCAATTGATCAGGAGGCACGCGGAGAATACCTTTTCTTTACTTCATTTACGCCTTCCAGGTCTTCTGGGGGAAGATGCAGATGCCGCTGCCACTGGTCGCGCACCCGATGCTCTTTCCCACTGACCAGGAGCCATGCTGCGATCAAGTCCGTTCAGCACAAGATCGCCTCTTCTGCATCTTCCATTCTCTTCCCATGCGGCACGCTCTGAACCCTTGCAGTCACCTTGGGCTTTTTGGACCTTTTGACTTGTTCATTTGAGTGAGACTGTCTTCATCACCACGTCGCCATCATGCATCTACTTTTCCTTTTGCTCAATGCCATTTTCAGCAGGGTTTGTGCTCAGCTCTACACCCCGACTAGCACCAACGATGACGGCGACGTTACCCAGCCAGGGCCATGTCCCGGATTCTTACCATCCTTTCCTGACTTCGAATTCCCCCATCTGATGATTCCAATCTCCTCTAGCAACCCTGGCACTGCCTTTCCCAACACCGACACCCCATACATCACCGCTGCCGACATCGAAATGATCTTCAACTTTGACATCCCCATGTCTCGCAAGGGGCAGACGTGCAATGTGGAATTCCTCTTGCCGAACAAGACCGAATTGAGCACATCTTCGTTTGAACTGGCCGGCATCAATGGGACATACGTTTTCTCCCTGTCCATGCTTGGTGTAGGGGCAGTGGAGGGGAATACTACGTACAACAATCAGCCCCTTCAAGCCAACCCGCATGGGCTACCAAAGACCATACACATGCAGCCGGGACATGCATATGAGATTGGCAGCACTATTTGCGTTCCGGGCAGGATTAGCATGACGATGAGCAGCCCTGACAGCAGTTTGACATGGTTTCAAGACTGGAATCAATGTGCTATTGGGCTGTTCATCACCTATTCACTATGAAGATGAACGACACTGGCTAAGAGCACAGAGATTGCACAGTGCTGGGAGGTTCGCAGGATCCCCAGCCTTGTGGCTAGCGAGAGAACATGGGGCGAGTTATGGGAGAACATGTGTTAAGGTTTGGACGGGTATCTTAGCGAAGACCAGCCATCTGCATTCATGGATTCCTGGGTTGCATGAACTGAGGGTGACGGTGGTGACGGAGGAGGCTGGGTGGTGCAAGGGCTAGTGGCACCAGTGAGCTTTGATTAAGCATGACTTGCTCGGTACTCAGAACCCAGTGCACGCCAGTACTACTGTACCTATAAGTACGGTACTGGGTATGGAGGAGCCGGTGGGGGCCTCGCTGGGGCCAGGGAGCCTATTCAGGTGCCTAATCAGGTGGTGTTGGTGTCATTAGCAGGGAGCTTGGAGGGGCAGACGCCCAGCATGCTGCATGCTGCGGGTTGCCCACCACCACTGTTACCAGTGCGCAGTGTGGAACAACTCATCCATCGCCTCTCGTCCCAATGTATCTCTTGTCTCAGCAGCAATCAATGAAGCTCACTATTACATCTACCTACCGTCCCCTGCCTCCTTTTACCACGCTCGCTCTCTTTCCCTACCCATCGAATTGCCGTCTCAGCATCCATCCCGAGCCTGGTCGCTCCCATTCCCAACTCGAGTCGATGGAAATCTCGCTACAAGATCGCATTTCGAGACGCAGGCGACCTTGCCAAACACTCGACACGCGGATAGCCAACAAGCGCCGACTGCAAGCCTTGTATACCATGTCATCCTGAGTGCTGTCCGACCTCTCTTCTCAAAAACACCTCCCCGTCGACATCCCAACCATGTCGCGACCACCTGCCGCTCGCTCCTCGGTCGCATCTGGCCTTGCGCCTCCACCACCCCCAGTCCATCCCGCCAGTGCACATGGCTCAGCCCTCTTTGCACCTCCTCCCCTCTCTGCTGCACCCACAAACCTGAGTCGCCCACAATCCCGCTTAGAACCTCCTCCCCTAGGTGCCACAATGGGCCCCATGCCTGGCACCCTTGAACGGCCTATCCACGGCCCCAAAAAGCGCCTGATCGTGACCTGCGACGGAACCTGGCTCGACGCCGACAACGGCCTGGTAAACGGCCATAAGCAACCTCCATCCAATGTCTCGCGCATAGGCTGGGCCATCAAAGACACATCGCGCGACGGAATCCCTCAAATCGTGAACTACCAAGCAGGTGTGGGAACGATGGGAGGTCCTGCCTCGCGCGTAGTTGGAGGAGCTACAGGCCTAGGGTTGAAGGAAAATATGCGTATGTCGTATACATATCTGGCTGTGAACTGGCGTCCCGGTGATGAGATATTCCTCATGGGGTTTTCCCGCGGCGCATTCACGGCGCGATCGCTGGGCGGCATGGTTGGCGCATTGGGGCTGCTCACGCGTAGCGGACTGCCCTTTTTCAACGAGATCTTCGAGGACTGGGAACACCGCGCCGACGACCACTACGTCTCGCAGTTTCCTGACATCCCTTTCCCCGAGAAAGGGAAATTTGACGACCGATACGTGCAGGAATTGGCGAGGCGCGGATTGACGACGTTGAACGTCCCGATCAAGGCCATTTGCTGCTGGGACACGGTCGGTGCTCTCGGTATTCCTCGCGTGCCATGGCTCGAGAGTCTGAGGCTCCAGGCGCGTGGCATGCATGCATACGAATTCTACGACACGACATTACATCCATGTATTGAGAACGCGTTCCAGGCATTGGCGCTGGATGAACGAAGAGCTCCCTTCACTCCGGCACTGTGGGAGAAGCGGGACAACCACACCACGAACCTCGTCCAGTGCTGGTTTCCGGGAGTGCACAGTAATGTTGGTGGAGGCTACGACGACCAGGAGCTGGCGGACATCACGTTGGCGTGGATGATTTCGAAACTCGAGCCGTTCCTGGACTTCAGACCAAATTCGCTGATGGGACTGTGGGAGGAAAATCGCGCTTACTACAAGCAGACGAGACAGAGGACGAGGTGGTGGAGTTTTGGCGAGATATTGGAGACTGTCAAGGGCCTTTACGCGTTGACGGGAGCGAGAACGCGGACGCCCGGGAATTACTTCCGCACGGACCCTGACACGGGACGGCCCACCAGCAAGCGATTACGAGGGACGAACGAGTTCATCCACGCTTCTGTGCGCGCGAGGCTGGGATTGCAGGGCCCCGGGGTGCAAGACCGCGGCAACTACGATCCACCCGCTCTACGGGACTGGACTTTTGACGTGGAATTCGTCGGACCAGGGCACGGCGGTAATCAGGATGGATTGATGGTGATGTGGAACAACCACGGCCGCTCGTCGAGGCGGAGGGGAGAGAAAGGCGGGCAGGAGAGGATACCGGAAGAGAAGCTGTCCGAGACGGAATTGGTGCTTCTGAAGCAGAGTCCCCGCGTCTATGACTATGTCATGCAGCTACGGCCGGCCGGTGGACCGGGCGGAAAGAGGAGGTCTCGAAGACAACAGGGGCAAAACGGCGCGCCGAATGGACCATACCCGGGAGGCGTCGGGACGCCGCAGCCACCGCCTGGATCTTTTGTCGGAGGCCCGCCGCCGCGTCCTCCATCAATGGCAGGTGGGATGAACGGGAGACGCAGCGGGAGGTCCCTGAACATGAACGCCAACGCCGACGCCTCGCCGCCCGACGACAGCGATGACGAAAGCCCGGAGCAGCGCGACAGGGAGAGAGAGCGGCGGCACCGGAGGCGACGCGAGAGCGGCGGAGACCCAGCAGACCGAGACCGCCACAGTAGACGCCGGCGGAGCCGCAGGTATGAAGACGACGAGTAGTGAAATTGAGGATTGAGCACGAACCCCCCTCTCCCCTCCCCCTGCACTCTTTTGTTTCCGATTTCCTTTTTCCGTTTTTGGGCGAATGTCGGTTCAAGGGCAAAGAGAGAAGGAGAGCGGTAACACGGAGTGCATGAGATGGTGTCTTGTCCGTTCCGCACCACGCAATGGATTGGGATGGAGTTTGTTTGTTTGTTTGTTTGTTGTTAGCGGGCCGTGTCGACTTGATGTGTGATCGGGATGAGAATTGATAGTGATGATGATACCCAGCTGACAGATGGCATACTGCGTACATATTCTACGGCATGGAGCGTTGCATGGTAGTTCAAGCAAAGATCGGGTTGAAGATCGAGATCGGGTTCAATTCCATGGCAATACTATACGGCAGATGGAAGGCACTGCAGAGGACAGAGGACAGAGGACAGTTACATAGCTAATTCATCTGTCATTCGAATTCGAAGCGGCGAGAATCTCTCTGCTTACAGCTTGCAGCATGAAACTTGCATGAGAGCTCACCATGTATCGCGCGCGCCGCCTTGATCTGCGACTGCGAGAGATCCTCACCTATTGGAATCCGTCTGTCATTTCTAGATACACACACTCGCAATCGCCAATATGCTTGCTGAACCACAAGGCTGATTATCGCTGTTCATCTAATGGCCTTGCTGGTGTGCTCGACACGTGTGGCCAACCGACCGACCGACCGACCGACCCGCCCATATCACTCATAACATTTGCACTTCATTTCCACTTGCGCCAAAACACCATATGACCACACCAAAGAAGTAGTCCGGTCCAGTCGTATCAACTCACGCCACCAATGCTGGATGGAGGGTATTCGAAGGGGAAAAGGATCATGATCCGAGGTTTGCAGTAACATCCTCCTCGTCGAACCCTGCCAAACCGCCATCATCGTAATCATCAAACGCCAAGCCGGCATCGCGACATCTAGACTGCCACTTGCTAGCATCGGCCCAAGCAGCTCGTGCAGACTCCTTCATCCGATCAAGGCGACTGGTGAGTTCTTTGATGGTGATCTCAAATGTGGCGCGCTCGTTGTCAATTTTGTTCTTCTCGTTCATGAGCTCTTGGATGTACTCATACGTGCGCTGGAGGATCGCGCCCTTGTTCTTCTCGGTGCCGGGGACGATCTTGGCAATGTTTTCAATGCCTTCATTGATGACCTCACGGCGACGGCGTTCCACTAGCAGCATTCACGTCAGCAATACGACTCGGCGTAACATGGTGGTGTAGACATATCATACCTTCTTTGTGGTTGTCCTTGCGCAATTGATGCCACTCTGCACTTCCCACCGCAGGCTTTGGACCGTTGTTGGTAGTGTTGCCACCGCGAGCGTCAGCGAGAGCTTGCGCAGAACTCATGGGATGAGCTGGGACGGTAGGGCTGGCGTCGTCAAAGGTGAAAGGAAGACCCGCCCCCCCATCATTTGGATGGGGTGGTTCAGGATAGGAGGACGGATTCACGCCTGGGGCAGCAAGGGCAGCTTGAGCAGTACGAGCGTTATCGTCCACCAGCATTCCTTCACTTTGCAACAATAGACCGAAGGTGGTAGCGTCGTGCTCGCCGTTCGTATTTGGCATTTTAGCCTCACGTCCGATGTCCTGGTCTGCAACTCCCCTCTTGCGCTTGTTGGTGGTATTCCCAGCAGTGGAGGCAACAGATTGATTCGCCATGACAGACTTATTGTGGTGAGAGCGTGCCCGAGATACTGATATCGATCTATTTATTTTCTGACAATCAGGCGCAGACCCGAGAAACCGCGTCTCGCTGGCGAGGAGAGGGCAGCAAGGCGAAGTTCAGGTAGGCGACGAGGTTGAATGTGGAGATGGGACCGCGAGTAACTAGGATCGCAGGGTTAGCCATGGTCAATCAACGTTGCCTGGGTCTTCCAGGGTGAAATAGGTCAAGAAAAAAGAGCGGAAAGGGAATGAGGTAGAGAGATGGTGTGTTGCGACGAGTTGTCACATGAGGATTGCATTTGCGGACTAAGGATGGATGGAGTGGGTAGGATTTGGTGGGTGGTGAAATGGGAACGCGTCCTGGAGTCAGTTGTCTCGCAGCTCGCAGTGAAGCTTCAAGTTGCTCTCACTTTCAGTCGCTGAGCACCAGAACTGAGGGCGAGCCGACTTGGTCGAGACGCGCTGAGATAGCCATCAAAGGTGCGAGATGCGCAGGGGCTCTCGAAGGCCGTCATAACGACATCATCACGATGAAGCTGCGCCCACCCGCAGCGCAGTGCAGATTGGGAAGCGGGACTGGGACTTGTTGAAAGAAGCAGATCAGGTGCCATCAGGTGACTTGAAATTGAACTTACCACTGCTGAGCTGAAATCACAGTCGCAAGACAGTGAACCGCGCTGTTTTTGGAGGCGAATTTGATTTCCGCAAAGAGACGACACGGCCAAAGAGGAGCCGGAGGTTGCGAAGAGGAGAAGAGTTGTGGTTGAGGCAGTAGGAATGAAATCACAGCATTTCAGGTTCAGATGCTCGAGTCTCGTTCTAGAGGAAACAACGACAAGCGACAAGCGGCGCCGTCACGGGGGAAGGAGATGCGGTTCATGTGACACTTTCTCCTTAAAGCAGCGGGATGCCCAGAACCGCCTAGCGCCAGCAAAAGGTTTCTTCCGGGGCTCGGCGGCCTGGGAAAACAGTGCCACGTGATGCCAAACAAATATATTGGTGGTGCTGGGAAAGGCTCTCTATTCCGTCTGACTGTATCTCGTGATGAGGACAATGGGGTAATGGAGGGTCAGCTATGGCCAGCCTCGGAGGGCGATGGAACATTACCTGGTAGTACTGTCCATGTTACACCCCCTCCTCAACACCGTGTCTTCCGCCACCCGGACAGGACAGTCTCTGAACAGTCTCTGAACAGTCTCTTAGGCCTTCTGTCATTCTGACGCCTTTGTCTACAGTATCTGCCCTGTCTTATCTCGGACTCTCCCGGATCTGGCAGCGACAAGAAACAGGATATTATTACAAACATGCCTTCCAAAAAGCGGTCGTCTTTTCGTCCGGCATCTCTTTTGGCCCGACAGCCTCAGGAAAGTGGAAGGGTTCAGGCCTCTGGTACGTCAGTAGCATCGTCGGTAGGAGCCTCCGTCGGTTCCGTGACCTGTTTGAGAGAGACTGAGTAGGCTGGGGGGCTGTCTGTGTCCACCATCAGGACCCCTTCTTGAGCCCTCCCAAGGATATCCCAGATCCTGATCTGTCCATCCTTCGTCATGCCCATCACACAGCTGCTGCCTGCATACCTCACATCTCCAATCCGCGGACTGATGCCTTCCTCGCCTGTCCGGTTAGCGCAAACAACAAACGCCTCGGACTGAGCGCCTTGCGGACCAAATAGAGGAGTAAGCCTGTCAATCCAGTAGTTGAGGGTGTCCTGGTCCAGGACCATCACCTGACTCGACAACTCCTCGGCATTCAGCCTCGTTATCCAAGCCATGCTAATGACAACCACCTTAGCACGAGCCTCGCGCGCGTGATTGCCAAACTCGTATGCCGTCCACGGAGCCTCGAATCGATAAGGGTTAATATCCATGCAGATTCCCGCTGCCGCCTTGATCTGCTGACCCTTGCCGCCAATCGGCAGTACACCCGCCCAAAATCCCTGGCCCGCTTGAGCCCATGTTTCATCTGTGTAGTAGAGGAAGGATTTGCGGTAGTGGGCGACAACGTCCCCTGTAGAGCTGACAAAAACAAGCGAGTTGTAGGCGATTTTGCCTGTTTCCTCTGTGGTGATGTGCCGGTCAAAGATGGTGTTGAAGTTGCCTTCCTCGGCGGCCTCCGGGTATCCTACCGCCACAGTGCATTTCAGTCGTTTGGCGGTGCGGGCCGCCCATCGAGTCGAAGGTCCTGCCGCCGTTGGCTCGAGAAACGGTGCTATGGCTGCTAGCGATGGGTGATTGTACCCTGCCACCACGAGTTAGCCCCCAACAGCGTAGGCTGTGCAGAATCACGACGCCTATCCTTCTGCCAACCGAGGGGGGGGGGTTCCATGACGGCAAACCTCTCCTGGACACTCTCATGCTTTGGAATATGGTGTCTAATTCTGGTGCTTCTGAATGACTCACCGGTGAATGCAAGTTCCGGAAGTACCAGTAAGTCGATGCCGTCCAGAAGACCCTCCCTCTCCTCTCTCATGAGGAGACTTTCCGCTCGACTGAAGTTCGCCGCGACCTCTCCCAGCTTAGGGGAGAATTGTAGCGTCGCGATCTTCATGTTGGCAATAAGGGCAACAACATCTCAACCAAAATGCCCGAAAATTGGAGCACTGGTCACGACAAGGGGCATGCTGTGGCGTAGGCAACGTAGGGTAGCCAATTCCTTATTTTTGTCGGCACGATTAATTCCAACCCCCGGTGAAACTGACGGGAGAGGATGTCAATGTGGAGAGATGTGACCAGCAAGGGAAATCCTTGCGTCAAAAGTAACTGAGAAACGCTACGTAGTAGTTGATGAATCAGAAGTTCGGCTAGGATTGGGGGTCGGTGTGGCTACGGCGGAGTATGGGACCGCCACTTGACAATACAGAGTGGAGGCAAGTGATGCACTGTAAGAGTAAGTCTCTGTAGCTAATGGCTATTCTTCATCCTATCGCACCTATTGCGAGACGGCCCATTTGAAGCATCATAATGCTGATCTGGTATATGTAATGTCCCATTCTTTTCATGAATGAGGCACCAGCCTTGTGCTGCCGCAGGATACACCTCAGGCGGGCTTTGCCCCCTCTTCCTCAGTAGGATTCTCCTTCCTCCGCCTCTCCCTTTCCCGTTTTCTTTCCAATAACCGATTCAGCTTCTTAGCCACATTAAACACACCTCCCGTTCCTGCACCACATGCGGCGCACGAAGGATCTTTTCGGTACCGTTTCAAGGCGCATGCTTCGCAGAAGTAATGGCCGCATTTCGTGACAATCGGGTTGGTATAGGGCTTTTTGCAGATAATGCAGGCAAATGGTATGCTCTCAAGTAGCTTTTCATCATCTTCGTCATCCTCCGTAGATTGACCGTTGCGATTCGCAGATGCCACGGTTTTCCCGGACGGGTTCTTTCCTTTGGTACTGATTTCCCAATCTCGATCAAGTTGCCATCCTTGCTTGTAGTCCTCGCGCGCATGGAGGAACTTACAGTTGTCACCGAACCCACAGAATCCCGTCTGCTTGTAATCCTTACACACATCGGGGGCAAAATCTGTGACGGTGATCGTCCTCACATTAGTGGAGGATTTGATGGGTCCGACCTGTTTCGCGGTACGATCTGGATTTTTCTGGATAAATGACTGATATTTTGCAACACCTTTGTACGTCCCATCGGGAGCCGCTATGTCTGTCTTCCTGGAGGATGATTTCTCAGATTGCTTGTCACCATCTTCGTCGTACCAATTCGACGCTTTGGTGGCGTCGTCCCTGTTCGTTGGAGCGATTATGGGCGTTGCTGAAGATTCGTCGGCTGGCCTCTCGCGAGATGCAGTATTGACCTTTGACGATGCGGTGACACCGGCATTTTTGCGTCTTCGCTTGACTTGTCTTCCCTCCTCGTCTTCAAAGGATGAAAAGCCTGAATCCGAATCGTCGTCTTGTGGAGGAGTCGCGGCTCGCTTTCGGATGGTCGACTTGGTTTTAGGATTTCGCTTTTTGAATGTGACCTGCGGTGTCTCAACCGCAGATTGTGGGTCCTCCATCGTGGTTATATGACGGAAACAAAGGGCTCGGCTTGAACGAGGAGCAACAACCGGCTCAGGCTATAAAGCGCACAAGCACCAGGCGAGGATTCTGGAAGATGCGCGGGCTGCGGCGCAGGCGGTTTCCTCAAGACATTGCTTGCATAAGCCAAGCACTTGATCGACGACGCTAAACTTTATTTCTCCTCGCCACAGTTTCCCTCTGTGGACGACTAAGCTACGTTCTCCGATTCAGTCTCCAATCTGCATTGAGCTGCGCGCATTCTGAAGCCAGCGGGTCGAGACACAAACAATATGCCGCAGATCTCACCCTCGACCCTTCTGTTCTTTTCTACGATGTTATTCAATCTCATGTTGCGTTGAACATATATATCCCTCCACTAGGCGGCCGTCACCTCGCGCCTGGGCCATGGTCGACCATGCAGACCAGGGTCAGCAAGCTGGAACTTCTGGAGATGCTTCTCCAAACCTCAATTCGACTGCAGAGGAGCGCAACCGACGGAAGATAGTCACCTTCAAGGTCACCCATGTCCTTCTTACCCTCCTTTTATTATGGTTGATGTAAGTCTTGTCGGCCTCTCCGTGGCCCTCGCGCGCAAGTCACAGGCTGACAGAGATAGGATCGTACATATCGTTGGCATTCTGTTCTTTGCTAAAGGCTTTCTTCTCACCCGACTCGTTTTGGACAACAAATCCGAATGTCGAGTGCTTCCATCTGACCAACCTTCTCGAGAAACTAATGGATGCTGGCATCCAAAGTCATTCGACCGGGCTGTCATCATAATAATTGATGCTTTACGATATGATTTCACCATTCCTTCCCACCGTTTCTATACCGAACCTCAGAAAAAGTTTTATCTCGACAATTTGCCGATTCTACACGAGACCGCCGTTTCCAACCCTGCCAATGCAATCCTGCTTCCATTTATCGCCGATCCTCCAACCAGCACCCTCCAACGTTTGAAGGGTCTGACAACTGGCACTCTTCCTACCTTTATAGACATTGGTTCAAATTTTGCGGGTACAGCTATCGAAGAAGATAATATCGTTTCTCAATTAAAAGATGCCGGAAAGACAATTGTACAACTTGGAGATGATACATGGCATTCTCTGTTTCCTGGATATTTTGATCCGAACATGACACAACCGTATGACTCTTTCAATGTGTGGGACCTGCATACCGTCGACAATGGGGTTATCGAACATGTTATGCCTTTGCTTGACCAGTCGCCGGTGCAGTGGGATGTCATTTTCGGTCATTTCCTTGGAGTCGATCACGCAGGTCACCGGTACGGTCCAGATCATCCCGCGATGGCCGAAAAGCTTCGCCAGATGGATGATGTTATTCGACAAATGATGGAGAAGATCGACGACCAAACGTTGCTCGTGATCATGGGCGACCATGGCATGGACACCAAAGGGGACCATGGTGGAGAGTCCGACGACGAAATTGAAGCAGCCCTTTGGATGTATTCCAAAAAGCCTCGTTTCGGAAGAATCGACGGTGCCAGCGCCCTGCCTCCGGCCAAAGCAAAGGAGCGACCAGTCGGCCAAATTGATCTAGTCTCGACGCTTTCAATCTTACTTGGTCTCCCTATCCCATTTAATAACCTCGGCAAGCCAATTGCTGAAGCTTTTGCAGGGGCGGGGACAACAGACTGGGAAAATTTGGCCAAAGTGGAGCAACTGGCACAGAGGCAGATCTCAAGATATCAAAAATATTATACCCGTTCGCGAGACTTGGGGCTGCCCGATGAAGTGTACGCGAACCAAAATCAGTATGTGATCAACTCAATAGAAGCTACAGCACATGGCAAGTGGAAGGATGTGCATTATGCCATTGTCAACTGGCATCGAGAGATGATTTCCATGTACAGACAATTGTGGGCCAATTTCAACTTGAAAGATATGTTGCTGGGTGTTCTGCTTTCTGGCCTCGGACTCGGCCTCCTGTTCCTATTTTCCTGCTTCTTGGAAGGAGATAAAGCTGGACTGGCTGCGCATCTGACCAAAAGCGCCGGACTGGGCTCAGCTACGGGTGCTGCGGTTGGCGGGCTGGTTGGATTTCTCTGGCCCGCACACTACACTGTCGTGACTGGTCTCATATTTGGAGCCGGCATCGGTGGCATCTTTGCCGCTGGCTCCTGGTCTTGTCGACACCTTTTCGCTCCAAAGTCGTACCTACCATCTGCATGGGGATGGTTATCCTTCACCTTCTGCGTGGCACAATCGTCGGGGTTCGCATCGAACTCCTACACCATTCATGAAGACACCATTCTCCTCTTTTTCCTGAGTTCGTTTGGGATTGCGTCTTTAATGTCTTCGTTACGACAAGCATCCACACCTGATCGAGTATTAGGCACTTACCAATCGGTGGTGTTCATACTCCTCGCTCGAGCCGCATCATTCTCGCGCCTGTGTCGGGAAGAGCAGATGCCAGGTTGTCGTTCCAGCTTTTATGCTTCCACAAACTCATCAACTTCAGCCCCATGGCAGCTTCTCATTCCCTACACCGTGGCTCTGATCATACCGGAGATCATCAAGGCGTTCTACAAGGGCACTGCATCGTATGCAGGATCGGCCGTTTTTTGGATCGGCTTCAGTGTGCGCATGGGCTTGTTGCTCATTGCTGCCTATTGGACGATAGATGCTGCGGACAATGGCGATTGGCTGCTGGAGCGGTTCTCATCAGCAACGCTCAAGACAGCCAACATCACCCTGGCCCGGTGTGCCCTGGCGGTCGCAATTCCTATTGGGATAGGTACTTTTGTGTGGGCAAAGCCCTGCATCGACATCTCGATTACCGAGCCGACCACTGCCGCCGAAGAATCTGGCGCCCGTGGTCGGCCACAGTTGGCGGTATTCGGTTATGCCAACGTCTTTGGCAGCCGCTACTTTGTTATGATTCCGATTCTTGTCCTCACAGTTTCACTCCTTCTGCCACCTATGGGTCAGTTTTCTATCGCCGTTCTCACCTGGCAGATTCTATGCCTGCTTGAAATCCTGGATACCAATGGGCTTATAATTTCCTCGACACGCAAATCCAGCATTGGACCAATTATGCTCGCGATCCTGGGGTCCTACCATTTCTTCAAGACCGGGCACCAGGCGACTTTGGCGTCGATTCAATGGAACTCGGCCTTCGTCCCGTTGCGCACGATTCAATATCCTTGGTCTCCGCTTCTGGTCGTACTCAATACCTTTGGGGCTCAAATCATCTGCGCAGCAGCGGTGCCGTTGACGGTTCTCTGGAAGAGGCCGATCGACAAGGCAGGCTTACGTGGGTTGTGGAACGATGTGCTCCGGGCTTGTCTTATGCATGCTCTGTACTATGCGACCATTCAGCTTGCGACGACACTGTGGGCAGGGCACCTACGACGACATCTGATGTTGTACAGAGTGTTCATGCCTCGCTATCTGATGGCCAACGGAGTGCTGCTCATTGTGGATGTGGTGCTGGCTCTCGTAGCCTTAGGCAGCGTTAGGGTTGTCGGGCTCAGCGTTGGGGAGGTGTTTGGCTATTGAAACCCGCCTCCGTCCCTAGCCCGGTGGAGGATACAGGATCTGCAGGAGCCGAGAGAGAGCGAGCCCACTAGCCGCCGAGCAGCTAAGGTCCTCAGGATAGTCAGTCACTCTGTATATGGCAAACGTGCGAAATTCCAGGCAGCCGCAACCCTTCGACGCACAGCAAGGGGCAAGCCAACTAAGAGAAGTCTCTGTTAGTCACGCGATACACGGAAAAAGAAAAGAGAAAAGCTGAGTCAGTTGAGAGGAATTGTGTTCCCCTCTCGCCCTCCATGCTACAAACCCTCTGGATCCTCCAGCTGCTGTGACTTCCGAAAGCGAAGAATGGGGCATACGAGCACCCAACAAGTCAACTGCCCTTACGTCATCAGCCAATCTGCTAATGCAACATTTCACACTGCTGCTGGCGATGCTCATTTTTCTCTCCAATTGAGCAGAAGAAGTCGCCGTATATTAACCTGCTGCGCTTGATTGCTGCAAATTTTCACTTCTGCTTCTTCTTTTTCTTCTTCTCTACAGACTCGGTCTTGGGATCCCCGCCGCAGATCTCTCTTTCACGGTTCCCACGCAGCACGTCTCACAAGCCAACTCTCCTACATCCCTCCGATATACTCATCTCTGTCCCTCGTACCCCGCATCCATTGAGCAGCTCCCCTCCATCCCGCCAACTACCAACATGCCTATCACGGTCCCCTCCTCTACCTCTCTCCACGACCTCTTCAGCCTCAAGGGCAAGGTCATCATTGTTACCGGTGCCTCCGGGCCCACCGGGATTGGCACCGAAGCCGCTCGAGGATGTGCGGAAATGGGTGCCGATGTGGCCATTACATACTCGACTCGCCCTCAAGGAGGTGAGAAGAACGCCAAAGAGCTCCAAGAGAAGTACGGCGTCAAGTCCAAGGCCTACAAGTGCAATGTGAGCAACTACGAAGAGGTGGAGAAGCTGGTCCAGGATGTCGTCAGGGACTTTGGCAAGGTTGATGTCTTTATCGCCAACGCTGGCCGGACTGCCGACAGCGGTATCCTTGATGCCTCTGTTGAGAAGTGGAATGAGGTTATCCAAACCGACTTGAACGGTGTCTTCCACTGCGCCCGAGCCGTCGGTCTGCATTTTAGAGAGCGCAAGACCGGCAGCTTCATCATCACCGCATCCATGTCCGGTCACATTGCCAACTATCCTCAAGAGCAGGTCAGTCCTCTGATTTGTCTTCCATGTGTGCCATTCGCGGGAGACAGATTTCTAACCATTCATGCAGACCTCCTACAATGTCGCCAAAGCCGGCTGTATCCACATGGCACGCTCCCTGGCCAACGAATGGCGAGACTTTGCCCGTGTGAACTCGATCTCTCCCGGCTACATTGACACTGGTCTCTCGGACTTCGTTCCTCAGGATATCCAACAACTGTGGCACAGCATGATACCCATGGGCCGTGATGGTAAAGCGACCGAGCTCAAGGGAGCCTATGTCTATCTCGCAAGCGATGCGAGCTCCTACACGACCGGCACTGATATCATCATTGACGGCGGATATTGTGCCCGATAAATGCAACAATTGTCACGAGAACCAAGCCGAAAGTTGGTCAGAGAGGCAAGTCAGCAGGGTCGCAAATCTGAATCACAAGTGAGTCGAGAAGTTAGCGTCAGCAGCCACCTGCAAGATGAAGACGTCCTTGCAAGAACGGGCACTGACATGTTGACAAGGCTGAGCTAAAACATTCCCATTCAGGGGCAAAATATTTACAACAGGCCCTGGCGAGCCAGAAGAAAATTTATTCCGAACGGGGCAACGAAACTAGTAACATTTGGCTCCTTCTTTTAAGTCTTTTGGTGTTTGATTTTCTCTCTTTATCATTCCTTTTCCTCTGCCTCCTCTTCCGGCCTCTTCTTGCAATTTCCGTTATCAAGGTACCTCCGCTCCTTTATCCAGCGCAACATTCACTCGGTGACCGAACCTCTTGAATCCTCGCGTCTCTACCCTACTACAGTTCAACATGTGAAGAAGTGCCGCGCCCTCCTTCCAGGGTGCCTATCTATCCAAGCGTGGGTTGGTTTTGTACATACCAATGGGCCAGATCAAGTGAACCAGAAACCAATCATCCGCTGTTGCCTGCATGTTCACTATTTTCTTGTGCTACAGAAATGCTCCATTCATTCTTTGCCATTATCCTCAATATATCAAGGGCAACGCTGACTATACAGCCGACTTCGTTTCAGCCCCCTCAGACTATCAGAATACATGACACAGTCCTCAATCTTCATGTACGTATTTCATTTTCTCTTGCTTTTTATGCCATGTGCCCCTCTTCTGTCTCTCATCCTCCTTGCAGTTAACCCCCCCGACCGAGCCACCACATAAACGCTTCTGCTACTCACTTGAATGCTTCCTCTCCTCCTTGCGAGCAGCTCTCTCACTGGCGCCTTTGACCAAATGGCTGAGATCGCCGACGGGGACATTCAGGGGGAAGTCCACGGCGGCCAATAGCTGAGCTGTAAGTAGGTACCAGCCCAACAGGCAGACCGCGAAGAGCAACCCGCTGGCGGCGTGCTGACACTTCAAAGACACTGCGGCATTTCCCTCGGCAAGCTTCCAGTACACGGCAGCCATCAGGCCGAACGCCGGGACGAGCGACAGGAAGATGAGCACGAAACAGATGTTCGTCCTCAGGGCGCAGACGAGGTAGATGAAACAGAGCGCGCCCATGTAGATCATGAAGAAGGCGAATGTGTTCGCAAATGTCGGGTTCATGCTGCTAGTCGCCGGGTGGTTTGGGTCGTAAGCAATCGAGGCGTGGTAGAAGGGTGTCAACGTCGCAGCCCAGCTGAGCCAGAAAGCGCCGAAGGATCCAAACACCACAAACGGGAACGTGTTTCCCAGGATGAACTCGAGGACCGATCCGATGATCATCAACATGCCCCCGAAGAAATAGTATACGCCGCTGCTCCCCGGCCACAGTGAGATTCGGTCAGATTTGTCTCCTGATTGACAACAGAGCCGAGAAGGAAAAGACTTACACTTCAGCAGCTCCCGAGCCGCCTGATCCTCTCCAGCCAAGGAGGATGTTGCAAAGAGGACTGAGAGAGAGCAAGAAGCCGCAAAGAGCTCTGCAGAAGGGGAAAGAAAGTAAGTTTTCAATTTTCGATATGACTTCCTCCTCCTTCCGCTCTCCACTCCCTTTTTCTCGGCAAATTCGCCGGACCATGGGCAGCGGATGGGTAGTAAGCAGGTACGCAGGTGCTGGGGCACTGGGTACTCACAGCGGCGTCGGATTCCCGACTGTCGAACGGATATTGTTCGACACCCGGTTCTTTGGGGAGAGGTAGATCTTCTCGAACAGCTCCGGCGTGATCGTCAGGCTCCCTGCGGTACGCAGCCGGCGCAGCGCCGTGTCCCGGTCGTAGTCGTCGTGGTGCATGTCGTATTCTGCAACCTCAGGTTTGTGATTGCTCGTGGTGTTGTTGTTGTCGGTGTTGCTGCCGGTTGTTGCTGTGTTGGCCATTTTTTTTTTCTCTTTCCCTGCTGCGACCGATGCTGGTGGTTCAATATGCGTGTTTCTGCTTTTTGCTTCTTGCTTCTTGTTGTTGTTTTCTTCTGCTGTCCCCTTTGATTTCCTGCCGGAGTCACTGGGCTCAGGGATCGTGGCCACTACCCACACATGAAAGAAAGAAAGAAAGAGCTTGTCAGGTCCGAGGAGAACAAGGCACACACTCTCTCACACACACGCAGTTCTTTTGTCAGCACGGCAGCAGTAACAGCAACGTGATATCTTATATAAGTCTCTATTGTGGATTCGAAGGTAGGCGGGCAGGCAGGCAGATAGGTAGGTTGACCCCGCCTCCCCAGTCACCTTGGGCTTCTAAGCAGGAGTTAGGAACGGTAAGGGCTTGGATGGGCGGATGGATGAATATCCCCTGCCCGTGCAAATTGGGGCATTGCAGAGTCCTGTCTCCCTTTCAAACGATCTCTGGCTTGATTTCCTCGGACAGATGGAGCTATACACACCTATACACAGGTCCACGTAACTCGACTTACTCCTCCCATACACTTGGACGGGTCAGTGAAACCAGCAGGAGACAAGGCTTGGGTGTTACGTGTGTCGTTGGTGGTTGAATTTGCCGTCGTTCAGCGAACTATGCCCGTCCGGCCCGGCGGTGCCTAGAGCAAGCCGGAAGCAGATGGGAGGGGAGGGGAGGGGATAGGGGATAGGAGAGGAGAGGAGAGAAGAATCCTTACTAACCGCGCAGTGAGGCAGATCAGAGCGGATGAGAGCAGAGCAGAAGAGAGCCATCACGAAGTCAGCTTGTCTCGACAAGTGCGAGCTCGATCCGTCCGGGTCTCTCTGCTCAGTCAGTCAATCTACCAACCAACAAATGTCCGTGCTGGACGCCTTGGTCCGGAAGACCCATAATGGCACGACGAGAATGGCCACGATGCTGTTCGTGTTGCCGGTGTCATGTCTGGAATGCTCGTCGTCTCCACTGCAGCATTGAATAGGAGGAGCTCTAGCCCATTCACGCACTTGGGGTTCAAAGTCGACAAGCAATCGAGAGACGGGGGTCAGGGGGGAAGAAAACCGCCAGCTCGCACACGTCCTGGACTAACTCTGGCTACATCCTCCCGGACGCAGTACGTACGTTGATTGCATTCATTGCCTCAAAGCGCAACCACCCGCGCGAACACATGGTATGTGATGTATACGGCAACGACACCTCGACTCCAGCACAGGCTCCACGAATTACCGTATGCATCTCTGTTCTATCCTACACGCTGGGGGAGGTCTTGCATTTTTCAGCAGTGGAGCTTGTATGCCGGTTCTGGAAACCCACTACATATGTATCATTTTGTTGGAAGAACCTGGGTATACTGCCTGGGCAAATAAGGTAGGTTAATTTCCAAATTCAAAATCCCCCAAGGCCGGCGACGCCCATACATGGTCGTTGTTACCCCCCCCCCCCCCCCCAGACCCGCGTAGTAGTCAAGTATACTGCGGCGGCGGTTCCGCGATCAGAGCGTTGGCGATGTTCTCGTCATCATTGGGATCGCACTCCGAGGGAGGCGGGACAATCCAGACATCATTATGATCACCACCGCCGTCAAGATCCGATGCACATGTGATTTGGTTCAGCCTCCTGTCTCCGGGCCGGAGATCGGTATGCTGGTGGTCCTCCTCCTCTGCATAGTAGCAGGCCGGCGACAGGATCCGGAGCGGGATCTTTCTCAGGCTGAATTTGAACCTCTTCTCACCGTACCGCATCTCGAACTGCACGTCCAGCGAATGCGACCTGGCGATGTTGTAGGTGGAAAAATCCGGCACTAGGGCCAGAGTGCTGGGGAGCGTGAGGTCTGTAATTTTTGCTAGGTCGATGGAAACTTCTTCTTCTGGCTGCGGCGGTGGTGGTCCGTTGCTGTTGCTGCTGTTGCTGCTGCTGCTGCTGCTGCTGCTGCCGCCGCCTTGGTCTGCCGAGAACTTGGTGGCTGGCCTTGGTTGTTCGAGCAGTGAGGACGAAGTAGAAGCTCCTCTTAAAGTAACAGGCAAGATACAAGATCCTGTTCGCACGAAAATCCGCCTCTCCGAGGACGAGCGGTGGCAACCCGCACGAACGTGGGTATGCTGCACGAGAGACAATTTGAAAGAGCTTGTGATAAGATTCGCGTGGCGGAGGGAATGCCTGCTCGTTTTTGGAGGGGTTTGCTCCTCTGTTGAACCATTGGTATTATCGTTATTGGACTCCGTCACGGGATGAGAACTCGCAGCCACCATCACGGACAGTCTCGTGGTCGCGTGGTCTTCGAGGATTATTCTCTTCGGCAGCACGACGGAGATGTGCAATTCCACCTTGGGTGGCGAGGCAGGATTGGTAGATTCGGATCGTCGTCGATCTTTTGGGCAAAGACGAAGAAGACGAAGAGGAGAAGTGGCAGGCGAGCAGAACGTCTCTGCTATGCTGTGCGACATCCCATCGTCCAGTGTACATTGGACCCAGTGTCGGTAACTAGCGTAGAGTGGCTGCCGCCGCTGCTCGTCGAGGCTCGGGTCCAGATCTTGTGGTCTCGAGAAAGTGTGGACCGTCACTTTCTTGACCGCGTTGAGACCTCTGTTCAACAAGACTGAGGCGCGCCCCGGTTGTGTCAACTTCGCATGGAGCAAATACTCGATGGAGCAGAGATAAGGACCGCTATAGGCCATGCTCGGCGGCAGCGGGTGCTGGTTGACACCGTCGTAGTCGTTCTTCCATGGCTCCTCTGGGGGAAAGCAGTCCTTGTCCTTGGATCCCAATGGGGAGACCAACCTGGGCGTGGCACACAGAGGGATCTGAAATGCAAACGGCCACATGTAGTTCCCCTTTAGGTGGGTGTCATGCTTGTTGCCCTGGTGCAGGTTGAGGAGCTGGGAGAATAGGTAGCCTACAGACTTGTAGTCCCTGCGCGACGTCGTCATGTCTCCGTACGAGTGAATCAGCAGCACACTGGCGCGCCCCGTGAAGGCAATTGCCAGGTCGCCGATCGGCTGGTCGTCGTGGGTGACGAGCTTGACGACCCCGAGGAGCATAGAGCCTGGTCGAAAAGGCTTCCTGTCATTGTTGGAGAGAGAGATCGAGAGAGACATGTGGTTGATGCAATGCTTGAGATTGTCGAGTCCGATCCAGAGGGTTCGCTCTCATGATATAGGAAGTCGGTGACATTGCTGTGGACAGAAAAGGCTGTGTGTATGTGTGTATGTGTATGTGTATGTATGTATATGGGTCCTTAGCTGGGACGAGGCTGTCCCCGCTCTATCTGGGTGCGCTTTCAGCGCTATCCGTCCTCGCCGCATGGTTTGCAAGACATCTAGAAGCACCTGCGACCTATGGCCTTCTCTTCCGTGAAAGGCGGAAAACCTATCATAGACGATTAGTAAGTCTGGTGTTCCTTGCTCGGGAGGTATGTATAATGAGTGCCAACCCAACTTCCGCCCGGAGCGCCGTAGCCGCCTCTTCCAAGGAGAAGACCCGCCACCACCACCACTATCACCAACAGACGATCCCACGACCGGTTGGCAGAAAGAAAATTCAGGAAGCGGCTGCTGATGCCGAAATTGAAACCGAGGCGCCTTCAGACCTGTTGCTTTCCCTGCTCCATTGTTGCAAAGCCATGACTTCTCTTTGTTTGACCCGCTGAACACGAGCTGAGACTGGGATACATACATACGGTATCCGGTCGAAACACGCCAACGAGTCCGACCGCAGATTCGATCTTAAATCGTTCCGATCGCAAGCGGCGATTCGGGAGATAGTACTGGCTTATGATAAACCAGAGGATCGGTAGCCAGGCCATCTTGCTTCTTCTTTCTCTCTTCTTTTTCCTACCCATGTAAGAATCCCCTTCACGCCGTCTCCCAGACTCTAACGGGGCCACCAAGCACCAAAAGTGTGCAACCACGGATAATTCTCATCCGGAGTATGAAGTTATTGACGACTTCGAGCCGGACACTTGCACCCTCTCGACGAACATGAGTGCTTCTTCCAAAGATTTCGCCGCGAGAAATGATCTCGAAAAGGGAGGTCTATCCAGCGCTATGAACGAGGAAGAAGTCGCAATATCAGGTTATTCACCAAGGGGAGAAGAAGAACCCGACAACTATGACGAAAACGCGGGCCTTTCAGAAATGGCCATGCCCCAGCCTGCACGTCCAGAGAACCCCGAGCAGGACAACTTGGAAAAGGAAGAACTGACAGCCCGGAGACTGAGTACGCGAGGAGGCCGAGGGTCCGGCGATGAATTCCTCACCGAGCTTAGGGTGCCCTCGATTGTCGGCCACAGCGATGAGAGCGAGGCTAGGCCTCCCTGGGGGACTGTCGAGTTGCCTCCCACTACCGGCGAAGAAAAGGAAGACGCCTCCAGGACAACGAGTCATCCGGCTCTGGTGCCAGTGACTGAGTTCTACGTGGTCGGACACCTTATCTTCTTCGCAATCTTTGGGACTCTAAGCCGGCTTGGGGTCGAGGCCATCAACACTTACCCCGATGCTCCTGTGTTATCGCCCGTGCTCTGGGCCAATGTCGGCGGCTCTCTGATCTTCGGATTCCTCGCCGAGGACCGTCAGCTGTTCAAGGAGGAATGGGGCCCACATCATCCAGACCCCCCCTGGTCTCCCAAGCCTCCCGAAGCTGGTGGACGCCGGAGCGGCAGCGGCAGCGGCAGCAGCATTGCCAACGAGGTCGCTCCTTCAAAGCACAAACACTTAAAAGTCAAGAAGACAATACCTTTGTACATCGGCCTTTCGACCGGCTTTTGCGGCTCTTTCACTTCCTTCTCGACGTTCTTGAGGGACGCCTTCCTGGCCCTGAGCGGACAACTCGGGTCTCTGACTCGCTCCCCGGCACCCAGTCCAAGACAGCGCGGGTACGACTTCGAGGCCGTCGTCGCCGTCCTCATCGTGCACGTGGCGTGTTCTCTCGCGGCGTTGAAGTTTGGAGCTCACTTGGCACTGGCCACTCAGAACGTGATGCCGACGCTTCCCTTCCGTTTCGCCCGCAAAGTCTTGGACCCGGCCATCGTGGTTCTCGGACTGGGGTGCTGGATCGGGGCGATCTTGCTCGCGAGATGGCCTCCCAAGGACGCCTGGAGGGGCCAGGTGATATTCTCCCTGATCTTTGCGCCCGTGGGCTGTCTGTTCCGGTTTTACCTCTCAAAACATCTGAACCAGCGCGTCCCGTCATTCCCCGTGGGCACCTTCCTGGCCAACGTCTCCGGCACCGCCGCTTTGGGGGTGTGCTTCATCGTCCAACGCTTCGGCCATCGCGGCGTACTCTCTTGCCAGGTTCTCAACGGCATCATGGACGGGTTCAGCGGCTGTGCCACCACCGTGAGCACGTGGGTGGGCGAGCTCGACACGCTGCGCCGGAAACACGCCTATGTCTACGGTGCTTCCAGCGTGGCTGTGGGACTGAGCATCTTGGTCGTCATCATCGGGAGCCTCTTGTGGAGCGCCGGTTTCGATGTGCCTGCATGTCATATTTGACTGGGGCAGCATTGTCCAAGACAGACGGAGACAGGAAGAAACGCGACAACACGAAACGGCAATAGTAAAAGCATAATAGAGTTCGGGCCAGGTGAGGGGATATGTAGGTACAAGTGCTAGATTTCTTTTTCATAGAGTTCTTGGATAGGCCAACCGATCAGCCTTGACATCCCAGAGCAAAATACGGAAAAAGAGAAAGTGGGTATTATGATTAAACAAGCACTACGAGGGCTGACTGACTATGAAATCCAAAGGAAAAGAAGGTATCATCTCGTTCACCGCATTACCGAGTATCATCCAGCTGTGTTGTGCCCAGGGTGTGTATATATCGTGATATTCATTTCCTTACGAGACTTGATCAAAACTCTCCAGACCATGGGTATGCATACCTTCACAAACGGCGACTCCATTCGCACGGGGACGGGTATGGAGATGGGTATCCGTTGGGCTCTTCGGTAAAGTTTGGCAGACTGCATAGGAGGCTATGCAGTGGTTGCGGGCACTTCGCCCTCGGTGACAGGAGCACGTTGACTAGCATCGCCGGCTTCCGTGATCCCCTCGGTTTGACCCCGCGGGGCCATCTTCTCCTGGTTGGATGTGCTGTGGATATTGAGCGGGTCGTCGTAGGTTCTCATCTTCAAGCCTAGGCGTGCAGGGTCGATGGTCCAGTGGCTGAAGAGGAAGAAGGCGCTCGTGATCGGTATTAAGCAACAGTCCAGAATGCCGTAGAAGATGAATTCAGAGTCGGGTGGAATAACGTTTCCGCCCTCGGATACACCCCAGCAGATTGGGTAGAGCATCCAGAGCATCCAAACCCAGCCGGCGGTGATGTTGTGGGCAAACGCGACGTCTTTCCCCAGAGCCAGAGCGAACTTTCTTGGAAGCCAGATTAGTTGGTATCCGATAAGAAGCCAGCACCAAATCCAGAAACCATAGTAGCCTTGCGACGAAGGGTCAGTGGTTTTTCCTTGGACATCGGTGTAAGAGCTCACCCCATTTGTAGTCTGTCCGAACAACTGCGCCAACGACAGCTAGTATCGCCATAGAGCAGCTGAGAAAACAAGTCCAAAAGACCTGGATCCCGGGGACAACCGAGGCAAGAAGGACAATGGCAGATAGCAGCGGCCAGATCAGAAACCTATTGAGCAGTTAAAAAGCAGAGCTCTGGTTCCTTTTTCAGGTCCATTGACTAACCAGCCGCAGTAACGAACCCACCAGATCTGACGGTTGACGCCAGAAACAAGATGACTGCTTCTTCGCCACTCGACATCAATTGGGACCCAACCCAGGTTCGAAGCCATGCTATAGTGTTCGACCATTGCCACAAAGGCGACCAGGGAGAGAATGTAGTAGAACAGTCGATTGCTGGCTGGCTTGAGGAAACTGATAGCCAGTATGGCTAGCATAGTAGTACCCATGACCGACATGACTGCCCAATACCAGTCTGATCCCCGCGTCGTGATGTGGATATCTACAGTCCTGCCATTGACAATGAAAGGATTTGTGTGAAGAGCACCGTTGCCGCCCATTGTGTCTCTCCCCAAATGTAGTCGAGGAGAACAGATTATGGGGTGTAAAGGAGCAATTGGAGAGATCAATTAGGCTTTCGCATGAACTGGACGGATGAGAATAACACCAGCACGAGGGGCACAGAAAACGGGAGGTGAAGGCGTGCGTATTATAGATTCGGGGGGCAAAAAGGCTAGGCAGGTTGGAGCCTCGTTCGGAAGATGCTGAGCTTGTGCGGAAATAGTGGAAGCAAAAAGGTCATACGACTTGGTCTCGACTGCCAGGGACCAAGGTTGGAGGGAACCCGGAACCAGGATCAACATGGCACATGATGGGCTGAACGGATCCTGGGCCAGTGCCTGTATATTTCTCCACCCGAAGGCCAGTTCAGATCGCTGTCCTCGAAGGAGGAGAAGACGTACGGCCATTGTTGGCCGCCAGATCCGTACGGACGACGAGGATAGCTTCAGCTGTTGCTAACCGAGCGTTGTTTGATCGTGAAACTTGTAGCTCGCCGACTCAGGGCCAATTGCCGAGTTTCCAGAGGCGATTGTTGTCCCATCACCACTTAAGGAACAGGCGGAGCGAGTTGAAAATTTGAATGCAAGAGGATATATCACTCCGCTCCACCGAACCTGATGTGGTCAATGTCTCGTGGATGCCGATTGATGCTCACTTTGGCATTTGCAGGTTTCCAGGTCGGTACGCTGGAGCCGTAGCCCTGCTCTTTGATCATTGGAGTGCGGGACGCGGACAATATCTCCCATTTTCCAACACTCTGCCATCGAATAAGAAGAGAACCGGATGATAGCACAGGGAATTGGAAATTGAGAGGTTTACATCAGCTTCACATCCGCAGACACGAATGAGGAAGGTGGCCCGGCAGGAACACAAATCGCCAGCCTTGCCAGAAGACAAGGCTGTACGAGGTCCCCAGTACGTCCTCCATACTTCCTAAAAGTCCAAGTCTAGGTCCCGGCACTTCCTCCGTCGCAAACGAAGGACTGTGAGCGAGAATGGATAGAATACCCACGTTTCCTCTGGCTGAGATGGATCTCCCACCATTAGGGGCGTCCCATCTTTTGTATTTTGCTCCGCCTGTTCCGTCCTAACCGTCACTTCCGACCAGGGCGTTACAGCCTTACACCAGACATCTTCAGCCGTTGGCCACCATAAGCACTGAGGCTATCGGCCCTGAACCAAGCGACATACGCCTCGACCCACTCAACTTCCCCTCTTCCTGCTTCTCCACATCCGGCGGTGTGGACATCACAGTCCTCTCAATTGGTCTATGTACCGAGTGCCATCAACTACAATAGCCCCCCTTGTCTGACAGGACGGCAAAAAGGAAACCCAAGCCCGTTAAGTTAATAGCTTATATGTACGTTCCACTCCATATCTGGCCTTCAGGCCATCATGCTGTCATCATCGCCCTGCACTTTACCTCCTCAACTTCAGTCTCCCACTCATTCCGTTCCTAGGCCTCGCCGCCCCCATCAACACTTGATAGGGCTTGTGTCCTTCTACGCTCAACCTCTTCTCCCCGCTTAGGCCATCTGCAAACTCATCTTTCGTCTCCACGGGCTTCCAATCCCCCTCCTCAATCTTCGCTCCATAGAACTCTGCCGTGAAGTCCACCTCTCTGATCACGAGAGCGATAACAACCTTGGCCTCCATCATGGCGAGTTCCTGGCCGATGCAATTCCGGGGACCTTTTTCAAATGGTCGCCACGCGTCTTTGCCCGCGGGGGTGTGTAATTTGCAGTCTGGGAAGGGTGTTTGAGAGGGGATGAAGCGTTCGGGAATGAATTTCAATGGTTCTGGGAAATATGCCTCGTTTCGATGAATCATGTGCGCGACTGGCCAAATGTCAAAGCCCACCATTGGACACTCTTTGCCAGTTGACGGATCAATGACGATCTTTTCCTTTACCGAGGCGACTTCACCCGGGCGTTTTAATTCACGGATAGTTGACGCAGGTGGGAAGATGCGGAGGACTTCCTTTACGACAGCACCTAGATACTCCAGTTTATTTATGCTGTGCGGGTCAGACTTGATGAGCTCGCCCATTTCAGATGCGGTGATGTCTTTGCCGTAGACAGAGTCGAGCTCCGCTACGATCTTAGTGTAGACGTGCTTGTGGAGGTGAAGGAGGTACATGCTGTATGAAATCGTCGAGCTGGTGGTGTCATGGCCAGCGAAGATGAAAGTTTTGATGCTGTCGATGGCCATCGTGCGGAACGAGCTCGTCATACCGCTGCTACCCTCTTTGGCACTGGCTGCGACCTCTTTCTCGTATGCATCAAGAGCAAGGTCCACAATTGAGCGCTTGCGGTCTTTCTTTTGCTTTTCCGTGCTGGTGGACCCGTTAGACTCCTGCAGCGTCTTCCGAGCAGCAATCTTCTTGTCGATCTCGGCACCAAGCAGGGAGTCAAGTTTCTTTGCGTTCAACCAAAGACGAATAGGACGGATGAGATTGATGTCGTCGAGCGGTCCAATACTAGCGGCACTCGGCATCATCTCCACTTGCTTCCGAAACGTCGTGACGATTGGGTGCGGGCGTTTCTGACTGTCAAAATCCGAGTCCATGACCACTTTGCCTATAATGTCAATGGCAAATCCTATTGACAAGGGATCAAGTTCAACAAGCTCATTGGTTTTTGCCTTTTCGAGAAGCAGATCGAGGAACACCAGGCTGGAGTCAACCACATAGGGCACTAATGTGATCAAATGGCTTGCGGAGAAGCCTGGGTTGAAGATAGATCGGAGGGATTTCCAGGCCTGGCCTTCCAAGCCGACCATATTGTTGGCTCCCAGGAGCTTTGTCAGGAAATCCGTCGTGAGTCGCGATTTTGGCAGTGATTGGCCGGTCGTCAAGTACTTGGAAGCGACTTCGGGGTCGGCAATGAACATCCAACGGGGGCCCAGTGGCCACCAGTCAACGTAGAAGACATCTGTTGAGTTACGGGTCTCAGCATATCGACACAGCCACATACAAATCGAACCGAGATGTACAGGTCAATGAACAAAGACTGTGCCTAACAGCAGTACTTTATCATTGGCCGCTTCGATCAAAGGCTTTCGCCCCGAATGCACCCGAGAACACTCACCGCCTAAATTATATTTCTTCCTCATATAGTTTGCCCAGTTTTGAACGTGGCAATTGGGAGGAAAGAGTGTTTTGCAATCGCCGGCGATCTTCAAGTGACCCCAGAACCGGCTTTCCATAGGCGGTTGTGGCTAACCAATGTGGAGTTAGCATATGCCATATTGCTTCTCTTCATTTGGCCAACAACCAACGATTCGGAGATGCAATAGTGGAGGCGGCATGCTTACCAGTCCATCGAGCTCTGCTCGCTTTTTGTAGACCAATTTGACAAAGTACACAGCTCCCGCTGTCAGCAGCGCTAGGACGGCTGATAAAATCCGCCACATGGTTTCAGCGCGTCAACCTCTGGGGTGCGTGAGTGAAACCTGTCCTCCTTTCAAGTCTGCCGAAGATGCAGAGTAGACGTAAGCTGGCAGATTGTGTTGTCCGAAGCGCACAAATATCATATAATGAAAGAAGGATTTTTGATATTGAATCACGTCTGGCAGCGTGCCGCGGAGGGCTAACGTTCCGAACCCAAAAAGGCACTAACTAGCTAATCGGGCCAATATCATATCTTGGAGATGGGTTCTCTCTTGTGGCGGTAAGTAAGCAGCCGAACGGAAAAGAAATACGCTGCTGTGCCAGTGACGCGAGGAGAGCAGCCGAAACTTCGAGGCCGGCGAGGCTGCTTTTCACCTAACGTAGTTGGTCAGAATAACTTGATGCGCAGTGAGGTCCGTGCTTCGATTTCTTTCAATGAATCGTGAGACGGTGGACTGTTAAAGAAATGAATACAGAATGTTTTTACTAGCAGTCGGATTAGCGGCTTGCAGCTCGGCGGTTACGGTGCGTCAGCAAGGTGCATGTCAGCTCTTTAGTGCATTTGCAGGGCAGTACTTGTTCCTTCAGAACTGTATTCGCGCCCGTGTGGCAATTTCAAAGTGTCGATTGGCGCATTTGGACATGGAACCGAACGGGAGGATCTACCCAGTACTGGTGGGATGAAGCCCAAGCAACGAAAGGGATAAGTGGCAGCCGCGTCGCGCAATTGTCGGTGGAGAGCCGAGTCGTACGACCAGAACCACATGTCAGGCGTCCCATGGGGGCCAAAGGCAAACACGTTGCTGGCCCTGAGAGAATAGAAAATAGGCTCCCGGGAGTCCCAGGGCCAAAGAGGCAGAGGCTCGAAATGTTGTCAACTCCCTTGGACAAACCATACAATACTAATAAGCGATACAAATATATATATATATATATATATATGCACAGTGGTATTCTCACAAATGGACCCGGGAAAATAAATATGCTACATTTGCCTGCCGAAATGCCCTACAAATCCATCGATGTCAGTTAGATGTCGGAAAGAATAAGCGTGCATATCCTAGCTGCGACCAACGGGAGATTGTATGGCGGTAGGGAGGTATTCGAAGCCACAGCCACATGCCCTCGAACCGGCGTGCTATGCTGCTTTTGCCCAACGGTCAAGGTTGATGAGCCATGGCTGAAATGGTAGAGAATCATTGACAGTGCGAACGCATGCTGGGTATCGTAAGATCGTGAGATGTCAATTCGGACATGTGCTGAGCTAGGCTCCTTGCAGTGTTTTCAAGTAGGAGAAGATCGGCATTTCAAAGACGAGGTAAGGCTGCCCAAATGCAGGATGGCAATACCATGTTGTGACGGGGATGTTGTTTAGGAGATGTATCCAACATTACCGGGCGACGAGACAGACCTTGCCCCCCTGGTCTCCTATTGCAAAAGTGCGTGCACTGTCTAATGGTACAGCCAGGTAAAGCGAACTGGCTGACAGAAAAGGGTAGAAGGCCAGATGAACAAGATGAGGAGACTCTCGCTACCGGCTATCCCAGGTCTGCGCTGGCATCTCGAACGGTCGGTCCATCGTCCCATTCTGCGGTTGCATATGCGTGGCTGTTGTCTGTGGCGAGCCCATATTATATCCCAGGGTCGCACCAACGTTGGGGTTAGGAGAATTTGAGCTCATGACAGTTTGAGTCTATAAGTCAATTTATTAGCAAACACCAGTTTTCCACGAACAGCAACGAACGTAAAATAGAGGAGCTGGGGGCAAAAACGTACATCGCTGGCTTGACTCGATAGCCATTGATTTACACTCGCGTTTGCACCGTTCATTTTCTCACCCCCACCAAGCTCGCTGCGTGCTTCTGTCGGAGACATTGCTGTCCAATGGGAGTAACGGTCTGCGGTTGAACCTGCATTATGGGCCATGTTGCCCTCACCCATCATTGGTGTAGTCATAGTGGGCTGGCCGTGTTCACCCGGAGTCCCAGGGGCACTCCTGCGTCGTCGACTGCGGTAGAACAGTAATGCGAGTCCGCCGACAATAAGAATCAGACCAAGGACTCCGCCTACCACGCCGCCGACAATGGGGCCAACGTTTTTATTGCTGCTGCTGTCGTGGGAGGCCGATGCTGCTGAACCAGTTGCAGTGGCACTGTTTACGACGGTAGAGCTGGTAGCCGTTGGCGTGGTACTTGTGATCGGATCGCAGGACGCTTGGAGTGCATAGCCACCACCTTGGCTTTCAAAATCCGTCCGGATTGCAGGAGCCATTTTGAACTGAGACCTCTTGTAGTCTGCGATTATGTAGTTCATAGTCATATACGGGATTCCCCAGTCCAGAACGTAACCGTCGTTGGTGGTGTTGAAAAGCGTGGCAATCTTGTAGGTGTTGTCGATGACTGTGTATTGGCCGTCGTCATTATAGTTGCGAGGATAATAGAAGAGCTCCTCCGCAGGGATGGTGGTCTTGTATCCGTTTTGCAGGGTGGCGACTAAGTTGCCGGTTGGCACAGCGGTGGATGGGTATGTTAGGTAACTGTCATTGTAGACGCCGTTGGTCGCGGTTTTGAAGTTCTCCCAGACATTCTGCGGTACATTTAGTGCACGTTCGGAAGGCTGAAGGTTGATCTGTAGAGATTCGGACGAGTTGGAGAAGAGATTTGTCGAACCCGTTTCATCTTCATAGACGAGGCTGGTGATAATGACACACATTTCGCATTGCTTCTGAGAGGTGAAAGTAGTCAATGTGCCATTGATCCGCGTAGTGTCGTAGCCGCCAACGACGAGAGACCCGTCCACGGGATGTTCGATAGAGCGAGAACCGGTCCAGAGGCCAAAGACAGTGGATGGTACAGCGCCGCTCTCAACAGCAACTCGGAGAAAGTCCGAGCTGGATCCGAGAGGCATGACACCCTGACCACCATATCCAGGTTCATCGTAGCTGGCAGGAAACCCATAGACGGAAGCATTCCCGAAAGTCAAAACGTCGTTGAAGTAGACAAAGGATAATTGACTGGGATTGCCTTGGTCTGTGCCATTCCATTGACCTTCAGCAACCTGGAGAAAGGACTTTGAAGTTGAATAGTCGAAGACACCACCGAATTGCCCGATGCACGAGTCGTTGTACTGAGGAGCGCACTGTGCTTTGTTCACCACGTATAGGTTATCGTCGGCGGTACTTGGTCTGAGGGAAACGATCTGAGGAGGCGTTCCCATCGAGATCCCAATTCCTCGGTTGATGGCCTTTTGATCGGTTGTGACTGTGACATTGCTCCACGAGAGAAACATCGGAGGGGCTCCATTTGGGCAGAGCGACATCGTGCTCGCTGGCAGGGTGGAAATAATCAAATCAAGTGCTCCTTGTCAGTGGTCCGAAGAAGCAGTTTCCGAGCAGACCTGGACCCCTTCAGCAAATGCAAACCATAAGCCACCAATTCACGAAACCTCAGAACGAAAGGTTTGTAAAAGAGAGAAAGCAAAAGAGGGTCGAGCCGAGGAAATGGCCCTGAGAGGGGTTGTGGTACATTATTTGATCGGCGACGCGGCCCAATTCAGCCCAATTGCTCCTGAAATTGCCTCTCGGCGCGCCTTATGCATTCTTATTGCCTTGGCGGTAGTAGTAGGTACTCGGTATATCAAGGTTTGAAGTCGAACCGAGTCCAGCCACATTCCTGGACACATACCGAGCAGGTAAGGATAAGTTTTCGTGAAGTACGGAGTAGATGGCCGGCATACCCACTTGGCTCTCTACCTCAGAACGAGCATGGTTTGGTCGCATGTTGAATATACCTAGCCCGCACAGGCCGGATGACATCTTCGCCATGGCGAGATGTGGGTTGGTCCTCTGGTTCTGAGTATGGAATCATCCAGGGCCTTGGCTGAATTGAGCCATGTTGTTGTTGCTGACCGATTGTGTTCAGACAGTTTGAGCTGGAGCGTTTGAGACGCTCAAGGGGAGTGGGCCTTCAGCCTGATAAGCGACGGTCTGTCAAATGAACTGCCATTGTAAGATGTGAGGGTGCTGAAAACAGTATGGCTATGCGGTTTAGCAGATATAGTGCCGTAGCTAGGTATGATCTTGTATCTCCATTAAGCCAGAAGTTGAAAAGGCGCATGGCGACAAGAGCCATCATGGTCATTTCAAGAACCAATCGCGGTGGAAGTTGACGGAGAAACGCTCCGTCGATTGGTTCGGTTAATGTCATTTGAAATCCAAATCTCCATGATTGCAGTAGTGGCTTCGGCGGCAGGATGAAAAAGGGGCACGTCAGCCACATGGCCAGTGTCATGGCTTGGACAATCACAATCACCATGAAACTAGCCCCCTCTTCAGATGTCGACCGGCAGATGCTGCCCAAACGAATCCAACAAGAAAGGGCCCAAAGATTAGTCGGGTGAAAGAGCAGGGAACCTGGGATTTGTGTCACGATGTTCGCCAGTGAGGTTGTACGGAGTCCGGGTAGAAGTCGATGGGAATGATGATGATGATGATGATGATGATGAAGGGTTGCCCAAGAGTTGGTCCCCTTTCTTGTCTCCCTCACAAATTAGCGTAGCCAGAAAGAGATTAGGCAAACTCTTGTTGCTAGGACCATCCTCGCTTGTCATCCCAGCTTAGTGGCATCAGCGGGGAGCTAATATACCGAGTACATTCCAACTTCAAGATCCCGCCTTCCGACCGGACAGGATGGGTCAGCCTTCGCGGATTGCCCTCCTCCTGATCATGGGATTTGTGAAAGCGCGACGCCCATAGCTAGTCGGAGAGAACGGATCGATGTTGGCCATGGTCGATGAGACGAGTACTGGGTAGGCCTCAGAGCGACAAATTTCCTACCACCGAAAGCGGCAAACGGTGATAACCGTGACACCACTGACGCCTAGTAGCCTAACACCGTCAACGATGAGTGCAGTTGATTTTCTGGTAATGAAGTCTTCACAGAGAAGTTTGCTTGTTAAAAAAAAGGGGGGGGGATCACGCCTGCCAGGCTGCCCAAATGTTGTTCACTTCCTGCAGACAAATAGCTCTGTGGTCCGGCGTGTGCCTGAAGATATCTTCGTCAAGCTGGTTCCAAATGTACCATGGTACGCACATTTCACCTTGGTAGTATGCTCAATGCCCTTCTCTTTCTTTGTGTCTTCGTGAGAATGGGTCCGTGGTGCGGTGGAAAACCAGGTAAAGGCGCAAACGCAGCGTCTGTTGTTGGATCCATCTAAAGACCACTCGACGCATCTCTCGATTCCTATCTCACCGTAGGTCTCTGCCGCAAGAGGAGTGAGTAGTGAAACCATGAGGGAAGCAAACGAGAAGGTGAATGTGGTGGACCAGTACCTGAAGAAGACTGGCACACAGAGGGAATGGTGACTGCGGTAAACGAAACAAGATCATTAGGTACCTGGGTACGTCGTCCAGTTACTGTAGTCACCGCAGTCACCGCAGTCACCGCAGTCACCACCACCTCCTCTTGCAGTGAAACATCTCTTCACATGCATTGTCGTCACAGCGTCACAGCGTCACAGCGTCACAGCGTCACAGCGTGAAGGAACCACTACGAAATTCACGCCTCGTCCACTAGCTACCTATCAGTGACGGTGTCCTCCTTCGCTGGTCAAACGCAGGTCTGGCAGCGTCGTTGTCGGCAGACCGTCAGTCAGTTATCCCCATCACCACCACAATCTTCGATCCATTACGCCTGACTTCTCCATCATCACTACCCGCAGAAGATGCAATCAACAGTGTACAACTTCATCAGGGTATAAAGAAACCCCCGGGTTGACGTCCTGCTTGCTTTGTCCCTCATTCAGTTGGTCAATTCCGCTGCAAACTCATCATCACCAGCACATCGTGTTATATCATAGACCACCAGAGTCTTCGGCTGCGACACACCCCTCCTGATCTCATTGGAAGCATGGACCGAGCCACGCCTCGCTCTAATCCAAACTATGACGTGTACTTCTCCGACGAAAAGATCAAGACCGTGGTGGAAAGATGTCTTCCTTTTGTCGAGGGCGATCAGATGATCATCGAGCACTTGCCGTCGGGAAAGTCCTTCAACAACCGAATCTACTTTGTCAACCTCACCGAACCTGTTCGCGTCCTGCGACCCGAGTGGAACGGAAATGAAGTTGAAGTGACCAAAACAGCGACCCAGATCCAGTCCTCAACTTTGGTGCTGAAGATAGCCGGTCATCCTTTCGGACGAAACAAAGTCCAGAATGAGGCTGCCGGCCTGCTTCTCCTAGAAAAGTACTGCCCGTCCATCCCGGCTCCGAAATTGCTTGCCTGGTCGGACGACGGCAAGAAGGTCCGGACGCCTCAATATCCCCGCGGCTTCAGAGACACGCAACCAAAGAACATTCCAGTCCTAGCGATCCAAGCTGAGGACGGCGTCCCGATCGAAGATGTTCGCAAGGACACCGAGGGACAAGGCTGGATCTTGATGACACGCGAACCTGGAAGGCCCATCAATCCAGATGAACTGTCAGGCAGCGCCGGAGATGAATTGATGCGCCAAATTGCTGTGCATGTGGCTACATGGCGGAAGAACCTTCCCCCAGCAAAAGCAGTAGGCAATCTGCGAATTGTTAGGAGCAATTCGACTCCCCAGCCTGCCGCCGTACGCTATGACAAGGCCATTCTGCCGGGCTACGAGGTCCATATTGATGGACTCATAACCAACAATCCTCCACTGTCTCCGCTGACATCATCAGAGAAGTATCACACCTTCGTGCTTAAAAACTCTCTGAAACGGCTCAAGGACGGGAAGCTTTATGCTCATACCTCGGACGAAGTACACGAGCTGGTGAAGCGCATGGTTGATAACTCACTTCCAAAACTTCCAATCTTTCGCGACGGCGTTGAACCAATGATATTCACGCATGACGACCTTTCCACTCGCAACGTTCTTGTCTTGCCTGACGGATCTGGTGGTGTCAAGGTTTCAGCCATCATCGATTACGAGTTTGCGGGCTTTTTCCCAAAGGAAGTGGAATTCGCCAATACTCTTCAAAACGATCAGGAGGAGTGGCCGATCAAAAAGTACGCTGTTTTCTTGTCCGAGTTGAAGGACCGTGAAGCCTTGCCAGATGCTTTGGCACAAAAGATCCCACCGCCATCCTCCGTCGGAAATGCCGGGGACAAATGTTTCGAGTTTGGGACTGGCGAATTTCACCAAGCCGTGCTCCTCTTACGCACCACGATCAACACTGCGCCGTGGTGGATTACGGAAGAGAAAGGGTTCAATGAAGAGCAACTGCAGGAGGAGATGGAGGCTGCCAAAGCCAGGGTTGAGAAAGCCGTCGGGTGGTTGGAAGAGATGGTGCCGGCAGAGGAGAGGGAGAAGCGGACCCGACGCCGGACTAGCAGCTCACGAGGCTGAAGTGGCCCATGGGTCATCGACCACGATGTACCCGGATTGCCGAGAAGCAAGGAGCGTGAGAGAGGGAAGAGTTCGGGGCAAAGAGCGGAGGGGGGAGGGAGATATCGAATTGTCGACCGCACCGTGACGGGATCTGCTTCACATCAGAGACTCATGTACAAGGATCTATCTAGTCTCCCGAAGATTGTCATAGTCGGCTGGACATACGCGGGAAAGCTGTACAAAGTTGGGCAAAAGAGGTCTCAAAAGTCGCCATTCAATGATGCCATGGGAGCTAGATACTCTGTACATAGCTAGCCAGCTGGCCAGACATCTGGGCTCGCGGAAATAGCACTCACTAGATCATTGATTCAATCAAATCATACATCATCCAAGCGAGCGTTCAATTCACATCATACAAACCGCAACAAGGGGATATACTCTGTCCAGAGTACAGAGTAACTACACAGACCTTAACCCAATCCTTTCTCGGGCACTGGATCTGCTTTCCCGAGAAATTCCTTCCCTTCCCTTCCCTTCCCTTTATGAAAGGAAGGGGGAGGGGGGCTTCAGGGACTCAGCACCTTTTCAACCCTCCACCCGGTCTGGCTCTTCACATCCATGACCTGCCTGACCTTGACCGGCGGCAGAGGCCAGCCCAGCGCACCACCTGCGGCTTTGCCACCACCACTACTTGCGCGCAAGTCTACTGTAACCCAGCACTCCCTCCTCTTGGGCGTGCTGCCGGGTAGATCTTCGATTTTGCTCCGAGGGATTGGCTTACCGTATTTTATGAGGGCCGTGTCCCTTGCAATGTGTGCCAGCTGCGCTGAAGTGAGAGGGGTGAGCGGGAACATTCTCGTCTCGGGGATTTTCTTATCTGGTTGCGACGAAGATGATGATGACGTGATTGCGACCGTGTGAGCCTGCGAACGTTGCAGGTGGCTGTAACATATGTACTCGGGCAAGTCCTTGATATTCGCCCTCGCCAGGACGGAGGATGGATGGATAAACACCGCCTTCTCATGTAGAGGGGCGGACGCATGGTCGTGCAGAGGGACTAGCGGGAGATAAGGCACGTCGATCACCCGTCGTGGTTTTAACGGTATGTCTGACGGAGGTTGCGGTGCCTTGTCGTAGCGGATTGCGACTTGATCGAGATAGCCAGATGCCGCGATCGTGTTGATTTGTGCGATCATCGTCTTGCTTGAGGAGATTTTGTTCTTCCGCGACTTCAAGAGTGTTTCACCGGTGATTGTGCTGCGATGATTCATTCGGACCAGGTGTTCCAATTGATCACGCAGTTGAGCGATTTCGGCCATGGCTTTAGGCCGGAGGTAGAGCGATTTGCACAGCACCTCTCTGCTGGGCGGAGAGGTGTCGAGGTAGAGAGATACCGCGGTGAGGAGTTTCATCGCATCGGAGGCTTTGTCGTTTTTGCTCAGCGTCGCGCGAGCACGGCCAAAGTCTTGCCGTAGCTTCTCACGGCGATTATCCTCCTGTTGTTTCTCGATCATGTACACTTCCTTGTCGTCTCCTCCATCATCTTGTTCACGACCAGCTGATGAAACTATTGCCATGCTCTTGTCATCGGTGAGATGGAACTGCGCTTCCGTGACAAAGATTTCGGGCACAGCTAGAGCGGAGACGAGCGCAAGAATATGCCACAGCAGGTTTAGCTCATTAATGCCCGCTACTAAAATCTTGCCCAGGCGAGGTGAGAGTGGATAGATAGACAGTTGTCTCCCCAGATTCGTGATCGATCCGCTAATCGTCAGTGCCCCAAGGTTCTTCAACAACTGCTCGGCTTTGTTCAGAGTCTGGGCAACTGGCGGCGTTGGGAACGGGAAGTCAGCGATAGGTCTTGGATAAGCAAACCCCTTCAACTGCAGGACCACACTCTCGGCGGGTGCCCTTAGGATCTCTGGCTCAGCATGATCTGGGAAGAATTGCTCATATACTGCTGATGAGTATAGCCGCCAACAATGGCCTGGTCCTGTACGGCCTGCACGACCGGCACGTTGCTGTGCACTGGCTTTGCTGATATAGTCGATTTCGAAGCTTTGGACGCCCGTATCGAGATTATACTTACGTTCCTTGCTGCGACCTGTGTCAAAGACATAGCGAATGCCGGGAATGGTTAAACTCGTTTCCGCCACGTTGGTTGCAAGGACGATCAGCCGCGCCCCTTCAGGTGGCGGTTCGAATACCTTTAGTTGTTCAGCGGTGGGCAGTTGTGAGTAGAGGGGGAGAATGTGGATAGAAGTGTATGGATCTTTTGGCTTTGAATGCTCGCGAGCTTGAGCAGGGGCTGCGGCATCTTCCTGTCCGTCCTCATCATCTGAAATATCAAACTCCTTTTCTTCCGCTTCGTCTTCTGAGTGCGTCAAAATCTCCATTTCAAAATCGTCCTGTTCTTCGTCCGGTTTCACGGTACCGAATTCGAAATCCTCGGTTTCGAGTGGCGCTTCGCTCGAAGCAATTTCTACTCGAGGAACGTTTGTCCGTCCCTTGCTACTATTTTCTTGGCCCAGAAGTGCATTCAGTCGATTTGCGACCTGTTTGATTTCGTTTTGACCAGTCAGGAAAACAAGGATGCTGCCCCTGGGAAGTTTCCGGTGACCTCGTCTGACCTTTTCGATCACCTCTTCAACGTAATCTGCTCTTGATCTTAGCGCAAAGTGTGTTGTTACGCGGTGTTGGCGTCCTTCAACCTCGACTATGGGAGGTCGTAGTGACGCAGAGAACAGCTTCTCGTGCAAGAAGTTACTGATGTTGAGTGTAGCAGACATGATGACCAATTTGAGGGGCGTCGGATTTGGATTGAATTTATTCTTCTGCATCCGTGCTGGTACGATTTTGCTTAGCATTCCAATCAGAATGTCAGTGTTGACGCTCCTCTCGTGCGCTTCGTCAACAACTATCACAGAGTATTTCCTCAACAGTAAATCCTCGGAGAGTTCGCGCAGCAAGATGCCGTCTGTCATGAATTTGACAGCGGTGTTCGACGACACGGTACTGTCAAACCTGATCTGATATGACACTTTGTGCCCATGCTGTCCTAGCTCAGTGCTCACCCGCTTAGCCATGCTGACGGCAGCAACGCGACGAGGCTGGGTGATTCCAATCGGGCCTGGAGTTGGTCCCTCCGGTGACCCGTAGCCGGCTTCGAAGAGGAATTGTGGTATTTGTGTAGTTTTCCCGCTTCCAGTATCGCCCTTGACAATTATGACAGGGTTATTATGAATTGCTTCCATGATCTCTTGTTCTCGTTGGAGAATTGGGAGTTGGGATCGAGCCTGTTGTATATCTTCAGGTCGACTAACGTAAACGGCGTAGGCTTTTCGATTGGGTCCAGGATTTGATACCGAAGCCGTCACCGGAGGTTTGGGAGGATGCGTCTCATGATTTGTGGCAGGTTTGAGAACAGGTAAGAGTTGTCCCTCGCTCGTTGTGTAAGATGGTGTGTGCCCTATAGACTGATTTAATTGCTGAGTTGCCCACGCTTTGAAAGCTGATCTCCTTGGTCTAATATTGTCACCATCATCGTCCTCGGTTGCCTCATACATGCTTTCAGTGTCGTCTTCGCGATCCGAATCATCCTCTGCGTCACTCGACGACCCAGAAAATTCCGAAATGGAACCCTTTTCCTCTTCTAGATCCTCGTCTTCTGGATCGTGCTCAACTTCGCTCGGTTCCGAGTCGAAGCCTTCCCAGGGCAGTTCAACCGGGACCGCGTCTCGAGGATGTTTCCGTTTCTTGCTCTTTCGAGACTGTATGATGGGCAATCCATACCCGTCGAGTGCTAACGGGTGCGCAAGACCGCTGCCCTTCACATGAATATGCCCATCAAGTATTCTAGGCTCCTTCGGCATTTTCTCTTCGTCAAAGGCTTCCCTGTGCTCAGCCTCAAAGGAATCCTCGCTGTCGACATCGGAGTTGTCTTCCACCTGAGGGGGTTTCTGTGTCGGACGCTTCTGAGTTGGCCCTGTGTCATTCAGAAACTCGCCATACGTGCGCTTTCCCAATTCCCCGGAGCCTTTTGCAACAGTAGCGTCATACTTCTCCTTCTCTTTCTCCAACTTCTGCAACAGATCTAATGTCTCATCCTTCCTCAACTTGTTCTCAATGTATTTGTCTAATCTCTTTTGTTTCTTTCTTGAGATACTTGGATGCTGACCTCTCAATTCTTCTCTCAATTTTTCCTTTCTGACTTCTCTTTCCACCTTGCTTTGAGGTATTATGATTTCCTGGTTGGACTGATGTAGGGCGGCGTTAGTGGGGGATGGCCCAGCTTGTGCTTGTTGACGGGCGAGCACTTTGTGCTTCCGCTGGCGGGGTACGAAGCGAGGCATTTTACGCCGGGCCCTTGATCTTCGAGGCCATCAAGCCTTTTCCTGTGACAATAACAATTTCACAAAATCCTTCGCATCGCAAGGGATCTGTCTGTGCATCGAAATTATCCCGAAAATCTGGCAGAAAACATGGGCGGTGAAGCTTAAGGCGGTGAAGGACTCAAATACAGTCACGTGGGACTTTTGAATATCAGGTCGTGAAAAGTTCATTTCGCTCTCCCAATTACATGTAGTCTTTAGACGGTATGGGCTTACCGCAGGACTACGGCATAGCAGATATGGATGACACGAAGGTCACAATACCGTTTCCTGCACCTACGAAGCAAGTCGCAGGAGAAGTAAACGGGGTTAAAACTGATGTCATGTACATCTCGTTTGCGGACAAAATCATGATCACAATAACGCAGAATGGCAGGCTAGGCCAATGGGTATATATCCCTCTAGGACTACTGAGCTATCTCCTTGGTGATGTGCTAATATGCGTACAAGGTTACTGTGCCACTCCTGAGTGACAACCCTACTCATTCGGATCCTTACTTCCAAACAAGCCGCTCCGGGGACGACGCCTTACTTCCATCAACTCGCTTTTCGCCGCAAACGCTGCTGGGAGCTGGTAGTTCCGGGCGCGAGGCCATGGGCCAACTATACGCTTCGCAAATTGCTGATGCAATCGTCACCAAGACACCCGACGAAAGTCGTGCTCTCATGCTTGGATTAGGGCTCGCCAAAGTCGAACTTGAGAGGGATGTCTTCCTGCAAATCATTGATCTTGTTCTATCAGTCCTCTAAGGTCTTGAATTTGGAGGATCACGCCCCCATGGCGTCGATCAGACATGGTGATCTAGCATGCCAAATGCGTCTTTCGATGGCTGCACCTGGCACCTCTGAGGACTTCGCAGTCTTTGGAGTGCGGCGTCGGCTGATCTCTTCAACAGACGCGTTAATCTCATACTCCCCATCAACAAGCGCGATGATGCCTAGCTCCGCCACACAAACACCCCCGGGCTCAACGGTGGGGTGCAAAGCACGCTGGAGCACACCAGTCCAAGTGAACCGCTTTGTTAGGTCCAGGGCGATATTATGAGGTTGATGTCGAAGAGCCGGCTGGAGACGAAGGATTAGGCGCAGCGTCTCTTGAGTATGGTTGTGGATTGTGGCTGACAGGGTCGCGAACACCTCGGTCTTGACGACAAAATGTGATTTCCCGATCTGTGACACGGCCGTCTTTCCATTACCGTCGACTTCTTCAGTCTTTTCGTGTGGTCTGACAGCGAATTCAATCTCAACGTGGTCGATTTTGAGCGCATCCACCATACGTGGACTCAATCTGACACCTTTTCTCAAATCGATCTCTCCGTGCCTGACTGAGCCTTCTTCCTGCCATGTGCCCCGTAAGCACTTGAGTAGCTCTTCGCGGTACCAGAAGGACTCTCGGCATGCTGCCTCTGCTTCCACACTCAGCTTAGATGCTGTTACCACAAATTGTTTCTGTGTGTCTAGGTTAGGAATTGGTGCATGAGGGTCTTGGACGAACAGCCGAGGGGCCAACAAAATCACTCGGCTGATATGTCCAGGTTGCAGTGTCTCAGTGACTGAATACGCACCCTCCCAGAGCTGCTCACCGGTAAGAGATTCTGAATTCGACTTTCGAGCTTGGAGTTCAATGTGAAGGGGTTGGGGCCAGACATTCCGAAGATCCAGGGACAAAATGCAATATCGACTTGCATCAGGCTGAGACTGGAGCCAATTGGATAACATGGAAATGCCTGAGATGCCTGAGGAACTGTTGGCGTCTAGCTCCGTTGATTCGTCTGAAGATATACCCGAATTCCAGCTGAAGTCACTGTGGATTGGAAAGATGTTGCATCGTGGTATTTCCACACAGCCGTTGACCGTGACGGAGATCGGAAACCGGATCTGTCTGGTGTAAAAAGTCCCTTTCACTTCTGATGATGGTGACCCAAGATACGCATAATTTACTTGTACAGTAGCGCTCACGAGGCCAGCTCGTCCAAAGATTGTCACTTGGTATGCAATACTTTGGCCAGGCTCCAGAACTTTGGAGGAGTCCTCGTCGCGCTGATCTTTGATATCCACAGCTGGATGCACCGTGAGCTGGTTCTGGATTTCGTACAATTCCGCCGGGTTAAGATCTTTGTTGTTAAGGGCGTCTTGCAGTCTTGCGGTGACCGAGTCCTCTGTCGTTACAAGAACGAAATCTGCTCCCACGGTCTCACTTTCATTGACTAGCATGAGATCAAAAACACGGCTTTCTCCCTCTAGCAGCATAACGGCCGGATTACTCAGACTGCTTGATTTGGCAACCAGTCGAGGTTGAGAGCCAATGACCTGGAGCTTCAGAGGCGTCGCTGCTGGTGGATTCAAGGGGAAGTTTGCATATGTCGTGGACCCTTCATTATCACTCGCCTGCTCTTTTCTGGATCTGACCCTTCCAACAGCATTCTGCTTCGGCATCACTGAAAGTTTCCAATCACCACGGAAAGTGAGGAAGTCTTGTTCGTAGCAGTTGCGTATGGTTGCTCTACAGCCAATAATCTGTAGGTCACCGCTTCCTGTCGCGGTGCCACTGAGTGTGAACATCTGGGTCGAGAAGGGTCCCAGCACGATGCTGTGGCGTGAGGGAGCGAAAGCACATCCTTCACTCAGGAGGCCAATTTCTTCAATTTCAATCTCCACTTCGAGCGGGTTCTGAAGAAGGACAGTAAACACGGCTAGCTCGCCTGCTACTAGGACCGGAGCCGCCGCGACGGATTTGTCTTTCGAGAAAGGATTGTATATGAATGGATCCCGTACCGTTTCGACAAGCCCACTCCCACGTATGGCGAGATCGGTAGGCTTGTGTGCAATTAGTTTCGCAAAAGTACCTTGTTCAAAAACTTGAATATCTCGAACGAGAAAATCATCCCAGTATTCCGCACGGTAGCCCTCTGCACCTAACCGCGAGGCTGCTGAGACGGCACGTTTCACACTGTCGAGTAGGCGTACTTGCTCCTCCGCAGAGACCAATGGAACCTCCTCAGTTGGATGTTTTGGCATGGTGATGATTTGTTTCGCCCCGCGCAGAACATTTGAGGTGAAATGGAGCCCGGCTGGGATATCGGGCAAGGCCTCGCAGACAGTTACACACGTCCGCAGCATTTCTAGCTTCAGCATAACGTCTCCTGAACTATGTTCGATAGCCCATATTCTGAGTCTATCATGGATGCTATTGAGATCAGCAGGTATTCTGTGCGCGACTTCGGGGATTGGTGGCAGAGGAACCCCGTATGCTCCAGCTGCAAGGTTCAACATGGCCCTCGTGCCAACCATCATCTCCGGGAGAATACCCAGAAGTGCAAGAGGCGGAAGCCCGGCAGCAGGATGAACACCGGCCTCGGAAGCCCCGATTTTCCTCGCCTCAATCAGTTTCGGAACGAATTGCTGCATCAACTGTTTGATATAGAAGGCGTGTTTGCGATCTAATCCCAGCATCGACAGACTGGCGGCAATTGCAACCAAGATACTCGTATGGTGCGATAAATTTCTGCTCGATTGAGCTTCTTGAAGTGTCTCGATCAGAATATTGGCAAGCCCAGCTTTAGAGATCGCAACAGGCTCTCCATCGGTATGCACGGACTGCTCAGATACGATACTGTCACCTGCCACAATCTGATTCAAACCATGTCTGTTTAGCACACCTCCGGCGCGCTTGACAAAAATCAGCATGTTCACAAGTCTGACGCGGCATTCCCTCAAGACATCTTGCAATGACCCGCCCAGGTCCAAATTCGCCACTTTGGCGTAGAGTTCGAGGACGGTTTCAACCATTGGTGGTAGTAACTGAGCTAATATCTTCAGTGAGTCGCCTGACCGCGGCGCAACTTCAGCTTGAAATGTACCGCTTCTGTTAGGCAGAGAACGACAGACTTGTGGTACAGTGAAACTGAGGCCGGACCAAGATAATAGAAGCATGCAGATAAGGAGATTTTCAAGAGCCTTTGCATGCCAGAGATGGTCGTGGCCGCTTTGTGCAATGGAAGCTCCCTCAGAGAGGACGCTCATTGCGTCAGTCCAAAAGCCACATTGCAGCCAGAACATGCCTTGAATGACGTTGAATCGCCCCCTTGACGTATCGCTCTCAACAGTTGTTAGCAGCTGTCTGCAAATGACGCCAGGGTAACAATACCTGCTGCTCTGAACCGTTGGAAGTCTGCATCGGGCTTGGAAACCTTGTAACTACAGGAGTTGAGCTTCTCTCTGCTTGGGCTGGGGTTGTGCCGGTGCGTCGAGGAGTTTGCGAGCCCGCACCTGGCACCATGCTGATTGGCTGGTCCTTTAAGTCATTAAGAATGAGTTTGACGCCGTCCAGCAATTGCCGCGAAAGATTGGCCAAAATTGCTCTGGCGGTATTCTCAGCTTCGGAATCTGGCATGCTGAGAACATCATCGCCAAGAGGACTGATAGCTTCTGTGCCACAATAAACGAGGCAACGGACGACGAGTCCAGGTTGTGAGGTCAGATGCTCGCTAAAACTGACTCTGATAGAGTCAAGAGTTGCCGAGATGTTGTCCTGGGCCACGCCATTTGCTTCTGAGGCATCGGCAGGCACATTTGAAACTCTTTCGCCGTCAATCAGCCCCAGGAGCATCTGGCACCGCGTGTTCGTTTCGAAAGGGAAAAGATGCGGCCGCCTGGTGTCTTGATTGGCTGAAATATCATACAAGATACAGCCATCTCCTGCCCGTGATGTTTCCGCAACTGCCGCCCAATAATGAGTGTTACAAACGTTTCAGCAAGGGCCCGTTGGGCGTACCTTGGGCAGATGAAGAAGATTCCACCACCTCCCGTTCGGCTGTCGCAGCGTTCTGCAAATATTTGATGAATTTCTGGAAGCGATCTGGTGTTATCGGCCCAGCTGGGACACATAACACGTTGACTCTTGCGAGAGCTGTGGGTAGAAAGGGATTATAGCCCATGATGACATGGTGACCGCGGTTGAAATCGACACGTTGCGACTTGCTTCAACGAGGCATAGGGCGAAATGAACAGGTCGAGGTTCAGCAGCTCGGTCATCAATGGCGACAGTTGAGAAGGCATTGCATGAAGAGAAACAAAAGGGCGGACAGCAAACGAGGTTGATAGGCTTAGGTAAGCAGCAAACTCTGTCACGTGCTGTGGCGGAGGCACTGGCTGCCCGCCGGTGTACCCAGTAGGTGCTGTGGCGCCCGGGGCAAGGGGTTAGTGAGGCGCAATGCCCTGACAACAACGACGTCAGCCTTGTGGCAGCCTCGCGACTTTGTGCCCTCCTGCATGAGCGCTCAACAAATCAGCCGCTATTTGTTTCTCCATTCTTCTTTGCCTTTCGCACGTATTCTCCTTCTGTATCGCTCATTCGCACCCGGGGCCTTATCCCTCTTCAATCTATTCCTGAGAGCCCTCTTCCATGTGGATCAACCATTCACGTCGATGATATCCCTCGCCACCAAGGCTTGTAAGCCTTAATTCCAAAGCGAATTCCCTTGTCCCAGCTCCGCCGTTTGTCCCAGAATAACACGCCTGCACAGGCAGTTGAGATAAGTGGCAGCAGAATGGATTTCGACGCCCTTCGTGCACGTACGCTGCGCTCTGGCGCAGATGAAGAGGCAGTAACAGTCAATACAAGGGCCTTGATAGACAAAGTACTGGCCAGATACTCTGGAGAATGGACCGTCCTGCGGGAATTGCTACAAAACGCCGCAGACGCTTCGGCAACAAAGATCACAATCAAGTTCGAGACCCTCCCGTCAGCCACCGTCCCTGTGCCCGCTGATTCCTCACCGTCGAATCTTTTGAAGCACACGGTCCTACATCATACACTGAAGAGACTGGTCGTCACAAACAATGGCCAGCCTTTCAGCGAGAACGATTGGAATAGGCTGAAGCGAATTGCAGAAGGAAACCCAGATGAGACCAAAATTGGTGCGTTTGGTGTTGGGTTTTATTCGACCTTCGCAGATTGCGAGAATCCTTTCGTCTCCTCGGGACAGGAGGCAATGGCATTTTTCTGGAAGAACAATTCGCTGTTCACGAGACGGTTACAGCTACCGGATTCCGAAACTTCTTCGGATACGAACTTCGTCCTAGACTACCGGGATATCACGTCCCCAGTCCCTCCGTTACTCCCTCTCTCACAGTTCCTAGCGAACAGTCTCACATTTGTTGGACTGGAGAATATAGAGCTTTGGCTTGACGAGTGGAATCTCCTCTCGCTGCAAAAGAAGACATCCCCAAGTTATGATGTGCCAATTCCCCGTGATATTGAGCCCAAAACGAGCGAGGGCTTCATGAAGATTACCAAGGTTTCAAAAGAAATTGCCCAGATAGATGGCCATTGGATGAGTGTCGTTGGCTGGAAAGCCAAAAAGGACACAGTCCGGTCAACTGAGAAAGACTCCGGGCCATCTCTTCGCAAATTCTTCTCGCGATTAGCAGGAACTGTGCAGGAGGAGAGCCAGGCGGAAGTCAGACCTGACCGTTCAGTCGAGCTAGATTCTTTGGCGACGAAAGTGTCTGCCACGGTTTTCCTTAATGTGAACACAGCGAGCATCAAGACATTTACCGGTCAAAAATTCAATGAGGAGCTGGAGCGAGCAACCAAGAAACCACCTCCAAAAACCACAAAACTCGCCATCCTGACGGCCCCATATATTGAAGATGCCAGCCTAGCCAAGGCGTCTGTTGCTGGTGATGTCTTTGGAACGGTTCTTCCAAGCAGAGGGGGAAAGATATTCATAGGCTTTCCCACACATCAGACGACCGGACTGAGTGCGCACATTTCGGCACCTTCGGTCATTCCAACAGTCGAACGTGAGGCTATCGATCTGAATGCCAGATATGTGAGGACGTGGAATGCGGAAATGCTTCGTGCTGCTGGCATTGTCTGTCGGATTGCATGGTCCTGTGAGATGCAAGAACTCAAGGAAAAGACCCTGCGAGAAGCCAACGGCAAATCAAAGATCCGCATGGAAGAAGTCAGTCCATTCTTGGACGAGGCGATCACGACGTTCAAGAATTTCACCTTCAGAGAGTCCACTCCTTCGTCTTCGATAGGCCAGCTCCTGGAAGATGCATTCTGGACATGCAGCAAGAAAGCAGCTATTGAGGTGGTTTCTACATGCGGAGTACTTCTTACACATGACGTTCGTATTGCCCCGAAAGACATGAGCTTCATGGAGGGTATTCCAATCTTGCCTGAGAAACTGGCCTCTGAAGCCAAAGTTTTGGTGTCTAAGCTGGTCGACTTTGGTCTCCTGACCGAAGTGACAGTGACTGACATCAAATCTGCGCTTGAATCGAGCCCTCTAACCACACCACAAGTGTCCGAATTCCTTGGTTGGCTCACAAAACAAGCAACGAATGGAAATCTTGACAAGTCTACAATCTCAAGTCTGCTGGCTGTTGCTGTGGCAAATGATGACAACCCAGAGGAAAACGGAAGTCCCTTGCTTCAGCTTGGAGAAATTCGCCATTTTCTGAATCCTAGCAGAACACCTGTCGATTTCCCGGTCCCGTCGTCAGTGATGCCCTTCAAGTTCACGAAGAGCATGAGCAAACACGAGCTGGAGAGTCTCGGATGGGAGGAGCTTCAGTTGGTGACATGGGTACGCTGGCTCATCACTCAGTCTGGAAATCGCCAAATACTTGCCGAAAACCAGGACATTACGAAGTCTGCAGAATTCAGCTCGCAGGTTTTGCCTTTACTCTCGAAACATTTTGATTCACTCAGCCAACCTTTAAAGACATCCTTGGTGGAATTACTCGCCAAGCATACAGTCATCCCCACGAAATTCGGGATGAGAAAGCCAAGTGACGCCTACTTTCCAAGTGTCAGGCTATTTGATGATCTGGCAACAATTGAAGGGCTAGGAAATGTCAAGGATAAATTCTTACTCGGCCTGGGTGTTCGCAAGACAGTGGAGCTAGGAGTGGTGTTCGAGCGCCTTTTGGCACTGGAGCCCAAGTCTGCCAAACCTGTGAGCAGTACCAACCCACAGTGGAGTCACGTCGATCTGATCAAATATCTTGCGTCTGTACACCATGATATCCCCGCAGCCGACATCCACAAACTCAGAAGTACCCCGATATGTCCTATGCAACTCAAAGGCAAAAACGGTGGCGAGTCCACAGAGCGGTACAAAGTAAGCGAGTTGTTCGAGCCACGACACGACCTGCGCGATCTCGGACTCCCAGTCTTAGCTTGGCCAGGGCCCTATCGGAGCAATACTCCAGAAGCAAAATTCTTGAATGCTCTCGGCCTTCGAACTACCCCTCTAGTCGGGGAACTCATTCAGATTATAGCCGATGCGGGCAAGCAAGGACCTAAGTACGATCTCGACCACCGAGACAGAGCCTTGGCTTATTTCTTATCACACCATCACGCTCATGGATATGGCTTGTTCGATTATCAAAGCATTAAGCTACCTTTCTTGCCGCTCGAGAACAAGCCCGATCAGCTTGCCACTCCCACACAGTGCTTTGCAAACGAGGGAGCTGCTCTGCTCGGTTTCGATATTTTGAAAAGCGACTGGATACCCCATGCGACCAAGTTCGGCGTTAGAGAGCATCCGCCGATGGATCTTTGCATCAATATCCTTTCCAAACGGCCACCAGTCACTGCCAGTGACGCTCAGGCTATCTTTACATATTTCGCCGGCCGGCTAGTAGAGATCAATATCAATCATGTCTCAAGGCTGATCGACACGAACTTCATCCCCATCTTCGTCAAGGACAAGGAGAAGTCGGCGCCAAAAATTCACGCGTCACCTCGAAATTGCTTTTTGGGCGAAAGTGAAGCTTTCAGTGAGATCTTTAATTACGTCGATTTTGGCGCTGATGCGAACTCATTCCTTATCAAATGTGGCTCGAAGCAAGAGCCTTCTAAATTGGAGATTGCGCAAATACTCGTGAAGGAGCCCGCGCGGATTTCTGCAACGTTCTGCAGTGCTGAAAAGTACATGGCATTGCTCCGGAGCATGGCCGAAGGCGCCAAAATCCTGAAGAGGAACAAGGAGCTTTGGGCAGAGATGAAGAAGGCACCATTCCTCCTTGCAAGCAGAGAACTCCCGCCTCCGGCATCATCGGCAGAAAAGCATGCGGGCTGTGTCGATGAAACCGATAATCTTGACGAGGAAGAGGTCCAGGGTATTCGCGAATTTCAACTATGCAGTGCCGACGATGCTATCATCATTGACGATTACATTAATTACAACCTTTTCAAGGCCAGCATACTCGCGGCACCCCAGGAAGAAAGTCTCGAAGACTTTTACTTTGCTCTCGGATCTCCATTGCTTAGCTCTCTAGTCGAGGAAGCCGCTCGCCATGGCCCTAGGGCGGAGGATCAAAAGCCCGCACAGAAGTTACAGAAACAGATATTGGAAAGATCGACACTCTTTCTACATGAGCAGCCCCCGGACAATATCAAGCATGATGCAAAGTGGCTAGAAAAGAATCTGCAGGTTCAGCTCGTCTCATCAATTTCTCTGAGAAGATCATTGCGAGGAAGAAATGTCACTCACACAGAAAAGCGCTCTGCGGTTATCACAGCAGTCAATAGAGAATACACCTTGTGGATCACGGGTGCCAGACCAGATCTCTATCAAGTCAGCCAGGCTTTAGTCCATATCTTGCTAACGAGACCAAAATTGCATTCTGCACTCACCCTCGAAATGCTACTGAAGACCGACTTGCTTGAGCTCCGCGCTCGAGGCTTCAATGTCTCTCGTATTCTACGACAAAAGGCGGCCGAGAATCGGCTGGCCGAGAGTAAGAGACAACAAGAACTTGAGGGGCAACAGAAGAGGATTGAAGAGGAGCAGAAGGCGTGGCTAATATCCCAAGAACAGGCTGCGAAGGATAGAGCTCCACTCAGTCACGTCCCAGGTGGGTTCCCAGATTCACCGGATAGCAAAGCACCGACAGCACCAGAACCCAGCACCTCCGTCACGATCGGCAGCGAGGAGGTACGGAGACATGGACGTAATCTGTTCTCCAATCTTTCGCGTCAACTTGGACTTGGCAACAATCGTCACATTCAACAGATGCTAGGCCGTAATGACGATGAGCCTCCAGGGGCCACAAGCGGTGAGACAGCAGACCCTCCTCCACCTTATCAATACGACCAGCGGAGTGGTCAGACCAAGTCGACCGGCTCACCAGTTACCGCTCCTCACCAACTGCGGGAGAATCTCCTCACGGCCATTAAAAAGTCCCGTGCGCACAATTCCTCAGAGTTGTTCAGTCGCGGAGAAACCAATGTTCTCCAGGAGACCAAATCATACTGCGACGAGCACCCTGCCCATGATCTTACTTTCGTTGCTGAGATCAAGGACGGCATCCAATGCTTTCTCTCCCCTTCATCTGTGACCAATTCATCACAGTTCCTCCAGCAACACTCCGCTGGCTTAACTGCGTTTGCCAGCCTCATCAAGTCCGTGGGAGAAGTGTTTTCCTTGAACCCGCGCACACTTAATATTTTCTTCGAAACCTCCGGGAAGACCATCGGCTTCAACAGAAACGGAAGCATATTCTGCAATTATCGGTATTTCGAACAATTGCATCAACGAAGCATGGTACCAACGGGAAAAGATGGGTATAGTGAGGCGTTTGTCTACTGGTGGGTAATTTTGTGCCATGAACTGGCGCACAATCTCGTGGCGGATCATAGTTCTGATCATAGTTATTATACCGAAGGTTTCGTGGCACAATACTTCACCAAGGTCGTGAAGGTTTTGGGGCAGGCTCAGGGACAAGGGCTGGCGCAGCGGAGCACCCATACAGAGGCCCCTCTTGTCGAGATTTGAAAAGACGGTTTGGAGGAGGGCCATTTGGGCAGGTTCTTTGGTTCAGCATGGGAGTTTCCAGCTCCCATGAGTACTGGGCGAGGTATTTCCCTCGGGTCGGTAAGAGCGATGGATTACTTGTTTTGTTATTGGTGCAGGAACTAGACAAAGGAACGACCCTCGTCCGAATGTTGGAGGGAAGAGAAGATGGACTGACTGAAACGTCCATCAAATCGCCGCAAACATTCGGACGTGTAAATGTATGCAGAAGACTAAAATCGGCAATAGGAAGTACATATTCCCCTCCATGCAAGGTAGAAAGGGGTACGCAGAGTCTAGCCGTACCAACGATGCCAATTATCTCTTTTATTCTTATAACGCTTCAATCAAGGATTTAAGATCCCACTAATCCTGTGTGGATGGGTATATATTCAGCATGGTACTTGGTATCACGCATGGATGGAAGGCGTGTCTAGGTACGAGTACTCCGTATATTCAGAAGTCGCAATAACGCAGCCCCACGCCCCAGAGCACCGGCCCGGTTTCTTACTTCCGCGCAAGCATCTCGCGCTGCAGCACCGCGAACCAGGCGTCTTCGGTCTCAACCCACCTCTGGACAGCGAGCGGTGTCTCCTGGATCTCGTCCAGGGTGATGCCGGCATCCAGCCAGCTCTGGTGGAAGGCGTCTCCGGGCTTCAGCTAGCCGGCCGCGCGCCAGGCCAACCATTTCCTGGTTTCCGGACCTGAGAACACCATGGTCCCCGCGCCGGTGCGGACCTTGCCGCCGTCGACGTCGGCGTAGGGGAGCCGTTCCAGGACGTTTGCTTCCTGGAAGACCACAGACCCCGCCCCCTTACTTGAGACGCCCGCTTCAGCTGCCACCGTCCTAGCCTTCTGCAGAACGTCGGGTGAGATGCGGATGCCCACCGTTGCGCCTTCGCCGGCGTACTTGGTCAGGCCCGTCGTGATGGAACCGGGGCCGCAGCCAACGCCGAGGATGTGGTCTGTCTTCTTGATGTGTGGCAGCAGGAAGGCGGCGTCCGACTCGGCCGTGCGCGTCAGGTGCGTCGCCACGGTATAGTTGGAGTGGCCCTGTGTGTAATTGTTGTTCGGGTTACTTTCTTTGTTGTACCATATTTCGCCAAACCTCTCGTTCTGGGCCTCTTTTCTCTTTCTTCGGCTCTTGTGCAGGGAGGCCCAATATCTTTGCAAAGTTTCCATTCTACCCGCAATTTATATCCTGTCTGGCCTGCCTTCGAACTGCTAAACGAGAACCTGTCCCGAGGTTGTGCGCCTGGAGATACAGGCTTGGGACCCGAGGAGCACAGTCCCTGCAGAAAGTCTGGGCCGGTCCAGACTGTGTAGTGGGCTGTATTGTAGGTGTAAGACCAATGAAGCTTGAACCGCTGCATCCCCTTGCGGTGGGAAGATTTTCTCTGCTAGACTCCCGTAACAGGCCAAATATTGGCGGGTCTTATTCCTGGATCTTTCCTTTACCAGATTGTTGAAATGAAACCGTTCCCTGTTCTGTAGTCCGTGTTGAATGGATAAGATAACCAGTATATCGTCCTCACACCATGCTCCTGTAGTACTTGCTCCGTATTTGTTGAAATTGTTACCCCGATGGTCCGTTGAGAATGTCGACTGTCTCCTCCAAATTGTGCCAAAATATAGATCCCTATCCTATGAAGTCACGGAATCCTTCCAATGGTGACTCCAGCACTTGTCATGTTGAACGTTGCCAAATGCTCTGCGGAGACAGTATTTCACAAGCCTCTCCCTCTTCCAACACAACCGATGTTGAAGCCCCACGCCAATATCGCACCCTCTGAGCCGTTGACGAAAGATCTGTAAGGGGTGTACACCCGAATCATCAATCCACCTGAAAGCCTCTCAAAACACTATCCAGCTTGGTCACCATCTCCTCCCATTCCTGCTCCTCGTCGCTGAGCACTGTAATCGCTCCACCGGCACCAATTCGCCACTTCTGCCATTCTTGGCCAGTACTCGGATCCTTCTCTCTCTCGTCATCATTAGAGAACGCAGTGCGTATACACACCGACCAAGCGCCATTGCCACCGACATCCATATATCCAATTGCTCCAGAGTAAACGCCACGTTCTCTCTGTTCCAGCCCGTGGAGGATCTCACAGGACCGCTTCTTTGGGGCGCCCGTCATACTTCCTGGTGGGAGCGTGCGCGTAAGTGCTCTCACACCGTATCTGGCCATTGCCCTCGCGTATTCATCAGACTTCCGATCCGTTTCGGGAGGCAATGGAACGTGGGCGCGAATGTGTGAGACGAGCGAAAAGACGGTTTCTGACTCAACCACGTCGCATAATTTCACCACTTCAACTTTCGCGTGGCGACCCACGGTGCTGTATAGGTCATGTCGGATAAGGTCCGCGATCATGAGATTCTCGGCGCTTTCCTTCGCAGAGGACAAGATTGCAGTGGCCTTGGCGAGCGTCATCTCCGGGGTTTTTTTAACAGTTCCTTTCATGGGGATCATGTCGATGCCGCCATCTTTAGAGGACCAGGAGAGGAATTGCTCCGGGGAGGAGGACAGGATGGTGATTTTACTGAGACGGACAAACGAAGCAAAGGGAACAGGGTTATGTTGTTGAATGTTGTTGTAAAGTAGCCAGGAGGCCTCGGGGGTAACGGGTGTCTTGACAGTTGCTTCTGTGGTGAGACATAATTCGTAAGAGTTGCCGGCGAGAAGTTCAGACTGACATGCCCGAATGCGCGAAATATATGTGTCGTGATCTGGGAGGGTGAAATTCGCGGGGGACAGAATTTGGTGCAATTTGCTGGTCTCTGGTCGGTTCGAAACCAATGTATTGGACACAGATGTGTCACTTAGCACACTAACCATTTCATCAACCCAAGAGCCGTCATTATCTCGTATAGATTGCACGTAAGCCATCCCGGTATGATGGTCGACGACAATACTGCGCTCCACCCAAAGGAGACTGATCTCTGGCAAAGAGATTGGTGACTGAATCTGCTCTGGAACATCAAGATGCAATGACGCCGTCCCGAGTTCATATGACATGAAACCCATGAACCCGCCCCTGAATGGGATTTCAGATGTACCATCTTCTTGAAAACTTTTGCTAGAAAGGAAGGATTCTAGGTTTTCAATCACATGTTCCCGAGAAAGCATGACGCTGGTAGGAGGGCTGGAGCCTTGCGTCAAGGTAATGCGTCCTCCAGCGTATTCTAAATGCAAACCGGATTCATCAGGGAAGGCGTATATGCTGTACTTGCCCCTTTTGGTAGACTCTAGCATCACAGAAGCGTTTGGCGGTGATCTTTGGTGGCACAGACTTGCAACGATACCGCTCCCACGCGGTATAAGTATGGACCTGCGGCTTATGCCGCCATTGCAAGTCTTTGAGAGAGATTCAAGTTCTCTAGACAGGGCGGTGCTTTCGCAGGGATGCGTCACTTGCGCGACCTTGGGAGAGGTTGCCCGTGGGGCAGAAACGAGATGTCGAAATGCTGAGTTGTGCTTTCTCGTGGCGTCCCACCATTGTTTGATTACGACGTGACAACTTGAACTGGACTTGCATGATTCAGGGTGGAATTGGAAGCCGCGAAACGGAAAGAGCTTGTGTCTGGCGGCCATGACCCAATCATCTTTATCCCAGGCTAGGACTTCCAGATTATTGCAGGTCTGATGTTCTTGCGGCTCATTCGGAGGCTCAAAGGGGGTAGACACCCTAGATGGCAGGCTCCGCAGAGATGATGTGCTCTCGCTGGAGGCAGATGAACTCGGACGACTCGGAGTCCCATCCCGCTTGAAGTCACTTAGGCGGACCCCCAGGCTATTGTAATTCGTGGCAATGATGCTTCCGGAACGGCAGAATATGTCTCTATCTCCATGGTATATCTCCTTAGGGTGTCCATGACAAGGCAGGCCCAATCGCACGACAGGAACCCCATTTTGAACGCATAGACTCTGGAAACCTAAGCATATGCCGAGCACCGGAATGTTGTCTTCCGAGGCACAAGCCCAGACTTGGTTGAACAGACCGACATCAGATTCATTTTGGGGATTTCCAGGCCCAGGACCGAGGACTATGGCGTCGAAACTGGCAAAGAATGTCCGAGGGGACTGCTTGAACTGAGCCGGAATATCACAATCGATCCTCACCAGTGTCACCTCGACCCGGAGCTGCTCATGAAGAAGAGCAGCTATGTTCTCTGCAAACGAGTCGTAGGCATCGACAAAGAGAATTGACCCTTGAGGTGTCATCGAAGCTGCCAGCGTTAATCTGACGAGTTTGCGGGATTCCTCCTCTTCCTAGCAAGAACGATTGTGGGCGGAACGGTTACAGACCCAGACCAGAGACGCCCAAAGATCCCGTCAACAATGCAGAAACAAATAAGTGAGAAAGACCTACCTCCCGCTGTAATATACGAAAATAACCGTCGGAAGACCCTGGCATATTCCCAGTCTCGAGTCATCCCGGAAAAGTTTCGTGCAGAGGGGAGAGATTTCGGGAGCGAATGAAAATGTTTTGCCGGAGGCGTCACGCGTGCCTCTGCTCCGCCGCAATCTGCTCCGCCGTAATGGGCACCTCGCGATTTGTACCCAAAACATATTAGATTGAGCACCGGGACACTGAGTACTCTCCAAGCATCTTACCGGGAGGGATACAACGGTAGCGACCGCTGAATCTTCAAAGACACGCTCAAGATGACAACAACTGCCCTCGAATATCAGCAATCATGGCCGAACACAAAGACGACCTGACCGAGAAAGCTCACTTCGACCCAAACTGGATCGCCTGGGATGGAGGAACTCTACACTCCAACAACGGTGGGTGACAATCCGTATCAGAACGGGCTGGGTACTGACTCGCCCGCCTCAGTGCTCTTCTATTTTGCAACGTCTCCTTTCTTTGACCATGTCTCGGGCAACCAGTCGCTCTTCACGCAGTGGGCAGGCACGCCAAACCAGAATGATATCCTAGGCACGAGGGCCAAATTTGAAGCCAATCTGCGGCATCAACGCGGTATTCAGTACGTCGTCGAGCACGATCCCCTAGAGGAGCAAGTCGTCTTTGACGGGCCAAACGGGCCTGAGAAATCCAACGTCTGGGTCATTCGCAAGCAGAATCGTGAGAACGAGCGAGACGACAGCATTACAGTCTTGGGATACTACTACATTGTCAATAACGTCATCTATCAAGCTCCTTCGGTTGCCAGCGTTCTGAACTATCGTCTGGTGGGCTGACTTCCAGATCTCGAAATACCCTCTTTACTGACCCGAGATTGTATAGTTGAACACGGTATCGGCACTCAACAAGGTCTTTTCGGCTCCGGGAGATTTATCCTTCTTTTCAGTCTCTCATGGACACACGTATCACAAGCCTGTTCAACAGACGACAGCACAAACTATCTTGGGTTCCTCCCAACAAGGTAATGAAGCTTTACCAATGCCAGGACTTCAGCCTTCTAGTATCGAGAAAGCCGTAGCGACTTCTGAAGCACAAGACGAAACCCATGGTGGGAGTCGGACGGCCTGGGACGCTCTTCGAATGACATTGCAATACGGCAAGGAATATGTGGATGATATGCCGTTGGAGGGCGAGCCAGGGAATTTCCGATTTTCTAAGAGCAAGGATGCTAATTCGATAGCTGGCCAGACTAAAGCTCAAGGCCAGATATCTCCTACTGGGACCCCCGGCCAATCGCGAGCAGCTTCGGTCGTGCCCCCGACATCAACCAATCCATCTGCAGCTGCAAAGGGCCCCAAGCTACTAGAGAAAAACCCGCCACTATCTGAAGGAGCAGCAAAAGTGAAACGGAGGAAGAGTAAAGCACCGGGCGAACCTAGTCCATGAGGCTAGGGGGCTCAAGTGTTGGGGGCATGACTGGGGATATACTGGAGCAAGGCGTCAGCTTTACAGCCAACAGGTCACTTAGATAGCGAGATCGCTGCATTCGAAACCAACATATTCGTCCTGTTAGATGTTCATCTCAGTGTCACTAGTATTATTCAGGAATGTACTTGTAGGAACCAGGAAGTCACGTGGACAGCGTTCCACAAGGCTTCGGGCAGGCAGCGCGAGGCAAGCGTCACCCGTCACCAGCCTGCGCCGGCGCCTGAGACCCTTGGATTCACGCTTGTCCCATTCGCCGCATTTGTTCATCTTGCCTTCTCAACTTACCAAGTGCATCGCACCCACCAAACGAGTCAGATCACTCACTCTCTCTAGAAGCCCTCTTCTTTACCTCGACGTCGTTTGTCCGATCTCATCTTGTGCAGACACCAGTCCACGACCCAGTGATACCCAGTTGACGGAATTGCAACGCTTGTGTGTGTGCGCGGCGGGGCAAGATGAAGCTCTCCTTCAGAGTCCGTAAATCTGACCCCTCTCTGCTTGGACAATCACTGATACCCATGACAGGATCTCAAGCAGCAAAAGTTTACGGTTGACGCCGAGCCAACAGACACAGTATGGATTTTATCATTCCCCGATTTTCTGGACCAAACACAGGCTTACCCCATTTGCTCAGATTGCGCAGGTAAAAGAGAAGATTGCCGCAGAGAAAGGATGGGAATCCTCGCAGCAGAAACTCATCTACGCTGGTGAGCAATCCTTTATTCCTCCTCCATGCTCTCTTCGGCTTTCAGACGACTGACTTCGCCACAGGTAAGGTCCTCGCCGATGCCAACACCGTTGAATCATACAAAATTGAGGAGAAGGGTTTCATTGTTTGCATGATATCAAAGGTCGGTTGTTATCCCATGTCCAAAGAAACATTTTGGCTGACGGGTGGCTCCTTAGCCAAAGGCTCCTCCTGCGGCCAAGTCTGGCAGTCCCTCTACACCTGCTCCATCCAGCTCTACGTCCACCTCCACACCCGCTGCTCCAGTTGCTCCCCAGCCCATCCAATCTACGACCACCTCAAATCAGCCGCCCTCGACTCCCACGCCTGCTCAAACCACACCCGCCGCGGCTCCGGCCGCCGGGCCTGGCTTTAATGACCCCTCGGCTTTCCTGATTGGCAACCGCAACGAAGCAACCATCCGCGAGATGGAGGCTATGGGATTCGCAAGACCCGAAATAGACCGCGCCCTGCGGGCAGCTTTCTTCAACCCAGACCGAGCCATCGAGTATCTCTTGACTGGTATTCCCGACAATATCCAGGCAGAGCAAAGACAAGTAACTCCGGCGGCTAGTACTCCAGCAAATCCGGCATCTCCACCAGCACCTCAGCCCGCCCAAACTGCTGGAAGCCCGCCAGCTGCTGGAGATGAGCCCATCAACCTGTTCGAAGCGGCGGCACAAGCCGGCCGCCCAAGTGCGGGAAGAAGGGCTGCCGCAGGAGGTCAGCAGGGAGCGTCGACTAATATGGACTTCTTGCGAAACAGCCCGCACTTCCAGCAACTCAGGCAATTCGTCCAGCAGCAGCCGGCGATGCTGGAACCTATCCTACAGCAACTAGCCGAGGGCAATCCAGAGCTTGCCCAGATGATTGGTTCAAATCAGGATCAATTCCTTCAGCTACTGGCAGAGGTAAGTGTACAAGATCATAGCCTTGATGGCCAGTAGTACTAAGTCTGGATAATAGGATACTCAAGATGCTCCCCCTCCTGGTGCGACCCATATTCAAGTGACTGAGGAGGAGCGGGACGCCATCGAACGACTCTGCCGACTCGGCTTCCCCCGTGACCAAGTCATCCAGGCATACTTCGCATGCGACAAGAACGAGGAACTGGCGGCGAACTTCCTCTTTGAGCAGCCCGATGACGAAGAGCAGTGAGCACAGCGATTCGTTGTCATTAGCGCGATATCATTCCTGCTCGGATTCGAGATTGAGAGCGGAGTTCTGGTGGCAGTGCAATTTTCTTTGGATGGCTTTGCATGCGACGCCAAATGATGGCCCGAGACACGTGACAATAAGAGTCGACGACTGACCTAGTCTCTTATGAGGACGAGGGAGAGACGTTTGATGGTGATAATCGTGATGTGTGGGGAGACGATGGCGATGATCAAGTGCTGGAAGGTTGCGCAAACTCTGTATGTTCTCACCATACCCGAACCTCCTTCTCGGCGCAAGCCTCTGCAGCTAGTCTAGCCAAGTTTTCATGTGAAATGGAGCAAAGGCAAAGGGGTGGCCAAGGTTCTGAAATCCCAGGGCCAACATATTCCGTCCGCTCTGAGACCCTCTCGGCGGATCAATGAATGAAAATAATCCCCTCGACCACCCGCCAGGATGCGGTGCTTCTAGCCCAGATCCAAAAGTAGGGACCATGTCATCTTGCAGTTGACTTTGACCATGCTTTTCATTTTATGTATTTCTATCCATCACCGGGACACTCAAATGGCATGCGGTGGCCCGATTCCTCTCTTTCACAGCGCAATGCTTGATTCCTGCATCAACATATCTGCTGGCACTGTAGTGGTACTAGTTTGCCTGTCTTCTTCTTCGGCCGCAGCGTTGATGGAGGTCACAGTCGTACTCGGAGACTCTTCGACTTGTGGGGATGAGAGCGGCGGCCGTGACACCATGGACGAATCTGTCCCTCGAACCAATTCATCACGAGCCGCGTCGCTTTCCATTTCCGCCCTCTTTGCATTTAAATGTTCCGTCGTAAGTTTCTGCCCCGTATGTGCATCGACGTACTCCGGCGGCCCGCAAATACGGTCGACCTTCCACACTCCTAGCCCTCGCCTGCCCACGATTCTCTCCAACGTCGGCCAAATCCCATCATCCCCAAAATCCAAGTCGTCTAGATTCAAATGCTGACGAAAGACTGCGAGGTTGGTCATACTTAACTGTGCCGGGGGACTGTTCATGTCTATCGAGAAACTGAAGTTGGAGACCGAAGGGTAGTTGAAGCCTGGTGTCTGTGCAGAAAGATCCTTGGAAGAGCTTTGAGCGGTGTTGAAGCCATCGAGACGCCAGGCGCTCAGCGGCGCCACAACAAAGATGTCCGTCTTCTCCCTATGCGGGATTAATCGTTCTACAAGGGATGGGTCGCATGTCGGCATGTGCTGCATGAGCATGAACACCAACTCCCTTTGAGGGTATCCCATCAGAGGTACAGTGGAGATGTTCAGGGACCTATTTGTTGCAGGGTGCAATGGTTCAGAGCCGAGAAGGAAGGTTGGTGGTGGGTAGGTCTTCCACCAGAAGACTTCGATATTGTGAGCTTTCGATTGGGAGGCGTTCAAAGATTGTATTACGAGGGACGGCAGGGCGAGCTGCGCTGGAATGATTCCGCCTTGGTGATAGATGCCCATGATGAGTGCGAGAAGGGCGTTGAAGATGACCCAGGTGGTCCAGAAGATACGTGACCATAGCTTAGAGGAGGGGACGCGAATACTTGTCAGGATGAGAGGAACGGTGGGCAGGAGGAAGCGGGGTTCCTGGTGTGGGATAAAGCTGAGAAAAAGACACCCTATAGCGGCCGAGGCAAGGCGGTTGTTAGAGAGTATGCCTTTCAGGACGCGAAGGTTGAAAGGGTAAGCGGACGCGATTAAGAGGACTAATGCTGGACCCAGAAGTTGGGGGAGGTTGATGAGAAGATGTTGGTAATGCGGATGAAGGCCGTGTTGGGCAAGATTGCTGGTCTGCGTGTTGTACAAGAGATTGTTGAGCGGGGTTATTACTGGATTCTTCCGGACATGGTCGTACAATGCACCAAAGGACCTTGTGGCTGCAGGTCCAGAATAGTAAGTCGTGTCGATGATGATGGCAATTAGTGTCCAGAAAATGCCGGAAAGTGAAAGGGCAAGAAGGCAGAAAGGTCTTGAGCCTTGTTAGCCTTGCGCAATGAGGCAGAAGGGGACAGGGTCGGGCACAGATTTCCCTTTGCTCACCTATTCCAAAAATGTGGCAAGAGATGAATGCCGGGTATCACAACGAAGGCAGGAAAAGTAATCCGATTGAAGATTCCGAAAACAAGAAGAAACCCTAGAACGGCGCTCGACGCGATAGCTGACCGCTTCTTGGCCGCCGCTGTCAGTACATGCTCCATCAACGGTTGTGACAAGCGACATACCTTGTCACGCAAAATGCGCTCTATCATCACTAGGCTCCACAACACCAGAAGAGTCTCGATAGAATTTGAAAAGGTATGTGTTTGAAAAGTCCAGGTCACATATGAGGAAGTGACCAAAATAACGGCTTGGATCCAATGTCGAGGGGAGCGAACCAATTCATGAACAGCCCAGTCCTCCAGGACGAAGCTGAGGACAAACATGACAAGGCGAAGAGTATAATAGATGATGGCAGGATCAACGCGATCCCCTTCTTCTTCCTGCGCCCACGTCCATTTCAACAGAGCCATGGGCAATCCATAGATTGGCCATAGTGGGAAGACACTCCGGATTGGGCGTGACGATGTCCATTCCCATGTTTGACGCGTCGGGTAAGGGAACAGATATCCTGCACAGAGGGCATCAGCAACGTTCACCACTTGAAACGTCCAATCCATCGGCACATACCAGCGATGGGTTCTGGCCCTTGAAAGATTTCGTCCGGGTGAAGATAACTGGGCGACACTGCAAAATAGACACGGACGAACAGCAAGAACAAGTACAATAACCGCCACATTCTTTCTTTTGTTGCAGTCACCGTGCCGGATATGACTTGAGCTGTGTCATTGTTCTTTGTCTTATACAAGGTGGGAGCCACTCCCTCCAACTCATTCTCAATTGTGACCGGGTGGTGCGTGAGCGCGTCTCCCAACGCGTCACTTTGCTGGAGAGTGAGGAGGGAAGAGGTGGCACGGGTGGGTTTCCCGACTTCTCGACGAGAGTCTGTGGGCGCAATGGGTGGTATGAGGGCGTGGAATGAATGCGCTGTTGGAGCTACAAGCGCAACAGGACAATCACATCAGAAGGTAGGTTTGTTGGTGGCCAGACAGACAGAAGTGAGATGCTCTGCATGCTGGATGCTGCGCCGTGAGTGCTTTTGATGTTGCTTCCAACCAGAAAGTGACGTCGGCCGGCATGCACGTGACTCTGCGTTCCCGCCAAGCGCTAAGCGGGCTTCGCTGCTGCAGGCTGTGCAGGCTGGTGGGCAACTGCAGGCAAGGAAGGTCTCTGTAAAGCGGATGAGAGAACAGCTCTCTACCCAGCTGAGAGAATTTAGCAGTTGTGGGTTCGTCCCAGGCTCCAAGCAGTGCAGACTACGAGGTAGTATGCGCAAATGTTCGGGACGCAGAACAGGCACCGAGCAGGCAGTGACATTACAGGTCCTCACAGGTCCTCACAGACATACGTAGAACCGGCCTCCGTTACATTTCTCCCAATATCTTCGCCTATATAAGCCTGGATATCAACAGTAGAGAGTTTCAAGTGAGGGACATAGTCGGATTGTACTCGGTACTCCTGTCTTTGTTGTTGTTTCGCTAGGAAGGTCCAATTATTCTCCGAGCAAGAGCCCGTCCGCAGACCCGCATATGTCTTCCCTTTCTCCCAGTCACGGGCCTTATTAACAAATGAGTCTTTTGTCCTACGCCTCCCTTAGTTCTCATCTCTTCCTTTGGTCTCCGCCTTACTCTACATCTGTACATCTCCGTATCAACCTCTCTGCACAGAACAAAAGTTGAACGAGCCACATCCTAGTCATCCACACCACCCCGCACTACACCTAGCACAAGTCCCAACTCCATACAGACAAATATGTCTGACAACTCGAAAAAGCTGGTGCTCCAGAGTTCGGATGGCGAGGACATCGTAGTTGGTGAGCTGTTCTTCAGGGAAACTAAGTGCCGCTGCGCAGAACTGACTGCTGTCCAGACCGCGATGTCGCTGAGAGATCGATTCTCATCAAGAACATGGTCGGTGATCTTGGCGAAGATGCCATGGAAGAGGCCATTCCCATCCCCAACGTCAACGCAGCTGTCCTCAAAAAGGTGATCGAATGGTGCACACATCACAAGCACGATCCTCCTGCAACGAACGAAGACGACTCCGATTCGCGCAAGAAGACGACTGATATTGATGAATGGGATCAAAAGTTCATGCAAGTCGATCAAGAAATGCTTTTTGAGATCATCCTGGCGGCCAACTACCTTGATATCAAGGCTCTGCTTGATGTCGGGTGTAAGACTGTCGCCAACATGATCAAGGGCAAGTCCCCAGAAGAGATCCGCAAGACCTTCAATATCCAAAACGACTTCACGCCAGAAGAAGAGGACCAGATCCGTCGCGAAAACGAGTGGGCTGAAGAGTGAGTCTGCCATCTTCCTGGCGCATTGTCATCCGTGCTAATCAGTCGATAGTCGTTGAGCTTCTCGGTCATGATTATCAGGCCAGACAGGCATATTCCAATGGCGTTGAAGGTGTTTTCACGAAACGTGCATGATGGAGTTCAGATGAGCGTGGGACATCATCGAGCTGGTGGCGCGGTACAAAATGCTTCCCCTTTTATGACACGATATGCTCAGTCCATCAAGATCTTAAAGGAAGGCGAATGCCGGAAGGCCTAAAGGCCTCGACTGGAGCTGGGAGGTACAGGGATGCACACCGAGATACGAAGTGATGGTGGTTCTGGTCATGCAGGTACGAACTGCTACACGAAATTCGTTCTGTACATAAACGACACCCAATATGAGCTGATGAGCATAGTTTCTCGCCTTCACACTTGAATCCTGCTTTCGGGATTGGCGGATGGAATGAAGACGGTCGACCTAGATCCTTGCTTTGAATTGATTCTATTCATTTTAGGGACCTTTGCACGAGCCCTCCTCACAAGCCTTTGCGGCACATAGCTCGGCGTTGCATTTCTGGACCAGCCCGCTCCATCGTTCATGCGCTGTGTGATTATGAATGCCCATTTGGAGCAAAACCAACAGACTCTCCTTCAGCCCAGTATGGAGCCCTGAGCACCTCTTTCAACAAACACATCTCAGCCTTCTTCACCCCATGTACTCCTCCCTTCCATGCTGATCTTCCTCCTTCATAGCACCGCTCACCGCCGTCCCGGCATGTTCCAGTGTTGAAAACAGTCCATCTTGCCAAACAATGAAATGGGTAAATCCGTCGACGGTTACCTTGCGGACTGAGATGTGTCTGGGGTATCCGGACTGGGGTGGGATGATGCGTGACTTGGATTTAGATGCCAATTCTGGTCTTGCGCCAGTGTCTCCGCTTCGCGTTGTATCTGTAATCGCAATTTAGTGTGTTAGCCAATGTTCTTTGAACCAGTCTCTCTCTCCCCCCTCCTTCCAACCCTCCTCCTTTCTGTTCCCGCACTCGTTTGGAGTCATGAACAACAACAGCGTTGGCCTCGACATTGGCGGGGTCGTTTGTCTTTGATCCAGTTTCCATTTCCCCTTCTCCAAGATACCCAAGTTGGCATCACACGTAGTCGAGCTCCCGTTTCTAAGACCTCAAGAACTATCTTGCCTCTCTCTCGATACGCGGATCCAGGGTTCAAGGAGGAGACTTGAGAAGGGCGCCGCGCAAGTTTTCTTTGGTTGTGGTGTGAACTGACCTGATGGTATTTCCAGTCCTCAGACGAATCCACTGTGGGATGGGACGGTTCTGCTTCTGCGCCTTTGCGAGCTTCTGCTTGGTGCGGAAGGATTTGTGGCTCTAGATATTGGTCAAATAGCGTCAGCTCGTGGTCATTACCTCTGTCACACACAGAAACACATGGGGCTGGATGCGGATTGAGGAGGGAAAGGTGGTGTTTTTGATGTGAGCTCCGACGGAAGTCTTGCGTTGGGAAAGTTGCCAGCATTTCTTTCGATGCAGAGGCGGCCGTTTGTCTAGTGACGGGTCTTGAGAACGTACCGGCATCTTGTCTTGTCTTCTCAGTCCGGTGACGAGGTCGTGGATGGAAGAGAAATCAGATCTGTGGTTTTGATTGTCAACTATTGCGCCCCGGTTCTGACTGCTGGCACCCAAAATTCCCAAGCGGTCTCTGTGGGGGCTTGGCATTAGCCAAGACCAGGCTCACGGGACACTTGCCCGAACGAGCATTCTTCTCAAGGCGATTGCAAAAGTCCGAGATGATGCCGTCACCTCAGCGCCGCCGCTCATTGCTCGGGGAAGTTAGGAGTCTGGTGCAAGCTTCCGAGGTTGGGGTTGAAAGTCGTTCTCCGATTGCGGTCCTTGAGCACTTCTGCATTCTCGGTCAAGATTTAGACTGGGCTCCGAGTAGCTCTACCCTTCTTTCCAGGCAACTTGCCAGCTTTTCCTTGTGCATTGCGGGAAGTGGACGTTTTAAGGGACCATTGAATGCGTTGAACGGCTACTGCATTGGGTTCTTCTCGAGCAAAAGAACGAAGCGGGGACGTAGGAACAAAATGTCGTCGAAGCTCAGGATATTAGTCCCCGTCAAACGTGTCATTGATTATGCTGTGAGTCTCCTACCCACGGACGCAGGACTGCAATATATGACAGTCTTCTATCCTCCTAATCCCTCCTCTCTCACACATGCTTACTTGCTCGGACTGCTGACCCTTCTCTCCTCGGATACAGGTCAAGCCCCGCGTAAAATCCGACCGCACCGGCGTCGAAACCTCCGGCGTGAAACACTCCCTGAACCCGTTCGACGAGCTCTCGATCGAAGAAGCCGTCCGACTGCGCGAGCGCAAACAACCTGTAGAAGACATCTTGGCTGTAAGCGCGGGCCCTGCGAAATGCGCCGACACCCTTCGAACCGCAATGGCCATGGGGGCGGATCGAAGCATCCACGTCGACGTGCCCGAAGACAAACCCCTTGAACCGCTGGGCGTGGCAAAGCTGCTGAAGGCCATCGCCGAGAAGGAGAAGAGCAATCTGATCATCCTGGGCAAACAGGCGATTGATGACGACGCGGCCCAGACGGGACAAATGCTCGCGGGCCTGCTGAACTGGCCCCAAGCCACGCAGGCCTCGAAAGTGTCCATCGACAATGACACGGTGACGGTGGAACGCGAGGTCGACGGCGGCGTGGAGACACTACGGGCGAAGCTGCCCATGATCATCACGACGGATCTGAGACTCAACGAGCCGCGCTACGCGAGTCTGCCCAACATCATGAAGGCCAAGAAGAAGAAGCTGGAGAAGAAGACACTCGGCGACTACGGCGTCGACGCGACGAGCAGACTCAAGACCATCAAGGTTGAGGAGCCGCCCGTAAGGCAGGGAGGCGGCAAGGTCGAGGACGTCGACGGCATGATCAAGAAGCTGAAGGATTTGGGTGCCCTGTAGTTAGATACGCATTAGGTGGTGGCAGGCATGGTATTCTTCCAGGGTCGAACGGCTGCGTCACAAAACTTCGCGGACGGTGGGAGGACATGATGGTGTTACCTGCAGTTATCTATCCATTTACATATATACATCAAACTGCCTTGGGGGCCGGGCCTTCATACGGGGTTGAATTGGGCAGGGGCGCGGTGTGTTTTGACCATTTGGTACCGTATACGTAAGACAGAAAACATGGATTATGTCTCAAGAAGCGTTGTCTAGGACAATCCGGTAAATAGCTCGTTCATATTATGATGGCAATGGCAGCTCTTTGGGCCTCGCACGAATAACTGTCCCCGTCTCTCTCTTCCTCCCGCAGGGAATGCTTTCTAGTGTTTGTACTCAGCCTATGCCTGCCATATGACGCCAATGCTATGCTATGCAATGCTCTGACGCTCTCTCAGAAAAGGGCAAGCCGCTCCAGCCCGTTGCCATTTCCATCTCAATCCCATTCAGTCATCCATCCGTTAAGCACATGAAAAAAAGGGCATTTTTTGCATTGCATATTGCAGTGTTGTTGAAGTGTCGTATAGTAGTCGTCATGCCAACTTGCACGGACGATGATATTCCGTTTCTGGGGGAATTCTTGATGTTTTTTTTTTGGTTGCTGGGGGAGGGGGAGGGGTTGTCATGGTTAGACAGTCCCGGCAATGGTCAAATCTCGAATCTCCGAGAGAACCTGTTCGACACGGTTGTCCAAGTCTCCTCGTGCATATTGTTCTCTAGTTTCTGGGTCCAAGTATTGCTGCACCTGTGCCATCCGACTATATGCTTCTGCGCAGAACCGGAGCTGGATTTTGACCAGTGCTTCAAAGCTAGGGTCGAGGTATGGGACACGGAGATCGATGAGTTGAGGAAGTTCAGTGAAGAGTTGTTCGTTGAGTTGTTCGTACGCTTGTTTCGCCATTTCGGCTTCTTTCTCTGCACGAGGGAGTTTGGTAACATCTTTGTCAGGCTTTTCGACGAGTTTCTTGACCTTGGAACGCATGGAATCATAGTCGAGGAGTTTGTTGTTTCGTTTCTTGATGCATTCATTAATGTCAGGAAAGTATGCGCAGAAGCGGGAGATTGGTTCAAGGACAGTTGCTCTGCCAGCATGGTCAGTGGGTTAGGCGGATCTAAAGGAACTGCAAGAAGACACGTACCGGTAGGGGCCATCAAGCGCTTTGATGGTCTCGGCGTCTAAGTCTTCGACGGCCTGCTTGTAGGATCTTGAGACTCCATCTCTGGTACCAGCGTCGCCGTAGAATGCGTCGATTGTTTCTGCTATCCTCATTTGGGAGGCTGTCATCGCTAAAGAATCGTAGTCAGTTTCTTCAGCCATCAACAGCGACTTCCAAATCGGCTGACCTCGCAGGCTGTCCAGGTATCCTTTGGCTTCCTTCTGCAACCGATTCGCGGCCGATTCCATCGTCCGGTATCTCCTGTAACAATGTAGTCAGTCCGGGCTCTGTTCGAGCCCAGATGAGCTCAGATCTCACCTCTCTTCGACCTCGTAGTCCCGGTCGTTCGTTCTCTCGACCTGGCCTGGATGACATCGTCAGCGCTTCACTAGGAGTGAGTCTCAGATGAGGCTTACCAGTCTTCATCATCACCTGCGTGGTGGCGCGGTTCACGCCCTTCTTGAATCCGGCCCACGACATCGTGCCGGTTCAGCTGGTCCAGATAGTGCTTCCAATATCTTTGCAGACGAGCGTTATATTCGGTGGGCGACTCAAAGGCAAGTGGCCCGTCGTCAACCGTGGCCTGGAAAAGGTAGAGACAGTTGACGGCACCAAAGAACCGGTGGTCGCGGCTGTACCAATGGCGGTCGGCCGTGTCTCGCCAGGCCCTATGGACCACCGTATAATCGGAGCCAAACCGACGCGCAAAATCGGCTTCGGAGTCCCCCATGACGTAGTCCCGGGACGGATAAATATTGATGCGAAATTCGGTGGGGCGTCTCAAATACTGGGTAAGTTGTGCAACTGTGCTTAGCCGTGCTTGGCATATCGTGACCCACTTTACATGTGCCCCTCCAGCAGACACCCAGATCAATGCACCCCATCACTTGGGCAGACTGGCATCTCAACGTTAAATGGGTTGAGCAAGTTAGCCATTGCACGGCGTAGCTTAGCACATGCCAGGTCCGTCTTCACTTGGAGGGGCGGCCATCTGTGGCTTAGCAAGTGATAAAGAAGCACCACCCCCTCTTTCTTTATACTCCTTGTTGAACACTTGGAAAGCGTCGCAAACACTGCGACAGACTATTAGAAGCACTGTTTGTGGCTAAGTCTTGATACCCCTGAGCCACCGTGTTATTCGTAGATTGTTTGGTGAGAGGACGACCATTGCAGTCGAACTTGTAAATATAGACCGTCTGTACCAAAGGTCTCAGATGGCGAGGAGAGGCGCTGCGAGGAGGAGCGCAAGTCAGCCCAACCCCAAATGCATTTCGTGAGATCGAGTAGGGCACACAACGTAATGCTGTCATAACATCGTTGTCGGCGACGGCAGCTTCCAACAATTCTAATATAGAACAAACCTGAAGGAAAGCTGTCTGAACCCCGCCATCGACAAGTTCTAGGCCGTGGATGGTTTGCCTATTTGGTTGGCGAGCATGTTTTCATGTTGAATTGCCTGAGGGTGGATGGAATTGTATCCTTACGGCGAATATCGTCTTGAGGGTCGCCGACTGCATCGTAATGAAAATGATAGAGAAGATGTCAGAGGAGAACGAAACGTGCCTCGAGGGACAGAATGGCAAAGGGGATATCCCAATTTCCCCTGTTGTTTCTGCTACTTTTGCAACTTTCACGGGCTATTCGAGGTCAACTCCTAGGACACCTTTTGTCAACGTAGCAGCGACAGTCCATTCGAAAGTGTCCTGTCGTAGCCACGAACCTGCTCACAGTGTACATCGTGACTGTAGAACTAATGCAATGCCTAGGATTACTTCGATGGTTTAGACAGATATCACCCAAGAGCTCGAAGAGGCTGCGATATTTAGAGCTATGTACCAACCATCTGGACAGTTGGTCAGTTCTCATAGAGAAGGACCGGTCTTGGGGCACTGTGGACGCGTCGTGCATGAGTGCTCACCGCAATCATTAAAGGCTGCTGAGGACTGGGTATTGTTATGAGGTTGGCTTTATTAACAGCCAATTCAAGTCGGGAGCACTGACGATCAAAACGCTCAAAGAGCCTGAGAGAAAGTTTGTTCCAGACAGACGGAAGATAGAATTCCAGTTTTCTTTTGTGAAAATACTAATGAGCTCGATGTAAAGTAATTGACCGTAGGAAGGAATGGAACGAAGACAGACACCAGTGCGTGCACTATTCAAAGCCCGACGTTGGTGTTAATGTGCTTCCAAATGCATGGGAAGGGTATGAATGTGAAGCTCATAGCCAGTAAGTCTGTCCAATTGACTTCTTCAGCTGCGATGTGAAGGGATCGGTTGTCAGGATAAGAGGTAGCCTTCGTTTCCTGTGGCGGGTTGTATCCTCTTTGGCGGCAGTGCCTTTGTCTCTTAACAGGAGTCCTCTCAAGAGGAGAGAAGACTTGGCCGTCGGTTCGCACACTTCACTTTGTCAATAACCGCGCACTTTTGAGCGTCCGACTATCACTTGTATTTCGAGTGTGGTTACGAGGTCTCTGAACAGCCAGGAGTGCCGTTCGAAGTGACAATGGCATAATATCACTGCACACAGTTTCTTGCAAGCGCAGAACGAGTAGCCCTTGAGAGTGGTTAGAAACTGAGTCACCAGAATGAACCGCAGTCACCGTCCCCTTTATCTGCGTGCGTATGCTGTTAGCCTGCGCAAGGGGGGGCAATTTTCTGAGCTTGTATGGATGAAGTGCAGGCGTATGTAAATGGCCGTTGGCGGCCGTCCGAGGAAGTCCAGGGACAGGAGAAGGAGTGTCATTGACAACATCGTTACTCAGTGTAGTCGTTGGTCGCGGAGGTAGGCTTGAATTCTCCTTCTGGGTTGCCTGCGGCGTCCATCTGCGGTCAAAGCCGATGGAGCGGGATGGGATAGTGGCAGAGGTAGCTCCAATTACAAGATATCAGGAGCATATGGCGATTAGAAATGACTGCGTCCACATTAGCTCTGGGACAGAAGTGAGAGTTGTTGACCATTTTGCTGGTTTGCGGCTTTCATCGTGTCAAGTGTACCTCTTTGTTTGGCTTCCAAGGTGGCAGAGGATAGCAGAGGGTGGCAATGTGCGCTGCGCCAATTTATCAATGAATTTTGCCTAGGAGGAAAGTGAACCTGTATCTCTGAGAAGATCTCATGAAGCGATTAGGAGACAATAATTCCCTCATCAGCAGCGTCAGGCATATTAGGCCAGACACTGTGGCCTCCATTAGATGTGTGTGCTCAATCTCCCTCCCACCATGATCGAAAGAGGTCGATGCCAATGTGCTAAAGGTCAAAGGTACACAAGGTGAACACAGAGAGTGCAGTAAAGGGCATGGTCAAGCGCTATGGCAGAATGAACTATGTGAAAGATAAGCACGAAAATTCCCTACCGCTCTCACATCTCCATTCTGCGGTCTTGTGAAGAAAAGAGAAGATCAGTCTGCAGGCCCGGGTTGCCATAGTCTCAGCCTGCTGATATCAAAGCCCCCTGAAAGGCATACCTGAGCAAAGAACCCGACCACCCAGAAAAACGACACAGTTGGGGCGGTCTGGCCCGAGCTTCGCAAAAACGCAACCCTCTTTGTGAGCGGGATATGCTTTGAGATGGTTGGATGCCTCAATTTGACCACGAAACGCCTCCCGGCAGACGGTTTCTCACCTGCAAGACGTAGAAATGCGGTGTACCAAGTATCGCGCAAACTGTATCTCCTCGACGTCACTACAAGCATGGCCTGGCTGTTCATTCCATGTCCATTTGTGACGGTTGTGATCCTCCTTGCCGAACTCGGCTATGTTAGCGATGTGCTGGAACATCGTGTTTTCAACTTCCCGCAGACAAGGAGACGTGCTGTAAGACCAAGGGCTGACGATCACAGCTGTTATGATCAGTTTGAAGGTGAAGATCGGATTTGCTCGTGCTCGAACGACTGGTGTTTTTGCACCGTCTTGCTTGATGAATCGGTCGAGGTGCATGGCTCCTCATTTGACGCACATGGGATGGTGCAACCAGGGACATCCACCACCAGAGCAACAGGGTGGGTAGAGCCAGCGGAGCTCAGTTCGGAATGAGGGAGAAAGAGAGAAAGAATGGGAAGATTGCTCGGCAGTCAACAAGCTAGACATAACGCGCATAACCGTGTCCCCACGCGTCCTCGACGAGGAACTTGGAGCCGGGAGAAGCTGTAGGAAGCTGTAGGTGCGGTCCGGGAATTCACGATGGGCGCGTGTAGCGACAGCCAATAAAGGAGCCGTCGACATACCCCATCATCTATCCCCTTCCTCAGGGAATGCGGAGGCGGCTACTCCCTTCCCAAGCATACCACCCGGCGATATAGCGGCTCGAGGAAATGGAATTGGGTTTTGCCGGGTGTAGCTAGGCAAGGTAGACCGAGGAATGAAGGCAACCATCGGAAAGAACACGTCGCGGTGGTCTCAGAGACTCAAGCACGTTGGATAGGAATGGTCTCGACCCGGCCCCTGTTTGGCGAGTGCAAAAATTCACATGCCATGTTGGTATTTCATGTGGCTAGCTGTTGCATAGGGAATGGATTCTGAATCGGACGGTGTGAGAAACGAGCACATGTCTGCTGGAAGAAGAACGGAAAAGAACTGTGCATCGCGAGCATCGGTGAGATGGTCACAGTGGACATGACGTCCGAGATGGAGCCTCTGGCCAGCGCATGCAGAGGAATGGAGGTCGTCCCGCTGGACTGGGCTTTGGGATCCGAAGCTCAAGCGGTGAGACACGAGAAGGCCCGTGTGGGAAAAGGTTGATGACAGGAGACCGCGACGGAAAAGGTGCAGATGGAGCTGCAGCAGTCAGAATCCAAGTGGAAAGCTTCCTGGCGAGCCAGCTCTTTGCTGGAAGCACCACAGGAGGAAGTCGTGCTATAGTCATCCTTGCTTTGAAATCGTGCCGGGCCAGGACCTAGGCTTGAAGCTGCGAGGTGGAGGTGGAGAGAGAGGGTGGAGGGCGCAGTTTCTGGATGGACGGAATGGATGGAAAGCACTCGATCCACCCAGACAAGGAAGAACGAGAGACGTAAGCGTGTAGACATCTGAGATACTTTTAGGCAGGCTGGCAGAGAAAAGGGCGTCTGTGCAGATCCTGGTTGTTGAAGTTTGTTATTGGTGATGGCTGGTGATGGAGGAGGGCACAAGGAGTTGGACAGTACCCAGTAAGGAACAATTGGGTCAAGGAAGAAGCGTTGAGATTTTGGAGCTTGACTTGATTTGAGTGTTATTGTTGTTATTACTCGATAGAATAGAAACACTTTCTCAATTCCGCGCTCTTGTGACATGTACGTTGTCGTCGCCTAGGGTAGAGGAGCGTACCTAGTCGCTGCTATTGAGGGCGAGCGGGGAGCCACGAGCGCGAGAACGGAGAGCACGAACGGAAGCCCAAAAAAAATTAATGGAAAGGGAAATGAGGGGCAAACAATGGCGAATGGCACTGAATAGCACCCATGACATTAAGTAGTATTATTACCTGCAGGAACCGCCTAAGCAGCCGATGGGCTGGCTGCTGCACGGCAGGTAACGACTACAGTATAAGGGTGCTAGGGTACTGAGGGGCTAGGGGCCAAGGGAGCCTAGCACTCGTACCTCGGTGGGTGAGAAGGGCCTCACCAACCAGCGGGGAGGGGCCCACCAGCCATGGAGGACGAGCATCCCAGTTAAGTAACCTACTTACCTCGTACCAACTAACTTAGCCTGCCCGCATGCTGCATGCTTGATCCTTGATGCTTGCTGCAGCCTGCAAACACATTCGGCACGCTTTGCACCATCTTGCTACTGTACAACCACCACCACCTGCACCCTCGTCCCTCCTCAGTGATACTTGTAAACTGAACTGAATGGAGAATTTATTCGCCATCCACAAACGCTCCCATCAGACCATCCTCTTACCACCGCTTCACTGATTCCTATTACTTCCTCCTGCTCTTATTTATTGTCTACTCGGTACCTATAAAGAAGTCCTCACTGGCCACCCATATCACCTCGACCTCCCTTCAAAACGCCCTCTGTCTCCATCTCCGTCTCCGTCAGCGTCATCGTGAAGAGGTGGTTGCTGAGTGGCACCGAGTAGTAGTGGTGGCTCACGGGAACTGGATTGCTGAGATTCACACAAATCGGGACTGGAGGAAAAGAAATTCTCTCATACAAAATCATCACGCACACAAGACACAAATTTCCCCTCGCGTCTCTCTCCCACCGCTGCCCTACCATACTACCGAGCTACACCTTGCATCCTGACCCTCAGAAGTCCCGAGATCGCCATCCACTGTCAGCCAGGCACCTACTGGACCCGTTCGTCCTGTCCCTACCGCTTTCGTTTTCCCAACTTGTTCCCGAGGCCTGGCGCAACACCGTCCCAGGCCTTGAACTTGCATCTGCACGCACGGTCCTGCATTGGTCATCAGCTCCTAAGCAGGCCAATCCGCTGCGTTGCCCGCACGCTTTCCCCCTGGTCTGCAGGCCTCGCCATCATAGCCACCTTGCACCACCCACTTGAACAGTTGGCTCCGTCTTGCCGGTGAGCACTGACCAACATCGCACAACTGGGCAAAAGTTTGGCTCCTTGAGAAGACCAGGGCCCCAGGGCCAAGGTCCTCCAAAGTTCGAGGTCCTGATTTCAAGTTGCTTAACAGATCGTGAATGAAGTCTACCTGCCTGCGCCCACACAGGATCAGCCCCCAAAAGTCCTCATCATCACTTAAGGCCTCAACAAGCCATCAACTCGCCTTCGTTGCCCTAAACTGCTGCGCAATTTCTAGCCCCTCCTAGGCTTCCTTTTTTTTTCTCTTCACGTTGGCACCAACACGCACTTATTCCGTCCTCGCCACCACCAATATTTATCATTATTACCAAAACCAACCTCGTCCGCGAAACATATCACGAGAGTGAAGAAAAACTGTCTTGCAAAATCGACCCCGGCCAGAATTATCCTTGCCAGTTTTATAACCAGATTGTCGTTACACGACCTACAGTCGCCTGCAGGATACGTTATCTACCGCCACTAAACGTCGAGAGATAGGGCGTCCTGCCCTAAACAACGCTCTCCCCCCCGCCCCCCTCTCGTGCGCCATTCCTCGCAGACGCCATTCACATGAATCAGACATCATCACCAGTGCAATTCGCTCCGCAACAGTCCCCTACGCTCGTTCATTCTCCTGTGTCACAGGATGATGCGTCGACACATTCGATAGCACGGCCGACGGAGGACACGGCACACCTCCAGATTCCGACAGCCAACGGCGGTGCCGCGCCTACCACTAGTCTCTCGAGTCTGTCCCCCACGACGTCAAATTCGGGCGCAGCTGCGCCTAAAGAACTTGCGAAGAAGGGCAAAATGACGCACCGTCTGACTCGAATGTTTTCTCGGTCCGACCCCAAAGACGTCGAGGCCGCCAAAGCTGCGGCTGAAATAAAAGAGACCTCTCCCGACGCTCGTCTGGAAAACGGCCACCTTCCCAACGGCAGACCTCCCTCTGGTAGACAAGGTTCGAACGACGAAAAGAACGCCCGAAAGATGACTATCCTCGGTACGACAAAAGAGAAGAGTAAGGGTGAATCCCTGTCCGATCCCACTCATGCTGTCCACAAACGATTCGAGCTACATGATGACGGCACTCATGCACATTACCTCAAGTCGGCTAAACGGCAGGAGAAGTTGTCCGATATGCTCCGCGACATGCTCGGTGGCGGCAAGAAGAAGGACCAGGACGGTGCTGGTGATCAACAGTTGACTCTGATGTCGTCGTGGGTTGACCAACTCAGGTCGGAGAAGGACAATCTTGCCTCTGACAAGAAGGGCGGACCAAACGCCACGGCCAACTTGGTCGAGAAATACGGAAAATGCCAGGAAATCGTCGGCCGCGGCGCCTTCGGCATCGTGAGAATATCTCACAAACCAGACCCTAACAGTGTTGGAGGAGAATTACTCTACGCCGTGAAGGAGTTCCGCCGCCGTCCTCAAGAGACGGCCAAGAAATATCAGAAACGCTTGACCAGCGAATTCTGCATCTCATCGTCTCTCCGCCATCCCAACGTCATCCACACCCTTGATCTTCTACAAGATGCTAAAGGGGACTATTGCGAAGTCATGGAATACTGTGCCGGTGGAGATCTTTATACACTGATTCTCGCTGCCGGCACTCTCCAGGTCCTCGAGGCAGACTGCTTCTTTAAGCAGCTGATGCGTGGTGTCGAATACATGCATGAGATGGGCGTGGCCCACCGCGATCTCAAGCCCGAAAATCTTCTCTTGACAACACATGGCGCTCTCAAAATCACCGACTTTGGGAACGGCGAATGTTTCCGTATGGCTTGGGAGAAGGAAGCCCACATGACAGCCGGACTCTGCGGGAGTGCTCCGTACATCGCCCCTGAAGAATATAGTGGCGGCGAATTTGATCCTCGCGCCGTGGATGTTTGGGCTTGTGGTGTCATCTACATGGCGATGCGAACTGGTCGGCATCTGTGGCGGGTCGCCCGCAAGGAAGAAGATGAATTCTACCAGAGATATCTCGAAGGGCGGAAAGATGAGGAGGGATATGCTCCGATCGAGACTTTGCACAGGGTAGGCACATTTTAGGCACTCACTGCCAGCCCCCGACTGACTTTTCACTACTAGGCTCGTTGCAGAAATGTCATCTATTCGATCCTCGACCCAAATCCTGGCCGCCGAATCACCGCATCGCAAGTGCTTAAATCCGAGTGGGGCAGAGAGATCAAAGTGTGCAAGGCAGGCGAAGAAGGCTTCTGAAACCCGCCTTTTCCCTATTCTCTGGCATGATTGATGCTCTGGCGAGGCGCTCTTGCGTCCGGCGTGCGTCGACATCACTAATTCCACTACTCGTGATTCAGGCACGAGCATGACCCTGACGAAATTATGATTGAAGCATTATTCACAGTGAGAGCAAAAAGACCAGCGTCTTTATCGGTTACTTTTTGGGCCTTTTTTCCAGCTTCCAGATTCCGGCAATACTCAGATGAAAGATTTGGGAGGAATGCGATCGTTCAACCATTGGACCTTTTTTTTTGGATAGCAAAGAAGGGCAAAAAAAGGCTTTTCCATTGTTCGCTCCAGCGTTCATTGCCGATGCTTCTCTCGACTGCCCACCAGTTCTGGCCGCCGGGCCCAAGGACTCCCAGAAAGCGAGCCGACTCCTGTAACAACAACCAGCGGTGGTCTACCTAGCATTACAATTCTGTTTGCCAGCGCGAGGCCAAGCACGGTCACTCACCCTTTGCCGACCTTGGATCTATATATACTCATGCTTCAAGGCCCGGGCAACTCCGACCGATACACTGTACTACAACCTAGGGGATGCTGTTTTGATACGATCCGGTTATTTTTTGTTTGGTATTCGACCACGTGAAGAAAGGCTACTATCTTTTTGGAGCGAATGAAATGAAACAAGATCTCAATTTCAGGGCTTGATTTTGCGTCTCTGGCGTGCGATGGAGGACCCAGCGGCCCCATCTACGAGCAGCCCAGTCGACTATGCGAAATCTACGTGAACTTCTAAAGGTATTTCCAGCATCTCGGTATCAATATGCCACCAGGGGGGGCCTGAGTGCTGGATCGTTGCGTCCGCTCAGCAAATTCGCAACAAAGGTTCGACGCTGTCGTTTCCTCTCTCGGCCCAGCAGCGAGCATGGAATGAATGCATTGATCCTGATCTCTCCCTGTCCGCGTAGTTCCTGCATAATCAGCATCCGCCGCCGCCCAGGATTAACTCAGATTGCATACTCGGTTGGGAGAGTACAGCGGTATCGTGGTTACTAAGTTCGCCTCCACCAGAATTCCTGTTTTGGGGAAGGAAGGCTTTGACCGTTTGATCTGGTTTGTCCAGGACAGGCCAACACCCATTGGAAATACTCACCCAAACACCCTCCCCTCAGCACGCCTCCCCTCACCTTCCCCTCTCAACCAAGTCTGACAAGGGGAAATGCTTCAGACGTCACTGTGCTTTGACGCCGTCCGTCGGGAACAAGATGGATTTACAGATCAGCGACATGCATGATGTGTGCGTCGTAGGTGTGTGACACACCTAGATGTAAGTTCTCGTGAGTGGTGTACTAAAAGACTACGCGACTGACTTACTTACTACACATGGACCAGTCTGTACAAGTACGAACCCTAACGTAACAAAAGATCCTTGTCCCGTCCCATATCGTAGCCATGTATGTTGCTACAGAGGATCCATATCGTTCATGGTCATATACTAGGTATATACTCGGTACTGCAAACCATGTCCATAGGTCCCGAGCTTGGAGACTTGCTTGATGCGGAACCTTCCCCTACCCTAGGACTTCCTCACTTGCTAGGTACTTGACTCACATGGCTACTTTCCCGTCTAACTCATCTTCCTTCCCCCGTCGTCCCGAGTCTTACACATTTCTGCCCGGCCGCTCGGTTCCGCCGCGCTGGCGGAAAGGCTCGGTCCGGATATATTTGCATGCTGTCTGTATTCGGAGTATTATGTGTGTATGTCTAGGTTTCAGATATCAAGGTAATGGATGGAATGTAAGGTAATATAGTATAATAGAATATAACGCCGCAGGAGATGACATGACCCAAGGTGCAACGACAAGAAGTGAGGCGAGACAAGCGTGGGAAGGCAAGGGAACGGCAAGGCTTGCCAAGGCAAGTTAAGCAAAGCAAGAGATGGAAGGAGATGGGATGGGATAGGATCGAATCAGTTTAGTGAGGCATTTCCGTGGGGGAGAGGGGAATATAGATACGGACTACTCACTCGGTACAAAGGGCGCTACGTACCGTGCCTAGTAGGACCTAGCAACCAGACCAGATGGAATGCTAGGAGGCTAGACTGGGAAGCAAGGAAGCGGCCAAGGGCGGCTTGAATCAGGCGGGGAAGAACGTTCAGGAGATAGGCGATGGTCGGGGAGATCGAGAGGTGGTGGCCGGGGATGGGGAGGCAGTAGCACAGGGAGTGGGAGAGGACAGGTAAAAGGCAAGAAACAAGCATCAGGGCGTTCAGCACTGCATATCTACAGTGCATTGGTGTGCGCCAGATGAGCGCCAAGGGAGTTGGGGAAATATGGACTCCGTATAGAGCAGCAGGCTTCATGGCGGGAGTTGGTCACGTAGTCAATTTTGCGTACTCTCCCTCGTTCTCTGGCGCAGACTCTTGCATTTGCTCTAGTTAGGGATTGAATGTGTTTCGCTACCCCTGAGTTACGTAGGATTCTGCATTCTTGCCTTCCGTCTGCACACAGGGCAAGTTAGGGGGCTGGTGAAGGGGAGGAAGGATATGGCTGTTGGGGAATGGAGGAAGCACAGGAGCAGGAGCAGGAGCAGGAGCAGGAGCAAGAGCAAGAGCAAGAGCAAGAACAAGAACAAGGCCACAGAGCAGACGCGGACTTCAAGACAGAGTCAAGAGTCAAGAGTTAGTTATTTGCTAGTGGATTACTATAAGTAGCAATGACCACGAGCATGATTGCAAGCCAGCCGTCTAACAGTCCAGCCTTACGGCTATAGATACATGCCACCACAGACGACTCCTCCACTAGCAGATTGACCATTATCGTCATATCGGAAACTCCATGTCGTGTTTCTTTTTCTCTTTTCCAGTTCAGACAACAAATAAACAAACACCACCAGCCACTTCACCCGTCCCTGCTTGATGCCCGTTCATGCACATCTGGACAACGAGATCAAAAGTCCAATCATCAGGCACACTAGAAAAGATTGACACTCCTGTGGGATCGTCTGGCTTCTTTGTCGATCCTTCATTCTTGCCGTCCCCGTCTCCCAGAAGACGACTCGGTCACCCCATCCTAGTTCTCTCTCCCCGCTCTTGAGAGAATTGCCCAACTAGTGGGCGTGAGAAATGCGGTTTGGGTCCGCTTCCTCGAACAATGATGCGAATGGTGGAGGACGTGTCGTCCCAAAGTAGACCATCGTTGGTGGTGTTCTCGTCGGGTTCCGTTGCTTTAAACATAAGCCATCTGAGACGCCTTTCTAGAGAGCAAATAGCTAAACTTTCACTCGCTGTCGCTCTCCTCCTTACTGACCCCGCTCGCTCTTTTCTTCTCCTTCTTCTCTTTCTTTTCCTTTTTCCTCCGTTTCCGCTCAGCTCTCTCTTCGGGCGTCTCGCCCTCATGTTTACTCTTGCGTTTCTTCTCCTTTTCTTCCTTGATTTTCAGCGTCGACTCGCCATTTGTCGTCAGGGGCTCCGCCGCCGCTTCTGCTGCAGACGGGACCGCCACAGTCTCGTCGAGATCCATTTTTCCGGCGGTCTCACCATTGGGAGCAACGGGTGGAGCCGAAAGGACATCCGATTTGGAGGTTGTCTCTCTCACGGGGACGGATCTTGTGCCTTCTGCCGTGGCAGAAGCGCCGTAGTCAGTGTATTCAGCATTCCATTTCGCCGGAGTATTTTCGTTTGGTCGGCCGTATTTCTAAATTGGGAGGTTAGAATCAAGAAAGAGCGCAAATGGGGGAGGTGAAGGCCGTACATCAAGCTTTCCGTCGGATTTCATCTTCTTTTTCTCCAGCGCCACAGGTCCCATGCCCCATCGTCGCGGGTACAGGTCTCTCTCCATGATACATCTCTTGACCTTGGCAACAACACCATGATCACAGGTAGATAGCTCCACTGTTGACATCAGCGCAATACCAAGAGCGATCGCCTCGCCTTTAGTGGTCATTAGAACGACCTCTTCGTGCACTTCGATACCGGCCTCGAAGCGTAGTAGACCGGGGATCATCAGTTTGGCGCCGTAGCAGACAGCATTAACCGCGCTGTCCTTGACAACAATTCTCTTGTACGTGGTCAGGAGACTCTCGAGCGGGGAAATCACTCTCCGCAGATAAGACTCGTCCCGGTTGTTGTCCATCATCCATTGTGCATCGAGGACATCGTGCAGTGTGACCATGCCGTCGCTCTCGGCCATCGCCCCACTCCTTACCCTTCGCAATTCCTGCATGTGCGCACCAACACCTAGCAGCAATCCCAGATGGACGCAAAGAGTCCTGATGTAGGTTCCCGCTTCGCAGCTGACCCAGAAGACGCCGAGGTGGCGGTCATTGTCGAATTCGTACAGTTTGCTCTCGTGGATGGTTCGGATACGGAGCTGTCGCTTAACGGCGGAGATGAGAGGAGGTCGTTGGAACAGGGCGCCCGTCAGGGTTTCCAGTGCTCGAGCAAATTGCGCTTCTCCTCCAGGCAGTTTGTCGTGTAGTCGTATGACGCAGACGTATTCTTTTCCGGCACCTTGCTGCGATTTCACCAATCTTGTGGCTCGGTCGATGCAAACAATCAAGCATCCTGTAACTTTGGGGTCAAGTGTGCCGCTGTGGCCGGTTTTTTCTACCCGCAATATTCGCTTGACCCAGGCGACGACTTCGTGGCTGGAAGGATTCGAAGGTTTGTCGAGATTGATGACGCCGGAAGAGATGTAAGATTTGAGATCGCGCTTCAATGGTGTGCAACCCACGGGGATGGGCGTGAAGTGGCCGGTTCGAACCAGCACTAGAATCGAGTGTTAATTGGAGCTTGGGAGGCCATGACCTTGGAGTCTTACATTTGTCATAGTTCTTCAGCAGAAGCGGCCATTCAGATGTAGGAATCTGGGGCGTGATATTTTCTGGTTTAATGCTGAAATCAGCCTCCGCGACCTTCGCCATGTTGGCGGAATTGCGTTGGCCCAAACTGAGAGTTTGCTGCGCGCAGATAACTGTGCACGGAGCTAGCTGGGAGCTAGAAAAATGCTGGATAAGTCACAGAGGGAAGGGCCCCTAGACGAGATACTCTTTTGAATGCTGCCAATACTGATGTGGGAATATGTAAGACTATACTAAAAAAAAAAAATAATCTCTAGTCTTTGCGACCGCAGAGCGAAAGAAATGGAGTCGAGCAAAATCTTGAATTCGGCGTGTCGGTGCGGAGAGTCAACTAGTCCTCATACGGACTAGGGCGTAGACGAGGCTTGGCACTATCAAGGCCCGAAATATTTTCAGGCAACGTTCAGACGACGACATTCAAGACACTGTGTCCGATCCTTGTCACAATATAAACAATCTCTTTCCTCCCATGCTTCGCGGAATTTCTTTATTTCCTCCGTCACATCCCATTTGCAACTCCCCATGAGCGGCGGCGGCGGCGGCGGCGTTGATATCATGGACAGATTCTGGAGCACGCCTCCGGTTACTCGGTTGGTGAATTCCCTGCGTCTCTAACTCTTAGGTCCTGCATATCTAACAATTCAAAGGACTATTGTAGCGGCGATGTTTGTAGAATCTGCACTGGTCCATTCAGGTCTGGTGCCTTTCAGGTGGATTTTGTATTATACGCCGTGGATATTCAAGTTCCCCCCTGAGCTTTGGCGGCTACTTTCCTGCTTCCTCCTGACTGGTGGTGGCTTTTCCTTTGTCTTCGACCTCTATTTCAGTAAGTCACTGTCATCACCTACCTGGATGTGTCTAACTTGATCAGTGTACACATATGGCACCGGCCTAGAACGGAATTCTCCTCGATTCACGCAACCGGGGGACTTCTTTACCTATGTCCTTTTCGTGGCAACTGCCATCTTGGTGAGTCCTCTAGCTGTTTCTTTCCCCAACTAGTCTTTCCTGTCGTAAACGTCGACACCTCGCATATCTGCCCGCCCAGTCTTTTCTAGCTGAAGCGGTTCCTGGAAACGAGGGAGATTACCCCTGTGGCACATAAAGCTCTCTTCATTCGCAAATCTGTTAAATGGGACTTTATGCGGTACAGGCATGGTGGTGGCTCCATTGAGAAAGCTGTTCGTGAAAAATCAATCTGCGTATGGCGGTTTAGGCTCCCTACATCTCATCATATTACCAACTCTCTGGTTTGCCCACAGCCGAGTAATGGCGGTCTGCTGACTTTGGACCAGGCATCTGGAGGCCTTGTTCTAGGTGGCCGTGTCCTTACGCAAGCCCTACTCCTTGCCTTCATATACACTTTCGCCCAAGACAACCGGGGCAAGAAAGCACATTTTGTCATTCTCCAAATCCCCGTCGAGCTGCTTCCATGGGCCATGCTCACTCTGACCCTAATAATGGGTGGTCCGCAAGCAGCTCTAGAACAGGCCACTGGTGTCTTTGCCGCCCACCTCTACGACTTTCTGACAAGACTGTATCCGACTTTCCAGGGTGGGAAAAATTACATACAAACTCCAGCTGCGGTCAGGAGATATTTCGGCGCAGATAGAGGCTCATTCACTCACAAGGCTCATGGAACGAGCTTCAGACCTGGCCAGAATATCCCCCAACAGCAGAGTCGCAGTTGGACTAGTGGTTTTTCAAACTCGTGGAGTGGTAGGGGCGCAGGCCGGCGGCTGGGAGGCGACTGAGGGACCTTTGATCGGCCATATTCATGAGAAACAACCTGTACAACAAGCCTCGACGAGAAATGAGATACCCGACCAATCAGACATATTGGATTATCCAGCAGCATCCCAGCGTCTCCGGTATCATCCTCCAGCATGGATTCCTCTGCCAAGACCAGTCTCCGTGCACCTGAAACATGTTGGACCTCAGGGGTCGATCCACATGGCATCCACAGCCTTGTCTTCTCCACAGGTCTCATACGCTTTTCGTCTCACGGCTGTTGTGTTTCCGGTCAATCTTCTCCCATATTCTCGACCTGCCCGTTGTGACTCGCTACGACCAAGATGGACCTGCCACGTCACATGCTCCAAAAGCTTGCTTGCCGAGGCCAAGATGCGTCTCGAAGCATTGAGGAAACACTGTCCACGCAATGCTTGAGCCAGACCCCTCGCTTGCACTGGACGCAACTTAACGCGCATGCATATTAGCCGGTTGACTTTTCCGCATCAACAAAAATCATGGATTTTGAGGCTGTGCGTCCAGTGATCATCATTGACGCCCGCTATGACGGCCATGTTCCCTGCCACCAGCCCACAGGCTCGTTGCTCTGAATGCAAGAGAATTGTGGTTCTCGAGTATCACATTTGGATTCACCCACCAGAGACCGCTCATGAACGTGGGAAAACAAAGGCGCGGGAAAATTTTTTCTCAAGACTCCTCAACATATATGAATGAAAAATTCTCCCGCTTCTGAACCTCCTCCTTGGCTGTCTCGACATCCCGTGCCCTTTCCTCTCTTTTCGCATTGATACTACAGCAGGCAGGCCCTGCTGCCACTCGCCTTCATTTCACTCTCACAGGCTTGCCTTCATTTCGTTCATCTGATTTATAGCTCACGCCACCACAGACAACAGGTTGTCCTTTCATTTCCACCGACGCAATGGGCCGGTTCCTCATCTTTTCTTCTTTCAGTCTCTCTCTTTTCCTCTTACCGGGCGTCCTCGCTGGCTTTGAACCAGGCCACAATCTTCCATCGTTGGCATTGGCCGCAGCTCTTTGCGTCCCGGGCCTTTTCGTCTCCGGCGTCTCCGGCTATGTCCTGCCAGTGACGCCTTCCCGTGAGGAGATGGCTTGGAAACGTGACTCTCTCCTCCCACGAGCGCACAAGCATTCCAACAAGAACAAAGACAGTGGTGCTGCCGCCGCCGCCTCAAGCAATCAAACTGTAGTCGACGCCGCTGCTGCTTGTATGGTTGCGGCAATGGAAGCTGCTGTCAACCAGACCGGCGTAGCCAACGTCACCGAAGCCGTGGCCACGAGCAACACCACCATGGCCGACATCGTCAAGGCGTGTGCCGGAAACTCTACGGACTTGGTCCAGGCTGTAGCTGTGGCCATGAACGAGACGGCAGCCTCAGCCAACGTTACCAGCGACACAGCCGCAAGCAATGTTACAGCTGACACATCTTCAACCAATTCCACTTCCTCGTCGACCGACACCGATACTGGGAATGGAAACAACAATGACAATGGCAACAGCAACAGCAACGGCAGCGGCGGGGGTCGAGGCAAAAACAACGACAACAATAACGCTATCAACGTGGTCATTGATGACGCCTTGCAAGTCATCAACAATGTCATAGGCAAGCGGGGCTTCTCTGACGACCTCGTCACGAAAACGAAGCGCGACAACACGAAATATCGGGAAAGCGTGGTGCGCAAGAAGTGGGTCGCCGGGCTGGATGAACGGGCATTCTGAGAATCATCCCCAACATCATGCAATCGGTGTATAGGTGTATAGATAGATCTTCCTGGGCGGATTGATTCATGGTGTGGGTTTCCCGCAAAGGGGAAAAGCGAAACGGCACTGGAGTTCGAATGAGCAATGGGAAGGGACGGAGCTGCCACGCCGGCGAAGGACGTGGGCGACATTACGAAAATGGAAATGGATATTGGATCCAGAGTGAAGAGGGGAAATGGTCCGCAATATCAGAAGCGTCTCTGGAATTCTGAAAGGGTGGTCCCTTTTTGGGGAAAGTGTGGGAAAGCAAACCAAAAAATGGGTGTGTACGAAATACAATGCAATGCAAACGAAATGAAAATGAAATTGGGGAAAGCGAAAAAGGGACATAAGATTCCAGTTTGGAGAGGCCAGGATCAGCCTGAAGCCATACGAAGAGCAAGCTGGAAAAGAAAAGTTCTTCATGAACCAGACGACTCATCTGAATCAATCTCCTATTCGATGAGATCCATGCAAAAAGCCTCCCTCCTCTCGATTCTACTCGTGAAGCTTGCTTTATACAGCGTGCCATGTAGCAGAAGCCCGATGACTCCAATGCTATGCCCGAATGTAACTGTCACTGGATGGGATATCCCCGAATAGCTCCTGCTTTTCCTTTCCGTTTTGTGTCTGTCCGTCGCACCTGGCGTATTGAATGCCATGGAAAATGTTGGAAGTAGTTGAGGCAGTAGTCGAATTGAAGTCCACGACCCTCAGGCTATGCAAACCATGATTTCTTGCTTGTCTTCTCGTGTCGCTAGTGAAACAGGAAGGGTGTGGAATCAGGATTCGCATCCCCAGTTGCCACTCTCTGCCTGCGTCCATATCATCCAACCTCTCAGTTCACATTTTGACTCGTAAAAGGTATCGGAGTCTGATCTGAGATACGTCGTAAACGATGTATTCGTTGTACAGCAAATATGCATTCGGCTCATTAGTCGGACCCGGCGGATGATTGACCACATCAGGCATTTTAATACCGATCAGGCTTGGGTGAATGCAGCTAGCATCTTTCCAGATTGAAGGTCCGGTTTGACCCACACCCCAGGTAGAAATGCAGCTGTTCTCCTTGACGCGGTCCCCGGCGTTGGAATCGGCATGTGTGAGTTTCAGAGGCGGGGTGCCCAGCTCAGCCTCGCAAAGAAGGAGCAAGCCATTCCCGCCACTATTGTATGATGCACAGTAGCCAGCACTTTTTGAGCTCATATCCGCAAGATAGACCCCTTTTCCGAACATGTAGCCTGATACCGGGGCTTCTGGTGGTGCAATCCGCAAACCTTGGCTGAGGATACCACCAAAGTTCGTGACGCGTGATCCATGCCAAAGCAAGCGACGATCACTCTTTGAACCGAGATTTGCGTACGGCGACTTGTCGAGTCGGTCAGCTTCACCATTGCGCTCGATGCGGAAGATATCCTGGATTGCGTACGTGACGCCGTGGGTGCTACCAGTTGACTTATTAAGGTAGTGGAAAATCTCGGCGAATTCTTGACTGTCTTGACCCAAAGGAACCATCTCTTTCATGCCGAGTCCTTGGTATTGTCTGTCCAGCATGTGAAGAGACTTGTGTTCCGCGACCGCTGCGGATTTAATGATCTCATTGGCCAATTGCATATCCGTCAACGTCTCTAGGAGCTGAATTTCTCTCTGTAACACAATTAGCGAAGAGCTTGACAGCGACGACAGTCATGCGCACGTACCTTAATGGAATCCATATCCTTGAGGATGGGTAGAGATCGGCGACCAACGACATGTGGCACGAGTGAGAAGTACTGATTGCTTCTGTCCATGACGGCTTGACCTTGTGACTCTCCCATGACTGTGGCAGCAGAAGGGTCGGCAATGAGCAAGGCCAGCTCTTTGAGGACTTCATAACCCTTGAGGAGAGTCTTCTTGCTAAGCTTCCCAAGAGGCATTTTGTTCGCGTCGTAGTTAAGGTCAGCCATGGTGTTATTGAAGAATTGTAGGTTGAAGATAAGTTCCATCAGACGCTGGACCGGTGGCACGAGTTTGCTCTCGGCAAAGACCTTTTCTTTCCTGGGAGACTCATCTTTTGGCCTGACTTGCACGGCGGCCTTCTCAGCCTCGTCCTCTGAATCTGCGTAGTTGATTTCGAGATAGGCGTACTTGCCCTTCTTGGACGGTGCATCCCTATTTTCCCAAGTGAGACCAGCTTTCTCTTTGAATTTCATCTCGAACAACCGACGTGCATCGTCAAGGGAGCTGTCACCGAGCAACTTGCTTTGACCATTCTCACCCACACGACCCCAGCGTGTCCCTATGCCACCGTTAGGGTCAAAGATCTGTCTCGCCGACACAGAACTTTGGAGGAACCACCGAAAACACCGGTACCAATGTCAAGGGAAACTCACAAGTGTAGAATTCATTTCTCTTGTTCAAGAGCTGTAATCTGTAGAATTTGTTGTTGTTCACTTTTGCATCAGACTTGTTTAACGTAGCGTCGTAAATCGTGCCGCTGTCGTCCACGTGAACGGCGTAGTGTGAAGCGCAGATGACAAACTGATCCACTGGAACTTGGACCGTTTTGATAGCTAAGGCCGGGTTAGGCAGATCGGCTGGTTTAGATGGTTTGGTTTTTTTGGTCGGTTTGAGATCATCCTCATTGTCGTCATCTTTCCTAGAGCGTTTTAGCGACCTGGCCGCCGCTTTTTGAGGAGGGTCAGGCTCGTCATCGTTCGCTACATCGTCATCATTTGTTGGTGAATCCTTGAGTAGATATTGCTCAATGTCAACCGGTACACTCGAGGCCAGAGACGCAGCCAGCCATTCGTAAGCGACAACAAGCGTATTAGGGTTCTTTTGGGCTTGAGTAATACGACCGAGTTTCCTATCAAACTGTGTGCGAGTGGCGATCAGGTGGGTACACTGGCTCGGCGACGTCGTGTAAGAACCGCCGCAGTCGAAAATGTCAGTCTTCAGTTCGGCGACACTTTTGTGTGACAGTTCAGGATGCGCGCTGGGGTTGTACGCAGCGAAGCTGATAGCAACGCCGTCCAGCGCAGGGATAGTAGGTTGTGAAGGCTGCTTGATTCGAACCATTTTCCGGGGTGCTTAGTCCAGAGAGGGCGCGAGAGGGCGCGAGATGCATGGGTCAAGAGATTGAGAGCGACAGACCTTTCTTATTTATGGCATTTCAAAGAAGCATTTGGGGGTAAAGGCAGCAGCTCCTCTTTCTCAAGCAGTTACCTGGTAGTGGAGCTGATATTCGGGTGAGAACCAGAAGAAACAGGTAAAGCTTCAGGCGACAATTCACCAGGCGCGTCGAGAGGAAAAGTTAGTTAACGCGAACTCACGTGCCAGTGCCACGTGCGACGCAGCTGGTGACGTAGCTGGAAACCCTGTCGACTGGCGCAACCTGTGCATCAAAAGAGAACAATATACTAGACGAACCGCCTGAGCGGCACTGCAGCCCAAGCCCCAGAGAACAAAAGAATGGCTGACAAAGCCCGCACTGACACGAACCCTTTCTTGCGCCGGCCACTTTACGTCTACGATCTGCCACCCGAACTGCTATTTACCTTCACGCTTGCTGGAGGGGAACAGCCGCAGGCGCAGGCGCAGGCGCAAGAGTCGCCTTGCGAAGCGATACCTCCAAGTCGACAGGCCAGTCTCAGCGAAGATGGTATTGCAACTTCAACGTCATGTGCTCTGTGCAAAGTCGTCTTCGACAATGTCCAGGACCAGCGACTGCATGTCAAGTCGGATTTCCACCGATACAATCTCAAACAAAGCATAAAAGGAATCTCTCCAGTTGATGAATCCACTTTTACGAGGATGATTGGTGATTTGGATGAGTCGCTCTCAGGATCAGACTCCGAAGAGTCAGATGAAGGCGATGGAGAGGACACAAAAGGCGGAGACAACACCTTAACTGCTCTACTCAGGCGGCAGGCTAGGATATCGCATCCACAACCGACCGATGACACAGAAGGCTCCAAAAAGCGGGGGTTTGGCAATGCCCCGTTATTATGGTTGTCAAGTCCTAAGATCGGAAATGATGTTGGCTTGGGCATCTACCGGGCTATATTATCAAACGAGGAGCAAGAGCAAGCATCCACTTCCCTTGTAGAGATCCTCAGGACAAAGCAGCTTAAACCGACAGTGCCAAAACAGGGTGGGAAGTCGCACGGAGACCCAACACATGCTGTCGCAAATGACCCTCACTTCTTCCTCTGCATGATCGGGGGCGGTCATTTTGCCGCCATGGTCGTCTCTTTGGTGCCAGAATTAAGGAAAGGACCGGGTGGCATTGAGGAGCGCCACGCAGTTGTTAGAGCTCATAAGACCTTCCACCGATATACCACGAGACGGAAACAAGGTGGCTCTCAGTCCGCAAATGATAACGCAAAGGGAAACGCCCATTCTGCGGGTTCATCCATTCGGAGGTACAACGAGATGGCTCTAGAGGCAGACGTGAGAGCGGTATTATCGGAGTGGAAAGAGATGGTTGACTCCGCTGAATTGCTTTTCATTCGAGCGACCGGAAGCACCAACAGAAGAACCTTGTTCGGACCCTACGATGGTCAGGTCTTGAGGAGCAACGACAAGAGGATACGTGGGTTCCCTTTCAGCACTCGTCGGGCGACTCAAGCAGAGCTTCTGCGTTCATTTCAGGAGCTTACGAGGTTGAAAGTGGGGAAATTTGTTGAGCCGGCTGCTGAGAAGCGTTCACTCGAGAAACCTGCTATCAAGGAATCGAAACCGAAACCGCAAGCATCGAAGCTTAGTGGGGAAGAGGAGACCGCTCGGTTTCATACTTCTCAATTACAAGGCCTTATTCGCCGTTCAAAGGCACCGGGGGTCTTACTTTATTTAACCAAGAACGAACTGTCGCCAGATTTCACCTTCTTTCCCCCTTCTGACCACCATCACGCCCCGACTCCGCTTCACCTCTCTGCGTCGACCAATTCGCCAGCATTGGTATTGGCACTGCTCACCAAAGCAAAGGCCAACCCGACCATAAGGAACGGCGACGGCAGAACTGCGTACGATATCGCCGGTGACCCCAAAACTAGAGACGCCTTCCGCATCGCTCGACACCAACTCGGCGAAAGTGCCTTCGACTGGTCTGCAGCGCACGTCCCCTCGCCGCTCTCACAAGAAGAAGCAGACGCAAAAGCAATACAGGAGAAAGCGGCCTCTGACGAGGCCGAGACAGAGCGCAGAAAAGCCGGTCTAGAGCACCTCCGGCTGGAAGAGGAAAAACGCAATTTGAGCAGGATAGAAAAGAAGGCAGGGGCAGGGAAGACGCTCGCAGTAGCCGCGGTGGAGAAAACCGGCGCAGAGAAGCGGGAGGAAGAGGTCAGAGGGTTGACTCCCGAAATGCGCATGAGGCTGGAGAGGGAAAGGAGGGCAAGGGCGGCTGAGGAGAGGATCCGGCGCATGCAGGGGGCGGGTTGAGTTAGCTTTCAAAGAGACGTGGGAGAAAATTCTAAGGAGCGAAAATGGCAGCTCTTTCTGGTAGAGCAATCCATCGGAAAATTGAAAAGGTCAAGCCGCTCAGTTCAACATCCATGTTTTCCGCAAGCGACTTCACTCTTCTTAGGCACGAACACCTGTCTCACCTGACTGCCTGCTGGTGTCCATGCACAAAGTATCTATGCGAAGCTTCTTCAGAACCACACTCTCAATCCCTTAGACAGCACCCGTCCGTCTCTTCGGCGATCAACTCGCCACCAAAGAGACTCGCGACTCGCGACCTCACACGACGATCTCATGCTCCTTGAACAAGGGGAAATTCCTCACCAGGTAATCCCTCGCCTCTTGATAGTCCTTTTCCAGCATTTGCCTATGTCGGTCGCTCCGGATGGTGATGTCGCATTTATACCCGTTGGGGCGGATGTTGAATCCGTCCGTGTAGTCGTACGTGTCGTAGACGCAGCCCTTGGTCGGGCGGATGTCGAAGCACCACAGCACCCGTGCCAGGGCGATGTACAGGTTGTTCGACGCGAGGTCCGCCCCGGGGCAGATGCGGCGGCCCCAGCCGAACGAGGAGTGGCCCAGTTTTGAAGGATGCGAGATGCCGCGCTCCACAGGCGTGGACGCGAGGTAGTCCTTGGGCAGGTAGTCCAGCGACGCGGGGTCGTCGACGTCCAGGAAGCGCAGCGGGTTGAAGTGGTCTGGGTTCGGGTAGTATTGCTCGTTGAGGTTGATGGCCCAGCTGTTTCCGAGGATGTTCGTGCCCTTGGGGATGTAGTAGCCCTGGTATGTGTCTGCTTCGGTGCTGGCATGCGGAGTGCCGCCCAGCACTGCGACGGGGCGCCAGCGAAGGGCTTCCTTGCAAATGGCCTTGATGTAAGGAAGCGAGGGTTCATCCATGTAGCCCGGGAGGCGGTCTGGGCCGATCACGGCGTCGAGCTCGGCGTGTGCGGCCGTGAGGACTTCTTGGTTGGTTATGATCGCTAGGATCGCGGAAGAAAGAGTCGATGCTGTGGTGTCTGCTCCCGCGCCGAATACTGACGCAGGTAAACTCGCAAAGTCCCTCTCACGCAGCAGAGCGAATGCAGAGGGGTCCGCAGCGCGGTTCTCCAGAAGCTGCTTTGCCAGACTGTTGGGAAGGGGTGGGGCACCTGGTTTCTTCGCATTTTCAATATCCTCGCGGACGTAATTGAGCAGTTGCGCATTAGCTTGCTCTTCTTCTTTGCCCCAGGATTTGATCTCTCGCTTCCAAGGCGCCAATGCGTCAGGAACATGTTTTAGGATAGGGAATGATTCGACAAGATACCGACCGGGAACGTTAAGAGCAGCATTCCAGTGCATTATCTTCATGCGTTGGCGTATGATCGGCGATTGCATACTGTCGATACGGTGCCCGTAGGCGATTGTAAACACGATTGAGGCTGTGAAGCGATTCAGAAGGTTGTCCAAATCTTCTGGATGCTCGAGAAGTTGATGACAGAGACGTGCGGCTTCAGCTTCCTGGACAGGTTTGTAGTGTTGAAGCGCCCTCTGGGTGAGCACACTGTGGAGGGCTTTCCGACGGACGGACCAGTCCTTGCCGTATGGTTGCACGAGGATGCTGCTCATGTCCCAGAAGATTTCTCCCATGGCAACGAAACGAGGGCGCGAACTGTACTTGTGAGAGCGCTTCTCGAGCAAGTCGACGGCCACATTAGGATCAGAAATGATCACCGTCGGTCGACGACCAAACCACAAGGTGTAAATCGGCCCGTACTTTCTCGACCATTCTTGGAACTGAATCCATGGGTATTTTGCCGGAACGTCCAATTTGTTACCGATGAAGGGCAACGGCTGAGGGCCTGGAGGCATTCGTTTCCATAGGATCACATCGTGAATCACAACACCAAGCACTCCCAGCAACAACAGACCTGTGACGCCAGACCAGACATAGAAGATGGTAGACCAACTCATAGTTGAGGAGGGTGTACCAACCAATTCGCAATATCTCGCTCCAAATCGTACCAGAAATGGTCACTCAGCTTACTGGCTTCAATGAGAGGCAACAACGACGTAGAGGGACCAAGACATACAGCTGTGAAAGAGTCCTGCGTGAGTATTCTGGCGGAGGTACATAGAAGAGAGAATCTAGGAAATTGGGGAGACATCGGAGCATTGCCGTTAAATCCCCCTCCGCCAGTTCTAGAGATTTGGGAGCCCTGAACACGATACCTCTTCTTCTGGTCAACAGCGCATCTATCATTGGTGGACAGAATGCCTGCCACTTCGGCTGTTGTGCCTTTCATGAAGAGAAGATCCGCTCTTCGTGGGGCGACAATGCATGTGCGGAGAAGACCCATCGCATGCCAAAGCCCGACACCGCCGAGATCTTCGGCAGTTGTAAGTGTCGACGAGGTGCCGGAAAACCCCCATTTCGACAATTGTCTCTCCATACCTTGCATCGATTCTCGATTTGGATAGTGGATTGTGCCAGTGGCAATCCACTCGTGGAAAAAGCATGGGAACCGAAGATGGTGCCTGGGGTAGAGAGAGTTGAAGAGACCAGGACCTGCAACCATCCCCCTTCAAGTGACCCGGAAGATTTATGTAGACCATCAGGATTGATTCGAATGAACAATTTACGCAGACCTGCCTCAGCATCTGATTTTGCGACGAACAATCAGACGAAAGCGACCTATGCAAGATGTCCAGCTTCGCAAGGCTACCTCCGTCCGGCATCAAGGTGATTATTGTCGGTGCTGGATTTGCTGGACTGTGTGCCGCAATAGAATGTGATCGGAAGGGGCATTCTGTGATATTACTGGAGAGAGTCCCGGAACTGAAGCCCCTGGGAGATATCATTAGCTTTTCGTCAAATTCGGGTCATATCTTCGAACGATGGGAAGGTGTTGTTGAGGAGCTTGAACCAATCAGCCATCACAGTGAAGGGCTTGATTTTTATGATTGGAAAGGAAATTTCGCTACGAGGCAAGTATGGGATGTCGAGAAGCAATGGGGCAGACGGATCAATGGCCACCGGGGAGAGATCCACCACGTTGTCTTCCAGCACGCCAAAGCCAGGGGAATTGATATCCGGCTCGGTCAACAAGTGACGGATTATTTCGAGACAGACACAGAAGCGGGCGTGGTCGTGAACGGCGAGAGGCTAGTGGCCGACTGTGTGCTTGCAGCCGAAGGCGTCAAGTCGGCGGGAAGGAAGATTGTGCTGGGTTTTGAAGACCGACCCAAAGCCTCAGGATATGCTGTGTATCGATCTTGGTTTCCCTCCGATGATCTCGCCAAGAACGAAAGGACGAAGCATTTGGTGCTGAACGGCGACTCTCATTCCGGATGGGTAAGCACATTCCTCGCATGCTCGACGTTTCAGTCTCCCTGACCTCTGCTGCAGATCGGCGAAGACAAGCATTTCCTGGCGGCGTCAATAAAGAACGGCACAGAATTCAGCTGGGTTCTGACACACAAAGATGATGCGGACATTGATGAGGACTGGCAATTCCCAGGAGACAAGGAGGAGGTCAAGAAGAATTTGCAAGGCTGGGCTCCAATAGTTCACGACATTGTTCATGCCACACCTCCAGACCGACTCGTCGATTACAAACTCGTCTTTCGGGATCCATTGCCGACCTTCATCTCGCCCAAGGCTCGGATTGCATTGATCGGTGATGCTGCACACCCCTTCTTACCAACATCAATCCAAGGAGCAAGTCAATCAATGGAAGACGGCGTGACACTTGCAGTCACGCTCGAGAAAAGCGGCAAGGACAACGTTCCTCGCGGCATTCGGGCATATGAAGCCATCCGGTATGAGCGCGTCCACAGAGCGCAGAAGACTGGCGTCACCACGCGCGAGCAATGGCACAAGGCCGATTGGGACAAGATATGGAAGGACGTCAAGTCTTTGCACCTGAAGCGGGAGGCCTGGCTTCTGGACTTTGACGCGGAAAAACACGCGTACGAGGTTGTCGACGATGTGTTGAAGAAGCTGGATCGAGGCGTGTTGACGAGGACCGACGGCGTAGCAGAGCCAGTTCCTAACGGAGTGCAGACGAGACTAGCTCAAGAGATTGACCAGCTCGCATAGCTCATAGTATCTATGTACCGTAGCAGTAGCAGCAGTAGCAGCGTCGTAAAAGAAATGTTACTGAGTGACTGAGTAAGAGAGATGATTAAGTCAATGTATGCCAACAGCTGTCGGGCACTTCCCGCAGTTTGCGCTGGTTGTCTCACTGCGCACTTTATCGTTTCTTGTGTCCGCCCGAGTCTTCTTCTGACCTCTTCAATTTCACTCTCCGTCTTGTCGACAAGCTGGGCTTTGTAGCTGATATGCTACCTTCATGACCTCCATTCGAATACCTACGACTTTCTATTGCTGCCAAATATTGCCATCAGTGTTGAGCTGGTCTACTGCCGTCTAACTGAAGCTGTCGGAATTGCCCTTCACCCCCATTCAAGCCACGAATTGAGAGGCATGCCCGAGGGCAATCTGTACGAACCGCCATCAAACAGGACACGGAATGCCCAGTAATGCGCATCGACTACTACTACGGAGGTGTGCCAAAGCCACCTGACTCCCAATCCAGCAAACACATTGACACATACTGCCACAGGGCAACAATAACCTGCGAGGAGCGGTCAACACGAAGCTGAGACAGCCTTCCACCTCTACAGAGCCACTTCAACTGCCGGGATAATGTCGCTGAGTACGCGTCCATGAAGCGAGTGTCGGTGTTTGAAGAGATTGAATTCCACCTAAGTCTCGAAGGGCTGGGTCGACAACAGTGCACCATCCGAAGATGAACCCCACAATCTCCCACTTGGTCGAGCTGGGGTAGATGCAGTCCCAATGCGTCTCGCTCAATCTACACCACAGTTCTGGCGACTTGGGGGGTTTCTGTCCCTGTCACTGCTGATCCCTAGACCTACTCCTAGACATGGTATCCCTCTTGACTACTCGTCAGTGGGAGTATTCCGGCATCCCCTCCGATTCAATTCCGCCAGCTGCTGCGTTAGACTGTTGGAATGCGACAATTCAATGCATGAGCGAGGCTTTATGCCACTAATCTTCTGGGCATCTTTTCCGATCTACCTCGCCCACCGTGGACCTGTCGGTCAACTCAGTGGGACGGTGGTTCTCGCTTGCTTTAGCACATGCTCAAACCCTTGCAAGGGCTCCAAGCACCACAAGAACAACCTCTCCGTGTGCAGAACGGTGCGGAGGGGTTCCGAACACTCTTCAATATTTAACCTGGAGGTTGCCCCAGGGTGGTCTCTTTCTCCTCCCAGCCTTGCCACGGTACTCATATCGAACGGTCACGCTTTAGCAAAATGCCATTCGGAATCCTCGACTGCAAGAAACTGGAAAACGTGCCTGGCACGTCTTTCATGAGCGATCAGGATGACCTACCGCCAGAGTACGCCGAGATACCCCGAGATATGTTGAAGCATGGAAAGGGCAGGTTTTCAAACATCATCTTGATCCCTCAGCCATCCGACTCGCCTAATGATCCTCTGAATTGGCCACAATGGAAGAAGGAAATGATTCTCCTAATTGTTTCACTCTCCGCCGCCGTTGTGGGAGCCTTTGGCCCCATGTTGAGTCCAGGGTTCGTTGAGATCTCGGCTCAACTGCACATCACCGTCGAGATCTTGTCCCAGGCCACCGCATGGCTGATTCTCACCATCGGACTCGGCTTATTCTTGACCAATCCCTTGGCCAAAATATACGGAAAGAGGCCGATCTATATCCTTGCGAGCTGCATCATGTTCGCTTGCTCAGTCTGGGGTGCCAAGGCGGACAATTACAATAGCTTTCTGGCGTCAAGGGTCATAAGTGGCGTCGGCATGGCTCCGTATGAGGTACTCTCAAAATCCCCCCCAGAGACCGCCAAATATGCTAACTCGAGCTACGCAAAGGTCCTGGTCCAGTGTACCATTGGTGACCTCTACTTCGTTCACGAAAGGGCCACTCGAATTGCGGTCTGGAACTTGTTCCTCCTAACAGTAAGTCTCCATGAATTTCTGTACCACTATTGGCCAAGATTCGTGTACCGACCATCAACTAGGGGATTTCAGGCGGAGCCCTTGTGGCTGGCTACATTATTGAGTATGACGGCTATCAATGGACGTTCGGAGTATGCGCCATCATGTTCGGCGTGCTCCTGTTCGCTGTATTCTTCTTCGTCCCCGAAACCACGTATCGTCGGGACGCAGTCGTGGTTGTTCCGGTCACAGATCCAGTCGACACTGATCCCGAGAAGCCGGGTGCACAGCATGTCCACATGAAGTTGGGACATGAACATGATGTGTCCCAAGCTCATGGAGAGAAGGACAAACATCTGTCCTACACAGTCACCCGTGGATCCGCCGAACCCAAGATGTCATACCGGCAGTCACTCAAGATCTTCACTGGACGATACAGCTATGCTCCCATATATAAGATCTTTACCCGCCCTGTGCTGCTTTTCTTTTATCCGGCGGTGTTCTGGGGATTCCTCATGTATGGCACCACCTTGACTTGGATTGTGGTCTTCTGTAAGTTCCCCCTTTGGTCCCAAAGTGTTGTAGATCGATACAAGCTAACGGATATTTGCAGCTGTGGTCAACGGGGTGATATTGTGAGTTCCATCTACTTTCATGGGACTGGACCCTGTCGAAATTGGGTGAAAGCTAACAGGTGCTCGCAGTGTGGCTCCGCCCTACAACTTTTCCGTGTCGCAAGTTGGGCTGATCAGCTTGTCGCCTTTTATTCTGACGTTGCTCGGAGAGGTCATTTCTGGGCCCCTCAACGACGCAATTTGTCTCTACTTGACGAAGAAGAACAAGGGGATATACGAACCCGAATTCCGTCTGGTGCTCATCATTGTTGTCATCATCCTCGGCACCGTGGGATTCTTTGGATTCGGGGCCACTGTCCATTACGAGACGCATTGGTTGGGCCCAGTGTTGACATTTGGGTTTGCAAACATGAGCTTGGCCTTTGCCTCGACCTGTGTCTTTGGTTACGTGATCGACTCTTACCCCAAGTTGAACGAGGAAGCGTTTGTGGCCATCAACGCCCGAAATCTTCTCACGTTTGGCCTGACGTACTTCGTCAACAACTGGCTGGCTCAAGACGGCCCCTTGCAAGTCTTCTGCATCTTGGGAGCCCTCTTTCTGTTCGTCTGTTTCTTAACGATCCCTCTCTGGTAAGTTTTATGGTCCGCGTCGGATGCTGCCCGCAAATCACAAGGCTGACTCGTGAGCAGGATATTCGGCAAAAGAATCCGATCCCGGATTGGCAGGACTGCGTGGCTCCAGCGATATATGAACGACGACTTTTAGGGCGCCGGGTGACAGACATGTGATCACGACGCTGTGCGTGGGAGCGTGGTGCTTAGTGGCCGGTGTTTGTAGGAGCAGATACCAAATTGGGGCATATTCGCAGCGATAATAGTTGGAAATCTACGGGCCCAGCAACCTTCCCGTTAGAGAAATTCGACCTTTTGGGCTCTTTGGACTTTGACGACGGATGGGCGCCCAATCAAGCCACAGCTGAGATATTTAAAGGATGACCCTGTCAACCCTGTCAAGCCCTGTCCACCCTGTTCCACTCCGCCACATCCGTGACGCACCTTGGGGACGGCGAACATCCCATCAGCTCGATCAGCGCCTAGAGTTTTCAGGCCTCCATGATCCGTGGCAGCCATGGCAGCCTGCTTCGAAAGTTGGCCAAACTCCAGGCTCTGAAACAGAATACGAGGGGCCCTGCAGTCTGCGTGATCTTCCGCGTTCCGAGTAATGCTAGTGATGCTGCAGCCCTAGATTATAATAGCAATGGAAGCAGATGCCTCAACTACGGTAGACAATTCGGGTGGAATCCTTCTCATCGCATCTGAAAAGGAAGAGCACATTGTCGGTACTGGATAAATCACCCAGGAGTCCGCTACCGCCACAAGCCCGTATTTGTTTCCCGGATAGACTTCCTTTCCATACGATTTCCCCTCTTAACGGCCAAGATTATTCGCCTCACCAAGTCCAGGCCAGGGTTGGAGGGCGTGCGGCGTGCGCTGGCCTCTTTCCGCCTCAGCTTCTTGTCAGCTTCGCAAATTGGACCTGGGGTCGAGGGCACTACTTCTGCATAAGCCCTGTCACAGCTCCTGCGCAATCTGACATCTTTCTGCCTGCGAATTCTTCACCATTTCATCCTCTTGGAACCACATAGAAAGCCATCTACGAAATCATCGCTGCTACCTTCGACCTCCCTTCTCTGACCTCGGATCTGCCGCCCTGAGTCGAGTGAGCTTTCACGCAGACCGTCGCCATCATGAAGAAGAAATCCGTCTACACCAACATCACGCCGATTCCCTCGCACATCCCTCGTCAACTGGCCATCGACATGCTCCACAGCCATGCCGAAATCATCGAGCTCAATCCCCTTGTGATCGGCCACAAGCCCATCAAAGCCCCACAGACTGCGCCCGCCGATGAGTTCTTCTCCACATGGTATGAAATCAATGAGAGGATTCAATATGTCCCGGGCATAGGAAGAGCGGGAGCAGGCAAGATATCCTTCAAGGGCTGTTTCCATGACATGCCATGGGGTCTGCAGACACATGTCTATGCGCCAATGGGCGTGGACCTGCGCAATAAATGGCAGATTCGAGGCAATCAACCCGGCGAGCCTCCCGAGTCGAGGGAACTGGGAAGCGGTGCTCCCGCCGAGGGTCTCTATCTTCGTGAAGACATTGAAATCAGGTGCAACCCCGCCATGGTATCCTTTGTGAAGAAAGAGATGAAGGCAGCCTCGAAGACCATGGTTGACCGCTTGGTCAAAAAGGCAGAATTGATTGACGCCGGAGTGCTGAATGCGATGATGGCGGATGGCAGACTCAAGACGTTGAACCCTGCAGACCGCTCACAGACCTTCCAACAGCAAGGCCATTACTCCCCGTCTATGCTTTCCCCCAACCTGCAGTCAGGGTTTCCTCAGTCGCCCGCGGTCCCTGGATTCCCACAATCCGCGTATGCGAGACAATCCATGTACGGCTCGCCCGGCCCACAATACTCGATGGTGCCACCTGCTCAAGGCCTTGCAATTGAAATGGAAGGAAGTACCTATTTCGTCCAGCAGCAAGCCCCGGCCCAGCACCAACAGCAACAACAACTGCATCCAAACAGATTTTCGTCTGCAGTTTCTGAATTGTCTGCCAGCTCCCCGAATCAGAGCGACTTTCCGCAAAACAGCAGCCAGTCCGACCGACAAAGCTACGCAGAGTCTGTCAGCTCAATGCCGAGTTCCGTGCCGCACGGTGGAATGGCTTCTCCGGGTATGGAGAAGCGAACTTTCGTGGCTGAGTTACCGGCGAGTAGCGGACCTGCACAGAATAGGTCGCCTAGGAGTCCTGATCCAAACGCAATGTCGGCGCAAGCTCAACAGCAACAAGCGCAGCAACAGTACCGATACAACCCCCAGGATTATGCTCGAATGTCATGAGCTGAGATGTTGTTTATGGTGACGAGTTTCTTTTGTGACGATTTTTGGAAATCTGTATATTGAACGTGGCAGAGTTTCGTTCAATTCGACTAATTGGGCAGAAGCACGCCGTGAGCTTCACTTGAACATTCGCTCTCAACCAGGAGACACGAGACGCGATGGTATGTACCTTGGAAACCACTTCCTCATATGCTGCCTCCCAGATTGCCAATGTGATGCCCGGCTTGCGACGCCTGTCATTGAAGATTATGGCTGTTCCTTGAGGACCTACGACTTTGCACCAGCATGGCGTCCGGCTACTATCGCTCACGACCAGACACCTCTGGAGACAAGTCTCCGAGTCGGACAGCTTCGCCGCTCAGTGCAACAGAAACAATCACTTGAAGGGTTGAATAAACGCAGTCACTCGATTTCTCCTCCAAGACGTTCGCAAGCATGATTGTGGATCTGTTCTTTCTGGATTTCGCAGCACATATTCCTTCAACGAGTTGAATTTCTATTTGTGACGAGGCTGCTTGAGGGGCCTTCCTACTTATCTGAGTCGAGACAAATGCTGGTCGATATGGCAGTTTTGAGATAATGTCTTTTTTGGCAATGAGCTGAGAAAGGAGCAAATCGGAGTGTATCGAGAAATGACGTTTATCCGAGAATTTGACCGGAGTTTGAGCAGTATAGCGGTTGGACAGATCTAGATGCGATGGGGTCTCACAATGTTTCCTCAAACTGACCAAGGTCATAATCTTTTCTGATATTGCGGTCCCGTCGGTCAGCCTCGTCAGCCAGCCTCGTCCTCGGCAGGACCTGCAGACCCACCGGAGCCAGTCACGTGTCTTCCCAATTGACCTCGGTTCTCCCTTCAACGGTCTCCCGCGCGACTGACTCGACTCCCCACTTGCTTCATGTCATCCGGATATGACTCGTGAGTGGGTGATTAAGGCTCGAGAACGCAGGCGTCTATTCCGCAACATCTGGACGGTCGACTATTATTGAGCATCATCTGATGAAGTATATTCTTCTGCTGCGTATTCGTCCTTCCCTACAGACCGGGAAGAGCGGCGTCTGTAGAGAAACGCCTTTCGATTTTCGGCACTACAACTATGACTTGAAAAAGCGCGCGAGTGCCCAGTTGAGGATTTTATGCCTGGGGAAGGTTCAAAACAAACCCTCTGATGCACGGTGGGGTGAGAGTGACGATTTCTTCCGAGGGCTACTACAAGGGGAGAACCAAGTACTACAAACTGGTCGGGCTTGCACCCGTGATGGCTTGTTGTGTCTTCACCGCATACTTTATGAGTCGCATCATCAAGGCGTGCGAGCTCCTCGACATCCATCTCCTTGAAATCAAGTACAACGATTCTGATCCAGACTCCTATTCGGCCCCCAGATTCCAACCATACATAGGCCCGGGCACGAAGGTACCAGAACCTGCAGTCAAGATTGACAATACCGTGCACCGACGAAATGCATCTCAATCCGAGCCATTATCAACCGTTCGCATCCTGATCAAAGGGATGACCTGCTCTGCTTGCGTATCAACATTGACCCAGGCATTGACGTCCGTTCCATCTGTCGTCCGAATCAACGTGTCTCTGCCGCTTTCTCGAGCGACGGTGATTTACAACGCTATCCATACGTCAACAGAGGACTTGATCTTGGCCATTGAAGATGTAGGTTATGGCGCGGAAGTACTTGGACAAGGCAACCGACGTTCTGCGGCCCAGAATCTCCGACTCATCCAGAGAGAAGAAGAGTTACAGGCTCTGAAGAAAGCTTTCAACGGTGCAGCAAAGTGGGCTACAACGATTACAGTGATCGAATGGGTGAGGAAGACTTCCACCACCACTCAGCCTGGGAATATCCTGGAGTCCATTCTGCCCCTCATGAGTCTGGCCATCGGATGTTACGTTCAAGTTTCTTATGCAAAGTGGGTCCATCGCAACGCGTGGGCAAGCTGTTTCTCCAGAAAATTGATGCAGCTTCCGAGTCTGTCTATGGACACTCTTTTGTCTCTGTCGCTTCTGCTTAGTATATTGCTCTCATTCTTCAACATCGCCCTTCACGGCCTTTCTGATCTACAGACGAGGACCTATTTCTCCTCTGCGTCTTTTCTTACAGTTGTCATCAGTGGGGGAAGGTACCTGGACGTAACTCTGAGGAGACAGGGCGCAACTGGACTTGCCCGTCTGTTTAGGTTGCAGCGCGAAATGGAATTGGAAACAGTGATGGTGGAAGGGCGATTGCAGAAGCAAGATACCGGGTGGGACGAAGGCGATGAAGCCGTTCTGACCGCGGTCCCCACGACTCTACTTGCGCCGTTGGACAAGTTTCATATCTCGCCTCAAAGCCTCATCCCTTGTGACAGCTACGTGGTGCGCGGCACCTCTTTGGTTGACGAGGCGAACATGACTGGCGAGTCAATACCATCCCGCAAAACTGTCGGCGATTTTCTCATGTCTGGGACTCGCAATTTGTCCGCTGGACTCGTTGCTATCGTCCTCCAAGAGCAGAACGAATCAAGTTTAGAGAGACTCGTTGAGAGCGTGGAGACAGCAACCGAGTTCAAATATGATCCGATACAGAGCGGTGCAAGCTTGGACGATAAGCCAAGGAGAGCGATAGAGGATGTTATCACGAAATACTTCGTATCAACCATTCTTGTCCTGACGTTATTCGGGTTCATATTCACGTTTGTTCTCTCGGCAGACTCGTCACCGATGACTGATCGATTAAATGCTGCATCTGAACGGGCAATGGCCATCCTAGCAGCAGCTTGTCCATGCGCTATTGGCCTAGCCACCCCTTCAGCTGTCATGGCTGGTATCGACGCGGCGTACGCCTCCGGCATTCTTCTGCCAGGCGGTGTGGATGCTTTCAAAAAGCTATCTCGCCTCACACACATGGTACTGGACAAGACAGGGACGTTAACGGAAGGTAAACTGCAGATCTCAGATGCATTCTTTGCCGAGCCATTCAGATCAGATGAGAGGAAGAGGGAATTGTGCTATAGCCTTCTGGGCGCGGCGGAAAGGGATGCGTCACAAACGCATCCAGTTGCAAGAGCGGTGTTTCAGTGGTGTGTCAGACAGCTTCAAGCAACGTCTCAACCGCGAGAAATTCGAGGAGTTATGACCGAGCCAGGTGCCGCGCTGGTCAGACACATCTCAAGTGTCACAGGGAAGGGTGTGTACGCAGAAGTGCAAGGACCAGGCAAAATATGGTACCCTGTCCATATTGGCAGCGAGCGTTTTCTATCCGACCACGACATTTCCCTCGCGCCAGCCGCCATCAGCGAGCTGGGAATAGTAAAAGGAACAACTGAGGTTCATTTCGCCCTCGATGGCAAGTACGCAGGCTCGCTCATGCTGCAAGACACTATCCGTTCGAACGCCCCGGGCGTCATCGACTCGTTGAAGTCACTAGGGCTCAGATTGACCATGCTAACAGGCGACTCTGAGGCCGAAGCGCATCGTGTCTCGTCGCAGCTACAGATCCCAGTCCTTGCAGCTAAATCTCTGCCTCACGAGAAGAGAGACTTGGTCGTCTCGCTGCAGTCAGAGCATCTCTCACCATCTGGATCCCACGGGAGAACAGCTCAACTGATGTCCGACATGCGGCAGGGATTTGGTATGCTCAAGGTTCTCAGCGCTACTCCACGACGACTCTTCTCGGGGAACAAAGAAGACAGAAACATCGTTGCAATGCTAGGCGACGGTCTGAATGACGCACCCGCACAAGCAGCTGCCGACGTTGGCATTTTATTCTCACTCTCACCTTTGTCCACCCTCCACTCGGCCTCGACATCGTCGCTAGCACTGGGGATTTGCGCTGCTGAAGTGATCGTCACGACGCCTGACCTCGCTGCCTTGCCGAAGTTGATTACGATTGCAACCAAAACCATGGCTCAGGCAAGGTGGAATATGCATTGGGCGGTGCTATACAATGCCTTTGCGATTGCATTGGCGATGGGCGCCAGCGAACTGATGGGGTGCAAGACTGTCGATGCATCGACTGCTGGCACGATGATGGCATTTTCGAGTATTACCGTTTTGGGGATGAGTCTACATCTGCGCCGACGATTCCAATGAGAGATAGGCTATCCTGACCGAAAATCCCCCTCAGACCCAGGACGCCTCAGGCTGAGTAGATTGGCCCTTTGAAGACATGAGCACAGCCACTTTGAGCTCGCACTCCGGAACGGCGTTTGCAAAATACCAACTTCGCGGGGGCAAGATTTTTAGTAGATTTACAGACGTCTCATGGGCACGGAAGGCCTGCTATTTCTCGTTCAAGGCTTTACCGAGTACAGGCGATGAGCGGCATTGCAATGCATTGCAATAGGAAAATGCTCCGTGCGTGGACCGACCTATCGCAGTTCGTATGCCATCTCCAGGCGACATTGCCTTGGCCTTGTCTCCCTTTCGACTCCATCAGTGAGAACTCCCTGGCCGTTTCTTATTCCCGGCTTTGTGATTGCTGGCACCGTGGCAGCAGCAGTTTCTGATGACGCCCAGAACCTATTCAAGTACTTCAGCCCCCGAAGATTTTGCATGTATTTGTACGTCCACAAGGAAGCCGCTCCTAGAAGAAGCAGAAACCTGCGCTTTCGCGGCTGTGCCAGATCAGGGCCTATGATTTCCACGTTTGTTGCATTTGTACCCAGTACGCTCTACCTCGTACCTGCCGAGCTGCCGTTGGCCTGGCTCGCTTCAACACCATTGACATCATTCGCTTTGCTCAAAGACCCCTGATCCTGGAGTGTTTCAGGAAGAGCAGGAGCCCAATGTCCAATACTATGGAATGATAGGTATACTTGCTTGCTGGCTAGTCAAGGATAAATTCCCGGGGCAAATATAGCATGTACACAGCTGATCAGCCACTTCATGCGTCGATCATTTTATTTTCCTAAACCTGTCCCCGTGCCTTGCAGCCCCTGGTTGCGACAGTGCTGTGTCTCGGCGAAAAGCCACAGCGCCATGTCGATCTCTCCACAAAGATCGCCGTCGAGTGTTGCCTTCGGCTGGAGAACTGGAGGATCGCTGCAGGGGACGACACTTGCTGCTTCAACGTCATTTGCACAGGATGTTGGCTATCGGCTTTTCCCAATTCAACTTGGAGCAATTTCTTCTTCCAAGTCCAGCACGACCTTGCAGGGACATGGTAGCTATTGCCAGAAGCCCATTGCACTGTGGTGGCAACCAAGTTATGGAGCCCACGTTGGGGATCTGCAGAGCAATTCGAAGGTCATCCTGGAATTATTCCAACCCCAGGACACCCTTGGCTGCCTCCTGGCATGGCTCAAACTGGTACCTTGGTCTTTTCCCCATTCTTGTGCAATTGTCTCACAGCTTCTGACGACACAAGCTTGAAATCATATGGGATTCATCACTAGGCATGGCAAAGAGACAATGCCGTTGGACATACCCAGTGCCCGCTCACTGTCCTCATTGCTGGTACCCACATTGAGCTGGTCTACAAGGCCTGACCCTGCCGTTCTGGGACGAGTTACTGGCAAGGTTCCGTCCTATTACATTGAAATGTTGGAAGTTCCCTCATGCCATTGAGCATCTGTGCGAGCCAGCAACTGGACAATCGCATTTACGAAACGATACTTAATCCCTCGCAGCGATCGACGCAGGTACATGCCCGCTAAAGTCACTATGTCGATCAACGGGCCCGCAGAGCCTTGCACGGGTTGGTGTATGGGTACAATGCCAGCCGGTCACGACGACGATCGCGTTCATTCGTAGGAACAACTGGACTGATGCCTTGAAGATCATGGATGACATGTCTCAAACATGACGGCAATCCCGAACCCAATAGGATTTGGCTCTGTTGAGAGAAGTATAAAGCTGTGCGAGAAAGAACATCACATCAAGTCCTCTGTCACACTTCTTTGGCGACCTCAGCCTCCGTCGGTTATTCCAGGCAAGCTCATTCCCACGCAGCTTACAATACCTCTCGGTTCATCGCCATCAATTCCTCACTGTCAATTCCTCAGTTAAGAACTCAACATGCACTTTTCTACGGTTGCTATTGTCCTCGCCGGCGTCACCACTGCCATGGCATCTGCTATTCCAGGCAAGAGTGCTCTTGTGGACCGACAAGTGACTCTGTGCTCTGGCGCCGATAGCTCAGCAGTCTGCTGCGCAACCGACGTGCTCCGCGTTGCAGACCTCGACTGTGCACCTCGTATGTCTCTCTCGAGCCGGATCCTACTAAATCAGGAAAGAATACTGACGAAATGGTTCGACTAGCTCCATCTACGCCGACCAGCATCGATGATTTTACTAGCATCTGTGCCTCCATTGGACAGCAGGCCCGGTGCTGCTTGTTGCCTATCGTAAGAATCGACCTTTATCCCTCTGACCCTCGTCCTCCCTAATATACCGAGCCTCGTGCATGGCGGGTTTGCGCCAATGACACTTTGACTGTACTTTATTCTGAGCGTATGAGAATACTGACAATCCACAATAGCTTGAGCAAGGTCTTATCTGCACTTCGCCTGGAAAATAAGCGACGGGATAGAACATTGTCACCATGATCGAATGCGGACGGGACGTTGTCAATCCCTGGTCACTCCTTACGAAAATCGATGTCCATTATCTAGGATGCGTTACTGGTGATGTTGCACTCGGCGGAAGGGGCACGATACTGCTGCTACTTGTCTTTACTTCGCCACATTTGTCCAGAGGAATGCTGTAAGCACCCTGCTCTACTCATATTCCCATGTGAAATTATGGAATTATCTTGGGAGAGGAAGATGCGGTTGATAGAGGAGATGCTTGGCCCGGAGAATTTGGGACCTGGAAAATGTTATCGTCGATGGATAAACTTGGAGCTGGAAGGCAGCCTGGGGTCTTGTATGAAGATATTCGATTAAGAAATATCATGACAACTTCTAAACGCGACCTCCGAGGGTCAATTCGTCTAGACAGCTTCTCACTCGCCCATGGAGTGACCCCTATGAGCCTGTTCAGAAACTCAATACCCACGAAAAAGAAGACAGTCAGGCACAAAATCTTGCCTCAGAGAAAAAGGACACGTATTTACTCGACCTTCTATAGCATGCTAACCAATCTATTGGCCGGAGGGACCCTGCATATCTGCCTGATCAGCTAGGCTCCCATATGCATTGGGGGCGTGAGGCTGACACTTGGCGCTGTAGATATTCTTCCTGATAGTAGTCATCCACCTTCGGGACTCTAGCATGTAGCATAGAACCGAAAATAGCAAGAAAGACAAATAAGACATTCTCCACATACATATATAGCTAGGAAATGAGAACCGAACCACTGCGCATTTGGTGGTTACCGAGAAACAAGTTACCGAAGATGCGAGAAGACGCGGACGTCTCGCTTCGCAGGATCCGAGAAGAGATCGGCCGCCCAATCTACGCAGCCTTGCTCGAGATCCAAAAGTACAAGACCAGGGAACTGAAGTCGCTGGAATGGGTCGAGCAACTGGAATGTCTGTATGTGAAGAATGATAAGCGTAATCATCGACAACGCGGCAGATACAAGCAGAGCGACACGCCGCGGTCGTCGAAGCCACTTCTAGGTCGGAAATGCATTGACACTTTCTCTACGCGGAGTTACGTCGCCGTGTCGTATATATGGAACCCAGATCCGCGAGAGGACACTAAAACTGGGGTGTATTTTGTCGAATCAAGAGACCACTCCCACCGGTCGTCGAGTAGGTCGACAACAGTGAGAGACGTCGTCTGGGACAGAGTCACGAAATTTGCAGCCTACATAGACTGCCCGTATTTCTGGCTCGACCAGGAGTGTATTGACCAGGAAGACGAGGACGAGCAAGAAATCGCAATCCAGTCCATGCACCTCGTCTACAGCCGCAGCCAACATCCCGTTGCGCTGCTCTCGACCGCGCGCATCGTCTCTGGACAGCAATTGGACCTCTTAACCGAGATTCTTAGCGGGAGATTCATTGGAGACGGCGAGAACTCAGCAGCGCAAGAGCTGCGACTAAATCCTCGCATGATCGGGATAGTTGAAAAGGCGCTGGATCTCCTGGACTTAATCACTTCGGACCGGTGGTGGAACAGAGCATGGCCTTTTCAGGAGGACTATTGTGCCTCGACGAGGATGACTCTGCTCATACCTCATGATCCCTCTCTCGAGGCGCGGAAGCGAGACACAGAAGGCTTGTTGTTTGGTGCCCTTGAAGGCGAGCTTTGTGTGAATTCGGCCGACTTCCGGCAAGAAGCCTCTCGGCTCTGTCTCGCATACATGAGTCAAAATTGGCGTCGAGGCAGACTCGAGGAGGCAGTCAGACGAGTTCTACAACGGGCCGGAAAATACACCGTCACTCTTCAGGATCCCCGGGTAGAAGACAGCATGTACGCCGTCCGAAAATCAATGTCCCCCAGCATCTTCGCCGACGTCGGCGCTCGGGAAGCAGGAAGGTGTGTCGACCGCCTCGCCATCGTGGCAAACTGCTGTGCATATTCTGTGCGCTTGAGGACGAAGACGCTACAAGACGGCAACCACAGCTTGAGCCTAGCCTTGCTGGCACTGTATCTTCTCAACGGCGAAATCCTCATGAACAGCGGCGGCAGCACCGCTCCCCTGGAGAACACAATATTCGATTTCTTAAAGGCTCAGTCCCTTGACTCGTTCTCGCCACCTACCGATCATCAGCAGCTGACGTTCATCAAGAGTTGCCGCCTCATCCGGGTCAGATTGGTGAAAGAAGGGATCTGGACGCGAGGGCACCTGTGGGAGCTCGGCCCCACGGTACGCGTGAGGCGACGGCGGCACGGCGTGCCCTGGCAGTTCGATTCCAGCAGCGGGTTGACGGGCCGCCAACGCTGGCGCCTCTACCAACTTATCGAGGAGCTCAGAAGCCCATGGAACGGAAAGCAATATGAAGCTGAGGACCTTGTCGCGTCTCTCGGGGAGTTCCTCGACCGGGACGAAGACTGTTCGGGGATCGACGAGCTGAGCTTCTCAGGACGGTTTCAGACCTGGATGGCCGCCGAGGTCACCGACGCTATGTGGGATGAAAGGAAGACTCTACGCTTAGGGCGTTTGGTTGAAGGGCCAGGAGACACTCAGTATGAATACACCGGTATCTTCGTCTTCGACGCCGACAGAGCGCGCTCTGGACAGTACATTTTCACGGCATCCTGGGACGGGGAAGAGGTCGAGATTGACAAGCATGTAAGTCTGGAGGTGGATGTCCGAGGCCGAAGTAGGTCTGGTAGACCACTGTTGCAGGCAAAGAGATGGGTTAATGGGCTAATCTTCTTTCGAAACCATCGGAGACAAGATTTCATTTTCCCCTGGCCTCCCTCCTTTACAGTTTAAGCATCAATAGGCAAGACCCAGGCAAGATAACAAGAAATCCCCGAAGCAAACTGCTGTGGATTTAGGCATTATATCCTTCAGGGGCGCCATTGTGTCGCGGGCGGAAGCGGCATCATAAGCATGTCAGTATCGTCATCAATGCCGCGCTTTCCCCCTTGATCCGTCCGGATCGACTTGTACAATACCTCTTTCCTGATGTTCCTCGTCACCCACGCCCCCGAAATCATCCAAGCCACCGCCAAAAATGGCACCAGAACGATAAAGACCAATTTGTATCCAAAGTCACCCGTCACTGGATTGAGATCTGAGTTTGTGTCGAATGTGTACACCACAGAATAGAAGGCCCTGATGCCGACGAACAAGCCTCCGACGCAGGTGCAGAATGACATCGATGTCAAGTGTAGATAACTGACGGACTCTTTGGTACGGATGACAGATAGCCAGACATAAGCAGCGTAGATGACTTCGGCAATGGCTCCCAAGAGCATAAGGATTGTACCGGCTTTGCGCATGTCTTCCCAAGTTTCGGCGTCGTCGCGATCGTTTGAGTTTTCCGATTTGATCGCTCCGTACACCACAAGACCCATGCCACCCGCTGACAGGGCATGGAATCCTCCCTGCAATGCCCGCAGACGAGTCAAAAGAGCTTGTGCCTCATTGTGCGACCTTGTCGCCTTGACGAGGTAGTGGTGTGCCTCATGCGCGAAGCCTGCCAGGACAAGCAGCAATGGTGAAAGGCCAGCTGAGTGTATTGCCGATGTCGCAATGATGGTGTTTGGGTTGGTAGAGTTGCGGTCTGCTATTCCGAGGCCATCGGCGACGATGCGAAGCACTGCGAATACACAGAGATAAATGTAGCCTAGGGAGTGTGTCGAGCCATGGCGGACGCCGAGAATGACGATCAAAGGGATTAGGAGAACGTAGACGACTATCTCAATCGCGTCGAGGGTGACCGTGTTAGACATCTCGACTGTCGTATGCTGGGTCTGTTTTGGCAACGCAAACCGCAGTCAGGGTTGTGGCGTTAGAGAAAACCGGAGCCTCGAGGCAAAGACCCCAAGGGGATAGTGCGGAGTGATGCCTTTCTCGTGTTTGTGGGCTGAGTGTAGAACAGAGCTTTCGAAAACACTTTGGCGCAAAAGGTCGAGGTATCTGTGCAAGTCTATGAAAGAACTGGTGACCGGGTGGAAAGTCGACAGCCTCGAGCCAGGAAGGAAGCAGAGCCGGTACTTATAGACATCACCATGGCAGCTCTACGTGTAGGAGAGACTCTAAAACTCAGGGAGGATGGCGCCATATTGGAGATGTCGTAGGTAGAGGGGCGCGAGCAAAAGGATTTAGCAGTTATTGATACAGAAAAGCAGCTCCGATTGACAGGAAGCCTGACGCACGGCCAGGATCACTTTCTCGCAATTATTGGTATTTAGCAAGGGAGACATCGATCAAACCATGAAGACGGCAAAGTGCCCGAACGCCAACACGGGTGTCTAGTTCGACATGGCACAAGACAAGGAAAAGTAGTGCTCGAGCTGAGCCCCGTAGCCTTGAAATTGGGAGGATGTGCCCCGTACGTGAAGTGGCGAAACAGGAGTGACCCACGGAGGATAGCACCTGAGAAGTAATAACTTACAGTAATACAAGATATACGAGTCAGGATGAGCACAAGAAGAGAATTTGGAAAAGAGGAAGGTGGCCATATATGAAGCGAAGTGGCCCCCAATATCACCTCCAACCCAGATCTCTACCGTCCGTTACTGCTGCCGTACCGAAACGCAGATCTGCAATTCTCGCAAACTAAACCTTTCTTGGAGGAATGCGGAACAGCTGGTGTCATGCAGGTCCTGAGCACAGTATCCAATTTCGGGCCGGCAAAAGAACACTTCTGCTTTTAGCACAGCCTAGTTGGCTGAAGAGATCGCTGTGCCTGAGATAACGCGACATGACGGAGTGGGCATCCTTTTCTGTTTCCAATTTGAGGGGCAGGAAGAGGTCAAATAGCGGTCACAGCACCGGGATTTTGCCTGCACTTCTTTCTCCTTTGTCGAAACCGAACGCAGATCAAAACCAACCCAGCCTGGGGAAGAATGGCAAGGGGGCTAGACTATCAGCCACCGGCAAATTTACAGAGCAAGGCCACCGATAGGGACTGCTGGGCGTCAATGGTATTTGCTGTCATTTACGGGCGTGTGATATAGATACGTCCTTGACCTGTAACCTTTGCTGTGGCCGCTACTCTCATGGATGAAGAGGAGCCGTTACCATGTGTTTGTTGTACCTACTAGCAAACAAATGAGCGAGAGGCCCGCAACCCGCAAGCCATGCTCCAAATTCCCTCTTCCTCTTGTCCCCCGTTTCCATCCCGACCGGTCCGGACTTCGATAATGCGGGGAAAGCAGCACTCCACCCGCAAGGCTCCGCCTCCGTAGTCGCATCCCGCACTGTGATTGGCGGGATCGGTATCAAGCCCGATCCCCTATGAAGTAGTTGCTATGAAGTCATGTTAATACAACATGCACCACCAGAGGGACCTGATGATGGCATAGCTGCAAGAAGAAAATCAGTCGCGTAATGAGGGTCTTAGATCCCACGGGAAAATACAGCTGCGATTTTTTTTTTTTTTTTTGAATTCCCCTCTCTTGCTCTCTCTTCTGTCTCAGAATCATCCACTATCGTATCGTTGACACTCTCAAAGCAGCTACTCGAAAAACATCTCGGTCACAATGTCCTCGTACGTTTCTCAGTCTGACACACTGACACCTCGACTTCACCCATGACACAGTACATCAAAAGTGCGTGTCAAATTGACTAACGTCTTCATCATCATCTGGAGAGGCACATCCGGCAGCGACGAGAAGATCTCCGCGACCAAGATCCAGCCCTTGGACTCGGAGATCAAATCGAACCAGTCCCGCGACCAGAGCTCTCGCGTTGCCACTGGCACAAACCGAAGCATCGATCAGAGTCGGATTGATCCCCTAAGTGGAGCCGGTACGTGCACAGACGCCCCCGGAGTATTTTACCCCCCTCCCCCGAATATGGTTGTGGGGAAGAAACTTGGTGAAAACACGGTGCAGTCCACTGACGCAAGAAAATGGGATGATGTCCTCCAGGCCAATACCAGCACACTGCACCCCATGCCGACTCTCAGGGCTCGGTCGAGCGAGCCGAGACGATCCAGGGAAGCAAGATCAAGCCTCCAGAAGGGAAGGGAAATCAAGGGACAAGAAAGAACGCTGGCCTCGATGACGAGACAGTGGACATGGCCAGAATCAATTCAGTGGGTAGTGTCCGAGAAGAGCAGCCTCCAGCTTGATGGCCACCAGTTCAATGTTATCAATATCGGCAAACATCCTGCTCGACTGGCTCGTGTCATGTCGGAGAGAGAGATTGTCCAGATTGAAATAATGTGGATATAGATGTGAATTACTTCTGGCAGTGCTCTGTTAAATTGTTCCAAAGGGTTCAACTGGCCAGTGATCCGGAATAGACACAATGCCTGCTATTTCGCCTCCCAAACCCATCGCATGTTTATCCTCAAAGACCCATTTCGCCATCGACACTCTCGGTTACGGCCGCAATCAACGTAAACACGGATGGGCCATGTGCATTACTCCTTCAAGTCGCCAGGCGTCGGCTCAGTGCTGATGGCGCCGAGGGATTTTGCATCCGTCTTCTTCCCTTCAGCCAGTTTGAGGACCTCAGGAAGTTGCGTCGTCGATGGCCACTGTGCCTCGCCTTTCAAGATCCGCGCAGCGGTAATATTCGATCCGTACGACTCGGCATTGATAGCGGCCTTCTCCTTGATGATGGTGCCGTCCACTGTCAAGCCACCATAGAGACCGCGCGATTTGGTGTATGTCCAGATCGGTTTGACATCTTTAGTGCTGATGTCGGCAGTGCCGCCAATAGGCCCAGCCGCCATTGAAGCACCAGCGCCCAGGGCCATTTCGCTGTTCATGTAGGCGTCAACGGCATCTTGTGTGTTGAGCACACACACGCAATCATACATGTCCACCCCGTACACGACACCAAATCCGCCCGATCGGACTGAAAACGCAGACGGAGGAGACCAGGACCCATCGGGTAGACGTGCAACGACGACGCCAGAACCACCCGCACCTGCAAGGTACATCGCGGCCCGGAAGCCCGAAAATATGGCTAGGCCCTTTGCATTCGCGATGACTTCTACGGGAATTCTACGTTTGTCTGTTGTCATGTCAGCCCTGAACACCTCGCCATTCAGCTCTTGTTGAGATATGCATACCAATGAAGCCCTTGAGAATTTGAGCTGCCTTGTCGCACTCTTTCTTGAGACTTCCCGTCATGATGGAGGTGGCCTCGACTCGGTTTTGAGAGGATACCCAGATGTGTCGCACAGAAGGTTGAAACTATTGGAGAATGCGTCGAAGAATAGGAGCCGAGCTTGATGTCTGAATATTGGATGATCGGTAACGAGAGCCAGGAGAGGTTGAAGATGCAGACTTTAAGTTGGAGAATCCCTGAAATGCCAGCGAAGGAAACTGACCATGTCATCACGCTTCGATGCCCTATTTATGGATCAAGGGTTTTTACGTCAAATTGTAAGTGTTTTCAGCAGTTGAGGTGAAGGGGCTGAATACTGTGTGACCCGTTCGACTCGCCGCATCATGACTGCAGAAGTCCGCTCAGTTGCTGCGCAAATGAACCAAGGAGTCAAGGACATTGCGTATGTGCGTGAGGTCGGATTGCATTCGGGTGAAGTTTGGTCACCGCGCGCTGAGGCGCAGCAGAGACTGGCGTTTTGTGGCGGACCCATGGCGGGGGAGGTATCTGAAATACTTAAATTGTTGTCTGTAGGTGTGCCTCCAGTCTGCCTTCCTCGCTCATGAGAATGTGATATCGGCATAGCCATGATGGCTGCTTTTCGAGCCAGTGAGGAGAAATATACCAAAGAAGTTAGTGGCAGACGGGCGTATGCGCGGATACGCAGATTCGGATGCGTATTCGGGAGTCTTTCCGTATTAATAGAATCTCTATGGGGCAAGGTGGGGGCTCTTTCATGACAATTAAAATGCTTGTTTGGGGCAGTCATCGAGTGTCTGCAGCTGTCTTTAATCAGAATGCCCTCGCGGAATGCGAGCATCCCACGTTGCAGTCAGATTCGCTGGGGAATTAACAACCCTTTTCCAGCCCATCTTCAATGAAGATATCTTATTCCGTGCCCAGCGATATGTTTCCTGGGTCCAACTGCTCCCAGATAGACACCTTTCAGTAGTGGGTGCACGCTTTTTGATGGTCCGAAGATACATTGCTGTAACACAAGGGGTATTAAGAGGTCGGCAGAAACGTGGAAACCAGATTATTTCTATGTACAAGTCCTCTGTATTATACAAACATGCTAGCCAAACCCTATCAAGTGAAAACCCTGGCAGAAACTGCCATCCCGATCATCAATACGCTGCTAAAAGAACGTCCACCGCTCTAGGAAATCGGCCTGTCCCTAATCCCCGCACGACGCCATTTGCCTCGTTTTAACTTCAGCGATCTCGAAAGCATCACTAAAATCGGCTACTTGTTTTCCTTAAACTCGCGATGTTGGTCGCTTATCTGGTATGGTGGAGGTTCTCTCAGAATATATGGTGGGAGGTCTTCCATTGAGTGGCGGGCTGTGTTGTCATCACCGTTTGACACGGTTTCGACCAGGCCGTGTCGTGAAGCTTCTCGAGCTTTCAAGGCTCGCTTCTTTTTCTTGTGGTCGCGGACCTTTTCGACGGTAAAATAGATGGCTGCGCCAGTAGCGAGAACGAGAAAAACCATCGGAGCCAGGTAGCGAAGCCTCGAAAGATTTGAAGAGCTGTGGATGAGCTGAGATAATGATATGTGTTTGAGGATATTCTGTTTTTCGGAAGTTGCGAGAATGAAGAATGGGCTTGAAGGCTCGACCTGAGACTTTGTACTTGAGGCTTTCTGTGGATGATGACGGTAGTGGAAATGCCGAATGTCGAGGCCAGATCGGATGCTTTATAGCTATCCACCAGAGTTATTCATCTGCACTTCTTACACAGAGTCAACAAACTTTTGGGTGTTGAGAAGCCGAGTCCCAGCAATGCCCGGTGGAGATTGCTGAATAGCGCGGGCCGTGATGGGCTTGTTCCCGGGTGATTTGAGTTTCGTGTATCAGCCTCGTCTGCCGGGATATTCTTCCACCCTCAGCCTTCGCTTTTACCTTCTTTTGCTTCGTCCTCGCCTCGCCATGCGCACTGCCCGCATGATGGATCCTCTCTGTACAAGAAACGCTAGTCAAAAGCCCAAGGCTGAAATCATTTCTATGAAACCCGTCAAGGTTGTCATTGAGCCAAGGGCGTTTGTCATGCAATGTCAAAACGCCGCAGTCTTCCAGTCTCCACGTCAAGCCGAGAATGGTGCGAAGAATGCCTGTCCAGCCTTGCCCTTGGAATTCTCTATATAATTACCGCGTTCGATTTACTTGGCACTGTATTCAGAGATTGACGGTGCCAAGGTGTAGCCTTCATAACGGTGGTTCCCGCGAGAAAGGCTTCATCTCAGCAGCCGTGTTCGTTCCGGCCTTGAAATGACTTTCGAATGACAGTCTTCAGGAAGAATGGTCGCTAGTCTCTACTGGGTATGATTGGAACTGTCATAACCTGTGGGGTCCTACTCCACAAATACGACCCTGGTTAGCGAATACGCCCCTGGTCAATATATTACTTGTGTCCGCCCATTTGCGGCACCGTCTAAATTGTCGGCATGATACTCAACACAATTGTTCTCACAACTGATTCATCATTAGGGGCTCCGCGACCTTAGAGATCTCGCCCTTGCCGGAAAGTAGGCTTGACTACATTCAACTCGGGTCGGTTCCGGACGAATACGACGGAACCAGTCGAACCCTTCCTCTTCAGATGAGAACTCCAGTCGCTGCCCTTGCTTGTATCCTTTCTCGCGTTGGTGTCCATACCAAGAGCGTCAACGTAGCTACCATGGCACGAAAGGGACTGCACTATAGTTCGAAATTGCAGTCAACACGACTCAAAAGTCCCCATGACAGTCATCGCGAACACAGCCTACCGCAGCTAGCATGTCGCTGTCATCTCCTGGGACGTCATAGCCCAAAACTCTGATATTGAGGTGGTGCTGCCTATCACTACAACTATATAAACCACGGACTTAACCGTCGTTATCCAAGCTGGTCCATGATCTAAGTCTCCCACGATCTTGGCAGATATCATTCTTTTACGCTCAGAAATGACCGCGACCACCGTCATAGCCTTGTTGGCTCTCTTCCATGGTATCTCGGCTTCGCCTCTCAAAGCCTCTCAACGAACTCACGGATTCTGCAAAGAGTTGAATATCCCAGTGTTTGCTACTGCGGACACAGCTGTTTATGATCACCCAAAGATCGAGAGTAACATCCAAGCCAGAGCCTGGGCAATATATGCGGATACTTGGAGCACTCCTCAAGGCGCAAAGACACTCGTCCACAACACTACAACCTCTGATACTTTCAATATTCATGCCCAACTGTGTGTCCCGAATGTTGCCGGGATTAAGAAGAGCATCCTGCAGATTGCCACTCACGGAGCACATTACGATGGAAGATATTGGGATCCTGAACTCGATCGGGAGAATCAGTCTTATGTTGAGGCATCGCTTAAGGCAGGATATTCAATCCTCACATATGATCGTTTGGGAGCCGGTCAATCGGATCACCCTGACGCATACAACGTGGTCCAAGCGCCTCTCGAGCTAGAGATACTTCGACAGCTGACCTTGATGGCGCGCAATGGCACCCTGTACAACATCGCAGGAAAGGCACAACCTGCCAACGCAGCATTCGCGGGACTAGCAGCACCCAAGAAAATCGTCCATGTTGGACACAGTTTTGGTTCCTTCCTCACCTCCGCACTAATTGCCAAGTATCCCGCTCTGACGGATGGAGTGATCATAACTGGCTACTTTTACGGCAAATATCTGGGAGCGCCTGGAATGGCTTCATGGGGCGTTGACTTTGCCGCCACGGCTTCTCCTCCATTCAATCGACCAGGTGGCTACGTCGTGTGTCAGAAGAGCGGCATCCAGAATCTCTTCTTCGGCGGCAATCCCGACACCGCCTTCACCCCGGAGATGCTCGAGTACGGCGATTCTCTCAAGCAACCAGTCCCGATTGGGGAGCTCGCCTCTGCTTTTCATATCATAGGGCTGCAGGGCCCTGATCTCAAAGCGCCGGTCCAATTCTTCCTGGCTGAATTCGACTTTTATATCTGTGACGGCGACTGCAAGGGGGCATACGACCCGCAGGTTTTGAAGAACACCTACCCTAAAGCAGTTGTGGAGGATTATATCCAGCCGAACACTGGCCATGCCTTCCCGCTCCACAACAATGCCACCGCCGGCTACCAGGTCATGTTCGATTTCTTGGACAGAAATGGGGTATAATTTACTGGAATCCGCTGCCATATACGTAGAAGCACTTTGGATAGGTGGTGCGTTCTGTCAAGTTCCTATCGAAACAGTGTTGCATACCTAGTATCTTTCTCTTCCGAAGCCTAGTTAGGTGATGACAAAAGCTCTTGCAATTGAATCCTTCCGCCCACATCATCGAACGTGACTTGCATTGATCCGGGTTTCCCAATCTGGCCCAGGATGAACCTGGGGCGCGTCGTTTCCGAGAGCTCTTAGTAACCACTAGTCATCGCTAAGTGCTCTCGGAAAAGGACATGCCCAACCTCATCGTTTTGTTGTCACCTCTGCACCTCTGTGTATATACCCGGTAGATAGCCTACCTCGCCTTTCTTTAGACGGTCCGCAAGTTCAATCCTCTCAATCTTTGATAGGTGCCTCCTTATACCGGCTTAGGTCGCCATCGGGTCCTCGCTGGCTTCTCAGCGTCTGCGACCGGTCTGGTTGCTTGTGGAGAAGACTATTCAAGCACCAGCCCACCCGTTACCGCGGTTGCACCAGCAGGCCTACACGGACATCATCGTAGGAGTCGAGGAATGCAGGACACCTGCCTGGTAGTATCATGGAGAATATCGCCAAAGCCCGAGTCCCTTGAGCGAGACGGGTGCGACCGAGGTATTCCAGGTAATCTGTCCGTCATTCTCTCACACCATATCGTTCCCTTTTCCTAGAGCCCAATGCTGATTACTCGGTAGGGGGCTGAATCAAGCTGCCCGTGTCCCCCTGTCCGCTGCTTACGGATTGACTTCAGACTACCAGAGGTTTATTAGCTAAAGTTGGAGAAAATTCCAAATTGACATTTCGCGAAATCGGCAGGCCAGGCTCCAAGGCCCGCCTCAGCCTTGCTCACCTAACCAAAGCGAGGCTAGTGATGCTCAGCCACGAGGCCACACCACCTGCCCCGTCGGATCCGACGCCCGATGACTTCAGCCAAGGCTGTCCGGCCTATTGCCAAGGCCAATCGCAACGGGGCTACTGTATGTCAGCCGATGGATTGGCCAATCATCCGGAAGAGCGAGAGTCCCATCTAAGCGCAGCTTCTACCTGGATGACTAAGATGGGTTCTGGAACAATGGGTATTGAGAAGAGTCAGGGTCTTTAAGTTCTAACGTCCTTCGAGGGAGTACCCCGGTATCAGAGTCTCATGAGCTTGTCTGACTCCATTCAAGCGCGTGTGCATGAGATGCCCCTGAGAGCACGGGAACTTGAAGACTAGAGAGACATATACCAACGACCCTTCTTGAGGTACCAGCAATCATTCAGACAAATCCGTCCCAATAGACCATGGATCAAGGCTCATCATTATCATCGTCGTCGTCGTCACCGACCTACTCCTTCCCGCCCGGGTTCCGGTCGAGGAGATCACATGCAAAATCTCGAAACGGCTGCACAACATGCAAGCAACGGAGGAAAAAAGTGAGGACATCACCGACTGCCACATTCGATATGTCAACTAAATAGTCGCAGTGTGACGAGAAGCGGCCTTGCTGTACGCTCTGCGAAACGAGCTTGAGAACGTGCGTCTATACAGCAGACCAGCGTTCCTCTGGATCAAGCGAATCGGGTGCTTCGTCAACGTCTTCTGTTCTATCTTCGACCCCGTCGCCACCTGGAATATGCAGCAGTCAGTCAGCGCGGCCCAGACGACCGCTCTCGGGGTCTCCAATGCCTCCAGTTGTCTTGACTCCGGTGACTGACGCTGTCGTCCTCAACGTCACAGACGCAGACCTCTACCTCCATTTTCTCAACCATACGTGCAAAGCTGCCCCACGCTGGCAAAAAGAGCGGCTCGTCTTACAGGTTGGAATAGCTAAACTGGCGCTCGAGAGCGACCTCGTTTCACACTCTGTCCTGGCCCTGTCTGCTGCCTGTCTGTGCTGCGATACCATCTCCAGCGGAAGCGCCGACCCCGAAAGAATCCGTCAAATCCTAGACCTTGGCTTGCAGCATCACACTCTGGCTCTCGAACAGATGCGGACCATGACATCACGCCCGAGGGAGTCGGATACCCAGCCTTTACTAGCCAGTGCGCTGATGCTGGTACCGTTTGCACTTGCATTTCAACACATTCAGCACCGAGTGCTCCTCGCCAAGGGATTATTGCAGGACACCGACCTTCTTACACCTCGAGATACGATCCTGTTACTAAGAGGTATACGAACAACCATTGTTGCGTTAAATTCGACCCGAGTAGAAAGCAGAAGCCCAACGTTCCAAACGCCGTGGGACACTATGTTTTCATCCCAGGTTGCGGATCACCCGGACTTCGCAACCATTCCCGAGCGCTCTCATACCATGTTTCCCTTTCTGGCCGCGACATTTCACCAGGCTCTGTCGCACCTCCGATGCAGGATCGAGAGCGCCCTTGCTACGCCTCAAGCAGATGATGACCACACAGCCTCGACATTCGACGCCTACGAGATCCTGAATGGTATAATGACCAGTACGTTCTCGGACTCCCAGAGTATCGAGATTTCGTTGGAATGTGTAACCTATGTAAGCTTCTTTCTTCCCCCTTTATCATACCACCTACCCCATCGGGGGAACAAGTATGGCTGCTGACTATGGAACGCCAGCCAAAGTTCTCCGTTGCTCCCGACAGTCTCCTAGCGCAGGCGCCCGGTTGGCTGCAAAACTTCATCCTGCGGCGCCCACGGCCCACGCACACGGAGCCCCTGGCCAGGTCGTTCTTGGCCTTCTTCTCCGGCGCCCCCCAGACCTATGTCGACCTGCTCCTTCCCCTTCTCGATCCCCGGACACCAGAGAATGCATCAGCAGATGATGACCGCGAGCTCACCACCGCCGAAGTCCTTGCCTTGGACGTCTACGCCCATTGGCTGGTCCTGATGCTCCTGATGGAGAATGAGGAGTGGTGGGTGGGCGAGTTTCCGTTCGTGGCACTCCAAGGCCTGATTGCCAGATACGGTGCCGGGTTCCTGGGCACTTCTTTGGTCCAGCACCAGTGGTGGCCGGCAAGTATGTTGGAAGTTGCCACGCGCTTGAAACAGTGGAAGTAGATTATTATCATTGTTGTCGTTGTTGTTGTTACCATTAGGCAACGTCGAATAGTACTCATTACTCTTAGATTTCTTATGTGTGGAGGCTGCCTAGCAGTCTCTGCCCCATGTCAAGTTACACCCAAGAGCCAAATTTAGAGCCACGAGGAAGATGAAACTTCCCACTTTACAGGCACCTCTTCTTTGACATACATCATTTAGCCGTAGCCGATGGCGAGGATGGATCAGCGCCTTGTAGTTCTGACTGGAGATTTTGGTGCTGTGCTTCATCAGGACCTCGTGACTGTCGCTCATGAGCAGATTGCGCCTGTGTTTGATTGTTATGCTGCGCTTCTGTTTGGTTGGTATCATCCAGTTGCCTTTGATTGAGAGGCCGAGGCTCAGGATGATGGATGTTTTGGGGTTCTGGCTCGTTGCCATCCTGTGGGGGTGGTCGATCGATATGTTGTTCTCGCTGCGGCACTTGTTCGACATTTCGTGGTTGTGGTTGACTGGTATCCTGTGGTCGCTGAACCGGACCACCCACATTTGAGGGGAAATACTTTTCGATGAATCCAATCTCGGAAACCCTCGATTGCAGGGCGATGCGAGTCGCCGCCTGGTCCTCCTCGTACGTCGCGAAAAAAGACGGAGCTGTCCCATCACGAGCATTGAGGACTTTCATGGCATCCTCTGTGGTCTTTCCTTGGTAATTTGCTCCACCACGGATGGCTGCCGCGATCTTGTTTACCACACTGTCCACCAATATTCCTGCATAACCGATGATCCCAATGGGCTCCTCGAGCAGCATTGCATCGTGCCCCTCTGTATACCTGCGGATCATGATTAGCAATATGGCAACACAGACCAATAATCCAAGAATGATGGAAGCGGAAATGTTATAGACAAACAATCGATTCGTGGTGAAGGTTAAATTGCCAATAATGTTGACGGATCTCTCGTTCGGCCTTATCATGAAGTCGTTGACCAGAAGCGAGTACACCGTTGCAAAGACCTGCTGCGAAGAGCTCGTGAGGGTCTCCTCCAATATCGCATTCGCATTGTTGATGAGGCGAGCATTGTCCAGGACTACCCTCCCGAAGCCAGCGGCCGAGTCTGCGCTTGTGCCCCCTGTGAGGGTTGTGTCGATTGACTTGACTTGGTTCAGTTCATACTCAAAAGAATCCCACCATTGAGGCCGGAGCTCTTTTGTCTCATTCAGCTCAAAGCCGAGAATCGGGCTTCGGGAGTCTTGGTCGAGATTCATGCTGATGCGTGCCTGCGAGTTCCAGTACGTTGGTATACAGGTGATAACGGTTGGCACAGTCTTGTTGAAGTTTACATTGGTAGCACCGACAATGATCATACGGCCACTGAAAATTGAGTCGCGGTATGCCCCGCAAGTAACCTTTGAAGAGGTTTGCAAGTATGTTGTGAAGCCATTGGAGATTTGAAGGTTCGTGCTCCAGTAGCAACCGCGGTCGGTGCCATTCAGCCACCATGTGCCACCATTCCCATCAGGACTGCTAGGATCTGTGATGCGAATTATGCGATCGCCAACACCCGACACCGTTTGGCACTCAAGCTTCGCAAAATAGGCTTGTGTCGTGGCCACGATTTTTGGTAGCGAGATATTGCCGCCAGGTAAATTGGGCGAAGAGAAGTTGAGGAAAACGTGTTGCCCGTTGGACCACCTTGGATAGCTGCCACCATATACTAGCGTTGATGATGCAGCTCCTATTACAGGCGAAAGATCCCAGTCAATCGATTCATTGAGGCTGGTCGTTGAGTAAAACGTAGAGTCTGCAGCAATGACGGGCTTTGATGATTTCTGTGAGTTTGCTCGACCAGCATGTGCGCCGCCAGAGGACTGAGAGCTACACGAAGTGTCTGCGACAATACGAATGCAATACCGAGATGCCAATGTCCGTTGCGAAACGCTTTGTACTCTCGTTGGCCGGGAAAGAAGGACTGGTAATCCAATGCAATACTCTTTCTGGCGATGGCTCCTCCATCCCGAGCAAGCTCAATAAATGGCTGTCTGAATCCGAATGCATCAACTACGGCCGCAACGCACAGCCCATATATCTGTAAGAGAAGAGATGGTAAGGTTGTCCATGTCAGGCTGAGTCTCCAGTCGACCCCAGCAACTGTTCTGGAGGCATTCTCGACGGGTGCAAGGCCATGGTTAACGCTAGATACCACAATCAAAGCGATGATGCCGCCGATGAGCAAGACAGTAAGGGCCAAGAAAAGCAGCAATGTCGTTTGCTTAATCTTCCACGACTTCCAGTCATTCCACATTGTTTTGCTCTCCCCTGTTGGCGCATTTTCATCCGGGGATCGGTTGCTGCCCAGCCAGCGGTCGGGCCTTGTGAGAGCAGTAACACGAGATTTGACCTTTGAATTTTCCTCCATATTTGACGAGCTTAAAAGGCCTCTGTGACGTCTGCGGTGGATAAAGAGGAGGTTCACGGAATCTCTATGAGGTACCGAGTAGTTTGCACAATGAGGGGGGAGAATATCCACTACTAAGGGATCACTGATCACTATCCGATGTCGAGGCGGGTGCTCAAGCATTCAGCTAGCATTATTAAATTCGGGAAGCTGCCTGCGGACTTATGCAATGCGACCAATTCATCCAGGTTCGCATCAGGCTGAAATACAACATTGATTGCACCCCGACTTTGGGGCCATGCAAGTCTTTCGTTCAGCTCCGCCGCAAAGGGAAAGCATCACCTCTAGGTTTTCCCGGATTGGACAAAAAGAACCTAACGAGCAGTCTTGAGAGTTGTGGCTTGCAGTTGTTTCCAGTTTTGTTGTTCAGCTTCGAGTCTGGAGCGGCTGTGGAGAAAGAAAAATGGCCGTGGAGGTGGCATTCTTCCTCGATATGGCCAATCTCTGCTCTTCTCGGGGTGGGGACGTTCGCCTCGTGCTCGCCTCGTGCTTGTCTACTAGGCAGACTTCCTAAGTCGGCAACCTGCAGCATGATTATTTCTCTCCATGAACGGAAGTCTCTGGTGGCGAATAGCAGTCCCTCCCAAAAAACTGGTCAGCGGTCGATCGCGAGATGCATTGTTGCAGGAGCTGCTTTTTGGCGGTACTTCCTGAGCACAAGAACCCAGGTGCCCCTCTCAGAGATCCCTTTTCCCGAGCCTTGCTGCTTCCTCAAAAACTGCACGGCACCTGATAAGTTGCTCTTTGAAGCAAAGCATCTTACCATGACTTTCATCCACGCCACCACAATCATTGTCGCCTCCACTATTGCTATTGTCCGAGGTCAGGGCGTCGGCCTGTACGGCTGTCAAACGCAGGCTGGTATTACATCATTGACAGCGTGCGACGAACTTGCAGCTACAGAAAGCTCATGCTTCACCGACCCAAAAGCGACAGCCACTATTGAGAAGTGTTTCTGTAAGCAGGCTATTCTCAACAAGATCGTGGAGTAGGTGGACGTTCATTCTTGACTGAGAAGGTGGACTAAGGAAGCCACGCAGTTGCGAAAGCGAATTCCATCTCTGCTACCTCAACGACCAATTCGACTACTATGCTAGTACTTTGCTGAGTAACTGGCATGACTGGTGCGATGATTATATCACCTTCACGCCGACCACTCCTGTCCTTAGCAACCCAACCACAACAGTTCCAGTTCCGGATACAAATGGATTTTGTTCATACTATACCACGTCCTGCGCCATATGGTCGGCGGCAGAGTCAGCATGCTTTGACCTTGACCCCTCAGCCACAGCATCTTCATTCTTGAGCTGTGCCTGTTCAAGTGACCTTCTTTCACTTGCCTCGGTGTGCTTGTACGATGTTTCGGTCAGCTGTTTCGAACGCAGTGCGGTGTTGACCGATATAGCTTTGTTTTCAATATGCGGCGTGAGTCGGCTTTTTTGAACAGGAGGGTGAATCATGGGACTGATCTCGTACAACAGACGACGTACAGCAATGGCCAGCTGATCACCGCGGCGACTGCACCCGCCGCAGCTGGTTTTATGGGCGGTGCTTCAGCATCGCCATCTGCAGCACCAACACCAGCGCCGCCGTCCTCGCAGACCATAGCAAGTACAACCACTGCGCAGAGTCCTCAGAGCAATCCAGCGAGCCAGACAGTCCTGGCCACTAGCCAGCCAACATCCGAGGCCAATATTGCCATTGCAGGCTCCACCAGGTTGTTACGAACCGCGGGCATTACCTTCGCAGTTGCATATCTAGTGGCCAATCTATGGTAGATAGTAACATGCCATCGCACTCGACCTGAACTCGGTAGCAGGCAACCCTTGGGAAATCGAGGAAGGGGATGTCGATGCTGTCCCTTCCTGCGTCGCGTTCTTTTCTTGTGGTGGATAAACCTGGTGTGAGAGGAGTACTCAAGCATCAGGACAAGCTTTCGGGAGCAGCCAGCCGATTGCTTAATTATAGTCCTCTACCTGCGTTTTTAACGTTCCCCCCGAGAAATTTACCAGACTGACAAACTCGGAATTCAGAATATTAGATGCCTCTCGCCCTTTCCTAGTTAATTACCTAGTTGGTGCTGCAACTTGGAGACCCAAAACCATGGGCGGGATAGTGAGTCAGGCTCTAAACTACAACACATAAATACGTGAGGCTAGTGAGATTCCATTCGCCCTCGTGCGGCTTTGAGCGGCGAGGGTGCTTGAGCCAGCGTACTGGCTTCACAGTTTGTCAGGGTGGCGAGGGAAAGGCGCAATGAAATGGTAGGTGGCTGGGAAGAAGGATTTGTTCGCGAAAGCAACGGCCAATACTCCGCGTGGAGTTGGTCGCTGAGCCTCACAGGGCCCCACAAGGCCTCAGATCTTCGCCAGTCCCCAAAGCATTGACTTTCACTCTGCTCCATATTCTCGCTTGATTTTGCATTGCGCGTACCCTTGCTGGCTCAGAGGATTCCGGATGACTTTTGACACCAGTTTAGCTAATTCTTCCGCTAGAACCTGCACCACACCGTGTTTACTGGACCTTTGCTTCTAGCTGGCTAAGTGACGCTGTAAATTGAGAAGGACGCCCGAGATGAGCCCACCGCTAGCTTGCCCATGGCGTCAATCGTCAGGTGCTCCCCGTGGCTGTCCACCAAGTTGTATCCGCGTCCACCGCCAAGGTAAGGGATACTGTGCACCACAGCCATGGTCTTGTTCACCAACTCCATGTTCGCGCCCATGTACCGTCCATCCACTGCGCTGCTGATGGTGTATAGCCTGCTATCCGTGGCTGTCTCGTGGATTACCCAGCGTTGAGCTAGAGTGGAATGAGACGCTGTCGCTTTTGTCGCAGTGAATTGCGTGGCTTGGCCGCCTGGGTTGGAAAGTGCGTAGCCCGACGACTCGAAGGTTAGATACCGGCCCTCTGTCAGATAACCGCGCACTGATTTGAACCCCATTTCAGATACCAGAGAGGTTTCTTCGGTTTGGTTGCCGTAAGGCACAGGGGGTCGCTGGACGGCATACTGCGACTCGCAGTAGGATGAACCGTCCCAAACTCCCTTACTATCCTTGTGCGGCACCTTTGCAAGGGGGATCGTGGGGATCGACGTGTTCGGGGTGGTGAAATCGAATGCCGCCGTCAAGTCGGACATATGGGCCCGACGCCAGGCGGGCATTTGGTTTGTTACTACGTTGTTATAGCCCTTGGCAGCCAGCCATTTTTCCAGGAACATGATCTGGGAGTTGTGGTCACATTTCTCAGTGAAGACGTTACCACCGCGCGTCCACGGTGAGATGATATAGAAGGGAAGACGGAAGCCAGGCCCTGAAAAAGTGTAGCCGAACATATCGTACGGGTCTTCGAACCATTCGCCCGCTGTTCCGTTGGGTGCATGGTAAGGAAGAACGTGGTCGCCCCAGCCGCCAGTCTCATCGTAGCTGATGATCAAAGCGGTGCTGTTCCAGTTCTTACCCTGTGTCACGGCGTTGACCACTTGCTGTTGGAGCCATGCACCGTCGTGAGGAGAATAAGGCGGGTGCTCCGAGAGTTCAGTGGGACCAATAATGTAGGAAATCATTGGCAGAGTGCCATTCGCAGCCTGTTCGTAGAAAGCATCCAGACCAATATAGGACATTCCGCGCTTGTGGAGAACAGTGCCGTTCTTCGCATTTTGGTATTGTTTAAACCAAGCAAGAGGATTGTCATCGAAATTATCGAGATCTTGATAGACTTGCCAGGTGACACCAGCTTTCTGGTAAATCTCGGGTGTGGTGGTCCAAGACAGCGGATAGCAGTTCAGTCCCGGTGCTTCACAACCGGGCACTTCATTGTTGTCGATGTACACACCGCCTTCGTTGGCCGTCTGCGGCGATCCGGGAACCGCAATGGATCCACTGATCCAGGTCACACGATTCGGGTTGGTTGAGGCTATCACGCTTTCTTGGTACATGTCACCAATCGTCCATCCTTCAGCGAGGGCAAATTGAACAGGAAGATCACTCTTTTTGTAGTAGCCCCAGCTCCACGGCGTGTTCTAGTGTTAAGGAGATATGGGTCAGTAGGAGGAGCCAATAACGGGAGCAGATGAACGGAGGTATTGTCCAGCCGCAGTCTCAGGATATGAAACTCACATTGAGGGCCCAATGATCGTTGAGACCGAAATTGTAGGCTAAGTGGTTTTCCTCATACCCATTGGATCCTGCGTCCATGCATTGGGTAGCGTTTAACCAGTGGCCACCCAATGCGTTCAAGTAGAACGGGAGTAGGTCGTCAGACTTTGTGGACAGGGTTTTGTTCAATTTCCTAGACCTCTCAGATAAAGGCCATCGCCACAGACACCAATTTACTTACTGATAGAACACAGACTTGCCATCGGGGTTGATCTGGACGTTGGGATCGGAGAAGCCTCGAACACCAGCCATGGTTCCAAAGTACTGCTGTAGTATTAGCACAACTCTTGTCAATCTGTGCATTTTTTTCCGTACATGATCGAAGGCTCGATTCTCCTGCATGAATAGAACAACATGATTGATGCTTGCCAGAGAATCTGCGAACGCGCCGCTTGCCAGGAAGCCAGCGGCAAGCACAGAATACAAGCTGGAGGACGATCGCATGGTGGCTGTTTTAATCGCTGATGGAACACTCGAGCCCGTCCATCACCAGACCGCTCAGCGATGTCGGGGAGGAGATGCTATATAGCGTTCATTCTCCTATCGTCCTCAGTGAGGGTTAGCTCGTCCAATACATCTTTTGGTTTATCCACGATCGAAACTGTAATAGCCTATCAAGGGGACTGAACTGGGAAGCTTGCACGTCCCCCTCGTGCACGTGGTGGTCTCAACTGCCGCTTGCGGTACGATATGGATCAAAGACCAGGCTGCGGACTTCATACCGAGGCCACCTTAAGTAGCAGCCGAATTGAGTTGACAAGTGCACGATGTGACGATAGAAACAAGTCGCCGAACCCAGGATCTGCTCTCGGGCAGGATTTGCAGTGTCGCCGGTGTCTAGATTGCCAGGTTTGCAAACACGTTGTGGCGCCGCCGAGCATTATTCGCTTGCCCAACTAGGCGGACATCCACGCAAGGAGCTTCTTCCGGCTGCTTTGCAGCAAAGGGATGCCGATTTGAATCCTTTGGGACAGCAACCAATTGGCAGGTACATCCGGCAAACGCGTCCTTGCCAAACTGGCAGCCGTTGGGTATGTACCGGTACACTGTCAAGGATGTTTTGGCTTGGGTGGAGCGAAAGGATTGAGTTCGACTTGGTGACTGATGCCGATATGGTTAAAAAATGCCTCTCAAGACCCTCCGGGTAGTCCAAAACAACAACAAGAGAGCTAAGCAGCGAACACATCAGCTAACTTCCCAACTCATAGCCATTCCACTTCCCAAGTGCCATCCAACGTGACAATGCATCATCCAGGTACCCTTGTTATCGGCTCTGAACCTAATTACAACGTAGCCTCTTTGTGGAATGAAGACCGTGTCCTTCATAACAGGGTTCACTAAATTGTAGGGACCTGCTGGGGACTCTGATGGTGGACTAGCGAACGGATCGTAGTTGTACATGGCAGAGCCACCTGCTGTAAACGGCGGCTTCTCACTGCTCCAGGGGATAGGAGGTGGGAACACAGACACAACATAGAATGAGTGACCGTGAAGATGGAATGGATGGCCGCCATCGTCAAGATTGTTAATGACAACCTCAACCCAACCACCGGCATCACCAGCAATGGCGTCGCCGTCCTTGGCAAATGGAATGTGAGGCGAAAGCTGGTTCTGGTCATACTGTTCTCGAGCCAGAGATATCAACGGAGGCGACTGGGGTGACCAACTGGTATGGTTGATGAATCCCATGGGGATATTATGATGTCTTGCCAGCTTCAGTGTCGTCGTATAGAGGACAAACTTCAACGGCGCATCTGACCATGCAATTGGGGAGCTGGAGTTTGGCAAGGCTGCTTGGAGGTTATAGTACTTAAGCTCCGGTTGACGCACTTGTCTCTCGTAGGCAGAATTTGTTCCTATTTTGACAGGGAAGGTCTGTAGGGGATTGAGGGCCGGATTTGGGTACTTGAAATTCTCATCGTCCATCTCGATTTCGAGATGACATTGAGTGTCGGATACACCGGTCTGCAGTATTGCATCCATGCGCTCTCCAGGGTAGACAATGCCGACGCCTTGAGCTCCGATCTTTGTGATTTCATGACCAGCGTCGACCTGGAAAGGCGACAAGCTGCCATTGTTCATCTTGATTGAGAAACCAGTCAAGGAGCCTGTATTGACCAAGCGTAGACGGTAGCGCGTGCCACTTTCAACACGTAATAATGGGAGATCCGTTCTTTCATTTGACGGGATGCAGTCGACAGGTCTTGCAGGAACCGCCATATCGCAGGAAAAGTCGCCCTTGCCGTTGACGACCAATGAGTCTGGTACTGGCTCATTCCCAAAGGATCTAGAGTTCATGTACCAACGGAGTACTTCAGTGCTTGGCCGATGGTACCAGTCACCTATCAGCAGCAGAATTTCCTCGTCATAATGATATGTCTCTTTCTCGTTGAGCTGATGTAGCGGTCGATGGACAACGAGACCGCCATACAGACCATCATCTCGCTGTGTCTTTTCGTGACCATGATACCAGAACGTGCCGGATTCTTCCTGCCCAATGGTGAAATTGTACAAGTAGCTTTGACCTCTCGGGATCGGGTCCTGGGTCAAGCCGACGGCGCCGTCCATATCGTTCGCACCTTTCATCCTTAATCCATGCCAATGTATGGCGAGGCCCTCCCCAATCAGAAGGTTGGTGACATTAACAACAATCCGATCGCCCGAGCGAGCTTCGATCGTCTCTCCTGGAAATTGACCATTGATGAGGTACACCTCTTTGCGAACGCCGTCTGGATATCGAAACCCCTTGGTGATTTCCCAATTGAAGGTCAATGTTGTTGGCGGGCGTCCGACATGGGCGTCAGGATGGAGCTTTACAGCGATGTCTCCAACGGGCTGTTCTTGATTCTGTAGGTCGGATCTCCAAAGTGTATTTTTGATGGCTCGAAGCAGCGATGAGTCACTACCAAATTGACTGAGAAGCAGTGTCGACAGAAGAAGAAACATCAACATGCCAGAGAAGTATCCAGCCGTCTTGAAGTGCCAGGACGGCGCCTCGATGGGTGCCGTAAATTGGTCCCTGGCTGTCCTCGCTAATGGAGGTGGTGTTGAAGGAATCGCATTGTGAGAGTCGTCTATCTTGGGAACTCCAGCTTTGCGTCTCCTGGAGTTTGTCCTTTCCATGCTGTTGAGATCAAAAGAATGTGGTTGAAATACGCAGAACCTGAGGTCAGGTGCGTCAGCATTATGGGCGTGGTATCATGGTTGGAGAATGCGGGTTGGGCGTTATGGCCGGGATGAATAGCGAGGCTCCCAAGAAAAGGGTTGGGGTCGTGGCGCTGTAGGATCAGCTCCCAGCTCATTCATTCGTCCCGGAGCTTTCACTCAAGTTGTTTGAGATTTGTGGAGGGCGATGGAGGAACCCGGACGAAGTTCCACCAAAGCGAAATCTTCGCCAACGCCCGTTCATCTCCGCCGCAAGGCTCACAAGGCTCGGATCCGGGCCAGCCTCGCTAATCACCACGCCCAACTTTTCCGGATTTTTTAATTCTTCCCTTCAAAATGTTGCCCTTTATGGCAGCTACAGGTGAGATAATCTAAGCAAGGTTTCTCTTGCTCTAGACGAGATGGTGCCTTGACTCACAGATGCAAATTCATGGATAAAGGTTCAGATGCGTCTTCACGCAATGGTACGAATGATCGATATCTCCCCGGTCGAGGGCCATTCGACTCTCAACCACACACCTGAGAGCAGGATTGGAAGGCTACCTCCTGTGAATCATGCCTCTGTCGAGGCAGAACTTTGGTCTAGTCAGGGAAGAAACTGGTCGTGCGGTTCTGAAGCCCATCCCTGTCCCAAAGTTGGAAGTCGACTATATCTTGGTTCGAACGATAGCCATCGCGCTGAACCCCACTGACTGGACAAGTCTGGACGCTGTTGGAAAGCCCGGAACAATTGTAGGATGTGACTATTCTGGGGTCGTTGAAGAAGTGGGAAAGGACGTGAAAGACAGGTTCAAAAAGGGCGATCGTGTGGCTGGATTTGGCCACGGAGGTACGTACACGACCTATACGATGAAATTTCGTGTGATTCTTCCTGTTCTACAGCCAATGACTTCAATCTGGAAAATGGAGCTTTCGCAAAGTACATCGCCGTGAAGGGGTATCTTCAAATGCACATTCCGGAAGGGGTGAGCTATGAAGCGGCATGTACCGTCGGTGTTGGTGTTGGGACCGTGGGCTTCGGACTTTACAAAATCCTGGAGCTTCCTCCTCCAGATGAAAGCAGTGACATCGGCGCCGAAACGATTCTCATTTATGGAGGAAGCACGGCAACTGGGACACTTGCAATTCAGTTCGCACGGCTGTGAGTGACTTCCTAATCGAAATATACCTCTGGTGTTGGTACTTATTCGAGTTTTCAAGCTCGGGTCTGACTGTCATAACTACCTGCTCCCCAAAGCATTGTGAGATGGTGAAGGCCTTGGGCGCCAGTCAGGCCTATGACTACGTGAGTCTAACCGCCATAGTTTTCCTCGTGCGACACAGCACACTGACAAGATTTGTCGTCTCCAGCATGTTCCCAATGTCGGTGGACAGATCAATGCAGCCACCAATGGCAAGTTAAAGACGGTGTTCGATACAGTCGCCACGGAAGCTACAGCACGAATCTGTGCCGAAGCATTCGGATACGCCGGAGGAGTGTATTGCAATGTCTTGGGAATCGACTGCCCCCATCCAAACGTCCGGTCAGAATCCTTCCTTGGCTACAGCCTTTCTGGAGAGCCATTCATCTATGAAGGAGAACTCTATCAGGCACAACCAGACCATTTCGCCTTTGGCTCCTACTTCACTCGAGTCGCTGAAAGGCTCTGGCATAAAGGACAGTGGAAACCGCATCCGCAACATGTGGAGCCTGGCGGTCTCCTTGGTGTCCGCGAAGGAATGCAGCAAATGAGAGACGGGAAGGTCAGTGGTGAGAAGCTCGTTTATCTCATGGAGGAGACAGAATGGCCTTGACGGTCATCTTGTCCAAGATTCTGAAACTTGTGTCATCTCGCTTGGCTCTTTCCACCCCATGGATCCATGAAATGCGCTCCCTTTCCCATGAACTGATAGCGGTTATCAAAGTACCTATTTCCTCACCAAAACGAAATCATGCTCCAATGTCCAGAACCCGACCGTTTTGTTACCCTGAGCGTCGACCCTCTCGAGCATCTCTATCCCGAACTTCTTCGCCAGCTCGGCATCTTCCGACCATCCAAACTGCTTGATCAAACTCTTTTTGACCCCAAAGACCGGGTCCAGCGCTACATTTTTGCTGTCATTAGAGTACAATGCCGTGGTAAGTCGTACACAGTCCGGGTGCTGAAGCACGAAATGCTTTCGCGTTACAAGTGGTTTCAGCACAATATGCATTCTCGGGGAGAAGTGAAAGACGTACCACATGAGCCGGCCGCACATTCGATCTGTTCAGCAGTCGCAGCAGAACTCCCACTGGTCCATCGTACGGAATTGGATAATCGACCGCCCTAACGCCGACCAGCGCAAACCTGCCTGTTGCATCCGTGTGAAAGATACCCCGACAATCCGGTTCGTCCTTTTCGGGGTCTTGCATATCGTAAAAGCCGTTTCCATTCGTCTCCCACACATCCACTGAGACTCCCAACAGGGGATTTCCATCGGTGTCAGAGACAGTTCCGCGGATGAGCATTGGCTCCCCAATAGCTCCCTTTGACGCGATTGATTGCCCATTCTCGAATTCGTGGGCTTCATTGTGGAAAGGTCCGAGAACCGACGACTCTGTGGCCCGCGGAGCAGTTGGATTGTTGATTGCGTCGACCAGTGCGGATATACCCAGGACATCGGAGAGGAGGATCATCTCCTGCCGGTCCGGGGTGCAAAATTGGCCAACCTATGAAAACTCAGTCGATACTGAGCCGAGCAGACTAGAACACGGAGTAAGCGGGTCCAGACCTCTGTGAGGTATTGCCATGCCGCTTCCCATTCGGCAGTGGTCAGTTTCGTGTCCTGGACAAAGTCGTGCGAGTACTGTATCAGCTTTGCAAACACGAACTTCAGCCGCTCGTCGGTGATGTTCGACCCGAGTTTGATGACATGGGGCGTCAGGTTCTCGATAGTCAGATCGTCTGGTGAAGCATTTGGGGGCGCCATCATCGCGAGCTTTCGTTCTCGCCAAATTCGGAACCGTAGCACAAGCACAAGCCGAAGCACAGGAATAAGCAACAAGCACACGCGCCGTACCTCTCTTTATATGACATTTTTCATCATCCGCAGTAGAATAAAGCGCAAACAAGCGATGGCGAAATAGAGAATGCCGGATGACAGATACGTCTTATTCGTGAAGATTAGAATCTCAATGCGGAAGTATGCCGTTGCCCGTTTGGACCGTCCCTTTGGGGGGCAACATTGACATTGAGGGGGGCAACGGAATATTCCGAGTCCCATTCTGGGGTTGAAATACCTAGGTAATCAGCACCTAACGAGTGTCAGCGTGAGTAATACGAGTATACACGGGGTATAGGGAACCGAATGGGGATTGTTCCGAGCTCGAAGATGACAATGTATATTAATATCTGTGTCAGCGCAACCCCGTGCTTGTTTCCGAAGCCGATTTGTCCTCAATATGTCTTGAGCGCCTACCATAACCGTGGATGTGAACTTCCTTCTTTACAGCTGGATGACAGCGTCAGGAGAGTCCCTTGCAATATATTCTTCGCGCAAACCTGCGTATGACCCACAGTTGGATTTCCCGTACATATACCGGACGAAGTGAGTGCGAGGGGCAATATTTGTGACAAATGAGTTCTGATGCCTGTCTTCTTCTGGCCATGGAATACAGTGTGCAGAAGCTGCTTCCATTTGCTATGGTTAGAATAGGGCTGTGTTTTAAAATTACCAGGATCAACATTTGATTTAACCTCCGATATCAGACCATTGTTAGATCGGAAGCTCCGAAGTTCAAATGATGTATGAACACCAGTTAGTTCGCCGGCGACCCATCCCAGTGTCAGATACGGCCGAGTGGCTTTGTCATATTTGCAAGGCCACCAAGGGTTTGGGTGTCTGGAAATCACGGTTGACTGCTCCCATCCACTTTCTAAGAATCCTGGGAGTGGAATAACGTCATGTTGTGAAAGACTAACAAAGTGTCCTTCGGGAGAATCAATCTTCAAGAGCTAATTCACTGTCTGAGAAAAAATTCATTCGGTGCGAACTTCTACCTCCCAGGCACTGGCGGTAGCTCAGTCGGTGTTTTCGTATTGCCGGGCGCGGAAAAGGACGAAGGAGCCTTTGCAGTACTGGGTATGACTTTGCCATCCGGACGACACAATAAGGACTTTTTGTAGCTGGGTACTTCCAGATGGAGCTACGCACGGACGGGACTGTACCACGGGCTTGTGTGTGAACGTGTGTGAGAGTGTGTTGGCACGACTCCCCATCTACATCTTCTCTTGTATTCTAGTTTGAGATCAGCATGCGACAATTTTTTGCGTCGCTTCGTGATGTAGGAGGAGATGTGCAATCATAACTGATTTTTCAGAGTATGGAGTAGAGTAAGTACTTGTTACTGGAAAAGAAAAAGAGGGTTCGTGGAGAAACTGGGGCAGCGCTGGGCAACGATTCTTCTGAGGCAAGCCGGCTCGCCGCGCAAAGTGCCTCGGACTCGCTCGGAGCAGCTCGGAGCTACCCAGGTATAGATGCTGCAACGTAGTCGGCTAACCATCCTCCCAAAGATAAATTACCTTACTCCACACTATTCCACAACAGCCTTGGTGCGTCAGTCTGGGAGATAGTGGGACGTGCTAAAGCAGGATCAGGGGGGCGACAGCAGTGAACGCGTCTAAGCCTTGTACCTCGTACGAGGTAGTCGCTGCTGGACTTCTACTTCGTACTCTTTAATTGTTGGTTGATGTGTCCATAGCAGGTTGATTTAGAGTGGCAATTGGGGCTTGCTGACTGCTGCAGGGCCCTGAGCTCAGGGATGTCTGCGACCCTCGATAGAATGTTCCCGTCTTCCATGGCCAGGCGTGTGGCGGAGGAACTGGGCAACCTGGATTTACTAGACGAAGCCAAAGATGAAATATACGACGTTCTTTCGGAAATCCACCGACCAAACTCGTTCGCTTGCTGCGGTGTCGCCGAAGACGCTCAAGATCCAGGGCTCTACTTGATTGACCATGGTCCCATTCGTCTGCCCCTTTCAAAAGATGGCGCCGAAGCCATCATCTCAAAGTCCACGCAAAGCCCGTTCGGCAAGGGCTCAGAAACGATTGTTGACACGTTGGTGCGGAAATCCTGGCAACTCGACCCCTCTCAGTTCGCCATTTGTAACTCCAAATGGGATCAAATAGTTAGCGACGTGGTCGACGAGGTTCATAGCGAGCTCTTCATTGAATGCGATGTGAAGAACGTATCGGCACAGCTGTACAAGATGCTCTTGTACGAGGAGGGTGCCTTTTTCAAGCCTCATAAGGACAGCGAAAAGACTCCTGGGATGTTCGGGACGCTGGTGATTTGCCTTCCGTCCCCCCACGAGGGTGGTGAGCTCATTGCGACCTTCAACGGCGAGACGAAATCGATCCAGACTGCGCTTAACGCAGAATTTGACATTTCGTACGCGGCTTGGAACGCCGACGTGCTTCATGAGGTGAAGCATGTTGTATCTGGGTACCGTCTTGTCCTGACCTACAATCTCATTCGCCTACGTGTGGACGATGACCGACTAGACATGTCTCACACGCCTTCCGACTACAAAGAAGACCTGGTTTCAGCGTTGACGAAGTACGAAGATGGGTTACAGGAACCTAACTCTAAGTTTCCAAATTTCCTGATATATCGATTGGAGCATCAGTACACCCAAGCCAGTCTTCGCGCGGACCTGCTGAAGGGAGCAGATCTCGGCCAATTGCAGTTCTTGAAGCAAGTAACGGACGACCTCGGCTTTGGAGTCTATCTTGCGAGTATGGAGAAGGAAATTATAAAGTCGGATGAGTGGGAGGACGAATCAGAGATCTCTCGAGACATCTCTTTGACGTATGTGGTTGATTTGGACGGTACACGGATCGACGATCAGAGGTCAAGGTTCGGAGTCAATGTCAAAGAGGAGATGATTATCGGTTCTGAACCTTACGATGAAGAGGAACCGGATGCCGAGGAGCATTCAGGATATACTGGTAATGAAGGCTGTACCGCCACTTTCTGGTATCGTGATACGGTAGGTATATTTGTCTAACGATTGCAAGCTTTTCACTTTGGTGCTAACGGCGCGCAGGTTGTCGTGATTGTTCCACCAATCAAGAAGATCGATTTCTTGTATCAATGCGACAAACGATTCGAGCATGTGAGTTCTTGGATTCGGCAATTACGTCAAGACTCCGAAACTGATGAGGCTGTCCAACGCGACCTGAGGGACCTTTGTGACGTCGTGGTTGCAAATATGGATAAATACCGCTTCGGCTGGTTGATGGAATCACCTGAAGAGAAGAAGCATAGGACCGCACTCACTAACGAAGTTCTTGCAACTGCGTTGCAGTGGGAGAGACTGGATCTGTACGACAAGATAGTCAAAGAGGCTTTCACGCCCGTCACTCCTGATGTATTTCGGTTGCTTGGTCAGACAATGGCCCGCGCTGTCCAGCCTGAGTCTGTCAAGGAAAGGTACGAGAAGCAGGCGTCTCCATAGCCATATCATCTTTGGCCAGCGTTGACCAAAGTCCAGGGTGAAGTACGCCATATGTCTGTCAAAGACACTGAACGAGAGGCATAGTGCCTTGATGTCACTGGTTGATGGCATCCAATCTACTTCGACGCCCGAAATTGCGGATACCGCCGAATTCAAAGCCTGGTCGAAGCAGATTCTGATTCAATTTGCCAAGGACGCCATGGGTGCTTTGAAGATGTCAAAAGCTGATGCCATAAGTCTCGCCGATATCATCACAATATGGGAGGGGAAGGATATTGAGGAGAAGTAAGTATTCAGTGATCCGCAATTCAGTTCAGCTTACTAACAACTACAAGTGTACTACCAACTTTGCTGATGTGCGGCACTTTCTGGAAAATCACTTTCGCCAACAGCCTTTCGAGGGAGATTGACAGAATAGGAGCCAAAGAAAGGGATTCTGCGTCTTCTAAGCTATCTCTCGAGGCGCGTGTGCTTATTAGCAAGAGAGTATATGCTGACATCTGGGAAACATTTGCGTTCGAGCCACTCCCAAAGACTCCTGCACCTAGCACCAATGCGGTTCGAAGCATCTACCAAGACCCACCTCAAGCAACATTACCCACATCGCCTGCGGATCATCTTCTTAATGGACATGACCTTGCAATCTTGCTCGAACGTACGATTTCTCTTGGCGTACTCACTGAAGCAGAGACGAAAGGCCGTCTGCGCACGACCCTTACCACCGCTGACCGCGACACTTGTGACCATGCGCTACTGCCGTTCGTGCAATTGGTCCTCGAGCAGCAGGTCGAGCATATGACGCTAGATCGAGACAGCAATGAAGCCTCCGAAGAGGATAAGAAGCTCGTGACTGCCATGCTTCTACACTTTATCCTTGGCAGGGTTGGCACCGAGCCCAGCACCAACTTCCACTGGTCTCAGCCAAAGGGTGGCTGCCGTCCTACCTGCTCTGATTGTTCTTGGGTCAATGACTTCCTCGCCGATCCCGCTCGTAGAGTTGGCCAATTTCCCATGGGCAAAGCTCGGCGTCATCACGTGCATACCTATTACACGGACAACGCAGGTAAAAACTACACTGTGACGACTCTCCGAAACTCGAATCCCAATGTCTTGCAGATTACCAAGAAAAAGAGCAAAGCTGAGACCGTGCACGACAACTGGAAGCAAAGGAAAGCAGAGGCGAAGGAGATGATCGCGAAGCTTGCGCGTGTCCCTTGCTTTCATCTTTATGTTGAAGAGACTATGCGCGCACCGATCCTCGCTGTCGAAGCAGCGAAGCTTGTGGCCCTGGAGAGACAACCGTTACATGCAGCTAACTTCAATCGCCCTCCTGCCGCTGGCTCGAAGAGAGCTGCTCCAGCCGATTCAGACGGAGAGGAGGTCTCCAAGATGGCGAAGACAGATGCACAAGCTGCACGCAAATCTGTGCGGACGAAACGGGGGCCTATAGAGGTCATTGACCTGACTTGATGCCTACCGCTTTGCGAACCCTTTTCACACACTTCGCACTCTCTCTACCTTACGAGGACATCAATTCACCGGACTGTATGTCTTGTGATTAGACCTCCTGCTTGTTCGTGAAGGGAAGGGTACCAGGCACGTTGCTTATCGATTGGAAGGGAGCCGCTTAGACTTGGTTTGTGCGATCTGGCTGGCTCATCAACCTGCTATTCATCTGAGTGTACAAAATTCAAACAGTATGGGCTTGAATACAAATTCCTGGAATTTTAGGTGAGACGAAAGCGGCCGAGAGTTGAGAGGCCACTTACGAGGACAGTTCCATCATTGAAGTGTTGGGAGATCTTGTGCGGTTCGAAACAAGGCCGTCCCGCCAAAGTTAATGGTGATCCGTTCTGTGGAGCGAAATCCTTCGTGCCCGGTGAGGCTGAGTCCTCTTTTCAAGACATACTAGCCCCCAGCGAAATCTATCCCAGCACGGAACAAGTCCCACGATTATCCCATCAGCTTAAGAATCTTCTGTCAATCTAAATAGCCTTCGCGAGATTGCGTCGGCACGTCCATCCCGGTTTGCTTGGTATGGATGCCTTGGTGAAGGACTTACGTACCTCACTAAAACGACCTTAAAATGCCTCAGCCCCAGAGGTCCTCATTCCACCTCCTCGCACGTTTCCTCGCGACCTTCCCTTCCGCCACTTTCTAATCATCCCATCCTTTCCCACATTGCATCCTGCACGTATCTCTTGTCTTTCCCGGGCACGCGTGAATATGCTGTCACAAGTTCAAATTTACCTTCCAGAGGCTCAACCGCCACCGTGGCTAGCTCATCTCTGTACAAGAAATCGATATTGGTGTCACGACGCCCGAAGAACAGGGTTATGTTTCCGATTTGCCGTCCCATCACTGCCAATCTTGCTCGGTCGGGAATAAACGCTCGCAAAGGGGCAATCCCCGTGTCCGCGGCAACCAGCACCAGAGGCACGGTAGATGCCATTGGTAATTTAAAATTCGACCGCCTAATCTGGGCCTGTATCGTCTGCAGAGGGTTCTGCTTCTGAACTGTCCCAGGGTCTTGACATGGTGAAGTACCGAGCGAGGCCAAATACTGGCTCGTCAGTCCAAAAATCGCCACCTCCGGCTTCAATGCCAGTCGCGTTTGCTTAACAGATATTGTAATAGAAACCTGCGTCGGTGACGTGATGTTCGAAGTTGAGATCGAATAACACCGCGGCGACATTGTCGGAATGGATTCGATCACAAAGCTCAGTGGAAGAGATAACCAATTGATATTCGGATCCAAGGTGGACGTATATGCCAGAAGCCGGGCAAACGTGAGGCGAGTGCTGGCTAAGAAAGCGCTGTACGTGGCTTTGTCTTTTCCAATCTTTCTGAGAGCGATTTTGACGACATCTGGTATTGTAAAGTCGACCAGGCTCAACACGACTTGACGTGGAACAGGGGCACAAATGTCCAGATAGTGTTCAAAGAGCGCCAAAGCGTTGGTCCTCCGAGGCAACCTCAGTTCAGTCTCGGGGGCTTTAGACTGGATTATGATCCTTTGGTCAGCCTTCTTGATATCGAGCACTTGCAAGAGTCGATCCACCTCATCTCTTGGATTCACGGGCCAACTGGCAATATGGTCTCCACTCTTGTACTTGATTTCAGGCTGACCTGAAAGGTTTATATCCATGTGGATGCAGACTCCCTCGTGTGACTCCTTAGTGATCAGAGACCGACTGGCTAGGAATTGGAAGCATGCGATAGCAGAGACCAACCCACGCTTCTAGACCTTGTGCTAGGGATATCTGTTTTCGACTTTACCTTCATGTGGAACCGGATCGCTTGACACGTCAATCGCAGCCTCGCACTTACCGGCATGCTCTCTCCAATCGAGATGAGTTTTCAGAAATAGAACCAAGTTCTCTTTCCAAGCCATAAAGTCTTCTTCGGTCGTTGACCGGCCTTCATCAGCTTTGCCGGCAGACAGGAGCAAAGACGCGCCCCAGGCAACCATTGTGCTTGCCACCTCTTCAACGACCTTGTTGTACTGCTTGTAGTTGCTGTTCCGAGCCCAAACGCGGCGGAGCGTACCGTTTCCAGTGCGTTGATTTGCAACAAAGACTTCAGCCATAAAAAAAAAACAAAAACAAAAAAACACGAATTATCACTTGGGTCGCCTTCACCGTATGTTGATACCAGGAATATCGCAAATTTGGTGGGAGGGATCTTTGGTATGGTTTCCAGGTCGTAGTCCGACAGGTCGGCCACGAGGCTTTCGAATCGCAGCCTCTGGTACAATTTTTTTGACTAGTCAATGAGCATAGCCCTCGGCAATGCCTGATTGAGATCGCCAGAAAATGACCACTTATCGACGTGTCTCTTGTAGCCTGTCTGATACGTCTCTCCTCTTCTATTGCGACGCGGTCTGAATGATCGAAGCCTGTGGGCGTTCAGACCGTTTATAGTGGTAGGGATCCTGCCATGCCCAGTTGCTGGAATTGAGGAAATATGTGAGCGTCCCCAGAGATAACGTGGGCATGAGGACCAGATTTGCTTGCTAATATTTTTGAAAAACTGTAGTCATGTTTGAACAATGAGCAGCGACATTGCCCTGGGAACGTAGTTGTGAACGAACTTCAGATCAGCATGATATCAAGATAGAATTCGAGTATATGTAGCGATGGGGGAATTGGCTTCTTGACATCCTTTTCGCAAATGAGGCTGCGATGCGAACCAGGCGCAAATCATCGTTGCTTAAACTGGTGGTCTCCCCATCACGCCGGCTGATGTTCTCATTGTTTATGCTTCAGAAAAAGGTATGTCTGAAAGTCTTCTCTAGGGCTTCTAGAAGCCAGTGCTCCATGGTAATTCGGCAAACGACGGGTGGCGGATATATCGCGGTTCACACCAGCGAAATGGTCCTGGTGCGCAACATGAAATAGGGAATTTCCCTCATTCGGACGCTGCTGGATCCAGCCAAGTTCGCCGAAATGATCCCGAATAGGCAAAATGCCGCCAGATGCCAGTTCGAGCCCCCTATTCCGCCATTGCATCACCTCCTCAACGCTCGGGACTACCAACCATTTGAGAATTCCACTTCTCTCGAACCGAGTACTGAGTGAATGAAATCACTGGCATGATGTGTGACGTACGAGTTTTGACGAGCCCAGCAGGTTCATCCTATAAGTGCTTTAAGCCTGTCTTAATACCCCGAGAACCGGACGTCCTACCTGCCCAAATAGCATCGCATCGGACCAAGTTGCGAAACTCTTAAACAACTTGACTTTCGACTTACCGACCATATACCGGGAGCAGAACAGAACATGCTGCTTCTCACTCCCATGGTCGCCGCCCTCTTTGGACTTGCTTTGTATTACTTTGTCCTCCCTGTCCTACACTACTTCTGGGATGCGAAACGTCTTCGAAAATATCCAAACTGGTCTACATTCTCAGGAATATCAGACCTTCCATATGTCCTTTTAAGCTCGAAAGGAAGTCGATCTAAGAGCATTCACGAGGCTCACAAGATCGCGCCTATTTTACGCATTGGTCCAAACTCTCTTTCCTTTGGCCATGCCAAAGCCATCAAAGATATCTACGGTCATGGTTCGAGCTGCACAAAAGACTTGAACTATGTCATTCTCCGCGGGACGCACACTCACTTGATTGATGTTGTCGACAAAGTTGAGCACGGAAGAAAAAGGAAACAGCTCTCATCTGCCTTTGCCATCAAGAACCTTGAGGCTTGGGAGTTTAAAGTGGCAGAAGTGACTGAGCGCCTGCTCAAACAATTCGACATCCACTGCACAGCTCCTCTTCCCATTGAGGATGGCGTACCAGATCCAGCTGATTTGAACCTTGACTACGGGAAATGGATCAACCTATTCACCATCGAAGCGATCAATAACATTGCTTTGTCTGCTCGACTAGGCCTCTTGGAACAAGGGAAGGACGAGGTTAACGCCGAAAAAATGGATGGCACGACTTACAGGGCTCGATACAGGCAGGCGCAAAATCAGACATCGTACGCTCAGTCAGCTATGGTGTGGGACTATAATAATTACCACATGCTAGCAAGATTCTCTCGACTCATCCCAAAATGGCGCAAAGTCTGGAACGAGGCTGAGCCATGGAACGATATTCTGCTCCGCCAAGTCAACGAACGCTTAAGGCGATACATGGCAGGCGAGAAGCTTGACGACTTTTTCTCGGCTCTGATGGACGACAAATCTGGTAGACCTCGCAATCTAGAGCTGGGAGAGATTTATGCAGAGGTCAGCGTCATCATCAACGCAGGCGCGGATACGACTGCGATTGCACTCACGAACATTCTTGAGATGTTGATTCGACACCCTTAGCACCTTGATACCCTCAGGGAGGAAATCGACGGGGTCCTCGACGATGAAGAAGCTGTCGCTCCATATGACAAAGTCAAGCATCTCCCATTCCTACGAGCTTGTATTGACGAAAGCATGCGACTTATTCCCCCAACTTCTGCGGCCTTGATGCGTCGGACGCCTCCCGAGGGTGCTCAGATCTTAGGCGAATGGATCCCGGGTGATACAAGTGTCTCGATGACAATTTACGGTGCCCATCGCGATGCCAACATTTTCCCGAATCCGGAGGAGTTTCAACCTCAACGATGGATGGATTCGGAAGAGAGGAAACGAATGGAACCCTACTTCATCCCATTCACTACTGGAGGAAGGGGGTGTATTGGAAGGAATATTTCGTATCTGGAGCAGATTGTTGTGGTGGCATCACTTGTGCATCGCTATGAGTTTGCTCTGCCTAGCCCTGAGTGGACGCTCAGTCGCCATGAGGCATTCAACATCATCGTGGGCGAGATGCCAGTCAAGATCTGGCGGAGGGCGCTGTCCTGAACGAAGCCCTGTTTCTAGACTTTCACCTTCTTCCGCATGATGTGACACAATCAGCTTCATAATGCTCATGATTCGACATACAACAATGTGCAATATACTGAATTCAACACTATACAACACTCGCTGATGCCGTTCCATACTCGCAAGTGACCAGGGAAGTCTGCCACCGACACCACTCACATTGGACATCTTTTGGCTACTAACTCTACACAAAATCCTTTGTAATCGTTCCAGGTAGTTATCAAGACGAGGTTCTGAGCATGAATTCTAGTATCTACTCGGCAAACTTTTTCAAGTCCCCTGTTGGAGGCACCATCGCCCTCACATCTGATACAATACTATGGCCATTGCATTCCCCTTTCAGTATCATGTTATCGATCGCGGTGTTGTTTGTCGGAGCGACAGTCGGCACGTGAAAGTCTAGATTTTGAGCACCTTGTTCCGTAGCCCTCCACAAAGAATCCGCTTCCTAAAAGAGACAAACTCGCCGAAACTGCGAAACAAAGGCAGACGACGATCTTCCTCCCACCACTCCAAGGAACCATTTCGGACACAAGCAATTTTTCTGATGGGACTTTCCCCGGCTCTCTCTCCCCACACCCCGGACGAGTTATGAACTAGTATTTCAAACTCGAAAGTTGCCACACGCCCGAAGATGTAGGTGAGTGAACGTATCGCAACGAAAAGTTATATAAGCGAGCATTTCCTCCGAGAACATGGAGTCCCAATCACGGGTATTCCAACAACTGAATGTCTTGACTTCTGAGACTCCTCTTGGAACTCATCCCATTGATACTTCGGGTCGTCGCCAGAATGACTCAATACGATGTGAAGGAGACTATCACTTCCTCCGAGGGCACCAACCATGAAGAATTTGCAGACCTCACTAACCAAGTGCTTCACACCGATCTTGCTTATGACAAGGAAGGCATTGGAGGAATCCTACGGTCACCGTTTGTGTTCGGCGCTGCCTTGTTGGCTTCATTTGGCGGGTTTTCATTCGGATATGGTAAAAGAATTCCCACAAGCAATTGCTAGAGGCAAGTACTAACGGAATGTGCAGATCAAGGCGTTATCTCATTGATCCTGGTGATGCCTCAATTTCATGAACAATTTCCAAAGATTGCACCCGATGCCCCCCGCTATGGTTTCAACGTGGGTGTCATGACAGGTCTTCTCGAGCTCGGTGCCTTTATTGGATGCCTTTGTCTACCTTATCTAGCGGATCATCTCTCACGAAAATGGGGCTTGACGGTTGCAACCTGTTTCTTCTGCATCGGTGCCGTCATCCAGACTGCCTCTCACAACTACAACACACTGGTCGCAGGCCGCTTCATTGGCGGCATTGGCGTTGGCACTCTAGCTGTGAGCTTTTTACCTCGTCAAACTATTGTCTCCTCCTGGACCTTGTTCCATCTAGGTTGCTAAGCTACTACATGTGCGTTCATTAACTTCAATGATATACTGACTTGAACCACTTGGTAGATGAGTGCACCTCTCTACATCTCTGAAATCGCACCGCCGAATATCAGAGGCTCTCTGCTGGTGCTTGAAGCCATCAGTATCGTGATAGGGGCTATTATCGCCTATTGGATAACCTATGCAACCAGGTAAGATGCGGTCCCTTCCCTTCAGACGCTGGCTACCTTCCAACGCATTCTGCAGACACATTACTGGTGACGGGTCTTTCAGGCTGCCATTCCTATTGTAGATGGCGCCGGCTCTCGCGGTTGGGTTGGGCATCCATTTCTTCCCATTCTCTCCTCGCTGGCTTCCCATGAGAGGTCGCAATGGGGACAGCTTGAAAGCATTGGCGAAGTTACGAAGACTTCCGCAAGATGACAGCCGCGTCCAAACAGAATGGAAAGGTATCCTTGTGGACGTTCGCTTCCAAGAGGGGATGCTCAAACGAGAACACCCCAATACAGACCCATTAATGCTTGAGATCAAGCAGTGGATCCAGCTCTTCAAGCCCAAGTACATCAGGCAAACCTTGGTTGCAATCGGCATACCGTTCTTCCAACAAGTAATAATCTTCTCTCCACCCTCTGATTGTTGCTGACACGCCCTCAAGTTTTCAGGTATCAATGCGTTCGTGTATTATGCCCCGACCTTTTTCGCCGCCCTTGGACAAAGTTACGAGATGACTCTCATCCTTTCTGGAATGGTTAATATCTGCCAGCTTGTTGCAGGGTAGGTTTAAACTCCTTCCCAATAAGTCTCATTGGACACCAATACCTACTAAACCTTCTCAGGATCCCGACTTTCCTTTTCCTCGATCAAATAGGAAGACGAAAGCTAGCCATCTTTGGTGGCCTAGCTATGGCCGTACCGCACATTATCATGGCCGGCGTAGTTGGTAAATTCAGTCACAGCTGGCCAACTCACCAAGGCGTCGGTTGGTTTGGAGTAGCCCTGATATGTAATGCAATTCTACCCCTTGCAAAACTTCGACTCGTGGCTGACTGAGTATAGACACGTATGTCTTGACGTACGCGGCATCGTACGGACCACTTGCCTGGACTCTGCCAGCAGAGTGTTTCTCGACAGCAACGAGAAGCAAAGGGGTTGGCATCGCGACTGCCACTATCTGGATAGCAAACTTCATCATTGGCGTGGCTATCCCACAGAGTAAGTCGTCCAAAAGTTCAGGCCACTCACCATTGAGCCTGCACGAGCTATTGCTTGGCCTCAAGAGACTAATACATGTGTTCTTTAGTGGCCATCTCGATCGGCTGGGGTACCTATCTCTTTTTCGGTTGTTTTTGCCTTGGGGCCAGTGTCTTTTCGTTCTTCTTGGTCCCTGAAACTAGTAAGAAATCGCTAGAGCAGATCGCGGAGGTTTTTGGAGACAAGTCCATCTACGAGGAGGCTGAGTTGATGGCGCGCGTGGCGGAAGAGCTCTTTGGAAGGACGACATCGATCGAAGAGCTGAAAGTGTGAAGTACGCTCGTAGTACCGGCCAAAACGCACCATGGAACCTCCGGAATTTAGGTGGTAGTGTTGTAGATGTTGCCTATCTCATTTTACCATCAAAGGCTAGGTCTTAATACAAATAGGGGCACGCAGCCCATCTCAGCCTCGCCAGCCAGCAATGGCATAGTGCTTCATTTTAAAAACTGCATGCAAGTGGCTTCCATCCAGTTAGTGTCTGACTGGCTTGTGCCCTCAAAGTCCTCTCCACTCCTTGCCACCAGCTCCAAGTTCGCGCCTAAGGCTGTGACGCGGGGTGAGCAATAACTTTCTCCTTCAGCGAGCCCAGGCGCACATCCCCCACTTATGTATAAAACTCGTCTTTTACCTTGATCAAACGAGCAGCCCGCCTGGCTATCATAGCTTCTAACCATGAATTTTGGGGTCCGAATTATCACAGCTCTCCCAAGGACACTTCCTGAAGGGCTGGCTTATATCGCCCAGGAGAAGGGAGGACGATGAAAGCGACAATACCACAGATGCAGCAGGACTGAGGACTACCAGCTCTCTTTCGACGTGAAAGTTCGGCTTCCGTCGTAGTTCCAAAGGACGACCAAATATGTCACAGTCTCACAAGGAACGAACTGTTCCATGCACAAGCTGCAAGAGTATGCAATCTGTTTATTCTTCCCTCGAATGTTTGTGAAGGCTTATGCGACCGTGCTGTGCAGACAGACACCTGAAATGTAAGGACATGCCTCTTGCAGTCAACCTGCATCAATGCTGAAGAAGCAACGAAGGCGACCCCCATACTCCATGCCGCAACTGCAAAAAGTCAAGTCTCCAGTGTTTGCGGCCGAGCAAGGCGTTTCGTTTCAAAAAGCCCCCCCGACCCAAACATGGATTTACATTCGATTCGAATCAGACATGGTTGGCAACCGACCAACATGGTATGTCCGCGCACTTCGGCCGCTGATAGAGTCCCTTGCGTTCTTTCACTCATTGGACATTCAGACGCACTTTCTTACATCGATGTTACGAAAGACGTGGCTCGCGCCTCCACCGGCATTGTGCACTCTCTAGATCAACCAAACGAGTCGTGGTCTAAAGGCGGCACACCAGATCATACACATGAAGGCCGAGAGCAAGCGCAAGGAGTTCCTTTCAATTTTAACCAAGCAGCACCCGATGAACCAGTGGATTCTCCGATCCATGATTCGGACGACCAAACAATGGAAGACCAGCAGCCCGGCTATGAGGGGCAGTCTCTGCCCAGAGGCATGGGAGGAGATCTGGTTGACGAAATCACAGTATCATCGAGTTCGATGCAAACCCGGCCTGTCGAACAGGCTCACACCCCATCGATTGTCTCAAACAATGAGCAGTCCCTCTCAGCTAGGTCTCAAGCTCAACTACAGAGTCCGGCATTGACGACGCATAGTCTCACCTCAGGTGGGCAATCCATTCTCGACGCACCACATCCATCTTACGCTTTCCCCTCACCGTATTATGCTTCCCCAGATGCTTTACACGGTCTGCCAGAGAAAGCAACCCATCAAGCATACACAAATCTTCAGGAGGCTTGCCTGGTCAAACATTTTATCAGCAAGTTGGCACATGCGGTGAGTTCGACACACAAGTTCGATCTTTGCTGTTCTGACTTCTGCAAGTTCGAAACAACAGACCGGGACCGCCATTTCTCCCTCGTGATCCCTCAACGTGCCATGTTCTGCCCAGTGCTTTTATATGCCATACGTGAGTCTCATGTTTCTTGACGGGAACGCCTGGCGGCCTTTGACGATACCAGTCTTGATTGCTGGACTCCTGGCATTTCGATTCAAGCTAAGAATGATTTCCAGTAACTGCGTCAGCACGTCACTTGACTCGGTTGCATTCTGCACACAGTGACAAGCCAGTCGAATTTGAAGGTACCCCTCTGCCCGACCTCAACGAAAATTCGGCAATAGAATATCACAACATCTGCATTTCTTATTTGATGGAGGTATTGAATGATCCGAAGACGATCAACCAGGATGCTCTGATTGCTGCAACAATCCTCAGATTCCACGAACAAATCGATAGTGAGTCCCCCCCCTTTAGTATCGGCCCACCCAAGTCGAATGTTCTATTGATGCACGGCAGCTTGGATCATGTCTCAGTAGAAGTTAACAAAATGGCATTTGCAGCTCCATTAACCGGCTGGGATCCGGAGACATATTTAAGCGTCCTCCGAGGAGTCATCGAGTCGCAGCAGAACGAATCCTTTTATTCCCTGCGCACTATTCACGGCCCGCCCAGAGACTGTGATATATACGCCTCGAACAATGCGTCGCTGGCTCATTCTGCCTGCTTGATTGCTCTTCGCCAGGAGATCTGGTCTGTTTTGCTCTACCGTAGACCATTCCGCCTCCCACTCTGCCCAGACAACGACTACTCAAATCTGGACCCAGCAGCGGACGATTATACATGGACAAACCGAATTTTGATCTGGTGCGCCGATGTTTGCAAATTCGCGTTTGGCGGGGAAGCTGGCATTATCGAGACAGGTAGCCGCGTTGAAAGGTGGAAGCGTCTCAAAGTTGTGCAAGACAAGTGGGATTCGGTGCAGCCAGCGTGCTTCAAGCCTCTTTACTACCGAGAAGCTGAGCCCGCGAGGGGCAAGTATTTCCCAGAGGAGTGGCACATGAACGACTGCCAGGTGCTAGCACTCCAGCACTTCGAATTGGCGCGAATGGTGCTTGCCGCGTATGATCCGGACCTCCAAAGAATAGGACTGGGCGCCAGCTCATCTATTCTTACCCTCGAAGCCCAACTGAGACGCTCCACAATGCGGCTTTGCGGATTGGCTCTCGCGAATTTGAATGATCAACCGGGCATGGTCACAGCCGCTGTCGGAATATCCATGTGCGGTGAATATATCCGCGATCCTGGGGAGCAAGGTGCAATTAAAGGATTTCTCAACACTCTCGAGCGTGAGCACGCTTGGCCAACCCAAAGTGTCAGGCATGCATTGCGAGATGCGTGGGAGGCGACACGCAAGCAGTCTGCAGCATTTTCAGTCTCAACAACGTGATTGGCCTGGCAAAAGTCTCTTTCAACGCTTCAAGGCTCGAGGAAGTCGGCACACAAGTCCCTCAACAGGCCCGAAAGTTGCTGTTCTCATACCTTCAAGACGAAGTGCAGTGGCGATCATCCAAACAATCTCGGCAAAAGGAATTTCTAACGCCTTGGCTGCCTCTTCAGGTCCTTTGTTGGAATAATATATTCCCTATTCTGTTCAGTCGATTGGAGTTATGTGGCCCTTTCTGATCCATCTCAAGGTGCGGACATCCAGACATTGTCACATTCATTGCATACTCCTGCCAGGATATCAACTCCTTACTTAACGAAGGGGAAAGAAACACCTGGTATGCCCCAAGCTTCTGTGTACGTAAAGGACGCTGGGCTGCCCCGCTTCGGGGCCTTTCCATACCAATGAGGGAATCTTCGGAAAACGACCTAGCACCCCTAAGACTGTTATGGATTGGTAATTTGGTAACCATCTGGGGCGACGCGACGCGACCATTTCTCGGTTGTCACGTATGGCAAACCATTGGTCTGAAGCCCTGTTCAGCCTATCGTCAATTCGATAGTGGCCAAGTCTCGACTCTTGCCGATCAATCCTTCGCTTTTCCGAGCATCTCCTCCGGCGCCTTGCTCGGCTCAGCTCTGAGTTTTGAGGATTTACAACATGACCAACGCCGTACCTCGAGGCTGCAATGCTCTCGACTTCTCCGCCTTAGGCCTTTGGCCTCCCGGAACCTTGACGAAGGCAGCGACACATTCAATAAGTGCCGATAATGAATACGACAGATCCCCGCGTTGGCTCGGCCCGTGACAACTCTACAAGCCCTGGGCTGTCTCGGGTGGTTTCTGGCTCCAACTCATCTTCCACAAGCAACCTTGTTGCGACGCTAGTGCCTGTGCTGATTTGGGCCGCCCTGTGCATCATCATCTTCGTAATTCTGCGACGCAAATGCCCTCGAGTATATGCTCCAAGGGCCTCACTGAAGAGCTTGGAGCCACAGTATGTCTCCCAGTCCTGATTTCTCACCTGTTAACACCTGGCGACTGACTTTTTGAAAAGCGAAAAGAGTGCACCTCTTCCCAATGGGTGGTTCAACTGGTTCACCGAATTTTACCGCATCCCTTCTGTGTTCGTGCTCAATCACTCATCTCTCGATGGATATCTCTTTCTGCGCTTCCTTCGAGTGCTGGCTGTGATATGCCTCGTTGGAATAGGGTTGCTGTGGCCAGTTCTACTCCCAATCCACGCGACAGGAGGGGCGGGCAATCAGGGATTGGATTGCTTGACCATGGGAAATGTTGTGAATCACAATCGACTGTACGCCCATGCCCTCCTGTCGTGGGTCTATTTTGGTAAGTCATCTCTAGGCTAAACAGGCTGCATTCCCAGTAACGTATGATTCAGCATTCATTCTCTACATGGTGTCACGAGAATGTGTATATTATATCAACTTACGGCAAGCATATCTCCTTTCACCATTTTACGCAAATCGCTTGTCCTCTCGAACGGTCCTATATATGAATGTACCTAGGCACTATCTTGATGAGCAAAGGCTTCGATGGATGCTTGGACGCTCTGTCAAACGGATTTGGATCCCTCAAACGACCAGTGAACTCGAACGCCTCGTTAAGGAAAGGGAACAGACGGCTATGCGCCTGGAAAAAGCGGAGTTTGAGCTCATCAAAATGGCCAACGCTGCAAGGACGAAGGTGCTCAAGAGAGCCGAGAGTGAAAGGAAACAAGAATCGAGCCATCCCCCTCCCGAGCCCGAACACCGTAGCGGGAATGGCCCAGAATCGGGTTCGAAATCTGGCACTGCCGCAGTCATACGAGCACCCGACAATCCAGAGGGCGTTGCGTATCCCACAAAAGAGATGCGAGAGCGGACTCTACCCGACGTCAACGGATCAGTCGCATCACAGTGGATTCCACATAGCTCGAGGCCACATCATAGGCCGATTGCCAATTATGGGCGCCGTGTGGATACTATCAAGTGGACAAGAAACCAGATCAAGAAGTTAAATAGTCAAATTGCCAAAGTCCGGCGCGACCAACTTTTCAAGACCGAAGGCATGCTGCCCTCCGTCTTCGTGGAATTCGAGACACACACAGATGCACAACATGCTTACCAGACCCTGACGCATCACCGCCCGTTGCACATGGCTCAACGATTTCTCGGTGTACGACCGTTTGAGATAATATGGGAGTCATTGTCAATGTCGTGGTTGGAGACCATCGCACGAAAGTTTCTAATCAAAGCTCTCATAACCGCCATGATCATATTTTGGGCCATACCATCCGCTCTTGTCGGGACAATTTCCAACATTGACTACTTGTCGGAGAAAGTCAGTTTCTTGGGGTGGGTCGGAGATCTGCCCAGTGCGGTGAAGGGTATCTTGAGTGGTGTCGTTCCGGCTCTTGCCTTGTCCCTGTTGATGAGTATTGTTCCCGGAATCTTGAGATGTAAGTTGAGCCTTGGTCTCCCAATATTCCCATTGCTGACCCATCAACCAGACTGCGCGAGGCTTGGGGGAGTGCCAACTCTGAGCATGATCGAGCTCTACACCCAGCATGCCTACTTCGCATTCCAAGTCGTTCAAGTATTCCTGATAACGACTTTGACATCAGCGGCGTCCGCAGCCGTGACGAAGTTGCTCGAAGACCCGACGACAGCAAAGGATTTGCTCTCGCAAAACTTGCCAAAGGCTTCCAACTTCTATCTCTCGTACTTTCTCTTGCAAAGTCTGGCCCTCGGGTCTGGGGGCCTTGTTCAATTTGGCAACTTGTTCCAGTTGTATGTGTTCCAAAAGTACATCAGCAGTCCAAGGAAGATGTATTTGAGATGGCACCGTCTGCAGCGGATCCATTGGGGGACAGTCTTCCCCGTCTACACCAATCTTGGTGTCATTAGTAAGTCTTCTGCAGGGTATATGCTATGGACGGTCTGGTTCTGACAGGATGGCAGCTCTCAGCTATGCACTTATCGCGCCAATAATTCTCGGATTTGCCGCTGTCGGTCTCCTTTTTCTGCACATCGTGTACCGATACAACCTGATTTACGTTTACGACTCTGAAGTCGACACCCGGGGGCTTGTCTATCCACGCGCCCTCATGCATTTACTTTTGGGCTTGTATTTCTCAGAGGTTTGTATGATTGGGCTGTTTTCGATCAAAGGCGCTTATGTTCCGGTTGTGTTGACTGTGGCTCTCCTCGTCCTCACTGGATTGGTCCATACCTCACTCCTCGATGCTCTCGGGCCTCTTTTGTGGAGTCTTCCGAAAAGTCTGACTGTTCAGGAAGACCAGCACTTGTTGGGATGCCGCCCGATAAACCCACGCAATGCTGAAGATCTGGAGCAGTCCGAAGAATACCATTCCGACAAGGAAGAACAGGAGCCAGAGCAAAGCAACAGCAGAGCCCTGGAAGGCGCCAGTGGAGCATTCAACGCCCTGGGGGGAGGTATCAAAAACATGCTCAGGAAGAAAGTCAAAAGGGAAGTTCCTGAAGCAAATATCCTAATGAATGCTCTCATGGGATTTTGGATGCGATGGATATCACCAAATCCAGCAGACAAGTCCAACTTCCTTCTACGCTGGCTCCATCCTGAGGTGTACTCCGACTATACTCTTCTTCGTCGAATGGTACCTTCCGACTTGCCCGATCCGGTATACCCAGAAGAGATTGAGCAGGATATCTATTACCCGCCCTCATTTTTTGCAAAGCCACCGACTCTGTGGATTCCTCGCGATCCCGGAGGAGTTAGTCGACAAGAGGTGGAACACAGTGCGAAGGTGATTCCGACCACAGACGAATATGTGGATATAGATGAGAAAGGCCGTGTCATGATCGATATTGAGGAGAATCGACTCGTTTTCGATGTTAGCCGGCTGAGATATTGATATTGGCAATGAAATAATTAGAATCTAAGCAAGTTGTAATTTTTTTCTGATTTCAGCAGGACGACTTGAGACCATTGTGCGCGCAAGGCTGCATCGCAAGGCTGTTACGTGCAGAAGTGGAAATTCTTAGCGCGCAGGCAGGGGCAACCGAGAACTTTCAGATGCACCCGCACCATCTGCACCGTCTGCACCGTCTGCACCATCTACTCCGAACAAAACATCCAGCACACGCTGCATACTACTCCTCACTGCGCGAATTCAGGCGCGCTCAGAGTACATTTTAACCAGTATCACGCATATTCTCTCCATCATCCGGTTCGCTACCGACTCATTCTTACTCGCCATGAGTTGATCGACCTCTGCCTCGAAACTCTCTTCTATCCCTCAACCTCTCTCCGATCAGTCTCAACATGGCGTCGGCAGCCGTGCGAAATGGCAGTAGCGCTAGCGGCCTCAACGGAGGGGCAGTAGGAATTACACCCGTATCACGCTTTACCGACATCCCGTCCGCGATCGATATTCCTGTGTCTGGTGGACTGGACGCCGATGAAGCGGTCGAGGTCAACCTTGAGGATCACCTCGACGACCCCACGGAGCTCTGCCAACTGTTGGAAAATGAAAAAGCCGCTAAGAATCTATGGATCACAATTGCTTTGGCATACGCGAAACAGGCGCAAATTGATCATGCAATCGAAATCTTGGTCAAGGGCATGGGTTCTCTCTCAAGAAGCGGGCCCAAAGAACGTCTGAGCCTACTAACCTGTGTGGCCTGGTTAAATCTTCTAAAGAGCAGACAAGCTCCACGAGTCTTGCCTGAAAACCAGCAATCGTCCGACACAAAGACCAAAGATCATTACCTGCGCGAAGCCACTGCCTCGATCAATGACGCCCTTCGAATCAACCCTGCCTTTCCTCCACTCTATCTCACTAGAGGCGTTCTCTTCCTCCTCCGAGCCTCCTTGCAAGCATCAACCAAAGCTGGATCAGATGCCGAAAGAGCAGAATCCCTTAAACAGGCTCTCAAGTGTTTCGACGACGCGCTGAGAGCTTCTGAAGGACGCAACATGATGGCGGCAATCGGAAGAGCTAGGACACTCTATCTGCAGAAGCAGTACGGCCCAGCACTGCAAGTGTACCAAGATGTGCTCGCCAAGATGCCCGGGCTCACAGACCCGGACCCGCGGATAGGCATTGGCTGTTGTCTCTGGCAGCTAGGATACCAGGACAGAGCGAAGATGGCTTGGGAGCGATCGCTGGCACTGAGCCCCGACTCAAAGATTGCACATTCTCTGTTGGGTGTGTACTATCTATACGAAAGCTCCAAATACCCGGCCTCCGACCCTCAATTTAATGCTCTCTACAAGAAGGCAATGATTGACCATACGAAAAAGGCTTATACTATCGACAAGAACTACCCGCTTAGCTGTGCAACTTTTGCTAGCTATTTTCTCCTGACTGGCCGCTTCGACACCGTGGAACCTTTAGCACGGAAGGCCATCGAACAGACCGACATCAACGCAATCGCCAGTGACGGTTGGTATCTGTTAGCTCGAAAAGAGCACAACAAAGGCGACTTGTCAAAAGCAAATGACTATTACAATAGATCCGACCAGGCACGAGGCGGTCTAGATCGAGGCTACTTCCCTGCGAAATTCGGTCTCATTCAAATCATGATTCAGACCCAGGACATCCAGAGTGCCAAGTTTCGACTCGAAAATCTCGCTCAGCTCAATCGACATGTAGAAGCCATGACTCTGCTGGGTTGCTTGTATGCCGAAGAAGCATTCTCGCCTCAGAGCACGGCGACCAAAGAAGATAAAGCAACGGCGGCGCGGAAGGCCATACAACTGCTAGAGAATGTTCGAAAAACTTGGAAAGACGAGAAGACCCGGAACAAGCCGGATGAGTCGGTTCTACTCTACCTCGCACGTCTGTATGAGCTCGAAAATCCAATCGAGAGCCTAAAGTGTCTCCAAACAGTCGAACAAATGCAGCTCGAGAAAATTCCAGATGAGGATAAGCCAGATCCAAACGAGGAGGAAGCAACATACATAGCTCTACTGCGCGAAAACCTGCCTCCGCAGCTTCTTAACAACATGGCGTGCTTTCTATACGGACAAGAGTCATACTCCTTGGCTCGAGAGACATTCCAGATTGCGCTCAACGCATGTGTCAGACTTACCGAGAAGCAAGAGGCCGAGAAGAAGGCACTGGAAGAAGAAAAGATCAATGCAGAGGATGTTGACAATAGCGACACTGATGCTCTGGTGACCACGATTTCATACAACCTCGCCAGGACTTTGGAAGCCTTGGGCTTGACAGAGGAGGCTCAGAAGGTGTATGAAGGTCTACTTGCCAGACATTCCGACTACACGGACGCCTCTGCCCGCTTGGCGTTCATAGCCTTGGAAACATCACCGCGAGACGAAGGACCGCGAAAGATCCACGCAGTATATCAAAGTGACTATGGGAACACCGAAGTCAGGGCACTGATGGGCTGGTACCATCATAGCGCCAAGAAAAAGACTACCAACATTGCCGAAGATACTGAGAATCGCCATTACAAGCACACATTGCAGGGCTACGACAAGCATGACCTTTACTCTCTCGTTGGTATGGGCAACATTCATCTTACAATCGCAAGAGACATGCCCCGAAATACAGATCAAGAAAAGGAAAAGCGGAGCAAGATGTACGCCAAAGCATACGAGTTCTTCGACAAAGCGCTGCAACTGGATCCTAAGAATGCTTATGCCGCACAGGGTGTTGCGATCGCTCTTTGTGATGACAAGAAAGCATACTCAGACGCTCTGCAAATATTCACCAAGGTCAAGGACACTCTCCGCGACGTGTCGGTCAACACAAATCTTGGTCACGTGATGACAGAACTTCGGCAGTATCAACGCGGAATTGACAACTACGAGATTGCGCTGAGAAAGGAGGGCAAAACGGAGAACGCCCAATTGTTGGCATGCCTGTCGAGGGCATGGTTGTTGAAAGGCAAGGCTGATAGATCCATCCCTGCTCTGAACACTGCTCTCGATTACATGAAACGCGCGCTGGCTACTCAACCGGACTCTCCTCATTTACAATTTAATGTGGCTTTCATCCAATTCCAAATTGCACAGCATGTGAATCAAGCCAAGGAGACGGATCGGACCCTTGAAGATGTGGATGCCGCTATCGCTGGGCTTGAGCAAGCCATCGATACCTTTGAACAAGTTGCACGTCACAAACAACCACCATATCCCCGAACAGCACTTGAACAGCGAGCCGCTATGGGCAAAAACACCATGAGAAACCAGCTGGAGCGACAACGTGGGAGGCAGGCCGCATATGAAACCGAAAATGCCACGAAATTGAAGGAAGCAAAGGAGAGGCGTCAGGAGGAGCTCCGCAAACGCGAAGAAGCGGCAAGACGACGCAGACAAGAGGAAGAGGAACGCGCGCAGAAGATTGCAGAAGAGCGACGAAAAATTGTCGAGGAGACAGAGAGAATTGCCGAGCAGATTCGAGCCGAGGCAGCAGCAAGAGAAGCTGCCGAGTATACGGACGACGAAGAAACCGGGGAGCGCGTGAGGCGAAAGAAAAAGCCAAAGGCTGGAAGCAAGCGAAAGAAGAGAGATGATGAAGATGGATTCATCGAAGACGACGACGATGGGAAGAGTGAAAGAAGCATATCACGAACCCCAATGAGCGGCACGGACAACGAAGCTCCGGCGGAAATTCCAAAGAAGAAGAGAAGAAAGTTGGAGAGGAAAAGTGCTGCAAGAGAAACGCCACGGCGAAAGAATGACAAATTCAAATCCGCAGCCGTGGTGGTCGACTCAGATTCTGAATTGGAGGACGAAGCTAGCGCTGTCGCGACCCCAGAGGCAGTTCCCGTCGAAACACCGGCATCTGAAGTTCCCGATAAAGACGAAGAAATGGAAGGTCTACGCGATGAGCACGAAGAAGAAGAGGAACAAGTTCGACCAAAACCCCCGCCTAGACAACGCAAACAGCTTCGGACTATTGCCGATGAGGATGAAGAGGATGAGGACGAGGAAGAAGGCTTCAATCTTGGCGCCGGTGGTGATGCGGACGCAGCAAGGAATTCTGACGAGGCCGGTTCTGGGAATAACGATGATGATGGGTAGGCGGCACGGCCTTGGAAGTTCATGTTCTGCCGCCCTTTCTGCACAGTGAGCGGCAAGGCCGACATGGCGATAAGTAAAAGCGTATCTTCGACATCATTGGTTCTCGTATATTTGCCCTAAAGTTTCTCCTGAGCCTGTGCCTAGCTGGTGATATGGTCGGATTCCTGCAATGTAAAACATCACGACAGGTTTACTCTGATAATGAATAATTGTGCAGAGAAAGGAGTATTGAGCTTCCAGGCATGGGAAATGCGGAAGCAGTCAACTTGAATACATGAAGATTTGCCCTCTTAACGGCTAGATCTATGAATTTGGTGATTGTCAGCCTCGACCCGGTCAAGAGTGGGCTGCTCAGCAAGGCTGAAGTACGAGGTAATGACTCGCGCCCAACGAACCACGTTCACGTGGTCCGAGTCATTTGACTGTGCGGTCGCCTACTGCAGGGACATCGACATATCCCGCTGCTGTCGACTCACCTCAACGTGCTCTTAATACGGGTCGCTTGATGACAGACTCATGGCTGCTTCGCAATCAAATCAAGCCCTGGTTAGACGGTCGTCCGCGGACGATGTCGGTCTTATGCCCCCGCCACCTTTCAAGCGCATCAAACGGCCACCCAAGGTTTTAGACGAAGACGAATATACACAAGCATTGTCCGACATCATTGCACGCGACTACTTCCCCGGTCTGCTCGAAAGTCAGGCGCAGCATGAGTACTTGGCTGCACTAGATTCCGGAAATGAGTCCTGGATTGCGGAGGCATCGCAGAAATTGAGACAGGCGGCAGCGCCGGCAGGCGGGAGCAAGAGGAGGTCAACACGGAACACTAGATTCGACAGGACTCCTTCAGCGACGCCTCGTCCGGTTGGAGATACGCCGGTTGGATATACAGGCAGCGAAACACCTGTGACGGTCGCTGGAAGTGAAATTGAGGAAGGAGGGGAGCAGCAAAAACAGTTGGATATGTCGGCACTCTCGCTAGGTTCGTTCCAGGCGAAATACACCTCGGAGGATAACGAATCCTTCAACGATCTCCTAGACAAACAAAATCGAAAGCGGCGCGAAAAACATGCCCATCTGTGGACTCAGGATCAGCGGCTCCCTTCTGCACGACAAATCGCTCACCGCGCCCGAGAAGCCCGACTCCTCAAAGAGCGTGAAGAAGACGAAGCGGCAGGAAGAGCCCTTGTTCCTATGGCCTCGGGCGCGACAGATGCCCGTCTCGCCAGGCCCGACGCTTGGAAGATCAAGCGTCCAGACAACAGCTTCATGTTCCACGCGAGTTCCGTGGACGAAGTTGGGCTACAAACCGTGCAGGAAGTCAAGGAGGAAAACTCCAAAGCTGGTCCGAAACACGTTGTTCACGCAAACACGCGGTTTCCGCCGATGCAATACCTCGAAGAACCTGGCCCAGTCCCCCCTTCGCCCTCGCTAAATACGGAAATTATTGCGCAACGTACCAAACAACGCCGAGAGGGCAGCGATTCAGTGACGACCACCAACTTCCCAGGGAGCGAAACCCCGCGTGTAAACGGCTACGCGTTCGTCGAAGAAGACGAGCCTGAAAACCTGCCCTCCACAATCGAGTCTTCGGCTCCGAGTTACCGCGATCTCTTAGCTGGCCAGGTCGGCGACGGCACGCCCAACCCGTTCAAGATAAGCGAGATTCGCAAACGAGAAGATTTGCATCTGAGGATCCTGGAAAAGCAGGCGAGGAGGAAGAGGGAAAAGGAACGCGAGACGATGAGAACACCTGGTTTTGTGTCGGGGGCTAATGGCAAGACGCCTTCGACGCCGCAGGCTGTCGCCGCCGGAAATATGACCCCCGCAGCACAACGGCTGATGAAGAAGCTGGGTGGCAACACAAGTGTTAGACCTGGCCGTGGGCTTGGAGGTGGGATAGACGGGGCTGAAGGGAAGGAGATGTGGACTCCTGGACGGACCCCCCGGAGGAGGCGCGCTGGGAAATAATTCTGTGCGGCGGCATTGTTCACGCCATACGCCTCTCGGAACGATTCTTGACCACACATGGTGTACTCGGTGCGTCGGTGCATCACGAAGCAAAGCGTCAGGGGACCCGTCTCCGCAGTGCTCTGTACAACCAAATTCTATACTCGGTACTCATACACTGCCACTGCCGTGTCCACGTCGAGCCGAGATCCATCATCCCCAAGGATTCCTTTTTTTGCCGACTGTCCTCGATGTATTAATAAGATCGCCAATATATTATTTTGGGGTACATTGGCACAGAGCCTGACTGACTGGTCCAAGCGCGTATTATTCCTATTTGGCAGCCTTGCGCCGCTCCCGCTCAGGACGGAAATTTGAAATCAGGGGCTTCCCGCCTTGTCGAACCCAACGGTCTACATATGACCGGTTACGTTACTTGGCTCATACAGTAGGGGCTCCGGTTTTCTGCTTTCCCTGTCTTGCCTTACTTTGCTCTTGCCATTGCCGCGCTCGAAGATACGATACGGTATGCCTAACCGCTCGTTTTAGTACCTAGGTAGGTATATGGGATTCAGAGTCATTGTCGGCTTAGACACGGTGGTCCGGAAAGTCAACGCACGATGTCGAGAGCGAAATCCAGACGATTGATAGCACGCCAGTTAGACACAAGCCTGTCGGTGAGCAGAACAGAACAGAACAGATGCTCTTCATAGAAACCTAGCACATGGCTGTCTGCCAAACCGACCCCGGCGATTCGTAACGCCGTATGTTCATTCTAGAACGCTCTTAGAAGAGATTCCTCAGTCCTAAGAAAACCGCCAAAAACACCATGCTATATACACTTGGCCGCAAAACGGTGCTGCTCCCGCTCAAATAATAAGCCGCCCCCAAATAACTGCAACTGATGACCCCTTCCGACTCATTGACTCGTTTGCCATAACTCTCTTCCAGGCCCCTCCCCCGTAATGGACAGGAGAATCCTAAACTCGCCGGGCAACTCTGCACGAGATCATAGCATAAATATTCGCAGGGGAGGACTTCCTTGTACGGTCCCGGTTGGATGGACGTATCAATAAGCGGATTTCGAGAAGAGTTCGTGGCGACGGCATTGAGAAGAGCTTGATTGACGTTGAATCGCGACGGATCAGATGAAATGCTCGAGCCGTTGATGAATGGCTGGGCCAAATTTCGTGGCATGAGGAACGAAGCTGGATTGGAGAAGTCTGCACAGCGAGGGATGGTCACTGCGCAGAGCCATTGTTTGTATGCCCGGGCGCAGTCGTCACAGTTGCGGGCTAGAGAGTATTGAGCGCTTGAAGTCGTATTGCAGGGGATTTGTTGCAAAGAGTAATTGAAGTATTGGTACATTTGAGCCGCGTTAGAATCATACAGTGCGGCTAAATCTGGGAGACCTGTCTCCGGCGAAAATTTGTCGGGGTTAGTAGGAACGGCATAGGCCACTTCAGAGCAGAATGAGAGGTTATACATCAGAGCGCAGTTGTTCTCGGTTTTGGTCTCGAATTCAATGGCAGCCCAGACAGCGCCGCCGCCTCCGACCACGCCGGCACCGGAGTCCGTGGAGTTGCCATCCATGACCAGCATGCCCCAATATTTCGAAGTAGCGTTGAGACCCGTGATGTAGAACTGCTCTTTCGGCTTGCCGCCCAAGCCCCTATTGGTCATTTGGGCGACATTTTGGTTAATGATGTTGTCAATATTCGCTGCCACTTTGGCGTTGTTTTTCAGACCGCAGAAGGATTTTTGGACTCCGAGAATTGTCCGCTCGTTCTGGTTCGAAGCGAAGACACCCCATGGAGGACTTAACTTCATCCATTCCTGATATACAGTCTGATTGGGAAGAGCCTGCGTGGTATCGTTTGTGATCAGGAGTGCTGCATGGTTGTCCCCGTCGACGAAATACAGATTCTTCACTTCTGGGTCCTCGAAGCCATAGAAAGGTGCATCAATTGACGCAGCAATATTATAGTTCCAGATGCCAGAAAACTCCGAAGTGTTGGGCGCAGATATCCCCACATACACGTCGTTATCAGCATTCGCCTCAAATATCGCATACCCTCCATCAACCGTAATGGTTTGTTGATCAGTGTGGCCGGATCCCGGACCCGGTTTCTGGTTTGATTCAGATAAAGAAATGTACATCTGCAATTGCGGAGGCACCGCATTGGTCGTATTTGGCGAAGGTTGCAAACAAGTGTTGAGTGTAATGTAGATCCTGCTCCCTGTCTGCCTTCTTCTGAGTTCGTGTTGTTCCGGCTGTAGCTCTGTTTCCTCCAGCTTTTCGCCTGGCAGACCGACTCCAGGCGTTCCGTGTGGACCATCTATTGCAGCCTTTGGAAACACCCAGTTTTGGGTCTGACCAATCTCGATGTTACTGTTCGCCGGGTCGTTATTAGCCAGCGCAGAGACCCCAACTTCGGCGCGGACAGTTATTCTATGCTCATCAGTCTCTTCATGTGGCTCCTCGTCCGATATAATGTAAAAATTGTGGTCTTCGGAAGGTATCCGAGAGGACTCAGACTCCAGGGCGTAAGCAAAGTGGGGTTTCGTCAAGGATAGGTATAGCAGCAACAGGACGACGGACGCAGAGAGACATGCTGCAAACAAAGGGGCCAGCTTGATAGGCGGCATCATGAAGCCCAGCTTCGACTCGGCGCCCGCGATAAGAGAGGGAGGGGGGTTTAAATAAGCGCTATAGGAGCATTGTGGCTTTGTGCTGAAGAGTTGCGGGTAAAAAGGGCAGCCGAAAGTTGTTGATCAAAAGTGGTGTAACGAAGAGTGGGCAAGATTGAGCGCCGGAGGTGCGTTGGAGTCGCAGACAACGAGGTCTGTCAGATCTCAGCCTCGCGCAGCCTTGCAGCCTTGCAGGCCCCGCTTGTGGGCACTTTTTGTTCCGTTCCGATGCGAGTTATATTGAAACTTCATCCATCATCTTCACCACTTGGCCAAAACAATTCACGGGGTCTCCGCAAGCATTGCGGCCGCTTGCACTGGACGATATTGTCAGACCCTTGCCGCTGTAGGGTCAGGGCATATATGTCTCTCCTACAAAGGAAATAACACCAGCTTTGGCGCTGTCATTGCGCCACTTCGACAAGGTCATCTCAATCTCGCACTCGACAATGGCAGAGACGTGCGAACACAAGCCAACTATCGGCTGCGCTTTGACCGCGGTGCCTGGCTGCTGCGCCTGCGCGGACAAGAGACCGCTGGTAAGCCTCTCCGCAGACTTCTTCCCGTGTTGTTGGTGCGGTGTCGAATGCTGCCCTTCTTAATCTATGCTTTCCGTGCTTACAACAAGTCAGGCAACTGCCTACCCTCTCTACATTGACGGCCAAGGCATGAGACTTCAAGGCAGGCGCTGGCAACGCTACTGCTGGAAGTGTCGCGGTACGTCCAACGACTTATTCTTTTACTTTCTGCTTAGGCTTTGTCATCTTCGTCGTCGGCAACATCAGATTCCAACTATAAGTCGCTCGCTGGTGAACATATCGTTGATTTGCATTATCAGATTATTGGAATTTACACTCACAGTCTACGACGTCTGCGTCTCTCCTTTCCAACCCTCCAACTCCTTATGCTGCAGTCCCGTCGGATCAGACCGCGCTTCCATCCACAGACAACATGGACCATGCGCACACCAACCCATCCCCACTATCCGACTGGCACCAGCAATCCTGGTCGTTTGACGGAATCAATGAATTACAGCACCCTGCTGGTAGTGAATCAATTCCACTTTCCCCGCGTCATCCCTACATCCCTCGTGGTACTGGGCATTCCAGCCACGCCGGAACATCAGATGGGTACCCGAGAAGCGACCCTCTACACCAGAGGTTTCAAGAGAGCCAACAGGCTCAACAGGCCCGACTGGCCCGACGAGCCCAACTAAGAGAGGGTGGACCGCCTCCCGGTTCTCAAAGAATCACAGCACGGCAATCAGGTCCAAACGGTGATTCGAACCCCTCAGCCTCAAGAAGGAGGGAACGAGCCTTTACCAACCCATTCGGCACCCGAGAGGAAATTGAGTCTGAAAATTATCAGAGCCCCATCACGGCAATGTTTGGTCGAGCCTGGAATCGCTATAGACAAGCTGAAGAGGAGAGATCATCCATGGAAGCCGGAGCCACAAACGTGGGCGATACGCCGAGAGAGGCCACTGCCAGTGTTCTGGGCACCGGACCATCCCAGAATGCGGATATCCAACGACAAGTGGATGCCATGATACATCGTAGGCGGTGGCGGGAGGAACAACAGTTGATAGAAACCTTGAGGGACGCATTACAACTACGAGAAACTCTTCGGCGCGAGAGAGATAATCCACATACACACCCACAGATCAATCCTATCGACTCTCAACCGCTACGGCCACGGCCGCTCGACCCGGAAGAGATGGCCGTTAACGGCGCGTGCAGAATATGTTGTGAGCAGAAGATCGATACACTGTTGGAGCCTTGCATGCATGTTGCTATCTGTCACTGGTGCTCGGATTTGTTACTCGAGCAAGTTCGGCGGCATCGTTCCATACTCCAACGCCTAGACGGGGATGAGTCAAGGTGGAAATGTCCGATTTGCCGTCGTGCCGTCGTGCGGGCACGAAGAGTGTATCTGGTTTAGATGTCCGTGCAAAGTCAGGTTGCAGTGGCAACTATTCATTTTTGGCCCCGAGACCACGAAGTCGTACAAAAACATGGTGAGAGCGATGGATATGTTCATTGACGGCTGCCTTGGCGAGACGCTGGCGATTATAATGTTGGAGATTCTTGTGCGTGTCTTGTGAATGCAGACTTGCGGGTTGATTTGGAGCGGATCATGCTGAGCATGTGCGATACGCGCATCTTGTACCGCATATAGATGAGCCCCAAAGAATGTCATTTGTACTGCAGGTCTTCCCGTCATCAACTATCAGCCTCTTCATGGAAGTCTCATTTCGCCGACTGAGGTTCCCGCAGTCGATTGCTGCTTCGCTTCACCGTGTCACATTAAATTGGGCAAGTATCGCTGCCGGCGCAGTTAAGACAGGTGATTGATTTATTGCTTGAACGAAACGCAATCTAGAGAGCGACTCGCTGGCTCAATTGCTCACTCACCCAGGCAGTACGGGACCAGTACGGGACAGCAGCGCCGTGTTTATGCAAAAGAAGATGGGTGAAATCGTGATTAAACGTGGATAGAGCACTGGTCTGAACATGACATGATGGGGGAGGAGACTCGAGGAGTACACGGGTGAGGATTTCCCTAGTCTTCTTACTTTCTTTTTTTCTTTTCTTGAAGTCCTATCTCGTCCGCCAGGATGGTGCGAACGGATGGGCCCACGTCGTCCCTTCTTCTTCTGCCAGTGAGAAATGCAGTTGTTGACCGCGAAACCTTCGAAGACCATGCATGTGGAGGATACTGACGATGAAGGAGGCTTCTGACACGTGGGCATTGGCGTCTAAAAGAATTTCCTCAAGTCTCTATATATCCTCCTTCCGGTTCCGTCCTGTGTGCCTTCCTTCTCTTTTTTTTCCTCATCTTTTCTTGAACCGAAAAAGAAATAACAGCAAGGGAGAAAGAAGAAGGGCGGAAGGGGGAAAAAGGAAAGCAGACCTCGTCGATTCACTCGCCGAGTCCTCCCTCCTCGAGCCATGCAGCTGAGGTCCACGAGGACTGTTCGCTCGTCGCTCAAGAGTGAGTATTCACTTTTGCAGGGATCGAGGCAGATGGATTCCTCCGCGTGCTCTGAGAGAGATTTTCCTCCTCTCCGCCATTAGGAGAGGATAGTCTAGGTGTTCCCCGTCGTATCCTGGCAGCTGAATGTCTAATATTCTTGTTTCTCGCCCCCTCTCCCATCGCGTCTCCGTGTCAAATCGCGGGTTTTCAAGGTCCTCGCCGTTCAGAGAAGGCGGATGTTAGGAGGTTTGAGAAGTCGGTTTCCGAAAATAGGAGACGGGTAGAGAGGCAGAGGGAGGTAACAGCTCTCGTGATGCTCGCGCGCGCTCTCTCGCTCTCTCTCTTTCTTACAGTTAGAAACTTTTCAGCTCGTTCTTAACTTCAATCCACATGATCTGTGAAGACAAATAGAACATCTGAGGAGCGACAAGAAGGAGAGACGGGTGGCGAGCTCGTGCACGGGCACAATTCTTCCTTTGCCTTGCTTGGGAGAAGCTGAGTCAACGCATTTTACAAAGCCTTCTCCCTGGAGAGGAGAGTGCTCGAGCCCGTTCTCGTCGTAATCCGCTCTCTCAGCCTTACCAATTTTTTTTTCCCACACCGGTCGTGCACAGGGCCCCATTCTTTGCGTTGCCTTGGGAACTTTGGTTTTTCTGTTGCACTTCCATCCTGGCTTTCCCAAAAAGCCCATTTCGTGTCGAGACAGAGCTTTCCGATGATGGGTCATGAGGGTGACTTCCAGCCCCGACGATGATAGGGATCAATCCTTGCTCAGACTGGAATCAATGGCAAAAAAAAAAAAGGATGATATCAGGCTGTAAGATCAGGCTGAAGGAGATACTTGGTCATCGGTCGAAGCCAACTCAACTTTACCCTCCATTATAAACACTTGATAGAGCACAAAACTACCTTGCATCTTGGTCCGGATTGGTCTATGATCGGTCTGCGCCCTAATGGAACCGGGCCCGGTCGATTTGAGGGCAGTTGCCTTGCAGATGAGACATGGGAAATGCATACCCAACATCCACTATTGCTTCATCCATATGCATTGGCATGCGCGGGACGGAACATGGCATTTGACATTTCTTGCGTCATGGTCGACCCTTCTGGAGCCACGCAGGCTTCGCGGGCTAGATGTGCCACAGACGAACTCTGCAATACGGTGTGACTGTCATGAGCGTCATGACGTTCCTTGTATCCACTACCGAATGCTCCGCTCTGCAAACGGACGAGGGGACACCTACATTTGAGTGCTCCGAAGGGGGTGCTCCGTCGACAGAAAGGAGTCTCAAGTCCTCTATCACACTAAGATAGCAGTGTCGGGCGCAATCGATAGCGCCGGTATCTTTGCACATACCAACGCGAGGCCGGTTAGTTATGAGAATCGTATCCATGCAGGCCGAGGGGCAATTCGCTCTGAGGCTAAACAGAAAACGCTGCAACATGAGGCTGTCAGAGAAATAGGGCGTTGAAGAAGGTTATTGGACCAGCCCGAGTCCGGGGGGCACTGCAATGCTAGTTTGTCTGAGAAAACATGACGTTGGAGGTTTAAGAACATGAAAGAGGACAGAGAGAGCTCTTTCAACTTTGGCCCTGCAGCCCCTGTCGGTAGCGCCCCCGATCTTTTCGACTAGTCACATGCCCGAAACCGGCGCCCGGTAGAGCCTTATTACGTTACATGAATAGTCTGTAATAATAATAGTCAGATTGCTATGCTTGATTTGGCAGATAGTTGCCTAATCTTCCTTTTTCAGCTCCTCGGTGGAGGAGTCCCGGTCGTAGTCTGTGGCCCAATGCAAGGAAGCCAGCAAGGTTATTCCAGTTTGGCCTTGGTAAATCAACAAAATGCACGCGCGCGCTATAGGTCTGACCACGGCAGGTTTTCAATCAGTCTTTGGGTCTTAGAATCCGAGTTTCAGTCATCCCGCATTTGTTCAGGATGATCGCAAAGACTCCGGGCTGGATGACCAAGGCAACCACCTCGTCAGGCAGCTGAGTGCTTGCCGGATGACTTCTTTGGTGGCCCCACGAGAGAGATCTGAGCCGCATAGAGACGACCGGTGTGGCTGAGCTCTCTCGAGGGAGATGGACTTGCCCATGAAAACACACCAAGAACATGGTTCAGCACAATTGCCCTGCCAAGATAGGACGTCGACACCTGCGATATGTTCTATCAACCTGGGAGATGCAGGTGCACTGTCGGCAACGTGAGTGTGTGCCTGGAGATCACACAAGAGTGACCCCAACGAGATTGACGATCATAGCGAAAGCTTGTTGTTGTGTTCCAAATTGGACTTAGTCGGCCACCGACGGCTGGTGCATTGCCCAACTCGGTCAAGGGGAGGACATGCGCATCAAAAAGGTTACGTTTCAGCCGCATACAAGTATACTCGGATTGAGGACCTCCCGCATTCCGTCGGGAAAAAGCAAATATGCATTCTCGACATGTAACGTTGATGCATATAAGCCTTGGCTCAAATTGGAAAGAAAAAGGAGAGCATCAAGCCTGGAATGCGGTAGCTGAGATTTGGACATGGCATCCTCGCTTACATTCGTATTTGGAAAGCCTCGAGTCATTTCCCGGACAATCAGATGCCTTCTGTGTAAGATGAATGAGGAGACCAAGGCAGGATCGTGTACCTGCCACACCAAAGGATCAGTCCAGCCACAGCCATGACGAGTCTGGCCATGGAGCTACGGCAAAGACTTTCGAGTGGAGTGGATTGATGCAATCTTGGGTAAAGTTCACCGGTTTGTAGAGTTTCCCAACCACTACCCTGTAACTTCCTGGCGCCCGCCGATATTGCTCGTCGCCTATACTTGTACTTGTAACAACCACTTTATTTTTCTTTTGGTCCGATAACATGATTTCCTTCTCATAGAGCGTCGCCGTGGTGGAACCGACTCATGGGGCAACCTTCCATTTGGGGTCCTTGAATGATGATATCGGAAGCGGAAGTGGCGAAGACGAGGCTTAATTGTTGTTCTTCATCGGAACCGGTCTGACTCGGAGCCTGTTGCTCCTGTCATATTCGTCGCGGGAGCAGGGAAAGGGAGGAGTCGGATCCGGATGCGGAAAGGTTTGCGTGCTCAATATTTAAAATGTCTGATTGTTGCATCAGTGGTGTGCGAGGAACTCGCAAGGGAATGTCTTTGTAGGAAACCATGCGATCTGTGGTGTGAAGTGTTGCCTGTGCAGTTGCCTAGTTAATGTGGTAGTGGCGGAAGGATCGTTCGCTTCTGCAAGAAACTGCAGCGACCCATATTCAAACGAACCAATGACACAAGAACATCATTTTTCTTGGCCACTGATGCACATGGACCAAATAACTGAGCTTTGGAACAGCTCTCCGGTTTGGAGGAGCAGGGTCCGGGAGGGCCGGAGGCAGAAGGGACAGGGAAGAAAAGCAGGAAGTTGCAGGCATCTGTCATACTGCGATGATTTTGCGGATGACAGAGAGCAGATTTCTCAGCAAGTGACGGCTGAGAGGGCACAATGACCGCTTCAACTTCTGGCAGTGTGTCACCCGACGGCCATCATTGCTTGGGAAAGTCGACAGACGTGTCATTGTTGCATCTTCTCGGCTCTCCATGGGGCGCAGTTGCAGGCCGGAACCGGGTGAGCTGGGAACCAGATGAGCTTGCTCAGCAAGTCAAAGTTGATGTGTACACATTGCCAACTCTTGAAGATGCTCTTGACATGCAGAGAGTGCCCGCATTATCACTTCAACCCGAGTTCCTCGCTCTTGCATGTAAGCACAATCTTGTGGGCCTCGAGTGAGGTGTGGTTTTCCTGCGGCGGATGGTAACGACAAGGGACATGGGCACTGTCCAACAGACGCTCTTCGCTGTCGGGCGTAGGAGCAGAGGCGAAAGGAAGAACTGAGACTTCAATCGTCAGTGGTTCGAGCGACGTTCAGCACCGAAAAGGGGAGCGGCGCTGTCTACACCAGTGCTTCATTGAGCAGTGTAACACTCTTGAGGAGGACTTTCCTGTATTGCATGCTGGATCATTGGGATCAACAGCTGGAAGGGCTCGAGGAGAGGATCAAGGAGGCCTGTAAATCAAACAGAACCGGAGCCTATCGTCAATGTGAACACGGTCGAGAGTGAGGCAGGATTTCTCTTTCCTCATCAGCAGGACTGTTTATCACAGGGCAAGTTCACGCCTGTGACCGTTGACGCCTTGTATGTTAGTGAGAAGATCAACCACCCAACTGCCGCTTCACCAGCTTCACGGTTAGAGACGGATAGAGGGGGCAGTTCAGTATTTATTGGCCGTGAAGTACGATGAAGCTGGAAGAATGTTGGGCACGAGCATGCGAAGCCAACTCAAAGCGAGGTCAACACGCGGCCCTGCAGCCACTTTCAATAGTCTCCTACATGAAACGCCCCGGCAAGAGCAGCCAGCACATCTTGAATTCCACCCTGTATGCACAAAGTACTCGTACTCTGTAGTGGCCGTCAGGCTGCGATCGAGCTCGGCGCCCGGTCGCAGCTGTTCAGACCCGAGCATCGGAGGGACAGTGGTTCGCAAATTGCAAAAGCGAGGCAGCGACAGCAGCAGCAGAGACAAGCAGAGCCTCAACGACAGGAGCGGGGCCGAGCTCTCCATACCTGAGTGCCTCAGGCACGGAGTATAGTATCTCGTCCTTTCTCTCTGACCCTCATTTCACTCTCAGCCTTAGCGGCAGCGCGGGGGAAGCGAAGGAGCTCCAGCGGGTGATGGGCAAAAGGACAGATGGACTGATTGATGAGTCATAGTATACGCCCTAGCAAATCACGAGGGAACGAAAGGTATAAGAATGACTGGACGCTCCCTTCACCTCTGGTTACAATTTCATTTCACCTGGCGAGTTTGCTCTGGTCTGTCATGAGTAACAAGTAGGGCAAGTGGCAAATATTGGGAGGGGTCGAGGCAGCCTTTGGGGGCCAAGACCCGTGACGAAGCTTGGCTGCGTGTTGGTGACGGCCATTGGATGATATTTGACCTGCTGTGGATCGTCCGCAGAGCCGCGGGGTTGCCTTTTCTCTTGGCCCGGGTGGGGGTGCGTGGTTCGCACCTGGTCCGCACCAACGTCCCTTGCACCTGTCTAGTCAAAAGTCCTTGCATTAGTGTCACCTGCCCGTTCGATTTGCCATCATCTCGGCGTTCAGGATCCAATCTACCAAGACCAGACGAGGGTCTTATGAGCCGCCGTACGGGCAGGGCCAAAAATTCCCTTTAAAAGAAATATCCTCACAGCCGGAGCCATGTAGGAGCTCTGTGAGGTTCTTCATCTTATATGGACTGTGTTCGGCTACCAGTAACACCCAGAACAGGGTCGGTCAATTCTCTCAGATTTCGTCTCTGGAAGCCCGTTCCGCGCGTTCTGGCATCGTGATCCTCTTTGCAAGCACCTGACTCTATTTCCCTGTTTTTGAACCCAAGCCTTTAGGGTAAGTTGGGACCGTTTTCCAGCCAAAACCAGCAAAAAGCCCCAAAAGCACCAAAGTTCCAAAAAACCACATCCTTTGCAAAAGCCGAGAAAACCCCGAGCCAATTTGTGCCACTTTGTGCCTGCCACCAGGGACTGACGCCAAAGGGCCCTTTTGAAAACTCCAGGACTTTGATGCCATGGCTTATTACTCCGGAGACTCCAAACGAATCCCACACTTGAAATCCAGCCCCGGTGGCGGAGCGGCCCATACTGGAGCTTCGGCTGATTCCCAGGTTCGGAAACATTATCAGCAGCCCAGGTACGGAGGACCTCTCCCTCTCCATGTCCCATTCCTTGTTCTGAATCTTTCGTGGCCATAGGACCAGCAGGAGTCATCAACCCGATTCGTCGCCGCCAATAATCAAAAAGGAGCCTAGCGAGTCTTTGCAGCAGTTGAGCATTGCAGATCCTCCCAGACCCACGAAGCGGCCTGCGGTGGAACCAGAATACCGTCCTAGCAAGATACGGCCTGGTTCGGCCTCGCCAGGTTACTCCCGGACCCGCTACGACCACGAAAGCACGCATATCCAGTCCCCACCTCCGGATTCAAGTAGAGCGCCGTCACCTTCAGCTGGCGTAGAGGGCTACCAATCGGCGCAGCAGACGCCCGTCTCGTCCCCGCGGCCACATAACCCCGGTGCTCTGGTCCACTGCTCTGGGGCGGAAAGGAAGATACATAGGAACCCTCGGCCCACTTCATCTCACTCGTACCAAGACCCAGATGATCCCTGTGCCTACACGGACACAACAAAGCCACTACACCAGCCCGAGACACGGCCGATATCCTTGGAACAACTGGTCAACGAGGTCAAGGGCATCTACGCAGGACTTGTTATGGTAGAGAAGAAATGTGTGGAGATATGTGCCCAGCAAGCTCAAACTACAAACAAGCTCTCCAACGAGCAATGGCAGGCCTTGATAGCCTTGCACCGCACACTCCTCCACGAGCATCATGACTTCTTCTTGGCCTCTCAACACCCGACGGCGTCGCCGGCGTTGCGGCGTCTGCCCACCAAATATGCAATGCCTGCGCGCATGTGGAGACATGGAATCCATTCTTTCCTGGAACTGCTCCGCCATCGTCTCCCGTATTCTCTGGAGCACATGCTGAGCTTTGTATACCTCGCCTACCAAATGATGGGGCTTCTCATGGAATCGGTCCCCGCCTTCCACGAGACCTGGATAGAATGTTTAGGCGATCTTGCCCGCTATCGCATGGCTATCGAAGAGGCTGACATGCGAGATCGAGAAACCTGGTCCAACGTCGCTCGCATGTGGTACCACAAAGCCGCCGACCGCTCGCCCGACACTGGCAGAATCCAGCATCACCTCGCAGTATTGGCCAGGCCTCATATTGTTTGCCAGTTGTTTTACTATTCCAAGGCTCTAATCAGTATCAACCCCTTTCCCAATGCCAGGGACTCGATCATGCTTCTGTTTAGTCCGCTTTTGGAGGGAAAACCCAAAGTGGAATCCAGCACCTCGAAATATTCTAAGCTCGAGAGTTCTCTGGTTACCGCGGCCGGACTTCTGTTCACAAAGGGTTCCATCGACGAGTATTGCTCTCAAATTAATCGTTTTACTTTGGAATTAGACAGCCACATCACAAGATCTGGTGTCAATTGGAAAGTCCAGGGACCAGAGGTAGCCTCAGCCCTGATTGCATGTCTTTTTGACTTTGGCTCGGAGGAGAATTTCCTCTGGAAGGCCTTCCGTGCTCACCATGAAAAACTTACGGGTTCCCAGTTAGAGCAGCAGCAGCAGCAGCAGCAGCAGGAGTGGAGTACCATAACCGCCCCGGATCCCGTGGCCAAGGAGCGCATTCACCGCGAATTCTGGGAAGAAAGTGGACCTATTGTTGCAAGCAACTTCCGTCAGGCCTCCCCACCACCCGAATTTCGACTTGATGACAAATTTGCGTCGGCAGATGAAGTTACGTCTTATGTTCTTCCCGTTTGGTCACAGGCAATGTCCATAGTTGCTGGCAAGCTTGGAGATCGCAACATTGTCCCTTTCCTACATCTTACGTTAGCATTCCTTTGGTCGTTGTCATACGTTCCAGGTGCCCTGATCTATGTCGAAAATTTCGTTCCATGGGAGTTATTGGTCGTTGCTTTGAACAGCTTGAGCAGATCCGGAGTGTTTGATGCGCACGTCGAGTCAAAGGAGTTCCCTCAACAGCAATCGGGCACGGGAAGACAGCTGCCTGAAGACTTTCCCATCCGTGGCCTAGTTTGGGCGCCATATTATTTCCCGTCAGATTTCTTTGAGGGACAAGTGGTCGACGAAGATGAACGCTCATTGGAACTGCCAAGTCATGCAGCACCGCGGGCTGAACGATGTCTCTGGCTGGGAGTAAGACTTGCATCGGTGAGTCTTGGGACTATCGGCCGATCCTATCTGCCGCTGACGTTTTCCAGTTGAAGCGCTACATGACATATGACCTCTCGACAAAGCAATTTGGCTGCACCGACTATGCTTTGTCGCTTGCGGACAATGCCTCCATGTATACGTTGCACGTTCAAACCCCCACCGCCGGTGAACGTGACCTGCAAATGACCGACGTCTGAACCCGAGGAGATCAGGAAGCCGTTAGCGGCGACTCTGGCAGATCTCCGCTGCGGATTCAGGCGATCCTTCCAGACGAAGCATTTTGCTTTCCTTACCCGACAATCGACAAGATCAACAACTCCTAGATGGACCCAGTCAGGGGGCCACAATCTGGGGCGTGGAAGTTAGGGAATGCTATGCGTGGATGTCTGAGGTCGGGCGAATGTGGGAATGTATACGACATTTTAAGTCGGTCTCAATGGTTTCAACCAGCCACCAGCAATCAATGAGTGGTATCTGGAGCCATGCGTAGATGCAAATGATCATGCATCGAATCAAGACCGTTGAAGAACGGCAAGTAGGAACGTAGGCGGGACGGGCCGAATTGGACGATAAATTTCGTCTTCTGGCTCGATATAATAGGGGAACTCTGGAGCTAGTCATCTCGGGCTTTCCTCGAAGTCAAAGGAGAAGCCTTGAGCGCTGGTTTAAGATGCCCGACACGGAAAACCAGAGGGGAAACAATAAAATAGAAGATAAACAACGTAACTCACTGAGGGGGAGCAAAACACAAGTCGACATTGATACCTACGGGGAGGGGGGGAGCACGATAACGGAGCAGAGAAAAAGGGGGAGATCTCACACAAACGTAACGACGGATTCGACATTCTTCTTCATTTCGAAACAACCAGTACGTTTTTTTTAATATACACATTTTACCACCAGACGAGTCTCTCACGTACCTACGTTGTGCTCATTGACGGTTGTCCGTCGTAGATAGATCACGACGAGGTCAAGACAAGAGCCTTACACACTTGAGGTTCACTACGTGTAGGAGACCAAGGTGTGGGATGTCCACCCAGCCGCTGTGTGCGACCGGTGTGCGCAACCATACCAAAGTCCGGCGGATTAGATGCCTTTGACCTCGTTGACGAGTTGGTGCAGGCCAAAGGTGGATTCCACGACTTCCAAATATTCCATAGCTGGGTAAAATACTGGGTATAGATATAGTTCTTCTGCCCCCGTCCCCGCGTGGCCCCTGCCTTCTGTATTAGTCTCAGTGTTGCTGACGGAGAACGCTGCTCGCATCTCGTAACCGCTTCGCCTCGCCTCGGATTCAGGACAACTAGATATAAAATACTAACACTACCTAGTTTCTGGTACTAGTATAGTTTCCGCTTGACACTGTTACATACAAGTATATACTAAGACCGTCAGGGAAGGAATGGAGTAGGAAAATGACACAGTGAACAAGCGGAGGAACTTCTACATGATGTTGCATGACCCTTCTCACGAATTCCTGTTCAACGAGCGTCACAGCTCTGCGCACCGTTCAGCGTGGCGACTTCCTCTGCAATATGCCGCTCACAAGCCTTATATGATATGCCGACTCGGGTGTGGAAGAATGGTGTCGAGTCTTACTTTACCCTGTTTCGTAAAACTGTATCCCCTTGGTCGAAGCAATCGTCTTGATGACGGCATCAGGCGACTCTGTTGCCGTGATAGTGCCCATGAACTTGTCAAGCTCGAGTTCCATCCCGGAAGCTTGGAGCCTGCTAGCGACCTTGTCCTTATCGATCGGGGGGTCGTCAACATGGTGCGGCTGGGGACGACCCTTGGCTGAGTCTGAAGCTGCGCAAGAGCTGGAACGTGCTTCCGGCTTTGCTCCGGACATCCTTCTTTCCATGCTGATGTCGATGGCTTCCCTGCTTCTAAGATACACAGACAGCATTGGGTCCTCTGGGACGGTAAGCAAAGTGAACGCCGTCAATGGGATCCGCCGGCAGCTGCGTCGTATCAAGCGTCAGCATTGAAACCATTTCTTCACCGCAAAAGCCAAAGGACGCACTCTTCTCGTTTCACTGGTGCCATGACCGACTGCCCAAGGTGGGTAGGTATCTTCGCGATACAGAACCTGATATCTCGCGGGACGCGGGTTGGGATTGCGTCCATATCAAAGACCAGATATCGACAGTCCGCGTGCCCAAGAACTCCAAGCCGATGGCAAACTGATGGCTCAAACAATGGGGACAAAACTTGCTCGTCTGGTGTAAAACAACGCAATATCATATAAAGAAGGGAGTCGAGGGAGGAAAACGAGATGAGTGTGGGAGGGGGGAAGCAGGATGACCCCGAACAGAACTGACCAGGCAAGCACTATGTCTGGCGTTGGCCAATGAGACAGTGCCAAATGGAGCTAAGGCGCGTCCAGCCTATCAATGGGCAGCAGGCTGCACTAAGCCCCCAAGATCCCCAAGATTCCTGCGTCCTGATTCGAAGGGTGAGACATGGGGCTAACCTTTTCGAGTGACTTGCGCCGCGTGCTGAGATATTTTTCCCGTTCTCTAATCTGCCGACTGCATCCTTGGGCAATGTTCAAGTCAGACTTGGTTGTTGTATCATCATCCCTTTGTGACGGGACGACCATATCCCACGCCTGGCTGCACAAGAGGAGGACGCTGGATTGTGGATCCGTGGTCTGCGAGTGCCTCACTCCGAAGCCTGCCAGCTGGTAGTCCGACTACGCGAGGGTGGGGCTCTGCCGACAAGCATAATGCCAGAAGGATAAAGGAGGAGGAGCTGTCCGGGCAAGGAAACCTGCAGGCACATGCTCTGCCGGATACTCGATCTAATTTCTTGGAGAGTATCTGCTTTGCTCTGTCGACAAAAGTGGTTTAAATTTAAGCTGTTCTTTTCTTCCAGCAAGCGAATGCTGCTCGCCATTCCTGGTCGTGCATGGTGGGTGACTTAGATGTGCTCGGTTCGTCGGAGAGAGTCTAGATGACTTCCATGGCAGAATGGAATTGGCCGCTCTGTGCGATTGAATGTAAGAATTTGATAGTTTTGGTACGTACCGACGATTGAATCTTCTTGTTTACCAGTGTCTGCAAACGAAGGTCGGGGAGGTCGAAGATCTGTCTTATGAAGAAAGCGACGGAGTCGTCAATCGAACCGAAGTTCCATTGCCCATGTTGGACACTAGCAGGTCATCCATCGTTGCGGAGAGGCGTCCATGATGCGGCGTGGGGACATCTTCGTGACAGACAATAGAGAACGCCCTGTCGGTCGCCGAGAAAAACCCTCCTATCGTGTAGTTTGCAAAGCTTCATGAAATCGAAGTTAGTCTGAACGGCACACAACGTGCGTGTTTTGCGGCCCCCAGTTTGATGCATCCAGCGCTGCTATCACGTGCGTAATGGTCCCAGATGCGCCAGCACCACCAATTGTGACTCCAAATCTGAGATTGATCCAGTCCTGCTATTAGGGATCTCAATGTCCGCAGGTTTTCTCCAGCTTGTTTTTTGTGAAGAAATGTTCGGGCCTGCAAAGGCCAAATATGGTGCCAGCAAGGTCTGTAATGACTGCAATCCTGAAGCCAGCTGCCTCAGATGGATATGGTGAGGTAGGGCAACAGAATGAGCGGCTCTTCCATTTCGACCTGTGGTCAATGTTGTCACGGAAGGATTAAGAGTGAAGTTATAGAACAGAGGTTGAACTGACGTTGAGAGAGAAGTTGGCGTCAATGAAGCTAGTGCAGGAGCTAATGCTAGTACGTCCTAACACGGCACTAGTCTGAGCGCCACATACACACTGCCACAGCACGTGGCTGGTGAGCGCTCGGCGCGCCCCGAGACCAGCCGAACCTTGAAAAATGGTACTTTTGCACCTGCTCTCTTGGGAAGGCGGAAAAACTATTGTTCCGTGAGTCTAGATGCCATTTTCAGCTCGTCCAAGCGCGCATATCTTGTTACTTCAGCTCGCCACCCCCCTTGGATTTCTCCTCCTTTTTCCTCGTACCTACTGACAGATTTGACTCTCTATCAACAAGAGCTGATGCTGCTCCCGCCACGTATAGACGGTCGCCGACCCTCACAACCTGGAATACTAAAAGTCTCCAGGGCTTTGTCCGCTCTGTTGGACATGAGGCTACAGCCGCACATCGCTGCACAGCCTTACCACGAGAACTACTGTTGGTCCTTGCTGGTCAGCTTATTGCTACGTTGTTACAGCTTTGTGCAAGGGTCAGGACTATGAGGAACAGCATCAGCATGTCAATCACTCAGCATTTCTTTTGTGAAGGTCTTCATTGGTCGTGGAGAATGCTCAGCCCCGATCGGCACTCCTATCAAAAATGCCAACCTCAAAGGCCCGGACACAAGCATGATTGCCGGCTCTTTACCCAGTAATCCAGTAAAATTCAAAGATGTTTCCAGGATCCTGACGGGGATAAGGGCGCTGGAGGGTGTCGAACCTTCTCGAACGATAGAAACCCTCGCCACCACCAATTTTGATTCCTGAGCAAATGAACTGGCGAAGGGGTTGGTGGAGGAGTCCAAGTGTCGTGGGTAACTTCCCAAGTCACTATGTCCTGCTAAGTGGTGCTAGCAGTACTTCAAATCAAGACCACGTGTACAGTTCTTGCTTTTGCCAACACGTCATGGACACTGCTTCCTTCTGTTTGCACCCTAGCATAGCCACGATGGCGAATGAGGGGATTAAAGGGAGCCTACCACACTTGGAGCCTGCGCTGCCGGAATCTTCACCTCCATCATGGCTGCTCCTGGGGCGAATGGTCTCCAGAGACGGCAAAAACTCTTGTCGGAGCCTTTTCTGATCAAAGCTAACCTTGGAACTTCTGTCCTTTTGGGACGGGGTATGACGGCCAAAGCCGGTTCAGATCACGTCAAGAAGCAACTGCGAATCTGCTCTGTCAGCTCTAGTGGCCTCTGCGCGAGCCACATAAGCGTCACCAGAGATCCACCGCCACGCTGATGGAGCGGTCACTGAAACCTTGGTCAGAGGCACTCCGTTCCATGGTACACTCCACTGAAAGGACTCTCCAAGTCGATAGACCCTCATTGGCGCCTTCCACATCGTGCGTCTTCCACATCGCCATCGAAAGGCAGCCACTAACTGACAGGTTGCAACACTATTTGACCGGTGTACCGCAAGAATCTCAGCGTCGGTGGTGGCATCTGGACCATGTGCACTCGTCCCAACATTGTTCCAAGTCGGATGGAAAGACGACGCGAATGGTTGCCTTCCTCGTTTCTGGAATTTGATTCGGTCGCACCTCCTTGTAAGTTTCAGCTGCGTCACCATTGTGGTGTCAAGGATTCAACGTTGAGAACCCCTTTGCCGTTGGATCTACACAGTAGCGCATCCACAATTCCAAAAAAGCGCTAGTTGTGTTGATCAAGTGACCGCACGAGTATCAAAAGCTTTGAAGTTATTGATTTTACATCCTGTTTGGCTTTTTCCCTTTTGATTGCTACGGGAATGCTGGGCGGTGAGAAGTTTGCAATTTACCCCAAATGTCATGCCCCTGGTGGGTCATTTCAAACAGACACACCCCGGTCTTCAACCTAATAGACGGTTAGGGGTTCCCCGGAGCCAAAACACGCCGTGGCACGAGTCTCAGCATCAACATTGGGTGCTCGGTTGCCTGCTTGTCGGTCGAGATTGGACATCAGAGATTGCGGAAGGAAGCTTACTCTGTGCAAGTTCGGTCCCAACTTCTTAGTGTAAGGCAGCAGCTCCTTCAAGGATGCTTTCTTGGTTCGTTCGTTGCCCAATTTCTCTAACTAGTCCTGAGGCAAGGGAGTAAGGACTCCATCTCTTGGGCGCCTCTCCTGTACCACCATCGTGAGCTGTCGACGCTCGTATGCACGGCTTTGTGCAGGAATTCCTGTTCCGTCGATGTTGAAAGAGACGCGGTGCTCTAGATGGCTATCTGCATTCGCATTTCGGGCGCCACAAGTCTCCAGCCTTCCCGCCGTCGACGGATGCCTGTCGACGCACCGTTCCAGCAGTCCAAAGTTCCCAAGTCCTTTGGATTCCTGAGCCCTTTGTCTCTCAGACGTCTTGACGCTAGGAAAAGGCAAACAGAAACAGACCAAAGTCCATGAAGGACTCTGTTTCGAAGGCGCTGGTCACTGGCTACGGTCCGGTGCATCCATTCCCTACGAGACGCTCACCATACGGGCACCGAAACGTTGACTTCCATCAGGCTAAGATTTCCGTAGCCTGACCCCTTTCCCCTCCGGCCCAGGTCCCTCTACTGCGATCCTCTTCTGCGCTTCTGTCTAAATCATGCTTGAAGTCGGAGGGCGAAACAATGAGGCTGAGAACACCCGTCTATGCAGCATATGGCCATTCTCAAACAACAGTGAATGTTCATCAAGAGTTCTCACGCTTTATGGCCAGACATGACACACATCGCATCTGGATCAAAGTGTTGGTCATTGCTCACTGAGCTCGTATGTCTGGATTCTCGATCCTGTCACTCGCTTTAAACTCGACATTCAATGCGGTTATCTCTCCGTCCGAGTTCCTCCTTGTCTCATCCAATCCCAGAGAACAGGGCTGCGTTGAGAATTCCACGGACATCTCACTTGGCAGGAAGCAGCACGTTCCCCAAGGCGAACACTGTCTCGTGTGGACCATGAGACAACAATTTCAAGGTGTCCAGAAGCCACAATCTTCTTTTCCTTGTTCTCGCTTACCACCTTATATTCTAGACAGGGGTGCGACACTCCGTCGAGAACATGCGGATAACTTTGTGATGATGGACGTCTTGCATCCGCCCAAGCACCTTAGCCAGAGGCTGAATACATTGACAAGACACCTCCCTTCCTGCGCATTTCGGGCGGCATGAAGCTTCATGGCGATGGGAGGAGGCACTTTCTCCGGCCCACAGTCAGCAGTGACGGCGTCAGCCAGGAGCACGAAAGCATGGACGGAGTGTATCATCTCGATAAGGACCTCTCCTGTGAAAGAAAGGTACTTTGCCCTTTTCCGCCCGCACTTCATCTTCGGTGCTACTACACCAGCGTATAGCTGTGTCCATACAGCGCCTGACAACGGTGATGCCTCAGGGATTCGGTGATCGAGTTCAAGTATTCTCGTCGGCGGTTCATGCGAAGAACATGGGACCGAGATACATAGGCGCGGGGGAAAGGGTTATTCATTGTTAGCTCAACCGCCAGCTTTTCACTGACCATGAATTTAGAATATCATGAATAGACACTAGACCACACAAAACTCATCAGGGCACACATGTGACGGGACGCTACGTGGGAAGGCTGCCTCAAATATGGAGCCGAGAAATGACCCTGGGAGAGCCTGTTTCAGCGGGCTAGAAAATGCTCGTGGGCGCGTGCATCCTCGTGTCGACACAAACCTTCGAGGCCCGTTTTGTCCTCGTGTTCTCCCGAGAGGCGGTCAAGGAGTATCTTTTCGCAGATCGAGCAATGGCACCAGCGGGGGCTGCAAAGTCCTAGAGCAGGAAAGTCCTAGGACTACTACGCTAGCCACATGAGCATGAAGCCGGCAGATCAAAAGCTAAAGCCATGTATGTTTTGATCGGAGAAACTCTCAAAGACGACGGGGGACAACGAGATCACAGATTCGGAAGAGGGATTGGTCGTCATCAACATGTGCGAAAGAGCTAGTAGACCGAATCCGATTACATACAGTCTGGACTCGCACGCAGCGGAGAGGCACTAGTGGTGGTAAAAGATACACCGATACTTGCAAGTTAGTATTAATGAAGTACCTATTACGCTGGCGGTGGTCAGTGGAGCTGGCCGAACGGCAAAGCAAGAAAGACGCGGATCAAATTTCGTTTTTTCATGAGTTATCGATCCAGAGTGGCTCGTTCGTAGCAAGGGGAAAACTACGAGGTACTGCACGTGTGTTCGCCAATCCGACCTTTCCTTCTCCCCTCGAGTATGTTTCTTTTTTTCCCTTCCCAGGAACAATCCAAACTGCATGCCGTTCGTCCAAAATCAAGGCGGATTCAACTCCAGCAGATGGTATGTAGCCTGACAACTCATCTCCATGGTATGTATGGTGGCAACCACTTGATCATTGCTCGAACCGAGCCGGAAACTGAAGCACGAAAATGGCGAAGGCGACTCTCGGAGTCTCGGGGACAGATCAATGCCATCTTCTAGTCTTCGATCCCTTTGACTCGTGTTTCTCTTGTGCTGGGCGACTGAGCAAATAAGAGAAATAACAACGCTTGTGGAGGTTTGTCAACTTGGCTGGGCTTGGTCTTGACTATGAAGAAGTAGGTGGTCCAAGGCAGGAGGCAAGGAGAGTCGTGAAGTTCTGCAGGTCCGCGGGCTCATCGTTGTCGTTGCCACGCATTGGATGGCGGGTACTTCTCCCCTTCAGTATGGTTGAGAGGAAGTTGGACCTTGTCAACGGCACCGAACTTAGGCTCCTCTCGCTCACATCTGTACCACTTTCCGCTATTGGCGGTCTCCGAGGTTAAAAATTACCAGTCGCTATCGGCGTCTTTCTGCATGCTGTGGACCAGTTATGGGCATTTCGTGTTGCCATCAACGTCTTCAATACATGGGTTTCGTTCCCTCTCTCGCGCGCGCGCGCGCTCTGTGGCTCCCGATCTGCGTGCTGCTTGAGTGGCTTCCGACAAACCTTGTCATAGCGATATACTTGGCGCATCTTGAAAGAATGTATCTCTCTTCGCAAGCAGGGTTTCGGGCACAACGTCCAGTGCAGGTAAATCGTAGAACAGCTGAAAGCGACTTCGTTTCTTCGAATCCAAGGACTCCGACCTTGGCTTCCGAGCGTCCATGTGCCTTGAAAATCAACCCTCTGACACGCCCTTGGCTCCTTTCTTCTTCTAAGAAGAATCTATCCCCCAGTTCTTCGGCCAGAGTTCCCAACGAAAAACACGTGCGATAAGATCTCTCCGTATTTTTCTAGGCTTGGAAGCTCAGAGACACAATCCAACACCCGACTGAGTCTGTTCGCGCAGATGATGGAACGGAAGTTAGATCGAAATTCTCTCCTGGCTGGACACGAAGGTTGTTCTTTGACAATACTCGAAAGGAAGGCAGAGATATTTCTCGAGCTCCTATTCTAGTTTCCCGCGAAGAGATATTGGTATATTGAGAGGATCTGTCCATAATATCGTTGTCAATGAACATAAAAAGCGCCGAAACCACATAATGACACACATGTACCCATGATTGAATGGCGTCAGCAGCCTTGGAATCGGGTGTAAGTTTCTCATGGCCGCCACTGTTGTCGGAAGCAGGCGCATCAGCAATATATTTGCTGACCGGGATCTCACGGTGGCTTGCCAGGCAGTGCCAGAAAGACGCATTAAGGTATTTGTGGAAAGATGCATTGTTGTTGAGATGCGGTATATTTCTGGAATGTGCTCTAGCAGTTTCAATCACTCGTGGAGAAAGGGCGAATTGTTGCTGGTTCCAGGGCCCAGGGTCCCACTTGCATATTGCAAAGTTCGGTAATCGTAGGAGATGGACGCCCATGTTGTCCATCAGGACGACGCACAAGACAAAGTGTTCATGGCAGTAGGCTTAGTGCACCAGCATCAGCGACCAACAGCCGAACGGATTCAGAATGTGGACGCCTGTCAGCAACTTCTCCAGCAAAGAAATACATCGTTGCAGCCGGGTGGCCGTCTTTAATGTGATGATCCCAGGAGCATGATGACAGAAGACAAGCAGCTTTGTGTCTCAGTGGCGATCGTTGCATTGTGTGTCTGTGTGTGCGTGTGTGGCATAGATAGTCGCAACCCACAAACATTGCATGAAGTTGCGCCTGGTTTGTAACTGCCTCCTGGAGCTCGTCCACCCGCGCTGACCTTGCGATCCTTGCTGGTGCCGCGCTTATCCCAGATGGCCACAACGACCGCATTCAGGGGCGTCAGGACCACCCCTGGACGGCGTCACTCGCTCCGTCGATCCACGAAGACGCTGATTAGGAGAGTCGTCAAGTTCACCCTAGGACGGTGGCGTCACTTACCTCGTCGTCGATCCACGAAAATGTCGATTAGGAGCGACACATTCGCTCCCGGGCCGCAGCGTCACTCGCTTCGTCGATCCACGAAAACGTCAAGGAGGAGCGATACAATCACTCCCATACGGCGGCGTTACTCGCTTCGTCGATCCACAAAAACCCCGACGAACTTCCGAATTCCGGTCGGATGATAAGTGCATTTAATGGTAGAGCTGCAGCAGCAAAGGGATCTAAATTGCCATTACCCACCAGTGCCAGCGGCTTGGGGTCAGCATTATGGCTGCCGGGTTCCAGGGGTTGCACATGTTTTGCCCTGAACGTGTGACCTTGGCCTGCCTCTAAAGATCCGGAAGATCCTGAGCTTCGTGGAAATGCTTCGTGGTCCTTGGAATAGGTTACTTCCCTACTCGTCCCCGTCCGGCACTCATCGACCGTATTTCACATGTCGAAACATCTGGCACTTTGCGCGGGCTGCACTTGACATATCCCTTCGGCACGCCTCCTGCATCTTGCACCAAATCTAAGGTTGTTGAAGAATGGCTGCTTTGTGAATCCGCCAGCAACCGGAACCTGTTGAATAGGCTCCTGTCTTTCAGTGCTTTAGCCCTTCGCCGCCTCTCCCATTGTTGGTGACTTGCAACATGAGAATTGACGGCGAAAGTGTCATCCTTGTACTGTCCTTGATAATTCTCAGCCTTTTTGGTAAGTGAACAGATACTTTTCCTCGTTTCGATGAGCTAGAGATGACTCCCAATATTGATGCATGGTGAGGCTTTCCGAGGCACGTAGTTGCAAAGTGGAGCGAATGTATCTCGCTGGTCAAGATAGTCACCATTGAAACGAACCGAATGAGGCTATTGTTTGTCATGCACACCATCGACTGGGTCGATATCGCTTGTTTACTTCTCTTTGAGGCAAGTACGGGCTCTGAGAGATGCAGTGCATCTAGTGGGAAGGGGGCATTTCGTCAGCCAATTCGCCACAAAGGTTTGCCTGCGATGGCTTTGTCGCTCGACTACCATACTAGGCTTCATCCGGTGAGGCTCGTTGTAGAATAATTCAGGTATTGCAAGACATAGAGTGCTTCGGCAGCTTTTCTGCGATTACAAAGGAGGCGGCTTCGCTCAAATGAGAGCAAATACGAAGGAGCCGCTAAGCAACTTGTCTCATTGCCTCTTCTTCGTTGCCGGAGCTTGGTTGTTGCGGGTGGATCTCGTCCCAAACATGGGCTTCAGCCTCAGCAGCACCCACAAAAACCCGAGAGCAATGGCGAGAATCGTCAGAGATTCGATTGACGATGAACTTGCTGCCTTGAGGTTCAAGACTGGCACCGAGATACGCTCTACTAGCCTTCCTGGAGCATCACCCTTGACTGGTGCTGGGTCCAGATGGTAGAACATGGTTCTAGGGCCGAACAATCCTTCAAAGCCCAGCTGAACTCTGTCAAAAGGATTGACGGGAAATTTGGTCCCGTCTTCAGCGGTGCAAGCCCAGAAGACAATAGGCCAAGGCATTTCGACTTCGGACGAGCTGCCGTTCTTTGGTTCCAGATATCGTAGATGTAGAGGTATGGTAACATCCCAGACTCCGTCAGCAGCTCCCGCTTCTCCAGTGCTGCCATTTGGTGCCTGGAGTTCGAGTAGCATCGTCGATCCCCATTTTTTGACAACATAATCTGGAGCCTCCAGATCCGTCTCGCCTGCAATAGAATGCAATTGTCCGACGTGATGTAGTCTTTGAAAAAGCGGATCGTTGCTGAGGAAGGCGTATTTGTCGGCAAAGATATGCGAGGGAAGAGTCAAATAGGTCTGCAATGCACAGACAGTCCCGGGGGGTCTATTCTTAGGCTCGGTCAGCGAGCCTGCCGAGGGAAAAGATATTCGTAAGTTCGGATGCAACCCGGTAGGCGTGTCAAACGAAACAGTATATTTCTGGAATTGTGCCTGATCTGGGCCAAAAGAATGATGGCGCGAAGGGAAACTGAAGAGTGTGGCTTTCGGATGATCATCTTCTCCGACGACGGTAAGAAAGCCAGATAGCTGAAGGTCCGAGGGTTCAGTTGCTGAGGACGCACTGAGGATACCAACCTCGACCCTGTCATCCTTTCTGGATTGCACATCGAGGTTCCACGCATCAAGAGTCGTGAAGTCGCCAATCGGATCGTAGAAAACAGGAGGCTGCTTTGACCAGAAAACGGTAAAGGTGAGAGCATGGGAGATGCTATCGTAATCAAAGTCCACCGAATCAGCAATGTTCATGAGCGACACCGTATGCAGACACTGCAGGTCGTTTTGTGCGCAAACAGCATGGTATATGTAAGCCACAAGATGTTTGAGCGAAGGGAGGAGAGAATAGTACTGAAGGGACGAAGTTTGAGCGAAGCGTTCTGATATCAATGGAGGGCTGATGAACGTTGCGTCTGGCGAGTCACATCGAAGCTGTTTCCCGAACACTCTGTGGAGGAGATTGCAGAGTCGATCGACCTGACCTTGGTGTAAAGGGGTGTATTGGATGTGTAAACCAGGGGAGATCCTTGAAAGAAACGGAGTCATAGTGTTGTAGGGATGTTCCGGTGCCCAACGAACATGAAGTTCATGGCATTCTCGCAAGTAATCGGCTATCTCTGCAGGCAGTTCTTCGAGACCCAAAGTCAAGCGTTCTTCTCGGGCTGCTTTCAATGCCCCCAGCAGAAGCTGTCGTTGGCGGACTTGAATATCAGCTGGATTGACAGCGCGACTGGGGTGAGTGACATATGTTGATCTCCTGCGCATGACTGGGGGACGTAGATGCCAGTATCGGCGTCTGTGCAAGTATTGACAATAATGTTTGCCTGCAATTGAACTGTCGGGCTTTGAAAACCTGGATCAAGTTGGTTGTTGAAGTTGTTTTGGTGTTCAAGGGTGTTGTGGACGAGAGACCAAATAGAGTTCGCGCTACCTTTATCGATAAGCGAAAGCACTGACGTCCACCTTTTGCACCTCGCAATTTGTGATTCTGGGAATTTGAACTTTACCATATCATTCTGGCCGCAGGCTGCTGGTCGCCGCAGTTGACCACCACCACCACCACCAATACTGTGAGCAGAAGAATAATCCTATAATCCTATAATCCTGCTAACCAACTCTCAGATCATCCCCTTGCGCTACCGGACAGGGCAACTCAACTTCCCCATCCCTGAGATGGCGCCCAACGTGTCCTCTTCCAGGACACAACTGTCTTACCCCCTCTACGCCGCCGACTTTGACCCTCTCAACCCAGATTTCCTGCTCGTCGGCGGAGGCGGAGGCTCATCATCGACCGGCGTTCCCAACAAAATCTCCCTCATCGACACGTCCCAACGGAACGAGTTGAAGGAGGTCATTGATATCGAACTTGCCAGCAATGAAGACTCCGTTACGAGTCTCGCGATTGCTGATTCGTCCGCCGCATCATTGACTGCGTTCGCTGGCATCAACAGCTCTGTTGCCGACCAGAATGCGGGAAGGAATGAGCATCTGAGATCGTTCAGGATTGGGCTGCCCGCACGGAAAAGGAGGGCTGATGGCAGCACCGTGGTTGGAGATGGAGAGAAACCGCTGGCTCCAGCCCAAGACTCACAGCCACTGGGCCGGACCGCATTATTCAGGTCTGCGACAACTACCAAAAACGACACATACCAGAGAGTTCTACGGTTTTCCCCTCCCCAGAAAACTGGCCAACCGCGACTCGCAGCTATCGCGTCTGGACTTGCACCAAACAACGAAGTGATAGTGTTCCGCCCAAATCCAAAACCTGCGCCGGATGATGAGGTTTCTCGCATCGAGCTTGGCAGTCGTGAGGCAGGGGACGTAGATTTGACAATGGAGGATGGCGAGAAGGGTGGCTACCTGCTTGCGTATTGTACGGATGACGAAGTGTTTCTGCAGCAGCTTCCGCCTTCGTCCAAACCCGATGTCCCGACCTCTCTTTTCCGGGCTTCTGAAATATCCAGGTCGCTGCCTCCCTCGCAGCGACCCAAATTTCGAGCTTTGCGCTTTCTAACCCCTCGCCATCTACTACTTCTCAGGAATCGACCGTCACGAACGGGGGCAGATCTATTAGTTCTTCGAATCAGTCAGGATTGTTCGCAAGCCCGCATCTCCCTGCGCAAACAGCTCAATAAATCTATCAAAGCGGCAGTTGGACTGGATGTGTGTGGCCTGACCGAGTCGGAGCAAGGCGAGAAGCAGTTCGCGATTGGAGTAGCAGGACAGTCTGGAGAGGACAGCTCGATAGAGGTGTTGGCGCTCGACTGCTCGCCGGAGGCTGGACTGGGATTTTTCAGATCATACGCATTCTTCAAAGCTGTCCATAATGGGCCTCTTACTCGACTTGTCTTCTCGAGCTTTATCGGACCAACCCTTCCCGTCACCAAATCAGTTGGACCTCAGTCCCTTCGCCTGGCCTCTGTAGGCGTTGACAAATGTGTCGTGGTCCATTACCTTCCTCTCCGTCCTTTCTCCGCAACCTCAGCCAAGACGCCACGATACGTGCTCATCCCTCCAGGCCGCTCCGAGGCGGTGCAGACATCATTCAGCGTTTTCTTCGCGCTTGTGGTCGTTGGCCTTGTTGCATTCCTTATGCAGGCATTCTGCGAGATCCGAGGCGTCGTACCGCCCATCCTCGGCGCCCCGGGTTGGCTGTCACCGCGCATGCGCGAACTTGTTGCCCGACCCTATATTTTCGCGGACAGGATAAGTTCCGCCGCATCAGATGTTCCTATCGCAGCACACAGTGCCACGGAGAAGCTCAAAACTTCCGCCGACGAAATGACCTCTACCCTCTCTTCTGCATTATCGTCAGCAACTGACTCACTAAAGAACCTTGTAGAGGAGAACTCCAACCTGGAAACCCCAAAAGCCATTATCGTGCGAGAGCAGCCTATGGGCGAAATCTCAACCGAAATTCTACAGTCGGATGCCGAGCTGCTAAAGCAGGAGACGCTGAAGAAATGGGAGCAACTCAGTGAGGCGCAGAAGAAGGGTTGGAAGCGCAGGTTGATCGACGCGGGCCACTGGGCAGAGCACCAGGGCGAGAATGTGCTGAAGGGCATCTTGTTTTCAGAGTTAGCCGGGGCCGTAGGGAATATGGTTGGTGGGGGATAAATGGATGATGTCGAAATGATCCCTCATTCGTGGTTTCCAGCAAGATCCGACGTATTTGAGACGATGAAGAGCGAATTTATGAATGTTGCGCTTGAGATTAGTCCTGCAGCCTATTTTCAAGTTCTAATATCTGGATATTTATACTCTATCGTCGTAAATGTCGTTACTTTTTTACCGTCCCATTCAGAGAGGCCACTTGCGAGTCGATGCCTCACGCCCTCAGCCCCCTCCAATAACCTCCTCAGTAGGTCTCGTCAGCGCTGATCCCATATGTGCCTCCAGCGGCATACCACGCGGCCATGACCAGATCGCACAGATCCTTGGCCTCGACATCCGTCAGGGGCAGATGATGGCCGCCCGCAAAATCCATCTGGAAGCAGTTGTCGCTCTCGCACATTTTCATCATCTCGACGCAGCCGGGCTTCACGTGGTCGTCCCTGCCCCATGCGTGCACGGTGGGGACGTGTCTGAGGAGGTCGTAGTCGTTCACGTCGACTTTTTCGGCGAGAGAGATGGGCGGGGACGGGCCCCCGATCATGACGCCGAACTTGAACTTCCAACGACTTTCTCCGAAATCCCGCTCCTGGATCTTCTGGCGCAGGAGCAAGCCGGGCACGAGACGGGCGCCCTGCGAGAAGCCTATGATGCCCGCGAATCCGTCGACGCCGCCGTTGGCTTCCATGGCGTCCAAGATGACGCGGTCCAGCGCCTCGACCTCCGCAAGCGGCGTCGCCTCCACGTCGCTTTCGCCCGCTTTGAACCGCCGGGTCACCCAGCGGTAAAAGGGCGCACAGGATGCGAACACGGGCAGCATGCCGAACCCCGCCGTGCCTTCGATCGGTGCCTGCGCGAACACGAACCGAAACTGCTTCTCCAGGTTCCAGATCAGCCGCCGCGACTGGATTTTGAAGACTGTGCTGTTGGATCCGCCGCCGTGAAGCATCAGGATGGCGGGGAGGAGCTTGCCGGTGTGCGAGTGGGTAGGACGTGTGGCCATGGTTTGGGGGTCGGACTTTGGGTTTGCCACAGGAAACTTGTCCTATCTTGTGGATTTGAAGAGAGCGAAGGCTGCCGATGTGTGGACAGTATGGACCAGACGCATGAGCTTGACAGCGCTGAATACAGGATCGTGATTTCTTGCCCCTTGAGGTCCTGGGATTTTGGTGAAATCTCTCCCCCTTTGCCGCTCTTTTTTTTTCACAATGACCGCTGGTACTGAATTTGTTGTCGGTGAGGCCCGATGCGTCTGCCAGACTTGAACTTACATTCACTAGGGATAAATTTGGTTCAATGGTATAATTTCTAGTTCGGTAGTCTATGTCTGATTTCTAGCTACGTATGAAATAGAAGAGTGAGAAGGAGTCGGGATGAAAAGATAGGGCGGAGTGGAAGCCGAGCCCCACACGTGATAAGGCTAGAAACGGCCCCCGACGAGGCTGGTGGGCTGAGTTCTTTGGCTTAGACTGGTGGACGCCTGGGTGCCAAAAATAGCGCTCGTGGAATAAGTACTGGGTAGAGGACTAGCGATGTTGCGAGAACACAGTTCTCTTGATTATACAGGTACGAGCCCTTTTGCTTTAATCCCAATATGCCCCAAATTGATTGCAACGGCACGGGCTGATACAAGATGAGGAGTTGCCATTCCACCCGACCATCTGCTCAGATCAGAAATGTCCCGCTGTTGGAATGGATTACGATGCCTGTCGCGTTGGCATCTTTCAGGCAGTAGAGATACGCCTCGGCCAGGTCTACAGGCTGGCCAACCTTCCCAGTGGGTATTTTGCTCTCATGGTTCGCAAAGAATTCCTTCTTGCCTTCCTCACCCATGCCCTGCCAGAGATCTGTCTCGATGACCCCGGGAGCGACACAGTTGACGCGGATGGGTGCCAAGTCAAAAGCCAACTGTCGTGCCAGACCATTCAAGCCAGCGCCAATGAGCGCTAGCATGGACCATCCTCCAGCAATTGGTTTTTCAGAGATGGACCCGCCGGTCAAGACGATGGAAGAGTGTCGATCCTTCTTCATGTACTTTGTTCCGATTTTGACAACCAGGACTGCGGCAATAGTTCGAACTTGGTTACATTTTTGCCACTTCTCAAGAGTAACCTCCTCGAGCGGGATCGTAGGCAGTCGGTCTCCGGCCATGTACACAATATGGTCAACCTCGCCCACGTTCTTGAACAGACCCTCGATATTGGCCTCGACATTGGGACTGGCTAGATCGCAAGCGAATCCTGAGACGCGGTCTTTGGCAGCTGGGTAGTCGCTGACAAGCTGGGCGCACACATCCTCGACCTTGGATGCTCGTGACGAGGAGAGGATGACTGTTGCGCCGAATTCGACAAGGGCCTGTGCAACACTGATGCCAACGCCCCCAGTGCCTCCGACCAAAAGGACACGCTGACCGGCAAGTTTGTTGGTGAACCGTGCAGGAGACATGGTGCAGGTGTTGTTTGATTCTAAGTGGGATCGCTCAAAGCTCGGTAGAGTGCTGTCGACCCTTTTCTTCTGCCTTCACCGCGGTGTTTGGGCAGGTGCTATACTGGTGGAGCGAGAAGGCTCGATGGGGGTTCCCAGTATTTATCCCTTTTCACATTTTCAGGAGGGCTGCTCGATCCTCGATATCCCCTTGCCGGCAGTCTCTTCTATCTCCGACATGACAATTATCTCCATGACAGGTCGTGCACTGGTCGCTGGTGAAATTCCATACTGGAGATTAGCGCTCGAGTAATGCACCTAGCGGGTGTTTCCCTTCTTTGCATACGTAGTACTTGGTACTTCAATGTCATTGGACTACTTCGTACTGATGCAGAAAGTGGAAGGACACGGAAAAACGCAAGTTCTGCATTAGGAAGTTGCGACTCGCCTCAGTCAACGTCATTATCGCCAACAGACTTTTGGCCTTTTTCTTCCAGCATTGAGCAACTATTATTGTGTGCTTGCGATGCTTAAGGCCGACGACGATTGATTTCGGCCACTGTCAATGCGGCGATAGTAAATGGCATACTCCGATCTGAAGATTTTTCGAAGTCATTTCTTCATCCGTCGGAGCAGATTCTATTCGTCGAGGACCACCCCCCTCTCTCTGCAACACATCTCAAGCGTCACTTTCCATCTATCCAAGGTACACTCTGAAGCGACGAAGGTAGCAAGACCAGGTCTCTCAGCCTTGAGGTGCTCAAATGATTGCCTTCACCATACTGACAGACTACCTCACCATACCATTCCCAGAAACGCTGGTGTCAAACCCTTTGGTGGAGACTTAAGATCTCACTTCGCAAGGAGGATCGAGCCCGGAGGCAATTCTCGGTCGCATATTGACGACACGTCAACTTGGCGTAGGTAAGGAGAAGGTAGATAGGGGGAACAACGTGTGCCTTGTCGTCTCATACAATGTCCGCCCTGAACACCAACGCGACGCCGTCGTCGCCTGCCGTGACAATCCTGTTTCCACCTCCGCCTTGTACAAACCCCAAAACACCTCCGCCCTCTCCCTCCCCTCTGTGGCCCTTCCATTCCTGGATGAACCCTTGTCCTGCCGCCGTCGTCCCACCCCTGACATCCCATCTCCTGACCACGCCATCCATACCTGCCGAGGTCAATATCCAACCACCCTTTTGCGGATTTCTGACGAATTCGACTTTGACGACCGCGTATTCTTCGTGCGCCTCTTTGATGTGTCTCCGCACGGCGAAGCGATGGGCCGTATCGAAGAGGGCGATTGATCCATCGACGCTTCCCGCGGCAAGGATGTTGAGGGGTGGGGAAGAGAAGGAGAGAGTCTCGACGCCGTCAGATTGAGCTTGTAAAGATGCTAGTATCTGTCCTGCCGAAGAAGCCTGCTGTTGTCTGCCGGCGCCTTTGGCGCCACTGTTCTTCTTGGTCTGATCAGCCGGTTGCGGCAGACCGACGACTTTGATGTTCCCATCCGCGCCGCCCACGGCCACCATTGACGGAGTGCATGCCACACTGTAAAGGCCGCCTTCAACCTCGAAGCGTTGGTCTGCGGTGGTGAACGAGATAACGGCTTGGCCGGCAGAGAAGACATCGCACACATACAGGCTGCCATCTTCCGACACCGTCGCGAGGAGCGAACCGTCTGGCGTCCACGCTCCCGCGGTACATGATGCAGTGTGGAGGTAAAACGCTTGTACGATCGTAAGCGGACTGGCTTTGTCCTCGGCATTAATCTGATAGACCCAAACGGAGCCGTCGTTGGCGCCGAGAGCGATTACGTTCTCATGGTCCTTATTAGGACAGGGGGCCACCCAGTTGATCTCTTCCACTTCGGCGGCCTCAGCGACAAATGTCCACTTCTTGGAGCCCGATGCTTCTGATGATTTCCATGCGCGTAGTTTCCCGTCAAGTCCGGCCGTTAGCACGTATTCACCTCGCGGGTATGTGAAGGCCACGGCATTGACCGAGTCGGTATGCCCGTCCAACTTTTGGAGGGGTTGGATGCCTTTCCTCTCGCCCTGAGGCTGGCCTGCGCCTTGAGCGGCAGGCGGTATAGATGCGTCGAAGAGATATGCGACGTCGTCGCCGCCGCCTGTTATCACGATGGATGGGTCCGTAGGATGTTGCGCGATGCAGAATATGCTGTCCGTGTGAGAGTCAAAATGGGCGGCGGAGTCGTTTTGCAGTTGGATTTCTTGTTCTTCTGCTTCCAGATCTTCGTCGTCTTCGTCATCCATAGGATGGTCACCGTCGTCATCTACTATTTCTTCAGCTGCTTCATCAGCGTCTAGCAGTCCATCATCTTCAGGTTCTATGTTATCGGGCGGCCGGGGGACGGGTTGAGGGTGGGACATGGTGGGCTGACAAGCGAGGGCTGTGTTGCGGGGAAAAGATGTGCCAACAGTACTCCAGCAAGAGGGAGAGCAGGAGGGACAAGAGAAGGACTTCAAAGAGCGCAGAGGGGATCCTTATGAGGCATCAATGCGACGCCCCCCGCTTAGAAATGCGTTCTGTCTTCTGTCGTGTTTGCCCGCGCGAAAAAAATAGTTGGGTTCGCGGGTGTTTGGAGACGGTACCGAGAGTCTTGCGTCATTGGTCCTCCAGCATGAGGGAAAGGCTAATACCAGGTATCCTTCTCCTAGAGCCAAGGGTTTGTGAGACATTACATAGGAGAGTCATCAAGCCGATGGCCCTATAGGTAAATCTTCAAGATGTTAATAGACTGTCGCTGTGAATTACATATGTGGGTTGATATGTTCAGAGGGTCTGGAGAATGTCCAGGCCATCCAGCCTTGCGACAGGACTCTCAGCCACCAGCCTTGTCAGATGGACCTCTGGTATGTAGGCGGTGACGCCCCTGATATAAGGAGTCTCGTGGGAATTAATAAGCGATTCGGTCGACTTCGACGTCTTCTACCGCAATCTCGGGGCTGCTTACCTTGGTCCAAAGGTGACTAATTACGAGCACAGACTACCACTATGCGGTACGTGCTCGCAAGGCCATGGGGTGCTGCATTCTCGGCAGCGCCATTTGCCGTAATTAGGAGCCATTGACTTTTCTCCTAGGTCGGGCCTTCCTTTCCGGCCGGTTTGGACTATTTTTTGGGTTCTCACCGTACGGCGTAGTATCTGTGTTCGAAGAAATACTATTACCGAGTATTACCCAGGCCTCCTTTTTGCGCCAGGAACGATTTAACATCCGTCGAGGCGACATAAGCTGTGGAACGGACCGCACCCCTTGATTGATGTCTAGAGATGGTACCGAGTAGTTTTCTCCACGCACAACTTCATGATACTCATTGACAACCTGTCAAGCGAGAAGCAGGTTGTGCGCCATTCTCTGGACAGGACGGAGTAGCACTCGATACATAAGTCGAATAAGGAATCGTGTCATGGCTACTCTTTTCGGAACCCTTTGGCCTCTCGGAGGTTTTGTGTCCACCAGACTGTGGATGCACCCTTTTGAAACACTCATCCCTCTCCGTGACGGCGGGGAGGCTTCAAATGTGGCTGGTTTGGCTCGCGACTAAGAAAGACAAAATAATGCCCTGGAACCCTGACCTCAGGCATATCATTCGTCATGTGGGCTCGATGATAGACATGTTGTGGAACGCGACAAGCCGGACATGTTACTAGGAAAAGCAAAGCAAGACTCGTTCGTAACCATGCAGGTGGCACGCGGTTGGGGCTTGATGGAGTAGAATGGAGTGGACTAAGTATGAGCAATTGAAAATGATAGAATTGTTCGGCGAATTTCCAACTCCTGAGAGTGTTTCAGATGCATCGGAAAAGCCACTCTGAGGGCGAATCTCCCAAAGTGAAAATCGCATCTACGGTAGGCTGGCCTAAACCCTGGCCGTTTAACTGGAGCCACTACTACACAAGGACCCGTCTAGGCTCCCTAAGCTCCCTAGGCTGTCGATGCCCAGTCGAGGGGCGCCATCTCTTCTCCCCCCCCAATCGGCCTCGCCCGTCTCTCATAATTCCCCCCAATTAATTGTTCGCCTCCCACAAAACCCATCCTTTTCCACCTCTTCCCACCCTTTCCACCCGCTTTAGCCGCCCGCTGTTACAGTCAAAAACTGGCTGCCCATTGGGCCTCTCCAGCCCAATCCTATTGCCCTCTCCCTCGTTTGCAGGTTTCAGCCTGATCCTGAATCGACTCCAGCGCCGTCTACGACTCGTTCGTTCGCTCGCTCGCCCGTTCGATCCTACTACCTTGGTACCTACGGTAGGAACCCCATCCATCGCCCTATTCCTACTAGGCTCCTCGGACCTCAACTCGTCGCTGCTCGCTGGGCCGATTCTTCCTCTCAGGTCTGAGAACCACGACTTTGGACGGTGTGTGGAATCCTGCTGTACAATGTCATTGGCTGTTCAGTGATACTCGCGTCGACGTTATTCTTTGACTGGAGAGCGCCATCAAAATATCATCTCTCAGGGAGGGCGGATCAAACTGCGCTCACCCAACACCCGAGCCCCAGGCCAAGACTCAGGACAGAACATCTCAAACGGATTCAGTGAAACTTGACTTGACAGCTTCCGGCTTCTGCTCGTCTGCTTCACTTCCCTATTTTCAGATTCTCGGAGCCGCACGCATGCTGTCACTGCTTGCGCCTGCTCAGTCGACCACCATTCCCCGCTGAGTCCAAGTTTTGCTACAATATCGACTCCTGTCTTGCGTCTCCCGTCTCCCGTCCAATACCACACAAGACGTGTAACAGGTATTTTCAAACGCCATCCCAACAATGGCTTCAGGCCCCGAAAATGGGTAAGTGGCCCTGCAACCGATTTGAGAGAATTCTGTTGGAATTTTGTAGTTGCGCCGCTGACCCTCTCCCAGTTTCTACTCCTCAGGTCAGTTCATGAATCCAGGTCCGGCACCTCGCCCTCCCACAGACCGACCTCGACATCTGGAACTGCAGCGCTCAAACACCTCAATACCGACCACTGCCTTCGAATCCATGTCTTTAGGAGGCCCCGCCTCGCCTGCCGTCAGTACTCCAAGTGCCCCGTACTTCTCCAATGGCAGTTCGTTGTCCCTGTCAACAACCGGGAAACCCTCGGGCCCGGTCACTATCATCAAGGAAGGCCATGTGCGCTGCAAAGAAGACAAGTTCCTCGCCCAGTGGAACCAACGATACCTGATTCTCCGCGAGTTCAGACTAGATTTCTTGAAGAGCGAGAATGGAAAACTCATGCAATCCATCCAGTTGAACACCGTAACGGGAGTGACTCGTTCTGAAGAGACCCGGATGGCCTTTGAGATAACCCGCATTGCCAATCCCAAAGATGCAGGCGGCAAAATCATCATGGCCCGCGACTTGCCCACCCGGACCATTACTTGTGAAGTCCGCAATGACGACGAAATCTATGACTGGATCGACAAAATATATGAGCGATGCCCAGGCATGGGGGGCGTAAGTAATCCCACAAACTTCAGCCATCGCATCCATGTGGGCTTCGACCCTCAAACAGGCGGCTTTGTCGGATTGCCGCAAGAGTGGGAGAAACTGTTGAACAACTCCGCCATTACAAGAGATGACTACAAGAAGAATCCCCAGGCTGTCATCGAAGTTTTACAGTTTGTTTCAGACCAGAAAATGCGTGAGCAACATCCCGAAATGTATACTCCTGGCATGGTCACTCCGCCAGCAACCCAGCCCAACAAACAGCTTGGATACCCGACAGGGGGGAATAGTGTTGCTCCTCCGAGGCCAACACCACCCACAGATGCACAACGGTATAATTCTAATCAGTTCATCAACAAATATCAGGAGGGTCCTTCCCGGATAGGAACTCCACCCACGAAGCCACCGTTACAGCGGGTGCAAACAGATAAGGGAGCATATGACATGGAGGCCGACGCCGCCCGGATCAAGGCGATCGCTAATGAAGAACTAAAGCGCCGTCAGATGGAAGCGGAAGCGAAACGGGCGAGAGACGTTGAAAGACAAAGAGAACAGGAGCGAGAGGACATGGAGCGCAGCCGCAGGGAGCAAGAAGCCTATAATGCTTCACTACCAAAGACGCGCCCGCCGTTGGCTCAACAGGAGATCGGAGGATACGGAGGAGGCTCTGAACGTGGGCCCAACCGGCAAGATCCTAGATATAATCCCGCAAGAGCCGCTCCAAGTGCTCCCCAGCAATCATCATCAGGGTCACTCAGGCAAAATCCTACAGCGCAAAGACCGGGCCCTTCAGCCCCGAGCAGCAGTTCCCAGAAATCTATCCCCCAATCCCTGTCTGCCAGTCAGAGTTCGTTACGATCACCAGAAAGCAGAGAGCGCGATCGTCAGCCCTCACCAAATGCGAGATATCCGCCAGGCGACTCCACTCCCAAACCGCAGGCGAATGGAGTTAATGGACAGTCTGCAAGTCGGTCACAAGGATCTGTACAGCAACCCAAGCCTCTCAATGTCGCGAAACAGCCGCAGGCGAAACCTGCAGCTGACCCGCGCAAAGAGGCAGAAATTGCATTGACAGCGAAGAAGCCGGTCGAAGAGCGCGCCAAGGAAGTTCGGATGTCGAGCATGAGCGAAAGCGAGGTCATGGCCAAGCTCAAGCAGGTGGTGTCTAAAGATAATCCCTTGGAATCATACAGCAAGCAAAAGAAAATTGGCCAGGGCGCTTCCGGTTCAGTCTACGTTGCTCGGGTCAAGGAAAGCGCAACATCCGCTGTGGCACGTGAACTGTATCGCACGCACGGTCCGAAGGGCCAAGTTGCTATCAAGCAGATGGATCTTCGGAACCAACCGCGAAAGGAGTTAATCGTCAACGAAATCATCGTCATGAAAGATTCCAAACATCCCAATATCGTCAACTTCCTCGATTCTTTCCTTCAGGAGCAGAACAACGAGCTATGGGTGGTGATGGAGTTCATGGAAGGCGGTGCGCTTACGGATATAATTGACAATAACCCGGTGATCACCGAGGACCAGATTGCCACAATCTGCTATGAAACCTGCAAGGGACTCGCTCACCTGCATTCTCAAGACATCATTCACCGGGACATTAAGAGTGACAATGTGTTGCTCGACCGAGTCGGCAATGTCAAGATCAGTAAGTGACCCCGATTGCTGACCCAAAGCGATGATTTTACTGACCCGAATGGCCAGCCGATTTTGGGTTCTGCGCTAAGCTCACCGAATCAAAGAGCAAACGCGCCACAATGGTTGGTACACCATACTGGATGGCACCCGAAGTGGTGAAGCAGAAAGAATACGGACCTAAGGTCGACATCTGGTCTCTTGGTATTATGGCTATTGAGATGATCGAGTCGGAGCCGCCATATCTCAACGAAGAGCCGCTGAAGGCCCTATTCTTGATTGCGACCAACGGCACACCGCGCTTGAAGAACCCCAACAAACTCTCACGGGAGCTGAAGGCATTCCTCAGTGTCTGTCTCTGTGTCGACGTCAGGAGCCGCGCGAGTGCGGACGAATTGCTCCGGAACGACTTTATGCGCATGGGTTGCAGCTTAGCGAGTCTGAGTGAGCTTTTGAAATGGCGAGAAAAGGGTCGGCAATGATGATTTCGCACCACGATGTGAGAGCCGGGTTAATATGGGATATCGCTAGGCTGGTGGACGAATTTAATGGCTATTGGGAAAGGATTCATACCAGCGACGAAGGTCATTTCACTCGATACGCATCTTGGATACGGCGCTGAATGAAGAACTATATGGAGCTGCGGTAATAGAGGGTTAGACCGACCAGAAGAACAACAGGCCAGCAATCTGCAAGCAAGCGAGCCGAAGATCGCAGAAGCGACAAGTTGTTTGCGTTTCTTATCAAGAAGCCAGGGACTCCAGAGGAGAGACGGGACTACGATGATCGTTATTTCATGGTTGATGATTGAATGGGAAATGGATCTTCCACTTAGATGCTTGCCAGTTCAGATGGAGCATCTCGGTCCTCCAATTGCTTGCACGATGATTTGCCTGGGCATGAAGGAGGTATGTTGAGGCATAATGCAAGCTGGGACGTGGCCGTAGGCCGCTGGGTAGACGGACAGGGTCTGCACGAGTCTTGAGAGCGACATCGTTCGGGCCATGGTCCCACCCGACTGGATTGCGGCACCCGCGGATGGATAGCTCATCGACATCCCCCGTCAAGATGATGCCGGTCCGCGAAAGACAAGAAGGTGGAGGGAATGGGTTCTGTATACGCCGAATATAGAAGAGAGGAGAGAGAAGATAGGCGCAGAGTGAGAGACGCTTTACAGAAAAGAACAAGAAATGGAATTTTCCAAATCTCCAAAACTCCATAGGTATATACGAGGCACTGACCACATACCTGGTGATATGATGTACTCCGTAGGCTGTTGGATCTTGGGCTTGCTATTACGCCGCTCGGTAGTCGGAAGGAGTCTGGCCCGATGGGTACAGTATTCGAGTATGTACAGTAAGTACATAGATGAGATATGAGGGACGGCCAAGAGATGGCTTACGATTAGCACAAGGCAATCCATTCCCCCCCTCCTTTTTTTTTCAGGCCCCTTGAACTACCAGTGGGAACTCGACACGACGCGACCCGATGACGGGAGTCCTGGTGAGTCCTCCCAGTAGAGAGGGCGCCAGGCCGCTTGAAGTGCCACAGAGAACGATATTGGCCCCCGGGGGCATAATACGAAGACTACTAAAATCCAACAGGTACCAAGTACAGGGTACTGGGTACTGGGTACTGGGTACTAGGTACACGACGGAGTCTTGTATCATTAGTTCCCCATTAGGGGTACCTCACGCAGTCCAACTGTGCTCCGTAGTACGAGGTACGGAGTACCAAGTACATTTGTACCGGTACATGGGTCTTGATAGGTCTTGATAGGTACACCCCGATAACCGGATCCCCTCCATTCCGCAAATCTACTAGTTGTCAATGGAATAAAACTGCTTGCGACTCCTTGCGACCCCCTGCAACTCGTACTTCCCTGCATATCTCGTCCGGTTCGCAATTGTCCGACTCGGTCCAGCCATTCACTCCAATCCAATACCGTCGTTCGTTCTGATCAATCCATACATTATTACGTCAGGACATGGTATTCGTCCCGCTATCCTTCTGATTGATATTATCAATCAATTCTGTTACCTACATAGCGTGAGCATCAATCAACTCACCACCGTCACGGTCCAGATGCGGTAGGAAGAGAGGTCTTACGATCAGTCTGTCCGGCAGCCGATCCCACTTTCCGACTCTGTCGCTGAAAAGCACACCGTCGTCCTGCATACCCAGTTCTGCTCCTTACCCGCGATGCTGGAACACGAAGATGCCTTCGCAGAGGAGGCGCAAGAGGAGGTCAGACTGGCCGAGCAAGTCCACGTCGATTCTACCACAAATACGAGGTTCAATGTCAGCGACGAGCAAGATGATGAGGACGAGATGAGCCCCCTGATGAGCCCGCGCCAGCGTCGAAATAAACCTATCGCATATACAAGAGCCCGCGCGAGTTTTGAAAGGGCCATCAATGAACCCTGGCATGGCGCTCACGGCTCGAGTGACCTCCCCTGGTACAAGACGCCCTCAGTAAGTCGGCCGTCTTCCTTCCTCGCCGAGGAGGTGTGGCAACCCGCTGATGTGTTCCAGATATTTTGGCTGCTTCCTGCCTTCTTCCCCTTTTGCATCGCCTTTGGCGGCATCATTGTTCCCAAAACGTACCTCATCCTCAACTTGATCTGCAAGGAATATCTCTCAGATCAAGCGTCCAAGAACCCCAACTTCAAGTTCCTACCTATTGTCTTGGGAGAAGAGAATCCGCAGTGCAGAGATCCACATGTTCAATCTCGGGTCGCCAACTTCAATCTATACATCAATCTTTTGAGCGGCGTCTTTTCTGCCGTAATAGCTCCCCATCTGGGGTCACTTTCAGATCGGATTGGCCGGAAGAAAGTCATGGTCTGTGCCTCCTTCGGCGCTCTCGCCGCCGAAATCATTACCATCATTGTCGGCCAGACCAACGGCGAGGTTTCTGTTTACTGGCTGCTTCTCGGAGGCCTAATAGATGGCCTATGTGGCTCATTCACCACTGCTCTGGCTTTGGCCTTTGCATATGCGTCGGATTGTTCACCCCCAGAACGTCGAGCTGTCGCTTTCGGTTATTTCCACGGCACACTCTTCGCCGGTATTGCATTGGGCCCCATCGTGTCAGGCTATCTGATCAAAGTGACCGGGACGGTCATGATCGCATTTTATCTCGCCCTTGGGTGTAACGCCTTTTTCATTGTCTTCACCCTAATCGCTGTGCCCGAGTCCTTGTCCAAGGAGCGGCAACTGCTGGCAAGGGAGAAAAGACAGTTCGCGCAGGCTGAGACGCCGGACAGTGACTGGATCACCATCATCAAGAATTACAACCTCTTCGAACCCCTTTGGGTCCTGCGACCAAAGGGTGAGGGCTCGAGTCCGGCGTTGAGGAAAAACCTCTTCGTACTTGCCGCTATTGACACAATGATGTTCGGCGTGGCGATGGGAACCGTGCAAATCATGATCATATATGCAGAATACCGTTTCGGCTGGACGGCAGTCAACTCTAGCATGTACCTCTCCGCAGTGAATATCTGTCGCGTCCTGGGTTTGGTCATCATCCTGCCACTTCTTACCAGATTCTTCCGCGGACCAGCGCAAATGCACTCGAAGGGACACAAAGGCTCAGATATGCTCGACATTTGGATCATCAGGGGGTCCATCATCTTCGACCTTGTTGGATACATCGGTTATGCTTTTACTCCATCTGGTGCGATCATGGTTCTTTCTGGCATGATTGCCTCTCTCGGTGGCATTGGTTCGCCAACTCTCCAGTCATCTCTCACCAAACACATCCCGGCAGACAGAACGGGCCAAGTGCTGGGTGCATCAGGGCTTTTACATGCACTGGCCCGCGTGGTGGCACCGACGGTCTTTAACCTGATATACAGTCAAACTGTGGGCATCTACGCCGGAATTGTTTTCATTTGCTTGGCTTCAATTTTCGTGATTGTCTTCGTTCTCAGTTGGTTCTTGAAACCGAACGGTATGTCTCTTGGTCCCTCCCATTTTCTCCAGAACTCGTGCTAAGACGACCCAGTGTATCTGGCGGAGCCATCCTCTTCTGTCAACCTTGACGATGCCGAAGACGACGAGGATCATCTTGAATGAATTACGTTTTGTATACTTATCTGAATTTTTTTTTTTTTTTTTTTTTTTTTTTTTTTTTTTGGCAATCCACTATACTAAGGAGGATTATAGATTTGTCCTTTTTTTTTTGGTTGGATGCGAATCAAGCCTGTCACCATAGCAATTAGAGCCAGTTTACACATGTTCATAGCTTCGGCCTTTGAAAGGCGACTTGTCCTTTTAAGAAATGCACTGTATGAGATCTACCCGATCAGATGATACGCCGGAAAGAGCATGCCATCTTTCCATGGTAGTAAAGACTTCGACCTCGTTGGATATCCCAATCTCGTAAAAGGGAGGGAGAGAGGTACATGAAGGACGCGCGACCACGTTGGATGACGACCAGGAGTTTGTCAAGATCGCTTTCTTAGGACATTTCCTCCATATATCATACATACATACATACATGTATAAAATGAAATGAAGTGACAAATAGGGGGGACAGGATGAGACGGAGAGGAGGGGGGAAAGGGGGATGTCATGAAGAGGTTTGCTTGGGTCTCCTCAAAAAGGCTCATTCACAACTACAGTAGATATCCCCCCTCCCCCAAAAAGGGGGGGATAAGACACATAGGACTTTCTCTCAGGACCTTGTTCATTTCTCGTACTCCCTTGACAAGAAAGGCTAAGATGTCAATTCCCGGCTCATCATGTGCGAGAGACCCATCGGCTCAATCAGCGCGCCTCCCCTGTCCAGGCCGACGTTCCATTCCCAAACGGTCACGGCCAGGAGCATGAAAGCCGCGATTCCGAGAAAGAGTCGCGCATCCATGTGGGGTGTGGCGGGCACGCACACGATCACGGCGATATACACGACCCTGCCCGACAGGCGGATATACCGGTTGTTGACCTTGAGGGTGCCCGGTTCGTCCAGGGACTTGTCCAACAACGCCAGCGCCGTCATGCTGAGCATGATGATGCCCAGTGAACTCGCGCACGTCCACACGGCTCTGTACAGGTAGCGCGGGAGATCGTCGTGCGGTATCTGCTGAGCCTCCCCCGCTTGACCGCCCGGAGAGTTGTACGGTGCGTCTGGCTGGTGACGAATGATAAACATGACGCTGGAAGCGAAGGTCAGGATCGAGGAGAAGAGCGGGATGTGCCAAAGGACCCATGTCAAGGTCTTTCGCCCCTTGTTCGTGGCGGCCGGGATGAATCTCCTGCTCCCGTCACGGTTGAAGTACAGGAAAGAGAATTCATAGTAGATCAACAGGATCCAGACCATGATTCCCGTGCTCCCGTTGAGTCCGAGAACTAACGGGCCGTCCTTGACTAGTTGCAGAACGCCCTCGCCCAGGATGATGATGAAGAAATTGGACATGCGCGATTGAAAATGGTGCACGTCGAGAGCCTTTTTGAACTCCATCGGGGTGAGTTTCTCGGTCAGTTGCGAATCTATGATGATGGGGCAGAGATATTCCCAGACGATCGCACCAAAGACGGGCCCTATGGCACGGGCACCTGGAACTTTAATGGCAGTGACCCAAAGGGCGACCGAAGGGAGTCGGAATCATGTCTGGAAAAGAACAGGCTTCCGCAGCCACTTGATGAAAATCGAATAGACCAACTCGATGAGCGCGAAGGCGCCGAATATGATAAGATATGTCGAGATGACCCACTGTTTGACCTCGTCGATATCTTCGGTCAAATATGCCAGTTGATTGCCGTAGAACACCGAGAGCAACAGGGCCCACAAGGTGAAAGCTCGCTGCACCATGTCGTCCATATAGTAGTTGTTGAGGAACTCGCGCATCGCATCCCAGATGCGCCAGGAGGGCAAGAAGACCAAGATGACGACGAGCTATATGGCCCCGGAATCAGTCCGTTGGTAGTCAAAGGCTTCCGAGGACTTGTCAGTTATTGCATCTTACCGTTGCTATCCCGAGGCCGGGGTCTCCGGGCCTGAAGCCTAATGACGAGAAGACTTCTGAGAGATTGCCGATGATGCCGACCCAGATAAGGTCGATGAAGAGATCTAGTCTTTCTCTCTCCTTGGCAATATCTTCGGGAAGATGGCTGGAGATGCTCGACCGGTTTGATGGCTCGGGAACGCCGCGTTCGTCGCCAGCGTGGACGACCTGAGATCGATACGAGAACTGAAGGGCCCGTGGTCGACGGATAGCGTATCGGTGTCTCGCACGCATCTCAGCCTGATTTCGAACATGTCAACTGCTGGCCGTTCGGTTTCAAAGCCGGACTGATCAGTTCGGGCAGACTGATGTCGTCGTCGGCTTTGACTGGATCCATAGCCAAAGTCAACGATGCCAGCTTCTAGCGGCGTGAAAGCGCATCGGTAAGCCCCCAATGACCGTCACCGGCGGCGGCCTTAGGGGGACAAAGAAGTTGGAAGGGCTGAGGGATGGTGTTGCCCAACATGGCGAGGACTATATCGGTATTTGCAGATACCTTACCTCGCTCAGTACCTTGAAATCAACCACTGCCGTTTCGAATGGTAAGGCCTCCCGTGTGTGCTGTTTTCTAGTTAGTGGGTTGTTTGGAAGAGGGGCTAATAGAGGGCTGGTATTGCACTTAAAGAAGAGTAAAACCTGCCCCGAGCTTACGTGCGACTCGCCCAGCGAGCCCACAGCACCCGCTGTACTCGGTACTACAGTACCGTAGGCAGTTCCCACTCCTTTCACTAATCCCTTCTCGGCTTTCAACCACGTTTGGTCCCCCAGAGATCAAACCCAAAAGAGCGTCTTGATGAGCCAACCAGCGCAAATTGCATGAATTGATTGATCGTCTATTTATGAACGAATCAATTGAAAAACTGGGCAGAAGGCACCGAGTCTTGTCACTTGACTTGATAGCCAAGGCAAGCGCCCAGCGCAACACGTCCCGTGCCCTTTGACCAAGTTGTGTCCTTGCCCAAGAGGACCGGTTCGTGCCATTATATAAACCCCATTTGCTGCCCATCAATGTCCCCAAACCACCATAAATCGTGCGGGAGCCTGCGAAGCAAGAGCCAGAGAGGTTCTCGACAGTATTCTGTCTCCGTTCTCGTTCCGCCCAACCTTGGATCACCATTCAGAATTTCGTGCGTGCGACCGAGCGACACTGTAGACTATACCGTCGAGACCGGGACACCAGCCCGTAAATTTCCACCATTCGTCTGGATTTATCTTCGGGAAATCTGACTGCGAGAGTCTTGGTTCTGTCGTAGTGATCGTTTGCAGCACTGCCTTGACATCATCGTCGCTTGCACCGCAGGCCTTGAATTTAACGCACTGTTGATACATATACACGTCGCCATTGCTCCGGTGTCCTGTCTTGGCTTTAACATCATCCATAAGTCGAGGATATTTAAGCCTGTCGTTTAGGAAGTTGATCGGCTTCTCGAAGACATTCCTATTGAAGTCGATCTGCGGCATGAGGCAATTTCGTGGTCTTCGCTGAGGTCAATGGTGTGGTTCTGTCATGAAACCCACTGGACAAGAAGTAGACGCCACGACAGAATCCAAGGTCAACACCACAGCTGAGCATTGGGGAACGAACAAGTCAGCTCGCGTAGCCAAAGTCGTCCGGACTCAGGCAGCCACATTTCGAGGCCGTTGGCATCCAGCTACGGACAGACAATTCACAGAGATCGGACCAAGGTTCGAGTAGGATTCGGGGGACTGGAGTGGTCTTCGAGGTTCGCACCACCCGAGGCGCTGATGACAGCTTACAGCATCTTGTGTGTATTTCAGCTTCTAGGACAGGGCTGAACATGTTGCTCAGCATTCCCTTAAAAGCTTCAACCGATTCTGCCGACAAACTGGGTTAACCACTCACACTGAATTTGGGGCGCCGTCCGCTATCTAGATTACTCGCGCATGAAAAGCCTATTTCCCAAATGGAGTTCAATCCTAGAGGTGAACTGAGGCTGTTTTAACCTAGTTTCGGGGTGAGCCTTTTGCTGGGGCTCACTGAGCCACGGCCCCTGAGCGCGAGGCTAGTGCTTAGCGCCAAAATTCGTGACAGTTTATTTCCGAGGCATGGCCGCATAGTCCACCACAACACCGTGCACTCTCTATAATACAACAATATTAAATCTAGCCAGTTCTCCTAGTAATTAGTATGGTAGAACAGCCCCTCCTCGTGCGCGGATATCGCGAATCCTATCTGGCATAGCATCGATATACACGTCGATATCTTTCTTCTAATCTAAGTTATCCCAGATCTCGAGAATCCATTACCTTATTTAAGCGGTACTTTTCGCAATTCCTTTCGCCTTTAGCCGCTATTTAACAGCCCTTTACACCTTCTCAATAGAATTTAGATTAGGAGATCTCGGAATATTAGTATACTAGAGTATTTCGAGCTCTATCTTATAAAGAATTATTAACGAAGCTAGCGATTTTATACCGTGAGACGAATTATTGTCTTTAAATAGAATCTTATCTAAAGGAAGTTCTTTAACGACGAAATCGCGGAGTATTTAACGATAATCGGCCTGAGTAAGTCTGTCTTTTGATCCTAAGCCGTCGTAAAAGAGTAATGGCGATTTATCGCCTTTCTAAACGATGGCGAAAGCGTGAAGAGCTTAAACGGCTCTTTTATCACGGAACTGACACTTCTTTGCTGAGTTTCTTTACTGAACACCACGGCGACGATGAACTCTCTTTCGTTTTTGAGGTCCTCGACTAAATCCTACTTCGTCGCAAAAGCCGAATTAATACTAAAACCAATACTCTGTTTACTGTCATTTCGAGACGCGATCGAGTCGTTTAAGAATAGTTGAGTGTGAAACCCGCGAAGTTTATACTGCCATATAATATCCAACACCGCGTTCGGCCATTCGACGTTAAGCTGTACGATCTAAGATATTAAAGCCGAGATATCTTGCGACTCGGTTATGAGCGATAGTAGAGAGCTTAAAACTTACGTTCTCAAAGATCTCAATGACGTCGAGATCTGCTTCGCTTAGCTTACGTTTTCTGCCTCGATTAGCTTTATTATTAGCGCTCCGAGCATTCTGTGATCTGAGTATTCGATATTCTGTGCTCTCTGAGACGCCGTGAGCTTGAAAGATTTGACGCTGAGTCTTTTTACCTTGTAAACTAGCGCAATCTGAGATAATTCGTTGTCGTCGCGGAGTATCGACTATATGGCCCTTTTCCCGTGGACTTAATTTAATTAACTTGATAGATGTATCTTCCTGTCGACAGCGTTTTCGACGTTTATTTTGAGAACTCATTATTCCCTAGTAATTACTAGGAATAAGTGGAAGGTTTGAATGGTAGACGAAGGTAAACCAGACACGTTTGCACGCGTCTCGGACCTCGGAAATAAACTGTCACGAATTTTGGCGCTAAGCACTAGGCTGAGAAAGGAGGGTTGTTTCTGGCCCCCCCCCCAGCGGCGGGCTTTACCTACCTCTCAGTGAGTTATTGGTCTCAGATAGACCTCGCTAAACCTGGCGAGTCTGTGCTGCCTACGCTGCTGCCTAACATTCCTTGCGTCTGGCACTCTTCGCTCCGACTTTCATTACCGGTAGTTTTCTGGGAACTTTGGTTGCAAGGCTGACACCCCAGCCGGTAACTGGCACTTTTGGGCACAGGGACGGGCATCCTCTCACAGCGGCTGAGAATCGTGATCGCTACCTTCCGAAATATACATTGGACTTAGAATTATATGGTCATAATGAGAGCTCATGTTGATACCTGCGTCTTTGTCATTAATAAGCCAACACTTTCATCAAAAGACAGCCACATGCAACTCAGCATATGCTGGAAATGTCGACGCCAGCCTCGGAGCTCATGGACGCGGATTCCAGCGAGAGAGCTGCGCAAACAACCCAGAAGTCGCCTACACAATTCGTCGAAGATGATAAAGTACGTCATGATGCCAAGTCAGAAAGTTCTCAAGTGCTGTATGAGCCGCTCTCCGAGGACAGGCTCGAGATACGAATTATCGATTTGGAACCCAGTACGGATTACCACTCAGAAATTCACTGCAGGCTCAGAAAATTCAGCCTCCTAGAGGTCAAATATGGAAACCCTAGCCTCTTTTGCCTAGAAGCCTTGTCATACACATGGGGAAACGACGCAGCACTGACGAATGTCGTCGTCAATGGCCAGAGGACTCGGACAACCAGAAACCTCGAGGCTTTTCTTCGACATCGGAGAGAAACGCACGAGAAAGTGATTTTGTGGGTCGACGCAATTTGCATCAATCAAAACGACCCGCAAGATAAGAACAGCCAGATTCCGAAGATGAACATGATATACGGCTTTGCCTCTAAGCTCACCATCTGGCTCGGACCGGATTCAGACGATAGTAGCCTCGCAATGGAGACTTTGGTAAAGCTTGGCTGCGGTGCTCCGTATGACAAAATGCCTCTTCTGGAGCGCAACAAGGTGACTGCACTGCAAAAACTTCTCACTCGGCCTTGGTGGACGCGGACGTGAATCGTACAAGAACTTGTCATTGGTGGCATGGGACCGAAACTCCGAAATATCAAGGTCCAATGTGGCTGTGACAGCGTGCTTTGGATAAATGTGGTTGTTGCAGCCGCCCGCATCAAAGCGTACCACGATGATCTGCGGCAAAAATTCCCCAACATCGAGAACATCCTCGAACTGGACAGTCTACGGGAGATTGCGCAGGAGCACTTGATCAATTCTGTGACCCCGAAGATCATCTTTGATCTGCTTTGTAGGTATCGTCACTTCTCGGCAACCGATCCAAAGGACAAGCTTTACGCTTTCTGCAATATGTTCTGCAGACTTCCGTCTGAGCGCGTTGCTACTAGATACGATGCCGATCTGAAGGATATCTATATCAAATTTGCAGTCGACCGATTGTTGGCCGAGTCCAACTTGGAGATTTTACGCCACTGCGGCCCTTCAGCACACAGCCTACCTTCGTGGGTTCCAGATTGGTCAGTACCACTTGGGGTGCAGCCGTTACCACTCAGAAAACTGCAGCGATACTTCCAGGTACCTTGGTGGGCCAATCCAATCAGACGCGGATCTCACAGATACATGGCCAACCATAATATTGTGCACGGTTCCAATGTCCAGTACCATCTCGGTCCATATACCAGAGACCCTTTTGAGGCAGAACGCCAGCGACAGCTTGAATTGAAGCAGCTGGAGATAGCCGCTAAAGGATATGGTATAGTCCAGGACTTGCAGGAGATTCCGCCGGACTTCACTTTTCATAAAAGCCCATGCACATTCCAGGACCAGATTCAGGAGCTACTCAAACAGGGCAATCTCATCTTCTCAGTTCAGGACGAGCGTTGTTTGCCTCCCGAGTCCGAATTTTTCGGAACGGATCAACCGGATGCAGTCAAGCAAGGAGAAATTATAACAGAGCGCCGCATTAAAGGGTGGATTCTGCGGGAACTGACAGAACTCGGAGCCAACGCACAGTATCAGACCGCACAAGGTACCAGAGCAGATATCAGGATCAATCAGCATGAATCAACCTTACAAGTCAAAGGCATTCTTTGGGAAACGATCGACATATGTCACGAAGGCTTTGTTGAAGATCTTGATTTAGATTGGAAGAATGCTACACGATTCATGGTTGGTGTTGGATCCTGTAAGGCTCTTGCCTTAAGTCACAAGTCAGCAGCTGAGCGCTATCCGACTCTATTAGAACGCCTGACTGTGTTCTGGTCGACATTATTTGCCGGTCAGGTCGCGGAATCTGACTCAACTGATGAGCAAGAGTCGCTTCAACGACTTCGCTACACAGAGTGGCTGCCTGAGATCCCCCCAGACTGGGTTGCTGGTACCCCACCACTGACTGCGACAACTACAGGCCTCGTCGATATAGCCGAGAGTGGGAAGGCAATAGAGTGCTGCATGAACAATTTTCAAGCAGACGGCGGCGGTGGTGAGCCTCTAAAATCTAGTTTCTCAATGATTTCCGAGAAGATATTTAATCCAGAGCAATGGCCAGATGCCGAGAGAGAATCACAGGGCTGATCTGAGAGAGCTCGGCGATATGTGGGGACAACAACGGTACGACCTTTATCATCGGCCGTTCGAGTTTCTCTATATTGTTCCAGATCCATACTGGGATATACGAAAGGATCGCGATCAGGTAGCGCATCAGCGAACTCGCCAGTTCAGATCCGCGGGAATCTTCTCACTTACCCCGTCGGATAGTAGCGGACCAGGAAAGGAAGCTGCACTCACACGAGACGATCTCCGGAGATATTCATCTGCTGTTCGGGAGAGAATGACGAGCAAACCCAGTATAATTCCTCAGGGCACTCTGGAGGGAAGGATCGAGAGATATCTTCTGGGACGAAAGTTTTTTTGTCACAAAGAACGGATACTTCGGGCTGGGCCCCAAAGACACAAGAGGTGGAGATAGGGTAGCCGTTCTCTTTGGGTCAAATGTGCCATTTGTGCTCCGCAAACGCGGACCGGGAACGAAATATGGAGAATGGCAGCTCATCGGGGAGACTTACATCCATGGAGTCATGAAAGGTGAGCTGATAAGACAATGGGAACTTGGATTTATCGAATCGGCGGATATCGTGCTTCGTTGAATCCGCTCAGCTGGCGCCCATTCGTTGCACACTTCGGGTGAAATAGCACGCCAAACGTAAAGCAAGGAGATGTTTCTCATTGAGCAGAGCGCAAACGAGATTTATTCACCGGCACGGGGAACTTGGCGACAAGTCTTGTGCCGAGGATTACTAGAAGAGCTATGTGCCCATCAGCGCCTGGAAAGTGAGGTCACCTTGACTGTATTAGAGGTTCTGCCTCTCTTGTTACCTTGGAGGCATCTATCAGGCCTATATACATCTTTCAGTATTGTAAAATAAGTGTACTTGTCTGTACATCGTCCGCTTGGCGGCATCGATGCTAATGCACAGGAAAGGGGCAGGATCATAAAGAAATTTCTGCAACGTCGGTGAAGAGACATAGCCAGGGGTTGGCGAGGCTGTATAGGTTGTCTTTGTATAGGTGGCGGCAGCTATATTCGTGGTGTTGATGGCCTGGAGCTCCGGAACCATGTACCAGCCAGCATCTCCTGCATCCTTGTACTTCTGCTGGCTCGTAAAGTGTGAATGGCGGCTGGTATGCATAGTTCACGACTGGACAGCTTGGATCAGGAATTCAGATCAATGTGAAGAATTTGACAGCAACACTCCAGGTGTTGGGAGAATAACGCAGTCGATAGTGATCCGAAGGGCAAAAGCTTTACCCAGACGTTCAACGACGTTCTGCGTCTCTGTCAAGTGACTTCTGTCGTCCCACAGATGGTCGATCTACACGAAAATCTTGACGATGTCGATAGTATTGTGAAGGACACTCTGCAGACATTGATCGACAAGGACCAGAATCCAACAGAACCGAATCTCGTTGAGCACGTTCAGAATGCCAGGGTTGTCCTAGCCGTTGTGTCTCTCGTACTCACAGCTATCGAGCTGTCTAAAGCGACCGATCCTCTCGAAATCGCATACAATTCTCTTTGGTGGCAGCAGCAGCAATACAGATCTTAGCGTTTGTGGCGGGGTGGGTAGCAGTTCTTACAGCAATAGCTGCAATAGGTAGTACGACTCAATGTTATCGCTTCTGTGTACGCCTTCTGATCCCTGCCAGCCGGTCTTGCAACCGTGGGAACAATTTGCGCCCTCGTCGCCACGTGGGCTGGTCCTTTAGCTATTGTTGTGGCTGTCGCTGGATTGATCATTTTCCTTGTTTGGTTCTTCGCACTCAAAGGTACATCCTGGTACTCGGTACGATATACTACCACTAAGTTGGCTATATGATCCCCTGAAGAATCTCGTGAAAGATTTCATCAATGGAAAGTTCAGAGACGCAGGGTTGTATCGAGACTTTTTGATCGTCGACCACTTCACGGTGTTCCGTGGAACCACCGACTTCCCCGTCGAGGACTGGGATCAGTTTTCAAGGACAGAATTCTGGCTATTTACAACTCGCTGATACCGGACAATCAATCAGTCTTGCCACTGTTGTCGATTACACTCTTAATACTGTGTGGGAACTCGAAATTGATGAGAAAGGTCAAAGTTTAATTGACACTGCAACATACAGTGGTGTCACCAGAACTGTGTACTGCTTAGGCAGAGATGGTGACAAGGTAGTGCTAGTGCTTCGGCCTGTTAGCACGCAACCGGGCAAAGACGACTCTGAGAAGCATGTGGAAAATGCTGATAGCAAGCAAGGGGTCAAAGACGACTATGAGAAGCAGATGACCAAAGTCAGATGGAATGTGGTACTCACAGCGATTCCGGAAAGAGACCAGAACAGTCAAGAGACGAACGAACCGCCAACAAGGAGTATCGCTGAGATCTCCTGGGATAACAAGTATCTCATCGAGCATGCATCGCAGAAAGGTACACTACCTCTGTCCAGTTAAACCTCGCAGGACAGGAGACAATGGACTCTGCAATGGAGCAGCTCGGTCCCAGTCTATTCAAATATAAAAACAAGCCGTGGAAGCTCTATGCAAGCCCAATGGTAAGTCGGCGATCACAGCTTCGATTTCGGACTGACTGACTTTGTTGGACACGTTCAACCTGCGACTATGGCGCTAGCTAACTTGAGCATTGCAGGGCCATCGTAACCCCGTCGTGTTCACATTTCCCAAGGATGTCAGTGCATGGCTCACTTGGACGGTCAACCCGCAACTACCTGAGCCTTTCGAACTAGTCCACGATGGAACATACGATGAAGGAACAATCAGGATGGAGCCGGCTATGAAATCTCCCGTCCTCATGAACACGGCGTACACCTTCACTTGTTCCCTCCCATGTGGCAAAGTCAACTCCTGCACTCAGGTCGACATCAGTGTTGAGAACGACGTTTGAATTACGCCCGCCTGGGTTGCGATAGGCGTGGTTTGGCAGTCAGCGTTTAAGTTAGAATGCGCTTTCTGAAGAAAATTTTCATGAAGTCAGCCAACTGAGACATTGGAAATACCGGCGAATTGCTGGATGTAGAAATTCTCATAGGTTTTCAGGGTGGGCACAAATTCATACTGGCATAGGGACACCTTGACGCTAGTTGATAAAGCGGTTTGGGGAAGAAATGCCAAGACTTTTCCACGCTAGTCCAATAAGGGTCGAGCTGGGAGAAGGAGCTCTTACTCCTTCAATGTTCCTATGTCTTGGCGGGCGATTCTCCGCAGGTGGGGACTCTCTAGACTCCCTCACAGTCGCATGATACTTGCCCTGTGCAGAGCAACTTCGAGATGACTTTAGGTCAATACCATCCCGCCAACAGCAGACACCAGCGGGAGCAGCCCATCCTCGATTCCTGATCATGTCCTGGTGTTGAAAAGAAGCTCCCTCACTTAATGCTCCAGTGCCGCTGCCCCTAGCTCGGCTTCAAGCGCGCCAGCCTAGGAGAACGACCGCATGATGCATCCTCAAGTACCTTCAGCAGGTCAATCGTCCGTCGTTCCCTCCAAAAATGCTTTACAAGCTCTGCGCCGTTTGGCCCTATCATCTCCGGTACTCGTGGCTAGCACCATTGGCGGTGTCTGCGGTATTGCAACCTTGAACTATGAAGTCAACCGGAGAGTCCGCCTTGCTGAACAAGCCCTCGAATCCAAGAAAATCCTACGGTCGTTGTCCCATGGAAGAGGTGCCACACAACTGAATGCTATGATCGATGCTGCGGAAAGAGGCGAAGATTTCACATTGGGCACGAGAAGTACCAAGAGGAAGAAGAAGATTTCAACGAGGTCTTTCTCCGCTGTTGCTCTCCATGAACATGTGGAACCCACGCATGATATAAGGCCCGAGGACCTGCACACAGAGGTCGAACTTCAATATGTACCATTCAATCAGCCTGACCCTCACTCCAGAGGAATAAATCGACCAACGCGTGCTGCAGCTACCGCTGCAACGCATACGAATGGTGTGCACAACATAGCTGTTGAGAAGATCTTGAAAGCCAACAAGGCCCCGCATAGGTTGTCGAATCATCGATTATATGCCCATCCAAAACAGCAGCGCCGACCAGACGTCGAAAGAGCCTCGGATCTACTTCAGAATTGGCTCAAGCATATCCCGGAGGAGTCAGGTGGAGAGATCTCAGAATCTACGTCTTCCAAGGAGCCCAATCGTGATAATACACACCAAAAAGGTCGAATAAGAGGTTCGGGCTTGTACCTGAGAAATATTGCTCTGCTAGATCCCTTGCATACGCACGAAACGCCAGTCAGAGTTGAACACAATCCTCTTCGCTCTGCACCCGAAACCCCAATACCGCAATACCATCTCCACATGGCAGACCCTCGCGGCGGGTCGTCTGTAAACGAAAACGATATCAATGGAAAGTCACTCCCCGTTGATCCACTTCTCGACCAAACACATTCTGCGCCAACACCTGACCATGAGAATTCCCGCGCCGAAGGTGCGGTGCGTGGAGCGTTCCATTCTCGCGGAGATCAAGCACCTTATTTGATTGCGTACCTCGACGATGAGCGCGTGGACCAGGCTCTGAGAGACTTCCTTAGAGAAATCCCACGGCTCCCTTGGGACCCAGTTGCGATCGAGCGCTTGCTGCCAGCAGCGCCGAAAGATTTCGTCGCCCACGCAAAAAACGTCCTGGACTTGAAGACCCTCTTCAGCCTGCATCGGTTTATCCGACCAGAGAATAGGAAAATGAGGAGACACTATCAGTATCGACGCTGGCTTGCTGTCATGAGGCATTATACCAACAAGCACAGCACTCTGAACTGGGCAATCGCGGAAGCAGTGTTTTACGAACACAGGAGCTTGTTCAACTCCAAAAACCTCAATATCCGACCGGTCTTTGATCTCGTACAGTATCTCCTAGCGACAGATTCGACTTCCAGCAGAGTTCAGAACATCCTTTTCGCCAACTCAGTGCAGGGTTCAGCAGATCCAGCCGAAGTTTTGCAGCCATCTATCCAGTACTTGAACTCCTTCTGCGAAGATCAGCACACCATCCCCGAATGTCTTGAGGAGACGAGAAAGATTATTGATATTGCAAGACGACGTGGGCTCGCACCGTGCAAGGACCTTATCGTACCTATCCTCAAAGCCGTTGTCCGCTCAAAGGACCTCGAGGATGGAGAGACCGTCCTCGATCAGCTTGGAGCGATGTTCGGCAACAGTGATTCTCTCGACATTCTGGGGGAATATGCCTTTTTAAACTCATGCGAGGGTAAATGGGCAGTGGTCGAGTCTACATTGGACAAGATTCACAGCGTCAACAAATCGAGAAGTCGACCTGTTGAATTCGCCCACCTATTTCAAAAACTTCTCTTACAACACACGGCCCAGAATCCCTCAGTCCGATCCTTTGGCTTCACCGTCCATGCGATCAAGTACGCCGGGTTGATACCTACTGGGCTTATATCGAGGACACTCATCTGCGCCTGCGTCAGAGATCGCCGCTACGACTTGGTTGTCGAATGGGTGCGCTTGATCAAGGAGGCTTTTCCGCGGGTGAGTCTGGGCTTTGAACTCCTCCAAGGTGGATGGATCCTTGCGGATACCCTAATGGAAATCCGTGCCAGCTGTGAGGAAGTTGCCAAAATTTGTCTGACAATTGCTCATGGATGCCGGAAAAATCCATTTGGTCCAAGCTTCAGGGAATTTACAGTCGACCTCATCAAGTCAGATATGACTCAAAGGTTATGCTCCACCTCTGTTCAAATATCGGTAGGCAGTGCGTCGAGGGGGGATATTAGCGCGATGAGCTTGGAGCAGTTGCTCACGCTCGCTTTTGACCTCCGCAACTCATTAACGACACCAAGTTCAAACGATGTGCAAATGGAGGGACTAAAGAGTGACATTGCAACGCAGATGTCCGCAATTGCGAACCTCGCCAAAGCATTTCGAGGCGACACAAAATTATTGTTCCTTGGTAACAAAGATCAAACGGAGATTGTTCTCAAAGCTCGTCGTGATGGCGATTCCGGCCAGAAGTTGCGCGGCATGGGTATATCTAAGCGGACATTTCCAGAGCTCTTCGATCAAGACCGGCCCGTTGGGATCAGAAAGTTGACAGCCGCGCTAGTAAGACACTACGATCGGCGTGAGAGGCATGGCCTCCCTGTCGATCACTCCCTGCTGAGACAGGTCACAATGAATATCGGTCCGCAACACCCATCGGAAATCCTTGAACTCGTCGAGGCCATCTATGCGAGCGGCTATGTCCAAGGACCCAATGGGACACCATTCGACACAGACATCTTCAAAAAGTGGCTCTACTTGGTGTCGACCAATGGATCCGTCAAGTCTGCTGCAGCGGTATTGGGGGCGGTGGTCGATTCCGCCAGTCATCTGCAGTGGACTGCGCATTTCCGTCATCTATGTGAGTTTGTGACTCAGGCGGAAAGTCACCCAAATGGCAGCTTCTGGGACGAGAAGCAATATCCCAAGAAGCCCGAAGACGAGGGACTGAAGTCGCTGTATGAGGAGATCAAAAGGATATGGGTTGGTGTGTGGAAGCAGAGGAAGGAGACGTTCCGGTTCCCCGAATGGAAGGGCTGGGAGATGGAACTGATGTAGTTTTGAAATAAAGTATGATATACATTCTCCTTTGTCCATTCGAGACCAGTCTCTCTGTAAGACGGGAATATGGCGGAGTTTGCGGCCGCATTTGTCCGACTTCCTGCCCGAGATCGCAGTCGATCATAGAGGTAAGAATACATACATCATCAAGGCGAGTTGTCTAGGGTACATATATGTTCAATGTCCCACTACAAGAACACATTCACCATCATCACCGTCATCTTTCTTTTCCATGTGTGATACTGCTCATTCCAATCTGCAGCAAGAGTCTAGTCCGTGCGTGAGGCCTTCTTTTCCACCCACCAACCATGGCGGAGGCGGCAAAAGAGCAGGAATCGGCGTCTGAGCGAGGCCTCCTCCTCCTCCTCCTTCCCGCTCAGACATTACAAGGCAAAGTTGCGATTGTGTCTGGCTCGAGCAGAGGGCTCGGTGCTGATATGGCGCTGGATCTGGCCAAGAGGGGCGCAAAGGTCAGTCAGTCACTCACTCAGTTACCCAGTCACGGCATATATAGTTCCATCACGTCGAGGTTCTTTGCCCGTTCCCTCTTGGGCTATATGCATACATCCGTCCCAGCGGACTGAGGGTCTGGAAAGGGGGGAAAGTCTTTTGAACTTTTGCTTTTCGGTCCCTCGTCCCTTTTCATCCTTGCGGTCGGTGGCTGTTTGGCGGAATGGAAAGGCATTTGACGATGCCAATGGACCTGACTCTCTTATCCTCCCTTTTCCTGTTCAGTCCCCGGCATCACATGTACCTCCTTGACCTTGCCCACTGGTTGTGCATTGCTCTTCCCTCCCATTATCTCACACCCATCACGCTCCCAGGTCGTGATCATATACGCCTCGCCGTCCTCCACCCCCAAGGCCGACACGCTCGTCCAGACAATCAAGGACCTCCCGAACGAATCCTCTGCGATTGCCGTGCGCGCGGACCTCTCACAGCCGTCCGCTCCAGCGGAAGTCGTCAAGCAGACGCTCTCAAAGTTCGGGCCGCACATCCACATCCTGGTCAACAATGCCGCCGTGCAGATCACGCGGGCGCTCGCCGACATCACCCAGACGGACTACGAGCGCGTCTACAACGTGAACGTACGGGGCACGATCCTGCTGACCCAGGCGGTACTCCCGCACCTCGCGCCCAGAGCGCGCGTTGTCAACATCTCCAGCGTAGGCGCGCGCGCCGGCTTCGCGGCGCTGTCGCTGTACACGTCCAGCAAGGCGGCGCTGGAAGGGCTCACGCGCTCGTGGGCAGCAGAGCTCGGCAAAACAGGCACCACCGTCAACTGCGTCGCGCCCGGTCCCGTGCAGAGCGAGATGCTCGACTCCATCCCCACCCACATCGTCCAGATGCAGATGGACAACACCCCCCTCGAAAACAGAGTCGGCACTCCCCAGGAAGTCAGCAATGTCGTCAGCTGGCTCGCCGGGGACGAGAGCGCGTGGGTCACTGGGCAGGTGCTGAACGTTAGCGGCGGGTGGACAATGTATTGAACTTGCGCGGAATTCCTCGGGTGATGTCCATTTTGGAGGGAAAGGGAGACTTTTGGAATGACGAAGCAGAAGGAAATCAGAGGATGTACACGGGTTTGGAGATCGGAGCAGGGCTATAGACATCCCTTCAAGAGGCCAGGGACAGGATAAATGGGGGGTCTAGAACAAGACCGGAGTGTCTCGAATGGAAAGCATAAGCGCAGTGTCATGACAGCCTTGTGAGAAGTGATTGCTCTGTATGGATTTTATTTTTAGGTTAAGAAATAAGTTTGTTTTCTCACCATAATGCCCTTATCGTACAGTCGGCAGTATCTTTGCATGCTGGCCAGCAAAGAACTTTTTCTGCTCCAGGCACCTTTCGCTAGTGCACCCTTGACATCTCAGCCCCATCTGTCTAGAACAGCTCTCGCCACTCATCAGATGCTTGTGCGCAATATCTGCCAGTGCCTGGATGAATACCGGGTTGTCGTTGAGACTCTCTGCGCGCTTGACGCCTGGGTGGCCCTTCGCATCTTCGTGCATGACCTCCTTGTCGATTTCGTACAGTGTTTCGATATGGTCGCTCGTGAAGGCAATAGGAACCAGAATGATATCTGTTTGCCCTCGCTTCATGTATTCCTTGACAGTATCGCTTGTCTGAGCGCCCAACCACGCAGAAGGCCCGACTTGGGATTGCCAGCAAAGTCTGTAGGGGTGGGAGTGGCCGAGTCGATTCATGACGGCGTGCACTGTTGCCGCGACTTCGGCTGGGTAAGGATCACCTCTGTTGACGACGCTCATGGGGAGACTGTGTGCTGAAAATAGGATCACCACGTCTTTCTGGCGCTCTTCGGGATATTCGGCCAATTTAGCTTCAATGTTCTGCGCGAACGCCTCGACCAACCCCGGGTGTGTGGGCCAGCGATCAATCACGCTCCATGTTATTGCTCCCTCTGGATCGACCTCGCCGGTCGTCGCTCGTTTGCCTTCGAGTCGGTTCCGCCATTTCCACAATTCGTTCAACGAACTTCCCGTCGTGGAACAGCTGTATTGAGGATACTGCGTGAATGCCACCGCTCGACCTCCCTTTCCGCCACCAAACCCATCTTGTAAAAGCTGTTCATACATATGCTCCGTCAAGGGATTCGCGTATCGAAACGCGACATAGGGTTTATGTGGTGCCGTCTCCGGGGACAATTTGTCCAAGATCTTGCACATTTCTGAACATTGGTGCTCTGACCATTTTCGTATTGGGGAACCGCCGCCGATGGCGAAGTACTGTTGTTGTATCTTCGGGGTGCGGCGACGAGAGATGAGGGGCCCTAGGTAAGGTTGTAGCGGGCCAAGGGGGATGAGGTCTCGGTCGGCGAAGAGGCGGGAGAGGAAGTCGCCTACTTCTGAGGTGTGCGAGGGACCGCCCATGTTCATAAAGACCATTGCTGTCGGACCCTTCGAACCCGTGGAATCTTGAGTCACCGGGGGGGTGGCCGTCGCCATCGAGGTGCTCTGCAGAGCCAAGGGAGCTGCGAAGCCATTGTTGACTGAGGGCGTAACTCCCGCACGCTTTGTGGCCAGCTGGCGGGCGAGGTGGCCTGTTGAAGTGCGCAACGACATGTTTGTATTTTGGCGCAATAGTCCTGTTGTTACCGAGCCATGAGAAGCGTCTAGAGCAGAATAGCTACGGCGGGGAGTAAAACTGTCAGTCGAAAGAAGCTTTCCCTCTGGAACCCAGCTGATGAAGTTTTTTTTGCCGCTGGTCGGTCATGAAGAACCAAAAGTTCTACAAGGTCGATGATGATGATGACGATGACGAGGACCACTCATTGTCGCCTCGCCTCGCCTCGCATCCAGCGGAATTGTAGCCGTCCACGTGACAGCGCGTGTTTCAGCCTTGGGCGCGCCTCTTTGGCTGCCTTCGGCCTTCCAGTTGGCTGGTTTGCATTACATCAATATCTCGGCGAGGGTCTCCAAATCCGTTCCTGCTATCCCCGCGCAAAGTTAGAACCATACCTTCATCGGTCTCGATGAATGCACAGTATGGGTGACAATCTGCCATACCGACCAAAGGGCGATCCGGACGAGGCTGGGCGGAATGACGACCCGGATGATGAGGAAGAGGAGATGGACGAAACTGGCTACAAGACTGTGAGAGATGCGGTGCTGTTCGCCATCGAGGTCAACAAGTCCATGCTCAAGGTGCCACGATCATCATCTGCCTCGAAAAAGTCCGACAACAGTTCTCCCCTTTTGGCCGCCTTGAAATGCGCATACCATCTAATGCAGCAGCGCATCATTTCGACCCCAAAGGACCTCATGGGAATCCTGCTCTATGGCACGGAGGCCTCCAAGTTCTACGACGAAGACGAAAATTCCAAGGGAGGCTGGTCTTTTCCTCACTGCTATCTTCTCACAGACCTTGATGTGCCTGAAGCGGAAGATGTCAAGGCCCTCAAGGAGTTGGTCGAAGCAGACTCTCCAGAGTCAGCCGACTTCATCAAGCCGGCAAAGGAGCCCGTTTCGATGCACAACGTTCTCTTCTGCGCCAACCAAATCTTCCAACAGAAGGCTGCCAATTTCACCTCGCGCCGACTGTTCATTGTCACGGACAATGATGACCCTCAATCATCCAACAAGGAGTCTCGGTCCCAGGCTACTGTGAGAGCTAAAGATTTGTACGACTTGGGAGTGACCATTGAGCTGTTCCCCATCTCAACCTCCGACCACACTTTCGACACGAAACTTTTCTGGGACGACATCGTCTATCGAGCATCCCCTTCGGACCCTGATGCGATTGCGTACAACCCACCTTCCATTGTGGATGCCGATGGCTCAAAGTTGGTGACTGGTGCTGGTGACGGCATCTCCTTGTTGCAGTCCTTGCTATCCACCATAGCATCCAAGGTTGCGCCGAAACGTGCGCTGTTCTCTTCCGTCCCGCTTGAACTGGCACCAGACTTCAAGATATCTGTGAAAGGATACTTGCTCTACAAGCATCAAAAGCCTGCCCGCAGTAGTTATATCTATCTCGGGTCAGAAAGACCCCAAATCGTAACTGGATATACGGAGCAAGTCGCAGACGATGAACGTGATCGCAGAACAGTCGAGAAGGCCGAGATTCGCAAGGCGTACACCTTTGGGGGAGAGAAAATCACGTTTTCTGATGAGGAAGTCAAGAAACTCCGTGATTTTGGGCCGCCTGTGATACGGGTGATCGGGTTCAAACCGATGTCCAGACTGCCAATGTGGGCGAACATGAAGAATTCGACCTTCCTCTACCCATCAGAAGAAGACTTTGTTGGCAGCACACGTGTATACAGCGCCTTATACCGCAAACTGTCTCAGGATCAGTTATTCGGCCTAACATGGTTTATCCCAAGGAAGAATGCCGCACCAGTGATGGCTGCCATGGTCCCGACCCTCACTGCTGAGGGCAGCGATGACAAGCCCAATGCTGCGGGAGTATCTGTCACCGGCGCACCTCAGGGCTTACATTTGATTCCTCTACCGTTTGCAGACGACATCCGACAGAATCCACTCAACACTCATGAAACACCGCTGCGTGCGCCGGATGAGCTCGTTGACGCGATGATGCCTATCATTCGTGAGTAGCGATACCCTTACCTGAACCAAGCTCACCTCTGTTGGAATTCTGACTGAATAATTAGAGCAACTAAACCTTCCCAAGGGCATCTATGACCCCTCAAAATACCCCAACCCCAGCTTGCAGTGGCATTATCGAATCCTCCAGGCCCTAGCTCTTGATGACGAGATTCCAGAAAAGCCCGAAGACAAGACGATACCGAAATTTCGCCAGATTGACAAACGAGTAGGAAATGAGACGATAGAATGGGACAAAGTTTTGAAAACGGTCTACAAGCAGTATCGGGCGGAAAACCCAGATTCGGTGCCTACGGGATCGAAGAGAACTACCACGAATGGAGCAGCTGCGTCGTCGAGCACAGGAAGCAAGAAGGTCAAGATGGAGACAGGGAGCGGGTTAGATGAAGCAGAGATTCGGGGGCTTTGGCAGAAGGGCCAACTGGCGAAGCTGACGGTTGCCGAGCTGAAGGATTTTTGTGGGATGAAGAAGATTCCTGTCGGGGGGAAGAAGGCAGATATTGTGGAGAGGATCGAGGAATGGCTTGAAAACAAGTGATTCGCAAAAAGGACATGGACGGGTTTGTCGAGTCCTTAAAATGATATGATACCCCAGTTAAACTGTATTGTTGCCGGCATCATCAGGTTATCCAAATCCCAAGACGTGGTGTGGTTAATGTGTGGTCAATCATTGCAGTCCCAGCCACAATCTCCCGAAGAGCGAGACCGACACTGCACCCAAGATCGACTACAGATGAATTGATCTCCATTCCAATAGACGATTTCCGTACATCATGGATCACCGCTTGGAAGTAGTAACCTCGTAGGAATGCTTTTTGAAGGAACGTTGGTATTTTGCGTTGTTCATATGAAGGAAAAGGAGAAGAGGAGGAGGGAGCGAATTCGAACGCAGATAAATTTTGTGCAGGGACCATGTCGGAAACGGTTAGACTGGCCACCAATTCACTCGGTATAGTTGCCTTTGGGCTAGAATGGATAAATGCCAAGATAATTAGAGGCGCTAGTGAGCAGCATTAGTGCCTGCAGGAAATGACGTTGGGGACTTCCTTGGACTTCCAGCTGCGGAATCCACCTCGCCGCTCGTCAAGATGCGAACAGCGCATGTGCTCCTGGTCAACCGGTCCACTCTCTCGTAACCCATTTCAGACGACGGCAAAACCAACTGACTGTATGGCGTTCGACGTCCTGCTACCTGTCCTTCTCTAATCTTTGCTGAGCGCAATGGCACGGGTGCCCTTCATTGGCAGGCTGTTCTGGTGGGTTGTCTCAAGCCCTTGGTTTCTTTGTGAAATGTCCGTGACTGACGACTGGTTGACTAGGAGAGAGTACCTGGCCCTGTTTGGATCTCTGATACTCGTTGCTCTCGAGGTCCTCGTTCGAATCATCACGCTGGGACTTCCTCAACCTATCATTCGATTCTGCTACAACACTTCGAAGAACTTGTTCAACCGGCTGTCTTCGCAGAAGTCCCGACAAGCCCGCTCCCAGCGCAAACATACATACAGTTCAATAGCCACATGCTTTGATTTCACCGAACTCTGTGCTCTATTTGGATACTATGCCGAGGAACATATTGTTCAGACAGGAGATGGATATTTGCTGGGTGTCCACAGACTGCCCTTTCGGAAAGGCGAAGAGCATAATGGAATCCAGGTCAACGCCGGAGCCGACTCGACCAGAAAGCCCGTGGTCTACCTCCATCATGGCCTGCTCATGAATAGCGAGGTTTGGGTTTGCCTCACAGAAGAGGAACGGTGCCTGCCATTCACGCTGGTCCAGCAGGGTTATGATGTTTGGCTGGGCAACAATCGAGGCAATAAATACAGCAAGAAATCCACGAGGCACTCGCCTATATCCCCACGATTTTGGAACTTTTCCATGGATGAGTTCGCCTTCCACGATATTCCCAACACAATCGACTATATCCTTAACACCACGTCACAGCCTTCGCTCTCCTATATCGGCTTCAGTCAAGGCACTGCACAAGCATTTGCAACACTCTCCATCCATCCCCAACTGAACGAAAAGGTCAACCTTTTCATTGCCCTGGCGCCAGCCATGTCCCCTGCCGGGCTCAGCAATGGTATCGTGGATGCCCTCGTCAAGACCAATCCTCACCTCCTCTTCCTTGCATTTGGCCGCAAGTCGATCCTCTCTTCGGCCACCATGTGGCAATCTATTCTCTACCCGCCCATTTTCGTCCGCCTTATCGACATGTCTCTCTCCTTCCTCTTCGCCTGGTACGGCCGGAACATCAGCGTGCAGCAGAAGCTCGCTGCATACCCACACCTGTACAGCTTCACCAGCACAAAGTCCGTTGTGCATTGGTTCCAAATTATCCGTAATAAATCTTTCCAGATGTACGATGACGATAGTTCCAACAGGTTCAGCATTGGCGCCAGCAATCGATACTACAAAGTGGCCAAATTCCCGACGAGAAATATCAAGACGCCCATCGTTTTGGTTTATGGGGGAAGCGACTCCCTGGTCGATATTCGTGTCATGCTCAGGGAATTACCTCGCCACACCATTGCGACGGAGATCCCTCACTTCGAGCACCTTGATTTCCTCTGGGCGCAAGACGTCCATACGCTGGTCCACCCGCATGTGCTAGAAGCACTTCGCTACTATGCCCAAGACAGTATGACAAATGGCGTTCCAAAGGCTCTTGCCCTCTCTATCGGCGACACGGCACAACTTCACCGCCGGCAGAATAGCAACGGCAGCGCCATGAACTGGTCTGAAGACGAGTCTGCGGGTGGATATTCGGACTTTGACGGTGGGGTTGATTCACCTCGCACGCCGAGAGTTAAGAGTTATGCTCAGCAGCAGAGAGAGAAGCAGTATTTGCAACCATCGCCTGGCCAAAATCATCCAACTTCTCATTCGCCCTTGCAATATCAGTATCAATATGCCTCCCCTACTCCGAACAGACCTGTGACTGGAGGCTCGATGACATGGATGGAGAACTACTATAAATTCCCAAAAAAAGAAATGCAGGCCACGACGGAGGGCGTGGGGACGAGTAGTGGTCTTGGGAATCACGCTGAAGCAGATTCACTTCAGGAGGGGGTGCAACAAGAGAGTGAAAGGCAACAAGATGATGAACAACAGCGACAAGAGCATGATCAAAGCCCGATGGGCACGCTACGACGCGCCTCAGACGACGTCCCCCGAGACGCTGAATTTGGAGGGGTGCTTTCAACTTCTCGATCCCTCGTCCAAGATGCCGACTCTGCCAGTACTGTTTCCACAATCCGCAATCGGGCCAGTGCCTCCACTGCCGCTCCTGCGACTCCGGCGCATCGAGCGACCCTCAACACCGATGCAGACAGTGCATCAGGAAGTGGAAGTACAAGCGTCAGCGGAAACGAAAACAGACACCGCTCAACATCTGCTGCTGGAAGTGTTTCGAATACGAGCGGGCGCACGACACCGGTAAGTAGAGGCACGCCGCCTAGTTTCACAGCGAAGGGCATTCGTGTGGGGAGTTCCAGACCGAGTGTGAGTGCGGCTATGCCCTGACATGTCGAAGGAGCAGGCAAAGTGGAAATAAGTTGAGAAACTAGGCTCCACTGCTCTGCAGCGAAATTGGGTTTTGTGCTCACAGGGCACGGTTGGAAAATATGGAATATAAGCGGCGTACGCAAACATAGTACAGTACAACTTGAAAACGGTCAAGACACAACAAATATGCCTGGCTTTGAGATGGATATCGAGTAATTCCCTTGTACACACCCAGTCCTCAGTCCTGCTCTCATCCGACGTAATCTATCTATGAACCGATGCACGGGAAGAGAGCCTTGCTTGCGGTGCCGTGCCTTCCTCCTAGCAAGGACATTGATACCTAGGTCTTAACACCTATCTAGACTTGGTACAGTCCTCTGTACTCGGTAGTAGGGACTTGATACTCCATTCTTGATGCTCGTATTTCATATTCATATTCATATTCATCCTTACGCTCCTGGCAATGCATGTGTGGAAAGGATGCTCTGTTGGATGCTCCGTGTGGCGGGGATAGGACCATTGAATAGATTCCAGGCTACCGGCCGTCCAAGTTATACGGCGTATGGGACAGGGAGTACGGAGTACGGAGTACGGGCGGACATGATAATAGCAACAGTGATAGTAACAGTACTGATAATATCTTATACCTCTAGATAGGTATGTATGTATGTAGGTATGTAGGTAGGTTCTTGTTTAGGACCAGAGACCAAGCGTGAGAGTCATACCGAACTCTCCTCTTTTTCCTTCCTCCCCTTTCCCTTCCATTTTCCCAGTGCTTCGCTGCGTGCATGCATGCATGTCTATGTCCAAGACAGGGTGGAATCTCTATGACTCCCCCTTCTGCCGCCCCAAAAAAGAACGCCGGCAATGCCCAAATATCATCCATATGTCTATCCATAACTCCTGCGCAATGCACCGCAAAGAATCATGCTCAAATTCGTCATCGCGTATCCGTCATCAGTTCATCAAGCGTGAAGTGACATGACATGACGCGCATTCCCTCTCCAGATGTATGGACCAAGGTGCATATGCACAAGGGCTTGCAGCATTAAAAATCCCGTTTTCTCGTCGGTGCGTTTCAACAAGAAGGAAACAAGACGAGGGAAAGTGAAATTGAAAAAAAAAAAGAATCGCCTTATGCGACAAGCGCAGCGACAGCCACAACAGCAGCTACCATGGCAGCCATTGGTCGTGCACTCCCCTTGTCCTGAGAGCCAGCGTTTCCGAGTCCGGAGCTAGACGTGGCCTCGCCCAGCCTGGCTCCTGCGGTACCCGCAGACACATCCGTGACAGGAGTGGCCACTGGAGTCGCGTTGGGCACAGCTTTCTCGCCCACTGTGATTTCCTGGACGTTGTTGCTCGTGGAATTGAAGACTGTTTGGGCGAGGGAGATTTCATTGTTCGCCAAATCGTAGACCACGTAGGCGCTCCTCAAAAATGTGTCTCCAAGGACCGCCATTCCGCCTTGAGCGGGGGCGATCCCGAACAAGCAGGCCTCCTCACCGTTCTGGAAGGTCATGGGTTGCCCGAAGTTATTCACGCTCGCGCCGAGGAATAGCTCATTGTACGGTACGCGAATGGTTTGGCCGGAGAAGGTGAAGTCGATCGTAGCCGAAGAGGAGGACAAACTGCAGGGCGCATAGGCAGCGCCAACGTCAGATTGATATACAGCTTGGACTTGGTTGTAGATCTCCTGGGTGATGTCGTTGGGCAAGTAGGAGAGGGTGGCGCCGGAGTCGAGCAGGACGGCAGCGGGCAAGGAGGAGGAAGAGGAGAGGTCGGAGCCGGCGCTCACCAAGCCAGTAAGGGCAATGGCGAGTTGGAAATAAACCCCGTTGCTAGGGATGATGGGTATTGTAGCGAGTTCTCCCTCATATTTTTCGGTGTTGACGCCACCGAAAAGGATCTCACCAGTCGAGGCCTCCAGATCATTCAGCCAAAGGCTGTAGGCGTTGGAGGCGATGTGGCCGGCTTTGACGAGTGCTTCGGGCAAGTTTGGGTAGGCGTCCATTCCCGCATTTTGAACCTGGACTTCATTGGACATGTAACCAATTCCCAGCACGCCTTGTTGCGAAGAGGATGTCTGGCCAATGCCAAATTGGAAGTCTGTCAGGGTGATGCCGCCGAATTCCAGGCTGTCAGCCACGTAGTCACCTACCGCTCCCGTGCCGTCGACATAGGAGATGTTGAACTGGTCATTGATGAGCTTATAGGTAGACGAGGCCGAGGAGTCGTAGGTACCGCCCTCACAGGGATCCTGACTGGACTCGCAGAAGGAAGAGCTGGCAGTGTTGACCCATAGATCGGAGCTGCCCGTGTCGATATGCAGGCGCAGAGGCTGGGCGGGTGTTCCCAGCGTAATGTTAGCATAGTAGAGGGATTGTTCATTATCCAGGGTCTGCTCGACAGTGTTTTGCGTCTGTCGTTTTCTCAAGCGAGATCTTTCATGGGCGAGGACATCGGGGACATGTCTTCTCTGTAGCGGCAGGCTGATGGTTCTAGGCGAAGAGCCGGAGCGGGGAGTGAGGTGGATGGCCGAGACAAGAGGGGCAGCCAGGGCAGTGGCCAGGGCCACGACTGCGACTAAGGTTTTCATTTCTTTTGTGTATCCTTGCCCGGTCTTCTGCTATTTCTTGCAGCAGAAACAAAAGGGGGATCTGTTGGGCCTCCAGTCACAATTAAAGAACCTCTGCCTTTTGCCCTCCTTTTATTTCCTTCCCAAGGAGCTGAGGGATGAGCGGTTGGGAGGGGACTAGGCGAGACGTTGAGGGCTGGGTGGGATTAAGCGAGAAGAGGGACCCAGCAGTGCGTGAAGAGAGAGCCACCTAAGAAATACTGGGAAGCGAGTGACGCGGCTTGCAGAACGACGAGAACAATTAGGAAAGAATATGCAGAGTAGTGAGAGATGCGAGGAACAGGAACAGTAAAGTCAAGAAGAAGCAAACCAAGAAGCGGGACGAGGCATTGTACAAGTAAATATGGCCTCAAGCTGAGAGAAGAGAGAGTTTTCGAGCTGTAAGCATCATGGCGCAGTGCGGTGCAGAGCAGTGCAGAGCAGTGCAGAGCAGTGCAGAGGGCCGGCTAGTTTGGTAGGGCCTGAGGCCTTGATTGTTTGCATCTGCGCCGTTCCGTCCATTGATGATGTATTGTGCCCTTTTCCACGGCCACGCATGACGCCGAATGGTGCGAGTTGATGGGGATTTGATGGAGAAACTGAGGTGAATCAGTGGAGTTTTGGTTCGCAGCAGGTTACGTGGCTCTCGCCAAGTCTCGGTCTGCGCCTGCGCCTTGCGGTCCTCTCTCTCTCTCTCTCTCTCTCTCTCGGCTCTCGCACGCAACCTCAGTGTCGCAAGAACATCAACCAGCCACCTGCACACCGGCGACGAGGTGCTCTTCCCCTATCTCGGTACCTAGGACCCATACTGAGCACAGCTGCTCGTCTCTGTAATGGCCCATGGCCGTTCTTAGGAAGAATCAATCCTCTCATCTTGGCCAAACCGCGTCCTCTTTTCCTAAGGTGCAAACACCCACGCAAGCAGCCCGCCCGCATCCTCCCTGACAAGAATTCGCACCCCGAGAATCAGGCTGCCAGCAGCAGTAGCAACAGCTACCGAGTACTCCGGAAGGGGCTGGTGTTGCTAAGGTGGTAGCCGGCCGTCGGGTCAGTGATGCTAAATTTGGGCGACGCCGCCCCTCGACTCCGCGTTTGATGCCACCTCAGCCCCCCCGCGCACGGCTTAGTGGCCCTACGAGTACCGAGTGCGAAGTACCCAGTACCTATTCGGTAGCCTGAGCAAAATTCACCCCAAGCGATTGGGCCAACGGCCTGCTTTGCTACAAACCTCCGTCGTGCCTGCTGGAACAACGAGAATCATACAGTACATGTACCTTACAGATTACAGATCGCGAATCCACAGGTCACAGGTCACAGATCACGGGTTCACGGCCCAAGGCCACGGCCACGGCCACGGCGCTCACAGACTCTTGCGATTATCGGGATTATATCTTGCGTATTAAACAAAGATGGTGGTGGTAAACGGCGTACTCCCGCACCGAGTGCTCGTACTTGCAGAGAACGGACAGCGCCGCGCTCAGAGTACGTACCCTCCACACCCAACGTTCCTCCAGTGTCGAATGGGCCGCGTATCTTCCAGTTCGACGCACCACCACAGGATCTCCTTCGCTCGGTCCACCTCGCCACCCAACTCATGAGCTCTCGCCAGCGCAAACCACGCTTCCGAATTGTCCCAACCGGACCCCAATTTGGTCAGTGTCGATAGCAATCCGTATGCCCTGTCGCGAGCTGCCAGTCTGTTGAGGTTCTCGGGCGTCTTCTTAAGATCCTCTTCTCTCACCGACGAAGTGCTCGTCGCTCCCAAAGGCGTGGCTGCGTTCGCGGCTTGACCATCCAGCTCAAACCAACCGCCGGTGGTGGCGCCTGTCGAGATTCGGCTCCATTCTCGCTTGTGCTTCGGCCGACTGGGTTCGTCCTGCTGTTGGAACTGCTGTGATTCTTCCGTTCTTGCTTTGCCGTTGTCAATCCGCCGTGCTAGCTCCACTTTGCGTTCGTAGTAGTCCAAGAGCACATTACTCAGGCCCACGATCCCTCCGGCGTGGTCGGCAAAGTACATCAGACACTGCTCATAGTTGTCCACCGCCTCCCGTATTCCTTCAGAGGACACAGCGCCTTCTTTTTCCTCGCGAGCTCGGGCAATCGCCATTAGCAACTCAGCTCGCTCACAGTACACGTCAGCCCAAAGCTCGTCCGAGCTATTCCCGCCGCCGCCCCATCCACCGTCACTGAATGCCCGTGCTGAACTTTCCACGCTGGCAACCATGCCCTCAATCTTCAAGGCCACTTTAGCCGCCTCGTCGCATGCTTCCCGCGAGTCGTCAAACATGTTGCCTCTTCGGTATAGCGTCGCAATAATCAGCCAGATTTTGACCAGTATACTCAGAGCATGCCTCTGAGATGCCGCTCGAGGGAACCGCGGTATGGGATCCGTCCGCAGTGTCCCCGGTCCCACGACGGGCAATCGGACATCTTGCTCAGGAGGTTGATCTTGGTGTTGCGCCGGTGGTGGCACCTTCTCGTGCGCTGCGAGGTTGTGCGGGATGTCCTTGAGGGGTTGTTTGGCTCCTTCACTCGCATCATGATCCGAAGACACGGGCACCTCTGGAACATCGGCCGAATGAATGGTTTCCAATTGGGGCCTCAATTCGGGTTGAGCAGTTTCCGCCGTAGCCTCCGAGCTGAGAACCGTCTCCTGCGTGGTCTCAAACGATTGTCTCGTGCTTGATGGATGACTCGGCTCCTTCCTTCCTCGACTCAGTGATCTCGAGGTCCTTGGCCTCGGACCTTTCGTGGGCAGCGGAGCTGAAGAATGACGCTTCCCTTCTTTGCTATGGTCGTGGAGATGGAATATTTTGTGCTTGTGCGGCGATGGCTTCCCGTCTTCATTGGTGACCTGGATCGTTGGTGCTTGGGTTGTTTCGGTCGCTTGAGTCGCTTGGGTGCTGGGCCGTATTTCTTCCGCTATTGAAGGAGCGATATTGATCGGCACTCCTTTGGACGACTCGCTCGATCTTCCCATTCTTTTTCGGTGAAACAGCTTGCCGGGAAGACTCCTTACTGTGCCACCCGAACTTTTGGGTGGTTGGATCGATCTTTTTCTGGATGTTTCTTCGCTGATAGCGATCACGCCGTGTCGTCCAAACAGCCGGGAATATAATGCAAGCAAGTCGTTGCTGTTGTTGACGGCATGCTCTGGACCTTCCATAAGCTCCGTCAATGCAAGTTCTGTGATGCGAATCTCGATGATTTTCTGCAATTCGTCACATTCCATATCGTCGACCAGCCCGACTTTCCGATAACCACTGACCAATCTTCCACCGACCACCGAACCGTTCGGGAAATCGCCAAAGATTATCTCTGGAGGAGAGAATTGCTCGAATGCCGCCACACAGCTCTGATTTGCCGTCTCAAAGTTCTGCCGCGAGGTAAGAAGAAGAGATAACAGATGCCAAAATGGCAGCAACTGCCGCTGCACGCTGTAATTGCCGTCTTCCTCAAGTTTCTCCGTTTCCCAAGCCAGGGCTTTCTTCACAATCGCAATCGCTTTGTCAATGTCTCGTGTCTGCGCGAGCAGTTGGCTTAACGCATACAGGGTGCGCAGTTGCTTTGCTGGCGGGAGATCTTGTGCTGCCGCCTTCTGCAGACATTCAATCGCAGCAGTTTGCAAGTTCGTCCGATCCTCGTTGAAAGGCGTCCATCGAGCCCACTGGGCTTTTCCTATGCCAATGGCTCGGTAGACAGCCTCTAGCAAATCGGCGGAGAGACGTGGAGGAATTGGCTTTTCTCCGTTGACTTCTCCATTCGTTCTCGCTGCAAAGCCATTGGGAATAGAATTCGTAGGAGGCAGCTCAAGCTCCTCCAAGAGATCTTGGAGCTTGTCGCACAGCTCCTGCGCTTTTTCCGCCTCAACATGACGTCCGAAAGAGCACAGGCCCTCAATTCCTTCTGCGATGGTTTTCATAAAGACTTCATCGCTGTCTCTGCTGGTCGTCGGAGTTTCATATTTAGCAGCGCCCGCCCGCGCCCGATCCATTAACTCGATGTAGGTGTCCAGAGCCTTGTAAGCCAAGTCGAAGTCTGTCAAGGCTTTGTGTACTTGAAATAAACGGCGTAGGATTAGAGTAGAGTGAAATGATTTTGCGGCCGCTCGATAAAGCATGTCGAGCACGTTTCTACCGCATGAATTGCGACCGCCTTCGCCCAGGTCCGAGTCCGACCAGTGAGGACCGCAAAGGATTTGCCAGTTGCGAATGAATTCTTCCACCCACGTTTCTATGACCGTATTGGATTCAGTGGCTTTCGGAAATTGAACGTTTTGTAAGAGTTCATTCTCATAAGACGTTTCCACACGCCGTAACTCAAATGCCAAGTCAGAACGTTCGATAGAGACATGGTGAGCCATTCCTTGTCTGTTTTGCAGAACGCCGGACAGGAATCTGTAATAAGCTCCCCATGTCTCAAGCTTCGACAGATGTCCTGGACCGTTGCCGTAAGTTGAGGCCGATACCTCGTGGTCCTTGACCGCAAGAACAGCCCAATGCCGGAATGCTTGGAGCCTGAAGGAGGCCGACTCGTGATCACTGATAGTGGCGGGGTCCGCAACTGACAATCTCTGGCCCAGCGCAACCCGAGCAAGCAACTGTTGTGCCCAATAGAGGAGTTGAGGGGTGGAAACGACGAGGCTCCTATTAGCATCTAGCCAAGGGAGCAGAGAGTCTTGGATTTCTTTTGCCTCCTTGTGCTCGCCAGCTTGTACGAAGAGCATTCCTCTGATGTAAACCGCTTTGACCACGCAGATCTTCGTCCATGTCGAAACGGCGTCTGCAGCGGTTCGCACGGGTTCGAAGGTAACAGCGGGGACTTGACGGTCTGTTTTGTGTGCTCCCACCCAACGCGCCCAAAGCAAGCATGTCTGGCCTTGTACCACCTCTTCAAATGGATGTCCTGTTGCACAGAGTTCTTCTTCGAGGGAAGTAGCTTGGGTATCTGGGACAGGCTGGTTCGTATGGGCAGTGCCGGGTCTTCGGGTTGGCGCAGAAGCGTAGTTGGCGACGTCGTGTTCGAACCTTGCAACCCGTATCAAGCCTGTCTTGAGGGTTAAGACTGAATCCGAGTACTAGTTTGGGAGGCGTACATTTTCGATCAGGGGCATGTTTGGTAACTTTTCTTATGAGCTCTGGAAATTCTTTCCACTGGCCGGCCACGCGCGCCGCCTCCAAAAGGCCGATATAGCGCTGGGCTTTTTCATGATGCATCTGGAACTACGTTAGCCAGGCATCCACAAAAGTACCAGGAATGCTGGGACAAAGTACACTCATTCTGGGAGACGCGGAGATAGACTTGTGACTATCAGCGTCCTATACTCGAGTCATGGTTGCGAACATGTTGTAGCAGCTCCATCAGACGTGTCTCTGCTAGTGGCATCCCGGCGCGAGGTTTACACAGCGAAATGCCAGTTAAACAAGCATAAGGGGGAGAAGTGGAAGTTGAGGTGTTGTGCACGGCGCTGTGGCCGCCAATGCGCGATGCGGTCATTGGGGGCCGTAGGAACCGCAGTCACCACCTTCACCACTCGGGTGCCACTGACCTCGTTCAAAAAAAAAAAATTCCCGTACTTCGTACTCGGTACAGGTATGCCCCGTCCCAGCTTTCATACACCAATACGTTCTCTACACCTTTCAGCAACAGCAATGCAAAATGACGGCGCTCTGCGGGCCATCGCCACTCGTCTGAGTCTAACTCCAGTTGAAGACCTTCCTCGAATATGCGGCTTCCTCGCGACTGCGTTGGCTCAATGTCCAGTCGAACTGCTCTCCTCAGACAGCAAAGGCAGCAGCTCTTCTGTAACTGCGCACAAACTCAAGACTCGAATTAGCTCCTTGTTGCAAGACAAATCTACCGCTGGCCGACTTACCGCTGCCGTACTCATCAAGGCCATCGTTGACAATGGCGGCTTGAAGGTGCTCACTAACTGGGAAGGTTGGACTAGAGGCTTGCTCAGCTGCTTGGGGAAAGCCGAACCGTTTGAAGTGAAGAGGGTCTATTTGGTTACTGTCACTCGGATTTTGGTCCTCTCTCAGAATCAACCAGTGTTGTTGCGGGAGGTGACAACACCGCTCCTCCCGGCTTTCATAACCACTTGTCTTAGCCTCCTCAAGCCCGTTAAACCTCTTGTTGCTGAAGGCAGACCCACGGATGTTGTTCACCCCCTACTCGAGTCGGTGCTACAATGCTGGATCCAGTTGTTGCCCCAGCACGCGACGATCTTTCGTCCCTTCCTCACCCGTATCAAGCTGATTTGCCTGAGTCTCCTTGAAGACTGTCGGAGTTCGACGACTACTACAGAGCGTGCCATCCGGCTTCTATGCTTGTTATTGTCCTGCGCACCCAAGAACACAACGGCTCAGGAATGGACCCAGACAATTTCCGACCTCATCGGCAGCGCTCATCAGACTGCTGACAGATTATTCAGAGCAGTCCTCGAAGAATATGAATCCAATGATGTAACCCGTCAGAAGGCAGTCGGAAAGCATGATTTCTCCAAGGAACCGAAGACCTCAAGCGCCGACCAGGTGGGACTGGGCCCGTGGAATGGCATGCATGACGGCAGCACCAGGCTTGCAATGTTGATTGACTGGTTAGCATCTTTAGTCTCAACAGCGACGTCTCAAGCCGTCACGGTCCCTCTGGGATCTATCGTCGACTTGACTGCGCGTATACTGGCGATGACCGTACCTGGAAGCAGGTCAAGTGTACCTGATACTGTAAAGTATAACAAAGAAGCGAGCCGAGAAGAGAAGGACAATCTTTGGATTAACTTGCCTCGTCTCCACGTGTCCTGTCTTCGTCTGCTGCAGAAAATGTGCGAAACCTATGAACAGTCCTTGCTCCCCGCAAATGGAACGCTGGTCAACCACATTTTGGAATCATTTGTTGCCATGTCAGCTGATGGGAGGGTCCGGCGAGACGTCTACGCCATTTTCAGCTGCCTTCTGAGCAGCATGAACACCGCCAATCTTGTGTTGCGTGGGACTACCTTCTCAACTTTACTTGAACAATGTTGCAATGACCTGCAAAGAGGCATTCCGGAATTGGATGACCGAAGCAAAATGAATCCTACAAAAGATGGGTTCTTGAGTGCCAAATCCACTTTGTCAGTTGGTGGAGGTCCACCACTTCCGGAGAGACAGCCCGAGGTATTCCAAGCGGCTTGGAGGTTGTTGCCAGAAATTGTTCTCCATTGTCCGACATCCATGATATCCCGCCAGGCAAGAATAGAAGCGGATAGACTGTCTGTGTTGCTTGGTCATCATGATGCCATGCTTGCCAGCGTCATGCGCCCTATGCTGTCCAAGGATGGGAAGATAAGGACTGCCAGTCTGCTTCCATTTCTCGCGAGATCTGCGGCAGATACTCTTGCCATCGAGGCTTTATTAAGGCCTCGAATGCCCGTTACGCAAGTCACCGAGACTTCCACCCAGGCATCTCGTGATGCCCAAGCCCATGTCGATGATCAGAAGGAGGTCAATATGTCCGATGGGGATGGTGACATCTTGTCCATCCCCCAGGGCCCTGCCGAAGCTGTTGAGACCAGCTCCGAACGACGGATAACCGATATCGTCGGGCAACAAGACGGAGGCGAGGCCATGCAGACTTTGACGGCGAGGAAGCGAAAACTTGAGGGTGTCCAAGACAGTGATTTTCAAATGCAGACATCCATATGTGAAGATTCCGAAGTGCTGAGTTCGAGACTGTCTAAAGTGCCACGGCTCGAGGATGACGCCGTAGAAGAGACGGTATTGGAGGCGGATCGTCTGATTGACACATCTATGGCCAAACCTGTGGCCACCACAACATCTGGATTAGAAGAACTTCCCTCCAGCACGGGAGCTGCGTCTACTGGAATAGTGACCAAGATGGTTTCCCCTGGAGCCGTGGGACACAACGACAGTGACACTAGCGACTTTGAGATCCCGGAAATTGACCCCGGGTTGGACACAGACGAAGAGGATCTTGAGTAAGACGCTGTTGAGGCATCTGGCAGACACTGCTATCTAGTCCTTCATTCTTGTAAACACGAGATAGCTGTGTTCAAGCTGTGAATAAGACCAAGACCAAGAATAATCCAATATCTTGTCGTCCAAGAACTTTGGCATCTCAGATCTGCGCCAGTTCAAGGATTTTGGGCTAGCGTGTCTCGCGTGTCACGGTCAACGGCAGCATCTGCTTGCGTCATTTGATAAACAATGTTTTGGAAGCTCACTTCAGCTTCAACGCGCCTCTCGCGCGACACACAAAGGACCGATCTGGACTGATCCACACCAACCTGCTTGCTTGCTTGAGCGTGCCTTTCTCTTGTGGATGGTTGGAAGCGTGTTGAAAACTGGCTCTTACACCTTTATCGGCGCTCCACTGGTACTAGCTTCAGTCCAACATCCTCGTCAGGTCCACATCCCCAGAAGCTTCTCCCTGACCATCCACCATCGGCCATCATGACCAAAAGAAGATTACCGTCGTCGTCGGCACCGGAGGTAGTTGATCTCACCGGAGATGATGACCTCCCAGGCCGTTCTCGATCCAAGGTTCCCAAGAAGACCTCGTCTTCCTGCCCTTCTCAGGACCGTGCACCCCTTCCAACACCGCCGTCGTCAAGCCAGCCTGGATATTCCTCATACCGCCCGACCCAGCCCTACAAAGACTACACACCGAGTCTGAGCCAACAATCACGCGGCAACGGCGCCCACGATAGCTGGTCGGGCTCTACTCAGGACCAGGAAGCAGATATTGCCAGAGAAATTGATCTCACCGAAGACTTTGACGACGACGTCTACGAGAATTACCAGCTCTACGGTATCCTCAACACCAAAATTGTGGGCTGTCGATTCTATGACGGCCAAGCTACTGTGGGAGAGTATGTCAGGGTCAGACGTGAACCTAGTAATCAGTACGACAGCAATGCAATTCGAATCGACAATGTCCTCCGTGATCAGATTGGCCATATCGGGAGGAATGTTGCTGCAAAACTGGCACCCTTGATGGATTCTGGCTCGCTCCTTATCGAAGGCGCCTTGACAGGGCCAAAGACTTACTACGACTGTCCGATCGGCCTCAAGCTATTCGGCACAAACGATCCCGTTGCAGGTGCAGCTCTTGCCCGTCAAATGCAGGATCTGCATCTGCCTATCACAGAGTACAACCGTTCGGAAAGAGAACGCAAGAAGCGCCTGCAAGAATTTGAGAAGCAGCGGAAAGCCAGAGAAAAAGCCGCCGCCGCAATGCGGAAGCAAGGTACGACGGTCTTTGACAATGAGGGACCAAACAGGTATAGCAATTTGAGCGCGCCAGTGGGCATGGGAACTGAGATAGAACCAAACATGGATCAACTCCTCAGTGGGACTGCTATGGTCAATCCTCGTGATGTGCAGGACGTGGTCAACAAGCTTGCAGGAGGAGAAGAGGTGCTTGCAAACATGTCGATGGCAGACCAGCCTCGCGAGCTTGCTACAGCTCTCTTGCCCTACCAGAGGCAAGGCCTCAAATGGATGCTCGACCACGAATCTCCTGCGTTGCCCAAGAGCGCCGATGATGTGGTTCAGATGTGGAAGAAGACCGGCAAGTACTACACCAATATTGCGACCAACTTCTCCTTGAGCAAAGCCCCAGATTTGGCGAGCGGAGGCCTCCTCGCAGATGATATGGGCTTGGGTAAGTCGCCCTTGAGCACGATCAAGTCTAGTTGGCTAACTTCCTTCTTAGGCAAAACTATCCAGATTATCTCGCTCATTATGGCCGATCCTCACAAGAATGAGGATCCCACTCTTATCATTGCGCCGCTTTCAGTGATGAGCAACTGGAGCACGCAGGCCGCCGCGCACGTCAAGAACAAATATGCACCACGAATCTTGACTTACCACGGCGCAGGGAACAAGCAATTGTCGCCAGGACAATTGAAAGAGTATGACATTGTCATCACAACCTACCAAACCATGACCCAAGAGCTCTTCCCATACGGAAAGACCGAAGCTCTGCCAACGCCGGCATCGAAGGGCCTGTTCTCGGTGACTTGGAGGCGTATCGTCCTGGATGAAGGCCACCAGATTCGCAATCCCAAGGCCAAAATGTCACAAGCGGCATGTACCCTTCAGGCGAAATCTCGCTGGATTCTCACCGGGACGCCTATCGTCAACAGCCTGAAAGACTTGTACTCCCATGTCAAGTTCCTTCGTTTGTCCGGCGGACTGACGGAATTTGAGGTCTTCAATTCGACCCTGATTCGGCCTCTGAAGCACGGCGACAACGGAGCACGCCTGCTTCTTCAGGCCTTAATATCGACCCTATGTTTGCGACGCATGAAGGACATGAAGTTCATCGACCTCAAACTTCCCAATATCACATTCCACAAGTATCCTGTGAAATTTTTGCCACATGAGAAGGAACGTTACGACGCCTTCAAGCAAGAGGCGAAAGGTCTGGTCGAGGCTGCAAAGGCCAAAAAAGGAGATTATTCCATGACGTACTTGCTCGAAGTTCTCCTGAGGCTGCGCCAGACTTGCAATCATTGGAAGATGTGCGGAGACGAAAGAGTGAGGAAATTGCTGGAGTTGGTCGAGTCGAATGAGGTCGTCGACGTGACCAATTCGGCGAACCGCAAAACGCTTCAGGACATGTTGCAGGTGCAGATTGACTCACAGGAAGATTGCTGCGTCTGCTTGGATTCATTGAACAATCCTGTCATCACAGCTTGCGCTCACACCTTTTGTCGGGGATGCATTGAGAGAGTGATTGAAACTCAGCACAAATGCCCCATGTGCCGTGCAGCTCTCCGGAATAGCGAGCAGCTGGTTGAACCGGCAGCGGGGATTGGCGAAAGTGACGAGACAGATCTCGACATCGATCCCGAGACCACCAGCACCAAGATCGAGGCTCTGGTCAAAGTTCTCAAGGCATCTGAAGCTGATTCAAACGTCAAGACTGTGGTGTTCTCGCAATGGACGTCATTCCTTGATCTCGTCCAGACCCAGCTCCTCCGCCATGGACTGCAATTTACGCGTCTCGACGGCAAAATGAACTCGACAACACGTGACGCGGCCATCGACTCGCTCAACAGCGACCCATCTTGCAAAATAATGTTGGCGTCCCTCTCCGTCTGCTCCGTCGGCTTGAACCTCGTGGCCGCCAATCAGGTCATTTTGGCAGACTCGTGGTGGGCGCCGGCCATTGAAGACCAAGCAGTTGACCGAGTCCACCGCCTAGGTCAAACTCGAGATTGTAAAGTGGTGCGCTTGGTGGTGGAGGGTACGATTGAAGACGAAGTGCTTGAGATTCAGGCGAGGAAGCGGAAGTTGGCCAGCGAAGCGTTTGGGGAGAAGGACGGGGGCAGAAAGAGGGAGGAGAGAAGGGCAGGGACGTTGAGGGACATCGAGAGATTGTTGGCTTAAATTGGAGTAGAGGGAATTGGGATGGCGTTATGGACGTGGAGATGTTGTCGGGAGTACTGCTCTAGGTAAGGAAGATACTCTGTTCAATTACCTGTGGAAAAAGCTGATTAGAGTTGATTTAGCCAGGTGGGAAGGAAAAAGGGCAACGGTGAGACGCCTTGTGTGAATAGGTGAGCTTCAGATGTACGAGTATCTAAGGTCGTTGTATTCGGAATTCTTAGGACGCTTGTAGAGGTAGGAATGCTCTAGCGGTACTTAGTACACCATATCTCGTGGGACGCGTGCATCTGCATTGTTTCTTTTCTCTCCCGAAGGACCCAGGTTTATGCAGGAGAAGAGATGCAGTCGCTGCAACTATTGCCTTTGATCAAGCCACCAACGCGTCGGTTCGATGTTAGGAAAACAACACGATAAGGAGAGGGGAGAAAAAAATGGTGTGATGGAACAAGAAAAGAGAGTTGTGGGCACCATAGCAACCGGAGGATATGCCTGTGCTTGTTACTTGTATGGTGGGCACCTATCAAGCCACAAGCCACAACAGACCAGGAACCCCAGCCTCGGGCACCTATGGACATCCATGGGGGGGGGTCATTTAGGCTGTCCGGGACGTTGCCCAACCTCACTTGACCCCCACTGAGCCTCGCCTAGGAAGCCCAGCTAGCCTAAACAAGCCCGCAACTCGGCCCGTTTGGAGGAAATTGCGCCGTGGTGCCTATCGCTCATAGCCCACGGCTTTGCAACGTGCTCGAGCACATGCTTTGTCCCTCTCTGTTGTCTCAAAACTCCCCTCAGTTGAAACTTCGCAAACACACCTACGACAAGGACCAGACACCACATGGACATCAGGGTACGATAATACCTTGGAGAATAAATTGCAACCGAGGTTGATCTTGGATTGTTTCTGGGGGGGACCATCTGACCATCTGATCACTGACCAGCATCAACAGTTGCATCACTCAGCAGCAGCCCAAGACGTCACCCCAGACTGTTTGGCCTCTTGCAGTGGTACCGGTGGCACCAGTGGGCCGGGCAGAGCTTGAAGGGGGAAACCACCCAGCCAAGCTCGTGGGAGCTCCCACCAATTATTCCAGCTGGCCAGCTCTAGGTGGCTCCCGGTGGCCACTAGGGTCCCTGGTGTCCTGCTTATATCCGGTGCGGGGGACCCAAACACCACCTTCTCGCGCTACAACCGCCGCGCAGCCACTCACAACTTTTCCAGGCTCATGCATGTCGCAGCTTTCCCTCTTTGCCCTCTGCATCTCGAAAAAAGTGGTTGATCCATCGTCACTCGGTCACCACCCTCCGACTCTGTGTGGTCACCCAAAGCCTGCCAGTGCAAGCTACATGTTTTTTGCGAATTCCTCTGCTTCTCTGAACCATCTCACCGTTCTCGTCCACCGGCCGGTGGCAGTCTCTCCTTCACGTTCTCCCCTCCCTCGCCATCATGGCACCCATCCGTGCGGCTGTCTTTGCGACGGTGAGAGCTCCCTCGCTCCATAGCTAACCTCGCTGTTTCCCCGCATCGCTGTTTTTTTGTTTTGGTCCCCGTCACTGACGCAAATGTAATTAGCTGCTCATGAATGATGCCTACCTACCAGGTATGTTGGAAAGCACTTCTGCCCACGATATATGTCAGACTGATTGCCTCTGCAGGGGCTATGGTCCTGGGCCATTCCTTGAAAGATAAAGGTGCCAAAGCTCCCTTGGTGGCCTTTGTGCTAGTCGACAGACTATCCTCCGATACCATCACAGAGCTTCGAGTCCGTTTCCCTACTACCATCTCTCCAGCACAGGCACTAATGGGCCCAGACCGTCTACGATGAGATTGTACCAGTCCAGGAGGTCAGAAACCAGAATCCTGCCAACCTCTATCTCATGAATCGAGCCGACTTAGTATCCTCCTTCACAAAGATCGAGCTGTGGCGGCAGACGCAGTATAAGAGAATAGTGTACTTGGATGCAGATATGGTCGCGCTCAGAGCTCCCAATGAGCTCCTTACTCTCGACACAAAGTTCGCCGCAGTCCCAGATATCGGCTGGCCCGATTGTTTCAACAGTGGTATGATGGTGCTAAATCCCAACATGGCCGATTACTATTCTCTCTACGCTTTGGCACAAAGGGGGATCAGCTTTGATGGAGCCGACCAAGGTCTCTTCAACATGCACTTTCGCGAGTGGGACAGATTGAGTTTTGTTTTCAACTGTACACCAAGCGGCCATTATCAGTATGTCCCCGCCTATCGACACTTCTCAAGCAACATTGCAGTGGTGCACTTCATTGGCAAAGACAAACCATGGACGTTGGGTAGAGACAATAAGCTTAATACAGGTGTCTACGGTGAAATGCTGGGGATGTGGTGGTCTGTATATGACAGACATTATCGACCCAAGGTACGCTGAATTGTGAAGGAAGGCATCTTGTGACCAGAGCTGATTTCTGCAGACCGTCACTTACTATGATGCTCAAACCTTTGATTCCACCAAAAAGGTTCAAGACTACGTTCGTGGGGAGGAACCACTGTATGTGGTGGGCTATTCAAGCCAGCAGCCAGCACCCGGCCCAGCTCCACAACCCCAGCATGAGTACCACTATCCTCCAGAGCAACATTACCATCAGGAGCATCATCCTCAGCACGACGGCCACCAGCATTGGCAACAGCCCCAACACGAACACCAGCATACGCTCCAACAGCATCAAGACCAACAACAACCATATCATGGCCACCACCAGCAGGAACAGCATCACCACCGAGAGGGGCTCCAGTATCCGCCGTCCGAGCACACTGGGCAAATCCCCGTGCCTCCAGAGATCCAAGTTCATTCTCAGTCGGGTCAAACAACCTCTACAGAATTGCCATTGGGCTATGCACCCACTCCGAAGGCCGCATCGGACTTTCATCCTGTTCCCACAGTCGAGCAAAGGCGATTTTCTGCACCCCATGTCGAATGGGACCCCGCACGGTAGGTCATTCTCTGGGAAATGATGATGAGTACTTATCCTGAACAGAGCGCCTCCACCCGCCCACTCGAAACCAGAAGCCGCCAATTTCCCGACCACGATCTATGACATGTCGAGCGAGACTACGCTTTTTCAACCGCCTGCTCAATACCCGGAAGCGCCAAAGGACATGTGGTATCAGGTACCTGAAAAGGTTCCGGAACCTGCGAAACCGAAGCCGATCTTCCCTTGGGAAACTAGAGCTCCCAAACCGACACGAGTATTTCCCCAACCGAGACAACCTAGCCCGCCACCTCCCCCTCCGTCGGAACCGGCAACGGTGGTCCCCGGAGAACTGCCAACTCCCTCTGCAACGACCGACGTCACCGGAGCGACCGAAGAAAGCGTACCCACGCCACCTCCCCCGGCACCAATTGATCTTTGGGCAGCTTTCCAGCAAAGGACCAATGCATGGGACGAAATGCCTGAAATTGAGCGCTACGTGCAGTCGATCAGTCAACCTCGAAAGGGCAAGATACAAGTCCTGTATAACACCCTCGGACAACGCTCCCCTCGCAATGTCAGCGGCACCACCACTCCAACAGAGAGAGATAGACGACACCCGAGCATCAAACTAACTGACTTTCCCACTAAGGATGAGCGCCCTAGCTTACCCGTGACTCCCGCGCCAATTCGACGACCGGCGTTCTGGGGAGAGGAAAGGGACGAAGAAGGGACCTTACCGACCGCGGAAGGAGTACCAAAGCAAGAAGACTGGGTGCGTCGATTCTCCCACTACCCTCAACCTGAGTTTCCTGCTTCACATCCCCCATCGCATGAAGTGCATCGTGTTTTGTATTGGAGATGCCAATATTGTGGGAAACAGAACCCGATTACAAAGTTGGAACAACTGCAGTTGATGCAAAGTGAGGCGTTATTTTCGCCCACGGGGCCTCGGGAATTAGCGAATGTGGCAGAGCCCCCTACAAGAAAGATGCCAGAGAGCTCGACCAGAGAAGAAATGGAGAAGGCGGTAATCTCGCATATTTCACCAACAAAAGTGCCAAAGGCACCCAAGCCCATATTGAAGCCCCCTCACTTTGAATTGGGACAGGAAGTGGTGGGGTCAGCGGAAGATTCTACAAGGGATGCTCACCAAGACAAAGATTCATCTGAACCTTCATCTGAGATTGTGCACTCAGTCCAAGAGAAAGAGGCATCGATTGATCCATTGTCGAGACCGGCTGCTGATGAGGAGGAGGCTACCCCCCAGCCAGAACAAAGACCCGTTGTGGTTCCTACGACAGCATGAAGACGGAATAAAATGGAATGGGATGAGTGATGAGGAGGTTCCATTAAAAAGGTGGGGATTTTTTCCGATAGTTGCTTTGCAGCATGTTGTCGAGATTGAAAATGCTTCTCTGCTTATTTTGATGGATTTTGGCGTTTTCGATTTGTGCACGCAAATGGAGCATCTTTGGACGTCTATTGTGAGGCCGATGAGCCATTGCCATGGGCTTATGAGTTCTTGTTTAATGTGTATCACTATGTTCAACAGCATTTCATTGCATGGCAAGCGCATCGATTCAGTTGCTGCATTTGCAGGCCTGTTGGGCTGTGGTCGTTGCCACTGGCACATCCATGTACTCTAATTGATCGCTTGAAAGACCTGATAGAGTCCAAGACGTGGTAGTTTTGGATGTCATAGAAATGCTTACAATAGAATAGGGGCTTCCACCAATGTTCAGCCTCGGCTTGGCGCACGGATTCAGCCTTGTTTCCTTTTGCGTACGAGGTGGATTCAGGCAACCTCCTGAATTGCCAATGATCTGTCCGTAACGCGCGAGTCTCCTAACTATATTGGCCGAGTATCAGAGCGGACCTTCCCGAACAGTCCATCTCAGCATGTCGATCATTGTTTAGCCTTGTTACAAGCTCTCTCCTGTACCAGGTATTCCTGCTTGATATCTTCCTGGTGGCGTTGAAGGCTTGGTCGCTGGAGATTGGTCTTATTCGTACTACACCCATCGAGCATAGGTTACCTACACAATAGCGAACACGCGGTAAAGGGATAGAGGTGTACACTCAACATTCTGAGAAACCAGCAGGGGGACCATCATTGACGTCGAAATGGCCTACTCAATGAGCCTCAAACTCACCGCCTCCCAGCTTGAAGAGCGCCGTCATGAGCTCGACCGTGCGGGCTTTCATGCCTGGCTCTCTTCCATCATCCTCTTGGTGGTCGTCTATCTGTACCGACGCCTCTTCCGTTCTCTGTTCTTGCCATCAAAATCGCCGTTGTCACCATCAGGCTCCCAACCAGTATCGCAACTCCAACTGTTCCTCAGACGAGCGGCATGGGTCTTACAGGCAATGTATATACCCGAATTCGGTCTCCTGTCTGTCCAGCTTGTCGCCTTGGTATACACGGCGTGGCTCCTTTCCCTCACATTCCGCAACACGGGAAATGATTACATGCACCTTACCAAGGCATTCGGGCACGTGGCCATTTCTCAGCTTCCCATGCATTACCTCCTCTCCCTCAAACAGACCACTTACTCGCCTCTCGAGTGGGCTACGGGCCTGACGCACGAACGCCTCAACGCGGCCCATCGCATCTTTGGTCGCTTGGTGCATGCTTTTCTGGCCACCCATGCCATACTGTACGTCCGATTCTTTGTCAAAATGGGATTTTTGCCGAAACGGATCAAGGATCCCGATGTCAGGCTCGGGATCCTGGCGTTTTGGATGTTCAATTTCTTGGGTTTGCTGAGTCTGCCCATTGTAAGGCGGAAAATGTACCACGTTATATTCTACAGGAGTCATGTCCTGTTGAGCGCCCTTGTCATTCCGGTTCTGTGGGCACATGTGCCGTATACGCGGTTCTACGTGGCGCAAGTTGCCGCGATTTGGATTCTCGGAGGCTTGTTGAGGAGGAGTGGGTTAACCAACGTGCAAGACATGCAATGCGAGAATTTACCCGGCACGCAGCTGGTGAGAGTGAGGTTCCATGTGGACAAGAAGAGTTCGTTGGCGAGTGCTGCGCCGGGACAGCACGTCTATATTCGCCGACGCACAGGGGGCGCAATGATGGGTTCGAAGACGCCGTTTTCAATTGCAAACGTGCAGCCCTCTGCAGGCCAGGATGGGAAGGCGCAGATGGTGGAAGTGATGTTGGTGCTCCGGAACATGGGCGGTCCGGGAACTTCGTTTCTGGTTGCCGCTGCGGCTTCTAAGAAGCCCAGGCTCAAGGACGCAGCAGGGGATGAGATCCAGATCGAAGGGCCCTATGGCGAAGCCGGCGTGTATATGCCTTCGATCCTCGGCTCGGATGCCACCAACCCTATCCTTCTTGTCGCCGGCGGGGTTGGAGCGACGTATGTCTTGCCCATATACTTGGCACTACTGGCCTCACGGCACCGACGCCGAGGAGGGGGAGGGCAGCTCATCAAGCTGGTGTGGCTGGTCAAGACCCTCGCCGATGCGCAGTGGGGTCTTGAGTTCCTCGCGAGCTGTAGGCGAGAAGGGCTGGAGCTGGATGTCGACATATACATCACTCTCTCCTCGTCCACAGACGGACTTGACATCTCGACAACCTCCTCCTCTTCGCCATCGCCCTTGAAGAACAAAGGCCTCAACATCCACCAGCTCGGCCACCGTCCTAATCTGGCCCCTATCATTGACGAGGTCTTCTTCGCCTCTTCCCCTCCTTCTTCTTCGTCTTCTTCTCCCAGCGTGCGAGCGCCGCTCAATCCAGATCCCGAAGAAGTCACTGTCTTTGTGTGCGGGCCGCGCGGCCTCTCCAGCGCCGTGCGGAGGATTGTTGGACGTTGGGTCATCAGCGAGGGCAGGAGGGTGAGCTGGTTTGAGGAGTTGTTCGGGTTTGGTGGGAGGTGAGTTCACTTCGGTTCTTGTGAGGAGGTAATATTCCATATAGATTTGATATATACGTATTCCATGTACAAATGTACGTGTGTACGTGTGTATTATGATATCGTATGCTATGGGATTGGATAGACTAGTATGAGATGTTATAGTATTGGATGAGATAATATAGTATTACAATGGCGTAGCATTCTCAACGCCCGAGACGACGCTTTGATATGATGATATACATATCCAATACTATGCCATGCCATGCCTTGCCTTGCCACGCCATGCTATATATTCTACACCAGCCCGTGCTGTCGTCGTGTAGGGGAGAGCGTGTCGGACCGTATTGTCACAGCATCTCTGTCTCTCTTGTCATCTCACCGGTCCCTCTTCCGAAGTGACGAGTCCGACAACCCCGTGGAGCACGATCATGGGACGCGGGAACAGAGCTCAGCTCCCTCGCCTCGCTTCGTATCACCGGGCACGACAAACAGGGCACCCTCTCTCACCGGGCATGGAACCCAAACAGACCTCAGTCACTTCAACGGCAAAGAGACAAACGGAGTGTATAAATACCCCGCGTGTGCCTGTCTTTTTCCTCCCTTTGGTTTCGCTGCTTTTTGTATACCTCGAGGTACTCGCAGCAGGACATCATTACTTCTCTTCCGTCGTACTTGACTTCATCGTTGGAAAACGTCCATCGTGGAAAGGAGTCCTTTTACAAGCGCCGACGAGATCTGTGATAGCGGCAGAGACACATCCATCCAGACCTACACTCACACCCATAGCCAGACCCACACATATATCCATTCCACGGCTCAGCGGCCCTCGATCTATCCGGGGAGGAGAGAGCTACCGTACCTTGCCCCTCGGTATATATTTCACCATGGCGCCCATCCTAGCTCGCGGCCCAACAGGACTCCTCGTCATCGGTCTCAGTCTCTGTCTGATGTCGATCTCAAGGCCAGTCTCCGGCGCCCCGATCGTCCATAGGCACCGACATCTCCATCGGAATGCAGTAGCCCCTGAGCACGATCTCCAGTCTGTAGGGACACCGAGCGCAGTCGTCACGGAACCAGTGACGAACGTCCCTCGCGCCGTGCCCGACGATGGTCCCCCGATCGTGGGGACGTCGACGACGCGGTTCTCCTATCCCGTCGAGACGCCGTATATCTCCAACTCTCTTAGCGAAGAAGAGAAGCAGGAGAAGGCACCCGCAGCGGTCTTTGACAAGATCGCCGACAGGACCCGTCCGCTCGTTCGCAGCTCCGGCGCTGGCGGTGGTATCCCGCCCCAGCCGTATCCGCCAAACGGCCCTGTCAAGGTCACCCCCGCCGGTCTTTTTGAACGACTGGCATCCCGGACCCGGCCTTTGGTTCGCAGTTCTGGCGCTGGCGGCGGTGGTATGCCTCCGCAACCGTACCCGCCGAACAAGTCGATCACCTATCATCATTCCGGGGTCTCCGACTCGGTTGTTGTCTTCTTTCTCGCCGCCGTCGGCTTCTTCTTTGTCTCTCTGATCTGGAATTTGTACCTTCGGTACGGCCGGGTCCAGGACAAGGCCAAGGACACGGACTTGGATACTGTGGGAGCCATGCGGTTGAGATCCTTGTTTGGAGAGAGTACGCCCAAGGGCAAGGGTAGAGAGAAGGCTGGCCACACCCCCGGGGGCTGGTTGCGCGCAGCTAACGCGGCGCCCGTATCTGTTTCTGCCGTCTGAGCAATCTTTCGAACGGTTCGGCGTGAGGCAGTAGCGAACATCTTGTCAGAGCGGTCGGTCGTCTACACAATTCAATGTGAAGCCATTTGACCAGACAGGAGCTGTATACAAAAGGCGCTAGGAATGGAGGCTCTCCTATGACAGTATTGAGCTTAGTCATAGGACAAATATCAGCTTGTTCCAGCGATGAGACCGTGCGATTCTCTTGTGACTGAGCAGCTGGCAGAGCCCGCAGAACGGTCACAGCCTGCGCTGGAGGAAATAGTGACTTCTTAGCTTTTTAGTAGTTGTTCAGCTGACCGTAAGGGAATGATTGTGCCGGGCGAAATGTATCCATAAGAGCCGTCACCCTTTCATAACGTCTGTGATGCGAGAGTGAGATATACCGAGTAGTACGTGATTCTCGAGGTATTCACGCCAAATAGTTCCCAAACTTTGGTTAATCGTCTGAGTCGGGTATTTGCGAGCATTGTGGTGTATATCCCTTGATGGCTGTCATGACATTGCGTTGCGGCATCACAATGTGGCTCAAAGACGATAGCGAGTCTCATTACCGACAAATTCAAGCAGACTCTCTCCCCGGCGACTCACTCCCGTGAAGGTCTTCTCGAACAGGTCGGATCGGTTTGCTTGGTGACTGGCCATCTCCGAAGGCGAAAACACAGGGTACAATGACTCAACTTTTGACAGGGTGAAAATGCAAACGCGAGGGTGAATCGCAAACAAATATAGCCGTGGCTTGACTCATTTGCAAGTGCAAGTAGTTCTATGACCTCGAAGGCGTCCTCTTTTCGAAGTTGTGACAAAGAGCATATTCTTGTCAGCTTGATTGCACTGGCCGATGGTCCTGCAGGTGAAGTATGAAAGGTGATGGGCTTGGAGCTTATATAAATGTCTCCCATAGCGAGGCCAACTGTTTCCCATTATATTCTACCAACCGTCAACCTGCAACAAGAGATATATTTGAGCACGCGCTTCTCAACACTTGCAACGATCTGCCATTAGTCTGACACCGCTAAGGATAGCCCGAATCGGTTCGGCACACGCGAAACCTCAGATTTCGGAATTGCGACAATGAATGGATGGATGATTTTCTTTATCGTCTTTGTGGTCATCTGGGCGATCGCCCTGTCTGCAGTTTTATGGAGGAAGAGGCAAAAAGCCATAGCCAGGAGACAGGAGCAGGAGAGACAAGACCAGATTTCCGGGCATCAGTAAGACTGCAGTAGCAGTCTGCCCATGGGCCCTGACGTGTTTGATGTGCTTTAGGAGCTTCCCTACGATGACGAGAGAGAAAAGTGGCCGCATTCGTGTCAACTGATGAATCGCTTGGGGAGGGCATCCAACAGGGGCCCAGGAGTGAAATGCTGTTGTGGATGGGACGTTTGCTGGGCCAGAGACGTAGCCAGATCTCGGAGGCGATTGATATCTGCTTCGGCATGTCAGTTGTGCTTATGTCCACAACTACCCCTTGCAGGAGACATCGATAGACATCATCAGGACTATCCACTCGACGCGCCCACCTCTGCAGGAAAGCAACACAGACCCCTGCATCAGCAACATCGTCCACATACAGACACTGCGAAGAAGGATCAACATCCTCTCGGGCCTCGCTTGGGAACTGCTGTTGGTCCTCGTCGGCCTTGTCTTCGAGCCATAACCCTTGTTACACATGTACAACCCAAATCCGCACAATCCTTTAGCTAGAGTGCTTCGGCGAAGGAGGGCCGACGTAGCCGTGTCAAATCCATAATGAACATGCAGTTGGTCTGCTATGGACGACCACAACAAGGTCGTGACGATGAGCATATGGAATCTCCGAACAAATTTGCCGCTCGGCACGAGGAAGTCGGTCAAAGTGCTGGGCTCGACAAAAGCTGTCACTGACGGGATAAGCGCAACACTGTGACAGAAGGGGAATCCCGAGACTCGACCTTGAGCGAAGCTTCTCAAGCACGCTTATTCTCGGGATTCATTTATGACCTCGATGGTCTTCTGCTGTATGTTAGCTGCCCATGCAACTGAGCACCACACAAAGCTAGAGGTAATGAATAGCCAAATGTCTTGGGCAAACAAAACGCCATGGCCAAACGGGGAAATCACCGTGGACACTTAGAATGATCATGCTTTGCAACTGGGACTCCGCATCGGCCCAGCTCAGCAATGATTTGCTGTTGTGTTTCACAAATGGGCTGGGAATGTGGTGGAATTTCGTAGACAATCGTGTCTCCGACTACCTATTGCGTGGTCCGTGGAGTGAGAACGGCAACGCAAAAAGTAGACTGTCGCCAAGGGTGTTTCATGGTTGCAAAATGATCCAGCTCTTTGGTCAACTAGCCGTGATGGTTTGCAACCACGAGATTGACATATCCACGGGGCGGTACGATGACAGTGCAAATCGGAGATCCTTGGAGAAAGCCAAAGCTGATGGTGACGGCTTGGGGAGGAGGGCCAGGGCAAGCCTACAGCATGCCTTGACCGTTGACAGCCGTGGCAGACTTCTTTGAGGGGTCTCATTCTTATCATCCTGGCTGTCTGGTGTCCTTCCAGGAGGAGGTGTGCAGAATCAGGCGATGAAACTTCCCAGAGCCGAGTAATGGAGCCGGTTTAGCTTTGGATGATGGCTCACACTCCATCCCTCCCACACCTTCACAGGAGTCATTTTGGTGTAAAGTGAAGATCTTCCAGGAAACAGGCTCAATGTCAGCCTCCCAGCTCGAATACTCGGTCCAGAAAACTGCCTTTGTCTGACACTGGCGAACATGCAGGTGCACATCCCTGTCTCGACCGGCCTCGCGCTGGCCCAATACCCAATTGCAACAACTCTTCTAAGATCTTCCTGGGGATCTCTGTTGATTTGGACGAGGACGAAGACCAGAGAGCTGCTCCAACGAAGCCTACATGGGGCCCATGGATTGATTAGAGGGCCCAGAACCCGGAGAGCTAAAGCATGACCGTGAAGATCTGTAGGTGAAGTGTTGAACTTTGTCTTCTTCCGACGTTGATCCGCGGGTTTGCGATCGATCGTTGGGCAGACGTCTTGTCTGGGTTGGCCGGGACGATGGAAAGGCTAAAGAGGAAGCAGAGAAGCTCGCCCAAAGTACTTGGTGCGGAGTACCGAGTGAAGATAGTGGCACCAGTGGTAACGGGGAGAGTTGAAGCGCAGTCTGGCCCCGACGCTGTGGCAGTGAGCAGCGGCATCCAGCCTAGTGCCTAAAAGTCTACCACCACCAGACGTCCCCCCTCCAATGCCCCCCTCCCCCCCTTCACCAGCCTGGCCAGTGCAGTAAGCTGCCCTTCTGTGTGTCTCCCTTGCCCATCGTTGCTCCATTAAGTCGACCATCGTGACGTCCTTCCACCCCTGCGCTGCCACGCGACTTGCCTGCAGCCATTGGAGTTTACCTTGTGTTCCCCTGGATTATTTGTGCACAGACTATAGCTGGCTTGAGCAATCCAGTCAGTCTGAAGAGAATAATGGGCTGATCATGCACACGTTCCCGAAGATGGGAAGGATCTCACCTCGGCATCCTTCGTTGCTAGTGAGGCAGGCGCCATGCTGAATGTGAATTCATGTGCATCAACGAAATCGAATGTTTGCTCCTGGCCGCTGGTTCTGACGCCTTCCTTGACAGTCACGAGTTACTCGTCTTGTCTTTGTTTCCCTCAGAAAGGTCGCTCTCATCAGAAACAAACCTGACCTCTCCTCTCAAATTCCACGCATCATTGAAGACTCTCTTAAGGGGGTTTGACCAGTCTCAGCTCCTCATGAACCTGCGTTCCTCAGCGGAACACCCCTCACCATGGCTTCCACCTTCTTAGGCCGGCTCTTTGGCCAGGTCTCCTTCTACTCGTTCGGCTTCTTCAACTGGTGCCTCTTCCTGGGCCTGTTTGTGAAAAATGGAACCTTCTTCAGGAAGGATACTGAGCAAGAGAAGCTACAATATGCAATTGGTCAGTGAACCGTTCGATGGCACCAGGAAGGTAACATGTTTGACAAGCTCATTTCACAGAAAGAGATCGCTTTTGGAACCTGACCAAGTCACCTCTCCCTGGCTTCAAGCACTTCTTCTACACCCTCCGCAACGACCTCAGACTCCACTATATCAGCAACCGAGATGGAGCGTCACAGGGCAACCTGGTAATTTTCTTGCATGGATTTCCTGACAGTTCGATGATGTGGAGACATCTGATGCAAGAGCCGGCCATGCCAATACGCGATGCTACCCTCGTGTGCGTCGATTTACCTGGCTACGGGGGGAGCGACAGTTTCAAGAAGTACGATACAGAAGTTCTTGAGGCTCTCACGGAATTTGTCGTTGCCATGAGGGACAAGTACATCCCGACGGAGGACTCGGACGAGACTAGCACATTCATCGTGGGCCATGACTGGGGCTGTGTTCTCGGGTTCCGTCTGGCTGCAGAAGCTGCTTCTCTTGCCGACCGCTTCATTCTGACCAACGCGCCGCACGTAAGTTATGGCTCTCAATTGCTACCTGACCAGACACACCTGACCCGCATGTAGGTTCAACTTGCCTTTGCCAATAAGGATCGCATCCTGAACTCCGCTTCGAAAATCTTCAAACAGTTCAAGCACTCTCCGAAACAGAATTTTGGGTGTTTGTCTAAGGCCCTGAACACGTTGAAGCCATTGATGGTGCAAACAATGTTAATGGGCTACATTTTCGCATTCCACCTGCCATCGATCTTTGTCAGGTACCTGGGCGTTGCTGGGAACTATTCGTTTATCCGAGGTGCAAACTGGTCTTCGTACGGAAGAGGCTCAAAGGAATATCGTTCTCCGGAATGCATGGCCTCTTCGTTTGGCCCCGGCCCAGAGGAGTGCAAGACATCGATTCCGGCCGTCAACGGTGTTGCCAATACCACCAATGGAGAAACACAGGCAAACAGCTATGGCGCCAGTGTGCTGCAACGAGCTCGATCTCCTCAAGAGGCTTTCTGGAATATGACCGGCTATTATCGAGATGGGGTGGGTTGGCGTCCATGGGCCAAGTCACTGGAAACAATCACCGACCTCTACGCTCTGGAGACCTCGGCATCGGAATCCAGTTCGCCCGGCCGACGTCGGTCTTCAGTCTCGCAGTCTCTGTTTGTCGACCAATACAAGGGAAGTCTCAAAGCACCTACGTACGTCCTTTGGGGAGAGAAAGATCAGGCTTGTTCCAAACCGATCTGTCTGGACGGAATTGGAGACTATCTGAACAGAGACAGTGAAGTGACGCTCCTTCCGCGAAGCGGTCATTGGACTCCAATTCAGAAAGATGCTCGGCCGGCCCTTGCCACCGTGATTGGATTGTTTGCTGGAAGAGGCGCAATGCCTGTGGCAAAAATGACCACCGAGGTGCAGAAAGTGTATGAGGGGGCGGTTTTGATGGTGAAGAAATGAAGCGTAAGTCAAATGAATCGATGATATTATGTGCTCTTGTATTCAGATGCGGGACTCGGGAGGGGTTTCTTCTGTGTGATACCAGTTTCAGCGGCGTATCCATCCGTTGCTCATGAATTCAGGCGAAAGAGAACTCAAATACGAGATGAAGCGAGTCTTCTTGAACCCACCTAATCTCACACTGTCCCACTGGCCCCATACTTACATTCAAGAGCTAGTTAACGCCCTCGCCTCCTGGCCAAGATCCAAACCGACCAGAGTGTGAGCTGCAACCCGAGAACCATAAGTACCACGCCCATGACCGTCAAAGCTAAGTCGCGTCTGCTGTTGCAGGGTTGGTTTGATGTTGTGGTTCCTGATGATGAAGGGTCTGCACGCGGTTCAAGGTACAGTGGTGTGTGTGTCTCGGCCATCGGTTGCGCTTGACCTTGGCTTATGAAAGAGATACAAATTGAAGCCGAAGCGAGGAAGACCCCCGCAACAAACATGGTGAGGAACGCCATATGGGAGTGCCGGGTCATTGTTCTGGTACAACCTTGTCGACAAGAAAAGGGGCCCGGACACAGCTCTGTCGTCTCCTGTGCAATACCTACGTGAGAGAAGGTTAAAACTGACTGACTGACTGATTGACAGAAGCAGGACCCAGAATTGTTGTTCTAACCTAGAATATGGCACTACTGACTGAGCGACTGAGCGACTGGGTGGCGTTCAGGATCTGAGATTGGAGTTGAATCGGATTTGGGTGTCTCGAGGACCGGCAAGGAAGTTGGGTTGCAGACTTGACTCGACGTTCAATACCTAGTTCCTAGGTAGCGAATGTTTGCACAGAGTACTTGTTTTGGAGGAAAATCCGATGTTCGATGTCATTACACATTGGCCAACAGCTTCTGTGTCCTGAAGAGGGCTCGATTCGAACGGAACAATGAATGCTTCATCACTCCTAAGACCCGCCCGATCACGCTGGACGATCCGACCTTGGGACAGACAGTGACGGACCGACGTGGTTTCGGTGATGCCGGAGAAGAGGCATCTGCCCTGCTTCGCCGACTTAGACCCCGGGGGTTCCTGTCTCGGTCTATCTGTCTGTCTCGCGCGCGTGGTCCGCCCCGGTGACGTGCCTTGCGCCTCGGGGCCGTTCATGGCATGGCCCTTCTTGACTCGTGCTCGTGCCCGAGTGACACGCATCTGATGCATGTGAAAGACGATCACGGGAAGAGGGAAATAAAGGAGGCAAGGGATCACGTTGGTATGTACGCGGAGAGAGCCGGAAATAGAAACACGAGGCAAATCAATCAGTCAATCAATATATGCATCTGAAAACAATGAACACCGTACTTGGTTCTTTTTGACACCGGTATGAATGCTCCCGCTCCTTCCCGCCCAAGGACAAGGACAAACTAGCATTGTTACATTTACATGTAGGAAAAACCCATATGCCTCCGCGCCGCGCCCGCTCACACATTAATTAAGGTGGTAAAGATATTATATGGATGCTTTGTCTCTTCCCATGGCCGATTTCGACCCGTTGGCCGAGCACGGCACAAGGGGTCAGGATGAGTTCAAGTCCAAGCCGCTCGAGAGTAGGCGCTTGCGTTTGCGTCGCGCACTCGGACTGACCTTTGGCTGGCTGCCCTGACTGCATCGAAGCTTTTGCTTCCTGCGGGGTTTACCCTTCCCTTCCGTCCTGGTCCTGATCCCGCCCATCAAGTGCGCAGTCCTCCTGAGATACTACTCGACACATGGGAAGGCCGCGTCTGGTAGCAGCCCGGTGCCTCGTCGCGCAGATAGAGACGGTGCCCTGTGGACCGCGTGTTCGCGACAACTCCGGCTCCACCCGCCTTCAAAACTTGCGGTATGAAGCTTTTGTGTGTGTGTGTACCCAGGCACAGCGCAATCTTGGTAGGAACTTAGAACAAAAGCTCAAGACAGCAACAGCAGGTCAGGGCGGCCAAGAAGGCTGCACAACACCCTTCAGCCGCGGCCTGGTTTGGCGATCGATCGTAGTATCCCACTGGCGGGCCTTGCTGGTAATACATGCCCGGTGGCGGCGGTCCGTAGTATCCGTAGGGTTGCTGTTGGCCCAGCGGACCCTGCGGCGGCCACGGGCCTGGGGGACCTTGGTTCCAGCCCTGAGGCGGCATGTAGGCTCCGTTGGGAGCTTGGGCGGGAGGGTAAGACTCAGGCACGAGCCCGCGCGTGTTGTTGACGGGTGCGCTGAGCGGGTAGTATGGGCCGGCGTCGTGGTGGACTTGCGGCGGGACGGTCAGGGCTCCGTTGGGAGGCGGGCCGTTGGGTGGTTCATATTTGTTGTTGTTGTTGTTGTTGTCGGACATAATGAGAGAGAGAAAAAACGGAGGGAGGGCAAAGAGGGACTTAGAAGGGATAGAGAAGAATATGTCAGGGCTGTCAAATTGTGCCCGACAGGTCCGAAGGATAAGATGGGCTACACGGTTGCTAGTCTCGTAGAAGCCCGTGTGTCTGCGGGGTGACGAGGCTGAGGTCCGGAACAAGGCTGTGTGTGGGGGCAAATCGAGCTGGATCGAATGGTGCCGTTTCCCCTCTCGAAAAAGTAGTGCGCTGGATTTTCAAACACAGTTATCTCGAGTAATGCAAAGGCATTTAGTGAACGTTGTTGCAGTCAGTCGTGCACTTCAAGTTGATAGACAGGAGATGCCGCTTCAATTTAGAGAAGAATAAGGAGAAAGAGTAGAAGACGGAGGATGTTGCGCAAGGAAATTTGTTCATTCTTTGATTACGACAGCCCGTCGGCGCGGTCGGCAAAGGCAGAGATCTTGCTCAGCCACTTGGTACATACCCAGTAGCTGCCGCGGCGTGCCGAATTCGGCTCTTCGTTTTCGACGGGGAAAAAAATGTTCGAGAAGTGGTGTATGTTCGGAAGTATGCATTGGATGCGGAGGATGGTTAAATCCGCTCGCCAGTAACCTATGTACTTACCTACTCTGTACTCGGTACGAGGTATTACAACAGTTAGGAGTGGCTATTTGAGGGCCATTGAGGACCCTAAACAGTCCCAAGTGATGTGAGCCAACTGCGAACCCCCATCGCATCCATGACAGGCATCGCCAGCGCTGTGTCACCAGGAAGAACTAATAATTACTTGAGAGAAACCCAAGGGTGCAGCCCACGTGCCCAGGTATTTGTTTTTTTTGGCTCTCACTCTTGGCTTCACAAGATCGTTTTGCCGGCAAGACGGAAAAGTCACGGGATGACAGTCGTGAATCGTGATGAGGAGCGACAAAGATGGTGGATTTTGCCGGCCACCGCTCAAAGCCTATTGCAGCACGTCCCGCCTCTGCACCACCTGCGCCTCTGGGCAGTGGGCAGTGGGCAGTGGGCATCCCTCTGGTCCCTCCTCGTACCCAATGGCCAACTCCATCAGTCATTGTTCTAGGCGTTGCCTCCGTCCCTCCATCCCTCCCCCCAAGCTCCCAAAGGTTCCCAAACCCCCATTCTGCGCCCATCAGCCCATCAGCATCTCTTGCCGCTTGGGGGTGCTATTCCTTGGATGGGAACTATCGATGGCTAAGCGCTTGAGCGGTAGGCCCGGGCCCTCGCGCCCCCCCCCTTCTTCTAGCAAATCTAGCACAAATCGAACGCGTCCCCCCAAAATGGAGATTCACTCCGTTCTCTGGATGTATTCCCTCCGTACAAGGTACATGTCTCTGAAGGCGGTCAGGTCAGTTCGCATTCTTGTTTCTTTTTCTTTTGGAGCAGAATTCCCATGTGAAAGCTAAGATAATCATGCTGCATCAGATAGGTTGCGGTGTTGGGCCACCCTGCGTCGTATCCCTATCTCTTAGAGTCTCACTCGGCCCAAGGCGAAGCAACAAATAATACAATCCCAAAGGTGTGTCCCGGAGTACGGAGTACGGGTATGAGTACCCTGTACTTTGTTCCACAGCACCACAGCACAGGATCTGAAATCGCAGGGGTGGGATAACCCCACTTCTCTTCTTCTCCTTCAACAACAACAACCATGTACAGAGTAAGGGACTGACCACCAACGCCAACACCATCACGAAACACCCAACACCCAACACTCCCTCCTCGGACCTGGTCGCCCGGGATCGATTGGGTGGGTTCCTGCTCCTGCTGCTATCTCTCTCACCCCTTCGCCGTGTGGGCCCCCCTGTGCTCAGGGCTCACACTTGCTTTGCTCATTCATATGTAGCCCAGTTTCCGATGCGGCGATGATGATATGTGAAAGGGCACCAACACCAGCACCAACACCAGCACCAGCACCAAACACCACGACCAGGATGCTCCGGTGGGGGTCCCGAGCGACGCAAAAAAGAAGCCACTCCTAACCTTGTCGCGGGATCCCACGTTGTTCCGTTCCGCCTTGCCGCGAGCGAATGCCAGTCTCACAAACGGAGACTGGCTCCTGTCAAGACTTGTCCAGCTCGCAAAGCAGCCTCACTAGCCTTATCCTTATCATACACCACAATCTGGACGTGCAGCGCGCATCAGCAAGCCCGCCTTGCCTGCCCCCCCAGCGTGCCAGTCTTGCCAGCCCATCAAAGATCGCTTGTGTCGCACATCAGCGAACAAAAACAACATCGTCGGGCATCCTTGGAGGCTAGCAGCGCGCCCCCCAGGCCTCTCCCGATCCATGTCCATTCTGCCTGCATTTTGCCGTTTCCTGCCATCCCCGATTGCTATCCGGCCTCTGATTCGGCACTGCCGCCCCTCAACAAGGTTAACAAGGTCCATTTGCCTGACAGCACGCAGGCACATGCCTCCCTGACTCTGTCTTGCCGGCAGACGTCCTCAGTTGAACCGAAGACGCACGGCGCGGGCACTATCGGTCCTGCACCTCAGCATCTGCGCAGATAACGACCTTGCGTCTTCGTTCCTCCATCCCAAATATCCATCCGCCCAGCTGATAAACTTCTCCTGACCACCACAGTTGGTTATTGCGTGCCAGTCTCTCAGGCTCTCTCGATTTTTTCCCCTTCCTCCTCTTCTCTTCCTTCTTGATTCCTCGTCGCTGATTCCCGGTACAATGAGCATTTATCTGTGGTACACGTTCAGCTGGAGTTCTTTGAGAAAGAGCTTTGCGCCGTGGTAACACCCATCCCCCAAAACAACTGTGTATGTCACCCATGCCCACGGTCGCTCACCGTACCTTGGCCTTTTTTTATGAAGGCCAGCGATAACGCCCGTAATGGATGCTGACAGGTTTCCAGGCTCAACGGTGCACTCTCAATCCAAGTTTGCGTATAGCGATATCATAAAACTGGTGATATCGCCCTCTTCGGAGGGTGAGGGGGTCTTCCCCTTGACAAAACCTCTGGATCTTGCGGACATCTTCATATGCATCGCACAGATCACGTTTCTTTTTTTGCCGGAGTCGTTGATCGATAACCCGGGCGCCTTTATCCCTGGCCTCGATGTTTGGCTCGAACGCGTTGCCGTTACCCCCACCCTTTGCCCACGAACATCGCCCTCTCCGGTTGAGCGCTGAAAGTGCCCGTCCCCTCCCAACCGGAGAATGTCGATATCTCTTGTTACACCCTTCGGCACAGAATCAACAGTGTTCATGCCAATCCTTCCACCTTAATCGAAGCGCGCCTGGGAGTATCTGTGAATGCGGCCATCAAGCCTGCTACCACGTCCACCAGGAAAACAATAATAATGAAAAACATATGGATAAACTCAATGCTGTTCTTGATAAGATAAATGTCGTCTTTGATAAGGTCAAGCGTTTGGAAGAAACCATTCAGAATGAACGCAGCAACCGGGATTCTGCTTTACAGAGAGAAAGACAGATGTGGGAAAGAGAAGTTCGCATCTTGCGTGAGGCGCTCGCCCCTTTTTACCAGAGCGAGAAAGAAATGCGTCGACGCATCGTCGACATCGAAGATAGAGTCGAAGGCAATTATGATGAGCACGTCCGCCTAAGAGACCGCGTCGTCGCCGTCGACGATGCCACCATGTCGGTGGAGAAGAGGGTCGAGGAACTCGAAGATTTCCGCTTCAAGAGGCGGCGTCTGGGTCGCAATAACACTCAAGACCAACCATCGCAGAATGGCTACGTCTCGTCCGATCCTGATAACTTCAGACGGGTGTCTTCCAGCGTCGACGGGGGTTCGGTTCGCACGCCTTCGTCGAGGGCATTGTCGCCCAATGGGACTGCACCTGCTCCCGCGCCGGAGCCGGAAGAACCTCGTTCAAGTGGGATCCTCAACCTTGTCGCTGAAATGCCCCGTCCTGGGCCTTTCGCCAACCTGCCGCAACGCCTGTCACCGCCACAAGAGGAGGCCAGATCAAGCGGCTTCTTGACTTTAGACCTGGGAGAGCGACTGAAGGAGAGGCCTGCCTCGGAGCAAGTGGCAGCACAGGTCACCATCCATTCGGCTTCTCGATTCACTCCGCCTCAGGAGCGACCAAGTCCATCCAGCTCTGCAAAGTCCAACCCGGACGTCCCTGCCACAGCTACGCGAACTCCTCCGAAACTCCTCAACACCAAATTGCCAGTCATAGATGTGATGGTGCTCCCTGGCAACATATCCCCAAGAAAGAGAAAGCATCATGTCGACCACATCGCGCTAGATGTGCTTGCGGATGTCACCGTCGCCAGTCCACTCATTCACTGACGACCACCTTTCAATTCTAGCTACCTCACTCATTTCCGCCCTTCCACCATTATGATGTGGTAGCCATGGCTTGTTTTGACCTCGGCATCTGTGGGGAATTGGTCAGCGAAGGGGACCAAGAGGCATTAAACGGCCATTTTCAATGGCGTTATTGGCACTACATTTTCCAACCCACACGCCGACTTTCTTACTTTTTGCTCGCGGTGATCGAGATAGCTCAGGAACGCTCATTCTGTGGCTCAGTTCCTTTGTTGTACAGGTAGACACCAAGCAGTAACACCTCAATCCTTGTAACCAGTCTCAGTAAACGAGATAAGGAATCAGACTCACATTTGGGATTTGCTGTTGTGGAGGGTTCTAATTCGTAGGCGACTTTCTCAAAGTCTCCATGCAGGCTGCCTCTGGTTTTCCAGCCTAGCGATCCGCCTGCAAGAGAATGATAACGATTTTGTCGTGTTAGCCCGCGCTGACTGACGCATACGGCCACTCGCTGATGCAAAGGACCTTCCAAAGGAAGGGGTGATGATAAGTCGCACACTCCGTACCTTGTCTGGCCTTATCCTCTGAGAACTCCCTTGCAACGTCATCGAACTTGGCCCCTTCGCGCAACTTTGCCAGGGCTTCCTCTTTCTTGGAATGCTTTTCGCACTGTGGAGGGAGTGAGGGTTAGATGGATGTTGCCTAAATGGAGCACGTAGTATTTGTGCGCAGGCATGGACGGATGATGCCCTTCGTGCCCAACTTTAGAATCGACCTACCAAAATGTGTCTGGCATTGATGGATTGAGCCGCTTTCAGCTTCCCACTCCCACTGGCTGATGAGCCTTCGTTGTCTTTGCCCTTGGCTTTGCCTTTGGCACTGCCAGAGGAGGCTTTGCCGGAATCTTTGCCCTTGGGCGCCATGAAGACTGAAGACTCGCTGAAGACTGGCCCTTGGTCGGAGAACTTGCAAGGAAACACCGCCCACGAAGTGATTATTGAACGTGCTTGTAGACGACGACAGGTGACACCGAAAAACAGCTACTCGGTGATGGACGCTCTGACAAGCCTTCAAATAAGGTGGTCTCGCATGAGAAGGGACCCAGCGCCTGCGAGGAAATAGGGCACAAATGCAATGGAGCTCCAGGGGGTCTAGTATGGCTTCCATATCCGTTCTAGCCTCGGATAATGGCTTGGCACAGCAGAGCAAATGACGCTCGCTCCCTCGTCCGCCCCAGTTCAGGTCCCGGGGGTGGGCGTCTCGGCGTGTTTGGCGTATTTTGGCACTACTAGCACTACCAGCGCTACCACTTGCAGTGCTTGTTCCCCCCTTCGCAGAAAAAGTCAGAGGTGCTGGAGGTGCCTTGTGGATCAGCCAGCGAGCAAACCTCAGCAGCTGCCCGTCATTCTCCTCGCTTCCAGCGGCCGCCCTGCACACCACTCTCAGCATCCTCAGCACAAACAGAACTCCAACACCTCGAGCAAAATCGTGCTCGATCCACAAGAAAACAAAATTATTGGCGATTCCCAACATTGCAGAGGGACCCTTGTGCCGTAGATAGAAAAATGGCTATACCAATGTTGCTCCCTATAGAAGAGACATCACGTGACAGGTTTTGATGCTCTTTAACGCCGGCCGGGATTCGCGCTTTTCGAGGAGATGGTGATTCCAGACATCCGGGATGAGCTTGGGCTTTTGGGACTGCACCCACGGCTGCACCAACTGCGACTGACCATGACCCAGCATCCTCTTCATCGCCACCAACCTTCATCTCCTTTAATCCACCCCCCATTCCCATCACCATCCCATCATCGCCTTTCCCCATTGCGCGACAGTGAATACATTTCCATTGTCCAGCTGAACAATAATGTCGCCAGCCCCTTGAATGATTCCGAATCCGGTGACACGACCTGACTGTACCAGCCGAACTCCCTGAGGAAGCCAAACGGAGTGGATCGACCCTCCTCTCATCCATCCCAAATCATCCTCACCGCGATCAATCTCGTCGGCGAAAAACGTCCCTCCCCCCGTCGCTGACAGCGCTGTGCCACGATTAGGCGATGGAGACTGTGGGCAGAGGCAATAGATAAACATTTTGATAGCGAGTCTGTGCCAGTAGGACCAACAACACCACGGTAGACCCAAAAAAACAACCCACGCCGTTAGTGGTCCACGACGGGAAAAAGAATTCACAATGTCTGGATCGACACCATACGCGGTTCGTTCGCCGACTCGGTCGAACCAATACCCACCACCTTATTCACCAAGTCACCCGAACCGCCCATTTTTTGGCCATGAACCATTTCAGATGCCTCCTCAACACCTCATCCAAACTCCGCCTCCGTTTCCTCCTGCGTCCTTGGTACACAGCCCGCATCATACCCGGCCCACGCTGGCATCCCCTTTGCCTTCGACAAGCGCGTTACCACCACCTCCTCCGCCGCCTCCTCTTCCTCCCCCTTCGATTGGCGCAGGGCCGCCGTACCAACCTCTGACATCAAGTCCGCCGTTCTCGCTTCAAAGAACATACTCTGGACATCTGGTTCATCCAAGTATGCCGTCGCCATATGATGTCAATCCATCGCACGCGCATCCACCAGGGCCTCCAAGTTCTGCGCTGCAGTCGCCAATGAGGGATCACCACAGTCTCAGCAACGGAAGACCTGCAGACATGTCTTCGTCAGAGTCGAGGCCGCAATCAAAAGACGTAAGTTGGCAATGCGGTGCGGCCGAGCGAAATGCTGATTTTGTCCCACAGAAGCCAGACAGGGCGAGCAACCCCATGTCCTTTGCAAGCATCCTTGGCCCTTCAAACAACGAACCCTCTCCAAAAATATCTGAAGCGAAACTGCCTCCTCAGCGGCCGGCGACGCCACCAGCGCCGCCGCCGCCGCCTCCGCCCAAAGAGCCTTTTGTAGAAAGCAAGCCTGTGCCTGAGATGCCACCTGTGACCAGAATGCTCGACGTCAGCCCAAGTCAGACTTTGGGCAATGGCATCAGCAAATCGCAACCGAAAGCAGAGGCAATACACGCTCCCAAAAAATATGTCGCACCACCACGACCACGAAAGATACTCACGGAGGGGGAGGCTGACAAGATACTGAAAGCTCTTGCTGTCATCGACGACACTAGTTTCAGTGACGCCGAGGATGTCTCCTGGTCCGAGCACAAGGAACGATACAAGCAAAGAACTAGGAAGAGAGCCGCAGAAGTGTACGAAGTCGAATTGCACAAGCGCAAGGTAAGTGGAATCACCAACCGCATCCATCTGGCAGTAGGGCTGACCTCCCTCGTAGCGCCGTCGTGGCTATCTCCTGGAAACATTCATCCGATCCATGGACAAACAAGGCCTTATTGCAGCTCAGCGCTTCCGTGAACGCTTCGAACCTGTCGCTGCCAAGGAGATTGCCGACAAGGATCACCAGAGCGAAAAAGAAAGAAAGAAAGACATGCAGCGAAAACGGCGCCGTGAGCAGCAGATCCGTCATGAGCGAAACAGGCTGGAAGAGCTGGAACAGCGTGCAAGAGATGCTGAAGATCAAGAAGAGGCACAAAAATATCTGAGGCAAGCAGAGAAGTCCCAGGCTCGCATAAAACAGACCACAGAACTGCTCGAGGGTGTCCCTACCCAGGAAGACATGGAAGTACCGGCCCCGGCTCCAAACTACGAAGGTGGTGTTACATCTTCATTCCAGCTCGCCACGCCCGAACCTGGTGAGCCACCTAAGAAGCGCAGCAAGAAGGAACCCGGTGCTCCCTCCGCTCGTCTAAAGAAGTCCAAAGAAAAGAAGCAGGCCGAGAAAGATGCCGCAGAAGCGGCTTATGCGGCGATGGAAAAGGATGCCTTGATCCAAATTGCGCCCAAGGAAGAAGCGACCCCCGGCCCATCTGGCAAGTCCAAAAAGTCCAAGGAGCCCAAGGAGCCCAAGGAGGTCCCTGCTACTCCTCCGCCACAGACAGTCAACTATGAATCGAAAGGATATGTTCAAATCTACGAGCAGATCTGGAGAGACTTGGCGAGAAAAGATGTACCGAAAGTATATCGGATTAAGCAAGTATCTCTCTCTATCAGACAGGAAAACCTCCGCAAGACTGCCATCCTCGCAAGCAAACAAGCGCGGAAATGGCAGGAGCGCACCAACAAGAGCATGAAGGATACCCAAGCACGGGCGAAACGTGTTATGCGTGAAATGATGTCCTTCTGGAAGCGGAACGAGCGGGAAGAGCGAGATCTACGTCGTCTCGCAGAGAGGAAGGAGATTGAAGACGCAAAGAAAGCTGAAGCCGATCGCGAGGCCAACAGACAGAAGCGGAAACTCAACTTCCTCATCTCGCAAACAGAGATCTACTCGCATTTTATCGGGCGCAAAATCAAAACAGACGAAGTGGAGAGAGCCACAGACAATGGAGAGGTTCACAGTTCCGGAGAGAAGAGCATGCCCAATGGAGATCAGGATCAAGACGTGGATGACTTATCACTGTCCAAGCAACACGCAAACGTCAAGGTCACTAACTTTGAAGACCTGGATTTCGACGCCGAGGACGAGTCAGAGTTGAGGAAGGTCGCGATATCCAACGCTGCAAGCGCACTGCAGGATGCACAAGACAAAGCGCGCAACTTCAACGCACAAGACTCCATGGCTGCTCTTGACTCGAGCGAGATGAACTTTCAGAATCCTACCATGGCAGGCGATGTACAAGTCTCCCAGCCCAAGATGTTGCAGGCTCAACTCAAGGAATACCAGCTCAAAGGTCTCAACTGGCTGGTTAACCTTTACGAGCAAGGTATCAACGGCATACTGGCAGATGAAATGGGTCTCGGCAAGACCGTTCAGTCTATTTCGGTCATGGGCTATCTTGCAGAGCAGCACAACATCTGGGGACCCTTCTTGGTCATCGCTCCAGCCTCAACGCTACACAACTGGCAGCAAGAAATCACCAAATTTGTGCCCGCAATCAAGGTTCTTCCATATTGGGGCAGTGCAAAGGACCGAAAGATCTTGCGAAAGTTCTGGGATCGGAAGCACATCACCTACACGAAAGATTCCGAGTTCCACGTGCTCGTTACTTCATATCAACTTGTCGTTCAGGATGCTCAGTATTTCCAGAAGATCCGATGGCAGTACATGATTCTGGACGAGGCGCAAGCCATCAAGTCATCAAGCAGTTCCAGATGGAAGACTCTCCTCGCTTTCCAGTGTCGCAACCGGCTTTTGCTCACGGGTACACCGATTCAGAACAATATGCAAGAGTTGTGGGCTTTACTCCATTTTATCATGCCCACGCTGTTTGACTCACACGACGAGTTCAGTGACTGGTTCTCCAAGGACATTGAAAGCCATGCACAGAGCAACACCAAGTTGAATCAGGATCAACTCAAGCGGTTGCATATGATTCTCAAGCCATTCATGTTGCGGCGTGTCAAGGCACATGTGCAGAAGGAACTTGGCGACAAGGTTGAAAAAGATGTCTTCTGCGAGCTCACCTATCGACAACGAGCGTACTACTCGAATTTGCGCAGCAAGATCAGCATCATGGACCTGATCGAGAAGGCAGCTCTGGGCGGCGACGAAGATACTGCCACTCTGATGAACTTGGTCATGCAGTTCCGAAAAGTGTGCAACCATCCCGATTTGTTCGAACGAGCAGACACAACTTCGCCGTTCTCGATGTCGTATTTTGCCGAGACCGCCTCATTCGTCCGAGAAGGCTCCTTTGTGCAGGTCGGCTATTCTGTCCGCAACCAAATTCGATATGATCTGCCTCGAGTATTGTGTAATGATGTTGGGAGATTAGACGCCGCTGGACCTAACAATCCCTACGCCGGCTTTCGACGCGCTGGTTTCAAGACCAAGGGACTTGGTGGTCTGATGAGGATCTGGACTCCTGAGCACATCAAATCCTCAGCCGAAGACGACGGGGCGTTCTCCTTCCTGCGTTTCGTCGACACCTCCGCCGGTGAAGCCTCCTCTTATAGCGAGTCTGGACCCTTCGAGCGTGCCATACAGCTCAAGAGACAGCAGAGACGAAGGATACACATCTTTCAAGATTCTGCAGATGGATCCGACGGGCCGCCGGCGCATGCCATGTTCAACATTGTGGAAAACGAACCCCGACAGGCTCTCAGGCAACTGGATCCCAACTCGAACCTCGCAAAACTTTGCAATATTTCCAGGGATACGCTTGCGGAACACGGGGTCTCGGTGTTGGAACCGGCAGCCCGACCGAAAGCGTTGGCCCCGCCGATTGAGGTCAGTTGCTTTGATCAATCCTCAATCTCGGATCGACAATTGACCTTGTTCAACACGGATGTCCGCAACACGCTGTACCCGCTAGAAGAATCACTGGAGGAGAAGCTACTTGAGCGTGACGAGGATCCTGCCAATTTCCCGATCTCCAATATGCTGCCCGCACCGGAATCTGCAAAGGCCAGGTACACCAACATCGCGGTGCCTTCGATGCGCCGATTTGTTACGGATTCAGGCAAGCTTGCGAAACTGGATCAGCTGCTTCGAGCACTCAAACAGGGTGGACACCGTGTACTCTTGTACTTCCAGATGACTCGTATGATCGACTTGATGGAAGAATATCTCACGTATCGCAACTACAAGTACTGTCGATTGGATGGGAGTACCAAGTTAGAAGACCGTCGAGACACGGTGCACGATTTCCAGACCAGGCCCGAGATCTTTATCTTCCTGCTGTCCACCCGCGCTGGTGGTCTGGGTATCAACTTGACATCTGCCGATACTGTCATCTTCTACGACTCGGATTGGAATCCCACCATCGATTCGCAAGCCATGGACCGCGCCCACCGACTGGGCCAGACCAAACAGGTCACAGTGTACCGGCTCATCACTCGTGGGACCATCGAAGAACGCATCCGCAAGCGGGCCATGCAGAAAGAAGAAGTGCAACGAGTCGTCATCACCGGCGGAGATGGAGCTGGTGTGGACTTCAATACCCGCGATCGGCGTGAGAATAGGACCAAGGATATCGCCATGTGGCTCGCAGACGATGACCAAGCGGCTCTTATTGAACAGAAGGAAAAGGAAATTGCCGAGAAGCCTGATGAGGAGAACACAAGGAAGAGGAGCAAGAAGGCGGCGGCGGCGGCGGCGGCGGCGGCGGCGGCGGCTGCGGCTGGTGGAAGGAAACGAAAGGGCGAAATGAGTTTGGATGATATGTATCATGAAGGTGAGTGGCCTTTTTCTCTGGCATTGTTAGTATCGACTGACCACTTTTTCGTGCAGGCGAAGGACATTTCGAAGATGCTTCGGCGAAACCGTCCGGGGCGGCAACTCCCGTCAGCGCAGCAGAGACGGCTGGACCGAAGCGTGGGCCTCGTGGCGGACGAGGCGTGAGCAAGAAGGCCAAGACGGCGAAACAGAGACTTGCCATTGTTGATGCCGAAGGGGATCTGGGCATGGGTGGGACATGATCGCAAGGCAAGATTTGAGTTTCATCAGCGCCAAAAAGGGGCTGCAAAAGAAAGAAGGCACACATGGCATATTAATACTAGAGCCAGGGAAGCCCAATTTGCTGGGAATTTTGAGATAGAATTGGGCCAGGGCAGCCGGGAATTGGGATTGAAGATTTCGTGTTGATGGTGTTGCATGTACGATTATGGATTACTGTTTGCGTCTTTCGAGGGTCCTAGATGGTGATGGATGATGAAGCGGGCCAGGGCCTGGGCTAGGGAATATATGTGGGCGCCGAGGCTGAAGGCCATTACCATTTGCATGCCAACACGAGGGAGAGCGACGAGGGTGTTTGCTGGTGGGCAGGTTTCATGCTCCTACCGTATGTATTCAGGTATCAGCAGCACCTTTTGAGACGGCAGTGTGGGGTGTGTTGGGCCAGCAAAAGAATTCACTATCATTGGGAAGCACGCAAGGATTTCATGATGTTTTTGAGGTGATTCACTCATCCTCTTGTTTGCTCTTCTTTTTTTTTTCCTTTTTTTTTTCTCTCTCGGCGGTGTTGGTCCTGTCTTTATTCAGTCTCTTTGGCTCGAGAGAGCGGAAGACGGTGAGGGAGGATGAGCGATTGCCCTTGGAGAAAGGCACGAGGAATGAATGAAGGAGGTGAGAGAGAGAGAGAGAGAGAGAGAGAGAGAGAGTGTGTGTGTGTGTGTGTGTGTGTGTGTGTGTGTGTGGTGTCGTGGCATTGAAGTGCTCGAGAGGGTGGTAAGACGGGAGATAGGCTCCTTGGGATAGGATGCTTGATGCACTGATGCACTGATGCACTCGGTAATACGAGGTATAGTACATGGAGCCTGTCGGTGGGCATTGGTATGGCCAGGGCTCGTGGCTCGTACCCCGTAGATAACAAGCGAAATGAGGAGTTGTCGGTCCGTCGGACAAGGGCGTCTTCTCTGGTCTGCGCAATGGACATTGATTCATTTGTCTCTTGCCCCCTGCTTGCCCCCTGTGACTCTGTAGCTGAGTGGTCATGTCCGCGATGAGACTCGACACTCCATTCTCCAGCACCCGGGGGCGGCCATCTATTCTAACGATAGCGGCTGTGGTGGAGGATCGAAGGGGTGAAACGGTGGCAAAGGACCCTCTCTGTTAGGGATTCGACTTCTCGGTATTGTGGGTTGTGGATCGTGGACTGTGTGGTGCGCAGGCCAAGTTCGCTTTGGAAGAGACTGAAGAAACAGGTCCCAAGTCCCAAGCAGCTGCGGGTATGTTGGTACATACTCTATCCAAGTATGCAGCTCAACTAAGTATGGAAGACATATTATCATCCTATTACCTGCAACGACAAGAATAACTCTGATCGGCCATCTCCTTGGTCATCATTCGACCATCAGTGACGCAAGCCCCGATGCCCTCGACGCCCTCGACGCCCTTGACGCCCTTGACGCCCTTGAAAAGATAAGCTCGTAAAGCTTATTTGTTCGTCCGTGGCTTATATGCAAAAATGATTCATATATAGATACTAGATGGCTTGCCTGGAGTAAGTATATAAACGTCTCTCCTCCCTCCCTTCTTCTTTTCTTTCCCCCCAGCCGCCGGTTTGCTGCTTGATAGCGTTCAGCTCCCATCTCCATCGTCTACGGCAGCATGGCTACTCGCCGTCTGTCTTCCCTGGTGGGCAGCACCAAGAATGAACCCTTTGACTCTGCCATTGCCAACGAAACCCAACTGGCCCAACTGGGCTATGAGCAAGGTATGGCCATATATGAACTCTCTGTCTCTCTCTCTCTCTCTCACACACACACACACACACACATCAAGACTCATTGCTGACTGCCTTTCCACAAAAGAACTCAAACGCTCATTCTCCCTCTTGGGCATGGTCGGATTCAGCTTCTCCATCGTCACCTGCTGGACCGCTCTGGGAGGCACGCTGATCGTGGGCATCGTTGCTGGCGGGCCTCCCGTCATGGTCTGGTCGTGGGTGGCAATCTGTCTGCTCTCCCTGACCGTCGCATACTCGTTTGCCGAAATGTGCTCGGCCTATCCCACTGCCGGCGGCCAGTACAGCTGGGTGGCCATCCTGGCTCCGCCCAAGTACGCGCGCGGTGCCGCCTTTGTGACCGGGTGGTTCATGTGCACGGGCATCGTGGCCATGGGCGCCGTCAACAACTTTGTCAGTATTATTCCATTGATTGATTGATCGATTGATTGATTGATTGCGCCCGTTTTTCAAAAAGACCAATTCATCATGTGTCAATGCAAGAAGGCTGACCCGGACTAATATCCATGTAGCTCGGCGCAAATTTCATCCTCGGAATGGCCAACCTGAACAACCCGTCCTACACCATCGAGCGCTGGCACACGGTGCTGGTGACATACCTAATCGCAGTGCTCGCCTCCCTGATGAACGTCTACTTGTCGCGCTGGCTCAATCAGATCTCCACCTTCGCTGTGGCGTGGAACATTCTCAGCTTCTTCGTCGTCATCATCACCATCCTGGCCGCAAACGACCACAAGCAGTCGGCCAGCTTTGTGTTTTCTGATTTCCAGAACCAGACAGGTTTCTCCTCCGGCGGAATGGCCGTCATGATCGGTCTTTTGCAGACCCTATTTGGTACGTTACGTTCACAGACCCCCACCCCCCTCATGGCCATATCATCTTCTGACAAATATCTCCGGCAGGCATGTGCTGCTACGACGCTCCTAGGTATGGATTGATAGATAGCCCCTTGATTTCGGTCAAGTACGCCGTGCTGTTTAGAATCCCGACAAGCTGACCTCTTTTCTCTTGACAGCCACATGACGGAAGAAATGCTCAACCCAGCCAAAGAAGCGCCCCAGGCCATCATTCTCTCGGTCTACCTGGGTGCGGTGACGGGCTTCGTGTTCCTGATCTCTGCCTTTTTCTGCATCGGCGACCTAGACGCCACGGCCACGACGCCGACGGGGGTGCCGCTGATCCAGATCTTCTTCGACAGCACGGGCAGCGTGGGCGGGGCGACGACGCTGGCCGCCATGATCACCGTCATCATGCTCATCTGCTCCAACTCGCTGATGGCCGAGGGGTCGCGCGCGCTGTGGGCCTTTTCGCGCGACCATGGCCTGCCGTTCAGCAAAGTGTGGGCGCGCGTCGACAAGAAATCCCAGGTCCCCATCTACGCCGTGCTGCTGTGCGGCGTGCTCCAGGCGGGTCTGAACAGCATCTACTACGCGTCCTTTGAGGGCTTCTCGACCGTGATATCCATCGCCACGTTTGGCTTCTACCTCTCATACGCCGCGCCCCTGTTCGTGCGCCTGTGGTCGCTCGCCACGGGATCCAACCCCGCCGCCACGACGATCCGCGGCGGCGTCTACACGCTCGGCAAGTGGTCACCCTACCTGAACCTGCTCGGCCTGCTGTTCCTGGTCTTTGCCGGCATCGACTTCAACTTCCCCCAGGTCGGGCCCGTCACCGCGGGCAACATGAACTACTGCAGCGCTGCCTTCGGCGTCATCGGTCTGGTGAGCGTCGTCACCTGGGTCCTTGACGGGCGCAAGAACTTCACGGGCCCCCAGACCCCCGGCATCGTGAACGCCATCGACGCTGCCACCGCAGTCGGTGATGGAAAAGGGCTGATGCCCGGAGAAATAGCCGATGCCGATGGTGACGGTGTGGGCAGGAGCGACGAGAAGAAAGGGATATCCATCGCCGGCCTGCCCGCCGAGACCAAAAGTGTCGACGAATCCTCCGGTGACGAGAAGATCGTAGGGGATATTGGCAGGATCGCTTGAGTCAATGTGAACCGAAGCGAATCGAATTGGATTGTACGAGTCACATTGAACGAGTGAGTCTAGTGGGTGCAGCGTAGAGAGGGTGAGTGAGTGGCGGTGGTATATCAATCAAATCCGTATTCACGTGGCACTCACTACACCAGCGACCTCGCGAGACACACTGGCTCACCAGTAGCTACACACATACGCACACGCACACACACACACACACACACACCAGCTATGTGCCTGTCTGTACATTGACTTTCTGTACACTTTAGACATATAGACATAGAGATGTATGCAGTAGGTATACGGGTAGACTATCTGGGCCATCTACATAGCTAGATATCTACCTCTATAATTAATGAATGGTCCATCGGGTGGACGCTTTTTGTATCAAGTACGTGACATCTCACACTAGGTTTAGGGGACTAGACTCTGGCAGAGTTTCGTACTCTATCTGGTCGCCCCTTGCCAGCTTGTACCGCGGCCCCTCAGGGACATACACATACATACACGTAGAAGCCGACGGCCGTTGAGGGGCCCTAATGAGGTTAAGAAATCAATCAGTGACCCATGCATGCCACTGTTCCCTTCGTCTCTGTTTGTTATCCGAATTCCCGTATCATCGAAGTTTCTGTAATGTAGTTACTCCGTGCGTGTCATGATAACAACTAGTAATGGTGACAATATCCTTTCTTGGCTCTTTTTTTTCTCCCCATTCACATACCCTTTTCCATTGCCTCTCATCTATGTACTTCGTGCCATCTCACCCCCTCTTTACCGTGGAAGATAGAGCTTTGCTGGCGGTGGCGGCGGGGGAGGTTTGGTCTCAGCTCCCGGCGATGGTGCGTTGCTCTTCTTCGGGCGGTGAACGAGCGGAAGTCTCTGCGAGCGGAGAGGACTGCTAACATGATCATCGCTATCGCCATCGTCCTCGGCTAGCTCGAAAATCGATTCATGACGCTTCTTCCTCTTGACCTTTGGCGTTGTCAATGGTGTAGACACTCGTCGCTTGAGCTTACCTTGTCTGCGTGGCGTTCCGACGTTATTGAACGTCGGACCTGGCTGGTCGTCGTTACTCTCAGGAAGGCTTGAGCGGTGATTCAAGTTCTCGATATTACGAAGAGGTTTTGTTGTGGGAGAGTCAGGCACGATGTCATCTGCGCCAACTCCACCAAAGCCAGGAAAGTTATCCGTGGTAGAGCGTCCTGGCGAAGCCGATATTCCAGACAAGGGAAGTCTTGAACGTCCACCCAAAACAGCTCCGCGATGCTTCGTAGTAGGCGTCCTTGACGACGCCCAGTCAATACCAGAACGAGTTGGCGTGAATCCCCTGTCCTCCTTACTGAAGGCAGCTTTCGGAGAGCTTCTCGGGTCGGCATCGGTCAGCTCTCGCTGTGATTGAATTAGAAGTCTATTTTCGGGAGGCTCTGAAGTAGCTCTGGGGTTCTTGGAAATTCCTGTCGTTCCTGTGCCTGCAGACTGTGATGCCGAGAGTGGGGATCCCGATGATAAGCGTTTCACTCGTATACGTAACGCCTCCGCGGACTGTGGTGACCATTTCTCAACTGCAGATAATACCTCTTCGGAAAGTCGTTTGGTTGGATCTCTCTTCGGCGATAGCTCATGATGCATGTTTTTTGGAAATGGCTTATAAGGCGGCTCGATCGGAGAATGTGACTTGCGGTTGCTGCGCTTGGCCGAATCTCGGAGACCTAGTGAGCGCACCATGTTCCTAAAAGACCCCTTGTCCTGAAATTCAATCACTTGTGACTTTGGAGTCCGTGGTTGCCAGTGTCTGATTGTTCGTTGATACAAGTCCTCGAAATCGTTCTTGTGCGTTTCGTTAGAGAACCAAGAATGGTCGAGAGCTTCTTCAGCTGTCATTCGTGCGTCCTCTTCGAGCACCAAAAGATTCTCAACGAACTCCCTTGGACGTTGTCTAACCGCTTGCCATTCCTTTGACTCGCGAAGAAATTGCAGATTGCAATCTCGGGCCAGTTTTTCCGAATAGGTGTTTGTGAGAGGGTCGCAGAAAGCCAGGCCTCCCGTGAGTAACACGACTGAGACACAGCCCACGGCCCACATATCCACGGCTCGAGTATAGCCGGGTATTTCCGGCTTCGGGTTACTTTGTGCATATCCCAATATCTCGCTAGACGCGGTCAACGAAGGCCCATTCGGGAGGAATATCAAATACGTACGGCGCTGCATATTCGCGGGTGCCTATAATCGACGACATCCGGTGCAGCTTGCTCTCGATTCTTCGAGCTGCACCAAAATCTGTCAAAACCACTCGGCATCCCGCGGCCAGGCTCGTCATGAGAACATTATCGGGTTTGATATCTCGATGTACGATGTTCTTGTTGTGAAGAAAACGTAAGGCCACCAGAATTTGTCGAATGATGACGGCCGCCTCGACTTCGAGCAGTTTTCCATTCTTTGATTCAATATAGGAAAATAAGTCACCGGCTGTGACGAGATCTTGCATGATGTATCTGTGCTACGCTGTTAGCCAGTCCTTCAGATTCGGTCGGATCGCTTACATTGTATTGTCTGTGATGTACACCTTCTCGATCCCTACAATGTTCGGCTGCAAATTTCCAGTCAGTTTCGTCCAAGGTGTTCAACATAACAGAACTTTACATGACTGATTGAACCAAGGATTTCCACCTCACGATAATAGGCGCGTAATTTTCTCTCCAAGGCGTTGTCCCTCTTCTGCTGGTTGGCCCATGCTTTAATCTTACGCATTTGGACTCTGCTATCGACCTCGTCGGCCGCAGCGGGGTTCTCTGGCCGTCCGAATTGGCGTTGCGATCGCGGTACGAGTTTTCGCAGGTCGACGACCTTGCATGCAACCTGGCGTCGAGCCATTTGTTCGACCGCCATGTATACTCGGCCAAAGGCACCCGCGCCCAGGAGCCTGTCTGTGAGAACATAGTCTTTGCGGAATTTCTGCCTTGGTTAGTTCACGTCTTAGACAAGGTATCTTTCAGCCATTACCGCCATCTCGGTCTCTTGTGTGTAGTCGAAAGCCTCATTCATTGCATCGCCGGGAACGGCTGTGAAGATGATGTGTGTTTGACCACTCAATCGCAAAACATCTTTGTCACTCAGAAGGAAGCCTCCATTACCCTTTCCTATGAGTGACCCATTCCAATATGTGCCATTCTGGGACAGGTCTTCTGCATAAACCAAGGTGTCAATTTCGTAGGGCTCATCATTTTCGTACACTACGGTGTAGATTCTGAGGTGCCGTTTTGAAATGTAGGGATCGTCGAGCACATATTGACTAGATGGTGAGCAGGTACTCAACACGTAGCTCCTGATCCTTACCAGCGATTTTTATCGCGACCAACCACAATCTCGAGGTTAGGATATATCTTCTTTCCTGCAGAAGGCTAGTATGACCACAGACAACCCAAGCACGAAGACGACTTTGAACCCACTGCCCAGAATTTTGCCCTTCTGGTCCTTGTGGATGAGAGTCCCGGCAGGATTTGGTCTGGAGGAACCACTTAGAGAGCTGCCGACACGGCGAACGCCAGAAGCACAAAGAATGGACATTGCAAAGGAGAGAAAGGAGTCAGCTTCGAAACGCAATAGAGAGACACCCTGTACATGAACACGGATCAACAGCTGCAAATGGAAAGACTTATGACACGACCTCGAAGTCAGGATTGTAAATTGCCGTTGGCAGAAATGTCATTTAGCATCATCACCACGGCTGACAAGCGCCAGCGTGCAGCGAGAAGGCAGGGGGGAAAGAGTGCACTGTTCAATCGGACAGACCAGGACTCGGTAAAGAGGTCAAGAAGGTTCATTTGACAAACGTGATCGATGACCGCATTGAGACTTTAGTGCGCGACAAACGCATCAAAACCGCCAAGGGATTTCTGGCAGCTTGCACACAACAAAATTCCCCCGCAAAAGCTGCTCTTGTGTTTCCCGATCCATCATCTCATCTAGCAACCTCATCCTCGAAACCAATCTGTACGTTCCACACCACCACTCCTTGAGTCGAACAAGTGTATCAAGGACACATGCTGACATACATCAGTCTCAATTGAGTGAAGATGAGAGCCAAGTGGAGAAAGAAGCGAGTTCGTCGCCTTAAGCGTAAGAGGAGAAAGACCAGAGCCCGCAGGTATGTCTCAATGCTCCCTCGTCTGCGCAGACGCGGTGTCTAATGGTTGCCTACAGCAAGTAATCGCGTCAACTGCTCCATCGCGTCTTCCCTCTCGACCAATGTCAACGAATCTTCAACCTCTAGCTAGCTTTCGACGTCAGAATGCGGCAGCAACTAGTTCCCTCGACCACATCGACCCTGTGCGTTTGTCATGAATTGTTGTATGGGAGAGATGCGGTCCTCGAAGAATCGGCCTTGCAATATCGGGCTTTCACAAATGTGACGTCCGCGCAAGAGGAGTGGGAGACGGCCAAACCTCAATGGAGCTTTATGACGGGTTGCTTATGATGTCTGGGACATACCCAGGAGGTTTCGGTTCGCAGAATACCTTGACAATGTGCATAAGTCCCATGGCTCTCCGTCCTTCAAAGCAGAGCTCTTTACACCGCCAAATGTCCTTCGATCCTGTCACAGAGGGCAGTACTCAAGCCATGACTTAGATAGTCAATACGATCAATTGAGCTCTGAATGTCTTTTCTCTGCCGTGTGAATTCTGGTTGTAGCTCTCCCCTCTCATTTACATGATCTCTGTGCCTCTTACTAGACATTGTGTGACGTCGATGGGATCAGGTGAGGCAGAATATCAGCTGCAGGGCAGCTCACGTGAGTTCTTTTCTCTAGAACGTCTGCTGTCCGCGACTTTGATTCATTTCGGCCTACCGAACTTTCAGGTTCGGAAGGCTTCTTGCTGAGATTTTAATTTCTGATCTATTACTTCCAGAGGCGCAGTACGATCTTGAGGGGTCTCGAAGAAAGTGTGGGCGTTTTTTTTTTAAACGAAGAGACGCTATATAGTAACCGCTGAGGATGGCCCCGGATAGGATAGCGACCACGATATCATCCCCGTGATTCCTTTTAAAATGGTGCCCAACCATGGGATTTTGGTTGCTATGCTCTGGGACAGCAATTAGATACGATACAGCCGTCATAAGTGCAATCATGTTCTCGCAGTGTCTCAAAATTATTGAGCAAGAACAGTGCTGAGCTGTGTCTCGGGTGAGTATTAGAGACAGAACGCCCCCAGTTCTCTTTCGACGTACCTTTTGTGTTCTACTTGTGTGGGATTGGAAACAACGGATGCCTTTTCGTTTCTGAAAGTGTTTGGAAAGGAAGAACTACACTCGCTGGTCATCGTATTGTAACAAGGCAAAGTGGCTGTGCTGTGCTGGGCTGGGCTGGTAGAGTGGTAGCAGGAGGGAGAGTTGTCTAGTCACATGTCAAACCAAAATGGGCTGGTAGGGGGAGTGCGGAATAGTTGACAGTGCTGGCAGAGAGCCATTCTTTACAGTTTGAGGAGAGTATCATGAATTCCATGGCTTTTTTAGTGCCGTCTACCTAATTCCTGAGTGTTTTATCAGTCCTGTCCTGCTCCTCGATGCCGCCGCCGTGCTAGGCGTTCGTAGCCCTAACCGCTGCCTCTCTGGGTGGTGTTGGTTGTGGTGTTGTCTTGTCAGCGCCAACCAGAAACGCGTTCTCGATTCCCGACCTGCTGGACAGGCCTCTGTGCGTTGTTGCACGCGCACGCCGAACCCTGAAGTGCTCTGTTATAGTATCGATCGCCGCCTCGCAGATTGCAAAGAGAATTGAGCTATCCGAACGTCTGATACTGCCGACGAACAACAATCTTGTGGGCCGCAGCGAAAGCCAACTCAGAGACAAAACCGACGCGTCGTGTCTAGATTGGCGAACACGTTTTCAATCTAGCAGACACGGAGAGAAACGCAATATCGATGACAACCAACGCCTCCGGTACGCGCCCGACGGCACAACTGAATTGAAGACATCCTCGACGCGACACCTCTCCACCAAAGTGAGTCTTGAGGAGTCGCAATCAAGCCCTACCGGCATAATCACGAGTGTCAATTCATATCAAGTACGCCAATGCTGCTGTAGCATATGCCTCAGTCCCAGTCATCAGAGTAGGTTGTATCACAGGTGCAAAGAAGGAGCTGTGGTTGCCTAGAGTTTGTGTTAGAATTGGTCAGGATGTGTGGTGATGGGATTTAATGCACCGGGGATGTCTTCCACCCTTCCATTCTGCACTGCATTGTCCCACTGCTGGGCGTTAATGCCGCCATAGTTCCAGAAAACACTCGGAATTGACAAGGGAGATGTTAAGTTGGCAAAGTCCTCGCTACCCGTGGAGATGGTCGCGTCTGTGTCAAAATTTCCGCCAAAGTGGTTCTTCATCTCCCTCGACACAACCTCAGTCGCGGCTTCATCATTATAAAGCAGCGGGAATGATCCGATGTGCCGAATTAGTGGCGGCTTGGGGCTGCCAAAGGCTCTGCACTCTGCGTCGATGATGCGTTCAACAGCCTCTCTCACTTTCTGCCTTGCTTGCGAGCTGAAGGTTCTGATGTTGATTTGAAGTTCGGCCTCGTCACTGATGATATTCGCGGCCGATCCCGCATGCAAGGACCCAACTGTGACCACCACGGTCTCGCGTGGATCGGTTTCGCGGCTTACTATAGTCTGAAGCTTCATTACCGTGCTGCTGGCCAAGACCACAGGGTCGACAGCAGTATGTGGACGGCTTCCATGCCCACCACGGCCATAGAGAGTCACCAAAAGGCTGTCGGCTGCGCTGCCCATCACTCCCTTCCGAGTCTTGATCGTTCCTGCTTTCATGGGCATCACATGGCCACCCAAAGCCACGTCCGGTATTGGGATATGATGTCTCGTGGCGTCAAATAGGCCATCGTCGACCATAGCCTGAGCACCGGCACCTCGTTCCTCGTTGGGTTGAAATAGTACGACAATGGTACCACTCCAAAACCCGCGGCTTTTGGATAGAAGTTCTGAGGCGGCTAAAAGAGAGGCAATATGCAGATCGTGGCCGCATGCATGCATAACAGGCTTGACGATGTTATCGGAAAGATCCAGAACGCTCTTTGAACTCGCAAACTCGAGACCGGTGCGCTCTAATACGGGCAAAGCATCCAACTCTGCCCGCAGCAGAACGGTTCGCCCGGGACCGTTCTTGAGGATACCGACAACGCCGTACCCGCCGATATGAGTGCGAACCTCAAACCCGAGCAACGTCTTCAGACACGTCGCTACAGCGTTCGCAGTCTCCTTTTCCTGAAGTGAGAGCTCCGGATTAGTATGAAGTGTCCGGTACAGGGCTTCATAGCGGCTCATATCCGGGATATAGTCAGCGATGAGCTTTGAAATGCTTGAGCTGTCTGTGACCTCCATGACTGGCATCTGTCAAGTCCATGAAACTCGGCAAATAAAAACTTGAGCCAGGCACTACCGTGATTTTTGTGAGTGGCTAGGAGTTTATGGATGCTGGATTTTTGTTAACCCGGGATATTGAATATCCAGCTTGCGGGGTTGTTGACGGTTTGCCGCGATGCCCAAGAACGCCCTAAGCCCACCTTGTTACCACTAATCCTGATTAGGAAGGCTGTCTTTTCACAACGTTACACGGATTCGCCAAGAAGTGCGGCACGCATTCCTGTCACCTGGTGCTGCCTTAAATTCAGACTGCGGTACACAAAGCCCGTCGAGAATGAGATGAGGACTGCCAGCAACCTACAGAACCAGGCTCACTTTGAATCTTTGTCAAATCTCTAGCCCCGGCTCTCGAAGATGGCGAGTCCCCTCACCTACCCCAAGGCCAAGGGCACGACTGTCAATCGCTACAACAACAGAGGTAAATTCAAGTTGTCAGTGAGGATTCTGCAATCGTGGCGCTGATTAATCTCTTTTGTACAGCCACATACGATGTCAAGGCCATCCATTCCATCGTCAACGAAAGCTCGGTGCTTCACGTCGCCTTCGCTCCCGATGTCGAGGACCCGTTCCCGGCTATTCTACCCATGATCGGGACAATGGGGTCCTTTGACTACCCGAGTGCTGGTCTTGACGAGCCATTGGACTGTTATCTGCACGGCTATGTTAGCTCGCGCATCATGAGGCTAGCTGCATCTTCGCCACAGGGTTTGCCTGTCAGCATTGCTGCAACGAAGGTCGACGGCCTTGTTCTTGCCCTCACGCCCAACGCAAACAGTTACAACTATCGAAGTGCGATACTCCACGGCTATGCCAGTATTGTTGAGAAAACGGAAGAGAAATTGTGGGCGATGGAGCTGATCACGAATTCTGTTGTTCCAGACAGATGGAAGAACTCCAGGGTCCCACCGGACAGCGCGGAGATGCAGTCCACGAAAATCCTCAGGGTCAAGATCACTGCAGCAAGTGGCAAGGTGAGGGAAGGTGGTCCGCATGACGAGGCGAAGGATACCACGCGAGAGGACGTGACAGGGAGCACCTGGATCGGAGTGGTGCCTGTTGTGGAGAAGCTTTGCGAGCCGATACCAGCCTCCCAAAACAAAATCGGCGAGCTCCCTAACTACATTGCAGACTATGTTGCAGATATGAACGCTAATGCCGAGGCATATGCATTGAATGCAGCTCGATTACCATGAGAGCGGGAAGCCTTCTGCGCTGGAAGGCTTGGGATTTCGTTCCCGTAAGAACAGCGCTGCCAGAAATCGCAGCATAGCTAGCAGCGTTCTTCCCTGATAGAAGGAGAGATACAGATATTCAAGACACTTCAATGGAGGGTCAAAAGTCTTACACATTGTGGTACACCTTCCCGTGCAGACCAGTTTACATGTCTACTCGGCGCTAACCGACAGGGCCTGGCCATCGAGCAAACCGTGAACAGCACAGCAGGTACGGCGATCTCAATCTCAGGCCACTCATTCCTGCCCGGTAGCGGCCACAGCTGTATCTGTAAGTGCCTCTGCTTGCCCTTCAGTGTACGGAATGCCTGTAAGCTGCACCAGTAGGTCAAAGGATACTACAGGTTTTAACTCCATAACTGGTAGGAGGAACGCAGAAAATCAGCCATGCGTCTTGCTCTATCTTCGAGAGAGAACTTCCCCAGAAAGAATAGTTTTCAATTGCAGCGGCGTGTTGATCGGCACCATGAATATCAAATATGGTTATGCAACGTGGATGACTCTCTTGATTGCGTATCCCCTGTGCCCGGATTAGAAAATGTCCCTGTGGTCCATCCCCTCATTCGTTTTGCGAACTTTTTTTGTTAAGATGCGTCGGGGTAGCCTTGACCGTCCGCGGCCTGCCACGCCAGACTTGCCTGATATGCCACACGGATCGGAGCGAGGATCTGGTTGAGGGCATTCCCGACGGCAGCGACGATATCGTCGTCAGAAAGCTTCTGGTCTGCCAGATCCTGCATGATCTGGTCGAATGAGGTGTAGTGTCTACTCTTATGCCCCCCGTCATGCCCCTCTCCTGGCCCAGGGGGACCAAAAGTGAAGACCGTCCCCGGTGGCGCGGAGGGAGTCCAGAACGGCTCTGCAGCGACAATGCCCACGCCGTCGTTCGGGCCCTTTACGCGCTCCTCTGAAGGATGATTTTCCAAAAAGGGGGAGGAGGAGCGCTCCATCTGCAGCTGGCTGAAGGGGATCAGGACGTCTCTCAGCGTGGCCAGGACACCGTTTTTGGAAACTTCAGTGTTTGAGTGGTACCCGGCGCGCACCTTCTGGTTGACGGTTTCAGCGTCGTCGAGAAACATGATCTTGGTGTGTGGCGGATGCGAAGAAGACATCTTGTCGCCATACAGGTTCGGAAGCATGGGATTCATGAGGCGTGCGCGGTTCCTATACCCCAGCTGGGGTAGGAATCGTTCAGCGAAGGCGAAAATCCCGCGCTGTTATATATGCGGGCGAGATAGTCAGCCTCCATTCCATCCATCCATACCGGGTCTGAAGTCTGGGAATTTTGGGTAGGACTTACCTGGTCCGTGCCTCCCAATTGGAAATCAACGTCCAAGTGCTCTTCCGCCAGCGTCTGCAAACCCGGGCAGAGCATCGGCGCCAGCATGTCCGGGTTGTAGCTCCGGTCCCAGGCGTCCCTGACAGCCTGCTGCGGCACGAGGGTGCAAAGTCTGCACTGGTCAAAAAAGAACCTGGCGTTGGTCTGGTAGGAGGATTCCGTGGTAAACTTGATGTTCGAGGACGCGATGCCCAGCACTTCCAGCGCAGCTTCAACCGTAAAACGATAGTAGTGCATGCGTTGGACCACTTGTTCCATTGGATACTTGACGTTGTCAAGGAAAGAGTAGACATCAAGGAGGACGACAATGATCTACTATTGGTCAGAGAGCAAGCATTCAGGTCCCAGAGTCCCAAACCTCGACTCCTGCGCGCAAGAAGTCTGCAAACTTCAGAAGCGGGATAAGATACCCGATGTGAGCTTGGAATAAAAACACCTTAGTCACCCTGTTCAACGCCACTGCCTGCTACCTCCACTCACGTTTTCCTGTGGGTGAGGTGACTGTCATTCTCAATCAGCAGCAGCCCCTTCATCCGCATGAGCCCGATCGATATACGTACCCCATAAACCAACCGGGTTTTTTCCCTCTCTTGCGAGAGCGGCATGGATTAATTCAGCGCCATTGATATTCTCTGCGGGGATTCTTCTTGTAATCAAATGGAAGTTCTCGTCAAGTTTTCGACGGCTTGCCATGCTCGCGGCTGCAGAAAGCAAATCTGAGAAAGGACGGGCTGCTCAAAACACATATGAATAAATGAATTGAGGGCCTACTTGAACCAGTTGCAGATTTGGAATTACTAAGATGTGTCTTCTTGAAAGCTTTCAAAGTAGTTCTTCCTGGCCAACACACAGTCGCCATGGCTCGCCCTGGACTACTGGCTCCTCATCCGCATCCAGGGACTTTGACGGCAAGGCCCGCCAGATACAATAACGTGCTCAAATGGCAGGGGTTGAATGGAAGTGTTTGGGCACCATTTCAGCCGGTGTAACAATCGGGCGACTGATAAGGCATCTCTGTACAGGAACGAGGAGTTGCAGCATTGCAAATGGAGAGCAAGTGGGTCCATTCACCGACGGCGTTGCGCCTTGCCATGATAGTTATCTGCCTCATGCCCAGACCAGCATGTTGTCGAATGAGTGATAGCGCCAGCTGGTCATCATTTTCATTTCCAGATGCGGAGTGGACAATGCAGAAGTACTCTGTTAACGCTGGGGGATAGATGGTGTCCTAAAATGAGATTAGTTTGGACGTCGGCCCCAATATGGATTCCAAAGCATCGGAGCATAGGTTGAGTCCTTGGCAACTGTTTTGAGCGCAGATGATGGGGTTGACGGGATGACAGCCCTCCTTGTCGCGGTCTTTCTCGCCAAAGAATCGTGATACATGGTGACACTCGAACTAGAAGCTAGGGAGACTAGTTAGCCTAGTTCGAAATTCAGAGAATGGTAACATCCTCTTCGGACGGATATTCCAGGGCTGTCGCTTTCTAGCCCGTTCACATCTCACAGCCGGCGTCCAAGGCAGAGTTGCTGAAGTCCTCCACAATGGCTTCACAATGGCTCTTGTAGGCCGGCATATTCCAGACCAGGGGCTCACGTTTCTTCAATAGCAACCGCTGTTGTGGAATAGCGTTGACATGTTTGATTCGACGTAGTGTCGATCTCTCCAATTGTCGGCCATAATCTTCTGTCCACCTCCGAAGAGCTGCATTTTCCGACCAAAGATCGCTCGTCGGTCCGCCGAGAACGGTAATAATTGCTTTGGTAGCAAGCGGGAGTAGGTTGAATGGTTGCAACAAGAAGATGCAGTTCAGCGGGCCTCTCTCAAGATCGTCCTCGTTGATATGCAGAGGGTGAATCATACGTGGCATGGTGCCATCGCATTGCAGGCTTACACGAGGTATGCGAACTCCTCTTTTCAGGGACTTGCACAGCGATAACAAGGAGTCCCACAGGTCGGATATGCATTCAGGGTATTGGAAGGGGTTAATGTCGAATCGAAGAGAGGTTTCCGCGAAGTCCACTCCGTGAAGGCATGGTACATTGCACTTGATGCGCCCCGAATCGTGTATGGAAGAAAAGCATAACTCTTGGCCGCGCAATTGTTCTCGGATCTCGTGGTGTGTTTGATGGTTACACAGCATGATCTTCATTGGGCAGCAATGTTGGCTGTCCTGAGGGGTAAGCTGAACATCCAGATAGCCTTCACTCTGACCAAGGAGTGCATAATTGTATATCACGTTGCGGATCTCCCGAGGTATCTGAAGAAGGAATGCCGCTTCTGAGCTGAGGTGATGTGCTGCTGTATTGCGGTATGGTGGTATCATGGCGCTTCTGTCGTCCATGATGGACCTTGAGCACTACTAGCTCACCGGCAATGGCATCAGGCCACCAGGTGGCACCGACAACGTATGACATGTGCTGAGAGAGTATGTTCGCTGCACAAAGACGAGAACAGCGCAGAAGTCAGAAAGACATCGCCTTATGAATTGGTGGAGGAAAGCCGTGGTGCTCGTGGGCGCACACCGTGGCGGTCAATTGGTGCGGAATGCGGGTGCCAAGAGCGCCAAGATGTGTAATGACAATCGTAACTTACTAGGAAGGTTTCGGGTATTCTGAACTGAGACATCACCAGTCCTGTTGGCAATCAACCTTGAAGCATGTGCTTGCGTCGAGACACAGGTGTTCAACCCAACATGGAGGGGCACTGCTCGAAGTGGCTGTATAGTGGGTGATTGTGGTTCTGTGATCTGGATAATTGAGAATATCCCAGAGGCAGGGGCAGAGAAGGAGACGTTGATCAGCAAAACCAGCATTTCCTCAACGGAATTCTGAGCGAGAAAGCGGGACTGTGTCATGGACCACTCTGGAGGAGCGCCACACTTATCAGGACAAACATTCAGTATCTATGGAGTAGCAACAGACCCGATACTCATTCCGAGCACAAGTGTTGGATGCTCTGGTATTTCCCTGTGTCTTCAAAGTCACAATCTTGCCAATGTCTGCGATCGAAGCTATTGTATCCACATATCTCGCAAAGCATGCTCGGGCCTGAGGAAGTATGAAATATAGTACCGCTCACCCGCTCCATCTCCTGTTTGAGTCACACGATGTTTCGGTGAATGAAACTTCAACCCAGACAAGCGTTGCAGAGAGTCTGCAACGTTGAAAAGAGCGTATTCTGGCACGGGAGCTGTGAAGGCCCATGCAGGGCCATCGGGCTGCTCAACTTCCAAACCCCATTGATTGTAGAACAGCATTGTCAGCGTGCCACTGTCAGTGTGTAGATTGTCTCCGACTTGGCTAAGTTTGTCCAAGGTTGGTTCTGATATGAGCTTCAAGCCTGAGTCGCTGGCTTCTCCCTCACGGTGTTTTGACTCAAATCTTTGGTCGCCGAGCAGTCCAAGAGCATCGGAGAAAGATGACAACACAGTGAGACAAGTAGAGTGGCAAAGTTTTGAGAAACGATCAACCAGCTCAATTTCTTCTTGCATCACGGGGGGGAGCGGACAAGTCTGTTGAAGGACTTCGTCATAAGCCATCTGCAAGATTAGCTACTCCCACAAACTTCAAGAAGAGGGGAGGGCTGGCCCAGCTACCTCAAGTGTCTCGTCACAAGTGCTCCGTTTATAGCTACATGGGTCATTTAGCTTTGATCGCAATAGAAGCCCATTTACCACTTACCCGCGATCTTGCGATGGATTCTGCGAAGCTCTGTAGAACTTCATTTTTTCCTCGCTTGGCTGGTGAAAGAAGTCCTCCGAAATCCGGTAAATGCCCGGCAACATCGCAGATATCTGCCCTCCAATCAAATCGTGCTGGAGATTCAGGTAAAAGAAACCCGTCGAACGAGCTGCGTTGAGCAATTTCTCTAACTCGGTCGACTCGTGTGAGCGTAAAGCTGCCAGGTCAACGACTCCGAGTTTGGCAACCCTGTCGGGCTCGTCGCTCATTTTGGATCTGGCGATCTGACACGCTTCCGGTGGTCTGAATCAAGATATAGAAGTGATCGAAACTGTTGGGTTTGGAGAGTTGAAAGAACTGAAGAAAGGGTTGGGAGATTGCCCGACTTTTCTGAATGGCACCTTCTTCATCACCTTCAGTCACCAAACAGATGAATGCACTCACAAGGGCAAAAGCTCCTTTCACGCGTCGAATAGACTTACGCCACAGCATCGCTCACCTTTTAAAAGATATTAATGACTTGATCTGCATAGTCGGGCGTTGCATACTAGGGACCGTGCAGCCCCTGCCTCAATGAGCGGACGCAGGACTACTGTGACGGTGGTTCAAGAGAAGACGCCCAACTGGATGATGGTCATTTTCCCCCACTCTGCGACGCTCATATCATCGGCACATGATGGCGAGCAGGCCCTAAGTGCCGATTTGGGCGCCCTTGAGAAACCTCAATAAGGTCAAGCTGTGGTGGAGCAATGCGAATGTCTGTAGGCATATTACTGATTATCCCCGCTTGATGACATGTTAAATTGAGAACTCGACGCTTCTCTCCAACCGAGGAGTAACAGCGATACATGATGAAGGTGGAGGGAGGTGTTGCACAGGACCTCCACATCTATCCCTGTTCGCACGACGCATACTCGTCTTGATTGCAGCATATCAATCTGCCGTCGATAGCCGCCAGATCCGCTTTGATGTATCTTTTGATTTCTATGAAGATCCGTAAGAGAGTCATATCACCTTTCGGCCGCCAATAGACAGCATCACGTTGTGTGAAGTGCTCAGTTTTGAAGAAACAGTTCAACCCGATACAAGTCGTCTCGGAAATGTGCTTGAACAGAGAACTCTCAAGGCCCACCAAGGGCCCACATGAGAAGGCCAACTAACCCCGAGACAGTTTGGTGGAAATGAAGCGCTAGCTCAAGTGGGTTAGTTATCAAACCGCTTATGGACTTCGTACCTCGTGGGTGTACAACAAGGCTCTGTCACACAAACCTTCCGTCTCGTTGCACTAAGACTTTGTCATACGAATTCCCCCTTCTCGTTCCACCAACATTGTCAACTGATGTTGGAGGTGGGGAGGCCGTGGTCTAGCTCGTAGAAACGCCCTCGAGAAAAATTCGCACAGCCTCATGCAGCTGCTTGCAGGTGGTCATTTCAATTGACTGATGCCGAAATTTCAAAGTCACGAGGTATTGCAGCGCGATGGATTGGGAGCTTGGCCTTAGGACTGGCAAAGGGGGTTTTAACCCAGAAAGACCTTTACAAAGAATGGTTTGGCAATCGATCCTCCTTAGCCTGCAGTGATCAGTCTTTGATTCTAGAACGCATACTCCTCTATCGTATAATTTGGTCGCTGACCAGCTGATGGAACCATCCACGCAAATATGGATGCTGGAACTTGGAACCATATTGCTACTGCTGGGGGTTGCCTATTACTTGACACGACTTCGACTCCATCAAGTAATACAATGTCGGCAACAATTGGAAGGCCCCTCCATTTCACACGCTCTCGCCCTTCGAGCCATGAAGCATCTATACCACAGTTTACACCACCCTGAAGAATTCCCTGATGCTAAAAATTGGGCACATAAATGCCTGGACTCGCTTCTCTCCCAGACGGGCAATCTGGCTCGACAGCACTGGGAACAAAATAGAAGCGAAAAGGTCGACCGCAGCATCCTTTGCCTTCGAAATTTCTCAAAGGAGGGCTTACGAAGTTTCCTGGAGGCGATAAACACTGAGACCCAAGATGAGTGGGAAAGATATGTTCTTGGAAGAAGGGCGGGCAACCCACGAGAGTTGTTCCAAACCGTGCACGAAGCTTCCCAATGGATCAAAAAGATAAGCCCTGTGAAGCTCGTTGACGGAGCCTGGCTTGGTCATTTGCGTCTCAGCCTGATGCCTTTCTCATTCCAACCCGTCCTCAGGGATCTCTGGCAGATTCTCTCCGAAGAGTTAGGTGACGGAGATATGGCCAAGAACCATGTCTATGTCTTCAAGGAACTGCTTCTGAGTGTCGATCCTGAGTTCCCCGATTCCGACAGTGAAGACTTCATTCGTTCCGCGCACTTGACGGACAACTTGTCCACCTGGAATTCTGCACTCGCACAGTTAACCATCTCGTTATTTCCGCAAGATTACATCCCCGAGATCCTGGGATTCAATCTGCATTTCGAGCTGGTCACGCTGGAGACAATGAAAGCAACCAAAGAGCTGAAAGAAGTGGGTCTCGATCCATGCTACTTCTTCCTGCATGTTTGCATCGACAACACTGACTCCGGCCATTCAGCTATCGCCTTCCGCGCAGTGTGTCATTTCATGGATTATGTCCGTGAAGTAGAAGGAGAGGCGGCTGCCAGACGAGACTGGAAGCGGATACAGAATGGTTTTTGCCTGTCACAGTTCTCAACCAATTTGGAATCCCCTCCAGATGCCTTCCTCTCGAGGGAGCAGGAAACAAAAATAGTGGATATTTTGACCAACAAAGTCCGAGCTTCCAGAAAAGTCCACTGCAACAGTCCTGCACGCATCAAAGGCCGATTGATCGGAGAGTGGTTGGATCCCCAAATGTGGCAGTCTCCAAGCTGGCGACTTGACTTCTTGGACGCTTTCAGCTGCGCCGAACAGTGGATATTTCGCGGCGATGGTCACCGCAGTCGCTTTATCCACCTTGTTTCTCCCGGCGGTAAGATGTTTGGCTCATTCACTGTGGACGAGCTCGAGGTTTTGAGAGAGTGGATTGACAATTTATCACCTAAAGATGATTTAAAGACAGAATATCTCCGGGAAAAATCACAATCGCTCTGTTCCGAGCACCTATATCCTGAGCAAGATATGAGGCTGTCGCTGAAAATATCTTCGAACGACAGCCTTTTCTATGAGAGGGTTCTCCCGCTTTGGTTTGCAGCTTGCAGCTTGCTAGAGGGGTTTGTGTCAATTCCAACAAAAGCCGCCACACAGCTCGCCTTGAGCGTGCTGAAAGTCCTCCGAGCGCAGAACGGATTTCGAGACTCTGATCAGGATTTCGCGCCGACCAATGCTGCAGCTGAACGAGATCCTTTCCACACACTGAGCAGCATAGGCTTAATAATGATGGAATCTGCAGGGTTTGGCGGCGTGTCTTCGCTCGCCCAAATCCTTGAAATGTGGCCGTTAGATTTCTCGTCCAAGATGGTTGAGCTGTCCCGAAGGCCAGAAGAAAACAAGGCTATCCTCATTGGCATGTCTCTGGCGTTTGCCGAGTTTCACGCTCAAGTGAGCTCCTCTCAACTTCTGGAGCGGCCGTGGGGTGAGGCGCTTCGGATCATTGCTGAAAGCGAAATGCGCCACTTAACCTGCTGCCGTCAACTTTTGGAAGAAAACGAAGGATATCGACGTCAACTCGAGGCCGGATATAAAATCGCGACTATAGAAATCCATAGAAGCATCAAGCACGGGGATGAAGGTTTGTAGCTAGAGCAATCCAGTGTGATGGTAGCAATGCATTGAAGTGTTTATGAGGTAGAGTCTTCAGGTCCTGGATGAGAGCATTCTTGGCCGGAGCCTGTAAGTGTGACAGAAACAGAGAGCGAAGAAAAGGGTTAAGTAGCGGATTTACGCACCGAGCCCCGAAAGTTGCCCGACACCTTCGCTAAACCTTCTTCGCCGGTGCCCTTCGGCGACGTCTGGCATTAACACGTCTTAGAGCAATTTACCGCCGAGTCGCGTAGGTCTTAGTAAAGGAACCACACTTCACAAAAGGACCGGCACAACCGGCAGACTCGCCACACAGAAAGGCCAGGGGTTAAATTTCTCTGTCGATTCCATGTTCCGTCCTCTGGCGTTGATTCTGTCGAATCAATTGCCGTAACAGTCAAGGTTCGAACATTGTCTGAGAATGCTCACCCCCGAATCCGTTCGCAACACACTGAGGAGCAAGCGCAAAGGACAAAATGTGAGACCCTGCTACCCATGCAGACAGAGAAAAGTCAAATGCAGCGACTCCAGGCCTTGCAGCAGGTGCGTTGAGCGTTTGCATGAGCACCTTTGCTCATATGAGCCGCCACCAAAGCCATTCACGACAAGACCTCCGGGAGGGACCACGAGACGACATTTAGGGGCATATGGCTCCCAGACCAGATCCCAACGTGACGAAATCCGGCATGCCTCTACCCTGAACCAGGTCGCCGACACATATCAGAGAGGAGCCGATGCTGACCCTGATGCTGATGGTGCGACACCTGCAATAAGTGTCTTCCTTGGTGAACAGTCTGTCCCTTCCTTTGTCGAACAACAGATCAACCAGATTTCGACGTCTAGCGACGAAGGTGCAGCTGAGGTCAGGCAGACGGCAGTACCCATGCTGGGGCTTCAACCATCTGAACAGGAGCTTTTCCCTTACTGGCAACCTTATGATGACTATGCTCAGAATATCTCTGAAGCTTTGCCAGACAAGACTGAGATCCTCGAGTCAGTGACTGGCCCTTCCCTTTGTTTGGTTCCGACTCAACACGATATATGACAGAGCCTGCAGGAATGAAATCTTTTGGTAACTTTGAGGATGGCACTGACAAGGCCGTAGGTTATTCTCCCGCTATATACATGTCGTTTATCCGCTTAATCCATATCTCCTAGACGTCGGACGGTTTGAGATTGAGTTGATCCGGTTTTTAGAAGCGACGTCACAAAATTCTCAAAGCTACCTACAAGGATCGAACCCTGCCTGGGTTGGGCTCTTATTTGCGGTCATAGCATCCGGACTTCAATGTTCTCGTGTACGCACGCCTGAAGATGTACTGAAATGCCGTCGTTACAGTAAGCTACCATTAACGAGCATCGATTCGTGCAGGTCACTGATCAGTATAAGTTTCTACAGCATTCCACTGTTTGCATCTTGCTCAAGGATTTGTCAAACCCTCAATAGACTGCATCCAGGCCCTTGTGATCATTGTTCATGTCCTACAAAACGAGCTGCTCACCGAGGCTGCTTGGACACTTGTCGGGCTGCTAAGCCGACAGGCCCAATCGTTGGGATTGCACATGGCCAAAGCCAACCCACAACAAGCCCGGAGTCAAGGAGTCGAGCAAATCCAACTGTGGTACGCGCGAAACATGCTTGTAGCGGCCCGGTCTTCATTTTCTGACTGTGTCCAGGTGGATCATCATGTGGCAAGATAGTCTCCTATCACTGTGCTTCGACCGAGCACCTGCAACTGCCGTCAACTGTACGGACCCAGTCCACACCCTGATGGCTGGCGACCAAGAACTGGGATATCGAGAAGCAATGTGCGCGCTCTGTCATCTAACCTTGAAAGTCAGCGCTCGCCGCTATGCCTTTGATATGACGAACTCCACAGACCCCAGCTACGAGAATATCATGCGGGATTTTAACATGGTCGAGCAAATCAAATCGAAGCTTCGTTCCGAAATAAAAGCGCACGGTAATTGCAGAACCGTCCAAGATCTCGTCCATTACACTTGTTTCAAACTACATTCATCGTTTGCACAGGGGGCCCTTCTGCGTCCGTCCCTGAACACCAAGAATTGGCGTTATCTGACCACAGTGCAAAGGCAAGACCTAGCCACCAAATGCATCAATTCCCACAAGAGTTCGCTGGACGCCTACCTGAATCTGTTGGCGATCAGCACGAGTGCCAAGCGTTCGTGGGCAATGTTGCATAACGGCCTTGCGTCGGCGCTCATCCTGGCCATTACGGGCCAAATCAAACACGACCCCTCCGTGGCAGCCATGTTAGAACGCTTGTTCACGACCCTGCAGGCTAACTCTCCTAGCGATACTGACGCCAAACAACTATGGGATCCTCATGAGAGAGGATTGCAGGCGCTCCAGCGGATGTACGAACGTCAGACTCTGGGAGCGGCTTCCTCTCACACGCCTATCGCGGATCGCGGCACACTCCCATCTCTATCTACCGCTGCGGGTATGGCTGGTACCTCAGGTCCTTCCGCCACGGAGATCTTTGAGGTGGACTATTTCGCGTTCGATCCGCAATCGATGGGGGAAATATCTGCCTTTCTTCCCAATAGTGGCTCATACGGCGATCTCATGGTTGACGACGTATTCGACTCCGTCTTGTGGGGATCAGGTTGATTGGATAAAATAGAGAAACAAAGAGCAGCAAGGAACAAGGAACATCTCTTTGCCGTTGGCCATTACTGGCGCCGTTACCGGCACTCCTGCACTCCTACAGCCACGATATCATCAAGTCGAGAGATGATGGCGATAAAGGTACCTTTCATAATGTTGCGAAGAAGGCTGTTCTATCGAAGACGCACACAACAAGGCATAGTCGGGGCTGTCACCGGTATCACAACCAAACTGTCAATGAGCGGCGAATGGCCCCTCAACGCGTGGAAATTGAGGAAGTTGAAACGACTCTATGCACCCATCAAAACTCCCCGTATAAATGGTCCTGCTGCACTCGGCCCCTTTGTTTTAAAAGCCCCAAGCCGACCATCGCTCGTCGACACTCTTCTGGAGATTCTCGGGGTAAGAGTGCTTGAAGTCTGCCAGCTCCCAATCTTGACCGCCGGTATACTCTGCGGGGAGAAGAGCGTCAGAGACCACCTTTCCGCCTTTATGCGGCGCGGCGGTGCCGTGGCCCATGTACGGAATCAACGCGAAGCCTCGGCAGTCCTGGTAGAACAGTTCGTCGGTCTGCGGTCTGCATCGGGTGGAAAACGCAAAGAGCACGTCCTTGAAGTCGTACACATCGATGTCCTCGCCGACCAGGACCAGTCGGTGGATCGTGTACCCGGCCTTGTGTCCGTAAACGAGGTCCCCGACCAGTTTGCGGAAGGCTTCGGGCGTGAGGTTCATGTCGGCGAGTTTCTTTGTGTCGACTTGAAGCGCCACCCAAGTGACTTGGGTTTCAAAAAGGCCCATGGCTTCCTTGATGGGCAGACCATGGTCTTGGCAGAGTTGGCGGATTTCGGCAGCGGCTAGGGGCCCGATCATAGTTTGCTAAGAAGACCAAGGCAAAAGGGGTCAGTTTTCTTGGTCTTTCGTCATCTTACATAGTCAGGAAAGCGATGAGGTTGGGTGTCTTTGGAGCTGCCCGACTTACCGTTTCATCCGTGATTCTCCCGCAGTTTGATACCGGAAGGATAGCGTCTGTGCGATGGGTGATTTTATTTACAGTGTAGACAGGCTGCAGATGGGAGTCACCGGGAAAGACGTATCCGTGCATTTCACCAAAGGGACCCTCGGGCGCCAGCTCCGAGACCGACAGGGTACCTTCGAAGACGATCTCGGAGGTTGCTGGTACGTACAGGTCGTTTGTCTCGCACTTGACGACGTCTAGCGCCGTGCCGGTCATCGCGCCGATGTAGTCAGCCTCGGAGAGTCCGCTGGGGAGAGGCATGCTTGCTGCCATGATGGCGGCGGGGGGCACCCCGAAGCATAGTGCCCACGGGACATCCTTGCCGATGGCTTTCCACTGTTCCCGGATCTGCCAGATGTGTTGAGGCTCGATGACCAAACCGACAAGATGGTTCTTGTCCTTCACCATGGCCCTCGCGATGGACCAGTTTGTCCACGTTCCATCTGGAGACTGGATGACATGCATTCCGTATGTTTGGATGTATTTACCGCCGTCAGATTGGTGGAGGAACGGGGCGGGAAGCTTTTCCAGGTCAAACTCGTCCAGGATGTGCGCCTTGCAGGGCCCCGTGCTGACGACCTTCGGCGGGATCGGAGCCGACGATTTCGCAGAGAGCATTTTGTCCAAGATATCCTTCATGCCTGCGGTAGGTGGAAGAGCGAGGTGGCGCGCCAATCGAGCATATCGCCGTGACGGATCACGTCGCAGGGACGCCGGGGCTCCCAGGATTCTCCAGAAGCCATTGACGTTGCCCTTGAGGTTGTTGAACAGGGGTGCTTTGCCGTCGGTTTCGCACACTTTTCTGATGATAGCGGCGGCCTCGAGATAGGGGTCGATCTCGTCGTTGATCTCGACCAAGTCGCCGTCTTCCTTGAGTGCCGACACGAAAGACCGAAAACTCAGATGAGCTGGACCGTCTGGGGGTTGCGTGAATGTGCTTGAGACCATGGCTGGAAGTTACGGGTCCTTTGGATAACTCTTTTCTTGCAATGTTTGCTGTGGGATGTCTCTACGCTATAGTATGTCGATTAAGATTTGTGCCCCAATATATACTTCTCTCACTTGCGAGAGCTCCTGCGACATTTTTATTTCTCGCTTTTACGCCTGTCCTTGCCACAGAGGAGAACTCATTGTCCAGGGTGAGCATGTCCGCAAATACAGGTGAGACAGAGAATTCATGGCTGACAGTGCCATAATCTCTGACCGCCTTGATTACCACGTAAACACCAGCGAGGATACAAAATGCTCGTCTACATGTGGTAAGTATTCCGCCCGCAGCAGGTGGCGTTGTAAGGCTGCCCAACCAGAAGATACACCGAGATCTGCGAGATCTGCGAGACTTGCGAGATTTGCGCATTCGTGATATCTCACCAGCGGTATTTTTTCTTGTTTCACGACCGACAGCATAATCGTTCACACGGTTAAGGGGCACCACCCAGACTTAAGGCCGAGAGAGAAGAGGATGATGTTCTCGGATGAGAAGGCGCCTCCTTCCGGCTCCAGAAGGCACAGCATATAAGAGACGGAGGCGGTCTCGAATGCCGTTTGCTTCGTAGACATCTCAAAGACATCTTGGAGCAGATTGTGCTCGTTTTGACAACATCTCCCATCACCATGATCGTTATATATTGCCTATTGGCGTGCCTATGTGGCTATATTGTGGCCGCGGCTCGTTTGGAGCCACCCAAAAGCTTCGCCGGATTCTTCCACCTCAATTATCTCCCAAATAAGTCGACAGCCACCATGTCCAGCGAGGTCCGAGGGCCGAGCAAAACTAAAATACCAACGATCAAAATCACTACACCTCAGGCTGAAGACGGCATGAATTCAAAGGTCGCCCCGGAACGCCAGACGGCAGCCGCTGCCGTGGGCGCCGTCCAACCTGCGAAAGCGAGAAAGCGAGTCGTCGTAGCCATGACCGGAGCAACAGGCGCTATTCTCGGGATCCGCCTCCTCGAAAAACTACGACGCCTTGATGTCGAGACTCACCTTGTGATGAGCAAGTGGGCAGAGGCGACGATCGCATTCGAGACCGACTACAAGATTCGGGACGTCCGCGCTCTGGCCTCCAAGGTCTATTCGGCACGGGACGTGGCGGCGCCCATCTCTAGTGGGTCGTTCAAGGTCGACGCGATGATGGTGGTGCCCTGCAGCATGAAGACTCTAAGCAGCATCGCAACAGGCTACGGCGACGACTTGATCTCTCGAGCGGCAGACGTCACGCTGAAGGAGAGGCGGAGGCTGATTCTTATGGCGCGCGAAACTCCCCTGAGCGGCATCCACCTTGAGAACATGATGAAGGTCACGCAGAACGGCGCCATCATCTTCCCGCCGGTGCCGGCGTTCTACATCAGGCCCAAGACGGTCGACGACATAATCGACCAGAGCGTCGGACGGCTACTGGACCTTATGAATATCGACACGGCTGATTTTGAGCGGTGGGACGGGATGCGGAAGTTTGGGGCCAGAGAGGGATGAAGATGTTCTCTCTATATATATATATATTTATATTTTTCCTTTTTTCCAACCACCAAATCTCTCCAGTAGTCGGGTAGTGTACCTCGTATTAATAATATATACACCTTCTCTATACGGAAATCGATGGCCCCGCTGAGTCATTCCTCAGTCAGCCGGACTCTGTCCACCGCAACATCGCGCACACATATTACCAACCGTCCCATTCGTCAGTGGCTTCGCATAGTAATCATCACACAGGGATCTTCGGGCCCGGCGATTGAAGCCACTTCGTCACTTCTGCAGTGGCAACGACCATCCCCTCGCATCCCCCCCAAGCCCCTACCGGCGCCTCTTGAGTTTCAAACACGAGGCCGTCTATCCTGCATGCGTATCGTGGCTATCTGCCTTGCCGTCGTCTAGCCGCAGAATGGCCTTTTCTGTGGATAAACCCGGCCGCAAGCCGCCACTCGCCTTCCGAAGACAAATCCACACATGGCGTGCCACGGCGGCACCCTCGAAGAACCCACAGGTATGTGATCCGTAAATCATCGAATCGGCCTACCTAGCTCGACGAGAGGTCGATAGATCTGAGGGTGACATTTGGCTTTTGAACACGGGCCTAACTCCCTCAAACTGCAGAGCTCTCGCCCTTCCGCACAGAAGAAGAAAACCATCACCAAGCCGCGAGGATCAGGATCGAACCCTGACGGCGACCAGCCGCCTTCGTCCGCGAACCAGGCAGCCTGGCAGTCCCCGCCAATCCACGAGATTGACACGATTCTAGACCCTTTCTGCAGCTTCCCCGTGGATGTGCCCGCAGATGGGCGTCGACTGCTTCAGTTCTGTGTGTTTGATTCGACCCCAGCCCCATGTTGGAATTCGCACAAAATGGGGCAAAAGAAACGAGAGTGTGAAAAGCTAACGGGTTGTTGAACGGGATAGACATCACCACCATCTCCAGCAGGATCTACGGCACCAATCGCAACCCAGGCTTCAGCCCTGTCCGAGATATCAGTTTCCGCCAGGCCTTGTTGGGTTCCTACACACTACAATGGATGATCATCTCGGCTGAGGCCTTGCTGACCCGCTACAGAGGCGGGCCCGAGCCGCAGTCTCTGTTCCGTCGCAAGGCGGCGGCGTACCTGGCGCTGAATAGACATCTCCAGAACTTCTCGAGGGAAAAAATCACGGATCAATTCGTCAACGGCATCGTCATGGCCATCATCACCGAGTCGCGCATCGCGGCGCCCGAGGTCGCCAACATACATCTGCGCGCCTGGGAAGCCGTCCTCAAGACGGGAGGAGGCCTCAAGCAGGTCATCGCCGCCTCTCCGCAGCCCTTCGACCAGATGGGATGTCTCATGCCGTACCTGATCTGCGAGCCCCTCCCGGATGCCCTGGTCTTTTCCGAAGAGTTCGAGGATCGGGCCATGGATCTCCTCCGGACGATCGTGAAGGGGGAGAACCCGGCCGATCCGACCGACCTGATTTTCACAGCGTCTCATGTCGTCGTGCAGCCCCATGTACTGTTCCTGTCCATGCGAGGCTCCCTGCCTCAGCAGATCCGGCATTTGTTGCTATCTAGCGTGATCGCCCCTTACCTACGCGTCGACACGTGGGGGCAGCGGCAGTACGCGCAAAAGTCGTCGCACTTCATCTCCCTGTTCCTGCTGGTCACGACCTTTTGGAAGCTGCGGCGCGACTACAAGGCCCAGGCGGGCTTCTTCAACGGCCTGCACCGGCTGTTCATGAACAGCGCCACGCAGACCCAGTCCGGGACCCGGTCCATGACCGACGAGGGCTTCTTCTGGGTTGTGGTCAAGGCGTGCTTTGACGTCTACGTCAACATGAGCGACAGGGCAACGCGGCTGAAGGAATACATCGATTTCCTAGCCGACGCCCTCTCGGCCCTGAAACTCTTCCGCGTCTGTTGCGACGGCGTCAGGAAAGATATGACCGTTTATCTCTACCAGTGCCTAACGGGTGGGAATGAGGCGCCGGATTGAAAGAGCGTCTGGACCACCCATTCACCCGGACCAGGCTCGTCAACATCAGGGCTGGCCGTTGATTTGGGGCCACTCATCTGTGCGCAAAGATCTACAACGATCCCTCTCCGCGCCGTGATTTGATTTCGCTAACCCAATCCAAGGCTCCTTCTGCTAAGGCTACAGGCATTGCGGATATTACAGAAGTCGCACAGTGAAAAGACAATTTCACTAGGCCGAGCGCCCGCCGGGTTCATTGGTCTTTATTCTCAGACGTATAGGGGTATAGCCCCAACCGTCAAATGAGCTACTTGGGCGACTGTTACGGTTATCAGCGTCGCCAGTGCGTGGATTGCCGCCCTATCTAGAGCGGGTGGAGGGACAACGGAACACCTCGCAACGAGCAAAAGGTACCTAGATTTGTCCAAGGGACATGTTTTCTAAACACCATCATCAATCAATAGAAAGTGCAATCCACTCTCATCCAGTCGACGACAATGCCAAATCCGCGCAGGGACAATTCTGAGAGGACCGCAGAAATCAAGTGGCTACCAAGACACTATACTGGGGTCCTCCGTTCCACGGACAGGATTGGCGAGATTTTGGGATCTTCATGAATGCCAGGTCATGAGTTGAGCACTAATTGAGACATTGCTCGAGAATACAGAAAGTCGCCTCTCCCTCATGAGACTAGCCCCATCTTTATCAGTGCCTAGAGGTTCATTTCAAACACGAAGCCGAGACGGTTGCGTCGCCTGGTTAAGCATCGGGGTAAATCCAACGCGTGTTGTCGGGGTGGATCGGTGGGCTCCCTTGCTCGAGTCGATCCAATAATCGAGGGAAGACCTTCTGCACAGTTTCGTCCGGCGACAAGCCGAGGAAGCTTGAAGTCCATGGCGGCTGCTCGTCTGTCTCGATGACAATGAGCCACCCTTCGCAACGAGCTACGTTCATTCGACATTCAGACGGGTGGTAGACAATTAGCGAATCATCATTGAATGAAACGAGGTTATCGCCGTCCGTAAACCAAGATCTACCATCCACTGTCAATCTGTGTTCCGCACAAGCATGTATCCTGCCGGTCAATGACTGAGACGTGCGCCCTCTGAAGACATCACAGAGATAGAGCGTTAGGCTGTTGATGATATGGCTGCGCTGGCGGGCTTCGTGGAGCAATGGATGGATATCCGAGAAGGCCTTGGCCATGTGCTGTTGGTCTCGAGTGTCACTGAGGTGGTCGCAACATAGCTCGAGCCCCCGCAAAAGCACCAGCGCCCTGGCATCGGAGAATTGGCGTCCCTCTCTGACCGAAATATTTCTCTTCTGGCAGAGAAACCCGTGCAGAAACGTCAGCGACAATTTAATTTCGTGAGGACCGAGACCTTTCATCCCCTCAGCCAAAGTATGGATATCAGCTAAGGAGACTCTGGTTGGGGTCATGAAGCTTTGCGCAAGCAGATGTGCGGTGATCCGTTGCGCAGATTGGACACACTTGGCAGGTCGAGAGAGCCGTCTCACGCGCAAGAGCCACTGCTGAACGTTAGGGGTGATTTGGCCATTTGGTCCATTGTCGCGCCTGGTTGATGCGACCTGTCCAACTGCTTTCCAGGGCTTCCCACTCGATCACAGCTTCAGATTCCGAATGGAGGTCGACAAAGGCTCGGATGAAATTGCGAAACTTGCCCTCGTCTGAAGTCTCTGGCCGGATATCGAGACGATAGGTGCAGAAGAAGTCCTGATTGGCTTGCTCCGCTGCTCCCAAGAGTTCTTGAAGTTGCCTGGAGTTGGTTCAAAGACAGCATTAGAACAAGAGACTCGTTAGAGATGGAATGGACTGGTAAAGGCATTTATCGAAATGTATGGGAAATGGCGATTGCATCATAGCAAGAGACAACTCCTGTCATTGAGCATACCGACTTTCTTCCTGCACAGACTTGAAGGCAGCTTTGATCTCTTCCAACGTGTCCTCCGTAGGCGCCTGAAAACTGCTGTTGGCCTGAATTTCAGGTCTGTGCTCAGGGCGTGGTTTGACTATCTGCGCGATCATATTGACCACATCTTCCCGTGCCCAGGTTTTGGCGAGCTCTTGTTGGGCGCCGCGTTATTTCCAGTCAGAGTACCGAGTAACTCCGCCCTCGTCTAAGCTCCAGTTTGTTGGCGATTTGCAGGGTGTTGAAGGGGGAATGTCGCGACATGGTCGGCAATATCGTACAATAGTGACTTCGGATAATCAATGTTGCGAGCCGACGATACAGAGTTCCAAGTTACGTAGCACAATTGTATCGGCAGCGTTCGGCGCTAGTCAAAGACTAAATCGGCTAAGTTGCCTTGACATGACAACTTTTTGTACACTTTCATAGTTGGAGAAACTTTTGTGGTTGACCTGTTCTCAACCCAGACCCTGCTTCTGCGTACCTCGACGCGGCACGCAGACATGGCGGAGAAGAAGAGAAAGGCAAGCTCCCTAGAGAGCGAAAAGCCATCCAAGAGGCCGCAAACAAACACCATCAAAGTCACTCATTTGAGCGGCCCGGAGGTCGCTAAACCTCTGGTCGGTATGCATTTCGCATCTGTCCCAATGTTCTTCGAGGGCTGACTCCCTATGCCAGCTTCGTCGCCCGGTGTAACACTTCCCTCGGACCTCAGTTTCAATGGGTTTTCTAAAAAGCAGCCAGCAACCGGGAGGTCTAGCCTGCTCCTCCAGTCTTCGGACCACCCTACCATTGACTATGTCGCGACCGAGAGTAGCACGACTGATGCTGCCGAAAAGAATGTCAAGCACTATATAGCCGTCTTCGACCCGGCCTCCAACAAGCTCACAGTGGTCGGAGCTAGGAAGATGACTGTGAGAAGCACCGTGCGCCAGCTAGACAAAGAAAGCGACGACGAGGAAGAAGCTGAGGAGACCATGCCCGCGCTGACGCCCTCTCGCGCGGCATTGACACAAGCATTTGGAACGAAAAAGTCAAAGAGAGCTGTGACCTCGTCGGCCGAGAACCGTCTGCTCGCTCGCGATGGAGAGGACCGGGACCACCCCGTTTCCAACGCCATTCTATCGTCGATTAAAGAGGAGGACGACCCAGCCGTCATGGTCGACGCAGGAGCTGCGTCGCGAACCAATAAACCCCTCCCACAAGCCGATTTAGACACGACCGACATCACCGAAGTCTACAATCTCTCCTCGCTCGTCTTTCCGGGTCCTTCCCGAACAACTCTGTCTCAAATGCCCATCGCGTTCTGGAAAGAATGCGTCAAGAAGAAGAAACCCATCTCAACCCACCTGCGCTTCGTGGCGACGCGCGTGGGCTACCTAGCCCAACGGCATCTCAAACAACCAGATAATGAAGAAGTCTTGATTAAGCTCCAAATCCTCCGCTACATCCAACTCCTCGTCGAGATCCACAAGTACGTCTCGCACCAGTCGCCGCGGAGACCGCTGGCCCAGCCAGAGCAATGGCCCAAGGGCACAACCACGGACGCCTCCCTGTCGACAGCATTCAAGGGGAGATTGATGTCCCATTTCTTCCCCAACAACACACCCACCGTCTTCAACAAAACCTTACTTACATCCACAATCCTCGCGCTAACACTACACATCCCCCCCCCAAACTTCACGCCGGGCGAATCACCAAAGACGCTCTTCACCGAGCCGAGCGACATCACGCTGGACCTAGCCATGCCGCACGCCGAGATTTATAAGCTGTACCGCGAACTAGGCTGCAAGATGGAATCCATGACCAACGGCGAGCTGCAACGGTATGGATGGAACAAGGTATTGTCGTCTCCTCTACCACCACGACAGAACGGACGAATTGACGACGACGACGACGACGACGATGACGAAGGAACCAATGCGGTGGTGCTCAGGAAGCTGCCTAAGCCTAAGTTCGCGAAGCTACGGTTCCCCGTCGAATTTCCCAGGATCAGTGCCGGGAGGCCAACAGGTCGGAGGTAGGGACTCAGGCTTGATGGCGGCGGCGGCGGCGGCGGGGGGGCCTTTGGAGTACATAGCTGAGATTGACTTAGTCGACAGGTTGGGCTGGCACCTTACATACGGAGGACACCTTGCAAGCAATGGAGAGATGCCGGCTGAAACAGGGATAGAAAATAGCAATATGCGCTGCAGGACGTTCAAGATGTCCTCTACCATGGAGAGCATAGGGATGAAGAAAGGTAACCGAGACGAAACGACAAAGATACAGGAATGAACAAGAAAAGTTAGAAGTCAGGTCGATTGACCAATCGACCGTGAAGCCATGAATGGGGTTGTGTAGAAAGTCACAAATGGCCACATCGTATGGCGATTGTAGATTTCCTAATTTCATCGGCCCACAACTGTGTTTGTAGTGTGACCGGAAAAAATATATGTATGTAATGGGCTGAAGAGCCGGACATTTGCTCCCCCTCCCGCATTTGCGAGGACAAAGGGGGGGCAAAGAATTCGAATATCAGAACGGACATCATTCCTTCACGTTCACACATCCTATCTCCTCGTCTCTTTTCTTTTTCTTCTTATGTCACATCATTCCTATTTTCATGTGCAGTGCGGCTTTTTGTCTTTTGCGGCGAGCACTTCACTGTCTCCCAGTCGTTGAAACGAGAAACGGGGATCCAGAGAAAGCTCAAGCAGCAGCAGCCGCGATGGGCAACGCTCGGGCCTCGGATGCCTGCTGGGCCAGCGGCTCGGCGACAAGAGACTGCGCGGCGCTTTCAAGCTGCGCATCGGTCCACAAAGACTCGACTGGCGCTGCATCTTTGACGCCCACGCCCACGAACCCGCCTTGGGCCTCCCAGTCCTTGACGCGCTTGATGTTCAAGCGGTTCCAGACATTCTCCAGCGCGTCGATCAGTTCGGCGCGCAATTCGGAAGTATGTCCCGGAGTGGGCGTGATGCGGAGTCTCTCTTCACCCCGCGGAACGGTTGGGTAATTGATGGATTGGACGTAGATGTCGTAATCGTTGAGGAGCATATCAGAGGCTTTCTTCGCCGTTTCGGCGTCACCGACCAAGAGCGGGACAATGTGTGAAGGATTTGGAATCACCGGGATGCCTCTTGCGGTGAGATCGTCTTTCAGGGCACGCGTGTGAAGTTGCTGCAAGCGCCGGTCTCCTTGATAGACGGCTTGGTATTCAATGGCCGCACGTGCACCAGCCATGGTCGCAGGTGGAAGCGACGTCGTGAAGATGAATCCCGGTGCGAGAGAACGAATGGTATCGACCAGTGAAGCGGAGCCAGCGATGTATCCACCCACACAGCCATATGCCTTGCCTAGCGTTCCCGTGATAATGTCAATTCTATCCATGACGGTACCCCTCTGGGATTCCTTGGTTCTATCGGGGTCGGCATAGGTATCGTAATCAAGGTGTTCGGCAACGCCGGCACCTCGCGGCCCATACATTCCAACGGCATGGACCTCATCCAGAAAGGTAATGGCGCCATACTTATCTGCCAAGTCGCAGATGGCCTCAATGGGGGCGATGGAGCCGCACATGCTATAGACGGATTCGAAAGCGATGATCTTCGGCTGCTCGGGTGGGAGACTCGCGAGTTTCGTCTCCAAATCAGCCAGGTCGTTGTGCTTGAAGACCATTTTCTTCGCGCCGGAGTGGCGTATGCCTTGAATCATGGAAGCGTGGTTCATGCTATCGCTCAGGATCACACAGTCGGGCAATTTGCTGCCCAGCGTGGCCAAGGTGGCATCATTGGCGACGTAACAAGAGGAGAAAACCAGAGCGCCTTCTTTGCCATGAAGATCGGCGAGAGTTTTTTCCAGTTCCACTGCATGCTTGTTGTGGCCGGAGATGTTTCTAGTTCCTCCGGCGCCAGCTCCGTACATGTCGAGCGTGTCATGCATGGTCTTCAAGACATGCTTGTTGCGACCCATGCCGAGGTAGTCGTTGGAGCACCAGACGGTAACGCGCTCGTCCTTTGCAGCCATGTGGGCGCGAGGGAATTCCTTCGCCAGACGATTGATGTTGTTGAAATAGCGGTATGACTTGTCCTTGTGCTTCTTGTCGAGCTCATTGTTGTAGAAGCCTTCATAGTCGAAACGTGGGGCAGGCGGCGCACTGGGTCTGGGGCCAGCGTAGGTGTCCGGTTTCTGGACGGCGTTCTTCACGGCTTGCGGAGGTGGAGCTGCAAACTGTTAGTACCCAGAGCAACAAATCCCTATGGGTTGTCTATACCTGGCTGGGGAGGTCGAAACAGATTGGTGTCCACGCTCGCTTTCTTTTCAGCCGAGGTGTGCAGTTTCTTCTCCAGGAGGGACTTGACCACGCCAGTGCCGGCAGCAACATTCCCATAGCTGCGACGCGAGTTGATGCGGGCGCTCTGGACGGCCAGGGCCTTGTTCATGACGGGGCATCGTCGGGCAATGAACTGCAGGTTCGTAATGGTGCCGCCACCTGGGGATTGGCGGGTCGAGGTCGACAAAGAGCGCAGGGTTGCGGGAGAGGTCTTCTTCAAAAAGGGGCAGACGCCCTTGGATTGGTGCAGCAGAGCCTCCATGGTTCGTTCGCAGGGGGTTGTCAAGGGCGTTGAAAAAGATGGGAGGGATTGAAGAGGAGGTGTGGGAGAAGAACGGGGTAGCAAAGGGTAGGGGACAAGAGTGAGTGAGAGTAAGTAATATTTGCTCGGTAGCAGCTAAGGATGGAAATAGCAATAATATGGGGCTTGTGGGCTTGTGGGCTTGTGGGCTTGTTTGGGGGGGTCAGCGTTTCCCGCTGCCAGCCAGCCAGCCACTCACGGGCCTCGTATTAGCATCGCTCTTTGCGCTCTCCGCTGCTCGTCTCGCTATTTATTGCCCCTTCCGGCCACTTACCTTTTCCGCCCAGGTGCCTGTGCAGAATCTTTCTACCGAACAAACTGCCAGATACAGGCGACCTCCCTAGGAGAAAGGAACTTGACTCAGTCCCACGGATTCAGAGCAGAGACTTCCAGCATGATTGGACATGGGAAGTGAACCTTTTTCCGGGCCTTGCCAGCTGACTATTGCTTCGTCTGACCCTCTCTTCCTAACACCCAACGCTCAGACCCACTGCAGCTTGGGCTAGAAGACATTTCTGGCGGCAAGCTCGGCGGTTCCAAAACGTCGAATGGATTCCCTGACACAATTTCTGCATCGTTCGTGATCACAATTCGTACATAATGCAAACAACCCCCGCATTTGCCAGTGCCGGAAATCTGGGTCTGCGCAATGGCAGCAAGACCAGCGACTTGCCCGAACAAAATGCACGCGAGATGCATGTATGCTCTTGAGCAGAAGAAATGGATCTCCAATGCACGAGTTGGATGGCGGGCTCGACCGGGAGCCTGACTCTGTCGCGTGCTCGCGTCTGACCGAAAGATCCGGCGCCTTGTACTCGTCTAGATACACCGTGTACCAGTTGTACGGAACGCACTGCTGAAGTTAGTATCACAATGGGGGAGACTTATGTGCGATTAACCAACGGAGATCGTTTCCATGACAATGTAGTTTCGAGGAACAAATCACACATCAAATCCCACGCACTTTGACCAAAATCGACATTGCAATCTTAACACTTGGTCCGACAAGAACACCCCATGTTTGAATGGCCACAAGCATACCGCGACTGCTGCCCAGATCGAGGTGATGTCGCTCGTTTCGCAGATAACCAAAGCAGGGGTGAGCGCGGGACAGATATCTGATGTAGCCCAAGAAGGCCGTTCGGTATTGCACGGTCATCCAGGGGATCTTTAGGAAAACGCCTAATGGATCCTCCTGGGCAACAGTCTCCTCCAAGCAGGGAAAGAGGAGATGGGAGCAGCAGGGCCAGACACCACATCAATGCCAAGGCCCGGATGAGAAGCGCTGCTGTCAGGGGGTCACTTCTTGCCAACCTAACGAGGCGGCGGACGATGTTCTCCATCCGCCGTCGGGTATCGAAGAAATAAAACACTGTCAGCAGCACTGAGGCAGCAACCTGAACAGGCATGGCCAAGATTCTGTTGCTGACGGTTTGTGGTGATTCTTTAGATAAAGGAATGGCTCCGTAAGTCTGAATGTGCGTGTCGAGAAGAGGCGACTGGCAGTATGAGAAACCTGACCGATTTGAGTCTGAGCTTGGATCCGCTGTTGCTGTTGATTCTTCGTTTGCCATGTTTGCCACGACTTCAAATGAGGAAAACATTCAAGGAAGGTCTTAGGACATCAGGTGCTGCAGTTTCCATTTTTTTGCACTGCTTCAAGAGTGGAAAGGAGGCGATGCTCTGCTGAGGCAGACATTAATCAGGGAACTGGTTCCTCACTGGACGTGGGCGCCTTACAGGAGTGCGTCGAGCAACAGTGCATTCATGGAGCCTGTGGAACGTGTGACAGACTCCGTGAACTCTTGTTCACCTTCAAAAGCCCAAGAAATCCCTTGGACAAGTTCGTCGATCATCAATCGAGGAAGATAATCGGTTTCATCTCTTCTTGCGCAGCACTTGGCTTCCCTGGAGTTCTTTAACACGGTTATGGATGCTCGCTTTTGTAGGGTGATACATCGTCAGGCATAGCCTGCACAAAATCTTCAAAGCTCTGAAGTGCTTGATTGTAATGGCCGCAAGCTGCTGAGGCTTCACGAAATCATTCCTTCGAGCCTTCGTCCGCTCGGATCGCCTCATATGTGCTTTTTGCTACTCGCTCCCCGTTGACAACGTCTGAAGGTGAGACACCAACTAAAGACATTGGAAGGAAAAAGCTGGGCTATCGTACGAAAAGGCACTTCCAATAGAACTCAAGAGAACAAAGCAGGGGGAACTACAGTGAGCTGAGCGAAGCGAGGAGCATGGCGAGAATAAGGCTGGGAGGGCAGTGGTCACACAGGGGCCAGGGTGGGGTTGACAGCACTGCGCCTCTTGAGATGTGGGTATTGGCTACGGTATCCTCCATAGCAAGGCGGACAATGCATGTGTCCAATGCAGCTGCCGAAGGACGCAAGGCACTGACAAAGGTGGCAGTGCTCTAGATTTTCCAGGGATATTCCAAGGCAGATGGCGAGTTGTCCTCGTGCGTGCTTCACAACACTGACCGCTACCTCTGCTTTTCTATCCGCCGCTGATCAAATGCAGCAGAGAAAGCCATTGAGCCATCCCTGATCCTTCTCGGCTCATGATGAGGTGTGCCACTTCAAGGGGCAGCTTCCTTTTGTCAAACGCTCGCTATGACTTGATCTCCGCTGGCTTCGCGTCCTTGGTCATTCTGATACGACCCTCCAGTCTAGGTGCAATAGCCTGAAGGACAAGGTCAGTGTCAAGATCCCGGGGGGCAGTCATCAATGAGCCGACGCAGCTCATGTGGTGCACTTACCCTGGTCCAATCAACTTGGAACTCGCCTTCGTGCATAGGATCGACGCATCCCGCCTCATGCCGCACGCCAGCTAGACGACGCCATTTTCGCGTCACTTTCCTGGCCACTAGGGACTCACGCTCGCTCAACATATCCGAAGGGTTTTGCACGCGGTGATCACTCTCATCTTCCGAGTCATCCAGGGGAGTTATCGTTCCTGTCTTACTGCGTAATCGTTTCAACTGATTTTCATCCATGTCGGTGAGATTCGGCTCCACTACCGGGTGTGTTTCGTGCAAGTCCTCGTGGATGGCGTTCCAATGCCGAGTCAAGCTTTTGCCCCAATGCTTCCACTTGCCGAGGATCTTCAAAGACATGAAATATTGCCGCAGCAACATGCTTATCAAGATGCCGTTCTCTTCGGAGACAAGTTCTTCGGCTTCGCCGCCTTCGGATTTCACCAACAAAGAGTCAAAACCGTCCTTGCCTCGGCCCATGTATCCTCGTGTAACAAGGACGTATTTTCTTTCCAGATCCAATGGCTCACCACCAACCTTGGCCCACTTTATTCGATGGTGTGGTGGTAGGGATGGATCAAATTCAAAAATAATATTCGAGACTTGAGGGAAGCGGCCTTCGAGAGCAGGGTAGGCACACACGGAATTTTCGAGAGCTGCAAGCAGAGCAGCCCCTGTGACTCGTATGACGATAGTCGGGTCCTCAAATGGAAAACTGGACAGAACATCAGCAAGCATTTCAACATCACCAGAACCAATATCCGTCGTTCAAGGGCTTACCAATTCATGATGTCTTTGAGCCTCAGTACTCCCGGAGGATATATTTGGTCCCCACGGATAGTCCCAGACGCCATGAGGCAGCAATCGCCATTGTAGTGAGCCCGCATCAAATCGCAAACAAAGTTGCCAATGTTGGACTCCTTAAGTCGCACTGTGGTGAATCTTGCATCCAGGGGAGCAGCAGTATATCCCAATGGCTTTTCCAGTTTGTCTTTCAGGGACGCTGTCAGCCCCTCGACTATTTCAGTCATCTTCTCGTCTGGGGCGATATCTGACACGATGTCTCGTCGCACAATATGAAAGTCCCATTTTTGGTCGACGCCGGGCCGCCGTCGTGCTTCGATATAGCTAAGTTGCTTGAAGTCACTTCCTGACCGCAAGACGTGAGTTCCGTTGATCAGCGAGTGCTGGTAATAGTGGTCGTGTCCTCCGAGAATTAGATCTATCAGGCCTTCTGGCGTCTTTTCGGCAAGTTTGTTGTCATTCGGCTCTCGCTGGTGGGTTAGCGCAATGATCATCTCCGCGCCTTGTTCCCGCAACTTCGGGACTAGTTCCTTAGCTGTTTCTGACGCTGACTTGTAAATCAAGTTGGGAGGCAGAGAGTTAATGGTATCCAGCCACTCGCGCTCGGCGAGACCAATAACTCCGATCTTGATCCCATTGGAAGAAGTTAGCATGGTGGTCTTCAATGCTTTGCCGAGAGGAACATCCGGGCCATGTTGTGGATCTGTAAGCAGTCGTCAGCATACGAGTATACCACATATACAACAAGTCATACCAACCTAGGACATTGGCCAACAACCAAGGAAAGGTACATTGCCGCGCAAGGCTCCGAAACTGTTTGACGCCGAAGTCGAGATCGTGGTTCTAGGATAGAGGTCAGTTGGGTGATTGGAGTTCACTATCGCATTGACCCGTAACGCACTCCAACACAAGCGACTTGTGTTCCTATCATGTTCAATATAGGCACCATATGACGCCCTGGTATTGTCAGCGACATCGCTCACGTGACCAATTTTAAGTGGGAATACTCTACTCGGTACCTTTTGTGACACTGCTCTCCAAGCTGGGGTTGAAGGCATCTCCAGAAAACAGCGGGATCAGAATTGGCTGGCCTGAGAAGCGATCGTCGTTGCGGTAGTAGTTGCAGACAGTCTGAAAGCGGGTAATGCCGCCTACTGGCTCCCTCGAACAGGCATCGAGATGATAGACTAGACGTTCAGAGTGTTACTATCGGAGGGCCGTTCCGGGAAAAAGGAGCAATGTTTGCTAAGAAAGGTATGGACCTACCGTCGTTGAAGTGCAAGAGTCGAAGATCTGGTGGGTCGGACGTATCGCCAGCGGTGTAGGTGACCGCTTCCTCCATGATTCTCTACGTCATCCGAGCACAGGAGCCAGACAAGACCAGCTGAGGAATAAGATGCGAAGAATGGAGAGTTTCGAGATGATGTGAGGAAACACGAGCCAAGTCAAGTAATCTCAGCATCCGGAAGCAGTGGAAGGGGGAGGATCATTTCGAATGAGGCAGCTAAGAAAAGGGAGCGTCGGAGGGCGAATGCATGGCGATATCTTAATGGGGTCAATGGGGGCTTTTGCACCGACGAGGCTTACATAATGCCAGCGCTCTCCGTCAGCCTCACTCAGCCTTGTTCCGGTCCTCGGATGTAGCTTGGGAGCCAGTCGTTTCTACTGGGTAGGATGGACTTTCGAGGGAGACAGCAGGAAACAGTGGCGGAGAGACGGTGATCGGGTTCTCTCTCTGTCCGGGTAGACGTCACCAAGGTCCCTTGGACACCACGTCGACCACCTTGCCTTGACATTGTCCGGCTTCATAGGAACTCCTCGCAGGGGCAAGCGCCGTCATTGTCCATTGAGTCTTTCAGTCTATCGGCATATCGTGCTGCCGCTGGGCGATTGAAAGGCACAAGAAGCGCGTCGGTAAAGAACGGCACCGGATCAGCGGCATGAGGAGGCACGTTGGAACATAGGCTCTGGTGATGTACGCCCCTTCTCTGACGACCATCCAGTTCCAGAGCGAATATTGCTTGAGAGATCTACCGTTGGGTGAAATGGAGGGAAGACGGGAAACAGAAAGGGGAGTCAGCTAAGTTAATACTATATGATCTGTAGAGATGGTACGATGCATACCCAGTACTCACTGCTCCATACTCGGTGGCATGCCGAGAGTCGAACTCTAACCGAGGATGGAACGCGCTTTTCCCCCACGGCGGCTCAACTCGTCGGAGAGACTTCTCTTCTCCTTCCTCTAGGTCCCAAGGTCAGTCCCCATAACCCCCATATCCTCATATCATCATATCAGTAGCATCTAAGACTTGCAAATCTGACCATCTGCAGGCAGAATCTCGATGCCGAAACAAAACTCTTCACTACCAAGCTAAAACCGCGTCGAGGGCTCGGGTGTCACACGCGTGGCCAAACCGGGTTCCCGCAGCCTCAAACACTGCCAGCTCCCGAGCCTGCCTGCGGTGTGTGTTTCCTCTATGCCCAGTGATACTTCAAGAACAGAGATCGAAGAGAATCCCGCCCTTTCAAGACCTATCTTCTCGTTTGTTCGTTAAAATGATACGGCTTCGCCCCCGTTTCCCAAGCCACGCCTTTCTCTTGTTCTTTACGCGCGATTTAGAAGCACTCCTTCTAAGCAACGTCAAACCTCTCCCTCGCTCCATTTTTGTCAAGAGATGGCAATTCGGCTGCCGCAGGGATGGTGGTTTATGTGAAAAGTATAGGCAGAAGGACACGGGATGGATTCGTATCCACGCACAACAACCGAGGCGATGAAGACAACCGTGCACAGTCCGAGGCGAACAAGTCGGTCAAACTTGTCTTCTTTTCACAGGGTGCAAAGTGTCTGTGGCAGGTCTGGCAAGGGAAGTTTTTTCTGTTCTTTGGCCCAACGCAGCAGCCAGCCCGTTCGCTTTGCCCATTGGCTTATGAGGACCAGTGTCAAAATTAGTTTTCAATCCGAGCCTCCCTGCGCGCAGCTATGCGGGTTGTTGTGGTGGTGGTTACGGACTCGATTCCCGAGATTCTTCAACCTGCCTTCGACCCCGGGTGCGACCGCAATTCAAATGATAGAGGTCCAAAAACAAATACCCATACGAGAGGAAGATGATGAATGAGGATGAAGACCCGATGAAGACCCAAGTCCAATAAGCCAAAGTTGAGACAGCCGAAGGGAGTGTGCATTCGTATTTCAGGACGATCACCTGTACTTCTGGCTATCAGAGCAAACATGAGAGAGCTTATCTGAGGGTTATAAAAATCATCTCGTTCAGTCGGTTTTGCTACATTCTCAAATGGTCGGGTGTTTGAAACCGAGACATCGAACGACGACCTATCCCTAAGGGACACATCCACTTCTTCCGAAGCACTCTGACTAACTTGGCTCATCAGCGAATTTGACACCAGGACACAACCTCAAACATTGTAAGAGATCGTCGACCTTGACCCTTGCAAAAGCCTGGTCCACATCCTCTAGTCCGATCCCCACCAGCACGTCGTCGCCCAGATACCCCGTCCCCAACTGCGACATGTATTCGACATCATCGTCCTCCTCTTCCTGGTTTGCCGCCACAGAATGGGGCCTCCATGCCCACGCCAGACTCGGTGTGTAGGTAAAGTAAGCATCGCTTTTGACGAAGTTGTCATGTGTTGTTTGTTCAGCCTCGTCGTTTTCGTACCAATCTTCTCCGTCGTCCCTTGTTCTGACGATTCTTCGTCGCTCCTTCGTTTCTTGTAAATATTCCCCCTTTGCAGTAGAGTTCCACCCTCTCTTTTTTGAAGAAGGCCAATTTTGCTCCTCCGTCCAAGGACCCGCCTTCTCGTTGTTCATCAACAACGGAAATCGACTCACCCCTAGTATCTGGAAAGGCTCCCTCCCCTCCCACACGACTGCGTACCGCTCATACCGCAACGGCAAATCCAACTCGTTGCTGAACTTCCGGTGCATGATTGCAAAGTGGACGGAGCGGCCAGCCGTCACGGCGGTGCCATTGTTGGCGGCGGCGGGGATGTCGCCGTCGTCGTCATCCTTGCAGACAGAATCACTTCTCGCTTGCGCTCTCGTGCAGAGAATCAGTCGTAGCGAGTTGGAGCCTTGATGCCAATGGCCCATGTTACCGACCGAGTCTGTGAAGTGTCCTTCGCTGTGGGAGAAGCAGGGCTGTTCGAGGGCCGAAGTGAGGTTCGGTGTGGTGAAGCCGTTTCCTGTGAGTTTGGCGAACGTGCGCCCTCGCCCTCCCTTCCTGGTGTGTTCTGCCTCCTCATTTCTCCATCTGCGGAGTTTCGCATGGTGGGCTGAAGAGGAAGAAGATGTGAGGTTTGTTGCATTATTGCTAGGACGGAGGAGGGCGTCGGCAGCAGCGGCAGTGGTGGTGGCATTCAGTCCGAGTCGAGCGAGCATCTCGACCTCCTCTTGCTCGAATCCGTTTTCGTCCTCGGCCTCGCCTGCATCCTGGCTGAGCAGGTCATACTGGACATAGGCCTCGTCGGCAGTAGGAAACCAGAGCATCCAGTTCTTCTCGACGCGCGCCCGACTTTCTCTCGGATTCCTTGTGATCTCGGTGAGATGCGGATAACTCATCAGGGGCTTCAGGCCTAGCCCTCCGAGCGTGCCTGTGCGGGCTTGGTCATCTCTCATCTCCATTTCCATCTCCATCCCGGTCTCCGCGTCGTCCCTCGTTTCCAGCTTCGGTCCTCCAGCTTCCATCCCAATGCCCATCGCCTTGTGGCGGTGCTCACGATTCAAGACCCGTTCGAGTTCCGGGTAGACCTGCCTCAGATCGATGACCCAGAGGCCGACGCAGCCGTAGCGACTCGCGCTGTTTACCAGGATCAGGGGCTCCCCTTTGCCGCTCCAAAAGACCCTCGGGTCGTGGAAGCCTGGGATGTCGGGGAACGCGAGCCATGAGCCGGTGCAGTTCTCTGCCGGGGTTGAGGGGATGTTGATCTTCACAGGGTTCGAGACGCAGCGAAGTCCGCCGCGGCTCCCCAGTCGGGTGTCGGAGAGGTCGGACGGAGAGCAGGGGCTGGTGGTGTCTGGAGGCAGAGCTTGGCGAGATCGAGGCTGCCGCTTTTCAAGGTATGGGCTAGGATCAAGGTCGGGATCATCATGAGGATGAGTTGCATTGTTTCCGCGCTCCAACTGGAAAGAAGTTGAGGGCGATGATGAGCGTGCAGTGTGAGGAGGATGACAGACGTCGGCCAAACAGATGTGAGATTCCTGGTGGTACCCAGTCGTCACGAGGCGGGAGACGAGCACGTATTTTGCGAGTCCGGACCAATATGGGAGGGGAATGATAGCCGGGTTGAAGAAGCGCGTGTTTTCCATTCCTTGGGCACCATCGTCGCGGACGTCATTTCGCTTCTGGTGTCGCCCTGACAGCGGGGCCTCTGGAGACTTGAGACTGATGTTGTACAGGACATTCGGCAGACGGATGTGTGATGTGTGCGGGTTCGGCTGGATAGGGCAGTGCGTGAACTGCACAATCAACGGGTTCGCCAGAGGCACCATCCTGTCCCCCAGATGCTCTTCAATGCCCATTGAGCCGGCTGCGAGGAGGTGACGATGAGCGCTGCTGGTGGCACTGACGACGACGACGACCTGGCTGCTTCTGGCCACGTAGCTCTGTAGGACGCCCTGGAGGAGCGCACTTTGCGACGAGCGTACAAGCCCGTGCTGCGAGAGGAGGCGGACGAAGATGAGGAGGACGAGCACGGTCAGTGCTGGGCCAAGGTAGCGACGGGCTGAAGGTATAGAGAGCATCACGGCTGCAAGTGTCAGGCTGTGTTCGACTTCGAGGCACGGGAGAAAAAGAAAATCAAGTTCTGTTGATGGAGGATTGATGACTGATGCGAAGTCATATAATTCAATGATGAGTGGTGAAGAGTCCAAAACAACTGTCCCTCCATCTTACCTTTTTGATCTTACTAGGTAATTACAATCCTCCCATCACTATCTCTTTGCTAGTGGTACCCTTGATCGGGTGAGTCTGGCTCGCCATCCTCCAGTACACCTGCACGGATCAACACATCGGCGACATCATCATGACTTCGTGAACGAGCTGCACTCGGTGGCGTGTGATATCTACCGCCGCCCGCCGCCCCTTTGAAGATGGACAACTTTGCGAGGGGACGGAAGGAAAAACAAAAAGCCATTATGATTTGGCCAAATGACCTGAATACCTGAATATCTACACAAAATATGACGCGATTCTATTGTGATGGCACAAGGAGGACGAATACTGTGTACATGTTAATTGTGTCTGAGAAAGCGAAATCTAAAGTCAACCGCCGATTGACCTCCAGCCTTGCCGCCCTGGTAATTTTAAAAACCCGCCCAAAGCAGCCGGAGTACGGTTATTCCTCCTCTTGATATTGTAGACCATGTATCTATACCTTTAGAAAACGACCGACAGCAGAGTGGCTGCTTTCCCTTTGCTCATTTTTCATGCCTTCATTGAACGCCATCGCTGGGTTGAACACTGCCATAGAACCCAATGTCGAATAGTTTTCCCCATTAACCAGACTCTCGGCGTCCGAGATCTTCAATCATCATCATCATCTTCTTCTTCCGACTTGTCAGAACCATCATCATCATCATCATCAGAATCCTCATTCCCTGCGGACCATCCTTCTGCCTCCAAGTTAGGCGATCGTATACCAAAGCTTAGCAAGAAACCAATGAAAGCGACACCGCCAAAGATGCCGAACGCAAGGGCTTCTCCCTTGGGACGAACTCGAGTTGCGAGTGAGAAGAGACCCCCTGAGACAAACGGGCCGACTGCTCGGCCTGCCGCTGACAAGGTCTGGGCAAGGCCATTGAGGGTTCCCAGAACAGAGTGATTAGGAGCCGAGTTCGTGATCTGTGGACATTGTCAGTGGAATGATCTGCGTCCGCATTGCTAGGTTACTCACCAAAAGTAGAGCACTAGTCAGACCGCCCACTGCCGCGACGGTTTTGATAAGAAGAACAACACAAATCTCTAGCCATAGCCATGCCGCGCCGTGTGTACCCCCGTTCTCGTCGTCACTTTCCTTGTATCCTACCCACGGCATCAAGATGTAGGCAATCACAAACCCTGCCAATCCAGCTCTGTATGCCCATCTATTACCCATCATATCCCGCAGCTTTCCGAAAATGCCGATCTGGAAAAGAATGGTGACTACTCCGGCAAACCCCAGCGATAGGCCGATCTCTTCAGGATCTAGGTTTCGGCCGGTGGGTGGTGCAGCTTGAGCGAAAATGGGATAGAGAGAATTAAAGGAGATATTGGATAGTTGGAAAATGAGGTATGTCAGAAGCAGGAGGATGGTGTCGCGGTTGAGCACGTCTTTCTTCTTCAATTCGTCTGTAGCAGTGAAGAAACTTGAAGGGTCTGCGCCACCATCCGTATCTTCATCGTCCGACACCTCGACCAGCCCATTCTCATGGGTTGGACTTTGGTGGCTCTTGCCCTTTCGTCGCAAGTAATGAGGTCTGCTGGAAGAGGTAAATTGCCAAATCCATACAAAGAGGTTCCGTACCCTTGAGCCCAGAGGTTGGAGATATTGTGCTTCCTCTAGGCTTTCCTCGAGAAAAACTGACGCCAAAATGAAGTCCACCGAGAGTATTGCAGCGGATATGAGGTTCGGTAGAAGGTAAGGGTACGGATTCGGCCTTGATCTGTCGAAAGGGTTCCTCGGAAACACCAACACACCGCCGATGACAGGACCTGTGATGCCTCCAAGGCCGTAGATGACAGGTAGATAGGTGAAAGCCCGTGATTGATTGCTTCGGTCGGTGATCTCACCCAGGCAGGTAGAAACAACACCTTGATTCCCATTCAACAGCCCCATCAACGCTTGAACCACAATGGCTTGCGGGAGTGTCTTCACGAACCCAAACGCAACGAAGCAGGCCGCAGTAAATAGTGTGCCCATTAATATTACTGGCTTTCTGCCAATGTGGTCTGACAGCCATCCCCAAAAGAAGTTTGTGGTGAGCTGCGCAAGCGCAAAGGCAGAAGCTATTAACCCCACGTACATGCCCACTTGACCTTGGTTCACTTCGGGAAACGTCGAGGCCATTGCAGGCAGGTAGGGACTGATAGAATTGAGTGCTGTCTGTTCGCACAATGCTATGACGGCCAAGATGGCCATCTGTTTTTTTGGCAGCGGTGAACTGTGGTGATGGCTCTCCTCCCCATTGTGCAGGTCGTGGCTGGAGGAGTTGGAAGAATCGGATAACGGTCGCCCTCGAGACTTGGGAGGTGATATTCCGCCAAATGTCTGGTAGTGCGGAGTCGAAGACTTGCGACGAAGCAGAGGCCCATGGTCCGAGGGCTTCATGGTTGTGGATCAAGCATTCATCAGGATGACAGGAGAGTGGCGCGTGGTGGGGTGCGAAAGCAGGAGGTTTGATCAAGAAGGGAACGAGGTGTGGACTAATCGGACAGTCGAGCACAAACAAGAGAGCTTGCTTGCAGCAGGATTCTGTCGACAAACAAGACCATAGACCAAAATGGCCTCTAGCAGCGAAGTCGTGAGTGCAGCCTGGACTTTTATGGCGGTCGCATGGGAGAGAAAGACCACGCAACTGCGCTCTGCGACCAATGCGGACTTGGCAATTCAAATGACGTATAACAGAAATGACGCTATGAACCACCATGTGCTGTTTGCTGCGTTTACCACGTTTGCCGATCGACCCACATCACAGACGAGCCGGCTCGCCAATTCTGTTAGCGAACCCCTGGCACCGTCTCGCTTGCTTCGAGACTGGTGGTCAGTTTGAGCAGCATCTTTCAGATATTTCTACCTGACGACTAAGGCAATAATATATGGCTTTATCGAAGGTCTTCTGCTTCAAAGCCTGGCCAGGCATGGCTGAAGCAGTACCACCCGAGCCGCACAGACGAGAGAAAGTCATTCCGACTCTGACGGGGATCCAGGTGAGCCGCGACTTGACACGAGGCTCAAGGCTCAGGGCTGTCACAAATGCCCTTTCTTCAACTCTTGTTGCTGTCCCCTTGCCTTAATCCGCTCCCCCTGCCGCAATCTGCTCCACATGCGAGGTGACGGCGCTATTCTTCACGCCGCTTTCCCGAGTCCCGTTCGTGGCGTCGCTGGTCTTGTAATGTTGAGTAAAGTCGTACCGAAGCGCCATTGGTGACCGCATGAACTCTCGCTGGGCCTCCACATCGTCCTCCATGTCCTTCAGCATCTTCAAGAACGAGTCGTTCTCGAGGGCCTTATCCGGGTCCTGGTCGAACAGCCGCTTGATGTTGTCTGTGGAAATGGGATCCGTGACTGTCTGGTATCTCTGTCGACGCATCTCGGAGTATTTGTCCAGTATACTTTCATCTGCCTTGCCCTCATACACGCCAATCATGCAGTCATATAGACCCCCGATATCCACTAGGCCACCCGTAAGGCCGAGACCACCAAAAGGGTTGCAGACTACGGTAAGTGTCAGCGTCAGATTCACATGATGCTTTTAGTAGACTTACTGTGTGCAGCATCTGCAGCGAGCATAAACCTGCCGACTCGCATCTTCTCTACTAGCCGCTGGTGGATCTTGTACGGGCTGATTGCTGCGAGGTTATACTCTCCAGGCTTGGGGTGGCCGGGCAACATGGCCTCGTATTTCATGGGTTGGCGCGCAATCAGTTCTTCTCGAGAGAGTCCAGAGATCTCGCCGTAGCTCACTCGCCACCAGCCGCTGCCGTCTGCATTTTTGGTGAGGCGGGCGACCATATGCCAGTGCTCCGGGTGGATGAAGAAATTGGCATCATCATATCCGAATTTTTCGAAAGGATATGCCACCTAGACGCACATGAGAAACCAGGGTTGACAGACGAACAAGTCGACTTACATTGGTCGCCACGATCTGTTTGTCCCAGGTATAGCCAGGGAAATCCTTAGCACCGTAAAGCTTTCTTCTGACTGTGCTCGATGCACCGTCACACCCAACGATGTACGTTGCCTCGAGGCGTTTCTGGCCTTCTGGGGTTTCGACATCCACCCATGCCTTGTTGTCGTCCTGGCCGACATCTACTACTTTGTGGTTGAAGAACACTTTCAGTGTCGGTTGCTGAATGGCATGTCTGTAAAGTAATCGGTCAAGTTGGGCCAATGGCAGGCATGCTAGTCGATCTGGATCTCCGTGCATGAGACTGTTGTCGAAACCAGCAAGGTAGGTGCCGTCGAGTTTTCTCCAACATGTCTTTACGGGATCAAAGCCTTCCTTTCGAATGTCATCAATGACTCCAGCACGTCGTAACTCATAGGCGGCAGGAGGGCCATAGTACGCAGCGCGAGGAGAGTCGTCCAATTCTCCAGCAGCTTCCAGGATATGGATAGTGATACCCTTTTTTGCTAGCATCAGGCCGAGAAGCAGACCAGAAGGACCAGCGCCGACGATGATTGTCCATGGTTTCTCGCAGGCTGCCATTTTGATAGTGGTGCGTGGGGAGTGGGGGCGAACAGAAGAGATGAAGATACTTCTAGCTCAAGACAGGAGGCAATGGGTAGACGATATTTTGCTTGGGGCTTTTTATGGAGTTTTTGGTCTTATATCTAGCTAAGCGTCACCCAGGCCCCGCGACCGTTCTCTTCTTGTCCCCAGTATCAGGAGATGCAGCGCCAGCTTAAAAAACCCATGCCGAGTATTATGGGGGATTCTCCGGATGTGGAGAAGCCACGAACATCTCGAGGGTGGGCAATACTTAGCTTGTCCAGCTGCCCTCATCAGGAGGAGGTGGGGCAGTCTTGGTGCAATGTTCCCCTCTACAAGCACGAGTAGGATCTCAAACGACGGGTTGGTGACTCTTAGGCTCGGTCCCTTCTCAGTCGTTATATGGCGGGGCTCAGGACCTACCAGGTAGTGTACTGAAGAAGTATCCGAGTGAAGAGCGCAACGTGGATCAATGGATTGTCTGGGTGCATGTACTGTACCTCGACAGAAGGCGATGAAACCTCCCCCAAACACACCTTCCACCACGCAGCCTCGTTCACTTTGGCCGCAGCCACCCCGTCCTTGGCCGTCGTAGCCCCGCATTAGAGTGAGTCGAAGGCGGCTCAGAGGTCAAATCTGACGAGCTGGTTTTTGACAGGTACCGAAGCTGTGTCTGATCAGTCACATCTTGTTGTACACGGCGAAGTTAGTGGGGCTTATCCGGGCGACCTCGGTCTTGCATTCTCCTCTTTCTACGAGGTACCGCAGAACTATTCTCACTCTTTTGTCAACCTTGTTGAGGACTTCGCACACTGTCCACGTGAACGCGCCCACCTGTAACCATGTCGAACGCACAGGAAGATAGAGCGGCCGAAGCGCACAAGACCTTTTACGAGCAGGGCTTCCAGATCCGAACCGCAGTTGCTGGCTCTGAACACGTCCAGCGGTCTCTCCAAAATAACTCGTCTGATTTCGCTCGGCCGATGCAAGATCTGGCGACGGAGGTAGGATGGGGGATGATCTGGGCCCGGCCGGGACTTGGTGAATCCCTCTCCCCTTCCTACGAGACTGTTTCATGTTTGAAAGAGCCATTGCGATGATATTCTGTCCATGTTGGAAGAGGCTAACATGGCGTTGCAGAGCGCAAGACTAGAAGTTTGCTGAATATCGCCATGCTCTGTGCTCTGAATCGAATGACCGAGCTAGCTGTGCATGTCAGAGGGGCGGTTCACAACGGTGCGAGCGAGGTAGAGATTCGAGAGACCATCATGCAGGTTGCAATCTATTGCGGATTTCCCGCAGGCCTCGAAGGGGTACGAGTCGCCGAAGGAGTATTGAAGACCATGCGAGAACAGAAAGACTCTTGACTGAGATTGAGGGAAGCTGAAAGAGGCATCGACAGTGAGTTCCACAGGATGGGGGGAGCGACTGCTGCATGTGCGGGTTTCGGGAGTGAAAAAGAAGCTGAGGATGTTGGGGATCATGCCATCAAGACACAGTCACTTGTTTGTTTCACCCGCTGGAATCTTGGTGAGGTAAAGCCAGCATATGGCCGACTTGATATCGCACGGAGAGGGACTCTTCTGGCCACGGGGAAATGATACTGGCTGTTGGAGGAAGACAGACCCCTGGACAGCTCTGATATAGAAAGAGAGAGAGCTTGCGCAGAGCTGAGGGAGGGTCTAATTTACAATGTAACAAATTTAAAGGTTGCAGGATCAGTTTTGGCAAGCATCGAAGCGTGCTCTGGTTTGGTTTGAGATGTCAGTCCAAAAGTACCGCAGTACCGCAGTACCACAGTACAGTCAGAGGGGGGGACAGATGGGGGCCAGTTTGGCCTTCTGATGGCCGGTGGATGTGGTGTTAGGTATTGTCAGGCACCAATCAGCCCTGGGTGCCCTCTACCACACCAAGGCGAGGCCCTAATTCGGTGCCAATGTCGGCAGCCGCAGGTGGGCACAGGTGGGCACAGGTGGGCATTGGGCACCTCGGCAGCCTTACTCCCCGGTACTAACTCAAGCTGCTCAAGTCTCTGGCAGTCCCTGCGATCCCTGCAGTCCCTGCTCGCCTGTATCATCATTGTCCGCATCCCGCTGACAGCCAGCACACCAAACAACACCGACACCAGCACCGCACATCTCGACATTTTGCCCGTTTGAAAGCCTTGATCCCGCATTTATCCATTCAATATTGTTCAGATGGATCATATGCCACTCGTCTCGCCATCATTTACATCTTAGCGCTCACTACTGCACAGCGCTGATATTGGTCCAATCCTCCGAAAAAGCCCATTGCACATTCGTTCGTGGCCGAATACTCTGTACAATATTCCTCTCCTCAGGCTGCCAGCGACCTCAGATGACTCGGCGCAGCGCATCACAACCTCCCGCTCAGTGATTCGCGCTGTTGGCCTCTGAGCGACCTCGAACATGCTCAGCGACATCCCGAGCCGACTCTGCGTGGACTCTGCCCTCTTGCCTCGCCATCGCGTCTTCTATCAGCTGCGCTGACCATGGCCAGCTATCACCAAAATGGGCAGCCTTACTACCCTTCGAGCAACCACCCTTCGTCCGGCCAGAATAGTGGCCATATCCCCTACGCTTCGCAATCCATATACCCTCCAAGACCTCTCGAGCGCTCGCCGAGTTTCGATGCCGGGGATGACGAACACTACTTCGATGGAGAAGAGCCGCCGCGGGGAGCGCAGAGACACCACTCCTATGCTCCACCACCAGCAGGAGCAGGAGCGAGTCCTCCAGTGAATAGGGCCATGTCGGCGGCGAGCCAGCAATCGTCGGTCACGATGCCATTCCGGACAAACACACAACATGCAGCTTTGGGCGGGTATCAGCATCAATATCAGACAGCCGTATCCGGCCACGCACCCTACAATCCCGCCCAATATCATCAGCAGCAGCAACAGCAGGCTTCTTACAATCCACTACTCTATGCTCCCCCCTCTCAGTCCGCCCATCCCACAAGCACCTATCAACCGTATGTTCCAGCTGCGTATGGCGATCCGAACCTCGCTCGTCGCACTTCAGTCTACAACAGCTACGGGTCCTACGATGCGAACTCTCAATTTAACTACTCTTCGTCCCAACCGCCCCCGCCCCCTCCTCGCTTTGAGACTGTCGCATTCCCCAATCCACAAGCCTATGGCGCCTACCAGCACGATGTATCCCAGCAATACCCCGTCCAGCATCACGGTGTGTCGTCAACTTACTCTCCGCCGGCTCCTATGCCCCCTCCGCACGGCAGGACGGCGAGCATCCCAGAAGAAGCATATCCCTATCCTACGGGCTCGTCGGCAACATATCCAACCTCAACCCTTACTACCTATTCGTCTCCTGATATAAACCGCAATTCCTCATTTGCGAGCCGCATGAGCAATCAATCAGCTTCGCCTCAACCATCACTCCCTACGCCGCCGAGCAGACATCCTTCCAATAGGTCCCCTCAGCGTACGAATACGCTGGACCGGCATCCGCAAGGCAGATCTCTCCCGGGTCTTCCGTCAGAGACGGAGTCGGACAATGACTATTTTAATTCCACAGCGCCACGGAATAGTGGAGCACGCAACACTGCTTCGACTGGCTATGACGATCTGATGCAAGATCTTAACGAGGCGATAGGACAGACCTCGAGACATACAAGGTCAGGAAGTGATTACAGACATCCCAATTCGAGAGATGAGCGACAAGATGCCCTGTTTCAACAACCTTCCCCCAGGCCCCAACTTTCCCCAGACGAGACACCAACCCATCTCAACGGGAATATCGCCTCCACAGGGGACGCCTATATCAATTATGGGGCGTTTACTGACGACAGTGACGCTGAGGCTGCTGCCGGGCTCGCTGCTATGCAAGCCCTGGATGAACAGGAAAGAGCAGAAGACGCGCGCCGGCGTAGTGGCTCGGCCACCCTCTTTCCAAGCCAGCCACGTGCAGACGAAGTGGCTCCCAGACTTTCCTCCCAGGAGCAAAGCAGCGACAGCGATTACGCCGGCTACGGCGATTTAAGTCTCGCCGGTGGAGGGTACGCGCCTGATATGGCTTATGGCGAATCTGTTGTGTCCAACTATGCAGCCGCTGCAACGGCCATGCCACAGAGTGAGATGTACGGACAATTGAACAACTTGAACACCAGAATGAGTTCCGTGCGCAGCTCTGGCGTCTCTTCGGAAGGAAGGGAGTCGCAGACAAGCGGATTCGAGTCGATACCGCCACTAGAGAGCCTCCATCCCTTCTCTTCCACGCATAACGTGGCTCGAGTGGACACTGGGGGCACAGGCGGTCTGACAGAACCAAGTCCACACCCCAGGCGGTTGAGTTACGAAGACGGAGATGAATCAACCATGATTGAGGCAGAAACCAATCGGACTTCGGCAAGCTCGAGTCCATCACGAGAAGAAATGCCGGACCTCTTCTTCCATCCTGGCATGAGCCAGCAGCGTCCGCTTCCACCTCCTCCTTCGCTCTCAGATCCGGGTTTGCGAATACCGCATCTGATGCCTGCTGGCACCTATACTCAACAAAGCCGCTTCTCTCAGTATACTGATTCCAGTACACGCGCATATCCAGCAGCTCCAGATGCCTACCCCGGCACGCTACTGACCCCAGCAAGTGTTCCTCGATCTACCTCGCTATCAAGTGCACGAAGTGCTCCTAGGGCTGAACAGGTTAATCGCTCGAAAACAGATGCAGACCGTCAGAGGCTTCTGCGGCAGCAGGGGAGGCCGATGTCTGACCTATACGACATCTCTAGCCCGCAATCTACCGTAGCACTGGACCTTCCAACGATTCCGCGGAAGCGGTACAACCCGTCCAAGCTGACGACTGATCAATTTAAGAAATGCTCGGAACCTTGGGCGCTTAGCGCGATCTTAGCGTGGATCAGGGAGCTGGCTGAGGAAGAAGTCGATCTGAAAGAAAATAACATTGTTGAAGGCATCGTTGCACTTTTCATGAACAAAGTACCAACAATGTACATTACAGAGGCTGAATCTCTAGGAGATCGAGTTGTCAACCAAATGTTGGACGCAAATGCTCTCGTGAGAGAAGAGGAATGGGTCAAATTCGGACCTGGGACGATGTCGGGTGTTCTTTATCAACTGACAGGCATCGGATGTTATTCTTCGAAGTCGCATTTGTACCATACCCGTGGTCGGTGTTACTCTTATCACTGCATGAGAACTCTCAAGAAACTCGATCTCGACACCCTGCCCGTTGAGAAGAAATCTGAAGATTGGGCTACATTCTACAAACTCAAGAAGGAGGATATTGAGACACACGACAAGAAAGAAATTGAACGCCAGAATGTCCTTCACGAAATCGTCACAAGCGAAGACCTTTATATTAGCCAGCTCGATGTGCTCAGGGTCTTATATCGGGATCGTCTTTCTGGGGCACAACCGCCCATCGTACCTACCAAAAAGCTGCCGACATTTCTCAGGGAGGTGTTCGGTGGCGTGGACAAGGTCAAGAAAGTCAACCAAGACTATCTCCTAGGCCAGCTCAAGTACCGACAGACTGAGCAGGGACCTTGGATTGTTGGCTTTAGCGACATTTTCCGTGAATGGATTCGAAAGGCTAGGCCTGTGTATGTGGAGTACGCTTCAAACTTCCCTCGAGCGGATTACCTCATGCGGCGCGAAGCCGAACGAAACATTCCCTTCAAGAGCTTCCTTGACCAGGCCCGAGAGGATAAAAGATCAAATCGGCTAGGCTGGGATAATTATCTGAAGGCTCCAATTACCAGACTGCAGCGCTACAGCCTGTTACTTTCTACTGTCCAGAAGAACATGTTAAAGGACTCCGAGGAGAAGGCTAACTTGGCCTATGCTTTGGATGAGATTCGAGCTGCCACTTTCGAATGTGATTCTAAGTTTGCGGAAATGACCAAGAAGATGGAGTTGATTGAAATGCAGACCAAACTGAGGCTTCGACCACCCATGGAGAAGGAGGTTGAACTGAACCTTGATCACCTGGGGAGAGAAATCATCTTCCGAGGCGACTTGCAGCGTGCTGGAGGTAAAGGCTTCCAGTGGGTTGAGACTCATGCCATTCTTTTCGATCACTATCTTGTCCTGGCGAAGCCTCTCAGCCGTGATCGCAGGGAGGGATATTACGACGTCTCAAAAGTCCCGATCCCGATGGATTTGCTCGTCCTTGAAAGCTCCAACGACCCTGCCGTTGTAAAATCCTCGATGAAGGGAATCGGAGCGGTCACTACCACCGTCGCACCCCGTGGCCAAGCAACCCCCGATAATAGGCTTGCGAGAGCGCAATCTACTGCTAGTGGCGGGACTCCAGGGCCATTGTCACATACAAGTACCAATCTCTCGATCGGTTCAGGCAATACAAGCCAGAGCATGGTCCCCATCACCACCCTGGAGTCGGGCAGTTCAAAAGAGGAGAAAATCATGTACCCGTTCCGTGTCAAGCATCTTGGCAAGACCGAAACGTACACCCTCTATGCCCCCAGCGCCCAAAATCGGCAGGACTGGTGTGAGGCCATAATTCAAGCGAAAACGAGGCATGCCGAAGCTTTGTATAAACAAAATGCTGAACCGTTCAAGTTGCGAGTGTTGGCGGACACAGCTTTTGGCTACGAGGGTCTGACGTATCCCGCAAAACGGATCCTGATTAAGGGGACCCCGTTGGACAGGGCTATCCAAGAAGCCGAGAAGAAGTTCGAAGGCCAGGGCCGACCAGCACCAGTCTGCCGAGCTCCTGTCAATTGCGCCACCGTGTTCAATCAACCATATGGTCGGCTTATGTGCGCTGTTGGTACCGACTACGGCGTGTACATCTCCGAGTATCAAAATTCTCGGGGATGGGTCAGGGTGAGTCGACATCTGCGGTGACTTTCAGAGCGACTAACATTCCTAGGCTATTCAAATGCAACGAGTGACCCAAATTGCTGTCCTGGAAGAGTTTAACCTCTTTTTGCTGATCTCAGACAAAGCTCTCATTGCCTACCATCTTGACGTTGTTTGTCCACCAACGGGCAATCCTATCACCCAAAATGACGCCTCGAGCCGAAAAGCGCCACAGAAGCTGTCTGGCTCCAAGGACATTGGCTTCTTTGTGACAGGCAGGATGAAAGAACGGACGCTAGTCTTCTACAAAAAGCGGGATGGTATAGCGTCGACCTTTAAGGTGCTCGAACCCGTCCTGCAAAAGAGTACTACTAGTCGGTCCCGCTTCTTACCATCCGCATCGCGACGTGGGCAGACGGAATTTTTCCGAGAATATGACGAGTTTTACATTCCGGCCGAGTGCTATGGATTGAATTTGTTCCAGTCAAGCTTGGCTATATCGACCGCAAGAGGGGTGGAAGTATTGACGTTGGAGAAAAAGCAAACGTGGAGCGTGCCGAACCTGCGAAGCGAACAGCCGGAGACACAAGCCCATCTCAGTTCTATTGCGACTCGGATCAAAGATCTCAAACCGCTGGGGATGTTCAGGCTTGGAGAGGCAGAGTTCTTGGTCACTTTCGAAGAATGTGCCGTCTATGTTAACAAACATGGAGACATTTCACGAGGAGTCGTGATGGAGTTTGTGGGCCGGGCCAAATCAGCATGCCTCTACAACCAGTATTTGATTTTGGTCGACGACGACTTTGTGGAGATACGAGACGCCCAAAACGGCCGGCTGAAGCAAGTGATCGCTGGGAAAGACATTAAGCTACTGGACGACGGTGGCGGCGGCTCAGGAGCAGCCCAAACTCAGACTCAAGCTATGTTAGGAGGAGGAATCAACGGACTCGGGCTCAAAAACTTTGGGAATGCACCACGGACGCCGAAGCTAGTCTTGCAACATCCAGAGTATGAGAAGAGCCACGTCGTGGTCGAACTGTTGTTAGCCACGGACCAGGCTTGAGATGAAGAGCGGCGCTTCTTGGAAAAGGGGAGCCAAGGCGGTGGCCATGTTCTACTTTATTCCGCAGTAATGGTGATTTGGAGGGTTTCCGGGTGCTTCAGGAGGCTCAATCGAGGGACGGAAAGCTCATGACTGAATGAATACGAGTCCCTGATCTCTGGCGCCCTTTTTGGTCATGGGCGATGATGGCCTTTTGCCGGGCTATTTGACGGTGGAAGATATGGATTGGCAGATCTTGCATATAACTATATTAGAGAAATCGACTCTCAGTATTCTTCAGGGCGATGGGAGACTTCTTCAGACCTCTTCTAGACACCACTTATTACGACCCCTTGGTATGAAGTGTCGGGTGCCGGTAAGGCTGAGTTTCCCCCAGTTACCTACGGACTCGCGGAGCACGTACCTCGTACCTTTCCGAGAGGCTCTGGATGCCAAGCGGGCTCCTGGCTTTTGGCCCCGGCGTTTTCCAGGAACCAGCGTAAAGGATGCTTTTTGATGGACACTACGGACATGCTATGTTCGTATTGAGATGCTCCAGGCCATCTAGAGAGCCTACATCCGCCTCTCCGCCAGAATATGACGCGCAGAACGTGATATGCGCTGCCCTCACACGACGCGGAAGTGACCTTGTTCCATCACCACCCACGTTTCTGCTGACAACCAACCTGCGGCCGCCTCGTCTGCCTCGTCTGCCTCGTCTGCGCCATGTTGAGCTCGTTTGTACAGAAGTTCATTGAGCAGTCCTCCCTGTCCCCGGCTAATGACAACCGCCCTTCAAAGGCCTCTCTTTTTCGAGACCAGTTCAGACTTCCAGCCGGTCAAAATCCACTGCACGAGATCACCGCTGAACTATACCTGCCTCTTCCTTCGACCCCGGCGGGAGGCCCTATCACCTCCGGAGAGAAATCGAGGGACAATGGCAACAAATACGTGGGCGAGCTACACCTAAGCGAACACTTTCTGTGCTTCTCAACTATCCGAACTAGTTTCCTGCCCACTGCAAGCCATGCTTCATCCACATCCTTCACGGGCCCTACCCAAGGTGGGGGACCAGGAGGCCATGGCTTTACGCTGCCCTTGTGCTCTATCCGAAGAGTCGAAAGGCTTAACAGCCATCAAGACAAGTTCTCGCTCGCCCTCACCACCTTCGAGGTCGTCCAGAGACCCCTGACCGAGAAGACCAAGGCCTTACAGCCTCCTCCCCGCAAGCTCATTCTCACCCTTGACGGGAGTCGCAACGCCTGTGAACGCTTCTGTGATGGTCTGAAGAAAGGCTTAAGAGAGGGAATGAAAGAGGTGGATAATCTGCGGCTTGTGGTCTCTCAATGCTACTCGGAATACCTTCTGGACCCTGCTCGGCTGAAGGCCAAAGAGGAAGGAGCGACGCCGCCTGATCCACCTGACACTGGACTGGGGATGCTGTTCAAATACCCCGGAGACGCCAGGAAACTCAGAGACCGAAGCAAAATCAGGCTCTGGGGCGAGTACATGCGAGAGAACGGTCGAAATGCCACCATAGTGCGGCAACCAACTTTCCATAAACTTATCCGTGTCGGGTTGCCAAACCGGTTGAGAGGTGAGATATGGGAGATCTGCTCCGGTTCTTTCTATACGCGGCTGAGGAATCCCAGCCTGTACGCCAAAACGCTCGCGAAGTTTACTGGGAAGGAATCCTTGGCCATCGACGAGATCGAGAAGGATTTGAACCGGAGTCTACCAGAATATCCCGGCTTTCAGAGCGAAGAGGGTATTGGGCGACTCCGACGCGTCCTCACGGCATACAGCTGGACCAACGAAGAGGTGGGCTACTGTCAAGCCATGAACATAGTTGTGGCTGCCCTCCTCATCTACATGTCAGAGTCCCAGGCATTCTTCACTCTCGGCGCCTTGTGCGATAGGCTCCTTCCCGGCTACTACTCGAAGGATATGTATGGCACTCTTTTAGATCAGCGAGTCTTTGAAAATCTCGTCGAGCGGACAATGCCCATCCTTTGGGAACATCTGGTCAAGTCGGACGTCAACCTATCCGTCGTATCGTTACCCTGGTTCTTGTCATTATACATCAACTCGATGCCTCTTGTATTTGCTTTCCGGGTGCTGGATGTCTTTTTTCTGGAAGGTCCGAAAGTTCTGTTTCAGATTGGTCTGGCGATTCTCCGTATCAACGGTGAAGAATTACTCGACGTGAGCGACGACGGCTCCTTTATCTCTATCCTTAAAAATTATTTTTCACGGCTGGACGAGTCAGCCCATCCGCAATCGGAGAACGAAAAGTTGAGGGCTATCACCAAGTTCCAGGAACTCATGGTGACGGCTTTCAAGGAGTTTGCTGGCATTACACATGCCAGTATCGAAGAACTGAGAGATAAACACATCGACGGTGTCAAGGAAGGACTTGCAACATTTGCCAAACGGACATCAATCCGGAACTTGGGACCAGAAAGTAAGAAACTGAGCGCCGAGGATCTCAGTGCTATCTACGATAGGTTCTTTGGCGTCTTGGCCGAGCGACAAGAGCGTGCAAAAGTTCGCGAGGCTGAGAGAAGGAAGCAGCAAGATCAGAGAGTGCGGCCGGGGTTATGGACACAACATTCGTCCCGTAACAACGACGAACCTGCTCGCAACGCCGCACCGCTGCAGACTATGGACTACGATGCCTTCAGAGAGTTCCTGGCCAACACGGCCAAATGGGCTGTAACAGACTCACCTTCGTCACCCAGCAAGGAGATTACAAGCCCCAACCAAAGCCAGAGGAAAAGAAGTAAGACAATGTCCCAATGGGGTTCAGGACCCGAACCTGCCGACCATGACTTCATGCAACGCTTATACGGCAAATGGGATGAGTCGCACCAGGGAGAAATGACCCTTCAACAACTGGTTCGAGGCCTGGCCCAATTCAAGGGCACTACAGACATCATGAACTCGATGAGCCTATTCTTCGACCTCTTTGACGACGAGGGTACGGGCAAAGTCGATCGGGAAGGCATACTTAGGATGTCTGAATCTCTCTTGTTTCTTTCTCGGCGAGGTTTCGACGGTGCCATAAGTCCCTCTGATACCGGCAACGGAGTGGCTTCTCCTCTCTCTGCTTCAGACTCAAAGGAAGGCCTAAAATTGAGCACCAATGAAAAATTTCTAGGTAGTGTCAGTGCTTTCATCAGAAGATGTTTCGAATACGCCGATCCAGATGACGCTGTGGACGCAGCAAGCGCAAAGCTCGAGGCAACAACCAGCGATGGATCGACTGACGAAGGAGATCTACTCGATCTTACAGAATCACGCTCACACCACAAAACTGTCACGTCACCCAAACCAACAGAGAAAGATCCCCTGTCGGAGGTGACGCCGCCGCATACACCGTCGCTCTCACACGCCCAAGAAAACCGTATATCCTCATCCTCTCGCGCTGCTTCGCACAACCTCGCCCTCGATCCTAACAAGCCATTACATATCACCCTCCCGACCTTCCGCATGGTCATTCTCGCAGATGAACTCCTCGAGCAGTTCTTTGAGACGTTCTTCCCACAGTCTTTCCGTCTGAGCGATATCCCTCCCAACGCCAGCTCTTTATCATTGGCGTCAACCACCAATACGCTCTCAGGAAATCTAACCACATTCACGAATCTAGGTACGCCTGTCAAAAACTTACTCAACGGCGCACCCTCAAACAAGACTCTACCTGACGTCGGCCGCGCCGGTGGTATTGTGGAGCCGGGCTCTCGCGGCCTTCGAGGTGTTCTAGATAACATAGTGAACGACGGGATGCGCATGGCGGCTGAAATGCGGAAACGTATGGATGATGCGCAGAGGGAGTTCGAGCGGAACGCCCGTGAGCACGGGCAGAAACCCTATCGGGATGACGAAGACGACGATGAGGAGTATGATGACAAGGATACGGGGATTGGGAAGAGAGACCAAGAATTGTTGGAGGGGGCCGAGGTCGCTAGTATCCGAATCGCTCCGGGTGCTGTTGGGAGTATAGGTGAAGGAGGTGTGAGAAGTCGAGCGGAGAGTTCTACGACGCTGAGTTCAAAGGGAAGCGGCAGTGGCAATGGCAGTGGGATGGGAACATTAAGTCGCAAGACCACGGGCAGTGCGCATAGTGTGAGTATTTTGGATGTCAATGATACAGATTCGAAATGATACGGGAAGCCAGGACTGGCAAGGTGCGAAGGGCGGGCAGGGTTGTTAACCAAGGTACTTAGGGAGGAACACAATAAATTGTCCAGATACACACCAAATACCCACGGAATCCACAAGACGATATCTAGCTACTAGTCAGATGGCAAATGGCATGAAGCTCTCTGATCATCATGAAGCCAGCATCATTATCCATCATTCATCATCATCCCATCGTTATTGTTCAGCCCAAAATATCCCTCCTAGTATAGGTGGTGCATCGTATTTCTTGTCTTAAGCACGATGTACCGTATACAACTGGCTACAAATACAGACTACTTCGATATTAAGAACGGTGCCGCTAAGTGGGTGGGATGGAGAGGGTGTATCTTTCGAGGACAACTCTTCCCTCTCTGGCTAGTGGATCTATGGCCGACGAGGTTCGCATAATGGGTGCCTTAAGTGCAATGAAGGGGGGGGATATATATGACAATATATAGCCTTGAAATATAAGATATAAGATATAAATAGAGGAGGTAAGTGTTGAGGGAAGAAGAGGTGTCGGTTCCGTGTAAGCTATTTCATCCGCCTCCCGTTCGGGTCAGTTCCAGCAAATGCTTTCTATCGAGGAGGATCCTCCCATGTTCCGATGTAAGCGTCATGCTGTTTGGCGAACTGGATGCCGGATTGAAAGAGAAGGCTCTTGTATTGTCCTGATTTGAGTGAGTTGAGGTGAAAAGATCGCATCTGACCGGCACCCCCATCTTCCACTTCGGGCCACGTTATAATCAGCCCAGTCCGTGAGAGACGGCCCCGAGAAGAACATATCAGTCTAGGTGTGCCTCAGATCCATCGCTTTGGAACGCCGAACCTAATCGCTTGGGCGCCTGAGAACAATTTGGTTCTCCCAGCTTGGGAGTTGTGGTCAGTTTTCATCATGTTATATAGTGCTCCTGGCGCCTTGCTGGAACGCAAAACCTGAAATGCAGGCGCCGATTCGGGTCGTCAAGGGCCGTGTTACTCGTCGTCGTCACTCTCGACAACGTTGTTTCCCTTCCGGGCAATAGCCTTCTTTGTCTCTGCCTCATCTGGTTTCGCTCCGTCATTTCTCTTCTCTTCATCTTCAACATCTCCTTCTCCTTCTTTCTTATCCCCAGCGACTTCGTCCACCTTCTCTGCAACGGCTTGGACCTCGTCCAAGGCGCTCTTTGCCACGTCATCCCGATCAAGCGTCGGCATCTCGTTGATATCGTCCTTTGACGGCACGACGACCTTTAGTCCAAGATCCGGCTGCTTGCTGTACACACGAAGCCCGACCACGCAGCTCGCATTCCATGGGTTGCGATTGGGGTCTTTTTCATTGTCGTCAGAATCTTGTTTCCCCTCATCCACTGCGGGCGCTTGACAAGATGACGACGTAGAAGGAGTTCTCACTCCAGCCGGGATAGGAGTCGATGTCCCAGATGGGGAAGTTGAGGTAGCTTCCGACGGCGATGAGGACGTAGGGAGCTGGCCCTTTTGATGAGCTAGATCGTAAAGTTTGCCAATTTGAGTGATCTTATCTCGTCGGTGGATGTTTTTTCTGATGACATTTTCCACTTCATCTCGTCCGGTTGCATGCGCTTCGACTTTGACCAGTACAGTGTAGGTACCTTTAGTTAGATGTGCTTCCACATTCACGGAGCGTATCAGCTCATAGTTCATCTTACTTCGAGCGAGATACTCCTCTTCATCGTCGTCGTCTTTCTGCACCCGGAATTGCAAAGTGTAATTATACTTTCCCTGCAATCCCTTGAAGTACCGTTCATCAAGTTGGGAAAGTACAATCACAGCATCGGTGTCTTCAGGGACAACGATCGAGAAGTGGTTGGTCTGGTAGTCCAGCGTACTCCAGGGTACTTGCACCGACATCCATTGCTGAGCAACATGCCAGTCCGGTCCGAAGATGCGGGTCCGATCAATGTATTTGTACTTGCTCAGCATGTCTTTGTAGGTCATCCAGAAGATACCGTCGTCGCCAAATTGGTGGTTCAGTCGTGTCAACCACTCAGCGGTCCACTCTTTGGAACCATCACTCCAGGCACCTGTCCACTCTTTTCGGCCCCAAGGATTGCGGATCTTGACCAACCGCTGTCCGTAGCCTTCGTACGTATCAAGGACGGCGTAAGCGTGCTGGCTGACGATTCCTGACCGACGTTCCTCTCGGACCTTTTCGTTCGCCACAAGATATGGGCGCCACTCGCGCCAGCGTGCAGCAGCACAGGAGAAAACGAAATCCTTTCCGATGCGGCTGAGCTCATTTTTCCAAAAAGCATCTATGTCGAGGATGTTGGTGGTGTAGATTTCGGTGGTGACGCCGCCAGTAAGGTCTTCGATTGCCTCCCCGGTTTGTCCACCCGAGATTGATGCATAATCTCCATGTGCTTTGGCATAGGCCTTTTCAAGAAGGCTCACCCAAGTCTCGTTTTGATCCCGGCATTGAGCAAAGTACAACGATTTAGACCCGCGCTGGAAGAGTTCTTGATACTGATCTTCCTGGTCCGGCCGTCGAATTCCATATTGTCCCAAGACAACATCTCCACTCTCGTCGTATGCTGGTGCTCGGAGATACAGCTTGTCATCAATGATGCATTGGTGCCACTCACCGTCACGGTGGAAGACAAAGCCATAGACACCAACGGCTTGGTCTTGAATTACACAAACACGGTCAATGAATTCTTGATTGCAGCTCAAAGTAGAAATGGCGGCTAGGAACCAGCAGTCTCCTGCTGACCCCTGTAAAATATCGTCATAGGAGACCCCATCTACGTAGAACTCTGGATCGTCGAAGATGTCCTAGTGTTCGGTGAGCGAATATTCGAGCCATGACATAGACACTTACAGTAACTCGCTTTGCATCTGCCGGATATTCTTTGTCGTCATCTTCGATGATCAGACCATCCAGACAATCCCTGATCCTTGTGATCTTCAGATCTCTTTCGATATCCCAGTGAGAATCGGTATATTTCTGATTCGAGGCTCGACATTCCTTGATGATTCGTTTCACGTCCCGTATACAAGATGCCTTGGCATCTTCATACGATTTGATCGCCCTGTGGGCAATTTCGCCAATCAGTGTCACGGCACTGAGATCCCTTTCCGTGATGCGGTCGGGTAGAACGCGGGTGACTTTGCCAGTGTACTCAGGGTCGAAGTTCTTCCAAAACTTCTTCATCTTGGCTTGAGGATGGGGCTTCTTCTCCTTCGCTGGAGGGGGTGGAGGTGCTGGTGGCTTGTCCGGCACAAGCATAAGCTTGATTGTCTGGCCACCTCCCAAGACCAGACCATCTTTGGGAGGTATCGGCTCATCTCCAGTGCGGTTGGTTGTAATGGTAAAAGCCGGGTTTGATTCATCGCCAGACCTTTTTCGATCTCCGTCTGTCTGCTCGTTTGCCCTATTTGCTAAGTTATCTTGGGGTCCGGAAAGATCCATCTTGATAGCATTGCCATTGGGCTCGTCACTATTAATGTCGTTATCTTCAGACTTGACTTCGTGAAGAGACGGGTAGCCGTCACGAACAAAGAGGTTTCCAGACATTGTTTGCAGCAAGGCTGTAAGTAGACAAAGAGTGGAGAAGGGACCCTACATTTCAGGGTCCTTGAATATAAAGATTTCTCGCATAAATCGGACCACGAGGCTTAGGAGAGAAAGTTAGGCCACCGCCCCGGTCTGTCCCTGCGTGTGAGACACTAGAGCAGGAATTGTAATCCTATCTTCGATAGTCCAACGTATTGTGAGGCTTGGTTAGTCACACGAATTGGCGGTAAGAAAGCTATCGATACCAGTCAAGGTCTAGCTCTGAAGGGTGGCTTTTAGCGAGAATGCTCATCGGGGCGAGACTCGGCCAACCGTGATAAGACAAGTTTATCGGCGACCCAGAACGCCTGTGAGGGTCTTCCGGGCGCCAATAGGCGGTCTCGAACGATGGCAAGGGCCATGGAGAAGGTCCGGGAGGGTCGCATGCTCGATTGAATGCAGACAGCATTGAAGAACAAAACTGGAGAATGACAAGGCCAGAGCGCCAGAAACAATAGGACCTTTGCATGTAGCTAGCTCGCTAGTTTCGAGGCACTGCCAGAGGCTGGGGCGCCGATGCTCGCGTTCGTAGCTGCACGGACCTGCTGCCTGGGCACGGACAGCATCATCCCACCGTTGCAGCAACGGAGATCTGGGTAGAGAGAACGAGCAGGGCCGGTGAATTGTAGACTTCCCTTGAACAGCTGAGGAATTGGGGGCCGTGGATCGAGGAGACCATTTCCACCGCGCCAACAGCGTGGCCTGGTGAGTCCATTCTTCAAGGGATATAGGATGAGGCTGAAGGCTGCCTCGGAATAGCGGGACGGCGGCTGACATACCTAGGGGATGTTCGGCTCGAACGGAGTACAGTACATTGCACATCCGCGAACAGGGCAAATTCCGTCGAGACTAGGTTGTTAGTGAGTTAGTCATGGCTTGAAGAGAAAGCGGGAAGTCAGTGAGTTGAAGCTTCGGCAGCGAACCACGAAGATCCAGTCACGTGAGAGAAGGACTCCAGTACCGGTGCCTGCGGTGCCTGCGGTGCCTACTGTAGAAGTCTTGATTGGCAACGGGCGGTGAGCCTAATGGCGCCTGGTACGTGCCACTGGCCGTGATCGGACTGGAGCCTGGGCACCATACCACCTGAGTACCGTAGGTACTTGTACTGGGTACTTGAACTGTACTGGGTAGATATAGCAATTAGCTTGTGAGGGGTAGGGTTGGGGTATCAGCTAAAATTTTAGGTAACGGTTTAACCCCGATATTGCCGGGCTCCCTCTGCACATCTTCTGCACGCCCTAAGCTTAGCAATTGCCTGCGTCTGCGCTTTCGTCAAGCCTATCGCTACTATTACAATCCAAAATCTCGGCACCTGCTCTTTTGAATACGCTCTCCACGGCCTTTCCCTTTCGTCGATCGTCGAGGAACAGCATCCATTTTATCTTTACATGCCGAGTCAATTGCAATAGATGAGGGATCCAGAGGCGGTGCAGTCTGTTCTGACTGCGTCAGGACGCTTTCCGCTGAATCTGAATTCTGATTCTCTTCGTCGGTTTGGACCTCTATCAACCCAGCCATTCTGCGGTGATCCTGAGGGCTGGGGCCCTGTGAGCTCCCTCCGATGGGATCTAACGCCCTGCTTTCTTGACATCTGGATCGTGGGCGTCGCTCTTTGGGGTGTGCTGTTTGGTGCCGGAGCTTTGTGGTATTTGTTCACAAAACGGATTGCGCAGGATGTTCCCAAAAATTGGCATTTCTATGCAAAGCTGTAAAGACCTGATGAAAACCCCTCTGTCCAGGTTAAGTGGCTAACCTGGCACTAGAACCATACTTGTTGTCATCATCCTTACCACTGCCCTCCAGGCCTCTCTGCAGATCGAACAATTACCGGGACTATGGTTTCGAGACGTCCGATTCTACACGTCAATCGCCACCATTATCTCACTTCTGTTCATCTTCGCTGTACAATACTACGAGCATCGGCGGTCGCGGAATCCAAATGGCGTTGTGCTGTTTTACTGGGTCTTCTTCATTCTGGCTCACGCTGTGAAGCTGCGTTCGCTGGTGGCGAGAGAATCATACAAGGACCGCCTGCCGTACTTCATCACGTTCAATGTCAGTCTTGGATTTGCAGTACTGGAGTTCATTCTTGAATACCTGGTTCCAAAGAAACAAAGCGTTTATGATGCGTTAGGAGCAGATGATGAATGCCCATACGAGTATGCCGACATCTTCTCGGTTCTCACCTTTGGCTGGATGACTCCCTTGATGAAATTTGGCTACAAAACCTTTCTCACCCAAGATGATTTGTGGAATCTGCGGAATCGAGATACTACCAAGGTCACGGGAGATTTATTGCAGAAAGCTTGGGCAATCGAGCTGGAGAAAAAGAAGCCAAACCTTTGGATAGCCCTAGCCAGAGCATTTGGAGGCCCCTATCTGCGCGGAGCGTTGATAAAATCTATCAGCGATTGTTTGGCATTTGTCCAGCCGCAATTGCTTCGACTTTTGATTACTTTCGTCGATTCCCATCGACCAGGCCGCGAACGACAACCAGCAATCCGGGGAGTAGCCATTGCTCTGGCCATGTTTGCGACTTCAATCTGCCAGACAGCTGCGCTGCATCAATACTTTCAGCGCGCTTTCGAGACTGGTATGCGAATCAAGTCCTCATTGACTGCGATGATCTATTCAAAGTCGTTGCGATTGTCAAACGAGTCCCGAGCTACAAAATCCACCGGCGACATTGTTACATACATGAGCGTTGACCAGCAACGTCTCGCTGATCTTGCTCAATGGGGCCAGCAGTTATGGTCCGCACCATTCCAAATCACGCTCTGCATGATTTCGCTCTACCAGTTGGTGGGAGTTTCGTGCTTGGCGGGAGTTGCTGCCATGGTCGTCATGATTCCTATCAATGGCTTTATCGCTAGATTCATGAAGAAGCTGCAGCTATCCCAAATGAAGTACAAGGACCGCCGCTCCCGGCTCATGACCGAGATTCTGAATAACATGAAGGCCATCAAGCTCTACGCATGGGGCTCGGCATTCATGGACAAATTGAGTCATGTCCGCAACGATCTCGAGTTAAACAACCTTCGCAAAATTGGCGCAGCACAATCGTTCGCGACCTTCACCTGGTCCTCGACCCCTTTTTTTGTGTCGTGTTCGACCTTTGCGGTTTTCGTCTTGGTCAACAACAGACCTTTGACAACGGACTTAGTGTTTCCAGCCTTGACCTTGTTCAACCTATTGACCTTTCCTCTCACAGTCCTCCCGATGGTCATCACGAGCATCATCGAAGCATCGGTGGCCGTGGGTAGATTGACTGCATTCTTCACTACGGACGAGCTTCAGGATGACGCAGTGAGATTCATTGACGAGGCCCCAAAACAGGCCGGGGACGCGTCTGTTTCTATCAAGGACGCCACTTTTACCTGGGACAAGAATTCAGGCAAGAATGTCCTCCAGAATATCAACTTCAATGCCAATAAAGGAGAACTCACCTGCATTGTTGGCCGAGTGGGGGCTGGAAAGTCTTCATTATTGCAAGCTATGCTCGGGGATCTTTACAAAATCAGTGGCGAGACGGTTGTTCGAGGTCGGATTGCTTATGCAGCGCAGTCGGCCTGGATCATGAATGCCAGTGTCAAGGAGAACATCGTCTTCGGGCATCGATGGGATCCTCACTTCTACGAGCAGACGGTCAATGCTTGTGCTCTAGTTGACGATTTCAGACAACTTCCGGATGGAGATCAAACAGAAGTAGGAGAACGTGGCATATCCCTGTCTGGAGGCCAAAAAGCTCGACTTTCCCTAGCACGGGCGGTGTACGCAAGGGCAGATGTCTATCTTATGGACGACGTTCTCTCCGCGGTTGATCAACATGTCGGACGTCATTTAATTAATAATGTCCTTGGTCCTAACGGACTTCTAAGTGGCAAAGCGAGGGTCCTCGCCACTAACGCAATCACTGTCTTGAAGGAGGCAGACTATATGTACCTGCTCCGCGAGGGCACGATCCTTGAAAGGGGAACATACCAACAACTCATGGCCATGCGAGGTGAAGTTGCCACACTCATCAAATCCGCTACCAGAGAAGAAGAGGAATCCGAAGGAGAACGCAGCCCAAGCATCGAGGGCATGGAGTCCGATGACTCGACAACCATTGTCGGCGCCAATGGCGGTAGCCTTCAAGACGAACTTGATGACGAGGAAGTTGAAGAGTCGCAACAAGAAGTCGGGGGATTGGTGCCTATCCACGCCGGACCCAGCGGACCCTCAAAAGCCCGCAAATCCAGCTTTAACACTCTCCGTCGCGCCTCGACAACCAGTTTCCACGGACCTATGGGCCGCGTTACAGACGAAGAACACGGCGGTGCACAACTGAAAAGCAAACAGACCAAAGAAACTGCCGAACAAGGTAAGGTGAAATGGTCAGTCTACACAAGCTACGCAAAGGAGAGCAACCTCGTCGCTGTGGGGATATATTTCCTGGCCCTTTTGGCGGCTCAAACAGCACAGGTCGGAGGTAACTTCTGGCTGAAGAAGTGGTCCGAGATCAACGAGTTGTACGGCTCGAATCCCCAGGTCGGGAAGTACATTGGCATTTACTTTGCGTTTGGCATTGGCGGTGCTGGGCTGGTTGTCATTCAGGTACGTACCTGTCATCTTTCAATCCCCCTGTCTTGGATCTATATTCCGCATGATCCCATCTCTCCTGACTTGTTCTTCACCAGTTGTAACACAAAAGTGACCTGAACTGACATGAACCTGTGAGAACTTTAGACATTGCTTCTCTGGATTTTCTGCTCGATAGAGGTATTATTTTCCCCTTCTTCTCCGAATCCTGAATTGTCTATGTTATCTTCCATCTCCACGTTGTTATCACCACGGCCACGTCAGGCGATAATGGTGCATGCACGCGAGACATGGATAGACGAGTTCACATCTTCTCTCTAACTATTCCCTGAAGGCTTCGAGAAAGTTACATGATCGCATGGCATACGCAATATTCCGGTCACCAATGAGCTTCTTTGACACCACCCCAGTGGGACGCATCCTGAACCGCTTCTCAAGGTACGTTGCAGTCCCGGGCGCCTTCATACCTTGGAGATCATTGCTGGTAGGTACGTCGGTGCTGACCTGCTGTTTCCAGTGACATCTATCGCGTCGACGAAGTTATCGCACGCACCTTCAACATGGTGAGTGGATACAAAATCACATTTCTAACCTAGCACATCATCTAACTCGCCAACCAGCTCTTTGTCAATACCGGCCGCGCACTTTTCACAATCGGCGTCATCGCTGCCTCGACGCCGATTTTCCTCGTGCTAGCGGTGCCTCTCGGCTTCGTCTACATCATGTACCAGAAATACTACCTCCGCACTTCACGGGAGCTGAAACGGCTTGACAGCGTCAGCCGTAGTCCGATCTACGCCCACTTTCAGGAGTCGTTGGGTGGTGTCTCCACCATCCGTGCATATCGCCAGGAGAGGAGATTCACCTTGGAGAACGAGTGGCGCATGGACGCCAACCTGCGAGCATATTTTCCCTCGGTTAGTGCCAATCGTTGGTTGGCCGTCCGCTTGGAATTCATCGGATCTGTCATTATCCTTGCAGCAGCCGTTTTTGCTATCATCTCGGTGACAACTGGAAGTGGCCTGTCGGCCGGCATGGTGGGCCTCGCGGTAAGTTTTCCCTTTGGACGGTGGTCACCCTTTCTCATGCATGTTCTGGGGCGGACGATACACAGCCTCGATGACTGACCATGTTCCGGATTCCAGATGTCATATGCCCTGCAGATCACACAGTCCCTAAACTGGATTGTCCGCCAGACGGTGGAAGTGGAGACTAACATCGTGTCGGTTGAAAGAGTCTTGGAATATGCGAACTTACCGAGCGAAGCTCCTGATGTCATCTTCAAGAGCCGACCGAGCATTGGATGGCCTGCACACGGGCAGATCACCTTTAAGAATTATTCTACACGATACCGGGAAGGCCTGGATCCCGTGTTGAAGGATATCAACCTAAACATCAAGGCTCATGAAAAGATCGGGGTGGTTGGGCGCACAGGAGCCGGGAAGAGTTCCTTGACTCTGGCGCTTTTCAGGATAATCGAACCGATTTCTGGCTCTATTAGGTGCGTGAAAAACGTGGAAAATGGAGGCGTGTTTGAATCATCATGATCATCATGGGGTCCTCCGATCGGATGAGGTGGCAATGAGCTAACCCATTCTTTTACAGCATCGACGGGCTTAACACTTCATCGATCGGCTTGCTAGATCTGCGGCGACGGCTGGCAATCATCCCTCAAGATGCCGCTTTATTCGAAGGCACGATTCGTGACAATCTAGACCCGCGTCATGTGCATGATGACACTGAACTGTGGAGTGTGCTTGAACATGCTCGTCTGAAGGAGCATGTCTCGGAGATGCCTGGCCAATTGGAAGCTGCAGTTCTCGAAGGTGGTGAGTCTGCCACCCTGTCTTCGCTAATAAATCCCCTGCAAAAGTGAATTCGCCTTTCTCGTATTTCTGACTTTGAGATATTGGATTGCAGGCTCCAATTTAAGCCAAGGCCAGCGCCAGTTGGTATCTCTAGCGCGTGCGCTGCTCACACCCAGCAACATCCTAGTCCTTGATGAGGCAACAGCGGCGGTTGATGTGGAGACGGACAAAATGCTCCAGGCCACGCTCCGAAGCAATATCTTCCAGAATCGCACCATAATCACCATTGCGCATCGCATCAACACCATTCTGGACTCTGATCGTATAGTAGTGTTGCAGCAAGGGCGGGTAGCAGAGTTTGACACCCCAGAGGAACTGATCAAGAAGCGGGGCCTATTTTATGAGCTGGTGCGTGAAGCTGGATTGCTCGATGGGTTCGGCAATGGTACAGCGGGCCCGGACCAGCACTAGAATAGGCGTGAGAGAGCCTAGCGACCAAATGCTTCAAGCAAATCATCATTTGACGGGGAACGATTGCCCTTCGATCCGGCCCCGAGGTACCGGTAATTCAGTATCCCTTCCCTGATGATGACGTGCGATCTCAAGTGACAGAGCAACGCCGTACACATGGGTTGAAGGCCCGCCGATCCACCTTGGTGCCACAGAGCGCTCTGCCGATGCGCAGCCTTCGATACGGAAGCAGCACTCTAAACAGCCCGGTGTTGGCTGCGATAAGAAAGATGCCTTCAGGGGAGAGAGAAAAAGATTGAAAGATTGCACAGGTTGTGGCACACCAGTGAGAGTCGGAGCAAGCGCTCCGAACTTGACTAGTTAGCACTTGCAAGGCCAACCTCACGAGCCGGCATATGCTGTGTAACCCTTTGACGAAAAGGAGCAAACTCTGCATTGGTCATGAGCTGCCGCAATTGTTTGGGGATTCTCTCCGTCTAGGCAGGCCCGTCCTCATCGCAACTGTCCTCCTGGTCGTGCAGATGGGCGCCGAAGGTGGCACAAGGGGAAAAGCTAGAATAGAAAGGTCGGACAAAATGTATGAATCCGTGCTGAGTGGAGCAAGGCGCTCTCAGATACGTTGACTTCTGGTATAGGTACCTCGAGCCATATCATTCCTGCTTTGTGCACACAGTACCTGATACCTATTAATAGTGTCTGTGTCCCGATCGTAGCTGCACGGTTCCACCAACCGCATAAATAACAAATACGGGCGTGGATGCGAGTTTCCTGTGATGGTGGTGGTGGCGGACCGAAAGGGGCGCGAAGAGTCGGGGGGTGGGGGGGATCTCGACGCAAGCAAGCGCCAGCGTGGTTGTGGAATCGAGCCAGGTCCAAGGCCCTTGACCTTTGTACCGAAGAAGAAGGTGTTGGTTACGGCAGTGGGTGGCCCTTGTTGAAAATATAGCGAAAGAGGAGACTTGCGGGCATTCCGTAGCGTACGTACAGTATGTACAATCCTGCAGTAGCTAGGCCGCTTTGCAGGCTTCGCCATTGGCTGCAAGGGCCTTCCGTCGAGTGAGGCCTGCACTTTTTCCATGTTTTGCTTGAATCGCCTTTCAGGGCCTTACCTCTTGGGTGTGAGTATGGCTGGTGTACAAGCCGCCCGAGGGCGGAGATGAAGCGCGACGTCAGGCGGGTGCTACAATGGTCCAACTGCGATTCGTAACCCGGAAACAAAGTTTCGCCTGGCACGATAGTTTCTGTGCGCAGAGGCATCTGCATTTCGGTCACTTTCCCCGCCCCCGGACGGCTGGAAGTTGTAGATCTCAGCCAGTTGGGACGGAAGGCAAACACACAACGTGAGGCCGCGTTCGTATAGAATGGTGGCCGCAGCCAGTGATCATCCGAGGACAGCTCCGCCAAAGTTTGAGCCTCAATGCTAGTAACAAGTACACACGCTCGGATTCCCCAAGACGAAAGGGGCTAGCTTTCTGGCTGCCAAATTGCAGTTGGGCGGCGCTGATCGAAGATCGATGACAGAAGTGGGCGGGGGAAGGTTGACAAGATCACAATCAGATGCCAGCTCGCCAGGCCAGGGGCAGTTTCTTTTGAAGATACTTCGTACTCGGTATGCAAGCCGCCTTTTGGTTGCCTCTTGTCTCTAACCTCTCGGCAGCTCCCGTCTTGTCTCGCCGTTGGCCGTGGCCGGTCAATCCCCCAAGGTTGCGGAAGAGCGAAGATGTGACAGCATTCTGTCTGCAGTTTGCTTGCGTGGGAGAGAGCGAACGAGACTGGGGCTAGTACTTTTGGTAGAGAGGAGATCAGGGGGGTTCCGGGGTCTGGATCTCTGACGAGCAACAAACAACGTTAGCCAGCGGGGGTGATTGGCCGAAATATGTCCAGGCAAGACTCACGGGCACCTCCATGACTGCTGTAGCCGAGACGGGGGTGATTGGACGATTCATCGATCGAGGGGTCTGACCAGTTGAGAGCATCCGCAGCACAGCGTGTGACAGAAGGAGTCAGTTAGCGTGTGGTTTTTGCCGATAAGTAATACAGTACCCAGTACGAACGGGTAGAGGACATTGCCACGAAGGAGGGGGAAGATGGCTAATAGAGCTAGGAAGAAACAGGCTGCTGCTGGTTGCAGTTGGCGCAGCTGGTGCAGTTCTGAGATGGGGTGTGCTGGGGGTGCTGCGAGCTAGCAGTAACGACTGAGTCGATAAGGCCATGGCAGGCTCACATCCCAGCTTTGCGAACTGCCGGCCAGAAAAAAGCCTCAGGCCTACTGAGCCCCTAGCTAGCCCCTAGCTAGCCCCTTGCTGCAGGCTTCCTTTCCCCGTTACTCAGACCCCGCCCATGCCCATTTCTGCCTGGCACAAGTCGGAACCATGCTGCCGTCGCTTGTCCGACTCGCTTGAACCCGTCAAGAGTCGAGACACGCAAGCAGCCCAGAGGCACTCGATGCACGCCTGCTGTGGTCCCTCCCCTCAAACAGGTCGCTTGCTCCAGAGCGCAATGACTCTGGGCCCCCTCCCTTGCCCCCCATGGCCTGTGGCGCCAAGCAGCCGCTTTTCCCTTACAGAATGCCTCTACCCAGTAGGTATTAGGTAGAGCTCTGTGTCTATCTTGAGTAGAGGGACCCCCGTCGGCCGACCTGAAAGCCTTGCTCTTCATCAGCCGAAAGAGGCACCTCGATCCTAAGGGCCTGGTGGAGACGGGCTCAAACCAGACCGTGAACCAGAACGTGACAGAACCGGTGCAACGGTGGACAGGCCCGACCAAAGTCAACTCGTCCATCCTCGTCCTGGCTCCCTTCCCGGAACACAAGCCTTTGGAAAGAGATGGACTTCTGGTTTGCAAGATTTCTGACAGCTGCCGCCACTCTTGAGGCTTGAGATCTTGCCTCCATCTACTCTGTACAGACACACCACCACTTCTACCACCACTTCCACCACGACGCACTACCCTCCACCCACCCACACCCAACTCTCCCCTCTCTCTTCAGCCTCTGCTCCACGAACCTACCTATGCCCAATTCTATCTCAGTCCTCTCTGCCTCCGCCCTCCTTGCCCATTGGCTGCTTGCATGGCGTCGTCCGATTGGCAATCGCATATTATACATCTTCGTCTGGACCACTCTGGGGAACTCGGTTTCCTCTTCCTCTCCCTAGACTCTTTCATTTGTACCCAGCCAGCCAGGCCGCTCGTCCGCTTAGCCCCTGCCGTTATCCACGCCTCGCAACTAGACGGTCGAGAAGTAAAAGCAAGCAAACAATCTCAATAGGCCCGATCGACACGGATTGCTGGACCGTCGCCCCTCTTCTTGGTAGCCCCCGTCCATCCAAGCCTACTTGCCTCAAGATATCGCTCCTTGAGAAACAGCTCAAAATCCTTCATTTGCAGGAGCTCCTTCTTTCATCCATCCTCCACCCAGCACCTATTGTTCAATTCGAACATTGGTCCCCGAGAATTACAGCTCCTTGATGGTTGTCTAGAGCCAGGAGCTCGTCCTCAACCATCTCGACTGGCCGGCCTCGTCTCTGTTTCGTCGTTTTTTGGTGGTGGTTTCGTTGTCATTGCTTTTGTGGTGTATACAGCGGGGCGACAGATACATTCGACCCTTATACGAACCCAAACCCCTTCGATCTACAGCTTTCCATTCAAACTCAAGACGCACGGCACCCATTACGCTTAAGCCATCATCCGGGACGATACCGACCAGGCAAGCGAAGAAAAGGTTAGTGATGATTCCATTTCTCTCCCCAGGACTTGTCGTTCGCCCGAGATATCTGCGCCGATGCGCATGTCGTCCTCTTTGACGCTTCCGGATGTCGAGGAAATGACGATCCGCCGCCGTGAGCGGCTGGCAGTGGGGAGACCCCAGCAGTTTAGCTTGGAGATCCCCCATGGATGCAGGGCAACTGGGTTTGGCTCTAACTTAGCCGCACCGCAAACGCTTTGCCCGCCGAAGTCTAGCCGCCATCTTGGGTTGTCGGGAAGGGGGGGCTCACTAGCTATCCACCGTTTGCGCTCCTGTTACTCCCATGCCTTCCCCTCTGCAAGCAAGCACACCGCTCCAAGATCATGCGATTTGGCTCTTGCTGCACTGGTCAGGCTGCAATCTAGTCTTGCACAGAGCACGGAGTACATACACATGAGGTCCTAGTCCCCGGCTAACAGCTATGCCCTTCCCCTTAGAGTTGACTTTGCTGAGACTGCTCCTCGGATGTCGAGCACTCTTTCTCCACTCTCCACAACTCAGGCATCGTGCAATGTGGATTGAACTTTCGCATTGAACATGACACCTGAACTGAGCTTCAAATCCTCTCCTCAGTCTCTTTCCGAAGCCCTCTCCACCACACCTCACGAGGATGCGAAAACAGTGGTTGCAGCAGTTCCCAGTCTGACCAAAGAAGCTAAGCAACAATACCTAATAGTGAGCCGTGCATCAGAAATCCACCGAAAAAGAACATCCCTAATTAACATCCCTTGCAGAATCAGATTAAAAAGCTGGTTGAAGACTGTGAAGATTTTATCGGCCTGGTTCCTGGTCCACATGGTGTTCCTGAAGTTGTCGTTTCCCCGAATCTCAAGAAGGATAGGTGGGCCATCATCGGAGAATCTCATGGGACCTTTGCTCAATACCTGTCCATGCGCAGCCCCAGCGCTCCTGGTCAGTTATCGTCGTCAGACATCAATGCGGTACTGATTGCTGTAGGCCACTGTTGCGGCACCAGCCATCAGAGGGCGAAAACCTCAAAGCAAGAGCCCGCAATAGACCCAGGAACGCCAGGTGGCGCAATTACTTGGTCCGCGCAACGTCCTTTGAAGCGACACAGATCCAAAACCAACCTCTGCTCAAGGAATTCATCAAGATCCAGGTCTCAGCAGAGTGGTGGCGGAACAAGGCTCTGGGAGGCTCCCGCATCTCAAATCCGAGTGGATGACCACGCAAAGCTGGCCCAGTGGTATAAGGAGGCCTTTTTGATACTGCAGCAGGTGGCCTGTCGCCTGGTGGCCAAAGTCTGGATCAAAAGAATTCATCCTAAAAAGGTTAGATGCTTTCCCCCAAGACATGCGTCCACAAAAATAACAGAGGATTGAAGCAATCGACGCATCCTTACAATGGCCAAATGCCCCGTGGTGAACCTCCCGATCCGGATCGGACTAGGCCGCCATATTGGCCTGCTGGTACGGTACCCATCTCCTCCTCGAAACATACCATGTTGTATGTGTGTGTATTATCCTGGGGTCTAATGTCTGTTGTTTTCTGTTAGACGTCATTCATCGAGAACCCGATCACATTGGCCGCGACGGTAAGCTTCGTGAATGGATCTAGAAGATTCCGTGCCCTGACGATGCACAGACAGGACCCGGCTGCTCGTCCATTTGATCACGAACACCCCCCAGCCAGTCATTACGAACCCTCTGTCGGATGGAGTGAACCGGCAATTTGTGACGGCCCGAGACCTATTAGAATCTCTTCAGACTAAGAGAAGTGAGTTGCGGGAGGACCGTTGGGATATTATCCAACAGATTGTAAATGCAAGAGAGAAGCAAGAGCAGTATGAGGCCAATGAGATAGGTGAGCCACTACGAGGCATGTTGAGGTGTAACCGCAGCACTGACATTGGCAGATGGCGATACGCTGATCTTTGTTTGTGATTACGGTGATATCACCAGTTCAAAACTGTCGGCGATCGACTCTGATGATGAAGGGCTTCGACGGGCCAGCTCTGCACTTGGGGCATCCAGCGACGGCTCCGGAGAAGCAGGTGAAGACCATGAACCGACGCCAGGCTCGTCCACACAAACATCTCCCACTGATCAGCTTGTCTCGGAGGGGCGCATCATAATCAACAAACCCCGAAGCTCTGGCGCCAAGGAAACCAGTAGCCGTCGTTATGCGCCTCGTCGACCTCGACAGAGCTTCAATACGGGTCGAATGGTATCGGCGATTGCGCCACGGACAGGACAGGACTTTTCACCCGCGGTGAAAATGGGGATAGAGAATGGGACGACGCATCCCGATGCTGTCATGGTACCACTAGTTGGAATCCACCAGGTACCAGCCAATGTGTTCGGTCGCAATCTCGACAATCATGCTGGGACCAACGCCATGATGCATGCAGCTGTGCAGAGCGGTCATCTCACTGCAAACCTGCACCCTTCAGCCTGGCCAGGAATGTTGCCAGACATGGGGCCTGATCCACCTCCTGAGATGTTCGGTATTCCCTCTAGTATGGCGCCGCAACCGGCCGGCTTGAGACATGCGTATTTCGGTCAGGAGACGCTCGAAATGGCCAATGGTATACAAGGCGGACTGCCTCCGACCGTAGTAAACCCCATGCTTTACCAGGACTTTGGGGACAGCACCCGACGTTCTCTCCCGCTGCGAGTCGCGGACACACAACAAAGCGCAATGATGCCAACGGCAGATATCAGCATGGGAATGATGGCTGATCGTTGCTACAAGCTCGATCATTGGTGATGTCCATGAAGACCCAAGTTCCCGAATCTGGTTATCGAGTCGTACACTCTCAAAAGGCGCTGGAACGGCAGATGGCGAATAGCATTCTCGCCGCTCCTATCTCACGAACCCCAATCACGGCCTGCTCCGTCGAAGATACCCTTGACCACGGCCCTTGGCACAATGCCGCACGAATTTCCTTCGAGTCTTTTCACGTTATACCTCCTGACGGTTGTCTTTGATTTCGGTCTGCATTTCTTGTCCGGTTGCATTATTCGGCTGCCTTTTTTCTGCATTATTTTCCAACAGGGGAAATGAAGCACGGCAGCTATGGATTTGGAGTAGGCCACAGCAAAAGTTTTTGGGTGAGGTAATGGGTCGGGTCGTCAGGATGGCGCCTCGGCCATGCCAGGTGGGAAGACAGTGACCATTCATATCCGTCACAGCAGGATTGTCCAGGCGAACATCACAAGCGGTCTTTTTGTGGGCAGTGTTTTTGTGGTTGGATTTTCGGTTTATTTCGGATGCGAGTGTTTTTTTGTGGATTTGATATGCGTTGACTTTCATTTTGGTTGAGCCCGTCGATGCGCGGCGTTGTCATAATGAATGTGAGCATTTGCTTGGGACTGTCTCGGGTCAGTGTAGATGAGATACGAGCCAAGATATTGGGCATCTAACCATGTCAAATGAATGCATATAATAATATCGGAGAATAAATGTGGCGTAGCTTGGGTACATACAGTAGAATGTACAAGTAGGTTGTTGTCGATATTGAGTGTGGCAGGTGCCTGATCCGTCTGGGGCATGCAGCCAGGGTCTACCTACAAGTATACTTGTAGGGGCACCAGGGCACCTAAGGGGCCTCGCTAGGCATCTATTGGAGGTGAATGCTGCTAACGAGGCGGCCGCCGAGGCCAGCCAATCGGCGGGGGTTGCCTTCAAGGGGCGATTTGGATTCCACTTCTTTGTGCTCTGGCTGGTTCAAGACATTCGCTTTTCACTCCCGCGCGACAGCGACAGCGACGACAACTAAAGCCCCGGCTTGCTTGCGATTCCCATCACTCAAGCATTGCGAATTTCTTGTCCCTATTCAATACTCTCCATCGACCAGTTTCCCCTCGACTGAGAGCCAGAACCACCTCAAGTCTCGTCCTCGCGTCCCCCTCCCTGCATCTCCTCGATAGTCTCTCGTGTTGGCATGACACTCCTCCGATGTTGATCGATCATTCTTGCGCCCATGTCTGCGCCGGCGTCCACCCGCGGCCAACAACGCGGCGGCAGCTCGACCAGAGGTGGACGAGGGACTTCGTCTCAAGCGACCCGAGGTCGCGGTAGCACTCGCGGATCCACCACTTTAAGAGGACGAGGCAGAGGCAGAGGCGCAGGTGCGAATGCTGGTGCTTCGAGTCCCGCTGGTGAAGGGCTCCTGCAGCGACTACGTGCGGGAACTGTCAAAAGAGCAGAAGACAATGGATCATCTGGGCCGGGAAGAGGTGAGCTTGATATAACCACTGGGCAGGCGATAAATGGAGGGAATGCTAACCCGCCCCAGGACGTGGTGCTGGTACTGGAAATGCGGCGACCTTTACACCTGGTTCACGAGGACGTGGCCGCGGATTTGCGAATTTATCGAAGACATTCAACACTCGCAGCTCTCAAACGTCAACGCCCAGCTCTCGAGCGACTTCTCCGGCACCTGCCACGCATCGAGACTTCATGAACTTGGCCTATAACAAATTCCAAGCGGTGCGTCGCTACCCGGTCTATATTTGCTGACCATGACCACGTCTATAGGTGTCTGACATACGAGATCTTCATATAGCTAAAACAAAGCCGGGAAGAGGAAAGAGCGAAGGCGATTCGCGATGGGTTCCTGGCCGATCCGGAGAAGAAGACCAGCCTGGATAAAGCCATCACCCCCGTCGGAACCTGCACGGAGATGTGCCCAGAGTTCGAAAGAGTGGAACGCATTGTCCAGAACATGGTTGATAAGGCAGAGAAGGTGAATATTTTGTTTGTTCATTGGCGGGCCACTAAGCTGAAGGTCTGGGTAGGTACGCAACGAAGAAACCGGCAAGGACATGCCCGCAGAAGATCGCATGGTCAAACGATTCCGTCGCTCTGCAGCTGGATACGACGAACAGCTCCCTTCAGATATCCGAACCCCCGCGACTCTAAAACGGACTCTGGACTACCTCATCGACAAGGTAATTGGTGGTGGTGAACGATTGGCAACTGTCCACAAGTTTGTCTGGGATCGCACGCGAGGAATCCGCAACGACTTCTCAATCCAGCAAGTCACCAATGTCCAGGACGTTAAGCTTGCTGTCGACTGTTTCGAACGCATAGCGAGATTCCATATCCTGTCGTTGCACCAGCTGTCAAACCCGGACAATCTCCTAGAGGGAGAGAACTTTGACACCTACCAAGAGAGAGAACAGCTCAACAATACCCTCTTATCTCTCGTCTACTATTACGATGATCATCGAGGGCGCATTAACTTCCCCAATGAAGGAGAGTTTCGCGCTTATCTCGTGATTTTTGAAATCCAGGCCCCTGAAAGACCGGATTTGGAAGACCGCATGCAATCATGGCCCAGGAGTCTCCTCAGAGACAAGAAAGTTCAGACGGCACTTAGGCTGTACAGGGCTGCAGGTAACTCCCTTCTCGGCCAAGGGCCTCTTCAGCCATGGGAGCCCTTTGCGATTGCCCAAGGCAAAACAGGAAGTTTTTGGAATATCTTGGCCTCAGATTCGGTGCCCTACATCATGGCATGCCTCGCTGAGATATATTTTGCTGAGGTCCGTTTTGCGGCTCTGGATGCGTTGTGGCGATCATGCAAGAAAGGCCCTCTGGCTCAACAAGCAAAGTCTAGAGATTGGACACTCGGCGAAGTGACAAACTTTCTTGGATTCGACTCCGACGACGAGACCAAAGACTTCTGCGCCGCTTTCGATCTCTACTTCGCCACAGACGATAGTGGTGAGGAGTATCTGGATGCTACAGCGAACAGTGCCCAGTCCCTCGATCGTGCGTTCTTCCATCTTCCAACAATTCCTCATCGTCAAGTACTGATATCTGTGTAGCGTCCTCGATACCGCGACGCCAGGTTTTTTCGCACCATTACGTGGAAATGAAGCGCTACCACCGAGCACTGAACGCTGTCATCAACGGGGCGACCGTCGCGGAAGCCATTCGTCAGGGCTGGGTTGAGTCTGAAGATGAAGACACACGCCTTGTAGATGATACCAGGGAAGACGACCAGAGCATGTTCGTTCCGGAGACGAAACCGACATCCACCTCTGAAGCGCCCTCGCTCCCTGGACCTCAGCTCAATCCACAAGCTGCCCCTTTTGCACCAAAGTTCGGACAGAGCACTGCCTCGCTGAGCTTGACCAAGCCAACGTTCCCTACTGGATTTAGCTCTTCTCGTTCCCTCAACGCTGCTGCTTCTGTCAAGTCAAAAGAGGAGTCTCCATTTGGCAAGCCATTGAAAACTGGTGGCTTTGGGGCCTTGGACGTGTTCAAATCGACCGATTCGACTGGAACCTTTGCAAAGTCGACTCTCCCTCCACAGCAGCAAACTTCGACTTTCGGCTTTGGTGGATTCGCAGCATCAGCAACACCGTCTGCCTCAACTTTCGGACAGCCTGCGCCAGCACAGAAAGAAAGCAAGCCCTTCAGCTTTGGCGGATTCACCCCCAAGGCTCAGGAAGCATCTTCTACTTCTCTAGGTCGCGAACTTTCCGGACCTCCTGCTGCTGGGTTCAGCTTTGGCAAACAGGTTTTTGCGCCTTCGACATCTGCGACTCCTTTCCCGCCCATCTCCAGCCAACCGCCTCCGCCACAACTAACATTTCCTCCTACGCCGCAAGCGAGTCAAGGTAACAAATATCCACTTTGTCTTGTCTTGTCAGACTCTAGGTCGTTGCTAATTCTTCGTTTCTGAATCGCAGCAGCCCCAACCACGGCTCCAACGCCAGCCGCCTTTCAAGTGGCACCCCTTCTGCAACCATATCCTGCTTCCCCGGTTCCTGTGCAGATGTCAGAAGGCAGCACTACCCCATCGTTTCTTACAACGACCCAAAAACCTACGACTCAACCACAGCCCCCCGAGGCACCATCAGACTTGGAGCAGCCCCCGCCATCTACCACATTTCCAGCAGTCTCATCCATAGAACCGACTCCAGGTCCCTTCTTCAAGCCGACTGCAACTAGCTCTTTCCAATCGAAATCACCATCAACCGCTGAAATCCTTCCAAAGCCTGCTTTGGAAAAGTTCAATTTCGCTACCGCGACACCATCCATCAAGGCCCCCGGAAACCAGCACCCAAGCCAGCAACTCAAAGAAACAATACTCAGGCCAAGCTCAGCCATCACACAGCCTCCGCAGCGTAGCACAACTCCTCCATATTCTCCTCGTCAGCCTTCAGTCAAACCAGTCTCCACCCAAGCAGACCGAAACAAGCTTGCAGAACAGGTCGCCAGGATTGCACTGACGCAACAGAGGGGGCTGCTTAACAGCTACCTAGAATTCACACTTCGTGACCTTGTGACAACCGCCTTCAATCAACATCGACTGGAAGCGCGCGATGCAGCTATCGGTGAGGAAGTATGTTATTTGTCTGGAGACACGTTTGCTGACCATGTTCTGCAGCATCTGTTCGTGAACGTATCCTTGCGCGAAAGTTTGGATATCTCTGGCGAACGCGCGCTTGGACTAGAAGCCTGAATCGACGGGCGAAAACCAGACGCCAGCTCTTTGCAGAAACAATCAGAGCCGAACAAGCAAGAAAACAAAGAACAGAGGAGGAACTGGAGGAGATACTAAGGGCAACTCAGGAAACAAAACGTCTTCAAAGAGAGGTCCAAGAGGCTAGTAAGGCGGGAAAATCCTCGTCTGCCGGACAAAACACCATCGAAGTCGCCAAAGTTGCTGGACGAAAGCGCAAAAGCTTCTCTGGTGCGCATATAAGAGCGAATGGGACACCCTTGACTCCTGGGCATAAGAGGTCAAAAACGATGAGTATTTCCCCAGAGCCTTCGACTTCTACAACAGGCCAGAAACCTCCTGTCCCTGGCTTCAGGGCATCCATCTCGAGGCCGCTTCAACACGTCTCCATCTTTTCGCGCACTTCAACACTCAGTCAATCAGCATCTGAGAAACTCGACACCACGCGTACGGATTATTTCAGGCTCAAAGCTATGGGTGTCGACCCTGAGACGCCGATCATTCCCGATACCAAGCAATCGCTGGCAATTCGACGACAAAAAGAAGCAGAAGAGAAACAGGCAAGTCTGAAAAGAGCAAGCCGCCGCATCGGAACTTCTCTCTCGTCTGAGCAAAGCTCCCCAGCACCAATGCCGCCGCCTTCGATTTCTGATTCTCGGCCGCTGGATGCTAAACCATTGGCGAAGATTCCTGTTCCTCTAGTCGAAGATGACTTCCTCAAACAGATTAGACAAGCGCGTGAAGCAATGGAAGAACAGATCGAATGGTTCAAACTGCAATCTGTGTCACTGGAAAAGGAGATCGAGCAAGAAGAAGAGTTCCGAAGAAGTCAAAGCGGTCGTGATCACGGTAGTCCTAGCTCGACAGGCGGCATGCTACGAGTCAACGGTTATGAGTACCGGCCTGGGGAGAACAAGTCAGGGTCAACTCTGTCGCGCACCGAGAGACGTATCCGAGAGACTGGTGCCCACGGGCTTGCCACGAAACCTCTGTGGTCGGGCTCGCAATATGTACCTGTTGCGATGTCAAAGAGAAGTGCACGGAACTCCACCAATGGGTCAAACATTTCGAGCCCAGGGAGAAAACGAACACATGATGACGCAGAGCCCGTGTCTAACGTAAAACTGACGACGCGGAATTCTGGCGCTCTGCCCGCTTCCAAACGCCCTCGAGCTGCGCCATCCAAGTTCACAGACCCAAAGATCAGACATCCGAAGCCCAAACATATCGCCAGTACTCAAGGCAGCAATTCTTTCAAGTTGCTCCAGTCACCGCCGCCTCATGATCAAGAGGAATCCGATGACGATATCGAAGGAGGCGACCATGATACGGAGGGGGTGTTCGATGAAGAGGAGGATCCATCTGGACACGCTCCTTCGCAATATGCGCTCAATGGCGCGTACGCAGACGATGAAGATGAAGAGGGGTTGGAGGAAGAAGCAGAAGAAAACGAATACCATTTCGGAGGAAGATTTGAAGACGAAGAGCGCGAAGACGACGACGACGATGACGACGACGAAGAAGAACAAGAAGAACAAGAACAAGAACAAGAAGCAGAAGGAGAGGAGATGGGTAACAATAACGACGGCGAAGAAGACGAAGAAGGCGAAGAAGACGAAGAAGACGAAGAAGACACAGAATATAGTCACCCAACATATCTGCAAGCGCGCCAGGACGAGTTTGACGACGCCGAGACACCCGTGACGAATCCACAGCTGAGCCGCGCCGCCAGTAGCGCCCCTGGCGGCAGCGTAGACGACGCGCTGGTCCTAAGCGATAGTGACTGACGGACTGAGTTGAGTTGGATCCGAATCATTCTTGACTCCAACCATTCAAGAGCGAGACCGATCGATCTGTGTCCGCGGACCGAACTCTGCATATCCAGGGTGGTTGGTTGGTTGGTTGGTTGATGTTCGAAAACAACCCGAGGAAGGGATATGAGGCCACAAAGGCAGCCTGGTGCATTCATCAAGCACCACCCAGCGGAAGGCAGAACTTGTCACACAGCCACCGCAACAACACCAAATACCCTACCTACCTATGTATATAGGAAGGGAGATAGTAAGATTGACAATAAGGAGCTGGTCTGGTTTGCATCTTGGGCGGAAAAAATCCGCTGAGGAAGGATGCCCGATTGATTTTTTATCCTCCGCTGGCTTTCCTACTAACTGCGTAACTATCCGTATAATATAGACCAACTTATTATACGACCCTTGCATTCCCTCCGCTCTTCTTCCTCCTACGAGGATGTACCGAGTCTCGTCCAAGCAGGAACTAGTCGATACGTCTCCTATTTCTTCTTTCTTCGTTCTTTCGTTCACAAAGTGTGAAGGACCAAAATGCCCCCTTAGACTCATTATCGCTTCTTGCCTGTCTACCTTCCTCTTTCCCCTTTCCCGCTTGCTCGCACTCAAATCATATCTCATCTCGTCTGCATACGCGGGGCTTTTTTTTTTTGTTTTTTTGTTTTTTTTTTGTTTGGTTTTTTTTTTTCTTGCTTTACCCTGTTGTTTTTCGCCGTTGAGCGTATATTTATAGAGATGGACAGATAGACATGTACGGCTCGCTAGGGCACTCGCCTGCCTCCTTACTTTCTCACTCATCTCACCAAAACGGAAAACGGAAAGCAAAAAGAAAAAGAGACAATAGTCGTTTCATTCGTTATAGCTTCGCCTTGAATTTAGCGGCACCCAATTCATTGCGGTCCAGACCCATTGATCGGAAGATCTCCTCGGTCTTGGCCTGTTGGCGCGCGATGCGGGCTCGGATCTCGTCTTTGCGCGTCTTGTTTTCGCGGCGGCCGAGTTGATTCAGGTGAGCTAGGAGGGCAGGAGTGTCAGTGTAAACGAGCAAAGCGAAACGAAGCGAGGGGTCGGACAGAAGAACACGAGAGGGGATAAGTGGTTGAGCACGGAAGACAAAAGAAACTTACCCTCATCTGGTCCGTCTGCAATCCTCAACGTCCTCAAATGAGCCCACATGTGAGCCAGCGGCGTGTCCTGGCAAACACCCATGGCGCCATGCACCTGGATTGCCCGATCAATGACCTCAAGCGCCATCTGTGGCACCTTGACCTTTGCCTCGGCGATCTCCTTGAGTGCGAACTTGGCGTCCTTTTGATCGATCTTGACGGCAGCGTTCAGCACGACCAGTCTCGAGGCGTCGATCTCGATCCTTGCTTTGGCGACCCAGTCCAACAGCACGCCGTGCTCGGAGAGCTGTTTTCCGAAAGGGATCTTCCTCTCGTCGTTGAGCCGGTTGATTAGCCACTCGAGGGCCTTTTCAGCGGCGCCCACGGCTCTCATGGCGTGGTGGATTCGTCCCGGTCCCAGGCGGCCTTGCATGATCTCGTTGCCTCTGCCCTCACCCAGAATGAGCGCGTCAAGGGGCACCTTTACGTTGTCGAATGTAATATGACCATGGCCGTGCGGAGCGTCATCGTACCCAAACACCGACAGCATACGGTGAACTTTGATTCCCGGGGTGTCGGATGGCACCAGCAGCATGCTCTGTTGTCGGTACTTGTCTGGATTGTTGGGGTCGGATTTGCCCATGACAATGAAGATCTTGCAGCGATCATCGCCAGCGCCCGAGGACCACCACTTTGATCCGTTAAGGAGATAATGGTCACCCCTGCGCTCAACGCGGAGCTTGATGTTGCTGCCGTCCGAGGAGGCAATATCTGGTTCTGTCATGAGAAACCCAGAGCGGATCTCGCCTGCGAGGAGGGGCTTGAGCCATCTCTCCTTCTGGGCTGGGGAGCCATAGCGGGCGATGACTTCCATGTTACCTGTGTCGGGGGCGGCGCAGTTACATGCCTAATTGGAGAACCCAACTCGTCAATAGGAAGGATCTCGACGAAGCTCCAAGGAGCAGAAAGTGAAACAGCAACAAGCCGTTGCGGATAGTGTTCCCCATACGGGGAGACAGGGAGAAAACACACCTCGCTGGCTGTAATACTCTTGCCCAACTGCTCCGCTATAAGCCCATACTCGACATTGGTGAACTGGGGTCCGTCCTTGAAATGGTTCTTTGGCAGAAACATGTTCCAGATACCCAAGGCACGGGCTTTCTTCTTCAAGTCATCCATTATGGAGGGATGGCCATGCCAGCGGGCGTCACCCATGCCGATCTGTGAGGAGTAGACGACGTCGGCGGGGATACATTCTTCATCGACGAATTTCTCGACCTGGGGAGTGATTAGAGGGTGTTTGACGAGAACCAAGACCGGGCAAGGGAAGATACCAAGTCCAACAGCTTCTTTGCCCGCTCCGACACAAAGGGCAGGGCAAGGGGAGGGATGTTCTCTGAGGCGGGCATCTTGGAGAGGGGGGGTTTGTACTCGGTATGGGGTTAACGAAGGAGGAGGGATGACAGGAGGTAGGAGGCGGTCAAGGTGTGGTAGATGCTCTTCCTAAACCCTCGGCTACTGAGAGGATTGTGAAGAGAGAGAAAGAGAAAATGCTCAATGGGCTGGCAATGTGGACGGCGCAGTTACTTGTAGCTGGTTGTTCGGCTGTTGGGTCTGATCTGGGGGAATTGGAGTTGGAGACTGCGGCTGGTGAGGCCCTTGTGCCTCGGCCATGGCCTCCCAATGCATCCACCAGCCGAACGGTGAATGCCTGCAACTACTGTACCCTGTACGGAACAAATACTCCGTCCTGGCGGCAGCACGGCTGATTTCCACATCTGGATGTCCCTGCTGGGATTACAACCGACTCTAGCGAGGTTACTTGTGATGTACTGTAGTAAATGGAAAAGTGGTTGAGAGGGTTGAAATTCTCCATTCTGGAAGACTCGGTCGACGCCAGTCTAGGGGTCGAAGTATCAGTCTAGCTACTTCTCTCGCTCGACAAGCACTCAGCTCAAGCTCCAGCTCCAGCTCCATCCCTTGCATCCCACCGCCATCAAGCCAACAAAGAAGAAAGTCCCCGCGTCAGGAGAATTGATGTAATTCCAAGAGCACACACGCCATTCTCAACACCTCGAAGAGCCTTCTTCAAACCTGAATAGTGAACCGTTTCCCCTTTCCCCCCATCGACAACAGCAACAGCAACAACAAGAACAACCACCACCACCTCCACCAAGCTTTTCGTCCCATATCCTATAATGCTGCGGTCCTGATCGGATTTCGTCTTGTGAATCTCCACGGTAAAATAAACCCTCAAAAACATACTCGTAGCCGCCGCGGTTCCCAATGCCATTGTCCGGGTATTTTGGTTTTCTGGTTGCTGTTGGTACACTCCATGACACCTCGTCGATAAACAAGCCCATGTTTGCAAAGTCATCAGTGTCAAGGTTCCAATCAAGACAAAAGCGAGGGTGGTGGGAGGATTTTTTTTTTCTTCCTTTTCTCAAACGCACGTCCATGTGGTCTTCACCTGACCAACCAAAAACACAAGATTCTTCCCCACTGGGTTTGTAACTCGCCCCGGTTCACACAAAGTTCGAATAAGCTGACAAGAAGTGATGCTCAAAGAATTACAAATGGAAGTTGTGCCAACCTCCAACCCACTCAAGTTCATCCTCGTCTGTCGAGGATGAATCCGTCACCCGCTGTTGCCGCCAATCTTGATCTAGGTACGCCGGACGCGCCTTGGGCCGGCTGTCACGGCGATGCCAGGGTTGGGGATGGGGATGGGGATGGGGATCATATCCAAATCCGTTCGTAGGCTTCTTGCGTGATCCCATCGTCAAAGATCGTTTCTTGCAAGTCCACGTCTGTGTCTCCGACTCAGCCTGGTAGTTCCGTCTCTTGTCGCCCAATGCTGCCCACTTGTCCACAGCAATCACCTGTTTGGGCGAATGCCGAGGTGTTCGTGCGCGCCACGCAAAAGGATCGTTCTCATTCGCCCCGTGGCTCGTCTTGGTCGGCGACAAAGGTTTCGGCGTGCGGCTGCGACGTGCATTACTGGAAGAGCGGCTCTTGGACTCGGTGAGCACACCAGGAGGTACCGGGAGACGCTTTTGACTGTCCTGACTCCAGCTTCGAGCGTTCTGCTCACGTCGCAACTTCAGCTCGGCCTCACGTTCCGACTCTTCCTCGTCTTCCTCGAACATATCACTCCAACTCTTGGCCACCGTGTCGTCTTTCTTCTTTCCAAAGATTGAAGACATGGCAGGAATGGGTCGAGAGGCGCGGGATGGTAACGAGTTGGGGATAGGGACTGGGTCTGGCTGCGGAGGGTTGCGGGCAGCAGAACGCCGAAGAGTTAAGGACTTGAAGGAACCATATGCTGAGTCAAATATAGATGTCAGGGAAGGCGTAGTGCCGTGGCCAGAGCTGTACCAGGACTCCCCGAGCTTGAGGCTCTTGTCCGACTCGAAAAGGTCCTCCTCGTACAAGTCGGGGATAGAGTCCAATTGTTGCTTGGGTAAAGGACTGGCATGCAATGCCTTGGCCCAAGGGAACGAGTCTCCATCCATCTGAGGACTTTGAATTGACGGGGTTCGCAGAGGCTCGCGATTGGCACTGGCCCGAACAACATCACGTTCCTCGGAACAGAAAAAGTCGTCAAACGACTCATCCTCGGTGGTGAAGGCAATGGCACGGAGCACGGCTTGTTTCACAGCTCCTAAGTCCCGTTTGGCAGGGTCCAAAGCCATGGCCACAGACAGGATCTCAAAAGTATCCTGCGACATGCTGGGGAAGATGTCGAATAGAGACTGGCGGTCTCGACGATAGTCGGCAAAGAGAACGTCCGATTCCGTTGGCGTAACAAAGGGATTCCTAGCAAAAAGAACATTGAGCAGGCAGATACCGATGGACCAGATATCTGCCTTTGCTGGTGAGTAACCCGTGCCAGCAGGATCGTATTGCTCCGGGGCCATGTATCGGTCGCTTCCGACGCAAGACTCGTAAGACCACAGGCTCTTGGTGGCCAGGCCAAAGTCCCCAAGTTTCACAGCACCATCGTGAGTCAGAAAGATGTTCTCGGGCTTGATGTCCCGGTGATAGAGGCCATTGGCATGCATGTGCTGCACGGCACTGATCAACTGGAGCATGAAACGTCGGACATTCTCGGTCTCAGCGGGACCTCGATTGAGGCGGATCGCTTCGTACAGGTCGCCCTGAGAACAGTATTCGAGAACCAGGTAGGTGTGAGCGTCGGTCTCAAAGTGGTGGACCAGGTTCACCAGATGATCGTGGTGCTTCAGAATTGCGTGGCACGCGAGCTCTTCTGTGCCTTCGTCCGTGGTTGGTGCCTGTGTGGATTTGTTTGCAACAGAAGGCTTGGTCAAACACTTGATGGCCACATTTTGCCTGGTCAGAGTGTCCTCAGCCAGGAAGACCATGCCAAAGGACCCATGATTGAGGGGAGCAATGGTTCTGAAGCGACCATCCAAAAGCTGATCCTTGTGGAACTCATCTTTCATGCATTCCATTGTTGTGGTGGTGTCAGATACGGTGCGAGCCGATATATCTCTGGTGCTTCGAGTAGCAATCTATCCTTTTTGGGATGTAGCGACAAGAACTTTTGTTGACTGAACAGAGACGAGCAATATGATCCAGGAGGGCTTTGTACAAAAGTATAGACAGGAATGGGATTGGAATGCAGGCGCAGTGTGTGAGAGCGGATACGCTCAGGAGGAGACAATGTCGAGTATAGGAACTGGAATCCGGACACCAAGCATAGATCCGCCTTGTAGCTTCAATTCTTCAACCTCTCCACTTATCATGTGTAGAAAACGCCTAGTCGAGAAGGACAACGCGGAACTCCTTGTCGTTCGTGTAAAAGGTCAGAGGCTCATAGAGGGTGGTATAGGTCGTAACGTAAAACAAAAGGAAAAGCTGATCGCTGACGCAGAGCCTGTCGGGCCCGTTGTGCAGTCGAACGAGCAGAGGCGTAAAGAGCGTCAGTTTATTGTGTCATGGTCGAAGGGATGGTGGGACTGGTTCCGGCAGAAAAGCCAAAGAATGCGAGTGCAAATCTCGACGAGGAGAAACTGAGGATAGTCGAAGAAATAGCAGAGGGTTGAAAGGGAGAGGCAGAGAGGTGAATTAGGTGGAGCTGACCCGAGGCGTGGTACTTGTAGCTGTGTCACAACTTGTCGAGCTCAAGGTGCCTTTCGACAGGCAGCCACAGGGTGTGTTGCCACGGAAGACGCTGATGACTTGTCGAGAAGGAGAATGAACTCGGGATGGTGCAATCTTGACTCAGAGCAAAGAGGTCGTCCCCCTTTGTCTGAAGTTTATTGTGGTGTGGACTGAGCGTGACTTTGACTTGACTTTGACCCAGTTGACACTCGCAACAATGATTCACCAACTAGGCCGAATCCGAAAGGATGGCGAGACTCGACAGATTCGACGGTTGAAATAGCCCTTGCAATATCCCAGGCAGATCGAGTAACAGCTCAATGGTATAACAGGATTATAGGTACAGTGGTGATGGAGGTTCGAGCTTCAATACCGGGCGTGGTGGGGAGTTGAGGTTCAGCGGGGTGCAAGGTCGCTGGGCGACAGCGAGGAATGCTGGGGCGCAGAAAGAACGTCGTCGAGACGAGAGAGGGGGAAGGAGAGACACGGCCAGGTGTTGAGCTGTAGGTGACAGGGAAAGAAGACGAACACTCGTGAGGGCTTTTGATTTCACATTGCAGGGCGGTCGAATTCGGGTCGAGTACGAGGTAGTAGGGGACGAAGGTAAACAGTGGGACGAAGAAGGTGGTTATGAAGCAGAAGGCGGTCGAGTTGGCGGTGACGGGTGGCTCTCTTACAGCTTGGCCTGCGCTGGTCCCTCTGGTCCCTGGGAATGGCGATGGTGAATCCTGGGGCCAGCCGAATAGTGGGCACACCACTCTCACGGAGCGCCCTCACAGCCTAACTTTGAAAGGCGGCAGAAGGCTACGGGCTACGGGCTACGGGCTACGGGCTTCGAGCTACGCTGTACCATGGTATGGGCGACGGCGAAAAACTGCTGGCGCTGTTGCGTGCCCCAACAAATGACGCTGGGCACCACTCACTGGGCGAGCGAAGTCCATGGAACCGGCCGGTAACTGCAGGGCCAGCCAACAACGAATCACGCTCATCTGGGTGGAGAGACTTGCTTTGTGCCTGCGCCTGCAATGGAGCCCGCTGGTTCGAAGGCAGCTGCAGCTGCTAGACCACTTTGGCCCTAGCGGCATCTGCACGAGCAGTACCTCGCAATTTCCTGGTAGCGCGTGACCCATTTTTCTTCTGGCCCTCCACAGCTCTCGCTACTGTCCTCGTGCTCATCTCTACGCAGGAGGGGCTTTGACGGCTTTGGCTCTGACGAGCAATGCCCGCCACCCACCTCTCTTTTTTTTGGTCTCACACCCGCTCACACACCTCCAAGCCCTCCAGACCCGGCGGTGGTTGCAGCTCCCAGGCCCTCCATGGCTTGCCCACAGCGAGATCAGGTGCAGGCCAGACGAATCCTCCCTTTTAAACCACCTTCCCTACCCGCTTTCGGCTCTTCGCTTTTGTTCCCTCCAATCAATAGTCACGCCACAGCCATCATGAGCCTTGTCCAAAAATGACGCCGCCGCCCGGTAGCGACACGCAACCACCATGGTGGATGATGACCACAAGGCCACAGGCAAAAGAAGAGGACACTTTGCAAAGAACAATTACCCATGTAACAAGTACCACCACCTTCGGGCCCAGAGGGAGCACGAGGGGCCGAAGGCTTCCATCCCCTTTTCATGATGAATGCACTTTTCCATTCGTATTAACTCGACTCTGGTGACCCTATTCTGGATGCCATATCCGGTAACACACTGCTCCCGAGGCCCGTGGTCCTCTCCTTTGTGATAGGGCCGTCCGACAGCACCCTCACGCAACTCATTCCAAACCGTCCCTCCAATTTTGAGGAGCCCTGCATTGAGTTCAAGTGCTGACCAGGTTGAGGACAGCTTATAATTGGCCTGGAGGTTGAAAGGGAAGAGGAGGAAAATCTCTCATTTGGTCCTGATGGTTGTTGCTCGATGCCGTTCTGGCTGAGTCAACCTTACGAGTCCCCCGGCATATCCATCCAACAGTCACCTGGGGCTTTGGATGGTGGCACAGCAGAGTCCTCCATGGAAGCTTACCCCGCAAAATCTGAACTCCTGGATGTGGTACGAGTTTGTCGCCAGCCATAAACCACGATTTCTGAGACAAAGACAACGAAGACGTATTCCGCGACTCGTCACCACGGTACATGTAATCGTGCTGCGTGATTCTTTTCATCGTACAAGTACTCCGTACAAAGGAGGACTCGTCAAGAGGCGCTCCGTACGTACTGGTTACCAGCTCTGCAACCAGGCTCGGCGAGCCGGCGTCATGTGATTGCAACGGTTCGCATCGCAACGGGCAGCCCCATGAAGGATTCTCGACGATCCAACTGTGCTTCGATCAAGTTCCAAGGATTTCTACGAACCCAAGTGTCAAGTGCTCTGACCAGCATTCCTGTCCTGGAATAGGAGCTGTCAAAAACCTATCAAATGGTGGCATGTTTATCTGATCGGCATTCTTGCTCCAAGCGACATTAGGCTTACGAAACATCACAAGTACAAAGATCCAATGGTGTATCAGCAAAAACAGGGGATGACCACGTGAAATGATAAGCAACGATTGGCAGCTGCTGGGTCAGACGTTCATCTCGGATAATCCCAGGCCACCGAAGCACTGACACTCGAGGTTTCGGCCATGACATTGAGACGATGTGCTGATGTTTCAGCCAGATATCTTGCTGCTGTTCAAGGCATCCACAGGGCAAGGGGCCCAGTCGCTCTACTGGGTACAAAAAAGCAGCGAGCATCCATCAATGCAGTATCAACCGATCGTGCTGTAAATTACACACGCCAGCATGTCGTCGTATCTTCATCAGTGACCAACAAAAGACAGACCAAACTGCTATTCGATGTTGGCCATTCTGCCAAAAAGTCGGTGAAAAGGCAGTGCAATTTCAAATCTCCTTCAATGGGCTCTTTCAATGGCAGTCTGGAGCTGTTACAGTGCTCGGGCAATCTAATGCAGCCAACGGGCACTTGGGATGCAGAGGCCTGCATAAGCTCAGCAAGAGGGTTTCTCCATCCTCCCTCCGCTTCGATTTTGGGCTGGGCGTCTGCCGATGAAAGGCTCCAGGCCCATTTAGATGCTGGCGCCTCGGAAAAAGGGCCAAGTCATCCAGAGCTGATTGGCACCAGCGGAGAAATGATGTCGCCACCCACCCACTTGTAAAGGGCCACGAACATCCAGTCATTGACCGCGCTACAAGAATGCCGTGGCTGTTGCCAATGGTGTTGTGGTAGTCGTGGCCCTGCAACTCGAGCCAACCGCCAAAACCTTGAAGCTTCCATTATTGGTCTGTCGAACTATTGATCGCTCTGCATTGGCCAGCGTCGGGCCGAAGCAAAACTCGCAGTTCTGGAGACTGGAAGCCCCTACCCCGACAGCATCGCTCCACCAGGCGTCGATCTCGACTCGAAGCCTTTGGCTGCCATGTTCACGTTGAAATCAGATCCACAGAGTAAAGCGTCTGCTCTAACAGCCATCATTACTGCCGTGGCACCCCAAGAAGCATTCGGGCACACAAGACGGAGTACTTCAGACGGAGTCAAGATTGACACGTTTTGGAGGAGGCGCCTCCATTTTGCTGGAACGAGCAGCATCTCGAATTCTCCGGCTCTTTGACGCCCACCATGCCCCAGTTTGTGACAGGCCCGGACGTTTGAACCCTCTCGCCTGGTACGTACTTGTTGGCTGAAATAGAGTCCTCCAAAACAAAGGTTTGGCTCTATGAGGAACATACATCATGATTGCTATGTAAGTGCAGCTCAAAGTTGGACAGCACCAACAACAAGTTCGCAGTTTTTGCAACGCTCTTTTGGCAACCACAACGATTCCACGTCGTCAATGCTCCCACACCTTCCGCCTAGCCTTCGTATGCGTGCCACCGCACTGCATTACCATCGCTATGTGCAAGAGTCCCAACCTAGAAGCACTTCCACTCAGATCTTTTTCCGGTAGGTTTTCGAGATCTTCAAAACCCTTAGTCTAAAAGTCGGGGGATTTAGTCTGGTGAGGCTCTAAGCGAACCCACCCGGCGGCTGTTCCCACACACCATCCGCATTGTAGCGCATTCCTTTCCACGGATGGCGGTATATACACCGCCATGTCGCAATTTCTTCCATCTTCAAGATTCGCTGGTACTCTTCCTTGGTCACTGTCGAAAATTTGAAAGGGTTGCGTTGGTGCTGCAGGCTGCATGAACGATATCAAGGTGGCTGGAAGACGCAGATCTCGATTGGGTTTGCCCGCGGGTTGCTACGCCAATTGAAGGATCGCTCGCACTGACCGCAATCGCACATTCAAAAATTCAACGAAAAATTTTTTTTAATTCTTTTCGACAACGTCAGCACATGCCGCGACGCGACGAGAGTGTGTTGATCTTTTGCTTGTTTGGTCCATGATGTTTCCACTGCTCCGTCTTCGAGTTCACATGTGCCCCAAGACGGATTTCTCAGAGGACGGACTTTCGAGTCGGTGAAATGCATTTTTTCCAGTGAGAGATACCAGGAGTGACACTCATTTCCATTCATGGGATACGAGACCATGTGGCTTTTGTGCTCCCTGCTTGATCCTATCTTCATGTTGCATAGGAGGAATTCCGGAAGCCCTCTGCTGTCCACGGATGTGGTCAATGAGAAGAGTTGGGTGCGAGCTGATCAATGTAAGGAAAACAATTTGACTGCATTTCACTTTCTTTCACTTTGTCTGTTCAGTCGTCCTCTCTATCTGTGGTCTGGCTATTGGAACAACCTCACCTTTTTCAAATGCTCACTGTTCCTCAAGATGGAGCAAGAACAGTTCACATCCCGATATTCTCAGACATTCTTACAGGACCGGCTGCGATCCCAGTCTTCTCCCATGGAAACAGCCAATGAAGAGCCCACTGCCGTGCCGAGCGAGAAAACGACCGCAACGTGAGTGAGTCGCGGAGCGTTCGATAACCGTCGGGACGAATTCTCCCAGGAACCCTCCCCCCCAAAAACAAGAAACCCGTGTCTAAATCAGTTCATCTTCTCTTCAAGAGTCGCCCTGAGACTGTCTCTGGAATACCTGTTGGCTATTGTGTTGACAATTGCTCGACGTCCAATGGGACAAGCATGATGAAAGCGCGGAGAACATACGCTGTTATGCTATCTGCCTTTCGGATAACGATGCGAACCTCGATGGACTTGCGATGGAGTCATTGACAGAAAGCATTGTCGTCCTTGTTAATATTTACAACTTTTCCGAGCAAGGCCGATCGTTTCCGCCACCATTTTCTACCAGTCCCCACGGTATGATTACACGTGATTAAATGCTATACGTACCCTTTACCCGGGATCTCGCATCCCATCTATCTACCACTGTTGAATTTCTTTCTATACAAATGCCCATCCATCCCAATGACCGCCTTTTCTGTACAGGAGGGAAAATACTGTACAGGGCCGGAGAAAACCCTATTCTTTCCGGCCAAAGCATACCTCGATCTAGGGTCATGGAAGAGTAGAATGCCGTCCACGAGCGAGAGGAGAAGTCGACAGGAAAGTGTGGTTGGCTTTATACAGTACAAAGTGTTGAAGTGAAGACGGTTGTGGTGATCGTCTTGTTGTCTTCATGTCCTCAAGAAAGAGAGGTGGAGGTCGCTGGTCTTGGTATGGCGTAGCCGACAACATGGAATGGCTATGCTTATGCCTGAATTGTCGGTGATAAAGAGATGTGTCTCCGAGAGGTCCACAGCGCTGTACAGTTGATCGCAACGATTCCCAAGAGTCTTTCTGACAAGCTCTCCTCCGAATAACTGGCGTTCACAGCGCCCCTCCCAAGGCCTCAACAAGCCAAAGGGCTAGCCGTACTTTCAGACCTACCCTTCGATCAATCCTCGCGAGGTCATCCTGCGTCGCAACCGTTGCATCCTTCTGCAAATTCTCCGTCTCTTCTTTCAGCCTTGTCTTGAGTCCTTCGTCGCTTGTGATGATCATTGCTCCAATCTCTAGGTCGAGACTGTAACTTCTTTTCGTGTAGTTGCTGCTCCCCACTACCGTGATGCTCGGACCGGGTTCTTGGACGGCTTGCCCTTCGGCATCTAACTGAGGTGGAAGAGTCACCCACAGGCCCTTGGCGTGGTATGTCATTCCGCCGGGCTCACCGACTGTGCCTTTTCTCCACTCCTTCAGTTGAATCACGTCTTCTTTCCCAGCGTTGTACACGGTACGTAGGAAACGTCGGGATAGGAGGGTATACGCTGCTGGCAGCATACCGCTCACGCCACGGCTGCCGTAAAATCCATTGGCCCACGGCGATGCCGTAATCACGGTGCACGCCTTTTCGAAAGCTTTTGTGCCTGGTGTTAGTACCGGCGCGCCTTCGGGGGCGGCTGCTATGAGGAGTTTGCAGATGTCTGGGTCGATATTGAAGTATCCCGCAGTGAATATCCACGTTGATTTGTGCAGTCGTTCGTCTTTGGCGAGGGTTGTCAGCAATTTAGTAATTGCAGGCTTCTCAGTCGAAGTGTATTGTGCAAACTCATAGTCGAGTACGGCCATATTCTTTGGCGCACCCAGGAGGACGTCGAATTGGGCCAGCGGATAGACGAAGGTCTTTTGGTGCGTGAATTCGACTGGAAACATCTTTTGTCTAGCTTTCTTATGGATTAATGGTTCCAAGATTTCTTTAGCGTACGCCTTGAATCTTTTCGTGTGCCATAACGGGTCTGGGTATCCTCGCTCATGAGGGCTAAGTAACTCGAAGCCGCCGAGACGCTCCTCGGAGGGGATGAGTTGGTAAGACAGGTCGCAGACTGCTTCGTGAACGGCCCCGTAGAAATCAGTGAGCTCTTTAGAAGAGAAAATGTGGTAACGGTCAAGACGGTTGGTGAAGTAGTCATTGGACAAATTGGCGCTGGCAGGGTTAGACCGTTGTCTGGAAACCGTAGTGAAGAGCAGTCATACCCCGAGAGCATTACCTCGTCATCAAAGCCATAGAGCTTCATGTGTTGCAAGCCCCATCCTTCGTTTATCCGTTTGGGCATGTACTTTTTCTTCCATCCGTTCAAATTTGGGGTGTGGAACATGGAGATTCTGACCCGATCGCCGAATTGGACGATTAACGAGGCGACGAGGGTGGCACATGACGGATCAGGATCCTCACGAGTGCCTCGGAGCGCATCGGTGAGGATTGACACCTCGAGGTTCGGGTTCTTCTCCAGTGCTTCCCTGAGAGTCTCGATGAGCTCATGCTCGGTTTTGCCAATGTATAATGTAGACAGGTATATCCGTCTTTTTGCTCCTTTTATTTTGGCCTGCAGCACACCTTAGCTGGCCGCTTTCCCACAGGCGCATTGTGTGTCTACCTTCAGGGTATCGTAGAAAGCGACTGGAGAATCGAGGATTTGAATGTTGTCCGGATCTATCTCGAATCTGGGTGCCACATGATCGAGCTGTGTAGCAACCCCGGCAAGAGGGTGCGTCGTCGGAGCAGCGCCATTGCTGAATGCCGATGATGAAGACGAGGAAAAGCGTCTGGAGACGAATTTGGTTGCAGGGGCGCGATGAACGCAAGCTCTTCTCGTGCGAGCGCAGCTTCGAAGGACCTGCAATCCAACGTTCCGGGAGAACATGTCCGACCGAAGGAGATAAGAGCACACAACTGGTCACCTTTCGCACATCTGATCCCTCTCCATCCGGCCCATCCCAAAGAAACAAAGAATTACCTTGACTAGTCAGGCTGGTTTCTCAACACGCCGAGACGCATATGCTCCATATATCTTGACAAAATTTCTAACGATGTCATAGCTTGGCGAATCACGTGACTCATGACCACACCGCGCCGCTTTTATAACCATCGAGTCATCTCGCCATTCACCTTCCCTTGCACGTGCGCACTCGCTCCTTGATCAGCTAGACGCATTTAGCTTACAGGATGTTAATTAAAGCGTAGTTGTTGCCTATTTAGGATGAACACTAGCCATTCTGGGATGAATGTGCGGGGGTGCATCTTCCAAATCTGATCACAGAGACATGTCAACCTCCACAAGTTTATGAATATGCTTGCGGAAGTGCCCTTCGTCACAGGCACGAAGATGGGAATCTTAATTTATCCTTCTGATTTCACAAAGTAAAGCTGAAAATACGATGTTGTCAAACACAGGTTGGACTCGTGTTTGACTCCTCTCAAAGCAGAATACATGGGAAGGAATAAAGACACCATAACTACCTGACGATTTTAGCAACAGGTCTTCCTACCAAGAGCAACTAGACATCACGATATTGTTGGCATTGTAGGTATCGTCGTGCTCAGCATACATGTGCAAAATCTTTAGCCGAAGTTCTTGGTTTTCGGGAAGTCCAAATAATAGCACAAACGCTCGAGCGTCTGTTACCTCAACTTCCCCCAACTCACCAACAGGCGCAAGGTCATGTAAAGCTGGGATATCACCCCGCGGTCGTACTTTGACGCTGGGTAAACCTTCTTCCGGATATTTGTCGTAGAACATTACCCGTGGTAATTCTTTGTAGCCATCATATCGTCTGTCCTGAATACAAATACGCCCAATAACGCTGTAGTGTCCGAGGGACTTTCTGACAACAAGCCAAGAATTTCTGGTGATTCTGAGAACGTCGATGTTAGCGTCCAGTTTCAACAAACAGTGTAATCTGTTCCACGCCGCCATATCGTCTATTGCGTCAAGAAGCGGGTGACTTTGGTGGGATAGGAGATCCTCGTTACGCTCCGGGACATCTAACTCTTCTCGGAAAACTATCTGTGGCAGGAAAAGTCTCCTTCGCGGCCGTTCATTGTCAGTCTGTGGTAGCTCTTTGTTGGAAGTGCAATCTTCCAAGTCTAGCAACTCAACCAAGATTCGGCTGACGAGCCCAAACTGACGGAGCCGCTCTTTTGTGTTTCCAGGGACGAGATTCTCTTCCAATATTTCGAGGACACAGAAGCTGAGTGTGTTCAGCATCAACTCTAATGCGGAGCACCCATAGTCCACCGGGAACTCGGGCGCAATCTGAGAGAGTCCGACCAAGGCAAAAACCCGATCATGCAAGAGTTCACATTCTCGTCGACGAAAGAAGGTCAGTGCAAAGGTCAGACTTTGGCGTGGCAGAAATTTCGAAAGATTTAAGAACGCGTAGCCAGGGAGGTTGGGATGAGGGTTCCGACGATTGAAGAACTCGCGATCAGGGAGTTCATTGCAAGGAGCCGATCCTTGAGCAGTAACGAGATCCTCCAGCATCTTCCAAGACATGTCGTGGGATCCTGAGAGAAGTCGTTTGTCCCGGGCAAGCACTGCTTCTTGAACCGTCCAAGCACGTTCAAAGTACTTGTCGGACATGAGATTTGCTATAGCTTCTCGTGCCTTGCTCCCATTTGGAGGAAGGTTATAATGCAAAAAGCTCCTGAGCCACGGCATATGTTCACCTTCCTTTGGGCCAAGCCAGATCAGGACCAATCGAGCCGATTGATAAACGCTTCTCATGAGGCCTACTTGATGGTTGCGTTCCTGTTCATTTTCTTGATCGATGCAAATAGCATCTATCCATAAGAAGCTCTCCTCCTGCAGCCACTCCTTCCGCCGTAGTCTGACGAAGTGCTTCAAGAACTCAAGCAAGTTTCTTGCGACGGGGAATGGCTTTCCATTCAGAAGTATGTGGCCAGATGGTTCGGGGTCTCCCCATACATATGACAGCGCCACATAAGGCGATGGACTTACACCATCCAAGGTGACATGCTGTATGGAGCATGAGATCAATTCTTTTTGATTGGAACAGGACGATCTGTCTCTCTGGGGCGAATTTGCATATGCATGGTCTTGACGACTCGGTTCGTGGACTTTCAGTACTCGGATTTGACGAGTTTTCAGGTTCAGGCGCCTATGTTCAAACCGCTGCATGATTTCGAAAAGAATTCAAATTTTCGTCTTGAATGAACTGCAGCCTTCAAGGTAAGGGCAGGACACCATGTAAGGCAGATGTAGGGCTCGATCTAGCATTGAGGAAGGTGAGCTAACCGGAAGATTAAATAATGGGCAAGCAACGTGAAGGGGGCGCAGCAAGTTGAAGAGTTGAAGGGTTAGTGCCTTGGTGCTGCAAAGGCGCCTCCTACCGCCCAACGGCCATCTGTTAATATAATGGTTAGGTGAGAGTTACTATTGCATTCCCAGCACCAATAGCCGGACTAGAATTTTGGAGAACGAAGCAGAGAGACTCTTCACAAAAGTCCCCCGGGCACTTTGGCCCTTGGTGTCCTTGCTACTGTATGGACAAATGATGGCACGGTACCTAACGCAGCCTATCGCATGTTTTGTACATCATTTGCAAGACTCTAGCCATTCTCTTAGACGTGCTCTTTCCAATGTTTTACAGTGCCCGGCATACCCTTGTCGTGGCTATCCTTCTTCTTGCAACCTCATCAGTTCACCCTTCGGCAAGACGGATACCGCATCTCCGAACACATGCCTTTCCGGTGCCAGAAACCGTCCATTGCTGTGCAGGTTTCGTTGGCTTATCTTCACTCTTCATCCTATGATGATGCATCCACACGCCGATGGGTCCTGGCAACCACAGCTATCAGAGTCCAGGTCGGGTAAAGGGCCGGCATCCTTCACCGCAACAGCCATCCATGGATCTTGACAAAATAGGTCAGTGATAGCAGGTTGGAGGATATTGAGATAAGCTTACAGTCATAATCCTCGCTCATCTTCATACACAGGATGTCCCATGTGCGCTCTGCAATGCTATCGATTCCGATAAGCATGTCCGTACTGGCGGTACAGTCACGCAGTATCATGGCCTCGCAACCATGTAGCGCACAAGCATCCGCGGGCTCCTTGAAGATTCGGATGTTGTCAGGCCGTGGTGAGAGGGAACCCCACAGAAAGCCCGAGCCAGGGGTGCCTGAGATGTTGACATTGACTTGTAGGGTTTCAGAACCATCTTTCTTTGCGGAGTTGGTGAGAGGTCTGATGACTTACCCTTGACGGAAGTCCAGTGCACAGAAGGGCAGGGCCCGTTGTCGACTCCATACAGCCTTGCTCCAGCAGAACGAACCAGCTCTTTACAAGCATCATCGTCTTCAACCATCCAGTTCGTCTAGTGAAGGTAAGCCGGCGCTCTTGGATATTATGGAGGGCAAATAGGAGGTTGATGACGTGAGGATGGGATCGAGGATCTTCATACACTCTGGAAGCTCTCGCCCGCTACCATATGGTACTAGACGTCCGGCGTCAGTCAGCTTGAGGAGAGAAAATATCATCCCACAAAACACTCACGATCGTGCGTAAGTAACTACCTTCACTGTAGTCGATGAATGCAACTGGCTCGGCAGCCAGCAACACACGGTCCCAATAGTGGCATCACGAAACCACGCAGAGGGATTGTTGCGGAGCAAGGAAAGGGCCATCCTGGCTCTGGAAAGCATATCTGCCATCTTTCGGGAGTCTCGAAACATTGAAGGAGATTGATGAGAATGAAAGGCAGGCGTTGAGAATGACCAGACGAGAGACTGAGTTTGGAGGAAGTGGTGCTGTTGTGCAAAATGAAGAGCTTGGGGTTGTGGAGAGGATGTGCTAGGGAGAGATCAGTGAGACGTCGGTGAGAGACTTCGCTCTCTTTATTGCATGCAGCCTCCCATAACACTCTGTCGCTTGACCGTACGCGAACGATTTCAACCGTCTCTTGTTAGGTCGCTCAGATGCCCAGACTCGTTCGAGAATAGCGCTTTGGCGGTTATCAGTGTCCCAAGAATTAATATGCGCGCACGGAATATCTAGGTTTCCGTATCATGTACGGAGCAGTCTGCACGGAACTGGACTCAATATGGCCGGGACTTCATTGCGTCGATGATTGGTTTCCTTGTGCGAGGGTGCACAGCGCGTTATCGGAGAATTAGATCGAAAACCAGAAGTGATACCTCACGAACAAGCAATAATTCGTACCTTGAGCCGCTGGAATATGATGCGAGCATTTGCCCACTGAAGGTGCTTGGTGTTCAACAGGAAAGAGATCGAGAGACTTCGAGATGTTGAGACAGATCGATTGGGAAATAGTGTCATGCTGTTTTAACAGAATCTCGATTTGGCCCCATAAATACTGCCAGGAGCCAGAAGCTCATAGAGCGGCATGACGGCTTGGCCCAAGGGTGCCGTTCCCTTGGCGGATTCGCGTGGCCACCAGACCGACTTCCATTTCCAACTGGGATATGGAGTAGTTGTCAGAGCGGTGTGCCCATGGCCGGTGATGAGATGAAAAGTTATGAGCCGACACGAATGATCCATTCGGCGTCAGGGTCTCCATTTACGATCTTCCATGGACAACGCTGACAATGCAATTTACGGAGCTGGTCTTACTTCTCCTCGTCACCCTCGTTGCGGGTACATCGAGTTCATTCACGACAACAATCACGCCTTCCACTTGTCCTTTCCGCACGGTTAACTACATTACCCATAGTCTCCCTCAGCAATGCCTTGCATCTTCTCGGAAGACCAACGTTACGTCCGCAACGATCGAACCCACTGGCTCTCTCAGCGAGAATACCGTATCTTCTACCTCTTCTGCAACTGACAGTTCTCATCCGACTTCCTCCCCATTGGCCCTGTCTACTATTCGTTCACAATCCAAGAACAATTCCTCGGTTCAAATTGCGCACACCTCGCAGGAGCAGCCAACTCCGGGCCCTTCCCAGACCGAGTTGCATGGTACTCCGTCAGGTACAGGCCATGATGTGTTGGAGGAAGATTCTCCGCTCGAAGACGGAAAATTCCTATCTTTTGAGGACTGGAAGCGAGAGAATCTCAAAAAGTCGGGTCAGTCTGAACATATTGGCAAGGGACCTGGAATCGAAGGTCGAGAGGCGAGGAAACGACCCGCGCCTCTGCGGGATTCCCTCGACTCCTTGGGGGACGATGCTGAAATAGATTTGGACTTCTCTGGCTTTGTTTCTGACACTCTCGACCCTCCCAAGCAGGGTCAACCCAGGGCGCATCAGGGGATCCGCGACAGCTCGGTCGAGATGGAACCGGGGCGTGGTCCGAGAGCCGGCGCGAGGAGCAAAGACGCCGGCACAACCTGCAAAGAACGATTCAACTATGCCTCTTTTGATTGCGCTGCCAATGTTCTGAAGACCAATCCGGAAGCGAGAAGCGCCTCGGCCGTGTTGGGTAATAACAAGGACTCTTACATGCTCAACGAGTGCTCGGCTCAGAACAAATTCTTGATCCTGGAACTGTGCGACGATATTTCAATCGACACTATTGTGCTGGCAAACTTCGAGTTCTTCAGCTCAACTTTCCACACTTTTCGAGTAGGCGTATCTGACAAGTACCCAGTGAAAACCGACAAGTGGAAGACACTAGGGACTTTTGAAGCTCGAAACACCCGTGAGGTCCAAGCATTCTTGGTTGAGAATCCAGTCATTTGGGCACGCTATCTGCGCATCGAATTTCTCACTCACTATGGCAATGAGTTCTACTGCCCCGTCAGCCTCGTCAGGGTTCATGGAACTACAATGCTGGAGGAGTACAAGCACGATCTTGAATCAGTCCAAATGGAAGATGATGGTAAAGTGGAGCACGAAGGCACTGAAAATGCAGAAGATAGACCTGTGCCGGAAGCAGTGGCCGAGCGGCTTTTGACAGAGGCCGATGTCCTCGAAAACTCTATCAAGACTGCTGATCCAGCAACTACATCAGATCCATCCCAGATGGAAGATTCTCTCAATACCACTCAAAACCTCCTTGAAGTTAATAAAGGCGCAATCTCCACCTCGCCAGCGCTTTCGTCGAGAGTCTTCAATGATTTGGCGGATCAAAACCATCCGCTCGACATGTGCAAGCCCAAAAAAGGCAATGCAAGCACAACTTCCGATGCTCTTGATCGGCAGCATGCCACTCAGTCCCCTAATTCGGAGGCTATAAACTTTGCCATGGATGTCCAGGTTCCAAGGTCCATGGGAACGGGCAATGTCACAATAACATCCATGGACGGGTCAGTCACGACGTCTAAATCCAATTCCATGGTTGATTCAGCAGCTGCCAACGCTTCGTCTGTTCCCCCTACCAGCAACAGTTCGAGACCATCCGTGTCCTCGACGCAGGCTGCTCACCCCGCCCCAACAATGCAAGAGTCGTTTTTCAAGTCGGTTCAGAAGCGCCTGCAAACACTTGAATCCAACTCATCCCTGTCTCTTCAATACATAGAAGATCAATCTCGCGCACTTCGAGATGCATTCCACAAAGTGGAGCAGAGACAGCTGGCCAAAACAACGTCTTTCCTCGAACATCTCAACACAACAGTCCTCAATGAGCTCAGAGAGTTCCGCCAACAGTACGACCAGCTGTGGCAGTCGACGGTCATCGAGCTTGAGATGCAGCGCGAACGCTATCAACAGGAAAATATCGCCATCAATGCCCGGCTCGGCGTACTTGCCGACGAGGTCATCTTTCAGAAGCGAATGTCTTTCCTGCAGTTGATTCTCATCTTGGTATGCCTCGGGTTGGTGTTGTTCTCCAAGGGGAATTTGAACAGCTACCTTGAGCTGCCTCTGGTGCAGAGTGTCTTGTCCAGATCTCCGAGTACTCGATTTATTAATGTCTCCAGCCCCGACACGCCTTCACAGAACTCTCCAGTGTCAAGATCTAACTCAGCGGGAGGAGTGCGGAGGCGTCTGGGGATTTTAAAGGGCCATCGGCGCTTCCCTTCGGAGGACTCGGTTGAGAACGCGTTGAGTCCCGCCGATTTGTACTCACCGCCGACGCCAGTCAGCTTCGGGGATCCTTCATCGGACGGCGACGACAAAGAGGACGGTAACCGACTTGGGGATCCCCAATTCGACCCCAGTCTGATTGAACGACCTAGTACGAGCCCACCAGTGCTCGCCGGGACAGCAGCGCCTACTGAATCGGAAGCTCATGTGGAGGTCACGGACAATTCCATTGACACGGTGCTTCTTGGACCCCCATCAGATGGCATACAAACAACGCCTCCTATTGTACTGGTCGAGGATGCTACGCCTCCTCCGAAACATCTGAAGTGGCAGCTGCCAGAGAGCTAGAGGCATTTTTGAGCTCCCATGGCGCAGGAAATAGGATCTGGTGAAATCCTTTCACTCTGAATTGAGCCCGACTCGATGGTTGGATGGATGTCTCGGGGGCAAATGAGTGCCTTGTCAATGCCATTTGCTGAGACAATCAGTCCAATCCACTTCGTCTGCCATTAACAACCCGGATCCTGAATCTGCACAAACACCCCCAACCATATTTCTGCGCCGTCCTTCATACGCCGTCTGCTTGACCGTTTCTCGATACCCAACCATCTTTCTTCCGAGACCACTCATTCTATCTGCAGAAATACCATCAGGACGGCAAGATATCTGCCGGATTCTTGAGTAAGCAAGATATTTTCCGTCTGGATTGCTGTCAACCTACCCAAGAGTGCACGTGAGAACAAGCTCAAGGCGACATTTTATACAATTGTGCAGGGACAAAGCGAAGAACATGCTGATGACGCATATGCAGCAAAGTCTTTCGACCATGTGGTGTAGGAAAAAGGGCACAAACAGGGGCCCGACGACGAAAAGGGCCCAGAAGACGAAGATGGTGCACAAGTATGCATTTCCCTGGCGCAAGGTGGATTGAGAATGGTTGTTGGGCTGAGTCGAGATGTGTGTCGGTTGCTGGGACCGGTCAACATCTTGGTCGGCGAGGAGTATTCACTCCTCATACTGTAGTTAATACTCACATACGGAAATCGACCTGTATGTGGACGTCCTCTTGTGCGTCCGATTGGCGCATAACTGGCGCACGGCCATTCCGGGTTGTGAATATTCCCTCTGAATGCTTCTTCATCCATTTGCGGCTTATGACTGCTTAGGATACAAAATGATTCTACCTTGGATCAGAGTGACTGCGCAGCTCAGTAGAGAAGTCCGCATCGGTACAAGCACAAAAGCAAAGGTTCTGGGGGTCAACATAATAAGAAGCCTGTCAGTATGTAATCCCGAGGTGCTTGAATCTATCCAGTTGGCTAGAAGTTTTCACCAAGTCTCCGAAACAACATCCCAAAATTGTTGCCGTCAGACAATACCACCTCAATACCACCTTGACACCTCCTTCACACCTAGAGATCTTTGAAGTCAATTTCCACCACATTGCTCTTGGATAATGATGGACCATGTTGACGTCGCTGAGTAGGCCATAAGCTTGAGATCATGTCTGGAGAGTAAAATTGCCTGGCCGTCGCTTTATTTAAAGTGTGAGAGAGGGATCACCTGCGTCCATTGTGGTTATTCTTTCGACATGCTTCCAATTTTTAAATGTCTATTTTAGACTGGTCGGGCAACCAGAATTACCCGGAATGGATGACAGGCGGCGACCATTCCTCGAACAGTAAGTAGATATCAGGCCAATGACAACCTGCAACACACGAGGCTCTGAAGAGGAGCCCAGGGGGAATGCCTGTAGACAGCGACTGCGATAGAGACTTCGCTTGACGTGACCGTTAGAGTCTCCTCGGTACCACCGCCGAAATTAGGTGACGTCGGTTTTCATGCCACATGGTCTTGCAAAATCATGTCTATTCTCGCCGCTCTCTCGATTCTAGACCTCACTGCCGCCTCTCTGTATAGCATTCCTTAGTGTTGATATCTCAGGGTCCCCTTCGGAAAAAAGATTCTTCCGCCACCGCGAACATTCCCATCTCGCCGAGTCAAGACCATCCTTTTCGTCGCAACCCCTACACCTAGATTATCGATTTTCTCCTCCTCTTTCCCTACAACATGCGAGCGACGTCGATGAGGATGTGTTGCAATTCGTTCACAGCTTGCTGGCTGTTGTAGCGCGGATCGTATTGTGCCATCTTCAGGTTCCGACGGCGGATGGAAGAGGGATGTGTGTCTCCAGGTAGGTCGGTTCTGAACCCGCGATCTCTGTGTTGAAATAGATGTTACCTTCGTTCCTTCGCCATTTCCACCACGCCACGCTTCCGTCGGACGAACTTGCGCGGGCTCAGTCTCTTGTTGTCTCTTCATGGATCGTTGGGGTCTCCTTCGGTGTACCAACGGGCATCCCTATTTGCTCACGCCTCGGACGGAAAGAATGTCTCGTCTTCAGTGCCGCGGTGTACGTTCTTGGAACGGTATTGCAGGTCGTCAATGCTGGATCAGCACTTTGGCTGTTTGAAGTCGGGAGGTTCCTGAATGGCTACGGAGTTGGCGCTGGCACTTTGGTTTCGCCTATCTAGTACGTTTCGCTTTGTGTTTTGGTTTTCTGAAACGCCTTTCTGACGGTTTTTTCAGTATTTCCGAGATCTCAATTCCCTCCGATAGAGGCATGCTCATGTCCGGCTATCAAGTTGTGATCCACGGCTGCGCTCTCGTCGGCTTCTGGGGAGCATACGATGCGAAGACTGCGATCGCTGGCACTTCAGATCGACAATGGCCGTTGTCTCCCAGTTGCCGTTCAGCTGCTCCCTGGAATTATCCTGCTTCTTGGCACTCTCTCTATCAAACAAACCCCGCACTACCTCGCTGCTACGGACAACATCGATCAAGTGGAGGATTCTCTGTCCTGGATCCGAGGACTGCCCATCACCGATAAGGGCGTAAAGCTCGAGGCCAAAGAGATTTCTATGACGGTGCTCTCTGGCGTACGTCGGCAAGCCATCCACAAAAAGCATTTCCTCCGTGAGGCACTCAGCCATCCAATCCGCAAGCGCCTGACCGTCGGAGTCGGCCTGATTGTCGCACAGAACATGTCGGGAATGAACGCGCTGAATTATTATGTGGCAATCATATTTCTGACGGCAGGCTTCAAAAGCGTGTCGGCGCGCCCGTTTCTGACGGGAACATTTGGCTTCGCCAAGCTCGTTGCCGCGCTCCTGTTCATGTTCGTCTGTGTGCGTATCTACGGGAACCGCTTTTGGCTCCTCTGGGGGACCAGCATATGTGCTATATCAATGTTCGTGCTGGGATATTGTACGGCAACAATGCCAGAGTCGTCAGCGGATGGAACCGTCCCGTCTATGGTCCGCGCCACGGTTTGCGTCATGAGCGTCTACGTGTACGCAATCGCATTCGGGGTTTCGAGCGGGCCGATTGCCTGGAACGTCTGCAGTGAGATCTTCCCTTCTTACATCAACGCACAATGCTGCGCGGTCACGACGTGCACACGGTGGTTGTTCCAGATCATCGTGGTGGCCATCACGCCCATCCTGCTCGCCTCCATTGGGCCGATGACCTTTGTCTTCTACGGCCTCTGCAACATCCTGGGAATGAGATTCTACTACTTCTGCGTGCCTGAGACAACGGGTATCGCGCTGGGGAAGGAGATGAGTCGTGTTTTTAGCCAGCAGGACCTCAAGAACGGCGAAGACGGTGAAACTGTGGAGGAGGTGGAGCACGTTGCCGATGATGAGACGCCTTTACTTGCTGCGGAGACGAAGAGGAGGAGAAGAAGTTCAAGTGGAATTGTAGGGTGAAAATGTTCTCACAATTCTCTTTAGCGTGGTTAATTCAATATCTTGAGTCTTCAACTTTGTAGCGACTGCGGTCTTTTTCCTCCCCTCCTCTCCAGAACAAGCACTGACACGTCTCAAAAGGAAAGTGTTGCAACCTTCGAGAGACAAAGCTTCCTCTTGCGCTGGACATTCAAAGCTTGGAAATAAACTTGACTCTGTTCGCCACGGCGGTCTTGGCCGTCGATATCTTGGGCGCAAACGACTCAAAGCTATGCGGCAGGCCGGGATAGACGTGCATCTCGATGGGGATATCGGCCTCGGCGTGGCGGGCCACGTACTTGATGTTCTCATCCCTGAAGATGTCCAGGTCCGGCACGTCGGCGTACAAGGGCGGCAGGCCGACGACGGACGCAACGCGGGCGGGTGCCGCGTAAGGCGAGACGTCGGCGTCGGGCTTGCCGGCGCTGTCGCGGCCCAGGTACGCGGCCCAGCCGGTGAGGTTGTCGTCGGGGGTCCAGGTGTGGAACGGCTTTGCGGCCTCGAAACGGCCCTGGTTCCGGTCGTCGAGCATCGCGTTGACGAGCACCTGTTGCGCCAGCGGAGGGTCGAGTCTCCTGTCGCGCGCCATGATGGCCACGCCCGCAGCGAGCCCGCCGCCGGCGGAGTCGCCCATGATGGCGATGCGTGCAGGGTCGATGCCCAGCTGCGATGCCGACGTCGAATGCACCCACTTGAGCGCGGCGTAGCAGTCCTCGACGGGCGTCGGGAAGGGGAACTCGGGCGGCGACCGGTACTCGACGGCGAAGAACGGGATGCCGCTCTGCGTCACGTAGCTCTGGATCTGCTTGCGGTACAGAGGCACGCTGAGGCAGAAGAAGCCCCCCCCGTGCGTGTACACGACGGCCGGCGACAGCGATGCTGGTGCTGGTGCTGCTGCAGCGCCTCCTTTCTTCGCGAAGCGGTGCACGTTTATCTCGACGCTGTCAAAGGACGCGACCTTGAAAATCGTCTCCTCTACGTCCTCGACCACAGGCCAGTTCCGCATCAGGCCCTCCCACATGTCGTCGATGCCGTTCCGACGCGAGGCGACGTCGTAGGGTGGGTGTTTCGGAGCCGCGGCCATGGCAGGCAGCATTGGCTCAATGGCCTTGTAGTATTCGGCATCATACTGGTATGGCATCTTCCCTTTTTTCCCCCCTCTTCTCTCCTTTTTGGTTTTGGCGAGCCCTCGACTTTTTAAATTTCTCTGGTCTTGATATACGGAAAACTTGCTGCCCTGGTGAGTTCTGTCCCCAAGTGTTTCGAGAAAAAGAATGATCCGCTGCTGCTGTCTGAGGTATCTCTCTATCTCTCTATATCGATCAAACGTGTATGTATGGATGTGTGTATGTTACTCCGCAAAAGGCAGACTAAGCCTGCTTGATTCGTCCGCTACTTCATCCCCAGATTTCTAACTCATTATTTGTAAGGCGCAGCTATGAACCTCAGCAGGGCCGGAATAGAAGGGAAAGATGACAGTGAGATGGACCTGAATACGCGTTTTTCCGCGGGAGAAGTTGGCCTCTGCTCTTCCCTATCGAGACAATTACAGCAGGATCTTGAGTCTTGCCTACGACGGTCAATGGGAATGGTGCCGCCTAGTGAACGATATCCTCGGATGTTGCAATTCGCGGACCGAGGAAACGAAGGGCACGCCCATCGCCTTGGATTGTGCCTCCTCGTTGGCCTCACTAGCCTTTCACGGTTCTGTATGGTATGTACTCGCATCCCTGTCTATCGTCGCCCTATCCTATCCTGTCGCTCTCTCATCCCCTCCGATCCTTCTCGCACTCCCATTTCCCCTCGGACGTCACTTGAAGCCCCCACATATGAACTTCTCCTCAGTTAATGCATTTTGTACCCGAGAATATTGGCCAAGATCTCTGGCATTAAATACTCAATAAATAACAAGGGATTTGCAAAGAAGTGTACGTCGTTTTGCATCCATTACCTCCCTTGCGCTCTGGCCAAGTTGGAATACTGCGGGTTGGGATTTGTTCCTGTGGGCACCGCTTTGCACCTCCTGAAATCCCGCAGCCTTGTCACTGTGTGGGGCCTTGAGGAGGGTGCAGTAACTAATTGCATGTACGAGGTATTTAGCCAAAGATACGAACATCTACTGACTTTACCAAGCCAGGTCCTTAATTATTCTCGTTCGCCTGTTGCCCTGCCCTTGGAATCACCATCTCAGACTATCCCATACGCGTTATCCGATCGAAACCCAGCAGGATGATGCCAAAGCACCAAAGTGCACAGCTGGCCACCCGCTGCACGATGCCATTAGTGAAAGTCTTGACGACTGGTTCTAGCCGAAACCTGCCTGGTTGGATCTCCATCGGCACTGGGCCCTCGAAGTCTCTGAGTGACTTGGAATGGCTCCATTGTCCGTGGTCTTGTCCTCCTTTTCTGGTGAGAAAGCACTCCGACCTGCCCTTGTGATGGGATGAGTGGCTTGAATCTCCTGGTTAGCATCTTTGTGTTCGCAGCATAGAAGGCGTGCCTACCCTTTCGTCGACCCGGAGGCCAGAATTCAGACCGATTAGGCTCTGGACGGCCAGCGGGGGAGAATGATGGGCAAACCACCCTGGGACCATTGCAAATCTTCCACCCACTTTGCATGGCGATATGGGCTTGTCGTCTTTGCGCGTTGCGTGCGGGAAAAAGAAATTCCATCCGGTCAGAAGGTCGGCTCAAGGACGAGGAAGACCGAGTAGAGATTCGCCTTGGGGTTAGCACGAGCTCAACAGAGAACTTGACAACTCCGGCGTGGCCGTCAATAAGGCCACAATCCAGTTCAGCGCACAATGAAGGGAAGGAATACAATACATTTTCTGCCGCGATTCGTAAATGTAATCAACACAGCTCGGTTGCTTTTGGGACAATTCGGGCTCACATCAAACCAAGTTCTTGAGCGACAAAACTCTAGAGTCTTTCAGCATAAAGCGACATCCATCTCCCTCATGTACTCCTCACCTTAGATCCCGCAAAGTGCTTGGTTACTAATAGCCATATATAACCGCCGCAACAGTTGATGTGCCTGACAAAGATACCACTTTCCTAGGCAATCCTTCAAGGGGACCTGTGGACAAGTGGGCGACCACCGATGACTCCAATGCACTTGCACGGCCTGAACGCTCCCTCTTTCACAACCAGCCCGAGTAAGCTTGACTCTTCTCCCAAGGAATTCACACCCTTAAACATGTAGATGATCAAAGCTCCGACCTCTTCCACTTCATTTTCTGCGCCTTCTCAATGACCTTGTATAGATCCGTATCTTTCAAATCCTGGCCCGTAATTTTCTGGTAATTCTCTGCGGCGACTGCGACAGCCTGTTCGTGTTTCCAGACAAGGACTCCAACCGCAAGCACCAGTAAAAGTAATAGGACGATAGTTGTCGGTGACAGTGGGTTCCGACGGCGAGGATGGAAGGGAACTTTCTCGCCGGTGTATGCGCCGTCAGGGGATTTGGGAAACCATTCCTCGGTCTTCGCACGCTTAACGTTTGGGTTGATGCGGTTCGCTTTGGACATTTCGCGCAGAATCTGCGAGAGGTCGTCGGTCGAGCGGCGTGCAAGGGAGAGCAAGAGAGAGCAAATATGGTATGCCAGGGATTAGACGGGCTGTCTCAAAGGATGGATCAGAGCAAGTTAGTCGGGACGGAGCCAACGAATCTGCGCAGACAAAGGACAAGATGGCACGCGAGGAGGAACCTGGCGTCTGTGATAGGAGGCTTCCCCAACACCGCAATGTCACAACATCGGAATGAGGTTGCCCCAAAGCTGAAGCATTCAGGCGGCCCAGGCACCGTGTCGTCGGGATCGATATGGTGCTGACTAAGAGTCTAATATTAACACCTACCGAGTCACCTACATCCCGAGCCAGCTTGGCTGAACCCGATAGATAAGCTGTCTCGGTGCTGTTCGAGCTTCGGGACGTAGCTAACGGCGGGCGAAGGAAGGGTGGTGCTGACGAGATGGGCTTGAGATCCCCCTATCATAGGTTCGTTTGACGGGAGCAAGGCCATCGGACAGGGTGTTGATTTGCCGGCAGGTTCCTGCAGCGAGTGGTGAGATGGATGTTGGGCGACTGAGCATGCCTGATTTGGCCTGGGGGTTGTGTGTGGCCCCTCGGCTTTAACAGCAGATACCCATCTACCAAGTAGTGGATGGATGCTTGATACTGATGTGATCTGAGTTGCACCAAGCAGCTGGCAGAATGGCTTGGTGGCAGCCTTTCCTTTTGCCCTGCAAGGCTGAAACCCAAGGACCAGTGACGTCAGTTTCGGGCTCTCCTCAGCCTCGTGGCTTTGAAGTACGAGCGAGCGAGGTACTCCTCTCGCGAATTCTTCCATGTCGGATGATCCTTCCAAGGCGCGCAAGAGGCCAGATTCAGGACTCTCTCTACGGGAGCCGACTGATCTTACGCCATGAATATCCTTAGCTCAAGCGGAAGCGAGAGTATATTTTCCACCTGCCCATTCTCCCCTAAGATCTCCAATCTGTTGCTTTCGGCGACCGAAGGAACGAGGCTGGGCGACAATATGGACCAATACAAAGACAACCCAAAGACACAATCATGATATTCTGGACCCTGACATCGTAACGGCCATGTCTCCGTTACCGTGTTAGATACTGATTGTTGCATTCATCCCAGTGTCTGCTATGCATCTCGATCGCCCAAGGTCAGTTTCTGTTGGTATACCGATAGCATCGACAGCTAGGCCGGCAAGGGCCAACTATGACGATGGCATCACTTTGATGGGCAGACTATATATGCCAATATCAGGTTCTTCTAGAGTTGTTCGATATGCTGCGCTCGGTAAGGTTAATCACGACGCAAGGATTCGGGCAGCCATGTCACAGCTCATCCACGACTCCTTCTCTGGCCGCTTACTGCGATACTTGTCGAACGGCAAGTTGCTGCCGCACGAGGAGACCAAAACCCTGCCCTTCTAGAACGATTTACTGATGGCTCATCTGCTCCGGTGGGAAAGTCGTCGGCTGAGGGACCTGCTTCGAATACGAGCACTCTGAATCCTAGCGATGTAGAACTGGCGGAGAAAGGACGAGACTCGAATATTGTTGGCTGGCACGGACCTGATGATCCCGAGGTGAGATTCCCATTCAATGGCCACAACCCAAGACACAATACGATCCGTTTATTATCTATATAGAACCCACTCAATTGGTCAATCCTCACCAGGTGCGCCATCACATTCGAACTGTGTCACTTGACTTTCGCGGTTTATGTGGGATCGTCTGTCTATACTGCTGGTATTGTGGGCGTCATGAAGGAATTTGGGTTTGGCCAGGTACCGGCAACACTCCCACTGACAGTCTTTGGACTGGGTTTTGGACTAGGTAATGCCATTTTTGATCCATCTTATACCCTAGGTCGGCAGTGCTTGTACACCTCATACTGACAGTGTGGCCAGGACCGATGACATTGGCGCCACTTAGCGAAGCTCCTGCGGTTGGAAGGACGCCAATTTATGTTTGGACACTGCTTGCTTTTGTCTTACTCCAGATTCCGGTCGCCTTGTCGGTCGATCTTCCCATGCTTATCGTTTTTCGGTTCATTACAGGTGTCCTAGGGTCTCCGCCCCTTGCTACTGGCGGCACCTCCATTGCGGAAAATTCACACCGCGAAAGAGAGGACTAGCTATCGGGGTCTGGGGTGTTGCAGCTGTATGTATTGTAACCTCTTATGGTGTCTGTAAACTGATATATTAACCTGCACCAGATATTTGGCCCTGTCTTTGGCCCGCTTCTTGGGGGCTTCGCGGCTCAGGCTAAAGGCTAGCGATGGGCCATATGGGAATTGATGTGGATCTCTGGACTTGCTCTCATCATGCTGTTCTTCTTCCTGCTAGAGATCAACGGAAGGAATATCCTGTATCGACAGGCGCATCGACTCCGACGTCTGACAGGCAACAGCTTACTCATGAGCGATGGAGAGATCGCCTACAAGCACGTCGCCGTCAGAAAGGTGGCGTATCTCACGGTCATCCGACCTTGGATCCTGACGTTTACTGAACCGCTCGTATTCCTCTTCCACACATGGGTCGCACTGATCTTCGGCCTCTTGTTCATCTGGTTCACGTCGTTCCCGTTGGTGTTCGAAGGAGTCTACGGGTTTAACCCGGGCCAAACCGGATTGTCATTCCTCGGTCTTCTTGTCGGAGCGCTTCTCTGCATTCCCTCATTCGTCTGGTACGATCGTGGAGTACAACGAAGGATGTTTGATGAAGGTGGCCACATTATGAAACCCGAGCAGCGCTTGGTTCCCGCAATGGTTACGGCCGCCACAATCCCCATTGCTATCTTCTCAGCACTATATCGTCGCTGTTGACCAGGAAAGATGGGAAATGGCGACTAGGAACTGGTTTGAGCTGTTGGTTATCCTGGGGCCGCGAACCGGGAAATTTGAGTCGGCTTCTTGCTTCTTGCTTCTTGTACCTGTGCTTGCACCATATGAACACTGAGATAGACGATTCACCAGAAGAGAGGATATGTCACGCTCGACGAGCTACAAGAGAGAGTATCTTGGACAAGGCACGTGCATTTGTGACGGCGCTTCCTTTCTAAAGACGCAGAGCCCGATGCCGAAAAAAAAGGGGGGGGTGGTTGTATATTACAATGTCGTGTTCTGATCACACACAAGATACAAACGAGCAGGGTGTAGAGAACCAAAGGTCATGTATTTGAGAGACCTTTCGGTCCTGTCCTGTCCAGCCTGGGCGGCACGGCCAATGCCATATATTTCTCTTCCCCCAATTGTGAAACCATCATTAACCCATAGATCAAGACTTGATACACAAATTCCTTCATTCAGTCGTCGTCGTCCTCGTTACCGGCCCTAACGGCCCTGGCTTTCCTCCGCGCACCCTTGAAGTGCTTCTTGTTGTTGTTGTTGTTGTTGGTGTTGTTCATCCTTAGTTCGGCGGGATCGACGTCCTTTTCCAGCGCCGCCATCATCTTCGCCTTGCGGCCCGTCAGCTGCTTCTGCTGTAGCTGCTGCTTTCCTTGTTCCGTGTACTGGTGGTTGAAGGGCATGGTTAGATGCCCTGCGTTTCCGGACCCGGGACCGAAGAAGCCCTTGTCCAGTTGTTTTGCTCTGGCGCCCTTCTCTACAGGGGCGGCGGGTACCCGCTGCTGCAGCAGTGGGTTCGATGGTCCTTCGACCTCCGCTTGAGCAAGTCCTGACTCTTCAGAGTGCGCGATCAACCAAGCCTGTCTCTTGGCGGGCAAATGCGCGAAATCGTACAGTTTCTCATTGAATTCCTTTCCATAGGCCTCCGTGTCCGTCTCCGGGTCGCCCGACGGTGGGGGATGGCAATAAAGCAATTTCCCGTTCACATAGTCCTTCAAGATATATCTCGCTGCGCGTGACTCGTCTGGTTGACTTCCCGGTCCCGTTGTAGCGAATCCCCTTGCGCGAGCGTACGCTCTTAGCATTTCTGATGCAGTAGGCACGCCGGTGCCACCTTCCTCCAGGGGCCGGTTGTGAATTTTCATGCCATACACGTTTTCGAGAAATGCCTGGGGGATGCGTTGCGCAACGAGGCCGGCGGGACCAGTGTACTCTCTCAATTGATCGATCGGCAACACGCCGTTGCAGACCAGCTCGGCTTTTGTGGTTGCGAAATTCGGAAAGACCAGCCCGGGACAGTCGCAGAGTACGACGCGGTCTGAAAGATGGATTGTCTGGAAGTGTTTTGTCTTGCCAGGGGTGGAAGAGACCGACACCTTTTTGGAGCCGAGGAGGGCGTTGATTGTGGAGGACTTGCCAACGTTCGGATAGCCAACTAGGCCGATGGTCGTCTTTCTGTCAGCTGCGGTGGAATCCTCGGGAATGTTTTCGAGGAAGAGGGATTCGAGCTCGTCGACAGTGAGGATTTGAGTGTCAGGATGTGACGAGGCCGAAGTTTCGAGTTGCAAGCCGACCTCTGGACCTTCGAACTGCGATTCTTCACCTTCCGACCCTCCATCCTCCTCTTCATCGGTCCATTCTTCTCCCTCTTCGTCCTTCAAGTTTAGATCTTGAACGTTCTTCACCATCGTCTTCCCCGGCGCAGTGCGATCAATCTGCTGCTGGATCTGGCGTGCATCTAGCTCTTCCAGGACATCTCTCCCTTCATTCATCTCCTTGGCCAAGTGAGCCGAGAAGAACTTGTAATTGATGCCTTGCTTGTGGAAATAGTCTGCCCATGCTCTTCTTTGTTCTTCGGTCATCATATCCGCCTTGTTGACCAACAACAAATTTCGCTTTTTCGCATCAACCTCTTTGACGTATTTCTCTAGGTCTTCGCTTCGGAATAGGAGCGGGTTCCGAGCATCCACAATCTGTACCACTAGATCGGACCGCTCGATTACTCGCCACAGTTGTCGCCATACTTCAATGTTCCTCTCGAACGGTGTCATAAGCAAGTCGTCATTCTCTTGAAGTTCGGCAAGTCCCCGTCTCCATTCCAGCAGACTCGCCTTCTCCTGTTCGTCTAGCTGCCGGGGGGTCGTTGTCTCGTCCCATTTCGGCCTCCTGGGTACCGTCAACCTTCCCTTATTCTGAGCATGTTTCCTCCTCGCACCCCTCTCCTCCACGGCACTCAATAGATAAGGGTTTCTTTGGTCCGCATGTATAATTTTGACGTTGTTCATCTTCTCCGCGGTGAAGTCTGTGCCAGCCAGTTCGGCGGTAGAAAGAAATTCGTCGAGGGCACCCTGTTCGGTAACGCTGCGCATTTTCACCCACGATGCTTCCTTTGCAGCATTTGTTACATATGTTTGGCCTGTACTGTGGTCTGTCCTGACGACTCCTTGCTGCGACACTTTCTTGCGGTCCGAACCTTTGCCTCGTCCGAAACGATCATTCATGAGGCTGTTGCCCAGCCCCACGCTGTTTTTGCTCTTCGGAAGGACCATTTTGAAGGCAATGGAGGTTCCTCAAGGATAGAAAGGAGGGATTTGGTGGGATATTGCGAGGGAAAGTGAGGTCGCGAGACCTCGTGTTTTTGGGGCGTGTTGTTCAAAGAGAAAGTGAATGTATGCGAGAGGGACGTCATATGTACTATTGAGTAATGCGGTGGCTGTGGCCAAAATTTCTTAGAAATTAATTTTCCGCAGGCATTTCACCCACCCCACCAACACCGACCGACGCAACACCACGCTCACTTACCAAGTTCGTGCTATTGGATTTGAAGTCACGATGCCTCCAAAGCGCTGGATGTAGGATTCACACCCTTTTATACGATGAACATGGAGACTGACCACGGCACAGCGACAAGAACAACGCACAAACATTTCAACTGCTCTACCGCCCACAAACCGACCCAGCCCTCCACGATGAAGCGGCCGGCGAGCGGGCGCTCTACCAGGTCTCTGGACCTGGCTCTTCGTCCTCTTACAAACCACAGTTTAAAGAAGGACTACACTTGACCGATTTGGAAGGCGATCTGGACTTTGAGCACATGCGTGAAAATGAAGGCGAGGCGGCACAGTACGGGATTTACTTTGACGACACCAGCTATGATTACATGCAGCATTTACGAGATATCGGTGCAGGGGAGGGAGAGTCACATTTTGTGGAATCAGTACCTGTCAAAGTTCAGACCAAGGGCAAAGGCAAGGCGAAGACGATGAAGTTGGAAGATGCACTGAGAGAGTTGTCGGTGGATGATGGTCAAAGTGTGGCAGGGAGTGATATGTTGTCAACATTCTCGACTTCTACGAGGCCAAGGACGTATCAGAACCAGCAGGATGTACCGGACGAGATTGCGGGATTTCAGCCCGATATGGATCCAAGACTGAAGGAAGTGTTGGAGGCATTGGACGATGATGCATATGTGGATGACAAGGACGATGATCTCTTTGCTGCCCTCGCAAAGGATGGTCGCAATGGGGAGCTCGACCTAGAGGAATTCGAGGCCAATTATGTGGAGGATGAGGACGAGGGTTGGGAGTCAGATGTCACAGAAAAGGCACCCACGCAGCCTTCAGAATTGAAGCTCACGTCGACTGTCCCAGCCAGCAAAGACGGAATGCCTGGGGATGAATTGCCTGCTCCCGACGCAGAGACAGCTGCAGCAGAAGATGGAGACTGGTTGCGAGACTTTGCGAAATTCAAACGGGACAATGCTCGAAAAGCGCCGCCAAAGGCCGCGGAATCTATCATCGCTGCTTCCGCCATTCAGGACAAAGCACCGTCATTGTATACCTTGAATGGCACTCCGCTGCGGCAGAAGAAGCGCAAAGGAGCTTTGACAAATCCCAGCTCCTATTCCATGACCTCGTCCTCTCTCGCGCGAACCTCAGGCCAGCAATTACTTGACGCCCGATTCGACCAAGTTGAAAAGATGTATTCGCTGGATGAGGGCGAAGAGCTGGATGATATGGATGGTGGAATGTCGTTGGCTTCGGGGATGACGGGTCGGTCCAAGATGTCGCAGCTCTCCACCACCAGCTTTGCAGAAGAAGGTGCTGTTCGAGAGGATTTCGACAGCATGATGGACGGATTCCTTGGAGATTGGAACCGAGCAAATCCTGGCGGGGGTAAACGAAAAGGGGCCAAGGGCAAACGTGGAAAGAACGGGAACGAGAAGTACGGTCTTCAACAGCTGGATGAAGTCCGCGCGGAGTTGGGGCCAGCAAGGATTCACCGGCGGACAGCAACGAAGGCATGAAAGGCAAAGAGATGGCGTTGGAAGGGATTGTTGATATGGCGCATCATCCGAGATACCCCCCCGTCTTGCAAGGATAGACAATGATTTTCTTTTCATTTAAGAGCCCGGCAAACTCCTCATGTATGCATCTGTACAGTGATTGAATGATGTAGGGCGGCCAGTTTCATGGCTTTGGTGCAAGCTCCCCTCACTCTCGAAGGTCTCAGGCAGCAAACGGGGTTGAACCATCTCGGGGTTTAGCGACAGGATCCCATGCGCTGTACTTTGGCTTGGTACTGGATTATCACGTCAATTCTAGCTTGAACCAGGTGCACACGGTAGGGGGTTTCACATACGTAGAATATGGACGATAAGCTCCTCTGCTCTGGGTCAAGTTGATCTTGGGCTCTTTGCTCTCCCATGGGCGTAATCCACACTGCAAGATCTTGTCTTCGACGGGGGGCTTGTCGACCAAGTAGCTGATCCAGGCATGCCAGCCTGGATCGATTTGGCCCGCGTCAAGCTCCCTGTCCTTGTAGTCGACCTGCAAAGCTCTTAGTGTCTGCACCGCACCACGACCCTGGGGAGCTTCCTATACCCATCGTGTCCGCAAGGGAAGCTCTTCGGTCAAGTTCTCGTAGTATTTGTTGCCATATCTGTCCATTCCAATGAATGTACCAGCCTTTGTGTCACCCTGCAACCCAGTCAGACCCCAGGAACTTTGTTGTTTGTGCATTGGCTGCGACGTACGATATACTGCATCTGGTGGCCATAGTCTCGGAGGCCGACTCGCCAAAGGTTACGGAGGGTGCGGGTGATGGTGGACATGATGGATTGCCCAAGGAGAGGGGGGTGTTCAATGAGGCGGCGGCGGAGTAAGGAGGGGGATGTATCGCCGTCGAGGTCAAGACGAAGCCGGGGACGATGTCGGTGATTTTGCTCTCTCGTGTTGGAACGGAAGGTGGCTCGCAGCTCATTGGCCTGGGGGGGGGGGACCCAGGGGAGCGTACCCAGTGGTTTCGACGAAGCGAGGAAGCGAAGTGACGAGGGCAGGGCCGAGGACTCAGCTAAGCTCCGATCTGCTTGGCGGCAGATGGTCGGGATCGGTTGATTCCTGATTCCTGATTCCTGAATCTGGTGGAGAGTCACCCAGGATTATTATTACCGAGTCGTGGGCTTCCCCATCGAGCCCTAGGCCTGTGCTGGGCCTGTACTGGGTACATACTTGGCCTGTATCGCCTCTCCTCGCCTTCGTCCGCGGGGCGAAAAGGCGGCTTGGAAACAGAACCAGCCAGACCTGCTGAGCTGAGATTTCTTTACTCACTCACTCGCAAAACCCCTCGGGCCAAGAATTGAGAAAAGAGGCACTTATGATACCATTGCAGAGTCCTGTGACGTCCGCCCTTGGTCCCATGAGTCCCCCCCATTTCACCATGCGCTTGCTTCATAACTAGGCATCTGTCATAACTGTTAACGACCCCTGGCATGCCTTGCATTAAATACACAGCACTCAAAAGACCGATAACGCCCGCCTGCCCAATTCGGCCACCTCTCTTTTGAAACAGCCGCGATATGACCCCCCGACTCGGCCTCTATTGTCTCTAGCAACATTGGCGTTTGATAGACAATAGACATGGCCAGTGGCATCAACAGATTCCTCTCCAAACGCGAGGGCAAGCGCAATCGGGGCCGTGGTGACCAGCACGATCCCCAGCACCACCACTTGCCTCATCACCCTCATCCTTACCCTCTCACCAGAAAGCCGTTCTCGACGGTGAGTGAACCCTCTCTTGTTCCTGCTTCTGTGGATGTGGCAACCGGCACATGTTCTGAATCCTCGTTCCCATGCACTACTTGCACCACCCAGACTCATGTCGAATGTCCAACGGTTCTGCCTCTCCATATGTACTCCCTCCCGGGAGAGGGATGCCTCTTCTGTATTTCTTGCTTCTCCCCGTCGTCAGCGTCCCTAACTGACTGCCGTCTCTCCACAGTCCAGCCCCGAACTTGCCTTGAAACCGAGCGATCCAAACTCAGCTGCCGACTTCTATGGCCTGTTTGACGTCCATGCCCCCCTGGCTACTGTGGCAGAGGAGCCTAAGGTGAGGTGGTGTGCCCTCATTCGGGGCCGATCTGGCTAAAACATGCTGGCTTAGATCAAGACGTTACGCCGTCGAATTCTCAACTCCAAAGGTGTGCTATTGAGGGATGCCCAAATCCTTTGGGCTCTCCGCTCCAATGCCTCCAGCGGGGATTTGGACGCCGCATATGAACTTCTGCTCGCCATGTCCGACGCCTCGGAAGGGATTGTCACGCCGTATGATCCTAGAACGAAGCTCCTCGGTGCACAGAACCGGCAGGGAGTGACTTGCTTCCTCGACGCCACGCTGTTTTCCATGTTCTCTCGCCTCGACAGCTTCGAAGCCATGCTCTATAACTCGTTTAACGACGTAGCACGCAATAAGCTCGCGTTCCTCTTACGCCTTTGGGTGAACCTGCTGCGGTCTGGGAAGCTCATCACCACGGACATAACAAAAGTGATGCAGGACACTTTGGCAGAATGTGGTTGGGCCGAAGCGGCAGAGCTGCATCAGCAAGATGCTTCGGAAGCTTTCTCCTTTATCACGGGCAAGCTCGATCTGCCCCTGATGACGTTGAAAATGGACATCTACCACACGGGCAAAGAAGACAGCAATGACGATCACAAGTTCATCAACGAAAGACTCCTGGAGGTGGCCATCCCTCCCGACCCGACGGGCCAAAGGTCCGTAATTACGCTTGAAGAATGTCTCGAAGACTACTTCAACAACCGAATCGAGGTCCGAAGGTACTTGGAGCGACGGTCGACGATAAATTCCATGCGCAAGACGAGCGCGGTGCACGTCGAGACTGTCGAGTTGGACGGCGACCAATCACCAATCACCCCGCTCTCCCCGTCTCCGAGTTATGCATCGCCTACCAGACCGGGGGCAAACCGTACTCGAGCACCTAGTATTATCCAGGAGCGCTACATCCCTCCACGCAATGAAAGTGGATATTCATCGCTGGTCCCAATTAACTCCAAGGACTCTGCACCCATGTCGCGCATCGGAAGCGTTCGGAAGGAGGTGATGATGCCTGCGTGGCAATTCTTCAGCCTGATTCGTAAGCCCCTTCCCCAACGACTGATGCGGCTTTAACTGAAATCCTTCAGCCTGGTACACCGACAACGTGCCTACGAATGACGCCCAAGTTGCTGCCCACTTCTCGTCGAAACGGCCCGTCCTCGGACTTTGCCTCAAGAGATATTCATTCACGCCTGCTGGCAAAGCAATTCGTTTGGATACACAGGTGGACATCCCAGTCGAGATTGGAGTACCTCACTTCATTCAGGATGATCGTGTGGAAGAGACCGGCGGCTTGCAGGGGAATTTCAAACTCTCCTTACAATCTGTTGTCTGCCACCGAGGCAATTCCGTCGATTCCGGGCATTACATTGCTCTTGTGCGAGGCAGTGCTGCCCCGTGGTCATCTGACGGGCAACTTCCAGAGACAGCCAAGACTTGGATGAGATTCGACGACCTTGCACCACAGCGGATTGCTGTCGTCGACATTGAGAAAGCCCTCAAAGAAGAAACGCCCTATCTGCTCTTCTATCAGATTCTGCCCATCGAGGGCGACCCTGGAAGTATAGCAGCAGGAGAGGAGCCACTGGCTTCAGTCTCGGAGCACAATACATCCGTCAGTGAAATCTCCAGCGAGTCTGCTCTGACAGACAATCAGACTCTGTCTGGTCGTCCCAGCTTCGAGATCACGCTCCTCGAAGAGCCGAGGGGTCGATCGCCGACGGAAACAAGAAGAACGAGTGTCATCTCCTTCCAGGACCCGCCTCCGGAGTACACAAATGGGGCGTCCTTGTCAGTGCCCAACATGGTGGATCCATCTAGCACGCCGCGTCCCAAATCCCTATCACGGACGCAAAGCAAAGCAAGTGAAAGTAGTCTGGGCCGAACGCTGTCCAAGTTGAAAAGAAAAAGCCGGGAAGTCTTGCCGCTGGACAATCCAAACCAGACGGAGGTTCACGTCACAGAAATCTCTGAGCCGATTATGCCAACCGCGCACAACGGACAGACGTACGCATCGCAAACAGGATCGCCACATTTTTCCAAACAGAACACCCTGCAATTCCAACATCAACCACCCCGAACGCATAAAAGCGAGAAGAGCCGCAGTCGGATATCAAGAAGTAAGATGCGAGGTGAGAAGCCAGATAGAGAGTGTGTTGTTATGTGAAGTTGGGCGTGAACTCGTCATCTGCGACTTGGTGCATCATCATCGACTTCAGCGTGTATGTGGTGTCCGCTGGGAACCGGCCAACGGGATTTCCGCGCCACTGTCTTGTCCTTTTTGATTTTTGATTTCTTTTCTTTTTTGTGTTTTTTTTTTTTAAGATGACGAAGGCGTTCTTGTTATATTCATCAAGCTCGCGCATGTTCATGTTAAGCAAAGGGAGCAAGCCACGAACAGTGCCAGCAAGTTGAGCGTTCAGAACACAGATGCCTTTTCAACACATAGAAGAAGGCCTTTTCCCTCCAGACGCATTCGCCATGTTTGACCCGAGACGTATTTTCATTCAACTTTCCCGAGATCCTGCGAGAGAAGAAGCATCGAAGGCTCAAAAGAGGACGATGCATGTAGTGATTCGGTCGACAGGAGTCTTGATGGCATGAGTCGACAAGGCTGACGTTCTGTTTCCCAAAAGGGTCTAGCATTCGCCTTTAAGTCAACCACGAACTGGGCGAACAGGGTCTAGCAATCGTCTTGTCCTCGATTTGACCAGTCTTCCCCGGGACCAGCTGCCCCATATTAGAGGTCTCACATGCCCGACGAGCCCAAACCGCACATGCTTTGGGTCTCTGGTGCTAGTGAGGAGGGACAGGCGATGCCAATTCCTGGCCTCCAGTTACTGGATCGAGGCTTGAAAGATGCGGGGAGCTTCGTCCCTCCACTTCGTTCAAACCCTTCTCCCCCTCTTTGCCGACGAGGGACGTACCAATGATGGACAAACCATGCTTCACGATCCGACCAGTCATGTCCCTTTCCCTCGTATTTGCTTCGAGGCCGCCGTTGCCTTTTGCTGTGACCATCCGGTGATGCGGATCCCGGACATTGGCCGAGGGAGTGAATACTAAAGCATGAACTCAGCCCCTCCTTTCCACAGCATTGAGGGAAAGGGTATAAATACGGCTCTAGGTTGAAGGGAAGCATCATTGCGTGTGCAGCTCAAACATTACCCAACGCCCCTTTTGCTCACTAATCAAGCCATCCTAGTCCCTCAAACCCTTTCTGGCACAACTTGAAAATGGCAAAGATAGCTGCAGAAGCGGTCCCTCAACTCAAATCCCAAATCGACGCTCTCACCTCTGACCCGGATGGCGCCCCCGGAGTGGTCTTCGCTGCCGTCAACAAACAGGGCGAAATCATATTCGAACATGCAAGCGGGAAGGTGGGCCACGGAAAGTCACAGTCCATGACGATGAACAATGTGTTCTGGATCGCAAGCTGTACCAAGATGATTACAGGAGTTGCCTGTATGCAGCTTGTTGAGCAAGGGAAGTTGGCGTTGGATGATGTGGAGCAGGTGGAAAAGCTGTGTCCGGTACGTCTTGAATTCCTTGGTGGTTGGATTGTGGATCGGATTGGAGCGATGGTGAGGTGGAAGATATGGTAGGAACGGGGTTGCTGACTTGTGATTACCATGTCCCAGGAATTGAAAGCTGTGCAAGTGTTTGAGAACGGCAAGCTGGTCCCAAAGAAGCGAGGGATTACCTTGAGAATGCTCCTCTCACACACTGGTAAGCTATTCCCACCTCCTAGGTGCCCTCCGCTGCCTCTCGTCTATCCGCGAACCCCTTCGTCAGCTGTACTGAGACGCTTCTACGTAAGCCGGCTTCGGTTACTCCTTCTTCGACCAGCGTCTCAACGATTGGGCCGGTCCGGCGGGCCTGGATGAATTCTCTGGATCCTATGAAGACTATCTAACCCAACCACTCGTTAACCAACCGGGGGAAACCTGGGAATATGGAATCAACGTCGACTGGGCGGGCCAGCTTGTGGAACGAGTTTCTGGTCTGAAGCTCAACGACTACTTCCAACAACACATCTTTAAGCCTATGGGCATCACCCATATTTCCATGTTCCCCACGGAGGAGATGAAAGCCGAGCTTGCGTGGATGAACACGCGCGCACCCGATGGGAAAATGTCCCTATATGTCAATGGACATTTGAACAGGAGACCTCTCTACGCGAAGACGAAGGCGGAAATAGATGGGACATTCCATGCTGGTGGAGCGGGCTGCTTCGCGAGAGCGAGCCAGTATTGTCAGATTATTGCCATGCTGTTGAACGACGGGGTCCATCCGGGCACTGGCAACAGGATATTGAAGAAGGAGACGGTGGAGACTATGTTTACAAACCAAGTATGCAAAGGCCCCCACGACAAGGGAGACAGAATGCGCTTCGCAAAATGATTGATGCTGACGATCGTGTCTGCATAGATTGCTGAAATGCCGAACTTCGGAAGACAGGTGAGGCCTTCCCACATCATCCACACGTGGTCTTTCTACAATCGTGGATGGTCTTGATCGCGAAACCCCTCTTATCAGGACAGTCGGAACACTGACTGACTTTAACGGGGCGCTAGGGCATCTCTCCACCGAAACTTGACATGTCAAACGCTCTTCCCGAGCTGTACCCTGAACCGCACGACATCCCGCAAGGCTGGGGATTGACCTTCTTCCTCCACCTGCGCGATTCGGCCGTCCATAGTGAGGGAACGGGCTGGTGGGCAGGATTACCGAATCTGTTCTGGTGGGCCGATCGCAAGAAGGTAATCCGTTTTGGTCTCTCTCGTCTCGATCATCCACGCCTCTCTTTCTCGGTCCTATCAATCCCATCAATCCCAGCAAAACACACCCCCTCCCAGGCTAACCTGTTGGCTTTTAGGGTCTCGGCGGCATCATTGCCTCACAGATTGTTCCGTTCGGTGAGCACATTTCTTTCTTTCTTTTGTCCCCACCCCTTCCTTTTCATCTGTTACCCATCATGTGAGAGTAGAGAGCTGAGAAACCGGACCCAATTTTGCAGGCGACCCCAAGATTCTCGGGCTCTGGGCACAGATTGAAGCCGGCCTGATCCAGAACATGAAGTAGAGAGTGAAACCAGGAACGAGAATCAGAGAACCATGAGGTCAATGGCAAGGGTGGGGGAAATGAGAAGGCGGATGTTGTCTTGCGTGTGTATATCTCAGACACGGCCTTCCCCGCCGCCACGAAAAGGGATTGCGGACCTCTCTGCATACCGTACCATACCATGGCCATACCATACCTATGTACCTCCCTGTTCTTACTATGATGGCCATGATGATGACGAGCCATTGTTGTGCATCTCCTCGAGTCAAGCTTGAAGTACATAGTAAATTCTTCATCCTCCATCCTCCATACAGACTACAGCGTACAGCGTACAGCGCCCCTGTGCATGTCGAAGCTTACTTCAATGAACGGAGAAGGAGAAGAACCCACACGCTGCGTCCGTCCGCTCGTTTAGAATAGAATAGAACGGACCCTGAGGAATTGGGTGATGGGCGTGTGTGCGCGCAACAGGTAGCTACAACTGTGAATCAAAAGTTGAAGCACCGATCATCGATCATGTCATCGGCATGGATATGCGGCGGACGCGATCTGAGATGGCAAAGGCTGGACTAGGACAAGCGCGGGAGCCTTGAAGCGAAATCTAGCAAATAGCTCTGTACAGGGGTCCGGGGTGTATTGAGATAATGTACAAGGTCAAAACGTCTCGAACTCCCCAATGCCGCCACTGCCGGCTAGTTTGAGAAGTCCTGCACATAATAATAGCGGCAAGATTTCTAATCCACAATCTTGCCATAGAAAGGAATACCCAGTTGCTGAAGGAGGAGTCTTGCGTCCTTGTCGCAACTGGCTGTGGTGTGAATGGTGATGTAAAGACCCTGAAGAGGAAGGATTAGCAAATATATCTGGAGAGTCCAACGCCCGGCAAACTCACCGGTATTAGCTTAGTCGGGTAGGCGTCGTAGTTGATTTCGATTTCTGGAAAACCAGCAACAACATCAGGCGTCAAGCCAAAAGAGAGGTTGCCACTGTTGTCTCCGGTCGTGGCCCTGACGCCGTTCCAGTCCTTGATACGAGGCAAGACAACATTGATCATTTTCCCTAGAAAATGATACATGTCTTCACCCTTCAAATCCACCGTGAGACTGACCGGCCGACCTCTGATCAAGCCCCAACCCTGTTCATTCGATCTGGCCTTGTGCACCACAACCCTTTGATTGGTGATGGCTTGTAGAATCATGCCTGCCACATGAAGATAGCCTGAGCCCCCTTTCAGAGCGCCTTTGCAGAACGCATGCACCGTGACTCGTTCGACCATGGGCACGTTTCGAAATGTGATGGGTTTTCTCAACAGTCGTAATACGTCTCCGCCACGTGGACCACGCAGCTGTCTGTTGGCAAAATACGGGTTATCTCCAATCCATGGACGTAGTCGAGGGCCTTTCTCTCCGGGTCTGAAGCCAGGAGGTGTATGTTGATAGCACATTGTCATGAAATCGGGGGCAATGATGCTGTGGTAGGCGAGTTCGACTCGAGGCGACGAAAAGGGGCCGGGGACGAATTCTCGACTTGCAGGATCTGAAGGATGGAGAGGCTGATGGGGATGCATCGGGCCACGATCATATCTTGGACTTCGAAATCGATACCTGTAGAGCGTGAGTACGTCTCCATGGACGCTGGGATATGCCGAGGGAATACCTGCTGGGAGGGAGCTGTCGTTTCCTTGACTTCGGAAAGGCCAGAGGATCAAAGGCTTGCGCTTTAGGGTGTGAACTTTGCACAGAAACCAGCGATGACTCCTGCTCAAGCTCTGTATACGGCTCCGGGCTTGCTACAGCTGCTTGAGTAGCCATTGTTCGTCGCGACCGCAAGCATCTATTGCAGATGGGTGCATGATTCGAGGGTCGCCACGTCCTGAGAAGGCGGAGAGAACTGGTGGAATGTGCCATATTGCCCACGTACACACCCGCAGCGAGGTTGAGGCAGTTAGGTCTGGAATATCCAACTCGCCGATAAATCAACAGCGTAATGGAAATTTGATCGGTTCTCGTGTTTCGATCTCAATCGCGGAAAATCAGCTTGCGTCATTTGCCGCATACTCCGCAGTGATCTGTCTACGGTGGGTCTTTCAGTTATCATGTGCTTGTCATGTGTAGAGCGACTGCAGAGCGCAGCTGCGGCCTTGCTGCGGCTTTGCTCCCCACCCGTTCATTGAGGCTGGTTTAGGCTGATGTGCCTTGCAGGACTCGCGCACTTTGATGCGAATCCCCGAGTCTCATCTCTATCCGCTGTACTCGGTGCTCTCGCAGCTTCAACTGCTCCAAAACTCTCTTCGACCCACTCACGCACCCATATTCTGTTCTCCTCGGCTCCGTGTCTCGACTGTAAAAGGTCGAGGAAAGGTATCAATGGAAGGCAGCCCTCAGCTTTGGTCGAGTTCCGCCAGACATTCGTCCTGACCGGCAAAGACGGTCGCAATGACCTGTCTCTCCATTCAAACCCATCATGGAAGATATCGCCGTACAGGCGTCCGGGTACATTCTCCTCCTCCTATGATCACTTCGTCATCCTGACCCTCGATTCCGCAGAAATGTAAACCGTACAGAAACCGATCTTTTACAGGCCCTATTCCGCACAGAGCCTGGGTATCAAGGGCTGGAATCTCTGCTGGCAAAGTGAGTTCTGCCATTGTATGAAAGAATGTCTCACTCACGACATTAGATTTCGCTCAGCATGTCAAGATTTCCTCTTCATCGACTTCAGGGCCGCGGCCGAAAAGAAAGTCGAAGACCGTCTGTGGAATGCTCATATGAAGGTCAACTCGAAGTTCAGGCAATACCTTGCCAACTTCCGGGAAGGAGAAGGCAAGAAGAAGGTTGTTGAACGTCGAAAGGTCGAGAAGCTCTATTTGGAGTTCATCAAGTCGAGCCAACGCTTCTATCGAGAGTACATCCAGCGGCTCGCCTCAAATTTCAAGGATGTCTCAGAGATACTTGAGATTGCCCAAGGGATGAAGCTGGACAGTATGTCATAAATTACCTCGTTTTTGACATTTGCTGACATCTTTAGCGCTCTCCGCAGACCCTCCGCAGACTGTTGACGCCGCGCTGATGAAGCAACTCATTGATTCATGTTATTCGGCCCTTGTGCAATTGGGGGATCTCTCAAGATATCGGGAAACCGAATTGCAGACAAATAGGCGCAATTGGGGTCCTGCTGTCGGTTACTATAACAAGGCGGTCGCCCTCAATCCTACATCTGGCAGAGCATATAATCAGCTCGCCGTCGTCGCTCGCGCTGATGACGACCACCTACGAGCTGTTTACTATTTGTATCGAGCCATCTGCCTGGAGCATCCCGCTCCACAAGCTCAGGGAAATTTGGACATTGAATTCAAGAGGCTCATGCAAAAGTCGAACCAAGGCAAGCCCATCTCGAATGCCGAATTGCTTGTTGAGGGTAGCCGCGAGCTCTATGGCCGCTTCCTCATATTTCATGCTAGTTGTCTGGGAAAGGACCTCTCTAGTCAAAAAGATCAGCAAATTGAAATTCTTCGACTTCTCGAGGAGGAAATTCGACAGCGATCTGAGGCTACAGTCCTCAGAAAGTTCGCTTTGGTCAATATAGCAGCAGAGAAGTCTGCTGCACAGAAAGTCAACGGTGCGCCCACACCCAAATCGAGCAGCTCACTGTTTCAGCACTTTGACTAACCAGCCCTGCAGCCGCTCGTTCTTTCGCGACTTTACAGTCGTTTAATGTCAAAACCTTTTTCTTACTCCTCAGAGTCTTGCATGGCGAACTGCAGAAGCTCGCGGGAGCAACCATTAACAATACATCTACCTCAACGCAAGACTCGCCTCAAGTTCCTCTAGTGATCCGCCGGGTTCTTCCCCATTTGAGGCTGTATAGCGGATGGCTGCTGAGTACCGTGCACCTCCTGCTGGAGAACGAGGATCTTGTTGTGTCTATGCGGCAGCTGTGGCCATTGTATGTCAACACCCTGAACCTCCTTATGCAGATATTTCCCCCTAAAGCTGCGGCCGAGATTCAGTATCTCCTTGACGAAGATATGGACACCAGAGCTTTCTCTGCATTCAGTCCGTTCGTCAAAAAGGTACGTCTTTGCAATCGCCAGGGGCGGGTGAAACAGGTACATAGTGACGCCGCATTTGGCCCTCGTTCTCCCGAATACGAGATGCTTTATCGACTCAAGTGCATAATCACAGATGGAGTATTGCTTGCCAGTAAACAAGTGAGTTATCAACATAATATATACCGACTGTCGCTGATAGTTTCAGGATGAATTCCAGGCCCTGTCTATTCCTCTCACATTTGCCAACATGCGTTTCGTCTACCTCGAGGAAGGCGACGGTATCACACGTACCGAGGTGCAAATAACGACGTCGGCGGTTTACACCTCCGCTGCTTTAGAGGAGAGTATCCCTGATGATATCGGGCACGCTATTCAAGACGAAATTCCTGGACACCAAGCACCGAGCCATCGAGGGGCGACTGTCGACGCTGAAACTTCAATGACCTCTAGAATGGAGAACATGGTAGAAAATCTCATGCGGCCTGAAGCACCACCATCTGTCAAAAGCACAGGAAGCGCGATGTGCGGTCTTCCCTCATCAACGCTGAGCGCTCCAATGGTGCCACAGGGGTTTGTCGACAGAAGTACATCGCAACTACAGCCTGCTCCCTTTACTGCTCGAGACCTCGTTCAGCGAATTCAGCTGTCATCAAGCGCATCACAATCTAGCGTGGTAGACCAGGCGGTCAACGTCGCAATCTTACCTTCTATCTTAAACACTCCATTTGCACCACGACCAGGCGAAACGCCCGAATCATCTCCACGACCAAGGTCCGCCCATCGATTTCCCGAGTCGGCATCGGCACCTGTTCGCCTGAGCAGTTCTGCCCAATTCCAAGCCAACATCATGCACATGCAGGATCAGGCCCAAATGCGGACGTCACCGCTAGAGTCGTTCGAGCCGACTCTGTCAAGTCACTATGACACCTCTCCGAATATGCCATCTTGGGTTCGGACGAATGACCAGATACAGCCTCAATTTTCACCCTGGCGAACCTCGTTCGGCAGCGCAGTGCCTGTTCAGCATACTGCCATCTCAACCCGTCCTCCGGACTCCTCACCTTTTGGTGCGATCGGCGAGCCGCGCCCGAAGAGCAGTCGGACGTCTACCAGCGGTCAGCCAGGATGATGTATCCCACATTTCTCGCTCGCTTCTTGGATTCCCACAGCGATATCAGGGCGCTACAATTAGCACAGCGAGGGATAGACGAAATTACGTTGCCATTCCGTTTATTATTGGAATGCAATAAGGGCACCAGCCAACCCTGGACGCTCACGCTCACGCTCACGCCCGCACACCACTCCCACTGCCCTGGCTCTGTCGCAAACCTTTCGAATTTGACGCGGAAACAATCCAGTATAGAGCCGTGTTGCAGCGCCGCCAGAGAGGGGAGATCCTCATGACGGCAGATGGCCTTGTGTCTGTCGGAATTTGTGCCGAACTGATTGGGAGACATAACTGACAAGATTCCAACAACATTAGGGAAGCCAGGCTTGCGAAAGCATGTGGACAGTGACGGACAGAGACTGGGGTTCAAATCAAACGTGACTCCTTTCTTTTGGCTTCTATTTTCCTTCCTGCTTTGGGAGGGATCTCCTATGTCATCTCAGGATTCTATTTTTCGGCATCAGAATTCTTTATCAACAAGTCGTGGAAGACGTGGTATCGTGTCCGACATACTCTCCGGGGGTCTTGTTGAATTAGACCTTTCCGCTATTACAGCGCCCATAGTGGTACATTCTTTCAAGGAATTATCAGGAACGCCGGGATTTATGCAATACTCGACCTGAAGAGACCCTCGTTCATGCCTTGTATGTTTGCTTCGGCCGGGGGTATCTGCCGGGGAGGGGGGGACAAGTGTTAGAGATCGATCAAGTAGGAAGATAACAAAACTTACGCGGGGCCCAATTCCTGCAAGCTCAATCTTGCCAACCACTGGCCTTTCTTGATGCACTCTTCCAGGGGGTCGCTCTGGACCACACCGGCACAGAAGCCACCTGCAAAAGCATCACCAGCGCCATTCGTGTCGTTGATCAGATTCTTATCAATGACCGGCACCGGGTACTCTTTGAGTTCCACTTCGTCTTTGCCAGCGTCGGCTACGGCCACGATTGTAGGGTCCGTGCCCTGCGTGACAATAACCACCCGTGGTCTCTTTGTATTCACCTTGGGTATCTTGGCCATCAGTTTGGCGCACTCTTGCATCGAGATATCAGAGGGATGGCCGTGAGATTCTGCCCAAGTCTTTGCCTCGTTCTCGTTCCCAAACACGAAGTCGCAGTACGGTAGAATCTCGGCGAGGGGTGCTTTGAAGAACTGCGGGATGAAGCCTGCCGAGAGGCTGAGCAGGAATATCTTGTTCGTCTCAGCGGCGTGTTTTGCCAGCGCCATGGCCGCGGGCGGGCACACTGTCAGGTGGTAACCGCCGACATAAAAGGCCACGGACGTCGCTTCAACCATGCTCCAGACTCGGGGTTCGAGGAGGTGCTCGAGCTTGTATTCGTTGGCGGCGGCGAGGTGCGTGCACATTGTGCGGTGGTGGTCTGTGATTATGACGCCACATTTGCCCGTGGGCGTGGTAGGGTCGACGCGGTATTCAACGTGCAATCCTGGTAGTTCTCTTCGTTAGTGTCTGCCCCCAAGGAGAGAGGTTGGGCGTGGGAAACCGTCAGAAGTGGTGTGATGTATGTACCTTCGTCCTTGCACTTCTCCCTCAATATCTTTGCGTACTCATCGTCGCCCACGCAACCAATGTACCAGACACTGTCCGGGGGAAGCATGTACTGTGCGCCTCTAGCGGTGTTTTGCGCAGCACCACCTGGGATCAGTTTTGCGTTGCGGTTCTGGATGAGGTCGTCGTAGAGGCCCATTTGGTGGGGTTCGGCCAGAAGCGTGTCATTCAGTTTCAGGCCGTATTTTTCGAGCATTGCGTGATCACTGCGAAGCTATGAGACGTATATTTCAATGGCAAAACTGGAGAGCTGAGGGCTTCAGGGCAAGAACACATACCCAGCGCCCTGGATATCAAGGAGGGGGTTCTCTAAGCAGAGAAGCTTGAATGATTTGGTCGTCATCGTGCGGAGCGGTGAGGGCAAGGGCCCCAGAGATAGCGAGGAGGCGGGGGAAAAGAGAGGTAAGAAGGGACGAAAGAGTGAAGAGGAGGAGGATCTGAGAGAAAAGATCCGTGGTCGCGCAGACAGACACCTTATCGACAGCATCAAGACGTTTGTGAGACTTGGGTCTGAGAATTGAATTCAATGTGGGGCAATCAAAAGTGCATTGATCAGTTTAGCCGAATATATTCCGATCCAAGCTCCTGCGAGGCTTGGGTGCTACCGTCACCACCGTCAGTTCACTCTGGACGGGTGGTACCTGCACCATAGTTAACACCACTTCCACCGTCCAACTCTTCAACAAAGATCTTCCTCTCCTCTGCTCTACCTCATTCAAGATGGCCTCTGCCGCCTCAGAACTCGCCTCCACCATACAATCAGCCCACATCAAGCACGATCCATCTCCCGAACACGACATCAATCCCTCTACCGCGGCATCCAAAAAGCTCCCCGGCGAAGTCGAAACCATACTCTCTCCTCGTTCTCGCTCTCACTCTCTAAGCGGATCTGAATCTACCATACCCAGCGACATCATCCGCCCTCGTCCCCGAGCCCGGTCATTCCCTCCGATCCCCGACTTCCGTTTTGAACAGTCCTACCTCGCAAGCATCAAAAACGCGGACTCGAATTGGAAAATCGCATTCATCACTATCCGGGACCAGGTGTTTTTGCCACTGGTGCAGGGAATACTATGGAACCTGTTGATGTTTGGCTGGCGGCATTGGAACCGTGGGAGCAAATTTCAAGGACAGAGTTTGGGAGCAAGGGTAAGGAAGTGGTGGTGGGGCGTTAACAACTGGAAGGTCCCGGAGGCGGAAGGGAAGGCAGTGAGGAAAGAGAGTGACAGACAAGTGTTGCAGAGGGTGGAGGATTTCTTTGTTGACCGGTTTGGAAGCAGCTTGGGTGATTAAGGGACCTGGGAAAGCTCCGAATCCATATAGGGGACGGCGATCTCGAATATCTCCTGAAACCGCCCTTCAACAGCATTTTCGGCTCCGTCAGCGCAAACACCCCTGGCTGTTTCTACGAGCTTGGGATCAATCTTGCCATCAGCTATGTGCCCAGTGGGAGCCTGATAGTTTTAATGGGTGCTGAAGAGCCCCACGGACTAATCTGGAAGAGAGCTCTGTTCCGTGCCTCTGTAGAACAGGAGCACGCCGTTTTCGAGAATACTTCAGCTTCCTCATGGAAGTATGGGCTCCCCTTGGGCGGGACGCCTCGGAAGCCGCGATCGGTCCGGGACACAAGCAGGATCTATCAATGAAAGTGGTGGTAAGGTCTAGGTCTGGCGGGAGGTTGATGGAATTGATATCTGTGGGAAAATCGTAGGGTCTGCCCCTTGACTGTGAAGAATAAGTCATTGTCACGGGTGAAAATCGTCTAAATGGAGGGGGGCTCGAGAAGAGGAGCGCAGGGCCCGACATAATGACGATTTGGATTTGTCAATTCTTGTCCTATTTTGGAAGCGTGTATCTCACCAAGCCGCGCAAACAATGTCGATGCTTCTGCGGCAAGACAGGCAATCAGCGCTTCTCTATCGAGAGCACTTTCATCTCGTCCGATCTTCATAATGAGCCATCTCAACTGACGCCATTGTACTGACTGCGAAGGATCCCACCAGCCATTAGCCAGCATCTCTACCTTCGCCTCTGTTCCGAAGAAATGACTCTCCTTCGCAACCATCCATCTCCGCAACACAACGAACCAGGGAAGACGTCTAGCGGCTCTTTGCTTGGACCTTGCTCGGCGCTCCCTTGGCCCCCTGCTTGCTGGTGATCTGACCTCTGGCCGCGTTTGCTGCACTCTTCGCCTTCTCGGCCTTCTTCTTGCTCTCACTGGCAGCCTTTTTTTCTTTTGCGTCCTTGATCGCGGCTTGACGGGCTGCGGCGCGGGCCTCGGGGCGTTGAGAACGGCGTTCTTTGATCACGTCGAGAGAAGCGCCCACGATGGCTCGCTGGTGTTTTACTGTGCGACGGGTGCGTTTTTTGGCGACTTCCTACATTTGGAAAGGCATGTTAGTGGCCGGCGTTGTGTAGCACGTGTGGATTGAAATCAGAGTTCAGGTCAGGTATCAAGCTGTCCCTCCTCTTTTTAAATCCATTCAACACCTCCCCGGATTTTCGCGAGCATTTCAATGCGTAGCGACAGTGCCGTTTCGAGACTAACCTCTGAGATACCCTTCTTGTGCATTCGTCGGTAGAGCATGGTCCAGGCTATTCTTCTCGGGTTCTTGCGCTGCAAGAAAAGGGATTCGGTCTTGCCATTCTGGAATCGGAAGATCTTGCTGTCGCCGCGGACGTAAATCTTGCCCTATAGAACGTCAAACCCGCATGTCAGCAACGAATTAGCCCATAAATTTTGTGTGGGCTTCGCCTTGGTCTTCCCGCAGAAGACTCGCTGTCGGAACGGGAGATGGGCGAGTGGTACTGACCTTGCCAGGGTAGATCTTGGTGGCGCTGAAGGTATCGTCGAAGGTACGCATCTTGACGGTCGATTGATGCTGTACCTATTCTCCGATAGTTCGTTGGGTGGGATGAAAGTTGGTAACGCAATCAGCCGCTCAATGTCTGCGGCGGAGTTGCAATTCTGCAGTGTGCGCCTTAGCTAATGCCAAGAATCCTAGGTACTGGGTACGTTCTTGATACGTTCGAGCGCCACTACGATTGCGCAGCAGCCAAGAAAAACTCACACGTGACTGGGGCCGCAGGTCTTTTCAGGACGGAAGGGAAGGTGGGCGGAACAGGGGCGAGTTTTCAACATCAATCTCCGTTGTTCTCATTCCTTTGGTGTCGCCCTTGCGAGATCATTCGAGTCAATGCCCTACTTCCAATGGGTAGGTGTTCTCAGCTAATTGTACACGTTGTACACATTTTCGTGTTGTCACAGAGGCTCTCACTATTGTCCTGTCATCCAAGAGAAGCTCGTTAGGAGTCCCAAAGCCCATCCGTTTTGTTCTTTCATCTTCATGTCAATGAACCCGATTCTTGCACTCGTTTGTCTCAACCGTTCATAGAGCGCGGCGATTCATATCCTCATCATGCCACAAACATTCGGCCCATGGATTCTTCTTGCATTTTCGGCACTGGATGTCCTTGCAGATCGGGTTGGGGCATTCTCCACAGCAATCGGGACAGACCATCTTGCCACAGCCAATCGAACCACCCTTAGTGCATTGAAGGAAAGTAGGCGCCTCCTGGCCATATGGGAATAGGAAGGCGATCTGGAGGAGTCTCTCTTCTGCAGTCTTAAGGGATTCCGGATTGTCCTTGTGGATCTTGACGGCGAGTGCTGCGGCTTTGTAGGCACAGCAGGCGCGACCACAGACAGCGCAGCAGTGATCGAGGCAAGTAGTGCATTTGAGGTTGCGAGAGTGCCAGGCTCGACTTGTGTATGGGTGACGTGGATATGGTTGTCCCTCGTCATAGTCATAGCTATGGTTGTTGGTGGTGGTGCGCAAGTAGCGTTCCTTAGGCTTGCTATTAGTGAATCTCCTACAGTGAGAGGACTGGAGGAGGACAACTTACAAGGTCAGGTCGGTGAAGCATGTCAGTAGAACCCTTGGGCGAGGCAAAGTCAGACTGAGGCTTCTCAGACTTTGTCTTGAACAAATCAGTGACCTTGCGTAAACCAGTCCTCTTCTGCTCCAATCCCTCTGAGAGTGGTGTGGTGGTCGACTTGCCACTGTCGGCCGAAGTCTTGCATGTTGTAGGTGTGCCAGCCACGGGTGAGCCTTCACTGAAGACATTGAAGATATCAGTGTGTACGTTTTCGGCGCTAATCTGGAACGCTGCCTGGTTGTTCCCAACATTGTTGGTGTTTGCAGTGTCAGAGATTTGACGAGGACGGATGGGTCGACAAGCAAATGCCTCTGGTGGGTTTGGACTTGTATTTGGACTTGTAGTGTGTCCCGTGCTGATGGCCTTCACGGCGAATGGGTTCTCTTGGTTTCCGCCATTGTTGTAGTTGTCTCTGGCAAACGCGTTCCCAGGTTTTGGCAATGTGTTGGGCTCGATTTTGTTTCTGACTCGAGCTTCATCTTCAGCCTTTTCGCCTTCGGCCTCTTGACGCTCAGCTTCACGCTCCTTTTCGTCAAATCGTCGTCTAGCCTCCTTCACCATTCGCTTGATTTCTTCTTTTCTAGAGGTAGTGAACAGGAGAGGCGCGTCACTTGTGGAGGAATAGGGATCAGGCTGGAGCACGGGATGTTGGCTAATGTCTGGCGCGGGGATTCTTCTCAGACGCGGGAAATCTGCGACAACGACTTTCTGTTCCTTGTGCTTTTGAGCCTGGCCGTTGTTGGCGCTTTCTCGTGCAGATGCGTCACCTTGAGGCGAGAGGTTCGGAGGTGCCATGATGAAAGATCGAGCGGGTTTGATTGTCTTTTCGTCGTCTTCTCGTAGGGGCTTCATGGTGTCAAGGTGGTTGGTTTGCTTGACAGGGTCGCGGGTCGGTGATGAGGAATCTGAGTGATTTTGGACAATTTCCATTGCCCGATTCACGTCAAATTCGAACGGCGTCCCAGTCACAATTGACAAGGGCCTAAACGACCCTCCTCTACGTCTGTTGTAGAGGGGGGGGACCGGACCCGAAGAAACACCCACGTGATCCTTCTTCAGCCTCGTGCTGTCCCCTCTGTCTGGCGAAGTCCTTCGGCTCCGCACAGACAAGCCTGTCAGGCTCAACTTCTTCCCCAGAGTCCTCAAGGGGGACCCCGGGGAGCGAAGGAGAGCCTTGACAGTCTGCGGCGTTGATGGCCGCGAGGGAAGGCACGAGGCCATCTCCATCTCATCAGTGTCGAGACTCCACCGGCTCTGCTCCATGGTGGTGGACGTCTTTGTTATTTGATGAATATGAAAGAAAACAGGGGGCGTGTTTTGGATCAACCACTTCACCATAAAATGCTCCTCCAGTTCTCGTCGAGCCGCAGCGCCTGGGACGAAATCGACCAATGGCGCGCACCAGTCCCCAACCGGGCCCTGCGGCGACATCATCGCCGTGTTGTGCGAAACCCCATTTCAAGATCAGCAATCAAATGGGCGGGATGGGCGACACATTATGAACGACAAAGCCTGGGTGATGGGGACGCACTCTGTCTTCAAAAAGAGGGACAAACAACAGCGGACGACAGGGAGTCTATTCCATGAGGGAGATCTCATAAGGCAAGTACAGAAAGCATGCAAACCTGACTCACCATTGCACATGGTAAACAACCTCAAACCAAGGATATCTTCTATTGTCTTCATCATGGGATAATAGCTGATCATGCTGAGAGAACTGAAAGGCAGGAGCCGTTCTTCTCTGGTCATTGCGTCGAGGCTGAAGGCTCATCAGATCGCGGCTCGTTCCATACTACATTGCCCATTGAGCTCTCCATCGTCAGCAGCGTTTCCTTGAACTGGATTGCCATAGCAAGAGTTGTGATCATGGCATGGCATAGGTTCTAGTCCATTCTCTCGCTGTTTGAATTGCTGCCTCCTGGTCCTCCTTCCACCGCTGAGCAACATCATTCGCTAAAGGATCATCTGGATTTGGAGCACCTAACAACGCCTGAATGGAAAGAAGAATTGTTCTGATCTGAAGTGCGGGCGACCAATTGCCTGAACAAGAATTAGTGCTACTCCAACCTAAGAGCAAAGGTACCCACTCTTCAGCACGTCCAAACAGATTCGACCGAGCTTGTCAATGTTTGGGTGGTATATCTTGGTGAGAAATCGGATCTTGGGCGGAGTCATGGGATAGTCATCTGGTAGGAAAAGCTCGAGCTTGAAGACACCTCCTACAGAGAATCAGCCTCGTCTCGGCAGGGGGCTGATGGAGCACCGACGTACCTTCATATGGAGATTGTGAAGGACCATGTATGCTGACATCAAAGTATCGGAGATTGTCTTCATGGGGCACCGCGCTGATCCCAGGGACACTTGGAATGATTTAGATAGTTCCGACTCCGGTCAAGGGCCAGGAAAGGACCTACGGTTCCGCCATCAATCTCTCCGTCTCTTTCACGATTCGCTTCGGCAGCGCCATCGCAATTTATGTTTCACCTTGCCGCAGAGGGCGAGTCAAAGAGCTGGGACTGCAGCAGTGTCGAAGGGTTTTACTCTCAACAATCCTGGAGTCGAGATCGAGAAAGGTGGCACCGAAGACTAAAGAGTATGGACGTCGTGGTGGAACGGCTGAAGAGATTTTGGGACCGCAATTTGACGAGACGTGTATAACAGTCGCATGAAAGAGGAATGGTAGGTCAATATTGCGATGCAAGACTGAATGGAGTGAATTATCTTCTGAGACTGTGGCTGGCCTGCTGAGGCAATGGGATGTCACTGTCGTTCGAGTCACTCTGATCGATATGGCGCTGCGTCAACTGCGGTTGCCAGCCAGACTCATGACTCGTGCATATTCTTGGCGCCGGCACTATTTCAGATCCGCATGACTCAGGTTATGTCAACGCGATGTCGTCCTCATCAAATTGTCTTCTATTCAGCCTATCTCATCGAATATCGCGGGCAATTGAACGCTAGGTGTGCACCGGACTGCCATTTTCTGCTTTCCCCCTGGTTGCCGTCTGGGCTGAAATCGCCCCTGTTTCCAGAGTCACAAACAAAACTTTCAAACCACTTGACCTGAGGTCCAGAAAAAACCTTACTAGCTCGCGAGGTACTCTTCCACCAGAATTATTGAGCTGTAAGGTCTCCCACTGTGATCTCGGACGGGGAGTTACATTTATCCATCTAGTAGGGGCGGCCCCTGACGGCGTTCGGTACCATCGGGATGCTTGCTGCGAACCACTACGGGGTACGAAGAATGGAGCACTGCTCTAGGACTCTCACACATGGTGACAGCCTCGCCCCCGTCGTCCATCCACCATGTCCCCGCATTTTAGCGTCCCGCCTTCCACCACGATTCCCCAGATATTGTGAATTGGTCAACAAATTCAATACTGCTGTCCCACCTTTGCAAGCCCCCCATCACGAGAGAATTGACTTTGATACAGCGAGCTTCGCGAGTCCATTTCCTATGAGACGCAGGAGTCGTTCGTTGTAGACTCTCAAATGGGACCCGCACGACTACAGTCTGCGTCGGAATTCTTGTTGACGATTGGATGTTGACCCTGGGCTTCAACACTACTCCCACACTGTGTTGCTTGTATCAGGATTCTTCCTCAGACCATCGAGCGAGCACCTAGGAACTCTGCGGTGGGAAAGATTCTACTCGGATAAGAACTCGTCGTTTCCTTCATTCTTGTGTTCGATCCTCTTCTCTGGTGTTTGAGCTTTCATGATTCAACGAGACTCGCACAATGGCCAACCAATTGCACAACGAGGCCCTGGAGACCACGGATGTGATAATCTGTGGATGCGGACCAACTGGGGCTCTACTCAGTGGACTTTTGGGACGAATGTCTGTTAAGAATGTTGTCTTAGAGAAAGAAGAAGAAATCGTGACAGATCCTCGGGGCATTGCTCTTGATGAGGACGGGATTCGATTACTCCAGGAGTTAGGTTTGTATGACCAGATCCACACTGAGATTGGGCAAAATATTGGATGGACCTTCTTCACGTCCGGAAAGCATGGGCTCATGACTAAGCCGTTCATGGGAATGAATCTAAGCACCACCGAAGGAGGAACTGGCCACGTTGCCGCGATTTGCCACAAACAACCTGTGATGGAAAAGAATATCCGCAGGGCCGCAAGCAGCTATCCTAGCTCCCAATTACGCCTCGGGTCGACGATCGTCCATATCGAAGAAGACAAAGACTTTGTGCGGGCACATTACATCGACAACAACGGCATTCAGCGCACCATTCAGGGGAAGTTCTTCGTAGGAGCAGATGGGAAAACGGGTTTTACACGCAAATGCTATCTGGAACCCAAGGGAGTTTCACTCCAAACACTCTCTGGGTAAGACACGTTTACTACAGCAACCATACCAGGGAAAATTGACAAAGATCTAGGTACGAGTATCAAGAGACATGGGTAGCGATGAATTGGCACATGGATCTCCCTACGCCGGAGACACACCCGAACTTTCCCCTTTGGAAACTTAATTACACCCCTGAACAAGTCTACGACAAATTCTTTCCGCCCGGTTTTCGATTCATTGGCAATCCTGACCGACCTTCAGTCTGTGGAAGTTTTGGATTACGGAGTGAGAGACTGTGGAGGTTTGAATTCGTGGTGGACAAGGGAGAAGATCCGCAGGAGATGGCTGCATGGGAGAAGACATCTCAGATCGTCTTACCGTACCTAACCCACCCCGGCGCTGACTATGGGTAAGTGTCTCACAGCCTATCTACGGACATGATGTCTGGCAGTCGCTTACATGACAACTCGAACAGTCTGAAAGACGCTGTGCAATACCCGGTAGATTGCATCCACGTTCTGCGGTCGAGGCCTTTCACTTTCGCCGCCCGAAGCTGCAACAAGTGGGCTGTCGAAAGGGTGATAGTCTGTGGTGACGCAGCCCATGTTATGCCCCCGTGTACGTATTTGACGAGCACAAATGTGAGGGTCTTACTGACGGACGCAGTTGGCGGCCAAGGTATTGTCTCTGGATTCAGAGACGCCTCTGGTATTGCATGGAGGCTCGCGCTAGCTTGTCGCCCTGATTTCGACGGCAACTATGGAGCCCTCTTTAACGGGTGGTTTCTAGAACGGAAACAGCAGCTAGACCGCTCGCTTGCGGCTACGGTTGCCAACGGAAACCTCACAACAGCCCGAAATCCCATGAAGATCTTTCTTAGGGATTGGGTGCTGTGGTTGATGCAACTTGTCCCGAGCTGGAGACATAAGCTCGAATTAGGCCCTCGCGCAAACGGAATGCAACGGTACAGGTTCAGCTCCGGGATGGCGTTCCTCCCCAACCTAGCAGGCGGATGTTGTTTGCCACAGGTTTACTGTTGCTCGATCTACCCTCTGACCAAGGATGCAGTTCCGGCAGTCCGATTTACAGATGATGTGTTACTGAATGGACCCAGGACCAATGCGCTACTGCGACTTGTTGTTGTGACTGACAATGTGGAGCAGGCGGAGAAAGCGTGGTCAGAGCTCAAGGAGCTCAACCTGGAGAAGATCTCCAACAACGAAATCCAAAAGGACTCCGCTTTCTTCCTCATCCACTCGCCGTCGCTCGAAAATCGTCGAGCCGGCACTCCGTCAGATATCCCTCAGCAAAACGTGTATCGGATAGCAACTGGGGACGAGTTCGCTGCGTCAAACCTCTGCAGAAATCGACCCTACCCAACCGGATACGACATGTATCGAGTCAAAAAGGACGTTGGTGGGAGGAAGTACGTTTTGGTCCGTCCCGACCGATTTGTATTTGCCGCTTGTCACACTGGCGCAGAGCTCATCAGGGCTTGCGAACAAATCCCGCAAACGTTGTTTGGATCTCCTAGATCAACGAAGCCGAACGGCTGCATGCCCTAGATGCGGTCAACATATGATATCAACAGGGGCCGTAATATCGGGAAGGCATTTGTTCAGAGCCTTTACACAGGGGATCCCATCTTGTATCGGGTGACTTTGGGCACATTATCGCCGGGCATTTGATATCGATATATACTATTGCAATTTCATCTGTCATCTCAATCAGTCAAGCAATTCTCATCATCGAATAGGGCTCACTAGGCTTGAATGCAAGTCGCTCCAAGGCACCTCGGTCCGTGGTGCACGGCAAGCAGATTCAGAATGGGTGGCACAGTCTGACAAGAGTGGAGTGATTCACTGTTAGATCGAAGATGCCCTTCATTCACGATAGGCATGTTGTTTACCTTGAGGAATAGTGGCCTTGGCCCCTCTGTCGTTTATCCTATACTGTCAATTATATTCGATATAGCGGCCGCTTTGACGTTATTGACCACTCTTGGGGTACCTATTCCGTGACAGACTGTGCCACTCATTTCTGAATCCGGCTCGATGGCTCTTTCTACCTGATGCCTTTACGAGTTTACAGATCGGCGAGTAAAGACGGTCAAAGTCGGCGTATCTGAAGCGGCCCCACGGGCTTCTTCCCAATGAATGGCCGCCTAGTCGCCTTCGAGGAATCGCAATGAGCACCCTAGACATGCCCGCTAGCCGAGGTTTTTGGTCACGATGTGGGAGTCCATCAGCCCTGTTACGGGACGATATTTGCCCGAGCCGGTCCTAGGTACTGATTCTGAAACAGGCGAGCCAACGTCCTAGGTCGCGTCTTTCTCGAATCTCCGCAGCCCCGATACTTCCCCATACTCAGGCTAAAGGGCCAGCAGGCTAAACAATCTCCAGCACGCCTATCTTTCATCTACGAGGTATGTAACTCTATTTTGCCATCCGCCTCCTCACCGTCAGCAAGCTTGGACCTTGCATTGCGTTATCTTTGCCAGACCGCCATTTTGGACTATCTTTCTGTCCTTGAGCAATCGGCCAGTTCTTCGAATGTACTGGGTACATCAAGTCGACTTGTACAGCGGTCAGCAAGGAAGGCTCTACACGTTCTCGATGCAGGCCACTTTCGTCTAGACAGAGATCCAGTTGAAGCCCAACCAGTTACTCTCCCGGCAAGCCATGGCCAATACGCCGCCGACCAGTCCTGATCCCGGAATGCGAAGTGAGCATGATCCACAGATGGTCAAGCCCGTAGCAATTAGGGCAGGAAAGGGGAAAAAGTGTCCCTTTTGCTCAAGGGAGTTCTACAAAGCCGATCATTTTCATCGGCACATTCGATCACACACTAAAGAGAAGCCATTCCGCTGTCACATATGCCGCAAGGCCTATCCCCGCCAGTATGTGAAGTCAACGTCCAAAGCGACGCTAACACTAACTATTGGAGCGACACACTACTCCGTCATGCAAGAATCCACAGGCAAGACTCGGACGTCACCGAATCGTGCACGAGAGCGACTCCGAACGAGGCACCTCAGACAGCATACCAAGACGCCTCTCCATCCGCCAATTCGACTTCGACTTCGAGATCCAAATCCATGAACCTTGAGGTTTCAAGGCCCACGTTGTACGAGAAGCAATCAAGCCCGGCGTCGCATTCGCCGGGGAGATCATTGGGGTACGGCCACCACGAGAATGTGCAAGATTCATATGCCACGATAGCATCGAGCTTTCCGCAGGCTTCTCCATCACAAGATACCTCGAGCAATCCCATAGGGGCAATGCGAAGTCTAGAAGACAGAATTCACAGCGCTGCGACATTCAGACAATCTCAGATCGCAGCAACCATGCTGTCCTCGCCCGCAGTAGCCGAACATGACGCCACTCTAACTACACAAACTATCCAATTCAACTTCAATGGGCCCCTTGATGCACATCCGCTTATGGAGCAATTTCCTGACATCCACTCCGGACATTGGCTCCTGGAAGATGACTTCGACTTTACCGTTTTCGAACCCATGGGGTTTAGCAGCGCTATGCACGAGCCACATCCAATAAATCATGACAATAATCCAAAGTCATCACATCAGCAAAAGACAGAGAAACCCAAATTTCGACCAGCAGTCCTTGATCTCAGGCAAATCTGGTATGTTCAGGTTTCGGGTATGGAAAACGAGCCTGAGCTAGATTCTGGGACGGCAACTCCAAGGGATGCCGCTACGACGACTCTCGACAACATTGACGAAACATATCGTGTGAGAATGGCAAGCAAGCTGCGACCACCCCTGCGGGATGAGCCGCTGCCCTCCATTGACTTTATGAATCTATGTATTCATCTCTTTTTCACCAGATTCAATGTCGCCTTACCCCTCATACATAGCCCTTCATTTCGACCCACACACAGCAACGCTCTCTTGGTGCTCTCGATTTGTTCGGCAGGATGTCTATCTCTTGGCGCTGAGACGTCAGCAAAAACGGGCTCCATGCTCTTTGAACGAGTGAACAAGGCTATTCTTGTTGCTCCCTGGGAAAGAGCCCTTCCTCGAACCAATGACCAAACCTGGAATATCGTAAAGGCATCTATAATAGGTCAGACTTACGCACTGCTATCTGGTGATCCAGCTCACCGAGCAACGGCCGCTGCCTATCATGGGTCGCTCATCGCGCTTGCCCGTTACCACAAATTATTTAATCCGGCACCGGCTTTTCACCTCCCTAATGATCTTTCTACGGAGGATCTGGACAGAGCATGGAGAACGTGGGCAACGCAGGAAGAGCTGAGGAGGATAGCTGTGCTCCTTTATATCCATGACGCCGAGATCGCAGCATTGTTTCATCATGAGCCGGTCTTTCGTCACAATGCGGGACATATACCCACAGTCTCCTCACCAGAACTCTTCTCTGCTCCGTCAGCGTCCGCCTGGGCTTCATTACTCCGAGCTGAGCAAAGAGAAAGCCAATTCGGAACCCCCGATTATCGAGCCGAAATCACTAGCTCTTTCAACCTTGGGCACGGAACGATTAGTGGTGAGAACCAGTCAAACCCCTTGTTACAGAGAGGCATGAAGTACCGCAACATATTGAATGTCTATAACAACCTTTCGGGTATCAGTGCATCGATTTGTGAGTGCCGACATTTGGATCTCCTCTCTTTTAACATGGTGAGCAAATTCGAATCTGACCTTCTCACTTGGTATGCGTCCACACCAAAGGGCTTCAAAGTGTCGTACGACGCCTCTATGCAGACGGAAGCTCCATTCAGCTTGCTCCCATTATGGCATTACAACTTCCTCGCCTTGAGTACAGATCTCAATGTTCTTGAGATTGCGGTCGGCAAGGAAGGTAGCGAAGTTTCCCCGTCGACTCGGGCGTCAGTGTTATCCTGGATCACGTCGTTGGATTCCAAAAGATGCTTGCTCCACGCCTTGTTCCTGCAAAATCTGATCGTATCCACAAACATGGGCGCACTTGTTGCCATTCATACGCCACGAATTCTGTTCTCGGCCGCGATTTGTTGGTATTGTTATATGCTGTACCTGCCAGAGTGCCCTTCAGTGTCAATATCATGGACCTCCCCATTCCCAGCTGGCATGTTTGAACCACTAAATTCGTTGCCTGAGATCCAGCTGCTTCGCGAAGGCAAAAGTTTAGACTCGACCAACATCTACCCGGTGCCGCACATACTTGACGAAACTCTCGCTGCTCTGCCGAAGATCCTGGCTGCGAACGTTGCCGAAATGAAGGCTAATACCCTTTGCGTTATTGAGTGCATTCTCCGCAGACTAGGGACGAGTGGTATTTCCCTGCGATTTGCAGACATAATTCAGGCTTTCATTTCTGGAGAGACGAAGAGCACCAGAGTTGATCAGTATAGCGTTCAATAAATTCCCCAGCCGACAGCAGCGTAAATGTCGGCCAAAAAGATGGCATGAACAGGGCTGGCGTCAATGGAATCGGCCCTGGGTATCAACGCCAGCCCAAGTGCTGATGAGACGCACAGTAGCTTCTCTGGATCTCTTTCCGGAGTCCTCTGAGAATATGTTGCGACTTGAAGCGGCAAAATGAGACCGAAGAAGGCTCACACAGTCAACTGTGCTCATCCTTCGCTTCGGTTAGCCAATGCATTATTGCAGGTGAGCAGGAACATATTACAAGTGTCATGACCATAACGGGAACAATGCCACTCGTGAGCCTGCCGCCATCATTCTCCGTTTGGGCGAACGCCATACTCTACTCGGGAGAGAGCTATTTTGAAGCGGCGGTCCGCACTGTAGAATTCAAACTTTGTATTTATAGCCACTCAAATGCATGAGAAATCATGGAGGTGCCTTGATGCGTCGACGGCCATGATCCCAACAATGCCTGCAAGGCTTCAAGCCCCTTTTTTAAGGTGTCGTGACCTCCTTTGTATGATGTAATCAGGCTTGGCATTCAGGCGAGCGCGGCATTTCCGCGTCTACTCGTTCTATCTCGTCCTTATGCCATCCACATGTACTTCCCAATATCATCATTAGCACGTCTGTGCAGCGATCAGGCTCAGCCCCCCTTTAAGCCTCAGCACCAGTGGTATTTTGTTGCTCGGTCTAACTTGAATAGATCTTGTTGTTAGCGGGGCGGAATCCGTCCAGACGCGTTTGGCACCACATCGCTTGAGATGATTGCTTCCGGGTCGCCGCATTACGCCCTCGGCGAATCTCTATTCGATCCTTCCTAGCCAGATGAGTCTTTGACGGGCGGCAGAGCATAGATTTCTAAGTGCGGATCAGCATAAAGAGGCCTTGAGCAAACATGGCTCCTCGAGGTCCAACGTCTGCTTTCGAGAGCGAAACCTTCGGTCAAGATGCATCTTTCAGACTTGAACAACCTGTGGGATCCATGACCATCTCCCCAAGCGGGCGCGATGTTGCGCTGGCTTCCAAAGAAGGGCTTCATATCATTGACCTGGATTCGCCCTACTCTCCACCACGATATCTCCCACACCGGACTCCCTGGGAAGTAGCTGATGTTCAATGGTCGCCGTTTGCTGCAAGGGACTACTGGATCGTCAGCACCTCGAATCAGAAAGCGCTGGTTTGGAATCTGGATGCTCGATCATGGCAGGATCCCATCGAATTCGTACTTCACGGCCATACCAGAGCAATAACCGACATCAACTTTTCGGCCCATAATCCCGACGTCCTTGCCACTTGCGCCGTTGACAGCTTCGTGCACAGCTGGGATTTGAGAGCTCCTGCGAGACCTGTCAATTCTTTTTCCGACTGGTTTGCTGGAGCAACTCAGGTCAAATGGAATCGGCAAGATGAACACGTCGTGGCAAGCTCTCACGACAAGTTCCTTCACATTTGGGACGACAGAAACGGTGCATATCCCGTACGAACCATCGAAGCCCACGGAACGAAAATCTATGGGATCGACTGGAATCGGATTTATCAGAACAAGATTGTCACTTGCTCTCTCGATCGGACAATCAAGTTCTGGGATTTCGAGGGAGGGGAAAGCACTCTAGAGCGCGTCATTGAAACTCCATTCCCTGTATGGAGAGCACGTCATACCCCCTTTGGATGGGGACTACTCGCCATGCCGCAGCGCGGTAACAGCGACTTGCATCTCTATGATCGCCGTGCGGTCAATGGTGTATATGAGAGCGGACCGGTCCGTCCTGTTGCGACATTCAAGGGTCATGAAGGTCAGGTTAAAGAGTTCCTATGGCGGGCTCGGGGCACGATTGTCGACAACGTTGACAATCGAGACTTCCAGTTGGTGTCTTGGGGAACGGACAGGGAGTTGAGGCTCCACGCTCTTGAACCCGATATATATGCAGATATTGGATACGAAAAAGGGGTCTCCAAAGTTCAGCGGCTCAACTTTACGAGGAAAGGTGCGGTCTACAAGACCTTTCGCGATGTACCGGGGGACGCCGAATCCCCATTGGATGAAACACCTCGCAGTGAGGTATTCTCCCGGCACAGTCATCTCACGCATTTCCGGCCTCGCTCCAGCACCAGTGTCGGCATGAGTAAAGTGCCCGTCTCGCAATTCCGTGGCTGGGTTCAGGGTGGTCGTTATGCGCAAAGATCTGGCATGCATGGAAGAGGCAACAATCGGCAGACTACAGACCCTATCTCTTGGTTAAAGAACGTGAAGATATTTTCTTGGGACGCCGACACATTGGCCGAAGAGATTCGGCAGGTGGGAGAAAAGTTCAAGAAAGTAGAGTTTGAGGTCGTGGACATCTCCCATCGAAAGGCCGTCATGTCACTTCAAGCCCCTTGGGGAGAAGACCAGAGCCAAATTTACCTAAGGGTGGAGATGAGGTTTCCCAAATTATATCCTCGAGGTGCAAATGCAGTCTTGACTTTGCAAAAATCCGGATTTCTGGACGAAACAACACACAGACTCATAACAACAGAATTGCACACAATTGCAGAAACCTATGCCTCCAGGAAACGCGGATGTCTTGAAGCAGTCCTCCGATATTTGCTCAGGGAGCAGAATCTTGAACAAATTGTGTCATGGGTCCTCGGAGAATCGCTGGTAGACTCAAAGACCTTGGACTCAAGTACGGTGGGAGCCGATGATTCTAGCAGTGATAGTGATGACCAACTAGATGGCGTGCGAGAAGGTCTGGACGCTTCGGCGAATATTCTCGTACCGCTCGCAAAGGGTTGCGGTGCCCTTTGGTCCGAGACTGGAAAGCTGGTTTGCTTCTTTCCTGCCAAAGGAAATGAGCCTGTCTCTCTCTTGAGCACTCTCGGCGTTAAAGACCTCGAGGAGTCCGAGTCAAGTAGACTCTTTGAAGGCTTTGGCCGTCTACACGCGAGCTCACCCGCACGCAAAACGACCCGAGGCACCAAAACAGCGGACGATGACTCCGACTCTGACACGTCAGACTCATCATGGAAGACTTCAAGCAGTTCCTCGTCCTCATTCGAGACCGAGCAAAACGTTCGTGGTGTATCTTCATATCAAGTGGGGGCATCTGGGCTCCAGCAGCGGTCGCGCTCACCTGACAGGTCGAACCATTCCACCACCGGCGTTGCCAACAAGTTGAATGATGCTCCTCGGAAGAGCGCCGTGTCGATACATACTTTTGATGATCTGATCCCCTCGAAACGCGAGCTGGCGGTCGAGTATAAGATTTTTGGAGCTGGCACAGAAGTTTGCATGCACAATGCTGTTGTTGCTCGAAACGCCGGCTTGGGAGACCTTGAATCTGTGTGGACTGTTGTGGGACTTGTCTTGGATGATGCCGTCCCACTCGAAGTTCTTCCAGATCTGCGAGATTCTACTTTACAAGACGTGCTGGTGATCGCAAAAACAGTCACGGAAAGACCTCGCCAAAAGGGCAACATGTCTCCAGATAAACCCAAAGCTTTTGGAAGGACACGTTGGGGCAATCACCCTTTCGGCTCAACATACCTGCTTCCTGCTATCTTCGACCATTTCGAAAGGCTTGGTGATGTGCAGATGCTTGCCACCTTGGCTTGCGTCTTTGCATCAAGCATCAACGAGGGAGTCATACCAGGCGAGGGTTCCGACAAAGCGAATATGCATGCCCCCGACAACATCTCCCACATTATGAGCGACTACTTTCCTTCCAGGGATGTGGCCAAGTCCTTCTTTCAAAAGGATGTTGATCCGGAAGGGTATGTCTTCATCCACTCTAAAAATGTGCCTGCAGCTTCTGGCGTTCAAGGCCTAGGAGGCTCTAAAATCCAGCGCAGACCATACCATTTCCTAGGTCGCCAAGACAGTCGATTGTCTTCTAGAGCAGCTAGTTTCGTTGCTGAAGACTCCCATGACCAAGTTGCGCTGTATTCGACTGCTGTTTCCGTCTCGACATCGCCTGAAGGGAACCGGCCAAGCAACAAAACGACTGCTAGCATAGCTTATCCTTCCGCGCGAGCAAGTCTATCGGCCTTGACACAGTCATACTCAAACTCTCCTCCGAATCAAAGTTCATCAACGGGTTTTACATCCAGCCTAAAGAGATACAGCCCTTCAGGTTCACTGGCCCCTGGATGGGTGTCTTCTGGCATATTTGGCAGCCAAACGATAAGCAAAGGCTCACGAATGTCCTTTCATCATCATGAAGGTGCAAATCAAGATAGCCGCGAGCTAGGCAATCGCTCCTCCTTCTCGTCCTCAGGCGTGCAAAGCTCTCGAAGAAGTAACACTTTGCACACGTCGGCTAGCCGGCGCAGCGGTGTATCTGCAGTGCCGTCTGAGGTCTCAGAGAAGACTTTTGACAAAAATTCTCCAAAGCGCAAGAAGATCAAGATGCGTCTCGTCAACCAGGACAAGTTCGATCTTGACGGGTACTCATGCGCATCGCTTTTCGACCGTGTACTCGAAAGGAAGTGCAGGATCTACCGGCAAAGCTATGCAAACCTTCTCGATGTGTGGCAGTTGCACTCACAACGGGCCGAAGTGCTTAAGTTTGACGGCATACCAGCAGATGGCTCACATTTGGCCCACGGCCGCTCAAATGCCGCGCAACCGCCGTCTGGAAGTGGTCTCGAGCGGCCGCGCAGAAAGACCTTGACTTCCACTTCTCGAACCACGGACCTTGGTCTGGAAATCAGACGTCTATGTAGCAACTGTGGGGAACTACCAGCACCGATAGAGAAAAATGGCATTCCTATCGGGTGGCATTGCGTGACTCCGTCATGCATCTCATCAAATCAACTTTCGGGGGTGAGGGCTGCCAGAGCCCCTAAACGCAGTGCATGTGCCATCTGCAACACCTCCATCCGGAGTCTAGCGGTGCCTTGCTTGCAGTGTGGGCATATGACGTGCTATGACTGTGCTCAGGGGTGGTTTGGTGCTCGCCGAGCGAAGCATGACAAGATGGGATCGAGGCGGTCTTCGGCTGAGAAGTCCCAGCTTTCGCCAATCGAGGACGAAGACGATGTGGATGGTCTTGGTGAAGAACATACGGACGAACATAACACTTGTCCTACGGGTTGCGGTTGTCCCTGTGCGACGCTCATCACTGTGGCGGTACCGTATCCTTCATCGACCGATGATAACATCACTGCCAGCGACCAAGAGCATGCCTATCTTGAACCTCCCCAACTTACCCATCAACTCAGCCGCAGCAGTGGGGGAAGTTCGAACCTGCTCCGATCATCAAGTCTCCTTGTCCCTCCTTCATCTCATTCCCATTCCTCCACCGATGCTGGAACCGGAGGTGCGGATACCGCGCTGGCGGCTTTCCTGGCGCTCACCCAATCCCACCAACGATCAAAATCTATTCATCTAGTTTCAGCGCGGAGCAAAGCGCCCTCTGTGTCTCGACCTCCAGAAATGCAGAGTCAAGGTTCACGCCAAACGCCAAATGAAAGCGGCAAGACATCGGTATCAGACAACGATACAGCAGAAACTACCGGATCGCAGCCCGGGGAAGGGGAAGATTCGAGCTCACTGAATCCCTTTGCTGGTAATAAATTTGCGACATTGGGAAGAGGAATCGGCGCGGGCCTCAGCCGTGGGTTGAGTTCGAAGGCAAGCGACGCCACGATTCGAAAGTTCAAGTCCTGAAATGGGTCAAGCGCCACTTAATTTACGCGATCAACATTGAACGACGCCTCATCATGGTTCTTTCCACTCCAAGCTTCATCAACCATAGCACTCCGTGGAGACAGACAACCAGACATTCTGCCGTGCGGCTGGTAGGGAGAAGAGATTTGACATCTGTACTCATTTGTTGGAGCATACGCGTATACTGTAGCCACGTGTTTGCGGAGAAGATTTGTATAAATATGATATGAGACCAGAGACCAACACGACTGACGACGGGGACCGGCAAGAAACGGACAGGGCCAGGGGCTGGCCAGGGTTAGGCCTGTCAGCTGTTCGGCGTTCGCCTTCCTTCGCTCATCGTTTGCCTCTCCCTCTGCTATCAGCAATTGCCAAATATTCATCCTTTTTTCGCTCTTTGGCAGGCCAGAGGTACCTAGGTACATTGAAAATAGCCAAGTTAGGTCCTCGGGTACGAGGACGTTCGGACTAAGCAGCATTTCCCCTTAGTTCCTTGTGGAATTCACATGAGGACCAAACAGAAGCCATTGCCTCGAGGTCTCACAACACGAGCCCAGTCTCAATCTCCCATGAGAGACTAGTTGGTTGTCTCTAGTTGCGCGCCGGGACTTCCCTTCGGTTGATCAACCAGAACCTCATCTGATTGTGAAACAATGACTAACAGCTTAATCCTGCACTTCTTGACGCAGAATTAGCTGGAGGTTGGCGACATCGATTCGGCACCACCCAAGAGGACGCCGTTTGCTACTCATCCACCCTTTAGCCAACGCTGGACCAGTGGAAAAGAGAGATGCCCCAGGTGGACCGTGGTACAGCGAGATGGCAATCCCAGTGAATGTGCAGGAATATTTTCACCACAAGTGGTGATTGGCAAGGATGGATTGGCAAGCAAGTGTGAAACTTTGGCGAGGAGAGAGGGGACTACTCTGTGCGTGGTAAGCGTCGCTGCTTTGGCCTGTCCGCTGCTCGTTCCCGACAGGAGCTCGAAGAGGAAGGGCCCGGCCCAGAGGAAATGTGCCCCAAACTCGACAAGGACGTGGCGACGATCAAGGAGAGATTCAGAATGGCCCTAAGGATAGCAGCAAGGCACGACAGGAGTGGCTTGGTGTGGGCAGGACTAGGCTGTGGAGTTTGGAAATGCCCACGAGACAGGTCGCCGAATATCTGAAGGAATGCTTGGGAGAGGCTGGGTTCGAGGGCTGGCTCGAGGCGATCTGGATAGGGATATATAATGAAGCAGTCTTCGGGATATGGGGGAGGTTCTCAACAGCGACGCTGTACAAGGCAAGACCGCGGGGGAGCTACAACAGTCGTGAAAGAAGCGTTCGCCTTTCTGGAATTGTGCGAATTTTATTGACACGTATCTACCTTGGTTCTGCCTGCCGTATTTCTGCTGGACTTACGGGAGACAGACAGGTGGAAGGAAGTCTAAATCAACGCGCACGGCCACAGGAAAGTGGTCTCGGGCCCTGCACATTGAAATGTACTATCTATGTGAAATCAGGCTGCATCGTCTGGAGTTAGTACAAGGAAAGCTTGCAAGGCCAGCTTTAATGGCAACGACTGTCGAGTACATAATGGCTTAACAATCACTCATTGTGGCAAGCTCACACAAATACATACCTTTATCAGAGCAGCGGGCCGTCTGTCGCAATCCACTGGGCTCTAATGCGACTACATGGAATGATTTGAGACGCGCGCTAGGTACCTCGAAGAACGTACCTGTATCACACCATTCCTCTTGAAATCAGACGGCACATGAGTATACAAGATCAATTAAGTAATATCAAAGGTTTGAGGTTCCATCGTGGTTGGTGTCGTTATTGCTATTTCTATTGCTGCTGCTGCTGCTGTTGCTGCCACCGCCGCCGCCACTTTTCGAGATATTCAATCAAAGCAAGTTGACTTCGGCGCGCCGTCCGTGTCCTCCCTCCACCGAGTCTCCCGTAAAGCTGAGATTTGTAAGCAACACCAGCGCTGCAGGACGTTCCGCGATCCGTACCAAGCTCGTGTTGTGACTAAGACCAGTTGTAAGCCCACGAACGGCACGCGGAGCACAGGCACAACTTCCACCCCGGAGATGGATAGGCCACGTGCATCATTTTAGGCTAAGAGCTTCAACACACCCTGTTCGGAAGTATTGCAATGTCCGCATCTGGTTAATGGTCCTTCAGCCTTGCATGGTGGTAACCCTCTCTGCCCTCTCACAAATGACACCCTCCGAGGCCGCACAGCTTTTCAATTGTGTTTTTCTTCAGCTTCTTAGAAAATCTTGACAATAGGCTTCGTCGCAGCCACGGGAACTCTAGTCCTTCATGATCCCGATCCATGGACGCTGACACAGCGACACGTCATTGTCTGAGTCGAGTGCGATCCCAAGCAGTCGAGTATGGTCGTCTATAAAGAAGGGGTCATTTGCCGATGATCCATGAGGGTTTTCCAAGACGTTCCAAGAAGATTTCTTTCGGCCAGAATTCGCCGGCTGTTTGGTGGTAACCATCGTGAAACCACAGTTCCCATCTCCCAACAAAAGCCGAAACAATGTCGAACAGCAGGATACTTATCACCGGAAGCAGTGGTTACATGTATGGCAAGCCAAAAAGTTCAGCTGTTGATGAAAGAGTCTAACGTTGGCACCACAGTGGCGGCGAGGTACTCGCCGCTCTCTTGGCCTCCAAGAGTTCCGCTGTACAGGCAGCTACGATAAGCTGCATGGTCAGAGGCGAGGAGAAAGCCGAAGCGCTGAAGAAACTCGGTGTGACGCCACTGCTTTTCAACTCTCTTGACGAGACGGAGATCCTGGCGGAAGCGGCAAGCAACCATGACAGTGCGCTGCGTCCTGTCCATAGAATGCTAGTTGAGCGAAGGAGAAAATACTGACTGTGGCATTGGGTAGTTGTCATACATGCCGCCTCTGGCTTTCATACGCTCTCGGCACGGGCGTTGGTGCTAGGACTGGCGCAAAGGAAGAGGAAGACCGGCAAAGATGTGCACTATATTCATGTGAGTTTGCTACCCTGTCTCATTACCATGCATAAATAAATGCTAATACAAATCGACCTTTTCCGCAGACCTCAGGAACATCCAATGTTGCCGATCGTCCAATCTCAATGCAATACGTCGAGTCTCGATATCCTCTGTCCGACAAGGATGATATCTTCGCATATATGAAGACAAGGGACGAAGACGTGCCCTACGCCCAGAGGACATCCGATATCGTGATCACAGAGACCGGACTCGAACACGGCGTCAAGACGTACGTTTTGATGTCACCAAGTCTGTATGGAATTGGCGTCAGTCCGTTGCACGAGTTCTGCCACGTTCCGATATTGATTCGTGCCGGATTGAAGCTTGGAAAGGTCCCCGTTGTCGGCGCCGGGTCCGGTATCTGGGACCATGCCCATATCCAGGATATGGCCTGTTTCTATGAAACTGTCGTAACCAAGATCCTCGATGGCCAAGATATTCCCAGTGGCAAGGATGGAATATACTTCATTGAGAGTGGGGAGCACACGTGGCGCGAGATTGCCGAGAGAGTGGCCGAAGCTGGAGTGGCTCTTGGAGCTCTGCAAACCACGGAGCTCCAGACTCTGGATTTACAGGGCTCAAGGGACACCCTGGGAGGAGGCTGGGGATTGATTGCCGAGATTGGGTGGGCATCTAAGTAAGTGAAGCGCCAGCTTTTCGCAAAAATAGCGAGATTGAAGCTGACAGGTGGACAATAGCTCAAGGACAAGGGGGCACAAGGCGCGGGAGCTCGGGTGGCAGCCGCAAAAAACTCGCCGCGATTGGGAAACCCACTTCAGCGCGGACTGGGAGGCAATTCTTGAGTCCAACGGGTCAAGAAAGTGAAGTGGACGGGCCTGCCTTCGTGGTGTCACATCTCAACCAACACTCGATAGGGTAAAGAAGGGCTAGAGCTCACTCGGCTGAGGACCACTAAATATCTCCCAAGTAGGCAGCGGAGAACCTTGTTGATGGAGGTAGAATGTCAGAAATCATGATCTTGTATATCGCCCCTACCAGTCTTAGGCAAGTGGTTGTGGCTGTGGCGACTGGTTATGGATGGGGTGTCAACGCAGCTTTTGTCATGGCCGTACTCGAGTTGGTCCTCGGCTGGTTGTCGAGGTTCCGGGACAGGACTGGGCATCCGACCTGATCATGGCGAGAATTTTAGAGCATCTATGCAGCGTCAATGTGCGGGTTGCAGCCGGAAAGTGCAAGGCAAATTGGACTGGCGTTAGGTCGAGGAGAGCAAAGACCGTTTCCATCAATGAAACGGCCAGAACGAGGCTGAGCCGGTTGCTGCGTTGGGGTCCATAAAATAGCATGGGTGCAGGAAGTGCTGAAAACGAACGTCAGTTGTCGATCAGGTCTGGTTCGATTGCAGTGGTGGATCATGCACATAGTAGAGCGATGCAAATCCGACAGATTGATCTCATATATTGAACAGGCGTCCGTCAGAGGCGGTCTTCAATTTCAGCATTTGTTGAGGGGTTCACCCATCATCTAGACCCATTATATGCTGTAGCTGGATTGTCAATTGCTTCCAATTGAACAGACACAAGAAAAGAAAGGGGCACTTGATGTCTTGTAGAAACTGACCCCTGATGACCTCGAATGCACGAGAGGTCGAATACGTATAGCTTGATTTGTCCGTCCTCGCCATGACTGAAAGCACTCATGGGGCCAAAAGGTTCTTTTCAAGGCAGATCCTGTCGGGAGAATTTGGACAGAGAGACCTAGTATATGAGATAATGACAAAAGCAGTCTGTCTCACTTACATGCAGCCATTCTCTATTCAAGCCGACAAAATCAAACTCAGCCAGAAAGAGTCGTGCCATCTCATCATATGGTAGGCCCACTCCTCTGAGTGGCTGAGTGAATGTCACGACTACGCCAAACAAGGTCAGCTGTTAGAGACACACAAGAAAGATTTGCAATGGAATTATGGGATCTGGTCCCTATTGACCGATCAGCGCTCTCAAAATTATGTCCTTTTGTGATACTTTGCCTGTCCAACGTGCAAGTTGGCCCGTCCCGTGCGTTTGAAATACAAACCGCAATCCTACTAGCAGAATATTGCTATACCCAGTCAGAAAAAGGCCAAGTGAAAAATTGCTGTGGAGACGCGATTTTCCCCTGAGATAAACGTTGCAGTGCTTGATCTGACACTGTCAGCCTAACGACACCAAACCTGCTCATAAACCTGGAGGTGGCGGTACTGCAGAATAGCCACTAGATGGAGGTGGCGGAGGTGGTGCAGCACCGCTGTCAGCTGGAGGAGGCGGCGGATTCGAATCTGCCGGCGGTGGTGGGGGTGGAGACTGCTGTTGAGCGGCAGCTGCCTGTTGCTGATAGTATTGATAATAGGCGAGGTAGTTCTGATAGCCACCATACGCAGCATACGGGTCGCCTCCTGGTTGATTTGCATAGTATTGAGCATATTGTGCGGCGTAGTCCGTCGGTGAAGAGACGGTTCCAGGCGCAGGGGTGGATGGTGCACCGGTGTAGGGAGAGTTGTAGTGGTTGCTGCTATGTGAGTAACTGCTGTCGCGACCCCGGTCTCTTCCGTGTCCGCCATACGAACTGCGATTGGCATCAGCTCCATAACCATCGGTGTATGACTCCATTCTCGGCGGCGGTGGGTTCGCTTTAAAGTGTTCAAAGTTGACGCGAACGTTAGCAAGCAGATCCTCACAGAGTTCTTTGGCTTTCTGAACTTGAGCAGGTTGAGGACCGGCGACATGGAGATACATTGGCTCATCGGACTCTTGCCCGGTACTGTGTTCCATGAAGCCGGACCCACGGCCTTTGATCTGAACGCGACATCCAGTTTCTTGTTGGATGTGCTTCACGTAGGCGCCGCCTTGACCGACCACCTGTGCACGAAGGTTGAAGCCCGGGATATTTTCCATGTCGATGGGGATCCTTTCTTCAGGCCATTTTCTCTGATTTCTTGTGAGTCGAGGGAGCCGATGATCGATTTCTCTCACTTACCCTGCCAAACTCATCCCGTTCGAATTGTTCTGGCTCTCGTCGGCGGAAGCGTCTTTCATCAACAAGGTTGGGGAGTTCTTGCTTCATCAGCTCCTCAATCTTTGCGATTGCTTTCTCGAGCCCAGCCTTGGAGGTGCTAGTGACGTGAAGATACAATGGCGGATTCTGTGTCTCGTCAGTCGCCAGTTGTTTGTAGAAACAGGGCCCACTTACTGCTGCCGTGGCCATGGTCTTGTCCGGATAGTAGGAGCCGCGGGTTGTGACGTCTTCAAAGTAACAGGTAAGTCTTGTGCAAACCAACAAAGATTTGTGAAGGGAAGCATACCAGCTCCTGTCTCTTCTTTGATCTAAAAGCAGGCAAACTACGTCAGCAAGGTCACCAGGCACATTTTGGTCAGAGACATCCTCCGACAAGCGAACTAGCGGTCGACCCAGTAACAAAGTTTGGTGAAGCGATCAGTTCACATGAGGAATATTTACCATCTTTTGTGTAGAGCCTTTTGTCAACGTGTAGCGGTTGCGCAAGTCATTGACTTCAATGTCCTTGATATAGTCACCATCTGCAATGTAGATCTCGCCGTCGACTTTGGCTGCGCTGTGACCGGAGGAAGGAGTAGCAGGCGTAGGAACAGGAGTGGGTGTCGATGACTGAGAAGACGGTAAGCGCATGCGCGATGTCGAGACAGCCCCGGGAGAACTTACTGATCGAACTGGAGGGACCTCGACATGCTGGATGCCCTTGCGAGCCTGCAACTCAGCATTGATCTTTGCCGCGGCCGCGGCTTTGGGATTGTTAGCAACGCGCCACAGCCTGTATGCAGATGAAGGATGACCTACCCGCGGCAGCCGCAGGATCCAGAGGGGTGCTCCGTTTTTCACTGGCTGCAGGACTCTGACTGGCTTTTGTGAGCGGACTGCGACTTCTCCTGGATTCGCTCTGTCGCGATGAAGGAGATCTAGAGCGCCTGTCGAAGCGGGAGGCCTTTCGTAGCTCGGGTTCCGTCTGGTCAAAGCGTGACCGCTTACGAGGCGCTTCGTCTGACATGGCGGAGGTGCGCTTGAGAGAAGGATTGATGCGACGAGACTGTGAAGACAAGACGAGGACAATGCACGGGCGGGAAGGGAGAGAAAAGAAAAGTGGAAAGGGAAATGGGGGCTGGCTTCGAGGTTGCGGAGAAAGTGGATTGCACCGACGAGCCCGAGTACCTCGTACAACTAATTACCCAGTAGACATCGAGTTTTATCAGTGGAGCCGGGCACGAGTCTTGGCAGAATAACAGTTCCCTCAGTCACTTTGTATCGGTACTCCCAGCATTCACACTCTCTGTACTCGCTGCCTTGCAGTTACTCGGGCACCTTTTTTATGCGACGCCACCAATTGTCAAGGAGAATCACCCATCCGCTCAGCCGCTGTCATCGTCTTCATCGTCTTCATCGTCCCGTTTCCGTCTCCTCTTGGACTTCGGAGACTGGAAATCCTTCGACTCGGCATTCTGATCCTCTAGCACGTAGCACCGAGCATCTCGCTCCTCCCCTCTCCAGGCGCCTTTCCTCTTCCCTTCGTCGCGCCTGTCCTTGCCAGTCGTAATGTCCCCAACAGTTCTCGCATGTTGGTAGCCCGGATAGGCAGACCACGGGAACTTGAAGCTCTCCACTACCTTGAGCCCGCAATGGCGAGCCAAATCTCGGACATTCCACAACGTGTACGGTTCGCCTTCAAACAGCGTGACGAGGATCTGGCCATTCACAGCACCAGGGTCCGGACCTTCTGCCGCTGCTGAGATATCAGCGTAGTCACTAGCCTCGTCTTCCGTTGCCTGTCGCATCTTTGCCGGATGGTCTCGAGAGGAGAGCAGCGACTTGGCGGACTGGAAAAACCCTACCAACAGCTCTTGATTGTACCGAACTTGCCTGTTGACATCTGTACTTAGACCTCCGACGTGGGGGAAGTTGAAGACGATCTTCGTGAATGGAGAATATGGCCTCAGGGCCTTCTTGTGCGCCGAGGAAAGCTTCGTTGCGTCGATGCCGTAGAGGACTTTGATAGTAGCCTCCTCAAGAGGTCTGCCCGGATCTTCGACCTGCCCCTCGTGGATCGGGGAACTGGGTGGCGACGGAGAGAATCCTTTCCACTCCTCTTCTGTGTCGGTAGCTTGCTCGTCTCCTTCACAAGTCTCTTGTTGCACAATGGGGACCCCATTGCCGTGAGCTAACGACTGAAGCGCTGTTATTGTTTTCTGTACCTCGGGGTGCTTGCTCTGAAGCACATCTTTGGAATCGTAGCAGGTCGCTACTATTTGGCGCCCTTTGTGATGTAGTTTCAATGACAATGAGAATGAAAAGTCTCCTGGCGTCTGATGAGCAGTCACTCCAAAGGCCAGGGAACGTCGGAGCTGGCCAGTCCTCTCCGGGAAAATACATCACAGCTAGGAAGCCGCGAAAAGAGAAGGCCTTGCTCGGGGGTAAATCTCTTTGTTGACTTACCTTCACCAACAAGCAGCACCTTGTCATACTTCGTAAAAGGCACCTTCAACCGTGCTTGCCGCCGACCATGATGGCTCTTAGCAGAAGCTACCGCGACCGCCGATGCAGGTTGCCCTGGTTGATGGCTGTGCTGCCTTCTAACCACTGTCGATTTGCCAAACTTCGAATTGTGCTTGCGAGCTTGACGCTGAACCTTACCCATCTACTAGTTAGGCCACTGGCCGGCCGATTGAAATCTGACCACCTGGCTGCCGCACGCTCTCTGAGATGGACGTTTGTCGTCTTTCCCAAGCTGCCAAGAATTATAGAGGTACAGTAGGAAATCTGCAGCGCCTCACTCGGTGTCACCCTCCTCACCCTCCTTTTCGACTCGGGGTGCCGCCGCTTTGTGCTGACGCCCCACGGTCGAGGCGCGGACCCTTCCCCCCTGCTACCTAATAGTGCGGTGTGGATTTATACCTTACGCCATCCGTCCCTCCTAATAGTACGAATCGTTAACGAAGGAGCCTCATATTGTTAGGTGATATAGGAAGTGGGGGTCTAATGCCCGGTAGATAAATTGGATTAACTTGAGCAGACACCTGATGCATCTAGTTCCGATGCCTCCCCGCATTATTCGCCTTGATTCCGCTGACGAGGACCTCTTAAACCTCGCATATGAAGCATATAAACGCTGGGTGAAGTTCGACAATGCTTCGGACGCGAAACGCTCTGATCCAATCTTGAGCGCGACCCTCGACTCTCCTGGGATTTTTGGAATATGACAACGCACAAGCCGGCTGGGCAGATGCCAACGATGCCAACAATGCCATCATGCAACTCCGGGACAACTGTCTAGAGCTGGGCGTCTCCTTCCGGTCTAATCAAGCAGGAACGGTGGTTGGATTCAACACAGATGCTTGTTCTCGTATCCAGAATGTTCAGACACTTGCTAACACGACGATAGAAGCGGATCATTTGGTGCTCGCCACTGGCGCTTGGAGCTCAGGATTGGTTCCTATGTGTGATTCGACGCTATCGACGGCGCAAGTTTTGAGCTACGTCCGCCTGACCGAGTCCGAGATGGGGAAATACAAGGAACAACCCATTCGTGCGTCGCAACAGGTTGGTTCAACTCTCCTCCGCACGAAGACACCAAAATGCTCGAGATGCCGGTCCACGGATAGGGTTACACACAGACTCCCAGTGTGTCAGAGCATGCCGCCAAGTGTGATATAGAGTCTTCGCCACCTTCTGTCCCTCCCAGACAGCGTCGCAATTTTCGCTCCACACGACTGCGAGCAGCTTCTCCGACCAGGCTGACGAGAAATATTGCCAAAACTTGCAGATCGGCCGTTCGAACGGGTGGCAAGGTACTGGTAAACCGACACTCCCACGGGCGATTTCATTACGGACTTGCATCCTGATTACAAGAACCTATTTTTTGGCAGTGGCAGCAGGGGCCAGTAAGTCAACAAATTCGACCAAGTGCATTTAGATGTGCTGACACATTTTCGTCCAGCGCATTCAAGTTTTCACCAGTGCTAGATGAGTACATGTTATTTGCTTTGAAGAAGCGTCTGCCGCCGGCATTGACCAAGAATTGGCGGCTCAGAACGGGAGTACCGAGCACGAGGGCCGTCAAGATACATTTCTGGGCGACGGGAGCCGTGGCAGAGCTGAAAGACGAGAGTTGTACTCACATGAGCCAGCCAAACTTTAGAACCTGAGGAAATCCCTATCATCTTTTCGTCCATAACACTTGATCGCTCCCGTTTCTTTCGCAAGGTGAGGTACATGCCATGATATTCTCCCAGTGCCCCACAAGAACGCTTTCGAAGATGTGAAGCCCAAGTCAGCGATATCTTTGATATATTGCAGTGCGTCACCTCCCATTACCCAGCCGTCACGCCTACGAGGGTTAATGTCTTCTGCTATCAAGGCCTCTGAAGACTTCCACCAGTAAATCGTCACACGGCGCTGGGAAACCTGGTGATAGCAATTTCCAAGCTTACCGTTCAACCTCGAATGCGACTGAACCCCTAGGAGTGGCTGGGGTCTCTTCGTCCTTTGAACATACGACATATTGCTGAAATTCTGTTCCAGACTGTGTGTGATCCGAACTACCAACTGGTCCTGACCTCTTCCACCGGCCCTGCCAAAGTGGACGGCCCCTGTTCCAGATACGGTTTGGAATGTTCATACCTTCATAATGTGAGAATGTCACCGACAAGGCTAGGATAGGCCAGATACACACTCGACCAGCGCAGATGGCAGGAGAGTCCGGACCCAGAATAAGCCGCTAGGTTGCCGCGTTGAAGTCAATAAGCCCGGCAATGGGTATGTATTCATGGTTGAGCTCAAGATCCTCGTGGAAGACTTGAATTTACCTGGAGGTGATTGTGAGATAAGTCGAGACAACTTACAGAACGGTCGCAGGATGGCAGTTGCCTTCTTCACTACCGAGAGAATCCATGGTTTCGCATTATCGTCCCTGCAGGCACCGACACCGAAGTGGACCTTGGTAGGACATTCGTCGGCTTGGTGTTGCACTAACCCATATAGGGGATCTTCTGGCGCCTTTGGGATGAGGTTGGAGCCGAAGATAGATTTCAAGCAGAGGAGAGGACTGGAAAGTTAAAGGCTGTAATCCAACCATCACTGATCAAGCTGTTTCGCAGGATAGGCGAGCCGCTTCATGAACTAGATGGGAGCAGTTTGAACCGCCACTGTGCCGAATACTCTGCGTACTTGTATATCTCTCAGATGGGCTTGCTGGCGGCTTTGCGGGTCGGCGGCCATTTCCTGGACAAAGCTTTTTATTTGGGGTTCCTGACCTTGTAAAAGTCCTGTGACCAGTTCAGCAATCATAAGTTGAGAGCAAGTTAGAAATGAATCTACCAATCTAGGTCTGGCACAGAGCTGATCATGTCAATTCACGGCGGAGCTGGAGGGCGCGCAAACGCTTTCAGCGCCTTTGGCACTAACGGAGAGCGCGAAATTCTTTCGGTCTCCGACCCGCCCCCACGGCTCTGGCAATAGGCGAGCGGGACTTCACTGATGTGTTAGGACAAATTCTGAGAATGCGCTTTGCCAATTCTGGCATTGGTTCCTGTCTGCCTCTGACAGGATGCTAATACTGCTTTGTGAGGAATGGAGTCCAATAGCGAGTTGAGAAGGCACAAATAACGTACGACCACTTGAGCCATGATTGAAAGTGCTTGCACCTCAGTCACTTCGCCTTCATTCAACAAATACGCCGAACGAGACATTAAAAATGTTGGAGTCGTCGGGCGCTTTGGTGGAAACCCACGGATATACTTCGATATCGGGGAATCGTGTATCGAAAGGTGTACAGACCTAGAACGAAGAAAAGAGAGAGGGCGAGGGTAAGCTAGATATCGGGTTCCCTGTCCCTTTCCTGCTCAGTCTAGAGAAATAGAGTCTAGATTCTAGAATCTCTCGTGTTGCCAGCATCACATATGACCACTGGCCACATATAAATTCGGCCACCGCTTACAGCAGAACGGCTGAAGGAACGTCCGGGAGAGGCAGAATCTAAGCGCAGGTTCGAAGAGACTTGGATCGGGATATGCGATGGAGCAGTCTTCACAATCAGCGGAGCCGTTTCCCATCACCCTGGAGAAGACAATCCTTGGGGCGTGCATTCATTTCGCGTATTGTATGTGGTATTGCGCGCCGAGTACAGGTGTTTCTTGAGCTGACTATTACCCCTACCGTTCAAGCGCAAAAGAACCAGTAGTCTAACAATTCTAGGTAGGTTAAAGTACAGAAGCCGAACCGAACATTTCGTGTCGAGTGATTCTTGTTTCGACATGACCCTCTTACGTTTCAGAATTTCCTCGAGCCCAACCCAGCCCAGCACAAATCGAACGCCTCGCAATGCATAAGATCTTCGTCCAAATCCGTTGACCAAGTCAGCATGTTGAAGAATAGCAGTCTACAACCTCCTCGCCTCCCGTCGCTCCTTCTTCCAATCATGCCTTCAGGCTGTCTCGGTTACTCTGGCTGCTGGCGCTCATTGTGTTCGTCGTGGGAAGAATTGTCTTGGGTTTCGAAGATTCTCGGACTTTCGCGAGTGCATAGACGATTCCGCTAACAAATCCGACAACAATGGCTGAGACACTAGGGATCGTGACAGGTGCGTCGAAAAAGATGAGCCCCGAAACAGCGATGGGTAGTTTGTTAAGCGCTCCAACCATGGAGTATGTGGTTGAGGATGTGGCCCGCACGCACCACGCTGACGTGTATGAAATGAAGATCGAGGACAAGCCGGTAAAGATCATGGCACCAATAATTGCGTTTCTTGCATCGATGGGGAAGTTCTTGGTCAGGTTGACGGCGGACCAGTCTTCAAGGGTTAAGGAGGCGGCCAAAAGGATGGGAATGGTAAGGAGGTTGTTGTAGAACATTGCTAAGGTACAGGATTAGTGCGGCGCCCTCCGGATAGGACTTGGGTCACTCACTGTCAAAGTCCCTGAAGTTTGTCAGCTTGATGCGCTTGCGCATCCCCAACACATAGGCCGCAGTAGACAGACAATTAGCCAACATCCAGATATATCCGGCATTCAAGGTGGCCAATTGCGCTGTTGCAGCAGCCGATGCAGAGCCGTGTGATTCGAGCGCATGCTTGATATCGGCCCATGCCGCAATGACAGAGCTGAGGACCATCAATCCGAAGGAGAAAAGAGCCATAGACGAAACGGAGCCGCCGAACCATAGCACCTCGCCATAAGCAATCAGGATGATGGTCAAGTTCTTGAAGATTGTGTACACGGGGATTGAGAGGTATCGCAGGGCTTTGGTACTCGTGTAGATCATTCCGATCAGAAGAAGGGAAATAGGAAACCCTGCCATTTTGTTAGACAAGACATCTGGGTTTGCAGGGTTTTGTTTCAACCCGTACATTTTTTGGCTTCATCCACTTTAAAGTCCCGATACGTAATGATGCCTGCTGTTTTGCAGGATTGAATAGCCAGGACGCAGACAATTGACTATTGGAAAATGAAGGTCAGCTGGAGGTGCAGAATACAGAGTGGATGAGTAGATTGACGAACCTGAACGGCCAAAAGAAAGAAATTCAGGTTATAGTCAGGAAATGAGAGAATGTATTTGTTGGTCACGGTCATTAGGATAGAGGAGGCGCAATAGCTGACGACAGGGAGAACTGGGTTGTTCTGCCAATTCGACGAAGGAGGTGTGAATCTCGGGACGGAGGGCTGGGGAGCGTGACTGAAGGTCCTGCCCTGCTTCTCCCCGAGTTCCATCTCGTTGCCTTCGAGAAACCTCTTCTTCTCTTCTTCAGCCATCTCTTCTCTGGTATATGTTGTCCTGACCTTGGAGGCCTTTCACTGAAATAGGGCAACAACTAGCGTGGCTTGCGGAGAGGCCGGTAGGAGCGTGAGAGTTGCAAGTGAGAGTCGCCCGAGGGACGTGAAGAGTCAGAAGAAGGCAGGAGTAGAAACGTTGATATTAAAGACCGAGAATATGGGGAGGAAAAGAAGTCAAGGGTGCGTGCCGAAGTAAATGCGTCCTACAGGTGGTGAATGTAGAGAATTTGATTGAAGGCCGGGGGGGAAAGGGACAAATTGAATGGGAAAAAGGGGACAGCAAGGTGGACGCGCAACAAAAAGTCTAAAGGCGTCAAAGTGGCTGCGGTGCGTCCCCTCATGGTGGCTGACGAGCATCAATCATTCCCTACTGGGTGGCTTCAGGGTGGCTCCCTGTCAGGACTGGTGCTTAACTGGGTGTCGCTCTGCAGCGTCTGAGTGCCTGCGAAATGCCTAAACCACCCTAAGCCCGCCTAAACGAGCCTCAGCCCAGCCAAGTCCCGGTGACGCCTTGACACCCCCGGCTTGGCTCCACCGGCCTGACTGTCTTCAGTTCAGCAAATATAATTTCCGATATCTCTCTATGCTGCCAGGTACGTCCCCTGCCCATACAAAATGGCCCGGGACTACGGAGTGTTTCCCATCCACTATCTGTCTCGGCTCTCAATAGCTCCTGGCGATCAGATTTCGTTCCCGGGAGATCCAGCCGATCGCCGTTGATATCAATTTCGAGCAATGGGAAAAGAAGATATCGCCTCTTTCTGGTATCCCTCGATGGTGGGTCTGTTTCAAGATCTGGACTACCCTGAAACTTCGATTACGCTGATATGGGTGGTACAACCATGACCTCGATGATCCAACGACAGGCTGCTCACTTCCATTCTCGCTTGAGCCTGGCGGCAGGGGTGGTGGCGATACATAGCGACATTCCTGACTGATAAACCGCCTATGGTAAAAGAGACCGCCGTCCACGTTTTGGTTTTCACAGGAAAGGGACGCATTTGAAAGCCTACAAACTATTGACCCCCGGCAGACTATCCCTGATCGCCGCCATTATGCTGAGGTTCTAACAAAGTATTTCTTATATACTTACGGGCATTGTGACTTTCATCATTATGGTCCATGCAGACAGACGAGCACATCGAGTTCAAAGATCTTCCCTTTCCCCAGGAGAACGCCCGAGGGAAGATTACTCGAATAGATTCATGGAGGAAGCTTACGTTCACAGTGAGTACCTTGAGAAATCCTCGGCTTGAAATTGACCATTAGTATCTCGAGGAGGCTTGAATCGATGTATTCTATCATCTCTAGTCTCCTGGACAAACGACTACGCATAAGGCTAGTGATTACTTCCTTTTTTGCGATATTTGGGCCCGACAACGAAAGAGAATCTATCGATCTGAATTCCGACCCGATCAATTCACCGAATGCGCGATATTTTGGGTTGTCTAGATCCCTTCATCGTGATCTGCGTTTAGCATTCTCAATCTTTAATAGGTTGTGGCCCGTGTGGATTGAATCCTTGGATCAAAACACTTTCAATCTTCCCGACACAGATTATCTTTTGCATAGCACTCTCATCAAAATTTCGAGCAATCCAAGTTCTTTTCCCCGGCAAAACAGCTCAGGCAGACACAGAACCCGGTTCAGTTATGATCCTTTCCCCTGTGCGATATTCTGGAGTCCTGGTCACAAGGAGACTTTGATACCGCTGGATAGATGATGGAAGGCCGTGTTGATGAAGAGAAATTGGACTGAGAATCATCCATTTTCGGATTCGCGAACGAGAACTGATCTGGTGCCACAATGAGACCGTTAGAAACACGTTTTCGAAGACATCCAGCTAAGAGGCTGTTCCAAAGGGCCATCAGCGCGTCACAATTAGAGAGGCATACGCTCCGTCACTCAGATTGACTACTAGAGTATGATGGACTGGTCCTTGTATAGACTTTGCAGCCTTATGGCCATCTTCACCAACAAATAATGCTGATATTAGCTAGGCTGCCTCACAATGGATGCACTTTCACACTCAATACCATCCTTTCCGCACAATATTCGGAGGCAAGTATGGAACTTGCACAGATGTCGCGAAAGGGATCACTTGACAATGTAGCCATCGCTCCACTCAGAACGTGGTAGAACCGATAGAAGATCGAACGTGCTGGCTCGCCTCCACACCTCAACGCGAAACATTGGGCTACTCGCATCTCGTTGATATATTTCACAGCAACTCCTCAGGAAGGCACAAATATTGCCTGGTGGACTTTCGCTCGCTCAAAGAACCAACCGGGACATTCTCATTTCCTGGGCTGACATGATCAATCGTGCGGGAGTATGTTGTCCGTACTCGTAGGATTCGTTTCAGCACCCGTTTTGCTTGAGCGGTGGGTGACCAGCCTTAGCGACATCGGGCGATTCAGTCCCTAATGAGCAAGGCGAAGGGTCCAAGGTTCTGAGCACAGCTATCGCTGACTGAACTCGTTCGAGGATCCTTCAATCCCAATCGTCGTCATCATCATCGTTCTTCTGTCTGCGACTGCGGATAGCTCCACGAATTGCTTTCCGACGATCTGGTGCTTCCTCGTCATCGTCGCTTCTCTCATCCTCGTGTCCATGGAAGAGCCTCTTGGGTAACACTGTCCATTCCACAAGTACGTCCTCGAGAGCTCTAGTGACATCCATACTGCCCTCTTTACCATCCCAGCACAGCCCCTCAAACCCGGTGACTCTACCTTTGACCGCCCCTTTTACGAAACCAATCACACAAGGCAGCACTCTCACCCCCAGCTTCTCAACCACAAATGGCGCGTCTTTGACATCAATTCTGGCGAAGGAAACATCCGCACTGCTGTATTCTGCATGCTTTTCCGCAATCAGCTCGCAATGAGTGTCCATTGTACTGCATCTCGCGAAGTCAGGATGGAAGAAATGGAGCACTGCCCTCTCGTGCTCAGTCGTGAACGTGAGAGCCTCGTCATCACTCTTCAGCGTGATGTAGACCTTCTTGATTGTGGCAAAGGTGGTCGTCGCGGCAGATACACCCGCCGCATTCTTCAATTCTTGCAGTCTTTGAGCACGATAGGTTGCGGAATCTTCTTCCTCCAGAGACGCTAGAATTGCATCGGCGTCTTCATCCTCTCGATAGTGATCGCTGCTGCTGTCTTTGCTAGCGTTGTTGAATGCCATGGTAGACTCGGGCGAATTCCTGAGATGCGTATCTTCGGAAACTCTTACACCATCGTGTCGACGCCTGGCCTGTCTCTCAACTCAGGTAGTAAGAACCGTATGTTTCTAGAATGCTCTCGTTCACATTTACTAGAAAGAAGATATTGCCGCTGGATTTTCGAAGCAAGAACAGGCCGAGGAGGATTGCACTAGTCGATCGTATGATCCGCCGAAACTGCATCCTTGGCAAAAATGAAGTCTTGGCATGCGCAAGCCCACAATCAAGTCGCCCAAACAATCTGCGACTTGAGATTGACAACTTTTTTGACGGCCAACTCCAATACCAAGTCCCTCCTGCACAACAACAGCAGAGATGGCGCCACCAACTCAGAAGCCTAAAGGTACGAATCGCCCGTTTCCCTGGAAGTTGGAGTGAAAGAGAAAAACAACCACAACTAGACTTTGGCAAGCACTCAATTCGAGCAACGAAAGGAAACTCTTAGGACTCACCTTCTGCCATCCAACCTTATGCTTGGAACAGAAGACTGACGCGCGCACGATCTAGGTGGCTCCTCAAAGCCAAAGAAGTCGAGTGCTAAAGCGAACCAGGCTGCTAAAGCCACCCTCAGAGGCGTACGTTGGACAACGGTGCACCAAAATTCCTTCCTGGAGCAAAGGCATCTCACAATTCATGCAGGTTCACACCGGAAAAGCCCGCAAAATCCGCACATCGACCACCTTCCACAGACCCAAGACGCTCGTTCTCTCCCGATCTCCCAAATATCCGCGCAAGTCCATACCCCATGAGACGAGACTCGACCACCACAAGGTCCTCATCCACCCGTTGAACACCGAGAGCGCGATGAAGAAGATCGAGGAGCACAATACGTTGGTGTTCATCGTGGACACCAAGGCCAACAAGCGACAGATCAAGGATGCTTTGAAGAAGTTGTACGACGTGGACACCGTCAAGATCAACACTTTGATCAGACCCGATGGCACGAAGAAGGCGTTTGCGAGATTAACGTCGGATGTGGATGCGCTGGACATCGCGGCTACGAAGTTGTCGATTGTGTAAAGTGGGAGCCTGCATGGGGAGGGGGTTGTGATGGTTTGTCTGGAAGGGAGAACACAATAACTTGGCATCTACGGATTGCATCGGTATCAAGGCCATGATTCAGCCAAAGGTCCAATCGATCACTCGATATAGAATCTCGAGTTATGATTGACACAAACGATCGGCGTCGCCAAAATAGGAGCAGAAATTCTTCAATTGTTTTCCCGAGATGAAGGTGTTTCCACTTCATGATGGAGGGTTGTCGTTGTTACAAATGAGCAAAGAGCCCTGCCTGGCCGAGCTCAATCCAAGCCTGCTGCCCTACAGGGCAACCCAAACGCATTGTAAACCCGTATTTTCTTTTTGTCTAGCCGGTGACGTTCCATTCTCATGCCATCACCCTTCTCTTTTTATACAATGCACCCTGATGATCGCATTCGTCTCCGATCCGCGGTCGACGAGGCGTCGAGATCATTGATTCGCCCTTAACGTCTCCAGATGTTTCAGAATCACCATATTGGAATCGAACAGACGGTTCACGCAGTTCGCCATACAGGATTCTTCCTTGCTCGACAATTTCCCCGAGGATATCGTGCCGGTGATGCATTTCTTGAAGCACATCTCGGTTAATTCGTGGATTTCTGTAACACGGGAAAAGGCAACACAAGTCAGCGGATTTGTTCAAGATTCAACGGGTGCAGTCGACGCGGGATACGTACGTTTCTGAACCTGGGCTTTTTGCGACTCGCTTTGGAGAAAGCTCTGTAGCTCATGCTGTTCGCGGGGCGTTAGACGCTCGATGTCTTGTGGTTTGATGATGAGTTCGCCGTCGTCCATGTTGAATGTGGCTGCTTGAAGGAATATAGGCCCAAGGGGAGTAAGCTGATTTTGTTGACAACGCAGGTGTATGATGTCGACTGATTTGACGGAAGCTGTACGTACAGATCGCGCCAGACGGGCGAAGACCAAGTCTATTGCACAGCCTCGCCTTGGCGTCAATGGCAATAAGGCTGAGCCTCCTTCCTACAGATGTACGGAGACATTTTGCCTTTTCAATAATCTGCTGACAAAAAGATGCTCATTATCGAGACCCTATCCTCAGCTTGACGCGATAGGACTCAGAACTGCGAAAAGATATGAAACACATAAGTTTGGCCGGACCCGAGTTTCAAGGAAAAAAGCATTTTGCAACCCAATATCAAGCAGCCCGCCATGGACATCTTCCGGCAACTAACCAGGAATGCCAAATACGCTGCAACATATGCATTCTAGGGATTTCGGACACGAGGACCTACTACAAAGGCACAATCTGCAGCGAGGGCGATTTCGATATATGTCAAGGGTGTGGTGCGAGGGGAGCATTTTGCTTGGACGATTCCCACGAGTTGGCCAAACGGACTGTCAGATATGGTAACTTCCTCGGACCTACCATGTGAATTCACAAGGCCGAGGAAAATCTCTTGGAGTTGAGTTGACCTGCTGGCTTTTTGACGCCTTTTCTGCGGCATCCGTCTATCAGCGAGCGTTAGTGTTGAGGAAGGGCCGTATATAGAGGTACATGCCCGGAGAGAGAGAGACTCCAGAATACCAAACAGGAGCGGCACAGATAGTAAGGAGTCCAAGCCGCCGTAGACGGTCTTAACACAAAGGTTAGTGCTAAATTGTAAGTACATCAATCGTGGAATTGTGAGCAGCTCCCGCCGATTTTGGAACGAGGCTGAATAATTCGGCAAAGCTGCCACATACGTCATCGAGGTATTTTTCCCAGCCTGCATGTTTGGACTTCGCAGCCTTGCGTGCCACTCACTTCTCTGTGGAGCTCCAGGTATAACTCATCCACCTCCACCGCCACCAGCGCCTCCCTTCGCTGCGAACCGTTTATAATACAAGCATACCGACAGGCACTCACCTATTTCAGTCTTTTGAGCAATCAAAGTCGCCTATTCTGCTGATTTCCAACTCTTGCACTCCTTTCGAAACAATGCCTCCAGTTCGCTCTCGCGCTCACAAAAAGCCGCCTCCAGCGGGGTTTGAAGACATAGAAGACACCCTGCTCGAATACGCGAACAAGATGCGCGACGCGCAAAACGCCTCGCACGAAGGAAAAAAGAAGCACGAGGCCCTGTGGCCTATATTCCAGATCTCCCATGCCCGCTCTCGATACGTCTACGACCTATACTACAAGAGAGAGGCCATATCGAAGCAGTTGTACGAGTGGCTAATCAAGAACGGATACGCGGACGGAGCATTGATCGCAAAGTGGAAGAAGCAGGGGTACGAGAAGTTGTGTTGTCTGCGGTGCGTGCAGACCAAGGAGACGAATTTCCAGTCAACCTGCATTTGTCGCGTGCCGAAGGCGACGTTGAAGAAGGACGGCGAGGCAGGCGAAGGAGGCGGTGGGATCCAGTGTGTGAGTTGCGGGTGCAGAGGGTGTGCAAGCAGTGATTGAGCTGGAATTCTTGGAGCGGTGGTGACGACGAACGGTTGCCCGTGTCTAGAATTTCTTGGGAACGACCATTTCACGACATTGCGAGTGCTGGGTTTAGCAACGTCTGGAGACCCTAGCATACGAAGGAGGCATCTTCAATCGTTCACCGATCCGGGCGACCCTTACGATCAGTGATTATGTCCCTGTGATGGGGCCCGTCAAAATGCCTGAGATGATGAAGCGCGAATGATTGATGAACATCTTCCCACGCCGCTCGACCTTTGCTTGCCCGCCAATGGTGAGGTCAGGGGTCCGGGGGCGGATGACACAGTCATCTACAAGTATGATTACAAGTTCACGACGAGACAAGTGGAAGGTTGGGTTCTCCACCCACTACTATGGGGGGGAATGACTCCGTAAAGGTGTGACACTTCAAGCGGATTGCCCGGCGTTTCCGGGGTGTGCTAGCTGGCAGGGAGGCAGGGAGGCAGGCAGGCACGAAGGCACGAAGGCATGGCGCGATGCTTTCAAGGCCTTTTTCAACCGCGTCTGCGGGATTAAAAGACCAAAGTGGCTATGTCATAAGGACTTTGAGAAAGTTCTTTGGTGGACTTGTGTCAGTTGCTTAAGAAGATCATGGCATTGGTTGTTTTGCTTCAGAAACGAAACCTCAGAGAAGTGACATTTCCCTACAAAACAAAAAAGCTTCGCTAGGTATGAAGGTATGTGTCCAGCACCATCAGCCATTCATAACAAAAGAGATCCATCTCAAAAGAATGACCCGTCTTTAGTTTCCATACTTTCCAAATCTGCTCCGTGATACGATTCTTCAGAGATACCTCCGTGCCAGTAGACCAGTAGACAGGTGAACCAACCCAAACCGACAAATCCATGTCGTCCCGACCCGAGTCGCCTCATGAAGATCATACCATGGTCTTTGTAACAAGTACATTGATCCAGCCTCTTGGACTGATTTAGTTTCGTCTAAATGTCATGTGACGCTCCCCTCAGAATGAGTCATCCTCGAGACGTGAGGTCAAGCTTCAGCACCCTTCTCAAATCATCCTCCAGTTGTTGCGCACTAGGCTTAGATCGATGAATCGGCATCTGCGGCTGGCTTGTGTATGGCCCTGTAGTATACTGCGGTTGTTGTCGGGGTGTGTGTTTTCGCGAAGATATCGGTGGTGTTATTGCACTATCTGACGACAATTCGGCGTACTCGGGTTCACTCTGTGCTCCATAAACATGTCTAAGCCGTGAAGAGTTCGTTCGTTTGGGAGTATGCATCTGGACAGCGGGGAATGGGTAACCTGCTGGAGTGAAACTCTGCGGAGAATGATATGCAGCATTTTCCTGCATGTACAGTGGTGTGCCAGGGTTTGAGCTGGAGCGAACCTGGCCCTGTATGAAGGGAGGACTCGTGGAATATGGGGCCCTGGCATTGAAAGGATTGGTGGTGTTGATGACAGAATCATTGTCGATGCCGTTTTCTCGATTGCTCGACTTCATCAGTAACTTCTTCAACGCCTCCGATTTTGCTTTCCGCTCATTCTCGTCCATGGTTCTACCCCCTGCCGAAGTCGACTTTGTGGACCGCAAAGCCTCAATGCGATCTTTGTAGGGTGTAGCGAATGCAGATCCATCTTCTCCAGGGTTGCCACCTTCCAGCTCGAAGGGGAACATGGGATCTCCCTCTTTGGGTGCTGGTGACTGGGAAGTGGGGCTTCCATTCGCGACCGAGAGATTACCAGAACGTGTAGCAGGGCTCTCACCCCGAGGAGTGGCTCTCGCCTGTCGAGCGGCCTCGAAGAGGAAATCACATGGAGTGGATTCTCGCTTGCTGGGCGATTCATCACCTGGTGTGGCTGAGGAGTCATGGGAGCTGGTGTATGCTGAGTTGGGAGGCTGTGGCAACGCAGAGCTCACCGTGGGTAGGGATTTTGAGTAGAAGCTTGGAAAAGGGAGAGCCGAAGGGGCCGGGGATTGCTGGAAAGCAGATCCGGCGTAGGCGGCTGGTTTCATTGGTGTGGGTGTTGCTTTTGTCTTTTCCGATTGAATGCCATGTTTCCCTTCTATTTGTGACTTGTTATTGACCTGTGCAGGTTTGCGATTGGGGCCTTTATTGTTGTTCTTTGTTGTACTTCCCATAGTGGGGGAGGGGTTGCGTTGAGTTCCCGCAACTGAGGCAGCAGGAGCTGGAGCACCGTCGATAGCGTCTGACAGTCGGAGCTTCCTCCCTGAACGGCGAGGGCCTCGTGGGGCTTGATGTAGCGGAGTCGCAGCCACCGCAGACATTGTTGCTTGCGTGGTAATGGGCCTGATGAAATCGGCAGCCCAGGGCCTGAGAATATAAGGTACAATGAAATGCAGAACGCTCAGATATACGGATAGTGAACAGCACAAGAGGACAAAGAGACCGCTGAGGGCGTCGGTGGGCGTCTATCTTGAGCGTTTATGGTGTGGCGAAGCGTATGGTCTCAGGGTAGGTCGTCGTGGTTGGTGTGAGATGTGGTTGAGGTTTGAAGTGTAAGTGTTCATTGTCTGAACGTACTGTGGTTTCTGAGGCGCGCGGGACCAAGTCTATCGCTGAGACAGAAAGTTGGTCTGAAATGAGATCAATACTTGTACTGATAGAAATGAAGATACAGATGAACAAGATCGGTGAATCACGGAGGGAAAGGTGAATGGTGAAGGGGGCAGCGAAAGCAAGTAAGTTTGAGTGACGCAGGAGCCTGCGGCAAGAGGGAAGAGGGAAGGAAGACAACAAATTAGACCAGGCGTGAAAGGCGCCGACCCCCAACCCTAGGCAGGGCAGTGCCACCCATGCGGTGCGGCTGGGCGGCGAGGGGCGCGCCAAAGGACCTGCGAGCCTGTACTTGACCCAATAAGGAGGCACCTGGAACGACCCTGTGATGGACCACGGGCTGCACGGAGCATGCATTCTCGCCACCTAGTCGCCAGCCACCTGGCTCGTTGGGCAGTCAGCCAGGGTCCCAAGGCTGCAAGGCGGTTCTGACCAATCATGGTCCGGGAATCGTCCGCTGCTATTATTCATTTCAGCCTTGTCACTTGTTCTTCCACCAACTCCGCAGTTTGACCTTGAGTGCCTTTCCCACCACCACAACTTCATCAAGCCAACCTCCTCACCAGCACTCAGACCAGCATCATAACTCAGTTTCCAAACCTGGTTCGGCCAGATCAAGCCACATCCTCCCCCCATCACCTCCTCCAACCTTCCTCGCCGTCCACTGTCATCCCCGCACTTTCCACCCTGTGGTAGAGAAGGCCACAACACTCTAAGATATCTAAATGGCGGACGTTGAGATGGCTGATGCTGCTACGCCTTCCGACTCTAAAGCCAAAGCCCCTGTCAAAGCCTCGAAATCTGGAGCCGCCGAGAGTGGTGAGGCCAAGAAGAGATTTGAAGTCAAGAAGGTGGATTGGATCACACCCGTTTCCCTCAACCGTCATGCTGATACATCTTAGTGGAATGCGGTCGCTCTGTGGGCCTGGGACATTGTTGTCGACAACTGCGCCATCTGCAGAAACCATATTATGGATCTCTGTAAGCGCATGGCTCTGACCTAAGAATCATTGGCCCTCTGCTAATAATACTCTAGGCATTGAATGCCAGGCAAACCAAGGCGCAGCTACGACCGAGGAATGCACGGTAGCATGGGGAATTTGCAATGTAAGGCGACGAGGCGTGATTATTTGAACAACCGCTGACGGGGCATTTAGCACGCTTTCCACTTCCACTGCATCTCCCGCTGGCTGAAGACTCGGCAAGTGTGTCCGTTGGACAACCGAGACTGGGAATTCCAGAAATACGGCCGATAGATGAGGAAACGAGCAAAGCTTTCAAGCTTCTCCTGGAGATTCTTGGAGGATAAGAAGAATACAACACCTGGCCATGTCGGTGCGGAGGTATGCACGCAGCTGCAAGGGGACACTAAGGCAATAGAATCGTTCAGGCAGATGTGGACAGGCGTGCGATGCCCTGAGAGCGCGGCATAGCTTGCGCCGGCACAGAGTTATAATGACATCGATGGCCAAGACCATTGACGATTAAAGACGAGGAAATGATGAATGATGGCCATCCATGGATCCAAGCACAGGCGACAGAGAAGGGAATCAAGCCAGGAATGGCACGAAGACATTGTGACTCATTAGATTTAGCCACGGAATATCCGCACATGTTCTCATCTTGCCTTTGTTCCAACCAGAATTCCCCCTGGCGGCAATACGGTTTGGGAACCAAGCCAGGGTTGAGGATGTTGATTGTAGACCGGCCAAGGAGGAACGACAAGAAGCATAGCAAGAAGGCTCCCAGCCAAACCAATCCACATGGTCACATAGATGTCTTGTTGAATGAAGCCCGTAATCAAAGCCAGAATCTGCAAGTATGTGAATCAGCCGCCAGCGGAAGGTGACAGTCGGGTCCGAGACAGCCTTACGGAAGAGATGGTTAGGACGGCAGAGGAGATTCTCTCTGCAAGCCGCTGACCGTCGAAATCCTGGTTGCAACGAGTCAGAATCGGGATACGCGGGTTCGGATGAGCTGAGAGAGGGGGAGGAAGGTGTATGGAGTATAGGCTGATCATTGCGGAACATACTATTTGGCCTTCAAAGAGGTCTTGCAGCTGAGAAATTACAGCGTCCATGGGCAACGGTTGTGGTCTGTCTCGGGGATATGACGGATTAGATCCAGTCGTTGGTGAACGTTCTGCTTTGATTTGACTGATTGATGATAGAAGTTCGAGGACTCCGTTGTTGTGGTGTGAGCAAGGCAAAAGACCACAGGTGGCCTTGAGTCGCAATACTTGGCTTCGAAACAAGCTCCGGAACTGCCAGGTTTATGGACCCCTCACGGGCGTGTCTTCCAGGTTCTCCAAGCCCAAACCAGACACGATCTCGGCTAGTTTTGGTTAGGGGAAGGGGGGGAAGGGGTGCCAGGGGGAAGGGAGATCGCGGCGATTGACCGTGAAGGAATTCTGTTTTTTAGTGGCTGTTCCATGGGCCACGGGCGAATCCGAGCAGAAAGCCCGCCGGCTCGATGGGCAACAAAAAAATACCTCTCGCTAAACTTTATGGGGGGTCACGCCCACCGCGGCGCACAATGCCCAAGTGCCCACTAATCCTTGTGCTTTGCTGACTCTTGAAGGTCCTTTGGTTGGTGAGCCTTTGAGTTCCGTCTACCCATCAGCCCCTGTGCCATGCCGCCCTCTCCGGGGCTTGCTTGCAGCCTGCATGTACAAATACCCAGTACATGGGACGGAGGGCCTACTGGCGAGCGGGCGGTGAGGTTCACACTAATAAATTTTTACTTCTCCTACCCGAGTCAGCGTCTCTTTCTCTCGTCACCTTTGGCCTCTTCCCCTCCAGTGACATCGAAATTGCATAGTAGCAACCCAACTCTCTCCCCACCTTTTTGCACACTTTTTTTTCCTCCTTCCTCGTCTTTATATCGTCCTTGAACTCCGTCGGACACCTCCATCCTCCATTACTGCGTACTGCAGAAATCGGCTCTCTGACATAACGCCCTCCTTTCACACCTCCGTTTAACCCTCTCTCCCTCCATTCATCCACCCACCCATCCACTCCCGACCTCGACTCCTTGGACTGGCCGATCTGTCTGTCCGAGTCTTTGTGTCCCTCTACTCGCCCAGAATCCCATACCTCGAGCACCGAAAAGCATAGGAAGGCTGTTCTGCAGTCTTTCCTATCATTGCTGCGAACCTTCCACCCTGGCGCTCGATAGCGACGTTAACGCCCCTACAGCCTTCAAGTTGGCGGGCTCTACAGTCTTCTCCTCCTTCATTCGCCCTTTGCTAGGCACTTCCTGCATGGTCTTCACCGGCGCTACAACCCGACCCCCGTAACTGGCCCTTCGGAGCTTCAACACAGTCCCTGGCCGTACCTGGCCTGGGGACCTACCACACTTGATTATTTGAAGAGGGAGACGGGTCTGGCTGTTCGGATACCTTGAAGCACCTTATTCTCTGGTTGGCGACTCCCTCGCCATCACATCCCACAAAGTGGCATAATTAGCGTATTAGCAGCACTGGGTACAGTGCAAGCAAGGCCGTTGCAGTCTTTGTCAGGAGGAAATTTCGCTCAAAATGTCAGCCTCTGATTCATCGCCTGAAGAAAAGATGGACAGCCGCTATAGCACTCCAGCCCCAGAGCTGGACGACCACCGAAGCAATTTGGGTGTCCATCCCGCACATGTTGCCCTGGCCCTGCCCACGGTTGAGCTACAAGTTCCCACGCCAAGGCCAAGCGCTATCGAAGAACGGGATCTGATATCTGTTGACAATGCACTGCTGAAGACACGCGAACAGGAGAGGCACCCCATCACTCGAGACTTTGAGAACGCCATCGAAGATGATGACAAGAGCGATGTGGAATTCGATGGTCCACAAAGCAGTCTCAGACGCCCATCCCTTCATACGAGGAGATTTACGAACAATCGGGAGGGTCGTACTCGTCTTCCAAGAAATGACCGTTCACGGGAGAGCTCGTCCTCCCGATCAACGTCACCAGCCAACTCCATTGAAGCCTTCGCCGAGCCACGTCGACGACAACGCGCCAACACTGCTGAAAGCCATGCGTCCTCAGCCCTAGAGGCTTTCCGTAATCGCGCCTACTCGAATGGCACCAACCAAAGACGCCCAACCCTGAGTAACATCAGCATTCCTCCTGCTCTTACCCAGCGGACGGACAAGGACCTCAGCGAGGATGTGACCTTCCCCACCGACGAGGAACCTGGAAAGACATATAAGATTGATTTTGAGGAACTCGAGGAATTTGTCGCTCTCTGTGCACAAGGCAAGATTCCGGACGACCAGGTAACCGAGGCTTCGACTGACAGCCGGGCCTTTGTGGATCTCCGGAACCAACATGGCGGCCACGCCGAAGCACCCAATGCCATCCTCAACGGCGAATGTTTTTATGAGAAACCGATTACGCAGCACGATTCGAACAACGGTCAATCCTCATCGGAAGAGGAGGTCATAATCAGACCAAGGCATGCTCCTCCAGAGCCCATCGACAGATTCTTCTTGTTTACCTCTGAATTGACCCAAGGCCAACGTGCCAAGAAATTGGGTGATTTGGTTGCCGATGGTACCACGTTCCGTGATCTTTTCGAGGTCGGACCTGATGGTGGTGTTTGGTGGCTAGACGTTCTCAACCCCACCAGAGCCGAGCTCGCTGTCCTTTGCAGGGCCTTCAAGATCCATCGCCTCACCCAGGAAGATATCGAGACCCAAGAGGCTCGCGAGAAGGTGGAGTTGTTTTCACAGTACTACTTTGTCTGTTTCAGGTCATTCAACATGGTCCGGGGCCACGAAGACTTTCTCGATCCAATTCACGTCTATATCGTCGTCTGCGGTGATGGAGTTCTGAGCTTCAGCTACAGCCCACACCCACACCCGAAGAACGTGCGCAAGCGCATCGCCAAGCTTGGTGACTTCCTTTCCCTTGGTCCGGATTACATCTGTTACGCCATGATTGACGATATTGTTGACTCCTTTGCGCCCATCATTCGCGATGCGGAGCAAGAATCCGAGAACATTGAGGACCAAGTATTTATCGCTCGGGAGGACGACTTCTTGGCTCTTCTGCGGCAGATTGGTGAATGCCGTAAGCGCGTTCTTAACATGATGCGGTTGTTGGGTGGCAAGGCAGACGTCATCAAGGGTTTTGCAAAGCGCTGCAACGACCAATACCAGATGACGCCTCGTGGTGATATTGGACTGTACCTGGGCGATATCCAAGATCACGTCGTGACGATGATGTCGAACTTGGGGCACGTGGAGAAGATGCTCTCCCGCTCGCACGCAAATTACCTAGCCCAGCTCAATGTGGACAACATCTTAAAGGGCAACCACACCAACAAGAATTTGGCAAAGATTACGGTTTTGGCGACCATCCTAGTGCCCATGAACCTCATCACAGGTCTCTTTGGCATGAACGTCAATGTCCCTGGCAAAAATACCGAGGGTCTGTATTGGTTCTTTGGCATCCTTGGGGGTATCGGCGTGTTTGTTATGATGTGTCTGCTTCTTGCAAGAAGACTACGGGCCATCTAACAGAAGGCGGACGGAAATGACCATCTTTGCAATCCTGTTTTATGTATTCTTCTCATGTCTGTTTCGTCTCGTTTTGTCCTTTTGGTCAATTCATCTGTTGCTTTATGTTGGTCTTTCTCTGTCTGAGATGATGGGCAGTGTGACTGTGGGGCGATGGCAATGCCCCTTTCGCGCAACAGAAACTACCATCATCAGAGAGCTCTAGAGTATGTCAGGACAGCAGTGGGTTGGTATCTTGATGTCGCGACGCGATGTTTGAGTTGGGATAGAGTTGTGCATAGAGTTTATGGCTTGTGAATTCATCAAAGTTTCCCATGACATTGAACAAAGCCGGACAGCTTGCATTTTTGTCGAATCTCTGGTCTGGGTCGTGGCGAATCCCTTGTGCTTTGGCAGCAGCACATCTGATGCTCGTACTAGTTTCTGCTGTCAATGACCGCTTGGTCAAATTTCATGTCGTTCAGGAGTATTTACTGTTCCGTTGCCAAATTGAATGCAAACCTATGTTCAAGATCTTTGGATAACCGGTCAATACGGCAGGGAGCCCTCCGGTTTAGGCCTTGGTGTCTGTGATAATACCCATTCCGACACCAGTGAGGTTGATTTACGCTTTCCTCCACTCGGCACTAAGAGTCTGAATATGGAGAGGTTCGGTTGGATCTAAAGGGGCTGGACTGAGCCTCACGGCGCAGCATTCTCCTACAAATCTCCTCTGGTGAGTGATGGACTTCCAGGACCAATACGGGCGCAGAGGCAGAGTCGACAAGCAACCACGGTTGGGCACCCCAATACAAGCCGCAGATGCATGCGTAGGGCCCATGGTCATACTAAAAGGCCCTTTATAACGTGTCATAAATGATAAGGCGCGAGGAGCTGACGAGCCCCTTGGTCGCTTTCAGTCCTTCAAGCGATCAGGTTCGTGAACTAGTAAATCTACCGGTTCAATCAGAGAACACCCTATATCGTACTTACTTGTTCATTAGGTTAGCTTGCTTCAGAGGCTGCCGTTTTCGAAACCCAACAGATATGAAGTTCGAGGAGTTCATGAAAGATGAGGGGGAAGACTATCTCAACGCGACGCGAGCAATCTATGTAAGAAGAGCTGACGAGTAACAATAGGATGGTACGCCTTCAGTTTCATGGGGTAAGGTTGAATCTCGTCAGCAGCGAGAACAATGGTTGCAGGACCTCGAAGTTCAACCCACCGCTGGCGTTGTTTACGGCCCGAGGCTGTTGATCCTTCCCTGGGCGAGTTCGGCATCAGGCACTGGCTTCCCCTTTGGAGGACGAAAACCTATTCGACAGAGTTTCTGCAGTGTTTGCGCTGCCCGGGAGTTGTCCTCTTGTTCTTTGCTCGCAGGCAAGGAATTCCCCTTAACATCTTCGAGGGCATGGGCCAGGGTCACATGAGTGAAATACCTAGGCCTGCCTTATATTTCAAGTGAGTTATAGGAATGATATGCCAAATTCCTGATCGTGGTGACTACTTCACTTGTATGGGACTCACGTATGACGCTCAAAAACAACTCACACAGGGGATTTTGGGCTTGAGGTGCGCAAGCACTGAGAACCGCGTTTGGCGTGTTGAATGGCCTTTATCCGTACAGAGAACAACCACTCCTTCTCCCGACTCTTCTATATTGGCGTTGTGCCAATATATATCGGAGGCAGCTTGACGTCTGCGCCAAAACATCAAGGCGGCTCAATCTGACTTTGGCCTATCGGACGATTTTCTCTATCACGAGCGAAACTCTGAGGATCCAGGGACTACCGGTCGGGGACATGCAGGACCTGACTGCCGAGCCCGGTACGAGTTATCAATCGGGCAGCACGCTGTGATGACAAGTGGCCCCTCTACTTTCGTGATTGATCTCGGAGCAGCTTGTCGTGAAGGGCTCGAGAAGGTATCCTGAAAACCTAGCGCAATGAACCTACTGCTTCAGCTTCGGCGGACTTTCTTCGAATTCACGGAGCTTATTAACGTCGAAATGCAAGGAGTACCTGCACAATCGGGAACGTCTCATGGGTCGGGTGGTGAATCATCTATAACTGGTAGGGGTAAGCTCTGTTCTTGGAATGTGTTACTGACATGGATCACAGACCTACAACTCTTGGTTGGAGGTCTTGCAGAGGGCCCTGGCAATAGAGGCCAAGAAGGATACCGAGATTATACAGGCCCTGATGAAAAGTATAGTTGTGTTGACCATGCTGCTTTTGCCAGCCACAGTACGTGCGGGTGAGTCGTACATATCACAGACTGATATTTTACCACCCACTGTTGTACAAAATTGACTCGACCATTGGAGAAAGGAATGATATGGAAAGACGACGAGACAAAAAGCAAATGTGCCTAAAGGGAGGAACGAAAAGGTCCCAAAGTTCCAAGTGGAGTCGACAGCAACACTGGGACGACCCTCTGGTCTGATCCGCGCACCATGCGTCTATCAATTTGGCACCAAACTACTGAATGATACGAATTTAGCATACGCGGTTATCACTTCGTCTAACTTCGAGCCAGACGCCCACAATTTTCCTGACGGTCCTATATCATGCCTCAACAAGCACCGCCTTGGTCATAGATGTATTACGGGGGCACAGGGGCGCGGCGCTAGGAGTACACCTAGCTTTCTTACTCTAGCTATGTTGTCAAAGGTCAAAATCCCCATTTGGTAGCGATAGCTATCACAGTGGATAGCAGAGAGTGACAATCTTCGAGCTTTCACCAGAGACAGGCTCGATGAAAGAAAGAAAGAAAGGGGTTGAACCAAGCAACAATACGGAGCGTCTCCGTAGTGTTCAAGGAAGCACAGCAACAATCCTTCTGCCCCAGCGCAACTGATTCACATTTCATATAGGCTCCGAGGCTGGATCCAGGAGTATTCGGGGCATTCTGAAGCAGGATGAGTGCCGGTGTAGCGGTAGCCAATCTCCCCAAGGCTCCCATGGCCAGCTCTCAGGGATATTGACCGAGATTGAAGACCAGGTCGCACCACCTTTGTTGTTTTTACCAACCTTCTTGTTCCGATTTGTTTGGTAGTTTCGGAACGAGGTCTCCCCGTTTCCTGGCATTCGTCTTGTCTGCTACATTTTAGAGCCTTGTCCCTTCAGTCTCTGTTGCGTTCCCTCGTTTCCTCGGTCGGATATATCCTATGTTCTTTCTCTCGGGGCGCTGCTGCTTTCGCTCTCCGTGCTTGGGATTCCTCTGGTTGCTTGCGCTTTCTTCGGAGCCTGTCTTCTCTCTGTATTGTGTCCTTTCCTCCCTCCCCTTCCTCCTCCTCCTCCTCCTCCTTCTTGTTGTTCTTGTTGTTGCCGCTGCTGTGGTTTTTGCGCTTGGTTTCTTTGGATGGCAGTGTCCCTTGACAAGGCGGGTTCTGCCCATTATTTTCGTGCTTTTGGCATTTTCCAGAGTGTCGTCTCAAGCACCACGTATAGTAAATTTGATTACGAGAGGTACATATTTGACAATCTCCCACTGTAGTGCTCGCAGAAGTTGAACGGCTTTTCCACTTGGGCGCTCATGTTCCTGGTGGTCTCCCCCCTTTTTTGAAACATATTGCAGTATTAGATTGTGACATCAAACCTGATTTGTAAGTCAATAATGTTGCCTACTTGACTGAACCAAGACCTCAGCAATCTCTTATATGTGCTTATAAACACATCATACCCAGGCATAGATCAGGTTATGTTGGCGTGCTGGCGTCGCTAGAGGAGGCATCTTCCCAAATAAATAGTGCTAGCCACCGATCCAAGTCCAACTGATTGGTCTCACCAGCGACGGCGACCTTCCGCCCCATTGATTCCCATCGATTTGCACTCCAGACCTTCAGTCGCAGAGCATCGAGTCGTTGCTGAGTGGGGTCATCGGAATTAGCAAATTGTGAAAAGCTAGATTGGATCAAGGCGCGCAGCCGAGGAGATTCAGGATAGTTGGGACATTGTGTCAGGTCTTGGAGTCCGATGGCGCAGGGATGAAAGATGTTGAAAGTGCTTGCAGCTCCATCTGTATGGCCCAAGCTCGAGCTCTATCATTCCCAGTTTAATTTCGCCCACGTAACTCATGTAGACCTCTAATGCCTTAGATCGCGACTCCTGCGGCCAATGCCTGGAATGGAGATATGGCTGGTTCAGGATGAAAGTGAGCTTATAGCAGATTGCTTTTAACTGACTTATTCGCATACTTTGAGCACAATGTCCGTCGGCGAACGCCAAAGCTTACTATATGATTCTCAAGACGTAGGTAGAGAGCTTCAAACACTCTCTACCTCCTGCTTCTGCGAGAAAGCTAGGCTCTGAACCAAACAGTGTACCATCCGTGTTCTGATTCTGGGGGCTCAAATCGTCTATGAAGCTTGGTCCCAAGATTATTTGGGCTATCAGCCAGGTGAGGATGGTTGGGCGGGGTGACCTTCACTGCCCATCGTGCTGTCCGAATAGCCGCCTCGAGATCTTCCATCTTTTCTGTCCGCTCGAATTGGCTCCTCAACTTGCTCCCAAGATTATATAGGCAGCCATCCCGACCTGGTAGGGAGACTGAATAATATCGGGTACGAGCTTCAGAGCCGATTCGAGCAGACGGGAAGGATGGAAGATCTCGACGAGGCTATTCAAATATTACGAGAAGCGGTGGAGGTCACCCCGCCCGACCGTCCCAGGGCGCCGTCTTCAGCGTCTTGCGAGCTCCCTGCGCATGAAGGGATTTACGTGGCTGCTTGCCAAATAATCAAACGACAGAGCGACCTGGCTGATAAAAACGAAGGAGACCAGGAGTGTTACCTTTTGCTTCGTGCCCGCCAAGCCCCATTTCCTATAGCCGCTCAGTTTTGCTCCTACAGCATCTTAGCCAGTTTTTAGACGATTATCGGGCCCCCAACCCCTTTAAATGGCAGCGTGATGATGGGTCTCGAAAGGCAGCACGAATGAGGCGAGTCCGACACCAATCCACATGGCGGCAGCGACGTATATCGGCACGGTAGTGAAGTTGGTGTAGGTGCCGATCAGAGCGGCGCAGAGACCGCCGATGCGCTGCAGCGTGGAGGCGAGACCGCATGCCAGTCCTCGATGGGGTGCTGGAAATGACTCGGGAGTATAGGCAAATAGGATGCCGTATTCTTTGGGTGCGTTGTTGGTTAGCCATGTGCAGCCAAAAAAAAAATAAAAAAAAATTGGAAAGAGTATGCCAAAAGACTTGGCCGAGACAATGCAAGAGCAGAAGGAGCCTAACCAAAATTTCCCACGAATCCGGACACACAAGTGAAAGCCAAGCTGGCCGCGGGCGACCTAGCCGCCGTGTAAGCGAAGAGCAAGGCACCCGTAGCGACGGATGAGATGCCCATAATGTACCGTCGGCCAAGGCGTGTTTGGATGAGCATGGCTGCCAACGGTGGTGCGGCCATTCCAACAGCCGAAGTGATGCAGTAGTTGCGGTACGTGGTGTCCAGAGAGGAGTAGGAGTTGTCGACAAACTTCTGGGAGAGGTAGGTGGGTAGGAAGTTGAAGTAGAGCGGGTACGCGATGCCGATGGTGAGCCAGATGAGCCAGATGATAGTAGTGTGTTGGCCGAGTTTCCTGGTGGCAAACAGGCTTCGGATGTTGGCGGTCTTGAAGTCGGCGAGATTCTCCCTCAGGATCTGCTTCCTTGTGAGGCCTTTGCGACCATCCGTGGTTTGGCTGACAATGCCGAGACTGTGGTCGATTTGCTGAAGCATGGCTAGCGTCAGAGGCTCTGGCTTGCCATTGAAGCGCGCCACGTAGTTGACGGCTTCAACGGCCTCGGCGTCACGATTCTTCGACAGAAGATAGCGCGGAGATTCGGGAATCTTGAATAAGAGCATGCGGAGGAACACGAAAGCAACTGTGATGGCGCCAAGAGTGAACATGATATATCTCCTATAATTGGGCGGTCAGTGGTGGCGGCGACCCAAGCAAAAGGAAGGATCAGGGAGCATACCATCCCATGTTTTCCCCTCTGGCGCATGTCGCGGGCGTCGCCTCAGCTGAACAAGTATAGCTGGCGATGAAGCCCCAGCCGACCAGAGACACGACAAGCTGGCCAAAGAGCCACCATACTGCCAGAGCGGTCAAGAGGTATTGATGTGATCCTGGCAGGTACTCGAGGAAGAGCATATTGTCGACAGGTACGTTCCCCCCTGCGGCGGTTCCGATGATGGACCAGATGACGCAGAAGCCCACGAAATGGTTTATGCTACCGACCGCCAGCGCAAAAACACCGCCAAACAGAACGGTCATGTTGAAGGCAGGTTTTCGCCCCATGAAATCGGAAGAGATGCCCCAGAAAGACGCACCAACGATCAACCCTGCATAGAAGGCGATAGAGCTGAAGGTGACGCGACTTACATCAGAGAATTCGCGCACTATGACGGGCTGGATGGTGCCGATCCCTTGGGTCCAGCTGGAAATGTCCATCAGTAAGGCTGCTTTTGGGGAAATGACAGGTTCTAGACTCACAAGTTGTCGACCATTCCAGCGATACCGCAGACGGTGAACAAACCCCATTGGAACCGACCCATTCCAATCTGTTCCATACACTGGCCAACAAGCTCGGACTTGAGACGGTAGGAATCCGTAATTGAGCTGCCGAAGAACACTTGATTTGCAGGATCGTCCTCGATTTTGTCGATTGTCCCATTGGCATAAGAGCCATTGCCAGATTGCACTGGCACAATCGGCACGTCGGTGGACTCGTCCAGGGTCTTCTCGTCGAACATTGTGAAGCCTGGTTCCAAGAAAGCGTGAGGCAATGTCCAAGGTTGTACTGGGTATCTGCAGAGCTTAGAGTCGCGTGCCGTGCTGATGTGTAGATACTCAGACAGGTAAATATAATCAACGTCCAGGAAGGGGGCGGCTATAGTACCGTGAGAGCGTATGATAAAAGACAGACTTGTCGTTGGTTGAGCAACCAGTCAATATGACTTCCCCGCTCCCGCCTTGCTCCCTGGAGCTTGTACTCGTATCGACGGCCTAGGCACGGCGGATAACGATGCACGAATGTAATCTTTGGCGGGCCTCAGTGACAACAGCCGGTCCGCCCTGAAGTAGTTTGGTATAGCGCCGACCCTTCCAGGATACGAGCAAGATGGTCTTTGTCGACCTATCAGAGACTGGATCACAACGCCATGAGAAATTGCTCCCGCTCGGGTTTGTCGGGGTTCTCGGTGCGTTTTTCTGCTATCGTAACATACCAGCCTGGGGAAATAGCTCCTTGAGTTGAATCGGCCAGACCGATTTCGCGAGCTGTTCAGCAGGAGACACTTTGTTTGCCCCGAAAGTTATGTCACCGCGACGGTACAATGATTGTTTCGGATGGTGTCGGAGGACGCTGCATGGTTGGCAGATTTCTAGGGAAGGACAGAGCCCATGGAAATTTTCCTATGGCCTCTGTACCATTCTGCTTCAGTAGGCCTTGCCCATTGACCCCGATCGAGCATTGAAGACGTTATTGCAGGTGATGTGAATTGAGATGGAACCTCGAATAAGGATTGGGAATCGAGAGGGTGCTGAGGAGCCGTTAAGTACGCGATGGTCATGAGAGAAACGCGTTTCCGGTTTACTTTCCCTTCACGATATCAACCAGATAACCTCGTACATAGCTCTGTAAACATCCAAGACACTTACATACTCCCGTCGCCTTCCATATCTACATATTTTCTGGTTAGTCTGCTGAGGCTAATTTGCCCCTGCGAAGAGTTTTTGAGCGCGATAGCTGGCGGTGTCCGCTGTAAAGGCGTCTGGCCTACAGTCAAGCATCTCAAGAATCATTTATCCTAGAGGCCCGAATAGTCGCGGCTAAAAACCCATGTATGAAAAGCAAAGATACATAAGTGTGGCATAGGATATTGGGTGCCGGCTGAGGGTGGAAAATTTGCCGAGCTGCTTATTTCTTCATACGACAGACTACGACACGGTAGCACTTGGTTCCCTATGCGTCCTTCTTGAATCGACTCGGAACAACGCCACGGCAATGAGCCGTGAACATGATGTGGTAGCCGATGTACAGAAGATCACTCAGCGTTTCCCAGGAAGCGAAGTTGACTGGACGGACGACCAGTGACAGTTGGAAGACTGGAGTGAATACTTTCACCGGGTATAACTGAAGGCCTAGGTAGGATTTCCGGAACGTGGGAAGGTGTCGACGCGCAGCCAAAGGTTTATGACCCGTTACAATCTGGGGGAGAAAGGAAAAACCGCCGCAGCACTCAAGTCGCTGACGCAGGAGAACTACGGACGAAGGCGCACCTTCTAGATAAGATGGGAGGTTCGCAGAGGTCACGAAGAGCTTCTCTGGTCAGCGAGCAGATCGGTAAACGTTAAGCTCTGAAGCTGCGAAGTGCCATTGTTTCCGCCTGTGTGCCAAATATCGAATACCAGCCCACGAGGCTAGCCGTCTGATAGACAGCTGCACAGAGCGACTTGCGATCCTGTAACTTGCTCAGATCGACCGAGCACAGGCCAAAACTACCATCACGACTATTTGATCGGGACGACATCGTCGAGAATGGGGTTGACAGGAAACGTTCAGGAATGGCTCTCTAGACACAGGCCAAATGTCTATATAAACGGTAAAGGAATCGCTGAAGGAACAGATAAGTATATGTATACGCGAAGAGAGACAAATGCTCTTTATCAACTTGACAGTCCTCAGCCTTACAGCGCCCCACCAAAATGCGAGTTCTGGTGCCGTCTGTTTAATCGTAAAGGGGGTCTTCCAGGTTCTGTGCTAGAAGTCGAATCCTCTGCCTTGTCATCCGTCTTCTGAAGTGGCTGAACAACACTCGACCGTGTTGAGTGCTTGATGCCATTGGGAAGAGAAAGCCACTTTATTTGTCTCGCAAGAACGATCCAGCAGCATGTCTGCCAAACTGCCTGATCCTGGACAGGAGAGATCATTTGATGCGGTGGACTACGCGACCAAAGGGTGTCTCGCACCTCTGCTTCACGCCTGCCGTACGCTGATGCGATTCACAATAGTGTGAGCAAATAGTCTTCGTATGCAGAGCGGTATCATCTAAAGCCAAAGGCACCGTGGTGTCTGCTGGAGATTGTTGGTTCCGTTTCCTACGTAGACCGATCGAATACCTGGTTAACCATATCTACTGTATGTGATAAGACCTCGATCATTATCCAACCATGATATTGTATATGGTGAGACTTCTCCGACCCCCCCAGGTTCAGTTTCACAAACGCCGTCATCTAGTCCATAAGGCCGGCGAACCTCTTCTCCATCGGCCGGCGCTTCCAGCCGATTGTAGCCTTGACATCAGGGTGACGGAATTTTTGCGTCCAGTGACCTTCGGGAAGCGGCTTTCCCTCGAGGAACTTGATGTCGTAACGCGCAAGTGTGGTAACCAAGAAGATCTTGCAGACAGCCGACGCGAAGTGGCGGCCGGGGCATGCGTGTCTTCCAAGTCCGAAGAGCATGTTGTCCGGGCTCGCTTCCGCGAACGTGTTCTCGATGTCAGCAGGGTTTCGGCCCTCGCGAAGGCGAGCATATCGGAACGGATCCCAGGTCGTGGCATTCGGGCAGATGTCGTCGTCCATATGACGACCGTGTGAGATCACGCCAATCGACGTGCCCTTGGGGATCATGGTGCCGTCGCTGAGGACAGTGTCGCGGACCGCGTATCTTTCCATTTTGATTGCACTCATGGGCGTCAAGCGTGACGACTCGCGGATGAAGCTATCCAGTTTGAGCAGACGGTCGATATTCTCTTTGCTCCAACCACCCCCCTCTCTGTGCAGACCCAATACCTCGGAGATTTCGGTTCGGAGCTCCTCGTGAATTTCAGGATGCCGGCACAGATCGAAGATACACTCCGTGATTGTATACGCCGGGGCGTGGATCGCGTTGACGTTGATGTGGACCAGTCTATGCAGGAGGATCTCGGGGTCCATCTTCTCAGGAGGCGTCATATCCAAGAGCCATTGAACTAGAGGCCGATTCATCAGCCACGCCCCCCTGTAAAATCAAGAGAGACGTACTCGTATCATTAGGCCTGTCCGTCTTCTGTTTCGCGGCAGGATCCCGCAGCATGGCCATTCGCTGTTTGATGATAGGCAGGAGATGTTTGTTCGCCAGGGCCTGTTGCCGCTTGCGCTCGGTCATGAAATACATCATGATCGTCTTCATGAAGTCCGGATAGTTTCGAATCCTCAGCGCCGTGTCGAACACGGAGGGTGCGATGTCGCAAGAGAACTGAAGATACTCCTCGTTCCTACACAGTGGCTCTCCCACCAACATCCTGTTCACCATGCGGGTGACAATCTTGCAGGTCACGTTCCACACGTTCAACTCGTTCCACTCGCCTTCCCTTCCTCCAATCTCGACGTCGAACGCGTGGCGGGACTCTTCGGTAAGGCTGTCCAGGTGGAATCCCAGAGCCTGTCTCATCTTACCTCGGACTACGTTGAAGTGGTAGCTGTCGTTCTCGAGCGCTTCATGAAAATTATGCTTGATCTGAAAAATGGTGATCGCCGCTGCGGGTTGGCTTAGCTGGTTGTCTGAGATTTTGCGGATCTCCTCAAGACATCGGGGCGCAGCAATGAAGTAGACTTGTCGCGGAGTTCGCAACAGAAAGTGTTTGCCCTTTTTTGAGTACTGCGAAGTTCCAAGCGATGAGTCCTGGGCCATCTAATCCGTGACAGTGTGCGGAGCCCTTGCGTACCTCATTATATCCTTTCATGATCGCAGACAGACTGTCGGATAGAAATGCTTTCACATCGTCGGCATCTCCAGCCTTGCCGCCAGGCTTCTGGCTGATGCGTAAGAAGTCCACATTGGGAAGGCGCTCTTTCTTGACATAGACCTGGAATCCCCGCCAGGCAGAGGTGAGCAGCAGGACGATGGCCAGTACAGTAAGCGACAGCGCCATTGTTACAGCCCGGGCAGAGTCAACGAGGCTTTGTGCGGAACTTTTCTTGGGGTAAAAGACACAGAGACTGAACGTCTCAAGAGAAATAGACGTCTTCCGACAGATCAACAGCCCACGCTGAGTTGATGTGACGCCCGACCGCCAGTCCTGTGCAGGATACGGAGCAATCCGCAAGCTGTCGGCCCCCGTCATGCTTTGAGCACGGGCGTATGGCGAAGACGTCTCTTTTGGCACCACGGGGAGGTCAGGACGGAGCGAAAGCGAGCGATGTGATAACCCCCGAGACGGCCGAAGCTAGCGGCCTTGGAGATAGGCACACATTATGGGCGAGGCCGAGATCGTCTGGTCTGTCGGGCTGTCTTGCCTTGACGGGTGCAACGTTCTGGTTCTCGTCTACGTGCATACTGTTGGTGTGCTGCAAACGCCTTCCGTGTTATCCTACAACCAGATGTACATAAATCGGAGGACGGCAGCCGACACCTTCTACCATAACAACCCAAGATCAATACCGGAGGAAAGCTCATCAAGCACATCAAAGTCAGACGCGTCAAGACCATCAAACCCGGTGGCTTGATTCAATGCATAGCCCGTCACAGGTTCTTGAAGCGTGTTTACCCATTTGAGTTGGTCACTGCCGCTGGGGGTCTCCGTTCGTTTGTCTTCCGTGACAGCCTGGTAGCGAAGGGGGCTTGGTGGAATAAAACATAAGTCACGACCCGACCAAGTCGGCAGGTGTGAGCCCCGTAGATGCCTTGTCTCTCTAGCTCGCATTGCATCGATCAGCAAGGCTCTCAGTGCATTCGATTTGGCGCAATTGCGGACTACCGGCGGCCAGAGATCAAGCAAGCCATCGACAACCCGCCAAGCTCTGTTCGTCGCAGGGCTAGGTAGACGTATTGTGAGATTCCTGACGACAAAGGCCGCAATGGACCATTGGAAGTAGGTCGCGCTCAACCAACGCCATCTCTCGCTATTGCGATTGGTTTGGAGGTTGCGAGAGAGCTCCAATACATGTATGGCAAGTAAGAACAGATGGTCCTGGGCACCAGGAGGCAAAAGGTCGCCTTGACGGTTGCGGTCCGGAAAAATGTACATTAGTACACGTCGTTTGGCGAGTATCATTGCAATCACATCCGCCGCGTACTCGGCGACTGAAGCATCCATACCCCCATTACCCTGCAGATACTTGTTCCGCATCAACTCCCGAGAGGACTGCAGATGTTGGTCGGCATCTTCTACCCTAAATTTGCGGCCAAGAGGTTCTCGGACGCGGTCCATCTTGATCTGGTGGAACGTGCGTGTCACTTCATACTGCATGAGGCAGAAGCTTGACTCCGTGAACCCAGTACGGTCCTCGCCCGGGCTGACGGCCTGGGACTCCAATTCATCGTCGTTCACATTGAGAGGCAGTCGCGTATCCGCCCCTAGGCTGAAAGGGAAGTAGTCGAGGCCGAAGTCGTCCGGATGGTCGACGAGGTTGACTAGTTGCCACCATGTGCGCCGGCGGAGCTCTACCTCTAAGCAGGACAGGTCCGAAGAAGCACCGTCGCGATTGAGACCAGCGCGAACAGCTAAAAAGACCGCCATACCACACATCGCGTTGAGTTGAGGGCTGTGAACGCATCTGAGGTAGTAGAGAAACAGTAGAAGTGCTTGTATCGTGCTCAAGTCTCGTGCTTCGAGAAACTTGGCGGACACCAACGCGTGCTCGGTGAGGGTGGTGCAGTGCTGTGCCACCGACTCCTTGTCGCTCTCGAAGTTTGCCGCTACGTCGGCATCAGACATGGAGGTCACTGCCAGAAGACAGATCGCCTGGACCAGAGCGCGAGACGGAGCATCGAGCGTGTTTTCATCTCGGCGCAGGATGAGTTCCTGTGTTGTGGACTTGTGCAGAATTTTAAGGATCGGGTCGACGTTTGTTAGATATCTCCTCCAGCAGACTTGCCGCCGTCGAATTGAAAGCAAAGGAAGTCGCACGTCGCCGTCGGACCCCTGGAAAGGAAAGGCGATTCCAGTACGTGCACGCTGAAAGGGGGGTTTTTGGGGGCCAGAGGAGCCGACGTTGGAATCTGATTTGCTGCTTGAGGGTGTCTTGAGAAAAACCTCACTGGCACACTCTTCCTCAATCCGCTTCCAGTACTCATCACCGTCAGCAAGATGAGCGGGTCCGTCTCGCTGGGTCTCGGGCGGCGGCGAGTAACCAGATGGCTTCCATGAAAGCTCAGTGGCATTTACTGGGCTGGCAGCTAGGTATTGATACATTCCAGGAGCAGCTCGATCTCCAGGCGTCTGAAGATTTGAGGATCGTCGAGTTACGGTGTCGTGAGGAGACCGATCCGTAACCTGTGTTACTCTTTCGTCCCGTTCTCCACTGGATTCATCCGCCACTATATCAGCAGGCTCGTTTTCACCCAGGATGGACCGCTCTTTCAGCAGCCCTTCCAATTTTTCGATTCGCTCGAGCAGCACGGCGTCTGGTGTGGAGCTGGAGCGTCCTTGTGCCTTCTTTGGCCGCCGCACTGTTCGAGCTTGGGGCGGGTAAGAACAGACAATGCCGGCCATGGTGCATCTCTGACATGGCAACGTCTTGCAACATTTGACCTTTCGGTCACGGCACGTCCTGCACGCAGTCTTGTACCATGGCGACGTATTATTCATCATTGTCGGTGCAGACATTCTACGTGCTGCTCAGAGGCCCCTCGCTTCGCCAGTGATGCGTCAGGCCAGGCAAAGGATTGCCTGCAATTTTCAAATGGTGACGATGAGAGGGTGACGAGTCTGAAGGTGTACAAGCAGTCTGAAGCTTGCCGTGAATCTCGAGTGGCAACACGCTAAGATGTGATGGACACGGCCACCATACCTCTCGAGGGATAGTGTCGTTGGGCTCGGGCTGTCAGTGAGTGCCGAGAACACCGAGAAGGCAAAGGCGTCAGTCTTATCGGCAGCGGGCAACGACATACGAGTTGCTGTAGGAACATCCAGAGCGTTTTCGAGATATCGTCTGCAGACCGCAGCATCGGTAGCCGGGCTCCTTCGATGACCATTGCTATGGCATGATTGGCATCAGCCACTGTAAGAGGAGGGACGCTGACTCCAGATCGACGCCGAATCAGGGCTGGGCTCGTTCCAAAGCCTCGGGGTGGTGCAAAGACGCTCAGCAGACGCACCGGCCGTGCTCGGCACGCGCACGATGCAGTATGTTGGATGCCCAGGCTGCCACAGAGCCCGTGTGTCCTGGAGGAATGATGGAGACCTAGGGTAACTTGGAACATTCGAAATCTCTGCGAGAGAGTTGTGCAGAGCTGCTCGACGGAGAAAATTGTCGAAATTGTACTTGAGCACGCGTGATTGCTTCTTTCACGTCGCATTTTTTTTTTGGTTTTTGGTAAGCGTCTCGAGCTCGTAGCAACATCCTTGCCAAAGATGTATCCGGCGTTTCAATCGAGCGACAAGCCTTTTGAAAGGTTTCCAGCGCGTCGCAGCGCAGTCCATAGCACGAAGGGCATGGTGGCATGCTCGCAACCTCTGGCTGCACAGGCAGGACAAACGATCCTGGGATTGGGGGGCAACGCAGCAGTAAGAAGCCCGAGCCCGCTCTTTGTTTGACTACTGTTTGTTGATTGGACTCAGGATGCTGCCGTCGCTGTAGGTTCGTCTTGCATTCTTCAACACCGCGAGAAAGTGGAGGTCTGACTTTTGCACCAAAGCTGCTGCGCTGAACGTGACCGAACCGGCATCGACTGGACTCGGCGGGGACGCCTTCTTCCTGTTCTACAATGCCGCTACAAAAACGGTCCATGCGCTCAACGCCTCAGGACGAAGCGCAAAGAACACAACGCTCGAACAGGTCCGAAGAGAGCTGGGTCTGGCGACGGGCAAAGTCCCGTTTACCAGTCCGCTGGCGGTCACAGTCCCTGGAGCTGCGGCAGGATGGGTTGATGCGGTAGAGAGGTTCGGCAGTGGGAAGCTGACTTTGGAGCACGTCTTGTCGCCGGCCATCGATTTGTGCGAGCGAGGCTTCCCAGTAAGCGAGATCTCGGCTTCAATGGTAAGCGAAGGCCACCGGGTACTAGATGGTGCCGAGATTGACTCGAAACTCTAGTGGAAGAATGGAGAATCCAAACTTAAAGGCGCGTCGCCGTACGGTGTCGAGCTGTTGAAGCCAAACGGCAAGGCTCCTGAGTCGGGGGAAGTCTTCCGAAATCCGCATCTTGGAAGAACGCTCAGGACTCTTGCCACGGAAAGCAAGAAGGGAATCTACACCGGGCGAATCGCCAAAGCTATTGTCGATGTTCTCCAACAAAAAGGGGCACATCTAGAACTGTCGGACCTCGAGGACTATGCCAGCCAGGGATCCTCCGAGGTCGTTCCAGTATCACTACAGTTCAGGGGCCAGGGCGTGGGCTCTCGAGGATCATCTACTTCAAAGGATCAGTTCGTCGAGTTGTGGGAGCACCCTCCGAACGGACAGGGTATCGTGGCTCTCATGGCCCTTGGCATCCTAGAGGAGCTCGAAAAGTCGAAGCAAATACCTACGTTCACGGAGGAGGATCACAACACCGCTGTATACATCCATGCGGTTGCCGAAGCCTTTCGGATCGCCTTTGCTGATGTAAACTGGTGGGTCACGGATCCCGAACATAGTCCGGTAAAGCCCGAAGAGCTGGTCTCGCGTCCATATCTCGCTGAGCGCGCAAAGTTGTTCAACAAGGAGAAGGCGGGAAATCACGCCAAGGGCCAACCGTTCGGTGGTGTGAGTCCCGCGCAAAACCGTAGCGACACGGTCGTCTTTGCCGTTGTCGACCAGGACGGCAATGGGATGAGCGTGGTGAATTCGAACTTCATGGAATTCGGGTCCGGCATCGTTCCCCAAGGCTGTGGATTCACGCTTCAGAACCGGGGGGCCGGGTTTCATCTTGGACCTGATAACCACCCAAATATCTATCGAGGCGGAAAGAGACCGTATCAAACCATCATCCCTTGTCTGGCCACTCAAGGACCCGACCGTGACTTGCACTCGGTGTTCGGTGTGATGGGTGGGCTCATGCAGCCGCAAGGACACGTCCAGGTGCTGTTGAACATGGAAGTGTTTGGTATGACCCCACAGGAGGCGGTGGACGCGCCTCGACTCTGTATCGAAAACCCCATGCCCCCAAAGCTTGACAGTATCGGGAACTTGTTCTTGGAAGAGGGCATCGACGAGTCCGTGGCGGCAACTTTACAAGCCATGGGCCATGACGTCCAGGTTCTGAAGGGCTGGTCAAGGAACAGATTCGGTAGAGGGCAGGCGATCAAAGTTCGGACCAACGAGACTGGTCAACGAGTCTTGACTGGCGGCAGCGATGGTAGAGGTGATGGATTGGCTTTGCCAGCTTGACTTAGAAGTTTACATCTTGAGGAACTTGTCAATGTGATATAACAGGTTGAGAGGATTGCAGATAGGTCTACCCTATGCTTGTTTTTTTTTCTTTCGCAAACGACGCTTATTATATTGACGGACGGCACATGCATAAGGCGACTGGAAAAAGGGGGGAATGGCCATTTACTGTCACGAAAACTGTTTAAATTGTTCCTGTCAACCACATTCCGTAATACGCCACCCAGAAGAGCCATGCCGTCGACGGAAATGAGTGAAGCCACCACACAGATCCGCATTACAAAAGGAGCCTCAGTGACGGTACCTTCAAGGCAATGTCGTCAAAGATGAACGCAAAATCAGCATCAGTCTCTCGCATAATCTGTCCTCGACAACCCAAGGTTGTCCGTAATCGATTTGTCCGTCAGGGCGAACAGATACGCATCGCCGCGCTCGCCCGTGACGTGCGTCACCTTAGACCAAGCAGGAACAACGAAGACGTCCTTGTCGTTCCATTCGACGGTCAGCTGACCGGTGGGGGCGTCGATGATCGTCTTCCCTTCTCCCTGCTTGACGACGTAGATGAACGAGGTTGTCTCCCGCGGTGGGCGAGCAGTCTGGCCCTTCTTGATGCGTTCCGCCTGGGCGGCAATGGTCTTCGAAAAGGGGCTTCCGTTGGTCAGATAGTGATACACGGTGTGAGGGCTGTCTTGCGCATCCAAAGCCTTTTGGGTCTTTTCCCATTGGAAATGGAATGGGCTTTCATCGGTCACTCTTGGTGAGGATTTTAATGTTAGCTCACGTTGCCGCTACCGGAGAAACGAGGGATGAAAGACCACAATTGTAAGATAGCTAAGGTCTCGAAGACAGAAGGGGTTGGACAATGCCACACTTACAGATCTGGCACAGTGGGTGTGGGGTACGTCTCAAGGAAATTTGTTCTCCCATAGATTTGCAGCGGGATGTCGAGGCAGTCGACCCAGATGGTTGGCTTTGAGCCGTCATTTCCGTGGTAGTGCCACTGCCATGACGGCGTCAGTACCAAGTCGCCATGTTCGAGGTACATCTTGTGGCCCGCGACTGAGGTGAAGCCTTTCTGGCTCTCCTGGATGAAGCGCACGGCATAGGCGATATGTCGATGTGCCGGCGCGGTCTCTCCGGGCAGCACCATCTGAAGACCGGCGTAGAGTGTGTCGGTGGTGTAAGGGGATGGTCCCTTGACCTCGCCTATTTGTAGAGGAGGGACAGATTACGACCAGCCATTGTGGGTATAGGAAAAGACCCAGCACTCACCAAAACCGGGATTGCACATCATCAATGCTCGCCGCTCTGCCATGTCCTCAGGTACAAGTTCGGCGGTATCGAGCATGAGCTGTCTCATCTCTGACCACGTCCATTTCGTCGGAACCGCACGCGGGTTGGGCACGAGCTTGGATATCTTGTCGTTGACGGTCCACATCGGGTAGGAGTTTAGATTCTGGCACCGCTCTTTGACTTGTGCTGTGGCCTCCTCAATGGCTCCGTCGACCGACTGGACAGCCTTGCGCGTGGTCAGGGTCTCAGTCTGTGTAGCCATTGTAGTTATTGAGACGTTGATGAGTGTTGATGAGTATTGATGAGTGGGTTGGATGTAGGTCTTCAGGACTTCAGGATATATGCTGATAGCGAGCGAATCTGAATTTGGTAAGGTATCTGGTGGAGCACTTGACGACCCTCTATCCTAATCGCATTATCAATGGTGATTTTCCACCACTCGATAGTCGTTTGCGCCTCGGTGTGCTCGGCATTGATCGGGCCTCCGAGAGAACTGTCGCTGCACACAGTAGATGGATCGAGCATTCCTATAGCATGGTGCTAGGATTGTTCTGCCGAAGGCGTCCTCGCATCAACGGCCTATAGACTTCGACGTGATCTGACCCAGCAGTCATCAAGCGACTCAAGAGCTTCCCGTGGTCTTCGCGAAGACCCTCAAAGCATTTCGCTACACTACCTCCTGCCAAATCAACATTTATCGGTCCAGAACCATGAGACCTACTGTATGAACGTTTGAGCCACTTTCTGTGCGCAAATCACAATCGTCGCCAGCTTGCGCCCGCCATGGCGCCCTCCATTGTCAGCACCCTCAACCGGTCCGACCGACCCCCAATCGGCCCCTTCTCAGAGCTGACCATCGTCCCCATCCCCCCGGTTAATCCGGCCGCATACCTACTCCAAACCGCCGGCCAGGTCGGGGCGCCTCCATCTTCATCACCACAGGGGACACCATTCCCAGAGACATTCCGCGAGCAGGCCGTGAACGCCTTCGCCAATGTCGTCAACGTGCTGGCCCTGAAGGGAGCCACGCCGCAAGACATCATCAAAGTCACGATCTTCGTCTGCGATCTCGATGTCTTGAAGCGCGATATCGTGTCTGAAGTGATGCTGGATTTTCTGGGTGGGGGCGTTGCAGTGGAGAAGGGTGAGCCTGTGCATAGGCCGGCCAGCTCGCTTGTCGGCGTGGCGGCGCTCGCTGCGCCTGGTTTCTTGATTGAGGTTGAGGCTACGGCTGTGGTTGCGATATAGAGGGCAGGAGAGTTAGGGGTGTGGTCAGTAGCACACGCTATACGAGCAAGAAGTGTCCGCAGATGAGGCTGAGAAATCCCATTATTTGCCTGAAATCACATTTTGTATTGCTTTCGTATTCAGTATCCTGGACGATGGAGAATTCATGCGTAAATCATATCAGCTCGAGTTCATCGTACTGAAAAAGACAGCTAGCACTTGAGTTCCACGTAAATCCCCCCCCTCCCCCTTCCCGGCTATCGTCTCTGAAACGGTCAAAGTTGATTCGGATCTTGGGTAGGGAGCGGCACTGAAGAGTTCTGGATATGCAACGGGGTCGACCCAATCTTGACAATGGGCATGTCCTTGTTGTTTGCCCAGTCGTGCGCCGCCAAACCCTGCTTCAACGACATGCGCACTTCATTAGAGCCTCGATCAACGACCTCTTTCATGTAGTTGTCGGTGAGCTCTTTCTCGTCCAGCTTGCCCTCCTCGAAGTCACTAAACGCACGTACCAGGTTGATGACGTCTTGCAGGGCATGGTTGGCGCCTTGAGCACGATCTGTATTCCGGTTATTTCTGAGTAATAGGTTCGGTACTCTTAGAGGAAAGTCATAGGATAAGGGAGACCTACGTGGGGTCATGGAGTGAGCGCCATCTCCAGCCAGCAAGACACGGCCACCGTGGGAGTTCCACGGCCGGGTTTCCCAGGTACCGTAGTGGTCACAGGTGATGATCGTGCCCTCCGGCATGTATTCGATGGCAGAGCTGAAGGGTTCGGTGAATGCTTTGCCCTTTTCTTTGACCAATGCGAAACGTTTTTCGGGGGAGTCTTCCTGAGACTTCAAATCGGCTGCGAATGACATGAAGACTTGGAACTTCCATTCTTCCGGACTCTTTTCGTCGTCAATGTCGAGAGCTACAAACTTGGGTCTGAGTATTTCGAGGCATCGTAGTGGGTGGCTGATTATAGTGACTTACGGATCAGACCATAGTAGGTGCCGTTGGGATGGACAGCAATGTCCATGAACTCACTCAGGCCTGCCCTCACGTTCAGAGCCTGTTCCTTGGTGTATTGCATCCAGTAGTTGTTGAGGATGAGGCCAGGAACCTGCTTCCATTTTGCCTCCTCTTTGTTGTCGAAGAGGAGTTGTCTGGTCGAAGAGCGTGCTCCGTCGCAAGCGACAAGAAAGGTTCCTTTGGCCGTCGTGCCATCTGCAAAGGCAGCTTCGATTCCACCGGGAAGGACCTTGAACGATTTGAACTCCATGTTGTACTACACCAATTTGTCAATCAACCTTGCCTGTAGACATATACTTGTGTACCCTGGCCGAGCGTACTTGAACGGGAATCCCTTCCAGCAGAACCTGCCTGACCTTCTTCTGGCTATATCGCTTCGCGGCGCCCAACGGAATATGCTTGAAGACGGCCCCAGTTTCTCCGTCGTGGAATTCGACGTGCTCCTGCAGCTTGGGATTCTTGCGAGTGACGACCTGAGCTTCACGAAGCTTGTCCGCCATGTAGTCCGGGTACAGCTCCAAGAACTCTACCGCCCAGTGGACGGTGATACCCCAGTCTCGGTGACGAGCAGCGGAACTCGTTCTCTCGTAGATCTCGAAATCGATCCCTTGCTTAATTCCATTATGTTAGTGATTGAGGCTGTCGTAAAGCGACTGTTGAAGCGACAATGATTTGTATCCTTGTAATTACCTTCTTCAACCCCTGGGCAAGCGACAAACCCGTCACACCTATCCCGGGGGAACTTGTCAGCACGATTCTCGCGAAGGATTTTCTCGTCTCCTTGATCATTTTGTGAACACCACGAAGCCCTTACCTGCGCCGATGATGATTACTTTGAAGCTGATCGCCATGTTTACGTTATCTTCGTCCCTGTAGTAATGAAGAGATCGATATTCAGTAAAGGTACGAGAGGGGTGTCGTCTTCCAACTTCCAAAGAACTTTTCAAAACTCCTCAACTCCTATGTATCGACCTGCAATGTTTCATGTATACCTTAGTAGTCGCCCGATAAGGTAACCCCCCTTCACATGATGTCTGGCCAAGCAGTTGGCACTCGCCAAAAGCTCAGCTATTGGGAAAACGCCGACAACCCCGACCGCGCCGAGCAGTAAATTCATGAGAAAGCCAGCGTTACGGGGATCCTCGCACGAACTTTAGGTGGCTCGTACGGTCGTGGTCGTGATGTCATTTACCCAGTACTGTACCCCCTGGCCTCCTCCGCAGCATATGCAGGCTCCAACGGCTATCTCGAGAAGTGGGTCCTATAGCTCGTTTGGTGGCGAACCGCTTGGCGAAAACCTACCTATAAGTAGAGGCTTCAACTTTTTGCCGGCAGAGATAACAACTATATACTGCAAGTGGGTGCGTTAGCCGACAGGAGAGGACTCGTTCCGCCCGTGCATTGGTGGTCGTCTTACAATACGTACGGATCTTACCATACGCAACTCCCCCCTTAAGAATGCCCAGATCTAGTCGAATGTCGGGTCGTGCACCAGACTTCTGGAGACCTCTAGACACCCATACCCCGTGGTTATCTCTGAACCATTATCGACTAAAGCAGTGGTTCAAACAGAGCCAACATTCACCATCAACGACATTGGCACCTTTTTTTTTTTGTCCTCTTAAAGGTGACTTTACGAGGCAGCATATTGACATTGTCGTTCCTATCTCTACAACCGCTGCTCAACCTCCCTTCCGAATGTGCAAGGCCTCTGTGACTTCCTACCCGGAATGTACGCCGATATCACAAAACCTCCGAGGCCATTGCCCCAGCCCAGTCCGCAAGTGATCAGACCCGGGTTGACACTTCAGATGCCATTGACTCGATCTGGCTGGAATGGACCTGGCATCATTACCCTCGTCTCCGACATAGCGGAAGAGAACAGAACGCATCTAGATGGCGTCCCTTCTCTCCTCATCAAATGGGCTGAGGAGGGATATGTTGTCGCAGAGATCCAAGCCTCTGCTCTGGCTTCAGATCCAGAAATATTGAGCTACACAGTCGATGCTCTTAAGCAGTGCGAGATGTGTGAGAACACTGACCGGATTGGACTTGTGGGTATGGGTTTCTTGCGCTGGCATCGCTGACAAGGTGGTCTCTATTGACAAATGTCATACTAGTCTACGATCACACTTTGCTCAACTCGGCTGTCGATTCTCAGTTTCGCCGGCAGCCAGGAATCGCAGCAGCAGTTGTCTATGTAGACGCTGGGGTCCCTGTTCCTCCAATTTCAGTCCCAGCGTTACTTTTGCACGTTGCCGGGCCCCCACCTCCCAGTGGTCTATCGCAGTCCGCCAGTGGTGGACGAACATATCACTACTCGACAGTCACATCCTTCAGGTTTGCTACACCTTTCACGCCGGAATTCCACTACAATTCGGAGGCGGTTTCGCACACTCGCAACCTGACCTTCCTCAAGCCCAAACTGGGCGGTCCCTACTTCGACTTGGAGACCATCTGGGACGAACATACTTACTACGAGTTCGCTGATCGCTCCGTGCAGCACACCATGTCAACCATGGTTCAAGAACCGTATGTGAATCACGTTCCAACAGTAAGCATGAGTCGTTTCCCCTGTCCTTTGCGCTGCATTTTTCTGTTAACAGATGGGAATATAGCTTACAGGCGGCGTGGGTCGTGAACTACTCACGAAATTCTACCGCGATAGCTTCATCTTTAGCAACCCAGCCGACACAGAACTCGAGCTGATAAGCCGCACCATTGGCATTGATCGAGTGGTTGACGAGTTTATTTTTAAGCTCACCCACACGCAGGAGGTCCCGTGGCTGTAAGCTGCACTCAATCGATCCAACTGTCTCTCGTTTTCTACGGTGCTGCTGTCGGCTAACCCAGTTCTTTTTCCAGGCTTCCTGGTGTTCCAGTTACAGGAAAGCACCTCGAGGTTCCGTTCACCGCCGTAGTCAACATTCGCGGCGACAGACTGTATCACGAACACATTTCTTGGGATCAGGGCACCGTACTCAAGCAATTAGGCCTTCTTCCGGATTACCTCCCCTTCTCATATCCGCTCCCTGGTGCCGCCGGCCTGGAGGCGGCCGTTCAATATAGGGTGCCAGTGGCCGGGCGGGACACAGCACGGAAGATCTGGGATCGAAACTCGGTCCCGTCAAACGAGATGATGGCCTTCAAAGTCCGCGCCGGACCAGAGAATGGACACACTCTTGATGGACACACAAGCAAGCCGGCTGGTGTTGCAGGTGATGGAATGCCTACGGCGTCTTAGGCATAAATAGCAACCAAGTGCTTGCTCCTTGCGGATGTAGGGGGTGAAGGCTCGACAACGGCTTGTCTATAGCCTAGAGGTTCGGATCAGATTGTAAGTCCATTTGTCAAAGGTGGTGGTGCTGTTGGTGGTCGACTCTTCAAGTCATTTTGGTCCATGATAGCGACGCGATCATCAACTAGAAGTCAGAAGGACAGCTATTGAATCCTAGCGTGATCAAACACAACAACAAAGTTTGGTTGTTGATGTGATGGCAGCAGGGACCACTATATCTACCAGCGCCGAAGGTCGGCGGTAAATTACCGAATATCAACCAGGAAATTGCTGCTACCATTCCTATCGCTACCTATCGTACGTTCATATCTCGGCCCAAGTCAAAGATGGATCGCGCTGTCGATGTCAAATGAACCACTTGAATAAGTGCCAGGAGCCCGCAAGATGACAAGGGACTTCAACGGATGTGGCAAATACAGTGGTGTTCTCTTGCAGTAATGTTGCGACCAGGTATATTACTAGACAAAGGCTGTTTGTGGATGGTGGGCTTTCTTCGAGTACGGGGAGAACGTAAGTGATGAGGAAAACAGTACGGAATCTTCCCTGAATGGCGTTGAAAGAATATCTTGGATGATTCTGCGTTCGATAACTGTTTGTCGTCCATTATTTGAGTGACTGCTGATGCTAGGGTATCATGAAGTACCAGTCATCAACGCTCGCTCTGAGCCCCGATCACGACCCCATTAGGAAGCTCCAACCCAATGGGCAATCCGCGGATGAATTTCTCCTCGAAAGGTAGTCCTCTTCGCTGAGCGAGTATTTCCTCGATATCTTTGTACATATCGTACCTTCGCAGTCTGTTAGAATTGAACAATACAGTGACACATAGATGCTTGAGCCAGTGACATACGCGTTCATTTCCTCGATGGTCAAGATTTCCTTTTCGTCCTCAACACGATAAGTCGATATGTTCTTGTTAACCGAAAAACCTGCCCATCCGTTAGGCTTCTTGTGTTAACGCCCTCTGGAGCTGAGACTGACCAATTCGTTCGTTGATGTTGTAAGCAGCCTTTGCAGCTGCTGCTTGAACTCTGGTAACTCTCGGCAATCGGACTTGGTCGTATACGTCCAGAGCTGATTCAACGTCTCCCTTGAAGTGCTTCTTGTCAAAGAGGATGCCTAAAGCTGCAGCGTCTTCTATAGCCATACAGGCACCCTGACTTTGGTGTGGCATCATCTACTCCATGTTAGCTGCGTTGAATGGGAAAATTTCTTAGAGCAAGCAGAGCGTACAGGATGGCCGGCATCACCGAGTAAGCAGACCATGCTGCGTTGTATGTAAGGATATGGCTGACTACAGTGTTCACATCAGTATAAGTCGCACGGCTGTGTGTTTCGTGCCAAATGGGGGGGATGAACTTACTGTACCCATAGTCGCCATGGTTGGATCTGTTTACCTATCTTCAAATGTGCTAGTACTTGAGGGTCCAGCTCCGGGTATGGGTCCAAGAGCTCTTTCACGGGACGATCTTCTTGACCCCATGTATGAGTAGTGTAATCGCCTACTGTTCGGGGAAAGAAGCAGTAGTAAGAGAGCAGTTTGCCGCTGTTGCATGGTGAGAGGACAATCTTGTCCCATTTTCCCTCCTGTCCGCCCCAATATTCGAGCGCGCTATCTTGAGAATAGTTGACGAGTCCAGCCTTGACGGCTTCCTCTGTAGAAACGTTGGCGTGCAGACAACTCTGGTCAGAAGGCACCTTGTCAGGTTGGATGCCGATGATTGATCGAACGACAGATCCGATACCGTCGGCGCCAATGATTAAGTCGTGTTGTACGGAAACGCCGTTTTTGAAACTGATGACGCCGCTTTGTAGGTTGATGTTTTCACACTGAAATCCAAGGCAGTGATTAATATAAATCTTCTAGCAGTAACAGAAGACCAGAGAGTTCTCACTTGATGGTTGACTCGCAGCTGGACTGGGATGCCATCGCCCTCTTGTTGTAGGGCTGTATCCTTCAGCATTTTATGCATATACTGCCGATGGAACATGTTGTAGACATGACCCCATCGCTCCTCGTAGTCTTCAAGGTCATAGACACTCACGGGTTCTCCTGTTCTCCAATCGCGGTTAATAAGCTTCCTTAATATAACGGGATCTCCTTTGGCAACGTCAACGCCCCATTCGTGTAGCCAACGGGTACCGTTAGCGGCGCAAGACACTGAGGCACCAACTTCGCCGGCGTAGTCAGCCCGCTCGTATATTGTTACCTCGTGGCCGGCGCGGCGTAGAGCAATCGCAACAGACATGCCACCAATGCCACCACCCACCACACCGACGCTAAGCCGCTGCCAGCCCTCTTGCAGTGAACCCATTTAGCACGAGTGTGAAACATAAAGTAGTGTCAAAAGATCTCAATACGCAGACAAAAGATGTATGATTAATTTGTGATGTATCGCCTCAGCCGTGAGATGCTGCTTTCTCTGGGGGAGCATATGTCCTATTATTATCAGTCTATCAGAGTAATTGACCAAAGGATCATTCTTGTCGGGCTGCTTCCACTTGACGTATCGCAAATAGGTGCGAATCGGTGCGGATCAGCGGAAATCAGTGCAGAGAACGCTGATAGCCGCCTGTCGGTACGAGATGCGGGTTGCTGGCTGGGTGCGCCACCCGCTCGTGAGCGGGTAGTGAACGCGCTGGGTTCGGCAAGCGGCAACCTGCAGTTTAAGGTTTGAAGAGGAGGTGGTGCTTGCAGCCTCGTCTGCGAATTAGTCAGCAAAATGGTTCAAATGACACTGACGAGGCTGACTTGGCGGTTGGTTGCCACCCTCGTCACAAGCTGCGTTCCGAACATCATCGTCCTCGCCCTGCCTCATCGCTGGCCTTTGACAATACGATCTCTGTTCGTTCGCCCACGTATCTCCATCCTGTCTCTGACCTACATCCAACCACCGCAACCATGCCTCGAGCAGAAGTGGGATCAACCAAGTACATCGCCAACCAGATGAAGTCGAAGGGACTTCAACGGTTGCGATGGTACTGTCAAGCATGTCAACGGCAAATGCGGGATGAAAACGGCTTCAAATGCCATGTTGCCTCCGAATCCCACGTCCGCCAAATGCAGCTGATTGGCGAAGATCCTCGAAAAGCCATCAACGACTATTCAAATCAGTTCCTACGAGACTTCATACAACTCCTGCGCACAGGGCACGGCGAGAAAAAAGTCAACGTAAACCAATTCTACCAAGAGTATATTTCAAATAAACAGCATATTCATATGAATGCAACCAAATGGAGTAGTCTGACGGAATTTGCAAAGTACGTGGGCAGAGAAGGGATGTGTCGCGTGGACGAGGATGAGAAGAACGACAGCCGCACTGGCGCAAGCGGGCTCACGATCAGCTGGATTGACAACAGCCCCGAGGCACTGCGGCGGCAGGAGGCGATCCGAAAGAAGGAAAGACAAGATCGTGGTGATGAAGAACGGGAACAACGAATGATACAGGAACAGATCCGAAAGGCGAAGCGGCAGGGGTTGGATGACGCGACGGAAGATGAAGAGCAACAAGATGATGAGACACAGGGTGCAGGTGAAGGTATCAAACGAAAAGGTGGAGAGAAAATTGTCCTAAATTTTGGAGCAATTAAACAGACATCCGAGGCCGCAAACCCACCAACTCCTCCTCTCTCGGAGAGAGACGAATCATCATCTGACAAGGAGAAGGAGAATACTGCAACGCCGACATCACAGTCTCCACCAACAATATCACCCACAATGTCCAGCGACTCCAAAGCAGCGCAAACTTCTGCGAAACAGCCTATATCCATGTCCCTTGGCGGCTCGTCAGCCAAGCCGAAGAACGTATTCGCCGTATCTTCCAAGAAGAACCCCTTGGGTGCCACGAGAAAATCAGCCGGCCCTATTCAACAAAGACCGATGAGCGAGGCGGAGCGAATCATGAAGGAAGAGATCGAGCGAAAACGGCAGCGGGAAGCTAACGGTGTCCATGGTGGGAATGTTTTCAAAAAGCAGCGGGTCTAATTGGGGGGGAAGGATCGGGGCCGCAGTATGAGGTCTGAATAGGGACTATCACGATATTATGACCAACAAATGTATGAATAGAACGCAGGGAGCAGCGGGCTTTACGGCATAACCAGGGAGGGGATTTCAAACAGCCCAGACCTGAATGGTCAAGCAGGGAATCCCTGTTAAAGGATGGATCGGCTCTAAATATGACGGCTCGCAGATGCCCATTTGAGGAAGATGCTGTAACCTTCGCGAAGAAGAATCCTTTAGGCGATGGCTACATGCTAGCAAACAAGTATGTAGATCAGATACTAGTGTTGCGTCAACATGGCGATGGCGGTCCCATCTTGAAATTGGAGACATTACCGTATATATTACTAATTTGGGCAAACCTGACCTCTCCTGATTGATTCCATTTCCGATCTCAGACCTGAGAATCCCGCTGTTATTTGACCCGAGCCATGACTACTTAGCCATTGCGAGATGTGGCTGCCTCCGCCATTACTTCCCCTTCTCCCCCTTCTCTCTTTGTTCTGAGGCCCAGATCGCCCAGTTCAAGAGACTCTCATCCATCTCGGCAACATGCTTCTTGGGACCTTCGCCAAACGGCAGTTCAAACATCGCCCGTTGCACAGCGTTCATCTGGCCAGGTGCGGGTGGATCTTGAATGCCCGCCCACTGCCACACAGTCGTGTACGCGCTGTCAAAAGCTCCGCTAATCCATGCATGATGCGCGCTGGTCGCCTCGCCCGCGAAGTAGAACCCGACTTTGTTGCTCCCGTCCCCGCGGCAGTGAGGCTGCTGCATGAGCGGGTAAAGGTACGAGAATTGACCGGGCCCGAAGAGCGCGAACGCGCCGGCGGTGTTAGGGTCATTGGCCCAGGCCCAGGCGTGATGGGACTGGTAGTACTTGTTCTGGAGCTCGTCCAGCGTTGGCGCCCCGGGAATTTGTTGCCAGAGCTGGGCAAGATATCGCATGCATAGCACAGCTACGGGATCTTGGTTGTTGATCTGTGTCTGGCCGGCGTAATCTGGAATGAGCGAGGTCATACGCGTGGCATCTTGCGCCCAGGCATATGAGATCATGAGAATGGTGGAACCCTCGTCTTGCCAGGATGGGTACACCACGTTGCTAATGGGTAGGTCCGTGCTGGAGACGCCACCCAGGAAGCTGACGGCTGGAGGATTGTTGTCTGGGCCGGGGATTTTGGGATTCCGACTTGCTTGCTTGTTGAGAAGGGGTGTCCACCAATCCGAGTTGAATTTGATGGCGACCTTGGTGGCCCGGTCATAGCTGAGGGCTCTGACCCCAGTCAAGACGTCGTCATCCAGCTGGAGTCCGGCGATGTCCATTCTGCCAAGACAGCCCATGGTCGTGGTGTTGATGACGGACTCGTAATTTTGAGCCTGTCCGCCCACGACACTGACCGCGATGTCGGTTTGGTTGTATCTGCGGCCGGGGTCAGATTCTCTTCGAATATATTGAGCTCGGGGATCGGACCATAGAAGCTTCTGGGCGACGTTGAGATGTCTCTGCCCCAACTGAAAGCTTCTATGACCCACATGCCAGGTCTGTGGTGCGATCACTTACACTAGGCTTGTAACAGGACTTTTATACTTGACATTTATATTCATAGACTTGAGATAGTTCTCCATCGCATTGGTGATAGCTTGCATGCCGTTCTTTGTTTGAGAGTCTTCAAGTCTGTACCACTTACCGGCGCTGGCGGCCTGGAAGTCGGCATAGTCGCACACGGTCTCCATCCAGGCCTGGTCGAAAAGGCCAGTCGACCTTCGTGATGAAGAAGGTTAGCGTAGTAGAGAAGAGTTCGCCAAAAGGATCACCTACGTGTCGAAGGTTTCGGCGGTTTCTGTCTGCTCGTAGGTCCAACTGGCATCCGATTAGCATTCTTCTGCACTGCATAGATATCTCGCTGCCATACTTGATTGGAGTTGTGGTGCCGTAAATGTTCCCCAGCTGCAAATAAGCTCGAGTGGAATACTTGTCGTAAGTCTGACACATTGTTTGGAACTTCTGGTCCCAGGCCTCAGTCGATGCCGCAGATTCTAGTTGAAAAATGAATGGCTGGATCACTCCGTCGAGTTGCGACAGCTCCTTGTCGATATCACTACATGCTGAGTCATATACTCTAAACTATTTTGAAGTTCACAACTCACCTTGGCTGGTAATCCCGATAATAGTACATAAGAGGCTCTCGCTTCTCGGGGTCGCTGTAGGTGTATGGCTGTCTGATAATGTCCTGCCCCTTATTATCCTTGAGGTAATCAATCATTTTCAAGGTACTGAAAGCTGTTAGCCCGATCCTAATATTTGTAATGCGCCATTACCTATTCATTGTCATGATATCAGGTATGCGCATGGCCCCGATGTCATAATAGTTGTGCGTTGCCGGATTGGCAGTGTCAGTGAATTGATAGGTATAGACACGTCCGCCTGACCTCTCAGTAGCCTCGTAGATGTCGATAGTCGGAGGCGTGACACCGGCCTGCACACAGGCGTCGTGAATGTAAATGGCCGTGGCTAAACCAGCTGAACCAGCGCCGATAATGCAAACGGGTCCAGGCGACCAACCACCGGCTGGGGCTCTGTCACGAGATGGTGGTGCTCTCGGCAGGCTGGGTCCAGCTTTTGGGATGCTCATTTGGTATTTCTTCAGCATAACATCATGAAGTACATTCTTGCCATATGCAGCGCGAAGGTTCACAGTACGAGACGTCATGTTGGTGAGGCTGCTGTGGTCAAGAATGCAGCTCGAGATGTATTCCGGTGAGCTTAGAGGTCAATTCAATTTACGATGAGAAGACCAACCCCATTTTATAGACGAAATCTCACTCACAGCTCCCATTTCGCGTGTGCAAGAAGCTGAAAACTGTGTCCAGAAGTAGAAGTCTGCATGTCCCTTTGGACAATTGTCGTTCTCTGGCGCTCCCGAAGCGGTATCTTCGCATTACGAACGGCTCCATGGCTAGCTGAAGAAAGCAACTGAGGACCTGCTGACAAAGCTTCTAAGTCATGATCCCTTTACAACGTGAGCAGTCATTGTATCGACGAGAGGCAATGGGAGGAAGATGTTCAAGCTTACACCTGGCCCATTTGGATGATTTACAGCGTAGACACTACAGCCTTTGTCACTATCAACGCGTATACTGCTTCAAGGCTGGCTGAAACTCGACCGACGGCGAAGATACTGCAGCCACTGTCACCATCAATGCGTATTCTGCTCCAAGGCTGGCTGAAGCTTGACCAACGACAAATCATGAGCTGCGTGGCTACCCAAGTCAGGCCGGAGGCGCTGCATAGTCATTCAATCAGCGGGGTTGAGCAAGCGTTTGGAGTACTTTGGTAGTTCTAGACTTGGTGGCGGTGCATGAAGCTGAAGCCCGCATGTGCATTTGCATCTGTTGTGATTGTGAGGGTTATTCAGCTTGTCAAGTTCTCATCACGAGGTACAGGGTCCCTGCACCATAAATGCCTTTGATGCCTCCCATTATCGCCAGCCTTATTAGGAAAGGCTGTCATTTCACGATATAACAACAGCGTCATAGGGGGAATCTTATCCAGGCACAACAATTCTATACAACATTCATAGGGCTAGGCACACTGTCACCGACTCCATTGTCCTAAGCAGTCCCCAACAGAATTAGCAGCGGAGAAACCGATGTCATCATGCAGATAGCTATACACGCCAATAGGCAAGAATTGTGGCTAATTTGGGTGCTTTGCCATGTACTGGGTAAGTGGTTCAACATCTCTCCGAAAGCTTCCCTCAACCTTGGATTCAGCGGATTTAGCATGGGTAAATATGTCTGGAATCTCATCCCTGTTGCAGCCAGTCTGTCTGCGACAACGGGTAGTGCCCGTCGAAGTCCCTCTGTATATTCGAACATCTCGACTGCCTCAAGCCGGAGCAAGGCTGAGCGAGGCTGAGCGTAAGTTGAGCTAAGCCTGGCTAGGGGCTTGGCGTCAACAAGGCGGCAACAGCCGTGTCCCGAAATAGAAGTCGTGCGCAGTCAGGTTTTGCTCCCTTGGTGCGGAGGATGTAAAGATACTAATGAGAGTTTCACAGGCATTCTCTCGACGGCAGACGCCAGGATGGACGACTACGCCGGGAGCTGGAATGAATCACGGGCATCGATATAGCACAAGGGCATTTCGATTTCCATACCTATCACGAGGTGCTGCCATGATCAATGCACCATGGCGATCCCGTCGCAGTCTTCGTCGGCCAAGAGTAAGGCTGCTCAACGACGCAGCGCGAAATCCAGGACGAAATCCAGAGCATCGTCTAGTTCGTTGAAATCGACCCGGCCACCCCTCCTCGTGGCTTCAAAGACCTCAACAAGGACAACGACCACGAGGACATCAAAGACTGGTCCATTGTCGTCATCTTTGTCCTCATCATCGCTCTCGTCGAGGCACACCCGCGCTCTGATCAATACGCACCACCTGCTCCAAAAGCGGCTCGCACGCGCGCGCTCTAGGGGCGACACCACCGAGATACGCGAGATCGAGGCTCAGCTTGCCGCGCAGGGCGGGCTGAAGGCGTACCAACTCGCCAGCCGGACGGGCCAGAGCGCCGAGCGGGGCGGCGACTCCAGCCGCGTGCTAGTCGGCTGGCTCGACGAGGAGCTCAGGGCTCGCAAGGCCGCTCTTGCTGTTCTTCGTAGTGGTTGTCCTGAGCCGCGGCAGGGGGAGTGGCGCGCTCAGCACACCAACGACGACGACGATGCCGACGGTGATGACGCAGAGCAGGATCGCAATACCAAGCCAACAGGGCTAAAACCGCTCAGGATCCTGGAGATCGGGGCGCTGAGCACGCGCAACGCCCTCAACGTCGCGGGTGTCACGAGGGTGAGGAGGATTGATTTACGCAGCGCGGACGAGGGCATCGAGGAGATGGACTTTATGCATCTCCCTCTCCCGCTCCCTCACGACGCGGAAGGGAAGGGACGGTGGCATGACGAGCGAGGATACTATGATGTGCTCAGCCTCAGCCTCGTGCTGAATTACGTGCCCGACCCCAAGGCACGAGGAGCGATGCTGAAGCGCACGGCCTTGTTCTTCGCGCCACAACCACTACCACACGGGAAGAAGGACCGAAGAACTAAGGACGACGACCGCCAGAACCAAAGGGATGTGGACGCGGACGTAGACGCGCTGCAACAACTCCCATGCCTCTTCCTCGTCCTGCCCTCGTCTTGCCTGCACAACAGCCGCTATCTCACCCCGCAGCATCTGACCGCAATCCTCAACTCGCTGGGCTACACGCACCTGCACACAAAGACCACCCGCAAACTGCACTATAGTCTCTGGCGCTTCGACGGGCCAAGGGCCAGAGACGAGTGGATAAAAAGTGGTGGCGACGTGGTGTTCAAGAAGAGGGAAATCAATCCTGGAGGCGGCAGGAACAATTTCTGTATCGTGCTGGATGATGACCATCTGGAGTAATAGGATTTGATGTCTGGGAGAAGGGGGACAAAGGAAAATGGTGGATCAAAAAGGGATGCAATAGAACCTCTTTTGGAGTTGCCTTTTAAGTCTTCTCTGTTTCCAGTCCTGTCACCATACTCTGTCCATCCGACCCGGACACTTCTCCCCTGGGCCGTGCTCTTCTCTCCCCCCCGAGTCGACTGAATACTCGCTCTGTTCTCTCTACATGGTATGTTTAGTGATCGCCGCGCGGCGCCTGATCGTATCTCTGGAGAGGAGGCCCACGACTTCCCTGTCAGTCGCCCGCTACCAGATCGCTTACCGCCAGTCGAAATCCCAACTCTACCCATACAATAAGCCGCGTTCCTTCACCCGATCCACCCCGAAAGTTTGCCAAAAAGGGGTAGCTTTCGACAATAAGAGCCAGAGACGCCTGGGCTGTGTAACAAAAGCGCGCCTTCCATGATAAATAAGTCTGTTGATGTTTCCATACAATGCTCATTGGGCCTTCCCGAACGCCATATCCAGGCGATGTTTGGGGTCGTTTATACCGGCTCAGGCTGTTGCCAATAACGAAAAAGAAAGATAGGATGATTAAATCGCCACCGTCTTCATTTCTTCCTCGATCCCATTAACCCCTAAGCCCTTGACCTCGGCTTCTGGCTCCTTCAATTTGTCGTCTTTGGTTTCATTGTTGCCAGCTGTCAGGACGCGGTTGAGTCGAGTAGGGGGGAAATCTTTCGAATCTGCGCTCTTCAACGAAGCGGGTGTCGAGACGTCGACCAGCTTTTCTCCAGCTTGCTTGGTGGAAGTTGCCACCTGTGAATCTATGGGCGCGGGAGTGGCTCGTTTCTTGCCTTCACTAACTGAATCTTCGGTAGCTTCAGCGAAGTCTCTTACCACATCTCCACCAGGACGAATGGCTTGCGGTTGTGCAATTTCCTCTTGGACGCGAGCCAGAGGACTGCTGACCGTATGTCTCGGGCTGCCAGTAGGTCCCCGCGAAAACCGGTGAGGCGACCGACCTCGATCTTCACCAACAACTGGACTGTTGTAAGGGGAGTGCCGGCCGTTCTGTGCCACTGAGCTGTTATTCAATCCTGCTGGCTGAGATCTCCGTTTCGGTCCTCTCCGCCCATATTTTTGATCTGCCCTCCAACGCAAGATATCCATGTAGGCAGGCTCGACTGTCTCGGTCTTGAATTCCTTCAGCTTCAGCTCGCCCGTATCCTCATCGACAAAGACCTTCTCGGTGCTCAGGTCATCTGCCACCGTGGCCAAAAAGTGTGCCCACGACCGCGCAACAACATACTTGCAATCGTAATCGCGGCCAAACAGAATGACTTGGCCCCATCCGCCCATTGGGCCGGGTGCCAGGTCGATGGCGATATTGTTACCGCCCCAATCTCTGGCCAGAGCAATCCAACTGGGGTGAACATAAGCTTTCTGGATGGCGTTGGGGGGTTGTGACTCCTGTCTATCCAGCAGTTCTTGTCTCCAGAACCGATTGCCATGGGCTTGGGTTGACGAGGAAGCGCCGTTACTGAGGCCCTTGGAGCTGTAGGATGGTTTCCGCGTACCGGCCAGATACTCCTCGTTGACAATCTGCCAGTTCTTCCATTCCTGGACAATTTCTTCGCAATCTAGCAGCATGCAACCAAAAATAATCCCAGTTGGTCTGCCACCGCGCTCTTGCCCATCATGGATGGCGAGGGACTCGCGCACGTCTTGCGGTAATGACATGTTCAACTCGTGTTCCAGCTCGTTAATGTCATTTTGCGTACAGCCTTCGCCCAGCTGATCCCAAAGCTCTGGATAGTTCTTCTCAGCCCAGCGGTCGATCTTCTTCCAGGAATGAGCCACCGGTGGGGGAGGAGGTGCGCCATCAGCAAAGTTCTGCATTTGAATCTCGCCGGGGGAGACGACTTCCTCCGGGCCAGCACGCTTGGGAGATGACACGGAACGCATGCCGGGGGAGTATGGTCTGGCAGGTGACTGGGCCAGCTGAGTTGAGGAGACTGAGGGTCGTTTGGATTCATCGTGGTATGTCTGCGAGAGGTCTTGGTGGGAGTCAACGGCACTGGTGGCGACTGAAGTCAGGGGCGCATGGTGACTCTGTCCGACAGTGACATGTTGACCGGTCCGGTAGGGAGAGTCATGGGAGGCATGGCGGTCATTTGAGGTCATGGTATGCCAAAAGGAGCGCCATACGGTAGCGAAGCTGGAAGAAGTCAGAAAGGGCAGGGCTAGGATTAGGGAGGGAGACGAACGAGTTTGCCATGACTGGCGAGACAGTCACAGTAGTTGCTGCCACTTTGACGGTTGACTGTGGGTTCAGTCGAATTAGGACATTAACATGGATTACTTTGAACCGAAGTTTGGGACGTGGTGGTTGGTGTTGGTCAAAACAAAGGGTGACGGAGAAGTGGTGGTGTTGGTGGTTTGTTGCCGGCCGCAAACAAAGAAGAATTCCCCGTGTTGACAACAGAATTGGACGAGATCAAAACAAAAAGATAGAAGCGGGCTGTTCCACGGAAGCATGCAATCCAGTGCGGTCCGTGTAGAGCCTGGAGAGGAAGACAGTCCTCGGCGAAAGGTGTCAGGATTAGTGGAAATGAGGGTCGAGCAGTCGAGGTGTTTGCAGGCGCACACAGTGCCAAAGGCGCAGGGAGGGCAGGCACTGACAACGAGGGTGCCAGGTGGTGACGAGACGGGCAAAGGGGGAGGAGGCTTTGAATTGAACTGGCGACTGGGAAAAAACTGGGGGAGACGGGCGCCGCTAAAAAGCATATGCAGACACCGCAGATGACATTTTAGACACCCGCGCCTAGCAGTCTAAGGGCCTAGTGGCCTACCACGCCCACTAAAGGCCCAAGGTACCCTGGGCACCCCTGGCTTCCTTGGTTCCCTGGACTCCCTTGGCTCCTTACTGGGGGCCACCAGGCCATTGCAGGCCACTAGGATTGACGCTGCAGCCCGCAGGCGTCGATTTTCTTGGAATCCTCATCCACGTCCGCCATGTCCACCTTTCACACAAATTAATTACAGCTGCGCCGCTACATCCAAAAAACCCAGGAGCCGCACTATCTTCACAAACGACCCAACCGCCGTTTGCATCTCCGGCTAACAGCCCCTCCATCCTCCATCGTCAATGTGTCCAGGGTCCGAGGGGGGGTGTCTGTTCGTATCCTCCGATCTTCAACCGCCCTTTGTCTTTCAGCTCTTGGTTCCCGTCCCTGCACGCACTGCGCCCCAAGTCCCGACGCGTCAATCATCTCTTCAATCAGCTTAGGCATTCATAGCCAACCTGTGCGGGACAAAAACTATCGGATAACAGGTTGATGACGCCCAGCTTGGCTCTTCTCTTCAAAGAACAAACAACCATAACGCCATCCCCGACGGCGTGAGGCTCATGCTCCACTTCATCTACCTGAATCGCGCGTCCCGATACGCGTCAATTTTATGGCTGCAATCAAGCCTCATGGTGGCCCCGCTCGCCGATAGGCTCAAGGTCCGCTGTTGGAGATTGGACGATAACACAAAAGAAAAAGTGTGGAAGAAAAGGGGCTGATCATACCCGTGCACCCTTTGTTTAAGGGGATAATACACCTTGAAGATGATTGTCTTTGAGATATTCTCATTCGCCATGTGCGAGATGAAAGGAGAAGGTCACATCCACCCGCCGATCTTCGACACGCAAAAAAATGTCTTTTCCCGGCTTCATTGATCTTCACAGTGTCTCGGATCCGGCTTCCAACCCCTCCAACCCCTCGTCTCTGGCCAGCACGACGTGAAATTCGCACACAAGCGGACCAGGTTTCTCCATGAGCCGCAAATTCTCCGTGCGATCCTGTGGCAACCTGGCCGCTAGTCTTGCAGGTCGAGAAACAAGCTACAAAAGTAGGACAGGATGCCGATCTTGTCCCACGAATGCGATTTGTGTTCCTACGACATGACCATGAACACAGCATAGCCCTTAAATCGAAGCTTCTGGGCCTTGCCTAAGAAGACGATCATTCTTCGGCCAAAAGATCCGTCTTCTCCTTGTTCACCAACCGCTCACTCGACATCCACATCTATACTGGCCTCATTATGCAACCAATCTGAACTCCCCCTTACACCCACCTTGCGCCAGTTGACTAGGCGGCTAGAGAAAAGATCTTCGCCATAGTTGCCGCCCAGGAACCCTGTGGCGCCTCGCCACACCCATCTATGGCCGCCGAGATATCTTTACAGGATACACAGGTTGATTCAGCACATTCTCTACTAGTGCATTCCCATACATACATTTCGTTGCCGGAGCAGCCTCAAAACAAAAATGCGGTGGACGGCCAATCGGTGACTGTCGCCACGCCTAATGCAGGTACACAAGACATTTCCGTGGTCCAGCCTTACCATCAGCTGTGGCTAGTGAGGCTTCGAGATAAGTATAGCACCCGACCTGCAGCTAACTCAAAGTCTCCTGACTAATGAGAGATAGGTTCACTTCCCTGTTTTCAATCCTCCGAAGTTTGCATTTATGGGCTTGCAGAGACACCTGGGGCTGGTATCTGCTTGCGCAAAAGCTACTTCAGTTCAGTTCGCCACCTTTTGCAGAATCGTGGAAGATCGTCTGGGCAGTGACCCAGATGATTCTATATATCGGCTTTGGTGGCCCGCAAAGGATTTGAGATGTGTCAGCAAGTCAGCAGCCAACCACTTTAGCGGGATGCCCGAAGCGATGTTTTGTTCAGCACGCCCCTACAGAGCGTCACTTTAATGGTCCTCCAGCCCACATATCTGAATGAACTTGAACTGGGTGATCACCTATCATTAGCGAACTACCTCGTACTGACTTCTCTACTGGACGATCTGGGCATGAAGACCTTTTGCCGTTTGCGCCGAGGTACATTGGTGCCAGGCATGCAGAAGCGAGCTCTCAGTACTCTTCGGGCAAACCGCATCGAATCTGCAGGTGTCTGCTGACGGACTTGTTCGGTGTCCGTGCTATTGCTTCCGTCGATAGCCTGAATTGGCACCCGCGCAAACAGGTCGACGCATCCAGTTCTCACATACATGGTTAGAGCTAGACCACTCAGAGTCAACGCTCATAATCAACACTCATCTTGACCTCCCAATTCAGCGATGATTATTATCATTTCCTATTGCAATACTTCGGTTCATGCAAGTGCCGACCGCTTCTTTCTTACAGGGTGACCAGCTTAATTAGACCAAGTAATCTGATGTTGTTCTGTCCACGGGGGCGACCAAGGACCACCTTTCCTTTCATAGCGACTTTAAGGCTGGGCGTGAAGTGCCGTCCACTCTCTCCAGGTGAGCAATTCATTACTAGCCTGTACTACATTTCAGCCGCCAGCCTTGGAATCAGTGTCTGTCACTGTATCATCGCACCATTGATTTGCATTTATACTCTGGCGGTTTCATTACTCAAGACAACGGATGAGACGTGGATATTGAAAGCACTAAGTATACTTACCCTGCCTCAGCTCCAGCATGATACTCTCTACCACCAGCACTTCAACTAGCCTTATATTGAGTCATGGCTCTTAGCTTTCCGGTAACTTCCTTACGTTGCTTCATCACAACTTGTTCCTCACCAATATAGGTACACACGGGATAGCCTGCATTGTTAGCCGAAGAGTTCAGAAGTGTTCGGTCTCGGAAAATTATGTTGGCGAAGGCCGTAGGCCAGAAAGATCCCGTATCACGCCGTCCTCGTCCTTGAATGCAGGGAGCCATTGAGCCAAAGGCTTTGGCCACATCCGCGAGGTTCCTCTGGCGAAGCTGGTGGCGCAGCAAGAGCGGGAGCAGTGTAGGTAGTCCTCTCTCCCCCAGCAGACCGACGCCAGCTCAGCCGTGAGGTTCTTCATCGCTTCAAGTCTTTTCTGCCTGAGCTCTTGCTCCCTTCCTTTACATTCACGGCCAATTCGATTATCAGCTCGTCCTCACTCCCCCCTCCCTCTCACGTTCCGAGACGATGAACCATCTCGTGGAACGTAGCCTCAGGTCAAGCATTTTTTATCCCAAGCCAGCCATCAAGCATTATGCTGGAGCGAGTGGAAGGGAAGGCGAGAGAACAGGAGAGAGACAAAGAACACCATCAACTTTATATATAGAATAGCATAGCATAGGAATTCGCTCCCCGTCTTCGTCTCCCTACTTATACAAAGTGGAAAACTCGGTTTATACCTCGAGGACTTGTACGCCTGGCCGATCGCGTCAATTCGATGTAGAGTTTCCTTTGTCGGACGAGGCGCTGGATATCTATCCACTATGCTAATGCTATGCTATTCCATGCTGACCGGACCACTCCCACTACTACTTAGGACATATGTGCATGGTAATCTCGAGACAGAGTGTGTGCATGGACCGTAGATCTTGGTCGGGGAATCGAAGGAATTGCAAAGGCATCATTGCAGTGCGAAATGCTGTGAGGATTGTATCTAGGTTTCTTCAACTATCAAGTAAGTAAGCTCTATTGGCATTTGGCAATTTGCTATCTACAGTGCCAACGTTCGGGAGTGCATATATAGCCTTTCGGAGCAGGTGTTCCCACGTGACAAGGCTGACTCCCCTTATTTGCACTCTCACAATACCAGAAGTCTAATCCTCCTTCTTGTTCCCAAAAATCAACTGGCCCTCCAGAATGAAGAGACTTAAAGCCCACGCCACTGTATCCCATCGTAGTATTAACAAGGTTGGATATCCGTATGTCCATCCACCCGTATTGATCATCAGAATCATTAAGATCGAAACCATTTCACAAGCGGAATGAGACTCCGAAGGCGTGGCCCGCCTATGGCTTGCTCAGCTGCTCCTTGCGGTAGAACTGCGGGAAGACAATGTTAGCTCCGGGACATCGACGCTCAATGACAGAGACAAGAGTCCTCGCTCACCTTGAAATACCCGACACAGATGCTCAAATTCGCAACCAATCCAATCCAGAACCAGGCCTGCCAGATATTGCTCACTCCACCACTGATGTCGGGGCTGATCGGTCCAGGACCAATTTTGTTGGGTGCAACAGCTCTAGCTATTATAGTAGCCACTGAACCAAGTACCTGTGCCATCACGAGGGTGAATGCAACGTGCACCCGCGTCAGTGTTGCGAGGAGGATCATTCCCAATCCCACGCCTTGAATAGCGTCAAGCGTACCAAGCCATAGCCACAGCGCACGTGAAACGAGCGCTGAAGCCGTGTAACCGCCCGCCCAGGGAAGATAAAGACCTATGTTGCTAGTTCCCCACCATATCTGGGCCCAGCGCGGTGCACCAAGACCAATGGCAAAGAGGGGTAGTATCCAACTGTGCGACTTGGAAAGCACGCCAAAAAGCCACAGAAGGCCAGCCCAGACGCCAATGAAAAATAGGACGACGAGTAATAGAACTTGCCAGGTCTTGGCGTGCGAGCTACTCCAGAGGAACGACCAGTTACGGCCATATGGGGCCGAGAGAAAGAAATTCTGGATGAGTACTGTGACGAAGAACCAGAGAACAATCTTTCGACGCAGCAAACTCCTGTAGAAGCTCGGCATTTTGCCGGGGGCTTGTCTGTAGTAGCTAGGTAGACCGAACCACATCAGAAGGCCAACAAACCAAAGCAGAAATGCAATTGGAAGCGCGATAACTGTGATTTTCCAGGTCGAGGAAATGGGATCGGAAGTAGTGACGAGGGCGTCGACTGTCTGTCGATTGAGATATGCACCCCAGTACCACAGCGCCACGACGTAGATTTGCTGTGTGCCTTGAATCACGCAAGCTCGGAACACCCAAGCTTTGACCTGAGCGCCACCCTCGTCGCCAAAGTTGAGAGCAAAGAAGATGGAGCCCGATGACGAAGCCACAGCGTACATGCCCGTTCCCATATTTTGGATCCATCCTCGGTTGCTGATGGTAGACCCATAGTGAGCAGTCCCGATCAGAATGAATGCCAGACCGTAGAAGAAGAATGGCAAAGATAGACAGAGTCTAGACTGAAACCGCCTAAAGAGGAGCCACCAGCATACCGACGTGCCGAGATAGATGGAAGCAACAGCGTAGAGCTTGTCTGCTGTCTGCCCAACCTCTCCAGTCAACAGGGTGATTTGGTAGGAGTTGGCTGCAATGATTTGCCCAAAGCCCATGAAAAAGGCATATACTGGCCAATCTCCAATCCGCAATTGCATCCATTTCCTCAGGCCAGTGGGCGGCTTGTAGTCCTTGCCCAGCAGAAACTCCTCGGCAAGATTGTTGGTGTCGGGCTGAGACTCAGGATCGGTGTTGCCCCCATAGATAGAAGGTGCGGCCGAAGTCGGACGAGAATCACGGTTGGTGTGGAAGCTCGAGCGGCCCGAGTAGGCAGTATGCCTTCCGAGTTTTACGTTGCGGAAGGTGTCAAACCATTGTTTCTCTGACTTAATCAGGAATTCTTCAATACATGTTGTAGACTCGGAGTTGCTCCCCTTAAGGTCTTCGAGTTTCTTTTCGAAAGTCCTTGCAAATTCGCCGTTGCTGTCCGTAAAGAAAGGATCGACCTTTTGTAGTTGAAAGTCGGTTTTCTCTCCCACTATTGAGTTCATGGAGAGCAGCGATTTGCTACTCGAGATGCGATTGTTGTCTGTGAGGACTGGCGGTGGAATGAGAAGCCCCGATTCTGGTCTAGGCGTGCCTTGCTCAGACGAGTGAACATTTCTCTTCGGACTATTCGCTGGCGGACTTAGCTCCAGTCCAACCATTCTATCTGATCGGAAGGCATTGTTTGATCGTGCAGAGTAGGGGGAGTCGTCATTCACAGGTACCCTTTGATATTGCCCGGGGTTCTCGATAGGTATCGTAATGCCCTCCTCATCGTCATCCTCGAGATCGCTACCAATATCTTCGTCGTCTTCATCCAGATTTTCATTGGGATTTTGCAGAGCAGCCGACCCCAGCCCAGTATCGTCTCCGTCGATATCGGGAACAGGAGGAAGGGCTGCAGGCATATACGGCTCTTCTTCATCATGTTCATCCTGGGTGTCGACATGACCAGGGCCTCTGCGTGACCCGAGAGAAGCTGAGCGCGACAGGCCAGAAGCCGCCGGCGAATGGTCAGAGGTTGGACGGTCAGCAGTGGTATCCTGGCTCTGTTCTCGACTGTGACCCAGATTCTTGAGACGAGCAGTGAGAGAATGCAAGGTTGTATAGCTTGACAGTCGCGAATGGCCAAATGTTGGGGTGCGGAAACCAGCTGGTGTGGCTGCACCAGATCCTCCAGGAGTGTTCCAGGAAGAGGATCCCAGAAGATCTCCTACAGCGCTATGGCGCCTCGTAGCTTCGATCTTGTGGTGGATACGGATAGCTGTGGACTGCAGTATTTCGAGGTCTTCAACCCATTGCGCAACTGGAAACCTCTGTTTGGCCGATCGTGCCCGCATTAGCGCACGAATTTCCGTCTTCGAGCTTAGGGCCTCATGGATGGCCTGCTTAAACTGATGAAGTAGATGCGCAGTTGTGGTGGACTCAACAGTGTACCACCAGCCCGGCATTTGCCCCAGACCTCCAACTCTGGCGCCTACGCCCAAGGCACCTTTACGACCGAATTCAACCGCGACAAGTCCAAAAGGTTCGTCTCTGGAAGGGATCAGAGCAAACTCAGCTCCAGAGAAGATGAATGGAGGAAGGGCTGTAAAGACAGGCTTGGAGAAGACTCTACCAGGGTAGAGCTTCATCATTCGATCCAATTTCAGTGCCGCGAATTTGCCGTACAGATCAATGACAGGTCCGATGGTGATGAGCTGCACGTTTGGATTGGACTCTAAAATCGACGGGAACACATCTGCAATCAGATCGACGCCTTTTTGCATGGACCAACGTCCGACGAAAACAAACAGCTCGGCGTCGGGGTTTTGCTCCAGGCCAGCCCATTCTTGAGCCTGACGCTTCAGTTCAGGCCGTGCAGCTTCAAATTCTGGGTCGATCTGGATATCGGACTCATTGGGAAGCTTTTTGTCCCACTCGCCCGTATCGGATGGGTCGGGATTAGGCAATCTCCCGACCTTCTTTAGTCCCCAGAAGATAGGGTATCGAGCATATGATCGCTTTCCATATTTCTTGGACACACCAACTGCTCCGAATCCTTGCTGATGGACCCTCAAATATGAAGCCCCGGCGTGAAGAAGATTGAATACTTCGCCAAACTGGACGTACCGCTGTACAAGCTCAGAAGATAGGTTGAAGACGGAGCACACCTCATCCCGTTCCTGCTTTGTCCGCATCGGCCACAGTCCCTGAAACTCGGCATTGTGCAGGGACAAGCAGGCGGGGATTGTTCTCGGGAGGAGGTATAGTGGAGCCACCGAGCCATGGTAGTCGTTGATGTGATAAAGGTCTACAGGGAATCGATTGAGGGCTTGGGCAATGCATTGATTCCATGCTGAATAGTAAATGGCCGAAGAAAGGTCGTCCATTCGAGGGGGATAAGGTTCGGCCTTTGTCTGCTGCCTGAAAACAGGTGCGTCGAGAAGGACGTAAGTGATGTTACGCAGAACATGGTACTGGATCTGGACTTCATATGGCTTGCCGAGGACTGTCACTGTCATCGGATCCGCTCTCTTGTCTTCTGGGTAGTCTACGCCTCCAACACAGGGCACGACCCAGATCAGGTCTTGGTGACCTAGGTTCTTACCCATCAGCTGTGCCATGACACCGAGCCCCCCAATCTTGATCTTGATACCCCAATCTTCGATGTCGTACTCCATTGTTGCGATCAGAACTGTGCGTCTTTTCTGCTGATCGATGACGGTGTCGGATTGTTGCAGAAACTTTGGTTTACGGGAAATTTTCGTCAGAATGCCCGGGGACGCTTCCTCATCAGCTAGCTTTTTGAACTGTCTCTTGAAGACCGTTGGGATCAGGCCAGTCTTCTCTGATATACCAATCTCATTAAACTTGATTTGGTAAAAAGACTGCATAAATGACCACACGCCAAAGGCTGCTGTGATGATTGGGACGACCCAGAGGAGCACATAGAGGATAAGCTGAGTCCACATATTACCGGACGGCAGGAGCTCGAAATGCAAACTGCCATCATCTATGACGACCCGCCATCCGAGATGTGGCTTTGGAGGCGGCTGAGTAATGTTCAGAACGACTGCCGCGAGTGACGATGGTGGGAGACGATCGAGGACAGAGTCTCCATCGGCATCGCCCATCACAATTGTCTGGTCAGGTTTGCCGTCGGGGTTGAGACCCCAGACGTTGATTTGGGCTAGGGCACCCTTCAGACTCCATTCGGTCATGAAATGATGAGCCCAAGTTGAGTTGCCTGTGAGTTTCATTTCGTTGTCGAGACCAGCATCGTATCCGTACTGGTTATAAGGCCCGTTCAAGAAAAGATGGGGAAACCGCCGAGGTGTGCTGAAGCCGAGATCGCCCTGTTGGATGTGGTCGCTACTCCCTGCTAGGCGACTGAAATACTCCACATGGACGTGAGTGCCTTTCCAAGACTGTAACTTTGTTCCAGTCCAAGCCTGCTCTTCAATCTGAGTTTTCCCGCCGACGTAAGGCATCCATTCTGAGAAAGACGATCCCCAGTTTGTAGAATATCGCCATTTGTCTGCCCCAGCCGCCGCATGTGAGATGATCAAGGATCCATTCTCACTCTTGCTGAGAAGACTTGACGAGTAGTTCGCGGTTCTTGTAAATACGATTGGATTGTTTCTCTGCCCGATCCGGAACAGGAATCGATCAATGGCGTTCGTGGGTTCTCCGGCCTGGGATGATACGTTGTGGACTGAAACTGCATGCATGCCATTGGCCACGTTGTTCAGCGTGGCCGACCAGGACCAGGTGGATGAAATAGCGCCGACATATGGAGGAGCTTGTGCATTCTCGAGATTGGAGCATCGGACACTGCCTTGGTCGATGGTTGGAGTCGTTCCCAATTCAGTAGTGGAGTTGAAGGTAATGCCATTTGTGACGCTTTCACAATTCATTTCCACCGAGAATTGGAGCTCAATGTTGACGGACTCCGTGCCATTTTCACTGACTTTGGACTCGATGCGTACGTCGTGGCCAGGGACGAATTTAGTTATCATCGGTTTCGGTGCTACCCATTGATCCAACGGAACGTAAGCTCTAAAGTCATAAGCGGCCATATGAAGGCTGCTTAGACAACCATTTGGGTTCGCTGACCCGTTAATGCCCAAGCGATGGACGCTGTCCGTAAGAGTTTGTTCATCGTAAGGGTAAAACAGATTCTTGACGATCGTGCCGGCGTCGTACGGAGCAATCAAACTAGTCGTGTTCAAATCCGTATCGTTGTTGTTGCAATCGAAGGTATACGTGGTCGATGCATTCGCATTCGAATAGAGCAGCCAGACAGGGAGATTGCCCGCGCCCGTACCACTGAGATCCTGGATTCCAGGAAAGGCGGAGCGCATCACTGACCACATGCCAGTCTCGGTGGTCACATTGCCGGAACCAGGATATTGGATCTGTTGGGTCTGATTGGATAATTGTTGCAGGAAAAAGCCGTCCTGCAGGACGGGAAACTGTTCTCTCAGTTGATTCATATGATGAATGATGTTGCGTACGGGGTGCGACGGGTCCCTGTGGTCAAAGCTAACTGTATCATCTTGACAACCATGACGCGATGCATTCAGCGGCATTTTGAAGAACTGTGTGGAATCAAGACTGTAGCAACCATGGGTTTGCCAGGCAGTTGCTGAAGACATTGCTTGTCGACCGAAAATGTAGTTTGATGCCGTGTTGTCCAGTACATAGAATGCTTGCTCTTCACCCCACAGCAGCAGTGGAGCACCAGGCATATGGATCGTGGTTATGAAATGGCCCAACAGTTGGCGATGAATTCCGTTGGCGATGGCGGGCCACCGAAAGACATCCTGATTCGTAACGCCGTACATGTGCCTAGGATCGACTTTCCCAGTATTGGGATTGACAAAGTCATTCGTGAGCAGAAAAGTATTCCACATGTCCACGAAGTTTCGGGGAGCATCGTAACCAGCCTCGAGATTGCCGTCCATACCCAAGAAGCGTGTCAGAGTACGATATACTGTGTAATGAAAGGCAGCAGCATCGAGGGCACCATGTTCGGGGTCTCTCAGGAAATATTTGTCGGCAGAATCGTTGGTCATTGTGGCTGCCATCGTCAGATTCTCGGGCAGCATGTCAGGCTGCCTCCCACGACCCAGGAAGATCGACCCGAAGACGTTTCCGCCAGTAATCTCGCCGGGGGTGAAAAAATTGTCTTTTCCGAATCGTCGAGCGCATCGCCGCATTGCATTGTTCATGTAGCCCATGGCGTCAACTGTGGATTGTGTAGCTTTATCATATCGATAACCGTCGATGTCAAGCTGCGCAATCATCATACAATAAAAGTTCTCCAGCTTCTGGCGGACAGGCTCGTGCCATTCACGCAGACGATCTTGGACGGATGCGAATTTTGACAACTCACGACGCCAGTCTGGGAAGACACCGAAGGCTTCTGTATCGCCATACTGGTCAAACTCGCTGTCATAGCAGCCGGTCATTTGGCTTGTGACATCTTCGCCGACAGGGTATCCCGTCTCGAGCCAGAATTTTGGGTATTGACATGTCTTGTTGTAACTATTTCCAAAGTGGAAGTCATGGTATTGGCGAGATGACTTCCACTGCACTTGATGCTCTGCGAGCGTAAAAGGCGTCGTGGTATTGAGGTAACCGTCAAATCCGATGAGATCCCCCAGGGTAGCGAAAGTATTGTCCAGGATAACATACATATTGCGGGCATGGATCTCTTGTATGGCAGCTCGCCACATGTCGATGGTTCCGAAATGCTGGTCGAGGACAGAGAGGTCAAGCGGTGAGTATTGATCATAGCCCCATGGAGTGTTTATGAAGGGAGAACCGGCAATATACAATCCCTGCATTGATTAGCCCAGTCCTACGAATGGTGAAAAAGCGGACATACCTTGACGCCCATACCATGGAGGTAGTCCAGCGTGTCGACAAGGCCCTGCAGATCGCCTCCATGGCGCATCTGGTTGGAATTCAGGTCATGTTCATATGCTGTTCCATTTATATTGTCGTTGGTGGGGTCGCCATTGACAAATCTGTCAAGAAAGAGCGTATAGAACGGAAAGCGCCAGTTCGACGGCGAAGGATGATACTGATGGTCCGTCCATTCTCCCCAGTAGTCTATCGGATTCTCTGCTGACTTATTCTGATTGAGGTTGTATTGGAGGAAAGCTGGATCATATCTGAGAGCCCTGCAACTCGACAGAAAGACTAAAGCGGCCCAAGCGAGAGTATTAAAGAACATGTTGTAGACAGGGAAACAAACGAAGGACTAAGTTACGACGATGGTAACTGTGAAAGTGAGTGTGGCAACCGTAATAGTAGCGAGTGACTGGCGGACATCAAGTCATGAAGGAATAGAAAGAGGGTATAAAGAGAAGTGCATCAAGGAGAGGACGAGGGAGAAGAATCGAGAATCTCCCCATCGCAGGTCAGCCTACCACACACCATGTGCTCCATGACCAACAGGGACCGATACGGAAACAATGAGAACAAGCTCAGCCTCTTCCCGAAGACTGGGGCTGCAAGAGTTCGATCGGAGGATACCTGGATCGACCAGCGTAGTACTCGTCACACAGTCCAGCAAGTGGGGAGATATATGAGACATGGTAAGCATTGTCATAGAAGTTTGCTGCCAGCCTGTATGAGTCTCATGCACCGTGGCAAACACGGGTTGGGTTTTGCGACGGGGGGGGGAACTTGAGGGATCCAGGAACAGGCTGCAGCGACCCACGCTGAGGATTCCAGATTCCACATACCTGGTGCATGCGTTGGCGTCCGGATGTTCGAATACAGAAGATGCTATCCATGCCAAAGCTGCTGACGATTAAGTATCCCTGACAGGGCCATAGAAATGAGATAACCGTCAGGCGACGAAAGTTGTGCGAATCCAGGTCACGGTACTATGAGACAGACAGTCAAATAATAGTATTGACTGAAATGGGCATTGTGGCTATGCCTTCTCGGGGTTGAGCAGTAGTGCCAAAATCCAGGGCAAGGACGGCAAAGTCATCCATAGGGCTGGAAACAGAGAGGTGAAAGACAGGATACCCTAGGTATGGAGTTTTGACAGGGAATAACTGTTGGCGAGCCGGGATAAAAGCGGATATCACTCATATACTCTACTTGTACCAAGTACTGCTCTTTTTGCATGGAGCACTGCGGCCCAATCGGTCCAGGGTGGCATATCATGGGGAGGAGTTCAACGTTGCATATACAATATGAGCAAGGACCTCCCCTGTAACAGCCCATCGTACCTTCGTCATACCATCGACAAGGCGGATACAGGTAGTAAATGGGATTCTGTTCACTATGCAAGTGTCATCATGATACCCACAGGTGAAATATGGATTACTTTTCATCCCAAAAGAGACAATCGTGATCGTGATCTAATAGCTTACCCGAAAACAGAATGCTAGTTCGGAAACATAAGCGATTCGCGAACTTAGCGAGGGCAATCCCCTGGCTGTTATCTTTAGGACGATGCTGGTGGTGTGCAGGTGCCTGTGACTACAAGAACAAGTACGACAGTGCGCTCTGGGCGACAAGGCGTATCGGTCGTGGATGAATGTGTGCATGTGCCCATGTCTGCGCACTTAAGCAGGGTTCAGGGAAGCAAACAGAGCGCGCCGAGAGCGCCGATTAGATGTTGAGCATGGCATTTGCAGATGGCCAGGAGATGAGAAGCGGGCTGTTGAAGGGAAAAATTGGGCAACTGGAAAACTGGGATGTTGGTTGGAGGTTGAAAGTAGCTGTGGCTTCAGCAACCCGCTGGTCACGTTGTCCCACTCGGGGATAGCGGCCTCCTTTTCGCCTCTCGCCTTCTCGTTTTTCCGGCTTGGCGTGTTAGCGGGACCCGCCAAGACCCGCCTGTGTCTCGACGTCTCTCCATCTCATCTTCCGTTCCAGCCAATCCATACTCGGTATAAATCCTTTAATGCGCCCCTCGCTTCGATTAAAACCGCTCACGCGCCATGGGCACTTATAACAACCCCTGCCCTCAACAACGCTACCTACTTGGTCCAAGTACTCGGTACATAACAAGTACAAAGTATGTACCGAAGTACAAGTAAGGTACTCCGACTCAGCTACCTGTACTCCGTACCGAGGACCCAGAATCTCAAGTCTCGGCTAGCTTCTGAGATGTGCCTTGATTTCTGTCGGACAATGACGAGGCGTATTTGCAGAGCAGATCTCTCTGTCGCATCCATGATCATCCCAGGCCAGAGAGGCTTAAAACACAAGCTCACGGCAGATACAGGAGGCGTCCCCTGATTGCCAGCCTGGTTGGCCACTTCCGAGCACACGTGGGCATCCTTACCACTTCCCTTGCACAAGCAGAATTGTGCAAGGCTGTATATCCGAATGGGCGACTATTGGATGATGTCGTTCCACTTGGATGAGGCTTAGCTTTGAAGTCGCATGCTCACCCGAAGTTGCGCTTCTGAAGACAAGAATAGCTTCTCGTGTAGCAGTATGGTTTCCCCTGCATGACCTCCAGGACGACCTCGTCTCTCAGTGGATATGTTTCGGACAAGTTGTGGGTTCCTCTCGTGCATCGTCAAACCACGCAACAACAACGAACCCCATCCCAGCCTTTAGCATTGCTTATGACGTATCATTCCACTGTGTTGCATTCGCAACCTGCAGAATTTTTATACTTCTCACACCCCACGAGGCTAGAATCAGTCGCAATGCCTGATGTTGCATGGGAGGCATTGCCTCGGAAAGCCTCTTAAGATCCTGATGAGACCGCCTTCAGCGGGCTGTCTCCTCTTCTTTGCTGATCTCTCCTTTTATCTGCAGCCCAAGGCAAATAGGGTCTCAGGAGAACGAAGAAGGTGCTTAACATCATTGAACGGAAATCCTTCCATACAAGCCGCTCATACCTTCATTCTAACACGACCGTCAATGTACCAGATGACGAGGCGGGAGCAATTTCTCTGATGTGCACAGCGATATAAAAATCAAAGAACCCTGAAACAATTGCAAAAGAGAGCGAGGCTTGTGTCTCTTATGCTCGCAAAGTGGTTTCATGTGCCCGTCTGGACCAGCCGGGAACTTCGCGCCGTATCAACTGGAACCCGCAGAACTACAAAGTAGGCCCAGGCAGAAGGCAAGGAGGATGAACCGGTGGCACGATGTTCTATCACAGCATCGTCGGTGTCTGCCACCGTCAGACCCAATTTCTGATGCGTATCGCCTTCACTCTCTCAGCGAGGAGATCCTTCCGAACCTAGTCTTGAGACGTGTCATCCTTCTTTTGATCCCTCGCTATAAATCCATGGCAGAGTTCCCTTTACGACTCCCTGTTTGGGTTAATGGGCCGTAAGGGTGCGTGGGGAGGTAGGGTGTTCGCCACAATTCCCGTCTATTATCTCACAACCGTGCGAAGATTAGTCTGCAGTTAGGAATTGCAGTATCCGCAATATATTACCCAAGGCTTGACCGCGTGGGATAATCTCTGACGAGACATGAAGTCCTGTTTTTCCCTGCAGGAACAGTTTTGGTGGCTCACTCGATCGAATCGCAATGCTAATCGGCCACTGGCTTGGGCGGTACGAGTACGAGAGACTTGCTCTGACGCGTCATTCGGGTCGGCACGCATTTTGCACGCATTTGCACGCCCTTGCACCTAATATGCCAACTCGACGAGCCCTTTTTCGCATCTCACGCGAGCTTACCACGATAGGGCATCTGGGCAGTCATTCTTCCGCCCCACCCTGCACACCCTGCACACCCTGGCACACATCCAAATGATACTCTTCCTGCACCCAGCCTACCCACTGGAGGAGAGAGGATGACCATTGTTGAGGATGCGGGTGCGTTGCTGGGGCCTCACGTCGCGGTCCTTGAGTCGCCCGATCCTCTCCTCCCCTCAAGGATGTCGCCAGAAACTGCGCTGCAGTTCACTCAATTCCCAAAGACCTTCGTTGCAAAGTGGTAGCAGCAGGGAAAACGTTCCGGACTTTGCGTTCGCTTTTGAGTAAGGATAGGCAAGCGCCGTCTCTGACTGCCATACTGACCATGGTCTCGACAGCATCGACGGTGTCCTCGTTCGGAGCTCCAAACCGATCCCCCATGCCTCGTCGACGCTCAAATTCCTCCTCCGCAATCGCATCCCGTTCATGCTCCTCACCAATGGCGGCGGGAAGCATGAGTCGGAACGAGTCAAAGACCTCTCCTCAACCCTCTCTGTACCGCTCGATACCTCCAACTTTATACAGTCGCACACTCCATTTGCCGAGCTGATACATGGAGAAGACAGTCTGCGGCACAAATGCATCATGGTGGTTGGAGGCGAGTATGGACGCTGCAGGGACGTCGCTGAGATGTACGGCTTTACAAACGTCGTGACGCCCGGGGATATATACACAGCGCACCCAGAGATCTGGCCGTTCAGCAAGCCCTTTCAGCGTGATTACTATGCCTCGTTTGCACGTCCGCTACCAAAACCCATTCACCCGACATCTCCGGAAGACAGTCTGAAAATTGAAGCGGTGTTCGTTTACAACGACCCGCGCGACTGGGGTTTAGACATGCAGGTCATCCTCGATGTGATGCTGTCCCGCGAGGGCATCATGGGGACATTTTCATCCAAGAACGGCGACCTGTCCCTGCCAAACAGCGGCTTCCTCCAGGACGGACAGCCAACACTGTACTTCTCGAACCCGGACCTGCTCTGGGCGGCCGACTACCACCTGTCACGCCTGGGCCAGGGCGGGTTCCGAGAGGCCCTCGAGGGCCTCTGGCGTGCCGTCACCTACAACAAAAACCACCACAAGCCTCCGAAGCTGTACAAGCGCGTCATCGGCAAACCCCACAGGACAACATACTCGTTCGCGGAGAAGCAGCTGATGCGACACCGCGACTCCCTCTTTGGAAAACACCACCCGACCAAGTTGAAAAGGGTCTACATGGTCGGGGATAACCCGGAAAGCGACATTCGCGGCGCAAACACCTACGAGTCGGCTCATGGAATCAACTGGGTCAGCCTGTTGACGAGAACGGGTGTATACAAAGACCAAGACGGCCGTCGCCCGACGTGGGAGCCCGCAGCCATTGTGGATGATGTTAGAGCCGCTGTGCAATGGGCATTGAAGGACAGTAACTGGCACCAGCCCTTGGAATAAAGCAAAGACGCACAGAGAGTTCGGCATTTTAGGGCCCGTTTCTCATACTCGGCAGGCAAACATCGTTCAAGCATGCCTCAAAACCGAAGGACCTTCCCACTTCTTGGGGCGATTTGATAGAACCTATACAAAATCAAACGCATCTCCCCCGTGGTCATTGATCAACCTCCCTACTCTCTCCGTCCCTACAATCCTCTCCAGCTTCAACACATCCCACTTTGTGAACAGTGCTCTGATCACCCCCTTCGCTCCGCCCTTGGCAGCGCGGACCTGTCCGTCTTTTTTGTCAGTTGCGTGCCCCAAGAGCGCGATGATCTCCGTCCAAAAGATGGGATTCTCGGGAACCCCGTACCAGAGAATCTTCCTCACGCCCTTGATCCGGTACCGGAAATGGTGATGCGCTCGTTCCGAATAGAGAAGCAAGGCATGGCGGCCGGAGAGGAAGTGCGAGCGCGCACGCATCACCTCCTTTACAGGGGTGTATTCCGAGACACTTCCGAAAGACAGAGCCGTTGTGTCGGAGGATGTTGAGAGGTAGTTGCGCAAACGAGCGAAGTCGGCGTAAGTAGGAATGAAGAGCAGGATGCCACGTTGATGACGCGCGTCACGGACGAGTGGGGCAAGGATCGTGGTCGCGAAGAATTTAAAGCGGGCATCCGATTCGGACAAGGGGTTGGGCGAGGGGATACGCAGAAAGGTTTGAGGGACGCTCGACGTGAAAGGCAGGGCAAGGGAGGAAATGGAGAGCATTGCCCCAGGATAGGTTGGGACGAGCTTCAGTCGTCCAGCGACATTGTGTAGATGGGTCGAGGCTAAGGCGTTGATTTCGGGGGTCAGATAGTCGGAAAATACGATGGTTTGTCGCAGATATTTAGCCTGCCCATCGAGATACCAGTGGCGGACGCGGGAGAAGTCGCAGCCATGTGAATCCTTGGGGAGAAGATTGAGCTGGGAGAAGACGTGGTCGACGTGTTGCCAGTTCTGCATTTGTAGGGCGTTTGCGTGGTCCACGATGACGAGCTCGATGGAAGACAGGAAATCTGCATCCTGGGGTTTCTTCTTGTCCTTACCGCTACCCGCGGTTATCGTACGCATCAACCCAAGAGGGGAGCCGATGATGATGTCCGAGTTGTAGAACCCAGAGAAATACTTGATCGTCTTCCTGGTGAATTTCAATCCGATCCGAAAATCTTCCTCGTGGTTGCCCCCGAAGAGTTGTCTAAAGTCCTCCGGTTTATCTTGCCATTCGTCCCCGTCTTCGTGGGAAAAGGTTTCCATGAACCGTGCTTTGTTTTCTTGCTGATCAGGTTCGCTGATCTTGACAATGCTTTCGACGAATCGCACACATGCCTGCTTCGTAGGTACCACGATGAGAACTTTGGGTCGAGTGAACCCTTGATCGCGGAGGTCGAGAGCCTCAGCGGTAGATAGTGAGCTTAGTTTCGCATTGTTTTTGAGGACGCGATCTCTAGTCTTGAAGATATGGTTAAGGGCATGCAAGCAGGATAGATCGCGCAAACGCATTGAATTCCTAACGTTCCGGCCGCCATTGATGATGTCGATGTAGTTGAACACAAGTCCGGCGATGTTCTTCTCGTCCGAAGATAGACTAGAGATGATTTTGGTCCCACCATCGACCAGCCGGCGCTTTAGATGAGAATCTCTTGCCGATTTCAGCCCGCTGACTTGGGCTGGATTCTCCTTTGTGAAGAGAGCTGTACTGCGAATGCCCGAATCCGAGGTGGACGAAGTGATCAACCATTGTTTCTGGTCCACCTGGCTAACTGCGTCTTTGAAATCTTGTTCCAAAATTGTCGTGTAATGCTTCTCGAACGGATCTCGCAATAGGATTTCTTCATTTTCCGAATCAGCGTCCGCCACATGGCCATTTTCATGCTCTTCGTCGGCTTCCACTTCCTCTCGAAGTTCCAAAGGTTGCTCGTATGCGTCCTCCTGAGCGCTTCGGTATTCAAATGGTTCCTCATCGGTCACAGACCTGTTCGTGTCCTCATTCTTTTCGCTGCGCAACACCTTTCTCTTCTTCCTTGGAGGTTCGGAATTCACTTTCCCCGCGCGGAGCGATTGCAATAATAGGGCATAGGAATTCGAGGCAGGAGCCTCATCCTCACTCGCAGATTGAAGCTCCCGTTTGTCTTCTCTGGACTGATCTTCTTCGGCCGCAATCAAGGCGTCTTCCTCGCTCCTAGCGTCATCTTGCGACGCATCATCTCTAACGGTATTAGTGGACCACAACTCCAACCAATTCTGCTCACAAGCCACTCACTCGGTTTCTTTCAGTCGGGAACCCTTGAAGACATATTGCTTCTCAGCCACGGGGCCTTTTTTGCCTGTGCGACCCTTTGAAAAGGGTCTGCCTCCTCTGCGAGGCCGGTAGCCAGGCATTGTGAGTCGCCTGTATTTTAGCAATGGTAGTCGATGCGGGGAAAAATTTTGTTTCGAACTTGAAGTGAAATGTCTCCAAATAGCGAACGTTGCATCGCCGCTTTACCCGCAAACACCAAGTCTACCACGTGATTCTACAGTGGCGTGTTTTTGTTCCCGACCAGCCCGACAAATGTGCTCAGGAACTGTCGAACTGTGTCTTGCTGTGTCTCAAACAGACCGTATCGATGCCTCAGATCACTTGACAGCATAGCCCAGCATGAGGCGTGGTTGGCCAATCGGGTCCTCTCGAAAAGAATGTACGGACTACTTGCCTGTTTCTCCTGGTTCCGCTAAATGAATCTCGTGATGAGAATTTGTCGGGGGCTCGCTCGAGTTCAGCTGTTCGGCACTCCTGTTGACTGCAGCCAACGGTAGCAACCAAGGTAAGCGAGAGACAGACCAGGGGTCTGCAGGACTCGAGCCCGACAAACTCGCAACTACAGAATGGTCCGCTTACCGACAAGGTCCCCTCTCCGTCGAGGGTGTATTTTGACTACTGCTGTGTGTATCTTGCTCAAACCTACAAAGTACATTCACATCGGGGACTTTGATCTTTTATCTCCCAGACCATAGGTTAGGTTGTGTGCGGTCTCGGAGTATTCATAAATTCGCCCTGTGGCGTGAAGTACTGTCCTGCATGTGAAATCATCGGTACAGGGTATCCCATGCAATTTGACTCCCACCACCCGCGCACTTGTCGCACAGCCAGTTTCTGGGCCATACCCTTGTCTCAACTAATGAAGCTTGCTTCCAACATCATGTCTGAAAGTTGGCCAGCTTCTGCAATACCCAAGGGCGGGTCTGAAAGTGATTTGCTTGGTTACCTCGCGGAGGTCAATCGGCGAGAGAGGCCATGTCAGACCTAGCTGAATTGCATCAGATTGCCAGCGCTAGAAGGCGATTCAGGCGACAGTTTGACTTTTTGGAACAGGCAAGCGAGAAAGTCATCCGTGCCAGCCTGACAGAATATTTGAAACGGTTTCAGTACCACTCTCCTTGCACTCTCTACCTAATGTAGGGAGGCTGAGAAGGCTCGCCAGGGAGATGCAGTTTCTCCGACCCGGTCTGGATCTGCCAATCTACTAGAGGTTCATACGCCCCGGTCATCAAATGCTGAATGAGAATGACATCCTATTCCCTGACCTTGAACGAGGCCCGGACCAGCTAGACGACGATACAAAAATTCCCGCGAGCGGTGGAAATCGTCGGGATGATCGAGGTGTCGAGCGTCATCATATTATGGATAGCTGGGGAAAGCGTGGGACTAGTGACAACCATCAGTTCTATTTCAACTCAGCAAATCATAAAACCGCTGAGCTATGGCAAAGAGCAAAATATGTTTGGGAAACATAGACATCATGCTAACATACCCGGAATTGGCTTTGAAGTGGTTGCGTTCTTCACGCTTCACCTTTCCTCTGTACTGGAGATGGCTGGCGCTGCGCTTGTGCCTTGGTTTTACCTCTCGCTTCGGGCTAAAGACTTGAAATCCATCCCAAGCATATGACAACCAAACTCACCTCCTCTTTGACCTCTTGAACATTGCCTGATCTGATCCGTAGGCAGTTGAAGTGACTGGTGTCACCATGTTAGGATCGAGAAGCCTCGGATCGTCGTCGTCATTCGCACCGACTCCGAAAGACGGTGGCTTTCCAGGTTTTGTGAGAGCCCAGAGATACTGACAATCCCTGAGACATACTGCTAGTCTCCTCATCGTCCTCCCGCCGTCTTCCTATCGCACACTTGCCGCACAAACCTTGCTACTTTGCGCTGCTCAGCCTCTAGTGTGCCAGACGCCTGTGGCGGGGAGTCAGGGAAGGAAGGGCCCTGACAAGACCTCTTATTCCTACAGCTGAAATACTGCGTGTTGGAGCGTAAGTGGCGGAGAAAACTGGTATCGTAGCACGACTTGAATAATCAATTTACTCGGATTCATCATTAAGTATAGAGAGACGAACAATCCATTTAGCTCTAGGTTTCGAGCCTGCCTACTTAACTCTCGTCCGGTTGTGAGGACGGGGACCCCAGGGTCTGGGTCTGCGGACGTCTCTGGAGCCGGAAATTGTCCAGATGGCGGCTCTCGTTGTCGCCATCTCTTTCCGAGGACTTGGCTCCCCTGCCCTTGCCCATATTGATAGCTGCAATGACGGACTCAAGGGCCCGAAGTCCCGACTCCTTAGCGCGGGTGTCTGCATCAGCACCGTGAACCTCCTTGAGGTACCGCATGAACTCGAGGTATGCTTTGGAGACGACATCCAGGTGCGACGCTCTGAGAACGACCTTGGTACCGTATTGTGCCTTCAGGTCGTACTTCTTATTCGAAGGCTGGGCGTCAAATTCGGCAAGGGCAAGTGCCGTCTGGCATGCATTACGGATCTGGCGTCCGTTCCATCTGGCGTCTTCGTAGGTACGGAAGTACTCGCCGACTTTTTCGAGAATTTCGAACTCTTCGATCTTGATCTTTTTGTCTCTCTTTTCGTACCTTTCTTTAATTAGGTCCAGGTTTAATTTGACCACCTTGATGGTAGATACGCTGTTCAGGGGTGGGTAGTGGAGGCTCATGTGAATTCGGGAGACAAAAGCCTCGTCGAAGTCGCCAATTCTATGGGGTGTTAGAACTTTTTCGAGAAAACGCGTCTCAAGGGCCCGGCAAGACGCACCGATTCGTTGTCAAGAAGAGTATCCCAGCGTAATATTCCAACACTCGGAGAAAGACTGAACGGCAAGTTGAGCGAATTAGCCTTCGTCTCGGGTGACAAGACTCGTTTGCTGTTCCCATCGGCGTCCAATTTGATACACTCGAAGAGGCATCAAACCAGGCGATGACTACTCACCTGCGACAAGTCCATTTCGAGTGAAGTCCTGGTGCCGTCTCTCAGCGAGGAAGACATCCGCTTCATCGAGAAGAAGGATGCAACCCCATCGGTTGGCAAGGGCGAAATTCGTTTGTAACGCAGTTTCTACCTGTTCGGCATTCGAACCAAGGTCACCTGGACGTAGAGAAACCTGATCAGCTCGGCTTTGCGTTGTCTCGAGGTGGAAGTCGTAAGCTAATGTCTCACTTACCACAGGTGATTTGGAAAAGTGGCTTCCTGAATCTCTCAGCAACCCCCTCTGGAAACCGCCACGAACTGGTTAGCTACCTGCACACTTAATTCAAGAGTCTCAAACATGCAAATGGGTCACCGGGCCACTGTGCTGTCAAAGCATGTCAACAAACGAAGATTTCTCACCAGCAGTTGTTGTCTTTCCCACTCCTGGGGCACCGTGGAGAAGGATGATTAAGCCCTTTCCTGATGACAGTTTAGTGATAGAGACAATCAAGTCACCATGTCCAAGAAATGTACCTTTTCCACGCACAATGTCGGCCTGCTCATCTTTGTCCTGCTGTGACTCCTTGTTTCGGAAGTGTTGGGCGATCAGCGAAAGAACCATCTTCTTGTGGCCCCGGGGCAGTACAAGGCGTCCGAAGGCAGTCTTGTCCGATTCGTCATCATCCGGGTCATCGTCTTCATTCATATCGTCTTTGACAGCAGAAGTGTTGACAGGGGTAAGGTTCGATAGGTCCAGCTGTGCTATGTACACCGTTAGCTTGCGAGCGTACAGGTGAAGAACCTATTGCTGTATATTTCCTCACCCCATGTGCGGTCCCGCAGGGCAAATCCGAAGACTCGATACGACATGATAAGTAGCTCTTCATCCTTGAGCTTATTTTCATCCGTCTTGGTATCTTCCAAAGGCCGGGGATAGATGGCCACGGAAGGTAGTTTCCGTGGATTGTCTTCGATCTCGTCCATCATATCACTGATGAATTTCTTACAGCGATGGTTTTCAACGTAGGAATCGTTGTGGACGTTTTCTTGCCAGCAACACTCGGCCGTGCAGCTGCTGGAATCCTGGTTTTCTGTGAGATCAGCTGCTAGACCTACGAGTGGCGTAATTTCTGGCAACCACTTCTCCCTGTTTTTTTCGGATCCCAAGGCCTCCTCGAAATCGATGACCACCTGGCTCTCGATCTCGTCTCTGGTGTCGACAGTCAGGCCTGCGTAATACATGTGCTTCACTCCAGCCACCTCGACAAACTTCCTGCCACGCTCAATGAGGCTTTCTCGCAACCGAGCAACGCCAGTCTCCACCTGAGCCTCGTTCTCCCCGCTCGCTTCAAACTTGGCCATCTGGGTGGGCCCCCTTAAATTTCTTGCAACATAGAGGCGGAGAGGGAGGATTTCGAGGGTGTTTAAGGGTCTCTCGCCATCAAATCTTCTGATCGTGAATTTCTCCAGGACCGGGCCGAGCTGCCTCCCATCGTAGTGAATGTAGACACAGGAAACGGAGATGTCTGATTTGCCACGAGACTCCTCGTCGTCCTTTTCTCTGGTATAGAAAGACCAACGATCAGCCCCCTTGTGCGGAGGCGTGAAAATGTTGGCGACGAGGTAGGCCTGCTTGCCGTCGTTGGAGACGACGATGTCTCCAGGTTTGAACAGATGCCAAATGTCCGAGAAGGAGATTCTGTCACATCCGACACTGTTCAAGTAGGCGTGCTTCGAGTAGAGATACTTGTCCATGAATTCCAGCAAGCAAGCTAGATGCTCGAGAGCCGTGCTGGACGTGCTGTAGCCGTCCGGGTCTTCCACCCCCGACTTATCTTTCCCCATCGATTGTGGGTCTGACGACTGTTGCCCCTCAACAGCCTTTACGGCCTCATCAGGATCGGGAGGCCCTGTTGTCGTAGGTAGACCCTCGGTGTCGAGTTGCGCTGCTTCGTGATCACGTAGCAGCTTCAAATGCCACTCTCGTATTTCCTTATCATAATATCTCAGCATTTTGAATGGCCGAAGCAAGACAAGCGAGGTGTTTTCACTTTGCTCCTCTTGGTCAGTGATCAATTTGGATCCATGAATGCGAGAAAGAATCATGATGAGCTCCTTGGAATGAATTCTGATCCGTTCCGGTAGAGGTCCTTGGCCCCCTTCCGGATTGATCGCAGATACATCCTGTACCTTGGAGGCTAAGATGCTACTCTTTGAAATTCTCCAGGGATTAGCTGAAATCTTTGGCTCCTCGGTGAGAATATCGATGGCAAAAGGCGATTCTTGGAAGAAACGGTGAGCTCTGAACGCTTCCCAGTCAACTCGATTCAGCGTTACCAACATCTTCCCCTGGGGTGGTATAGTTGACGCCAAAGTACCATCATCGCTAGGAATTTTACGTTGTGCCATCGCTTCCTGTATCTTTTTGGCGTCCTCTCTCATTTGTTCTTGTTTGTACTGGGCTGCCTTTTTCTCCTTGTGTTTCAGATATCTCGATCTCTGGGCGTTAAGCCGGTCGAGCTCCCACTCGAAGTCGCCGCGCAGCCTGGCACGAAAGTAGTCGAAGTCCCTAGAGCGGGTTGAGCCATCACTCCACTCTTCGCTGTCAGATGTATCCCACTGGTTAGGAGGCCCAAGTTTGCGAGAATATATTGGTCGAAGTGAAGCTAGCGGGCGAATAGCACGATGTGGCTTCTGCATCGTATCATCTCTTCGATACTTATTGAAGTCCGACAGCGTCCATGCGAAATATTCGTCCATAGTCGCAAAATCGAAAATGGCGCATTTGCCCTGATCCTCTACGCCGTATTCAGTTGAAAAGGAGTGCATGAAGGGTCCGGTGTAGGCATATTTGGTTCGAGAATCTGCAGTTGTTTCAGCGTGTGCTTCCGTGTCTTTTACCCACTTCTTCGCCGAACGAGCCCTCCGTATCTGCTTTCGAAGTCGTTTCTCTTCCGAGGCATCTGGGGCCTCCGTTCGTTCATCATCCGCAAAGTGCTGGCCGTTGACATTTTGCTCGTGTATTGCCTGCTGTTGCAACTGACTAAGCCTCTCTTGCAAAGCTCGAATCTCGAGAAATAAGGGAGAAGCGGTGGTAGCTGTATCCGGGGGGGCTCCGGTGGCTTGGTCTTCACCATGATCATGGTTTTGGTCGTCAGCTTGTTCGTTCTGGAAATTTCAGCTGCTTGTCCTGCATCTTGACTGGCACTTGACCAACGATGTTGTTCTCCTCGATCTTCTCCCCAGGCTGTGTGTGCACGGAATCCCCCTGTGCATCAATGGGACCAGCCGCTGGCCCAGTGAGGGATGGGATCCCCTCAGTCCGCTCAGGAGATGGTGCCATTGTCCTGCAAACTGGGGTCCTCAAGTCCAAAGGCTCGACTGCAACAAGACGGACTTGCAGGAACTTTGCAGGGACACACGAGGCTGAAACTAAGTTGCTTACCCAGCTTGCTTTCGTGTTTTTTTTTTTTTTTTTTTTTTGTTTTTTTTTAAAAAAAAAAGGCACAAATCTCTGTTGAAGACGTGAATGTTTGAATGAAATGGAATATAACGCAGAGCACCAGCCTGGCAACGACACAGACTGGAGTGGGAAGAAGGGTGGGTTTCTCGAAGTAGGCTGGGCTGCTGGGAACCCAGCCTTGATAAGGCCCTTCAAGCAATGCTGGGCCGCGCGCTTTCTCGGCAACTGCACGAAGAGGGGCTCGTGGTTTTGTCATGTGCTGAGTTCGTCAGGCTCATCAAGCCGTGGGAGGCGTCCATTGATATGCAGGCATGGAAGCCACGCATTCGTCGGGAATAGTAACGGGGGAACAGCCTTTCAGCTCGAATGCAGAGACAGTAAGTCTCATCCCAAGCGGGCCAAGTGATGTCTGGTCCAAGGTCCACGCATCCTCCAAGATTGCCAATCAGAGTCGTCGCCTGCAGACCGGTGAGGACTGTAGGTTGCATTTGGTTGTCGAGCTAGAAGCGCGCACATCCTGGCCCCCACCTCCTCATGCAAAGTCGCAGCGCCTAAGGGATGCTCCAGAGTAGGTCCAGCAGGCCACCTGTCTCATGGGACTGGTGGAGGGGTTCGTTGCTCCGACCGAGGAGGTTGATACATTTATCCCCCCTCCCTACCCTATACAGCCTCGGATTTCACTTCGCATTTGCCCCTTTAATGGAACCCGCAAAATCGTACATACCAGACCTTGATCGGCAGTCGCTAGCCGTTGATTTCATCGAAAATCGCCTAGGGAAGTACCACCCAGGATTTGCGACGCCGCCTGCTCGGTACGATCCGGCCCTCGACAGCTTCATAATCTGGACACCGCCAGTAGATGTAAAAATGCAGTTGTCACAGACTGCCACTACGCCACAACAAGGGGATGTCCAGATTTTCCCAAGGCCGCCCGCAAAGCCTGTAGCGGCTCTAAAATTCTGGGACCTCCTATTCGCCCGCGCCATGAGCCAATTCAAGATGGCTTCGGAAGAACCGAAGGGCCGCGAAACGGCTGGATTCAGTATCCGGGACAAGACCCACTGGACTGCCGTTTTTGACCAGCTGGAGAAAGCCAGAGATGTCTACTTCGAAGGGAAAAAGCCTACAAGCACTGTTAGGAACGTTTATCGCAAGCTGGCCGATCGGGCCGCCCCCGTCGCCCTCGATGTCACCAAGCTGGTTCCAGACATGAACAGTGTGTTTGTGACGCCTGTCGTGGCCTCGATTCGGATTATCCTAGAGGTATGCAAATTACCTCGCTAGGGTGGGATGAAGACTGGTGCTCACATAGCTGCTCGACAAATAGGCAGTCCAGAAAGCGGCAGAAGTCAGAAAGGAGATGCAATGCGCCTTCGACGACATCGATATAATGTTTTCTGAGATTGAGCTCTTTCTTCAGGCATTTCCAGGTGATGAAAACATCGTTCAGGCTTCCGTCGAGTTGATCATGGCTACATTCTCTGCCATTGAAGCAGTCATTGGATTCTTCCTGAAATCTGCCCGTAAGCTCTCCGTGTTAATTATCCTGGGCCACTACGATTATGGGTAGCCTGGCTCGATTTGTCAATTACTCATCCCGGCAGTGAATCGAATGGGCCGGGCCATCCTCAGCAGGGAGAATTACGAGCAACAACTGCTCGACACGCTTCAGAACGTTGAGTCTAAGAGCCAACGGCTTCTTCGCGAGGCAAAAAATTCTGGCCTATTGGTCATGAGTGAGGGGATGCGGCGGATTCTTGCTCGTCAGGAAAAATTACACCACGAGAGCAAAGACTACTTCAAATTAATGCTTGACACCCTTTTGAAGGAACTTGCGGCCAACAGAAAAGGTAGATCGAGCCAGTTGATCCGGCATCCTGCAGGGGAAAAATCTGACACTAACCAAACTGTGTAGAACTGAACTTTCTTCATGTCGCTGTCCAATCTATCTCACGCCCAGCATCACCCAACCCTCCGCCCTATGAGAGCGCTGCCCAACGCCACATAGACCCACAAGACCTTCTTGACTGGATTAACATTCCGAATGTGGCAGATTCTGACCTAAAGTTCATCAATGAGAAGAGACAGATACGGGTCCCGATGAACGAGCAGGCACGCGCCGAACAGCTCATCCAAGTGAGACAACTCAAAGACTGGATGGTATCCCCTACATCATCGCAGCTTCTGATCCACGGGGACTACCAAGGCAAACAAGACATCTCAGGCCTGTCCCTGTTCTGCTCGTCCCTTGCCCAGTCGCTTGTCGCCAGAGCTCCGCAGTATATACCCCTCGTTTTCTTCTGCGGTCTTCACACTGATCGGAACGTTGACGATTACACTGGAGGCCTCGCAATCATCCAGAACTTCATTTGCCAACTTCTATGCCAGTTCGACTTTGACAAGAAATTGTTGGCCAACGACGTGGGCGAAGACCGCATCCGGGATGGAGATATCGGCAAGTTATGCAGCTTGTTCGAGTTGCTCGTTAAGCAACTACCCAGTACTGTCGTGCTGTTTTGTCTAATAGACGGCATTGTGTATTATGAGAGGAAGGAGTTTGTGAATGACCTGGGACTCGTGCTGGTAACACTGCTAAAGATCTCAGAGCAGAGCGACCAGGCAGCGGTAAAAGTTCTTGTCACCAGCCCAACCGTGACAACATCTGTTAGGAAGCCATTTCCGCATGACCTGATTTTGTCTATGGCATCAATGGCTCACTCGGACAAGGTTGCTAGCAAATGGAGGCTAGAAAGACAACTGAGAGTCTCGCAGGAACCACAAATCGATGACGAAGCTGGATGAAACAGGATGCCAAAGGTATTTTCTAACACTCTAGGTGGATGAAATCAATATCAAGCTCTCATCGTTTCTTATGCAATACCAGGTGATATGGATCCTAAATGAGGACGGGCGGTCGGAGGCGAGCGAGGAGTGGGCAGAAGGGGGGAATTAATCCAAGAAGTTTAGGGTAAAGAGCGAGTTTAAAGGTAGAAAGAGGGAGACCAAGTGGGTTTTAAAAGCGAGTACCGCCGTCACGGGGCGACGGAAGATGGGACGACAGGTTTTCGCCGCGTCACACTACCTCAGAGATACACAACTCGGTCAACTAGCCATCCTTGACGTTTCCCTTGCACTATAGGATTGCCCACTCGAGCCGCCGAGTTGACCTGGAGCACCTCCAGTACCCATCTAATTATGTCGGAACGCTCAGCGGCATCCGTGAAACATGGAATAGCCAACGATCGTCTTTAGCCCGAGGCCTACTTGTATTGATAGACATGTGGGCTGACACTTGGAGTCCATCTAGCAGGCTGGGCCACATGATAACTTTTTGATACATCTCAGCCTCATTCAGCACCACCGATCGCTCACAGTAAAGCAGGCGCATTCGAACCTTTACAAGTCCAACTACACACCTCAACCGAGCCAGAACTCAAACCCCAAAGAACATTCAAGGACAGGAGGTTGGCACGAAGTAGACTGCTCCGAAGGTGAAAGCCTAAGTGGGAATCTTTTGCACAAGAGCGCGGCTGTGCATACTTCTCGTCGAAAGAGGAGACTAGCCTTGTCTGAAGCGAGAACCTTTCTGCTCCATTTTTGGTGCCTGGCTCGCTGGACGGCCTCACCAAAATGTCAGATCCTTCGAGCACATTGGATAGTTCTCGTGGAAGGGGAGAAATAGAACTTCTGTAAGCTAAGTTGTCCCTTTTCATAGGACAAGTAGCAAACGCTGCCTGTCTCTCATTAATCCAGTCCTAGAGCAGCCTGGAGTACGAGGTATGACAGGGCTGAACATTTTTAAGGGTCAATCATACCCGGTTCGGTGCTGGTGTACGTAAGGCCCTCGTAGCCCTGGGGGCCTCTCTACTTAATCCAGGCTAATCTTAACTAGAGTTGGGTAAAGTTAGGTAGTAGGGGCTTTAACTAATCTTAATAACAATCTTAACCAACAATTCGTTGATTTACAAGTAGGTAAAGCCCAGTGAACTCACGAATGCCAAGACGAGGGAGACTTGCGCGGATCAACCTGCTAATAATATACCATATGTAGATAAAGATGATACAGCTAATGGGAAGAGGCTCAAGAATGTATAGCTCCACGTGATTCACAGGAATATCTGTTTTTCCGGTTCGCCGACGACCTGGATTTTTCTCCGCTAACGAACCCCCCAGAAACTTGTCCTCGACGACAAGCATACGAGCCTGGGCTATGAGTTGCATAACTCTTTTTAGTTCCCAGATGCATCCCTCTTTTAGAAGGATTACCAATATTAAGATATGCACTCCCGCGACAATCCGAGCAGTGAGGTCGCTCGGAATAGATACCGACCACTTCCCCTCGACTTCAAACTACACTTCGCGACGCTGACTAGCTCCGCTAAACCAGCATACTCTGTACATTGTGGACAAACCTGGCCAACATGGGCATCTTTTCGCTCGTCACTAGTCTTTTTACGACTTTGCTTTCGCCACTGGCGCTGCCTTCAAGGGATGACTAACTCGAATGTCTGCATTGATTGGAAGTTTGTCGCGATCCCTGACTTGGCATTATAAAGACCGCGGCGCATTCTCGCCCACGGAAACAATGGAACCAGAAAGCCTAAGCCATCGGAGACCTTGTACATGTAAGCTGACAACGGTGGTCTCTGAGTTGTCGTGTTCGGACTCTTCATTGCAAGGGACGCCTTATGGTGTGGCAAAAGGCTCGGCGAGCATACTTTATGCATATTAAAGATGGGATTTGTACATGGTCAACAGCCCGACCGGGGGAAATGCAGCACGTTATTCCTAATATCAGAGACTTGAGAAGAAATATCAAGTGAGCCGTACAATCTTCGTCTCAGAAACCCGATACCATGAACTCGGCAAATCCACAGGAACTCATCCGCCTCGCCCGAGACCTTTCGGACGTTATAAAAAGGGTCGATTTTGAGTCGGGATTGTCTGTGGCGCAGCGCGAGCGCATTCTCTGTCTCAATCAAGCAATCAAAAACAAAGTGCAGCCTCCGGAGGACCACATCATCGCCACGGCCTTCACGATCAATCTCAACGTCTGCATTCGTGCCTGTATCGAACTCGGAGTGTTCGATTTACTGCACTCCGCAGCCCCGAATTCGCTCTCTGCCTCTGACGTTTCAAGGATACTGAACGCGGAAGAACTACTGATTATTCGCTTCATGCGAGGCGTCTGCTCCCTCAACTTTGCGACCGAGGTAGGACCAAACCGCTTTCTGGCCAACAACGTCACCCACGCCATGGCCCAACCACCTCTGGCTGCAGGTTTTAGTCTCATATTCGACAATGCCGCAAGACCGAAAAGCAACCTGTGGTCTCACATGGAGCTCTTTCGCCAGCAGGGATATAAGAGCCCCTTCGACGCCAAGAATGGGCCCTATCAGCATGCAAACGACTGTGTCGGCAAAACGACCTTCGAGCATTGGATGCTGGATCCGGCAGAGAGCGCTCGATTCAACACGTTTATGAAAGGCGTCAGGGGAAGCCGGCCGAATTGGTACACGTGGTTCGACGTCAAAATGCTTCTCGAAAACGACCGCGAGGTAAGAGATAAGGAAGTCTTCATGGTCGACGTCGCCGGAGGGTATGGGCACGATTTGGACGCGTTTCTGCAATGCCATGGCGACCGGGTCCGAGGCCGGATCATTCTACAGGACCTCCCAGGCGTCATCGAGGCCATCGCGCCAGGTTCCATCTCCGAGCGGATTGAGAGACAGAAGCACGACTTCTTTCTCGCCCAGCCCGTCCACGGCGCCAGGATATACTTTATGCATATGATCATGCACGACTGGCCTGATGACGACTGTGTCAGAATCCTGACCCACTTGAAGGACGCGATGACAAGGGGCTACTCGCAGATCCTGATCAACGATATGATTCTTCCTGACACGCAGTGTCCGTTGATGTGAATAATAACCTCCCCCTCCCCGAAAACATTCGTCCAACGATCAATAAATAAAGGCAAAACGACTAACATTGCTTTTTTTGCCAGTGCAACCGGAATGGACATTACGATGATGGCGCACCATTGCGGGGTGGAGAGGAATGAAGAAATGTGGATGAGCCTGATCGCCAAAGTTGGCGGCCTGGAACTGGTGAAGATTTGGTACCCGCCCGAAGGGGAGGGGATCGTTCAGATCGCCAGAAAATGAACCATCTGTTCCTCGATCTCCAACCCGTCCAGCCGGAAAGCCCCACGCACCAGAGAGGGAGGGTAGGAATGGGTTGTACGAGTATCATCTGGATGATTTGCGTTCGATGCCTCAAGTAAGGCCCTCTGACTGATCCTCCGCTGTCGCCTAATCTTCTGTCCCCACTCCGTATGTATACATATCCATATTTAAAAACACCAAGCCGCCAAAAATATCTCATTGGACAAAACAAGACATTAAGCGAGAAGCGTGTGGAGAGTCGGGCCCTCTTTCGCCCCCTTCCGTTTTTTTCCCCCTGGGGGAATCTTGATTAGCCAGCCTTGCCGGAAAACCAGTGTGGATCTTCCGCCCAGACGCTGCCGACAGTCCGCGTATTGTGATTGGTGTGAAAGGGGGATCCATCAATATACCGAATACTTTGTCCAAAGTACGCCGATAAAATGCATGCTCCGTCCTTCCTACTCCCTAATCCTTCGTCCCGGCCCCGACTCCGACCTCTTGTGCCCTTTGTCGAGTTACATACATGAATTACATGGCACAAGCCCCTCCAAGTCATCAGATTTGGGCTCCTCGACGGACACGGACGGAAACGGCAGGTGAGTGCTTAATAGTTGCTTGCTTGCTTACTGGGGACAAACCCGTTTGGCAGGGAAACAGAGTGCATGTGGATAGAGGCTTCTTGCCGCATGCGCTGCTGAAGACATACAGGCTAGGGAGTTGCTGACATACGATACCGGACCGTGGAGCAGATGTAGGCGCACAAGACATCACTCCGATGCGGCTGCCGTTACGTACATGGCGCGATAGCTTAATCTGGCTTGACGTGACGTGACTTGGCGTGAACTAGCCAGCTATGGAGGTGGGTGGGAAGAGGTGAAGGTGATTAGTCTAGGAGGCTGAGGATCTCAATTCATTTCCCACGTTTGGGTCGTTGGAAAGTGAGATGAATGAGCATTGAAAAGGAGGGAGGAAGGGAAGGGAAGGAGAAAGATTGTAAATTGTCGTCGTCGTCGTCGAATTCTGTCCCGAGAGAAACAAGAATCAGATTCCTCGATCGGCCGCCCGGCTGCTGTCGTCTTCATCTTCATGCAGATTCCCGTTGTTTGTTTCGTACACAGCCCATCCTCCTGCGCCGTAGCACCCAGCTCGCTACATACCAAGCTAGCTAGCCATCCGTCTGCCTTATCTTGCTTTAGCGTCTGGAAGCTCAACATGTTTCATTCCGTCTCCTCCTCGCTTCAGAATTTCCTGGAATTTGTGCCATTTCGTTTTCCCCTCGCCAACTAACCAACCTTGAAAAGCCAATAGTTCGGTCAGCCAGTCCACATCCAAGCCGAGTGAGTATACATGTGGCTGGAGACCCCGAGGTTCGAATTCGGAACTACTAGACAAGACGCCTTTGGGACAATCGCGCTGAGCCTGGCCTAGCTTGGGGGCGGCTTGGAATATAATGGTCGTGCACGAGTGCACACACACACAGACACACACACCGATTCGAAAGCACGGGTCCTTCCAAATCCATCGTTCACGCCCTGTCCTCGGATTTGATGGCCTGTTCGACACTGCTTGCGTCTTTCACATCGGCGTTTGCGGCGTCGCAGGCTGCTTTGGCCAGAGCCATCTCTCCCGCTTCTCCGGCGTCTTGTTCCACTTTGACAAACGGCTCGCTCTTCATCTTCTTCTTGGGGCTGCCTTTCTTGGCGCTCCCCCGTGCTGTGGTGTCGTCGCCGTCTTCTGCAGATGCCTTGCGCTTGCGGGGAGTCTGCTTGGCGGACTTGGGGGTCTTGGACTCGTCATCTCCTCCGTCCGCTGCATTTCCGACGGCACCGGCACCAGCACCAGCAGTAGCCAGACCGATGCCGCCGCCGACGCCATCCGGGACGGTGATAGAGCCATTCTCGAACTTGAGGCCGTTGTTCTCGATGATGGTCTTGAACCGCGCAGTCCTGCCAGTTTATGAGATATTTCCCCTCGTGCCAAGTTTTCAATCTTGTTTCTGAAAAGTGAAGGTTGGACAAGGGGGAAAAGAGAGGGAACAAACATACGCATTCCTCGCATAGGCGATTCCATTCTCCTTGGCGACTGCGTTCCAGTCCGGCTTGACCTGCTCGCTATGCTTGAGGACGCTCAGAATGAATTTGAAAGCTGGATCTGGGGCGCCGCTTGCTGCAGCTGCACCTCGTGGAGCCATTGTGACTTGCTGTAGAAGGGGAAGGTAGTAGTGAGGGATGTCCGAAGGCAGTGAGATGGGTTAGAGGAGAAATATTTGACAAAGCGACAAACTGAGGGAAGAATGTGTGAGTGAGGAAGCAAGGATGAATCGTGTTGAATGACTGCCGTCTGTGTTCTGTCCAACGTGAAATGGCAGTGAAGACAAAATAACAAGGGAAACAGAGAGAGAGAGAGAGAGAGGTTATCGGAAAAGGAAATTGAATCTGAGATGTGAATAGAAGAGAAGACTTCATGAATGAAAGTAGAGAGCAAACACCAAAGCAACGCCTCTTTCTGCCGCTATGGCACGTGCAGTGTTCATTCATTCATTTACTCTGGCGTCCAGTAGTTCTGATCCGTGACCTTTGCCGTATCAAACTTGTACTCCCCCGTCTGCCTGCCCTTGAGGTCCTGGAAGCCCTTCTCGGTCTGCAGCAGGTACAGGTTGGGATCCTGAGTCATGTTGAGGAAGAAAGGCACGTCCAGGCTGTTGAGGTCGCCGTCGACCCATTCGACCCCGGCGGTCGAGATGCCCTCCCACTCGCGCTCGATATTGTCCTTCATGGCCCGTGGCAGCTTGGTGGTCATGGGGCACTGGTACCACGCCGCAAAGTAGTCGATGGCGAGCATGGTGCGGTGCTTGTCGCTCCGGTTGGGCATCCCGGCGTGCCAGAGCCGCAGGTCGCGGAAGCAGATGCTCCCCTTGCGCACCTTGGGCTGCACGGGCGGCTTGACCTTGGCCCGCTCCTGGATGTATGCCTTCTTGATCCAGCCTCGTTCGGGGAACGCCTGCTGTTCTTTCTGCGGGTAGGCGTTGTGCGTGCCGCACCACACCTCCGTCACCCCGTTCTTCTCGTCCGAGTCTTGCAGGTAGATGTTCATGACGAGCCCGAACGGGATCTCCGGCCAGGCGTGGGCAACGTCGCTGTGCACGGCCTGACGCGCAGTCCCTCCGGGACACGCGACGTTGCTGTTGATGAACCGCAGCTCGGGCTTCGGTCCCAGCAGATTCTCCACCACCCGGATCATGTGAGGATTCGCGTAGAAGTCGCGGTCCAGATACTCTGGTTCCAGCGGTGGGATCTGGCTGACATTCCCCGTGCCGGCGCCTTGGTTCCAGTGCATGTGTTTCTTCTGGAGGAACTCGACATTGTCCTGCACCATGCGGTTGTACAGGCGGTCGACGAGCTCGTCGGGGATGGCGTTTTCCAGAACCACGAAGCCGTCTCGGTGGAAGTACTTCAGACACTCTTGCAGCGTTTCTGGTCTGGTCTTCCCCGACTGGAGCTCCTCATCGGTCAAGCGGATGACGACGGGATTGTCGCCGTGCTTCTCGACGTCTGTGATCAAGGCTCCGTCAACGTATCGCGGCGTCGTCGATGCAGGGGGGTCTATTATCGCTGAAGGTGCCATGATGATATCGATGCTCAGCCACTCGATGAAGCAATCTCAGATCCCGACAGAACAAGGACAACAGTGCTACGGGCACCACGATAGCTGTCTCTTCACCTCTCCCTCTGGAGATACTATGCCCGAGGTTGAACAAAATTAATTCCTCGATCATCGTGGTTTCAGGTCGGACTTCCTCTTCCTTGTCGGATTCCCCCGCTTTGGCCGTGGAAGCGGCACGCTGAGCACCAGTCTTTCCGGCGGAATTGCCATAGTTGATGGCCGCGTCTCTCAGTCACAAGCTGAAACGAGGGCCAGTTGGGTATTAACATAGGACTGATAATATCCTTTTAGGCTAATGGGACGGTGGTACATCTCCGCTTGTGGTAAAATGGGCTACTCCACCATATCCAACCGCTCCTCCCCCAGCTCCCCGCAAAATTCCCCCCATATAACTCGGATATCGAGGCATTATCAACCATGCTTTCCCCTAAGCTTCAAGCCACCAGATGGTGTCATAGGCTATGTCAAGGACGCAGCTGTCTCATTGGCTGCTAGCCGAGTGCACCGCCTTGCTCAAATGAGTAAATGGCACGGCTGGAACATATCGGAATGTGGCCGGGACGGCTGATCGACTGTCTTGCCACAGATCATCGAGAACCAAAGAGGCTCTAAAGCCACTTGGACCATCAGCTGGTGGTTCTTCCATGGACAATGTGAAAGTTGAACTTGCCTTGTGACCTCTGCGTTATGCGTGTCTCCATTTTCCTTGGGGCAAACGTGCTCCTAGAATTGAGTGCAATGGAGAACCATCCCGACACACACCCTGTCCCATGTAACCTTGATGCTTCCAGAAACTGAAAACTGCTACCCGAGGGTATTCAGCAGATTCGGAGAACAGCCATAATACTGTACGTGGTCGCCCTTGTGTACCCCCTGTTTCCCCGGACTATGCCCCGGCCACTTGGCCCAGATGTCTCCTCAGGGGAATCGTTTCCCTTGTCAAAAGAGATACAAAAGCATGGCAAAAGGCCGTGAACTAGGTTGGTCTCCGCATTCCTGTCACTCTCTTGGTTGCTCGTCACCGGTTCTGCAATCATGGTCAAATTCTCCTCCCGGAACCCCCAAACCCAGAACTTGGTTGTAGGAGGCCAAGAGTATCCAGAGGTCAAATGGTGGAAGCACAGCTCTCTCATTCACTTGCATTTCCTCTGCGCAATTTTGCTGCTGTCTTCGGCCACCAATGGCTATGATGGATCTATGAGTATGCCGTCCCCTTCGACCTGCCGGGAAACCAGATCGAGCTGACCGTGAGATAGTGAACGGTCTGCAAACCTTGAGCTATTGGCAGGATGCTTTCCACCGACCTTCGGCTTCCACCCTCGGGCTATTGAATGCCATTTTTTCAGTTGGACAAGTCGTTGGCCTACCTCTAGTGCCTTTTTTTGCAGACCACATTGGCCGCAAGTGGACCATCTTGATTGGAAGCTCCCTGATCTTCCTGGGCGTGATCTTGCAGACGGTTTCCATCAATATTGGCATGTTTATTGCGGCTCGCTTCATCATCGGGCTCGGAATTGTTTATACTCAGAGTTGTTCTCCAATGCTCATCACCGAATTGTCTCACCCTCAATATCGTGCGAGGCTGACGACAATCTACAACACCCTGTGGTATCTGGGCTCCATTATCGCTAGTTGGACAACGTATGGCACTCTCAAGATGCAGGGTCAATGGTCATGGAAGCTGCCTAGCATATTGCAGGCATTCCCTTCGGTGATCCAACTCTTCTTGATCTGGCTCGTTCCCGAGAGCCCCCGGTATCATATTGTCAAAGGCCGTCACGAAACAGCCAAGAAGATATTCCAGCGCTTCCACGGCCCCGCTTCGGGTCACGAGTTCGTCGAAAGTGAATATCGCGAAGTCTTGGAGACTATGGCGCTCGAGAAAGAATTCGCCTCCCGCGGCATCTCCGAACTTTGGGCGACCAAAGGCAATCGACACCGCTTGCTAATTGTCACCACGGCAGGTATATTCTCTCAAACAGCCGGTTCAGGAATAGTGAGTTATTACATCTTCCTCGTCCTGTCGCAGATTGGCATCACGGATTCCAACTCTCAGCTCATCTTGAACGGTTGCTTGACAATTTTCAACATGTGTGTCGCAACGGGGATGGCCTTTGCGGTGGACAAACTCGGCCGTCGTCCTCTTTACTTGACGGCAACCTTCGGAATGTGCATAGCCATGACGGGCTGGACAATCGCTAGTCAACAGCAGCAGACGCATGGAACCACGACGGCCGGACGGGCGGTGATCGCGCTGATCTTCATCTTCATGTTCTTCTACAACCTCGCCTGGTCGGGCCTGCTGATCGGGTACGTCGTGGAGATTTCGCCCTTCTATCTCCGGTCGCGATACTTGACCGTCATGCTCCTCAGCGTGGCGGCAGGCTTGTTCTTCTCCAACTATGTGAACCCGGTCGCGCTCGAGAACATCCAGTGGAAGTACTATCTGTGTTACATCATCTGGCTGGCGATCCAGTCCGTGGTCGTGTACTTCTTCTACATCGAGACCAAAGGGCACAGTCTGGAGACGATCGCGATCTGTTTCGACGGCGAAGACGCGAAGATCGGGGGCCAGGCCGCGACGGCCAAGGGACGGGAGCTGCTCGAGAAGTTGGAGGATAAGGACAGTAAGGCTGCAGAGACGCACATCGAGCGGGTGCGATCAATGGATTAGCTTGCAGTTAGAAGAGCATGTTGATTAGAAATGGTGCTGTGCATGGGTGTGGTCGACGGAGATGAGGAGCTGTACCCACTCCGTAACTGTCGGTACTCTTGAATATTATTAGTGCGCAGACGAAATGAAGCGAGCTTACTTAGAGCCTACGTATTGGGTTTAGCGCCTAGGCGCTCGAGCTCCGCACTACTTTCCGAATGAGGAAGGCAGCACAAGTCTCCACATCAATAAAGAGAAACTGCATTGGTTTTAGGCTGGCCTCGTTTTGTGCTATCTGCTGCTTGCCCCAGCCTATATTTGATCTGTAGCATGATTTTGAAGTCTCGCTCCAAGCCCAGTCACTCAGATCTCCGCGCTGTCACCAAGCAAGGACGCTCTCCACCTCGAATCGTTCATTTCCAAGTTGCTATGCACCATGTGGATGTCCCTGTATTGAGAATGAAACTGTGTCACAACCCCGTATTGACTGCTCGAGGATGTCGTCGCACATTCCACTATTCCTTTGCATCCTCGGCCGGGGAATCGACTTCATTCTTTGCCTCAACGCCATCCTCAGAATCCGTTTCCTCTCCCTTTAGCTCAACGGCCTTCTTCTTCGGAGTGGCCTTAGACTTCTTGGACGGTGTGCTTTCGTCGGCGCTCTCTTCGCCTTTCGCTTTGCGCTTGCGGGGCGTGGCTGCTTTGGTAGTGGCTGGACGACTTCCGCCACCACTGCCCGTAAGACCAAATTTCTTCATAATCCCCCAGTGACGATGGTAGCTGTAGTGAATAGCGAGAACGGATCAGCATCCGTATAGGGGCCGGGTAAATGACCTGATAGATGAGGAACGCAGTACGGGATAGCTCTGAAGTCACTTCTGGAAACAAGTTTAGGGGTTGGATGTCAAACTTACCATGCATTGCCACTCTTTGCTCCCATCTCCTTCGCGACTTCCTCGAAGTTGATCTTGGGTTTCACATCGGCATGTTTGAGGCATGTCATGATGAACGTGAAGTCATCGGTGGTGCCTTTCGCAGGGGCCATTTTGGCTGATTGCAATCAGTATAAGTTGAGGGAGGAGGGGAAAAGACCGTGAGGTAGCACAGCCGGAACTTACCAAGACTGGCGCTTTGGGAACGACGAGGTTTTGTTGTTGCACTGTCGACTGTGGAGGGTCGGATCGGGAAGAGATGCTAGGCAAGATGTCGAAATGGAGAATAAACAAGGGTTGAAGAAAGGTTCTGAAACAAAAAAAGATTTGGATCGAGGAAGGAAGTGACTAAATAGGCTTGGGATGCATTTGGAAATATACCTCCACACACCTGGGATTACCACCTAATCAAGCAATGAGACGAGGAGAATTCATCAACTTTTCACTTCTCAGGCCAATTCTAATGGGATTACAGCCAAATCCCAGGGTAATACTGAAGGAAAGGTAATACTCGATCAATTCATTCTGCTTTCCTCCCAAAGATTGAGAGTCAAAATGCCCATCTGAGCCCTTCTCGGGGACGTTTTCACTAGTTCGATGTCTGTGGGGCTCAGTAGAAGGGCCGTTTCAACAACGATCTCTTCTCTGATGCCAATGTGGTGACTGTCCAATGTTCACGGTGTACGCAGACACTCCAGTCCTTCCCAATCTGATGAAGGATCACCAACTCGAGAAACCAAGATGACAGGTTATACTCGGGTGCATCAATGGCACAAATCCTTGCTGTCTTGCTCCTTGCTGTCCTGCTCCTTGCTGTCCTGCTTCTTGCTGTTTTCCTCCTGATAATCAACGACCTCCGTCTTGACAACCTTCGTAGCGACACCCACCAACATGGCTACGGGAATCTTCTGATGGACCACCTTCTTTGCAGCTCCGCTGGAGGGGCTTCCTGGCGTTGCCTCGTCATCACCCAAATTGCCACCGTCTGGAGTTTCAGGATGGAACTTCTTGGCTCCTTTGCCCTTGGGCCGCTGCGGGATAGTTGCGCTAACCTCGACGTCGTCATCGTTCTCAATAGTCTCAGCGAGCTTGGCAGCCTTGATCTTGGTAGCTTTCGGGCGAGGCTTCTTCTTGGGAGGGCCGTCCTCTGCCTCGTCAGATGCATCTCCATGCTTGGCATTGACAGTGGTTTTCGCGAATTTCTTGTCAGCTTGGATTCTCTCTTTGGCAGAAGCCTTGCGCTTGACAACAGTGGCTGGCGTGGCTTTGGCTTCGTCCTTGCCGTCTTTGTTGGCCCAGGCAGCCCCTCCGTCTTCGAACTGCTTCATGATAATGCGGTACTTGTTGCTGTCGAGCAATTTATGAGCACACCAATCAAGGGTTGCATAATGTTTGCGCGTGGCGACAAAGGAACGGGGGTGTATGAGGGTGGTATGTTCCAACAGCAAAGGAGTGCTGTCCTGTCGTGGGTGAGGGGGGAGAATGGTCGAGCCATCACAAAGGAAAAGAAAAACAGAGAACTTACGAAGCTCCACCCTTGCTCATATCAAGTTCCTTTGCCAGGGCATCGAAGTCGACAGTGACCTTCTCCTTTGCGTACTTGATGCAAGCAGCAAGGAAGGCTTCGTTGCTGATAGGAGGCATTGCGACTGACTGATGTTGGGCTAGTCCGGAGTGTTCGAGAGGGGGTTTGGATTGTGGAAAGGGCTAGAAAGGGAGATGGTCAGTGAGCTTGCTTGAATGATCTGAGGCAGGCAAAGAGCTATACCGATTGTCTGAAGATGTCTTGGTGAGTGGTGTGAGAGTCATGCGTGATGGGGAATTTGGATGGCGGTGAGATGGAGAAGAGGGCGAAGAGACACGAAAGTCATGTTTGTTGAAGGGAAAGTGAATTCCCACCCGCAAAATTTCGCTTAGTCGTTCGCGGATTCGCATAGAAGGCCATATTCAAGGTGGAAGACGGCCCCTGGGGACGAAGGTGAGGCATCAGAAAATCCCTTGGACAATGAACACCAGCAGCCCACCTTGCATTGGCTCCGACCAGGACATGAAGAGTCTTGAGCGCCTGGAGGTGCATCTCTCGCCTTTTTGATTGCCTGGGAGCCCAGGGCCCTCTTTGTTCATCATCTATGCGATCCTCCGATACCCTCTGGACCGTCAGGACGACAAGGCGCGCCCGAAAGGAGTCCTCCGCTTTGTCTATCTTGCAGCAATCGACAAGACACAAGTCTGTTCGATACCTCTGATATGTTGCCATTGTTGGCAGCATCACCTAACCATCTTCCAGCTGTTCTTTTGCCCACCATCCCCCGTCCCTAGAATGTGTCTTCCACAGTAGGCAATTGAATGAGGATAGAGCCCGGTCATCCATCCCACACGTCCCCCCAAGGGCAACGCAGAGGATTCAGCCTGAACCAATGCATATTTTACGTTTTGAATGTCTCCGGGCATTGCAAGGCAAGCACGTAACCCTAGCAGCATTTCTCCCACAAAACGTTGTGTCAATAGACGGCTGACCTTTCCTATGCTTCGTGAGAAGAGCACCTCATCATCTGGACACGCCGGCCGGAAACGTTCTGCTCTTTCCTCAAGGATAGACAGAATATATCAAGGCGATCCGGTCTGACCTCTCTCAGGCGATGATAGAAGAGACGGATCATATAGTGATACTATCGCTCAGGTGTCAGACCAAGCAAGGGAGAGAATCAGAGCCTAAACTTGGAGTTGGGCATTGCCACTTCCTGACTCCCACCGTCCGTTTCGAAAACTGGCCGGTGAATCCTCCCTTTTGCTAGACGACCTCCCGGCCCTACCGGGTCTGCGTCTGTGCGAAGCCGCCAGGATATTCCATCTTAGAACTTTCAAAACGGCCTTTTACTTGCAGGGCGAAGGTGCAGCCCATTGACCAAGGAACGGCTTATCATGCATCCCTTCCCGAGTCCGGAATAAGAGACTTGCAGCTCCAGCCGCACGCCGGCTGTGGCAAATCCCATGGCGCGAAGACTTGCATAACATCTACGCGAAGCAACCGCTACCGACATCGCTGCAGCTTCAGCGGACGGGGCAACCCTGGACTTGCGTGGGAAACGCCACTGATGCGATGCTGTCCTTTACCGTGGTTGATCCGGCAGGAGAAGATTGGCAGCATCCTAAACTCGGCGATTGTCTCCGTTCCCTAAGAAGATTCGCGTGGGATTTTGGGTTTTCTTTGGGCTATCGGTTCTTGAACGCATCAGTTCAATACGAGGAATGGACTGCCCAATGCAAGTGACATGAGCTGCGACAGGGTCAATGGTGCTGTGCTGTGCATCGTTCTTTTCGCCAGATGCGGCATCCACCTGCAGACAGGTAATGACGACGCCCACGCCCATTCTCTCGCAAGAAATCGGTCCAGATCCGAGAAAACCGTGAGATTACGGACGAGATTCTATCTCGTGGTCAGCAAGGTTTGGGAAGACAGATCCTTGCGCCATGACGAATTTAACTTTGTTCAGCGGCCGGGGACTGAGCAAATGAATCGGGTGTCCAACTACTCGGTAACATACGCACGAAAGAAATCAAACAAAAGTGGTGTGAGACGAAACGAAAGCTCGGGGGTGGTCCACTGGTCAGAGCTTGGAGCTTGGAGCTCGCTTGTTCGGTAGCGAGCTGAAATGATAAGCTGGAGCGCTGACTCGGCGGGCCTGGCCACCATGCCTCCCTGCCTCCCTGCCTCCCTGCCTGCCATGGGCCATGACTTCAAAATTCTCTTCTCCCACGTGGCTCATCGGTGATGCCGCGACTGTGGCTTGCGCACTAGCATCAAAACTAGGTATAGGAAAACCACGTGGACTAGTTGTCAGCCCCAAACATCGCTTAGGGGCAGGGGACTCCACGCCTGCCGTCGCTACCAATGGACTCGCGATCTTGTACGTGTTGGATGACCAAGATGACATACAGTGGCTTTTGGCGCGCTTGAGCCACATTCTCGATAGCCCTGTGCCGAAATCAGGATTGACCAGATGGGATATCTACCAAACAGGCTGCAAAGGGAAGGGCATCAAAAGGGCCACCAGGGCCACAAAGAAAAGGACTTGACCAGCTGGAGAAAAAAACGGCAGGCCACGGTCTAGACCATCTCGCTTGCTTTGTTCCACGGCTGGGAGCCAGTGACGCTTTTTCCCAATGTCGATTGGCGAGCCCGCTCGATTCTGGCATGCAGCTTGGGGAATGTCGTGGCGCTTCAATGGTGTCAAATCTTGTGTGACCCAAGGATCCAGCACGCTGGAACGGGACGGAAAGCATCTTGGAAGAAGCCTGCAAGGTGGGCAATGCCTTGTTCGGCTTTTGGGACCCTCGAGACGGAGCAGCATCCCCCAATGTCGTCGGTGTTTGAACAAGGGATGGGGGCGGTGAGGGTGTATGTACCATTCTATCCATCCGTCCGATGTTGTACAGGTTGATAACCATCCGTCAGTCACCAAGTGACGCTGTCCATGTGTGCTCGCTCGAATAATGTACATGCGCATATTTCCAACCGTCCATGCTTCTTGTGCTCCAAGACCACCCTGCCGTCAATGCGTCCTCTGTATAAGTCTGCCTTCGGGCTGCCTTTGAGTCCTCTTCTCAACGATGTCACCATCAAAAGATGTGTGAGAGACAGAAAGTATGGTTACAACCTATCCGCTACTCTGGAGGATGGATGCACGAAGCTAACAGAGAATGCTGTCTCCGTAAAACAGATATGATTGTTGCGTTTCCAACTGCTCATTCCTGATCCGAACAAACTGACATGCTTCATCTCCCAAGCATGTTCCCGTTGATCATTCCCACTGTCCTGAAACCCATCGCTTGAACGCAGAAGACTTAAAACAACATGAGATGCCACGTAAAAATAATAAAATACAAAGGCCCACCGGAAGAGCTGTTGTTGTTGTTGTTGCTGCTGCTGCTGCTGCTGCTGCTGCTGATATTGCTGTCACTGAGCCAAACAATACACATTTTGTACAAGGTTGGGAACTGCTTCCAACCAAGTTTTGTTTTTGTTTTTTTTTCTTTCTCTTTCATTTTGCAGATAAAAATCGCAAGTTTTGCTCTTCGAGTGTTTCGCTACCCCCTAGACAAAGGCGCAGGAGGGAAAATGACAGGGGGCGTGGGCCACGATTCTTGATAGTATGAACTCTCGTCGAGTCGAAGATGCAGATCATAAGCATTCTTCCCTGAGTTCGTGACATTCAGTAGCTGGTTGATCTCGGGTAGGACCCTCTTGCTGCTGCAGATTCACCTCCGTGACACCCCTTTTCGTGCCGTTTCATGTTACTTCTGACACTGAAATATTTCCCACAACCATCATACTTGCACCTGTAAGGTTTTTCTCCCGTATGCGAGTAGGTGTGAATTTTTAGTGAACTTGGCCGGGAGAAAGGCTTGTGACATGTCGGGCATATGTAGCGCTCATGACTCTGAGGGTATGAGTTGTGGACAGGGGGATAGTAGTGAGGAAGTTGCCACGCTGGCGCCATCGAATGGTCGATTGTTGGCATACCAATACCGGACACCGGGCCAGGAAAATCTGTTGGCAGTGGCCGTTGTTGAGCAAGCCCGTTGTACCCTGGCACCTCTGCCGGAGGAGCCTCGATTGAAGGGCCTCCTGAGGGCCTCGGTGGCTGGTCTGGTTGCATACTATCAGCTGCGAGCCTTTGAAGATGTGAAGAAGGCCATGAACTCGAATCAGTCGACGGAGGATATGTAGTCGCTAGTTCGGTCGCCGTGGGACAAGCAGATGGCCGTTGAGCATACAACTCAGGATTCGTGCTTTGATGATAACTGCTTCGGCTGGGGTGTGTACGAGGCGAAGTGTTGGTAGGGGAGGGTCGGGGTAAGTCGAATCTCGACGGTGCTGATAATTCTGGTGTCGGTGGAGGAAGACTTCGGGGGCTTCCTGATAATTTTGGTCTTTCTGGGCTTAATCCATGTCCATGTGAGCCTCCAGATATCCTTCGAGAGGCATCGAATGTTGGAGATGAGGCATTTCCTAGCAACTGTAAGCGTCCATTTCCCTAGCCTCCGGGAGATCAGACGGTGCGAATACATACCATTTTCACACCGCTCCGTGACTGCTTCGATGAGGCTCGAGATTGACGGTAGAGACGGCCTGACTTTGTTCGCCTGCTCCATCGCCGCTGATGCCAGTCGTACAGTTGGCGAGGGTAGAGAACTTTGCAGAGGGTGGATCGGGTGATAAGGGGGAAGCAATGCCAATGCCATAGCACAGGCAACCGGAGAGTGAACAAGCCTATGGCAGATTTATTTTATTCCAACACCCCCGTTTAGCCTGTGTATCGAGGTCGTATGTATTGCCAGGGAGGACTGTGACACAGGCGGACGAGAGAACGATCCACAGCTACTCTGTCAGGTTTTCTGAAGTAAGAACTGGATCACTGGTCAAGTGCAAAGACGGCGTTGGCTTTTCCTTGCTCGGATCAAGGGTCGAGAAGAGTGGTGAAATGGGGGTCCGTCCGAAGAAGATCGAGATAGGATGGGGATCTACAAGTCCTGGCCTGCCTGGCACTGGAAGGGACTATGATGAGATGAAAAGATGAATGTATCTACCGGCGTGGAGGGTTGCAAGAGACAGAGGAAGGAAGATATTGGCTGATGAGGGTCAAGGAAAGGTCGGTTGGTGGGAATTCAGGGTGGTGACGTTGCAGTGGGAGCAAGCAAAGCAAACAGTCCAGGTTATTTCTTTCCCAGGACTGGCACCACTGGATCGTCTGCCGTTGGTCCTTGGTCAAATCGACGAACGGCTCGCTTGTGTTGTAATAAGGGATGCCAAAAGAAGCGCCAGAGTCAGAGAGGACGGGCGGTCCTGGAGAGGGCCACAATAATGATGAGCAGGGCGCTTCCGGAGCCGAGGGGTACGACAGGTGAAGATCGTCGAGAACAAGACTGGGGGGGAGAGAGGCATGTATTTTTTTTTTTCGTTCGGTGGCTCCAGAGAATGATTGGGAGGGTCGCTCGTCGGCTGGCCACGGGCTGTTCCACTCCACTCGTCTAAGGCCGTGGCGTGAAGGGATATCTCGTCCAGTGTCCACCTTGGTGAGCTCGCACCAGTTCCTGGTTTGGCAACTGAGAAGGCGTGCGATGTGCGCGGGCTTGGGTGAAGATCAAAAGTGGGCGGGAGGTGAGGTTAAAGCCACGGTAGGCGTAGGAGTGGGATGGATGAGCGGCCACCGGCCTGGGGAGTGGGTAATCGGGGCCGTCAAGACCAGGTCCCCGTCATACCATGGCGACTGCTGACCTTTTCCGGACTCGGAGGGCGCATGGGAGACCTGGTTCGGTGGTCCTCCTCCTCGTGTGGGTGGTGGGTGGGTGGTAAACTCCCGAAAAAGCCCAACCTGGCCCAAGAACGGCTGAGAGTGGCGTCACTGGGGGCACCTGGGGGAGACGGCTTGGGGAGCTAGAATGGAAAACGCACAGTCCTGCGAGGGTTAGCGGAAAGAAAGGTCAACCAAGTATCAGAGAAGCATACCGAGTACAGTAGTGTGTGTCGAGCATGGGCTTTAGGGAAAAGGCGGGATGGCTTGAAGACTGGCCAAGGACTGACCCGGGCGAAAAGAAAGATGGAAATGGAAAGGCGTGAATCGACTCACCTGCGACCGACTGACGACACGGGGGATGATCAGCGATGCCGGGGTTGGGAATCCTGTACAAGTCAAACAAAACCGAGTACATGTAATACGCTGGCGCAAGCAAGCATTTATTTTGGGGCCGGGGGGGGGGGAGGAAGAGAAGAGAGGGGAGGGGGAGGGAGAGATGACGAGGGCGCAGTTGACACCAATACGGAACAGCGCCGAAGGAGCCAGAAGGAGTGGAAAGAGTGGCTTTCTCTAGCACCATGTCCGGCGACCTCTTGATGAACCTGGATTTCATTCACAACTACCAGTGTGCAGTGTACGGAGTACGTAGAGGCTGAACAGTGACATGAAGCAGACCCCCAGAGGGTCCAATGGCTGGCTACTTAGCTACCGAGTCGGCTTAAGCGAGAGGACGGCCAACGGGAACCAGAGGGCGACCGTAAGAGGTCCTGCTGTTCTTTCCCTGAAAGGCTCGAGGTTCGTGGCAGCGGTACTTCGTAGAGCAGGCACAATAAGCTGCCATGAAAGAAGCTCCCAGAGATCTCCCGGCTTCGCGCTCAGGCTGAGGCCCCTGGAGACTGGAGTGGTCGGAGTGGTGAGTTGGTGCCGAACCCACGATCAAAATCGATCAGACGATCAAGCGGCAACCATTAGCCTCGAGCTAACAAGTGGAGGTTTCTTTCCAGGGACCAGGGGGGAGGGTGCAGGTGGGCGAGTGGGCATTGGTCACTGTGCACTGGGCATTGGGCAATAAGTACCTAACGTAGGCATGGGCACGGGCATGGGCATGGGTATGGGCTCTGGAGGGCCCCTGGAGGCTGGAGCCCAGACTAGCCTTGGGGAGACTAAACCTTGACACAATAAGCCTGCCAAGCGCCAACGAAGCCTCTCTGGTCTTGTGTTACGACTCCTCGTGCGACTTCGATGCGATCAGATAACGGTTGCGCCGTTCTCCCTCACCAACCCTGGCTGTCCTCAGAGGTTGAGCCCGATGTGATTCGAACTCGACTTACTTAAGTATGTGGCGGCTTGCAAGGCTGCCCTACCCTGACCTACTATGGGAGATGAGAAAGTGGCACTCTGAAACCACGCAGCAAACGGCATGGAACTTTTCTCAGCAAAGTACCTCGCACTTCCCCCAGACCCTGACCAGCGAGTCCCTGCATTCCAGCCAACACTCAATTATCTCCGACGCTCTCCGTGAAAAGGGGGATTGCCATCTATGTACCGATGACGAGGTACGAGTACCACGTTCCTATACACAACGCGGCCGATCCTCCAAAATGCAAAAATGCAAAGTCCTCCAGTACTCACTAAAGAACCTTCTTTCCATACGCGGCCCGCGATCTTCCTCTCCGAATGACACTGAAAATGTCCTTCTCCTAATCTCCTGAGGCTGAAAATCACTCGAAGATAGAACAAAACAAATCAGTGAGAGCCAGGTTTGTTGACATGGACCACTTGGGAACCCAGAGCATCCGCCCCGAGGGATTCGCTTAACAGTCCTGAATAACCTAGTCCAATGAGCTTCAATCGGAGATTATGCGCATGATGACACTCTAGGGTCTAGCCTTGGACTGATTCGCTTAAGTATTGAGGACCTAGACCTGCTCTGCCAATGAAGAAACGATTGTGACTTTGGGCACACTAAGAGCTTGCCCTGGTATCCCTGCGGTCGCGTTACCAGCTGATGAAGAGATCTGCGCCATGACAGAAACGGAGGCCCAACTTCTAACCGTCCGCCTCCAGTGGTGGTGCTCTGGGTTGACCTCGAATGCCCTACAGTATACCCCAGTGCTTACTACGGGCTCTATCAGCAGTGGATGAGAGCTCTAGAGTTGCCGAACAAAGCAACAAACGAGGAGCAACCAACGAACGGTCAGCCGTCCTTTGTTGTCAGTACCTCGTACCTACAAGTACATCTGTGATCTCCCCATGCATGTCCCATGTTCACTTTCCTTGGCGAATGAGTGGTCAAAGGTCCCCCCTGTTGGTTCCGAAGCAGCGGCGTTATTCGGGATGTCCTCCAATCAAGAGTGATAGGTGTGTTCAGGCTCCCGGTCGTCTCCAGCCACGCGGTGTCGATCGTGTTGCACATGGGCCCATGGAGCCGTTTGATCATCACCAGTGACATCCTCATGATTTCCCATGCAGCTGCCGAGGGGGCGACCTCCCAGGCACTGACTGTTGTCACCCTTCAGGCATTTATTCGCCGTCTCTCCTCGCAACAGCCCCACAACACGACGTGGTTGAAATCTGCGATCGCTTGCGGGGCATCACTCCGTCCCTTGCCCTGGCTGAGCACGGTTATAATGCGAGATGAAAAGGGTACATGCCCTACAGTCCGCCTTCTCACCGGTGGTTTGAGGTTTGCGTTCGGCGCCCAACGATATCTACTCGGTATCGGAACAGGAATCGCCGTGCAACGTGGGAAAGCCACGCGAGATGTTCAAATCAAACCTAGCCGGCAAAGAGCACAACTGCTGCGGCCCCATGCTATTATTATGACTGCCATGCTGCTCCCAGTGCGCACCATATCTGTTTTCCAAAAGGGGAGGCGTTGGAGCAACAACATCGAATTTACGAGCAAGTTGCACAGAAGAACAAGGCCTGCAGGAAGCTTTGTCAGTGCCTGCACCCTCCCACCGCTACCACCTCCTAGGTATCGTCTACTTGTAGTTGGACACTTTATGTACTAGTCTAGAGTCTACTGTTTCCGCGGACCTGTATAAGACGCAGAATCGTCGAAGTGTTTCTGGTGGGAATGCGAGAAGGCTATGGCCAATGTCGGCACACACTAGTCTCGTTCAACGGCTTGCGATCGACGTCTCGAGACATGCCACAAGAACGGAAAATACGAGAAACAAACGGATCAAGCCCCCAATGAGCCTCCAAATATGTCATTGGTACGAGTAACCTGGGCTTAACGGGCCCCTTTTGGACTTTTCTTTTCTTTCTTTCCCCCCTCCAAATTCTTACGAGGACCACGTGGCAACTAAGTCTTGTGTAACATGGTTGTCCGGGACTCGTACATCTCGTTTGCTTTGGGCTTTCCCTAAAACAAACTTGATACAAGCTAACAAGCGCTACGCGGACGATCTTGGTTTACTCACAAGAATCCTTGCCCGGGAAACCGCGATCCCTGAAAACCGTTCACTGCGGTGTACATGCTTTTGGATGGTCTGCAAAGCAGACACCAAATTGTTGACTTAACTTCTCCCCTTAACACGAACGATTGCAATCGCTGGATGCTTCCAGGACTGTCTCCAAACAAAGAAAAGATACCTGCCTCAAAGATGGCTTTGGTGAGGATTACCGAGTAGAGGACATGGTTAGTTGCAGCCGAAGATCATCCATTCAGTCTCCGCTCCGGCAAAAACGGATCTGAGATCAGGCCATGTGGATTGTTGTTGTTGTTTTCTGTTCCTTCTTCTGTCCAAAAATCCACACCGGCCACTAGAAGCCCGTCTGGCACGTCCAGTCTAATCTGAATGTGTTCTGTTTTTTTTTTTTCATCTGTGCGATAGACAGTCAGAATCACTGACTCGACCGCACTCCATTGGTCATCAGACGGTTTGTGAAGGACTAGGAAAGGACCACGAGATCCTCAGGAACTGTTGCGCAGAGACATCAAAGGAGCGCCGAATACGAGGAAGCTACACACACCTTGTTGTCAGTTGGCAATCTATTACTCCGGTTGTGGCACGCTAAAGTGGGAAGCAAATTGATGTGCAAAGATCGCCAGGTACAGAGTCACTTCCTTACCGTTATCAGCTAGGTACGTAACTAACCAGACACATGATGATTCCTCATCCGCTTGTGAGTGCGTTGCGCTCCTTACTTATTGCTTCTTGTACGGGGCATGGCTATGCACTCCATACTTACTTGTAGTGACCTCCACTCTCAAGGTCATGCTCATGACAGCTTGCCTCGGTAGGCGTATTGGGGGCCAGGGTTGGGGCTGTTACGGATCATCAAGACCCGACAAGGAATCCACATTGGAACTACCTAGGACCTCTTCGCTCTCATCTAACGAAAGTCGGCTGCCGAATTAGGAATAGGAGGTATTCCAGGACTGCCTGAAACCAACCTTCTAGAAGCGAGAATGTTCCGAGCTTCATGGAGCTTCGACAAGCGTTGGCGTCAGGAGAAGAAGCAGATTTGTGGGCTAATTATTTAACAGTCCTTCTTGGTGCCAGAGAATTACCTCGTACAGACCGAGTATCAGTTTCGAGATTCTGCATTTTCTGCAGCCTGACAAGAATTACCTGGCATGAGGAGCTTCTATCCATGCACATGCTGCACGTTGGGTTACAGCACGATTTACCTGAAGATCCTTCGGACAACAAGCGCTGGAGCAGACCTGTCCATCCCGGTCTCGGATCATCATGGACGTGACTACTGCACCCATTTCCACTTTCCAACCCCGGGCCCTAGCCGTTTGCTCCATAGTTGACATTTCCCCAGCAGGCAGCCTGAATCCTTTCGACCGTGGGTCCAGACGGAGTACGGGTCCGGATGCATGCTTCTACCAAGTACATACCGAGTACCTACTTACCGTATGTATCAACTACCAACAAAACCTCGTACTCGGCTACTCATCTCGCTATCCCTTGCGCATGTCTCTCCTTTCCCTGGCTCGAGTGACAGGTCACAAATCCCGGCAATGTCCTATGATCCAGCGCTTCAAGCAGCTAGTCTCCTAAGCTACCCTACTGGACGCTCCGTCACCAAGCTAAGACGTGATGGCCGGGGCCATTCAAGCCAGCCGGATTAATTCCCCGCTACCATTTCCACGTGGCAGCCATCCATGGATCCGTCGCTCTTCGACCTCGTAGTCCGGCTTGCTTTGGGAAGAAGCTCCCCTGATCATCCTCGAGGTCAGCCTCCCAGCCCAGAAATCTGAGCACGCCATCCTTCCCGCCCAAGAAACCGACGGACTTATTTCTGATATCCACCTCTTAACCCGGTTCGATGCCTGCTTCCATCCCCTTGGCTTGCTTTTGCTAGGCTCAGTAAGGTTAATGAGAGGCAGCGCTGGACTCCCCTCTCAGAGCCGCTTGTTTCCCCCTACCGCACGATTACGCTCTGATCTGCGACAAGACCGTGCAGAATGCCAGTCATTGTCGACTGCCAGGACATCCCTGTTTTGGCAGCATGGTTTTTTTTTTTATGTCAAACTTCTTGACACTTCTGCACAGACCATATGGATGACACCTACAGCTACTGAAACAAGGCGTTTCCGAGTGAGCATAATTATGTACCATGCCTATCACCCCAAATGCTCATTTCGATCACCTGCAGGCCCCTTCCAGGCTCACTTGGACCGATTCCTTCCAGGCTTACATGGCTGAAAACGTTCCCACTCTATCGGCTTGCGATTAGCAAGCGTGCCCAGACCTCAGAATCGCACCCTTGTGGTCTCACGAAATTCCCCCCAAACAAATGCGGTTAGTGCAGGCATGGTTGTTCTGAAGGCCATGCTAGAACCCCGAAATCCCCGGGTCCCCGAGGAGTACCCAGTACACCTCAGAGCGACTCCCATGGCAAGAATAACCGTGAGACGGAAAGAGTGACAATTGCATTGTGGACCTCCAATGCTCGACTGGTCCAGGACTTTCCCCCAACCTTGGCCGGTTCCCAGTCTCGTTTGACGTACAGAGTCTCCCAGAAACATGCATCAAAAGCCGAAACGAAATTTCCCATCCTTTTGAGACTCTCGGACGTTGTCTGTGGCTGGCTGACTAACGGCGCCGGCAGCCGCGGGAGATGTCATCCTCCTCCATGGAGGCTGGTTTGCTGTCATGGGTGCTCGTAGGAAACGCGATGCCTACTACCAAACCGTCCAATGAAGGGGGAGGTTGCTTCATTTCCCAGGATTCGAAGCGCTCTTGAACTTTGCTGCGTCTTTATGGGTGTTGCAATGCACTTTCCAGGTAAACTTTCAGGGCGAACGGGTTGTTTGCGATATGGATGGGAAGGGAAATGCAGGCACCGTCACTGACGATCAACGTGGACGACCCGCGACACGGCGATAGCCGTCTATCAGAAGAGCACACTGGAACAATTGGTCTTACGCTACGGAGTACAGCTCAAGCAGCCCCAAGCAGGCTGAGCATGGCCTCGGTGATGATCATAGACACCATTATATCCTTGAGCCCCTTCATGACATTAACCTGCAACGTTCATGCTGGTATTTGGACATCAAGCTCGCAAAGAATCCCGCCGCCCAGACCCCTCACATCAACAAACGTTCCAACAATCATCGGCCTTCGTGATCGATTACCCCACAGCGTGATCTTCATGCACTGCACCGAGTAGCCAGAGGGTCTCATGACTCGACGCTTTCGTCGATTAACGTGAATCGACCTTCTTGACGCGGACAGTGGTTTTGATACGAACAAGTATTTGACTAGACTTTAAGGTTGTGGGCGAGGTTTGCCTAACTAAACGAGAATCGTCTTGAGATCATCACTAATCTGCTAGGGGTTTTTGCATCATTGTACCGAGTACGGCAGCTCTGGTTAGTCCGGTCCCTGATCCCCACGAACCCCAAGCTGCAATATGGGGATGTCGAAGAGTTCTTTTGGCACAGCGGTCAAAAGCAAGATCCAGATCCATCTCATCTGGTGGTCCCGGAGAGCAGCCCAAGGACGGAGCAGCGAGTATGCGAAGGGCAATGCTGCATGTTTTCCTATGTGCCCCTCTGCCTGTGCCACGAATGGACAAACTGACGAGAAGACCCTAGTTCCTCTCGACTTGATCTGAACTTGATAGCCAGTATTCTGTTCCTTTTCTGGGCTTTCCGTTCAAACTCCCCCTTTCTCGTATTCAGAGGCCTGGTTTGCAAGGCTGAATCACGTGGTATGCTTCACCGTATACCAGTAGTGGCACGTGACCTTAGCGACTGCTGATGTGTTATAACATTTGACGTCTGGCTGACAGTTTTCGACTTTTTCGCGGTTGAAATCTATAGACATACTAGGGTTCTTACCTTTGTATCCATTTGTGCTTTTCTCTGTCCTGTCTTGGTGAGGGTCTTCAGTGTGGACAATGGTGAGTGGCCTTGAAGCGGGAAGCGTCGAATTTGGTTAATGACATGCATGGCTCGCTGTTGCCCCGCAACGCGCAAGTAAATATCAGGCATTTGACTTCTCTCGCTCCCACCACACATACCACATACACAGCCACTTCCAACTTGTTCATACAGACTGCCCATCTCTAACCTCTTTATAGCGCCATTCGCGGAGAGACTGCTATTGCGCTTCTACCTGGCAGTGGAAGTTTCGTGCATGGGGAATGTCTCTGCCGTAACCGGACAAGTCGTCGTTGATTGCACTTGCCTGTCGAATCTCTTCCCAAGGTAGTCGCTATGGCCCTCGAAATTGCCGACAACGACAAGTACGAGGTCAAGGAGATTATTGGTACCTCCCACCCGCCATCTGCACTTTGTTTCTTCTCGCTGATAGTTCAGGTCGTGGTGCATTCGGCATCATTCGCAAAGTTCGTCGAAAACAAGATGGCCATGTGCGCCTCTCTCACTCCCGCGACCCGTGATCTACCGTTGTCTGACAGCCCATAGATTCTGTGCCGCAAAGAGATCAACTACCTCAAGATGTCTCAAAAGGAACGTGACCAACTTCATGCCGAATTCTCGATCCTTGCCTCCCTCAGTCACCCTAACATTGTCGGATATTTCCATCGCGAGCACCTCAGACAGACCCAAGAGCTATACCTATATATGGAGTACTGTGGTGGTGGTGATCTGGGCTGTGTCATCAAGGAACTGAAACGCAAGAACGAGTACGCCAAGGAAGAATTTGTCTGGAGGATTTTCAGCCAGCTGGTCACGGCTTTGTACCGCTGCCATTATGGAATGGACCCGCCTGAGCCTGGGAGCGATTTCTCTCGACGGAATGACACCCGTCCCCTCGGCAAAGGCAAGATGATTCTACACCGAGACCTCAAGCCAGAGAATATCTTCCTGGGAGAAGACCAATCCGTCAAGCTGGGCGACTTCGGACTCTCGAAGATTATGCAGTCGCATGACTTCGCCTCGACCTATGTTGGAACACCCTTCTATATGTCACCAGAGATCTGTGCCGCCGAGAAATACACTCTGTATTCAGATATATGGTCACTAGGGTGCATCATGTACGAACTCTGCACCAAGGAGCCACCGTTCAACGCGAACTCCCACCTGCAACTCGTCCAGCGGATCCGAAAGGGAGACTTCAAACCGATTCCAGCAATCTACTCAAAGGACCTCTCGAACGTCATCGCAAATTGCCTCAAGACAAATCCAATGCACCGGCCGGACACAAGCTCGCTGCTGACTGTGCCTTATGTGTGGCTCGCTCGAAGACAACAAGAGATGGTCACCATAGGGAAGACGTTGAGAACCCGGGAGGAGATTGCAGACCACAAGGTCAGACAGGCCGAAGAAAGACTGTCGGCCCTCGAAGCAGATAGAGCTGCTTTGAAGGTCGAGATCGACGCCCAGCTCCGTCGCGAATGGGAGGTAAAAGCACGACTTGAAATTGACCGACAGGTCCAACTGGAGCTAGAACGACTCCGAAAGAAGTTTGACAAGGAGGTTGATGAGCGTGTCGCACAAGTGCTGGTTAAGCAGAAATTCTCAACCGAGACTCGGGCACTGAGAGAGATTCAGAACCCGCCTGGGAGAGCATTCGACAACGAGAACCTCAATCCCCACTCGTCAGTCAACACTTCTGGCGAGGAAGATTTCCCATCGACCACAGATATCACTGACTTGTCGGATCTTTCCATCAACTCGCCAACCGCGTCGAGTACCAAATCAAGCAAGTCAATGCCAAAGAAGACTAAAACCCCTTTCGCTCGATCAAAGACCACGTTCGACTCTCCTGTGGATATTCAGATGTCAGAACCATCACCCATGTCCATCTCTTCTCTGGCACTTTCCCCACGTCGAAACGCCGCGGCTCAGGCCACTGCCAACCCGACAGTCACTGCCGTTGGAGCGAAAAACCTCTTTGCCGAAGCGGCACGCCAGAAGGCTAGGTGGGAGCCACAATTAGCTTATTCTTCTGACGAAGAAAACATTGAACCCGCAGAAGACTCGGATGATGATGGGTTCCCTGAATTGGCGAGCCCCACGAGATTGAAAGGGAACGTTCCCAACACGGACCCCTTCAAGAATCCAGCACCGCTGCCACTAAAGAATAGGCCGGCCATGTGGAGACAGAACACGACGGCCACTATGCAGAAATTAATCGCGAAACCGACTCTGTTCCCGTCCAGCAACACAGCAGCACAGGTGAGAGCCGGGATTGCGTCGGGAAACATGGCCAATGCTATCAAAGCCATCCCACGAAATACCACAGATGGCGATCTGCGAGCCACGGCAGCGAAGCCCGCGAGCCCTAATCGACGCCTCAGCAAGATCCCAAGCCGAAATGATCTCAGGGAGCACGCCAATGCTGAAGATGGAAGCACTAGTCCGCTCAGACGAGCAGCGACTACGGGCGGTCGGCTCCCTAGTAAGCTTGGGGGCAGCAGAGATCCAGGTGCTGGCACCGGCATCGAAGGCCGAACGCTGGTGGAACTTGCTCAGGCTCGAGCTGGAGGCCACCTGAATACAAAGGTGAAGAGTGTTCCGGAGCAAAGAAGCGAAAAAGAACTACCTCCTGTTCCAGTATGGGATCCAGAAATCTTCGGGGATGAGATGCCAAGTCCTTTCCTCAAGAAAGATGTCAAATCCGTGCGGGTACTGCGGTGAGCATCCAAACTTTTGGCGTGGATGTAATGCACGGAGGATGGAATAACGACGATCATGCGACAACGTAAAGGGTCGATCTGACAGGATATGGTCGGACGTGGATGGCATTTGGAAAAGCATTGTTTGGGATTCGGCTTTTCTAAGCGTCTACAGAGTCTCTGTGCCCAACATGAAGAACAGCACGTCAAGTGGCCATGGTCGCCTTGAGGCCATCACTCATTGGCATGTGGGAGCTGCTCGAGACGAGATGACTGCCCTCCGTACAGATTTTTGGGGGTTTCTTTGTTTCTTTTGTTTTTAAACGGTTGATGAGGGTCCAATGGATTTGTTGAAAAAGCATGCGAATGACTATCAGTCTCCAACAATGACGGCGCCACGAGGCTGGAGGTGTACTTGACTGACCACCGCAGTCAAGGGACGGTGATTTATTGATTGATGGGCAAGTTGGGTTTGGCCACTTGGAAGAAATGAGTCCCGATTTCCCGGCTTTTCTTTGGACGAGGTTTGGAGTTTGGATGGGCGGATGGGGCAGCCCTTGGGATAGAACGGTGCGCTGTACATATGTATGCATGCGAGCTCTCCAAGTCCACACACACCGAAGTCTGTCTCTGCATTCTGGATACAGACACTAGAATTAGGATTGAGGACTTTTTGTATACAGATACAGCATCAATGACGCCAAACGACCTCGAGGCAGGAGATGAGTATCGATGAATCGATGAATCGATTTTCCTAGACCCCAAAGCCCCTCTCGATGCCTTCCTTTTCTCGCGCCCTCCCTCGCTTTTCTTCTTCACCCATCCTCGTCTTCGACTTCTTCGATCTCAACGCATCTACGTGGTATGCGCTGTGACTCCAGGGTTTCTCTGGGACGTCTCTCTTCATGTGTAGCCTCGGGGGCCCTCTCGGCCTCGTCTCTGTCGGCCTCTTGGTCCTGCATCGCCACCTCACGAAGAAAACGCTCTTCCTCCTCGGCAAGCCTCCTCGCGTTCTCATCTTCATTCATTTCACCAGTGGTTGTCGTTGTCGCTGTCGTCGCAGTTGTGGCAGTCTGTGTTCTGCCATCATTTGTCCTGGCTAGATAGCCCTCCGCTTCTAATCGATCCATCTCTTCCGGCTCGATCAAGCGACCTGTAGGCCCACCCTTTGCAATCTCTTGTTTCTTGCGTACAACGTCTGGGACGAATCGGTTGACGGCTTCTTTGCGGAGATCACGGATCTGTGGGGCGCTTTCGTATGTGGTTTTCACTTCTATGGGCGCGGCAACAGATTTGACAGGTAGTTGTCTGTTTGAGGCAGTCGGTTGTTGAGTATTATCACCGTCTTCCTTGCGCGGGAAATAGCGCCTGAACTCTCGTGGGATGGGTGGCGGCGTGTCTTCTGGCATGGGAATGCGACGGACGGATTCATCTGTGTCACTTCCTGACGGCTCTTGTCTATGTTGGTAGTGTTTACGCTCGCCATCATGCCTTCTCTTGCCCAAGACAGTGCTCTTGCCCTCCCCATCCCTCCGGCGTGGTTGCCCTCCAAAGGTTGGTGCTTTGTCGCCCAGAGCCTCTCTTGCCTTTTTGACAGCACGTAGGTCTCTTTCCAAATCTTCTAGAATGGCTCGCTCTCGAGGTTTGATATCTCCCGTCGCTTCGAGGGCCTTCAGGTCATCGATTTGGCGCTGGATGCGCTCGGGATTTCGGCGGGCTAATTTTTCATTGCGCCTTGCTTGTAGCTCTGCCCGGCTCTTTTTCAGCTGTTTCGCCTTTTCCAGCTTGCGCTGCTGTTGTGCAGGGTTGACAGATCGTTCCTTGTCTTTAGCCATCGGGTGGGGATGGTATTTGAAAATTAGAAGGATAAACGATAGAGCAGGTTTGGGTGGATGGTGTTGACTAAAAGTCTTGACCTGCAACACGACGTCAGATGTCAAAAAGATCGGGTGGTGCTGCAGGCGCCTGCAGTAGCACAAATCATGCAGTCAAGGGCGGATTGACTAAGTCAGCTGCCAGATTTGATTGACTGCAGTCACTTCCTGGGCTGCTTGGTGTCACGTCCACACCCATGAAACATTGGGTCTCACCGGTCAGGAGCAGACGAACCCCAGAGGCAGGATCCAGGAGGGTTACAAGGTCGGCTGCAGGGTAAAAGATCAGAGAGGATGCAAAAAGATGGGCTTTGATGGGTAGGCTGCAGTAGTGCTGCAATGGTCGATGCAGCTACGTCTGGGAAAACAGTTGACTCCTGCATGAACGGGTAGGCCTGCCCTCGTGAACCAAAATCAGACAATGGTAATTGGAGCTGCGGTGAGTTGTCACAGGCCTGGCAGCAGCACTGGCAGCCCGGCGTGGTGGATGGGCTCGTCGTTGACTTCAGTGTGTGAGCCGACAAACCTGCACAAGGTCGATAGGGGCGCAGACGGATCAACCGTGCCTTTACTCTGGGGATGTGAAGAACAAGCACGAGCAGCAGGACTGATGAAGGAAGAATGAGTGAGGGATGCAGGATGAGAGAGGGATTATCGGATTCCGTACTGAGTACTCGGCAACAGCATCAAGCAAATCAAGAAGGGCAGGAGCTCACTCTGCTCTGTCTCCCTCTTCGTCTTCCTCTCCCTCTCGTCTCCCTGCGCCTCTGCCCACGCCTCTGCCCTGCGCTCTGCCTCTCGCCCTGCGCTGGCGGTCTACCCAAAAAAACTCTCGCTTGCTCACTCGCTCGCCCTCCCGCTTCCCCTTCAGTGGTTGTTTCTCGGAATGCTCAAATCAAGATCCAACGGCCAGCTCGCCAGGCACCCTCCCATGTCGGTTGTGCTTTTTTCTCTGCTGCTACTCGCTGTCGCCCTCTTATGCCCCACGAAAATGATCCTCCTCTACCAACACTAACAAGACCACGGCTCCAGAACCAATCGAACATCCTCCTCCCCCCCTCCCACGGTGCTGTGAATGTCAGTCACCTGCCTGTCCCCACGATTACTTTGGTCCTTGTCGCTCCTTAGCCAGGCACTAGGCTGCTGAGGCCCCGTCAAAGGAAGTGCACAGTACTACTGACCAGTTACTGACCTAACGACAACGGCTGCGATAGCCGCGCTCCTCTTTCCTCTCGCTTTCTCAGCTCATCAGCTTCATTGTTTTTTGGGCCTTCTCCTTTACCCTGCGTCGTATCCGTTCCTCAACACCTCCTTCTTGTCATTGTTGCAGGCGATGAAACAATACTCCTCCTCAACCGTCTCGTCCGTCGCCATTCCCGCTCCCGTTTCCGTTTCCGCGCCTAGTCTTGTCTCCTGGTTCTAGTCTGCTGCTCTTCGCTGCTCTGCTCTGCTCTGCCGACCGTTGTCCTACCCCTCTTGGCATGAGCTGAACCCGAACCGCCCGCTCATCGTTAAATAAGCACTCTTTGACCGTCAGCCGCCGGGATTCTGGGAGCGGGGAAAGAGAGGGAAAGAAGCCCAAGAAAGAAAAAAAAAACAATCCGGTCAGCCCGTTTTGTTTGAGAAAGAGAAATTGCGAGCGCTTCGCCAAACTTGAGGCTCTGCGGTCGCCAGCGACGCGCCCATTGATACGCCAAAGCTACAATGACCAGCCTCATCCCGACTGCCATATCTCGCAGCTCGTTCGCTGTCTGGTGCCTCTTGCACTACTCTTGACGGCTTCTCGCAAACCTATCAGCGCTCAGGACTGCTATGTGCCGTTTGACCACCACGGGTACCTGTCGAAGCTCATCTGCCTCAACGCCTAGATTGGTCACTTCCATTACTGTCTCTGCTGCCCGCTCGGGACGTCCATGTCCGCGACTCAGTCAGTCGCCGACTCCGTTCTGGGTTTAACTCAATCTGAGTTGTTTCTCCTCCGACAACAACAACAAATCCTGGCCCAGCGAAGTCATCAAGGCGGCATGCCCGACCGTGGCCGTGGCACTAGCAGGCAGTCGCAGCCTAGCTCCCGTGCGGTCAGTGCCGCCAGCAGCCAAAGTGTCCCAGGTCGGATTATGCTGGATCCGCATAGCCTGCAGACTTTGTATGCGCACCTGGAGAACGTGATGAGGAGCATCCAGCGACGAATTGCTGAGGTATGCGTTCCAGCCTCGGTGTGGCCGAAGTTCTCCGTGCATAAACTGACAACCGACTTGTAGCTTGAAGACGCAACCGCACAGTCAGTCAGAAATTCCAGCAGTCGAGCCGGAAATACCGTGCAAAATGCAGATAATGAGATCGCCAGGATGCGGCGCATCATAACCGAGATAGACAACCTTGAACAACAGTTCGAGCAACTCGGACGGGTTCGGGACAAAATCAAGGCCATCAGAAACAACGTGGATGAGCTGAGTGAGAGACTCGATCGCAGTCGCCCCAGCGGTCACAGCGCTGGAGGAGCACGACCTCGCCGCTGAAGTGCAATTGCTCCATCGGGACGTTGGGCGAAACCTGAACATTACAAGCAACTATAATTCTACGAAGGCCTAGGGCGCGGGAGGCTCGACGTTCTCGACCATATCTCACAGCATCGGAGATTCCAAACTCCTACCACACACCCTCGTCCCTAGTGTTTCAGATTTGTTTTACCACCTTTTCGACGGCGAACGCAGAGATGGATGCCTCACGGCAGGGCATTGGTTAACGAGGTCATGCTTGATGAATGTACGACTATTGAGAGGGACTTTTTTTTTTCTTTTCCTTTTTTCTGTGCAATTTAGCATGAAAACTTTGACCTTTTGGCGTTGGAATGCATGTAATGATGAGTTTCTCAATCTCATGTGCTCTGGGTGAGTTTCATCCAATAGAGATGTCGTGGCTCAGGCCGCAAAACAGACACGGTTGGGTAGGGTGCGCTTTGAAACTTGAGGCGACGAGAAGCTGGTGGTTTGGTATCAATGCAAATGTTTATTATGGTTACACCTTTGCGATTGGTTTTGATTCTTCCACCCCGACCTGATCCCCCTTCTTTCGCGAAGGAAATCGTTTGATGGTCCCGCATTTGTCGCAACGGATCTCGAACAGGTCCGCCCATGGTTTCGTGCCTCCCTTGCTCGGGTTGACGACCTTCTCTGTCATTGTCTCACCAGGGATCAGGAGTGCATCGCAGCGCTTGCAGATTGAATGCTTCAATCTTGGTGCTAGGCGGATTTGTGACTTTCGAGAGACGCCGCGGAGATGCATCAGTAGGCGGTTAGCCTCAGTTGAGTTGTGCGAGGTCGAGTCCTTGATGGCTACGGAAGCTGCAGTTCCGGCAGTCTCAGCAACTTCCTGCTGAGTATTGTGGGTGCCGACGGTTGCTAGATATGTGGCCGCCTGATGGAGGTACGATAATCTGGAGTGAAGGTGTTTCTGGGGCACGTTGGAGTCCCTCTTAGAGGACTTTGATTTAGCCATGCGGGCGATTTCTGGGAGTACTGGACCATTATTCTAGATGCCGAATTCCCAAGCTTCCTGCGTATAGGGTTCACGTTGTGGTAGGTAAGTAGTTTTTGAGTCGTCTATGGGTCGCTTGCATGTAGGGATTTTTTGCTGCGGTAATGAGACGATGTGGATGACTAAGCAAGAACGCCTTAGCGCGATGCCTCACTACCCAGTAGTCCTTCGCCCCTGCCTGCGCCTTGCCGTGCCTGCCCTGCCCGCTGCTGAAAAAAACAACCTGGAACATTCCTGCGCAGGCATCTTTCCCATCCACTATTTCTTCTTCATCCATCTTTTCTCGACTTCTTCATCTTCATCAAACTCTCCAACTCTTGTCGCATCGTTCGCAGACCTTGACTGGTTCTGCCACCTACCACCTCTTTTTCCCACTGTTCTGCTCCTGATCCTGATCCTCGCGGCTTGAAACAGCTCTTCATCTCACTTCAGCCTCTTACCGCCCCTGGTTGACATCCGCCCATAACCTCAGCCATAACCACACCAACGCACCATGTCTGCTGAAGAAGATCTCATCGACTACTCGGACGAGGAACTCCAAGCCCCCGAGGCTCCCGCCGCCGGCGCGACCAACGGAGCCGCAAAGAAGGGCGATCTGACAGTCAGCGGAGGGAAAACCACCGACAAAGGAAAAGGCAGTTACGTCGGCATCCACTCGACGGGCTTCAGAGACTTCCTGCTCAAAGGCGAGCTGCTTCGAGCAATCACCGACTGCGGTTTCGAACATCCTTCGGAGGGTTAGTCATCCATCATCCATCCTGCCATCCATTCTTGCAAGCAAAATATCCACCCTCCAAGTTCTTCCTGCTGCAAGCGCGTCCGTCCATCTCCAAAAGAAGAAAAAGAAAAAGAGAGAGAAGAAGAAGAAGAAGAAGAAGAAGAAGAAGAAGAAAGAAACACACAAGAATCGGTCAAAAGGTTCTACGGATTCGAAAGTCTCCGGTCGGCGCTTCCACGGTCGAAAATTGGCGGGCAATAAAATGCCACAGCCTTACGTCGGTTTTCTCGACGTACCGTCATAGAAGGTCGCAGTTCCCAAGACCGAGAAGTGAGAGCATGGCTCCCTCTCTGGGGTCGCCACTTGGCTCCGCTTTCAAATTGACATGCTGAAAATGCTGTCAAGGGTAACATTTTCGCGCAGCCAGGCTAACGTCGAACCCACGATGTGACATTCGTGGGAAATGGTGGCCTGGACGCCCGTTACTGCAAGTCGGTAATAGAACCAGTTTTAACGCGGCGGAGCCAACGGGAATATGGCTCGTTCCTTTCAGGTTCAAACTCAAGGAGATGGACGGACCGGCCTGCGATGCTCTTTTGTCGTCTTCGCACATTTCTTACCGAACCAAGTCTAACATCAACGATTTCCTGCAGTCCAACAAAAATGTATCCCACAGGCTCTTCTCAGCGTCGACATCCTGTGTCAAGCCAAGTCTGGTCTTGGTAAGACGGCAGTCTTCGTCTTGACCACTTTGCACCAACTGGAGCCTGTTCCTGGCGAATGCTCTGTACTGGTCATGTGCCACACCCGTGAGCTTGCCTACCAGATCAAGAATGAATACGCGAGATTCAGCAAATACCTTCCAGATGTGAAGACAGCAGTCTTCTACGGCGGTACACCAATCCAGAAGGATATCGATCTCCTCAAGAACAAAGAATCCTTCCCCAACATCATTGTTGGGACACCCGGTCGTCTCAATGCCCTTGTCCGTGACAAGATCCTGTCATTGCGAAATGTCAAGGCATTTGTGCTCGACGAATGCGACAAGATGTTGGACCAAATCGGTATGCCTTAGGATCCATCTGCCTCAATGACGCCACTTTCTAACGAAGCTATCTCAGACATGCGGCGCGACGTGCAAGAAATCTTCCGAGCAACTCCCACCGAGAAACAGGTCATGATGTTCAGTGCAACCTTACCTCAGGACATCCGACCTATCTGCCGCAAATTCATGAGAAACCCTCTTGAGGTGTTTGTCGATGACGAGACCAAGCTCACTCTCCATGGCCTCCAACAATACTCTATCAAGCTTAGCGAGGGCGAAAAGAACCGCAAACTCAATGACTTGCTCGACAGCCTCGAATTTAACCAGGTTATCATCTTCGTCAAGAGTACTCTCCGCGCCACCGAACTGGACAAGCTGCTCCGGGAATGTAATTTTCCGAGTATTGCGGTGCACTCTGGTGTCAGTCAAGAGGAACGGTAAGTGAACATACAGTCACAGTCCATCAATAACGTACTAATGGTTATCTACAGTATCAAACGCTACAAAGAGTTCAAGGAGTTCAACAAGCGGATCTGTGTCGCCACTGATGTTTTCGGTCGAGGCATTGATATCGAGCGCATCAACTTGGCCATCAACTACGACTTGCCCGCCGATGCCGATTCCTATTTGCATCGTGTGGGTCGCGCCGGTCGATTCGGTACCAAAGGGTTGAGTATCAGTTTTGTCAGCAGCGAGCAGGATGAGGCTGTGCTCAAGGAGATTGAGAAGCGGTTCGATGCTCAGGTGCCCCCGTATCCTGAGGGTGGGGTCGACTCAAGTACCTACATGGCTTCTTAGACCAGGAGCTCAACAGGTTGATGGACAATCGGGTCGGGGCTCTCGATTTAGAGAATTTGTGCAGAAGTTGGCAAATCGATGTCTTTTCTTTTGCTCGGCAGAAGATAACCACGTATGTGTATCATGGGGTCTTGCTGGGATAAGGGAGGTTTAAGGAAAATTGAAACTGGGGACAAATTGCCATTCTGGTTGATCGGGCTCTGTTACGACGAGAAAGCTTTACATAGCTAGTCCTTGCCTTGGAACTTTCCCAAAAAGATATCATTTTATGCGCGAGATTGTCATGCATCCTCTTATCAACGTCTTCGTCGGGGTGTTAACCTTTATTTCTTCTAATATATTCTATCTCTTTTATATTGCAGTATCTGGGTTCTTTCCCGTGCCAGTGTCCATAGTCCGACCCGAGCCGTGACACCAAAGACACCGACAAGATCTGAACAAGCCCCTCCCTTCAAGGATCCTCGCCGTCCCATCATCTCTCTCTTTCTCTCTCTCTCCCGCGGGGGGGACCCGATCAACTTTAGTGAAAGGAGAGAGGAGGGGCTTGATGCTTTTCGGGTCACTCTTGAAGGCCCGACTAGACCAGGCCATGTCACGTTAGGCCCGATAAGCAAAATGAGGTGTCTCATCTTGTCAAGCCTAATTAGTTAATCAGGCATCAAGCTTCAACCGCTCGAGCAGGCGGTCAATCTTGGCCAGGAGGATCTGGTAATTGATGGCATCGGCGGCAAATTCGTCGCCGGCGAGTTCGCCGTCGAGCGTGCGCACGGCGCCGGATTGCAGGAGCGCCTCGACCGAGTCCGGGTCTGTTCCTAGGTTCGACGCCGGCCCGCCTACGAGTCCAGCGGCTGCGGAGTCGACGAGGGGAGCGGGAGCCGGTGTGGGCGTCGACATGTCCACGCCTTCGTCGTCGGGAAGCTGTTGTGCAGCCTTCCGGGAGTCTGCTTGTGCCGCTGCTGGTTGTGAGCCCCACTGCGGCAGTGAGACAGCAGGTGCTGTTGTCGACTCGCCGCCAGCATGTCCATTGGTTTGCACCTCTCCATCCGATTGCGAGAGCGCCTGCGCCATCATGGCCTGCTCCTCGTCCATGACATCCTCCAGACCCGAGTCCTCAAACCTCAATCGGAACCTCTCGCTCAAATAGTATCGAATGTCATCCAGCAATTCAATTGAATCTGTTTCTTGTCGTGCGCTGATTCGGCCGGCAGACTCCTTCACAAGCTCTGCAAAGTCCGGGTCGTCGATGTAAGACTCGAGCCGGTAGGCGATGTAGCGTGCGGCGAATTCTTCAAGGCGTTGAACGCGGGTAAGCCAGGCGGCGCGCAGGATCTCGTAGATGTCCAGATCTTCGTCTCCTCCCGAGTCGTCGGCATTTGTGCCGTTCTCGGTAGTTGCCATTTCAGGGGATGAAGCGTTCGGCATGGCCATGGCAGTTCCACTGCCGAGCGACGAGATCACGAGTGCAGCTTTCGCTTTGACTTTCTCCAGAAACAGCATGTCCGCGGCGAAGAGGACGTCAACGGCAATATCTAGCCCAAAGTCCGCTTTCTCGGCGTACAGAAACGTCAAGATGATTCCAAGGACCTCAGGGCTGCAGTCGATGGGCACAATTTGGAGGTGCGGTGTATCTTGGGCTTCGCGGAATGAGGATTCAAACATAGTCATGAAGAATTCGGAGCGGATGAGCATGGCTTTGTGGCAAGGGTAGATTTTTGATTTGCGTGGCTTCCTAGAGCGAGAGGGCGAGCGGGATGGGTTGGACTTCTGGTCGAGGGGGATGCCCAAAGCATTCGTGCCAGATTGAGATTGTTGCGGTTGCCGGTCTGCTGCAGTTTCCTCATCGACTTCGTCTTCGTCGGCTCGGAGCAGCACGTCTGCAAAGATACCGTTGTCGCGATCCCATTTGACATGGCCGGCTCGCGAGGTCTCGACCTCAATCGCGTGCTTCAGGACATTTTCGCGGAACCATTGCTCCAGTTGGTCGCGGCCTCTTTGGACCTCGTCTTGCCGCCGCTGTCTTGCCAATCGACGGTCATTGCTGTCGAGGATTAACTGTGAAAGGTTGTGGATCTCTAAATGCTTGCTGATTCGGTCAACGCCGGCAAGGATCGCGGAATCCGTGAACCCGGTACCTGGCCCTCCGCCGAGATCTCTGGGCACTTCTCCGAGATACAAATGCTTCAGGGCGATGGCAAATGACTGGGGGGGAATCGTGGGGGCTGGTTTCCAGAGTTTGGTGTCCGGAGCCTGACTGAGTTTGCTCTTGAAATAGGGGGACCGCGCTGAGAGGATAAATTTGTGTAAACGGAACGACTCGGTAGGCGTGACGACGGTAATATCATGCGTCTTGGGATGGTCTCGGGTCAGCAATGACACCAAGTGTGACGCCAATGGCTGTAAAGGATCCGTCGTCTTGGAATAGTCGTATTGTAACAGTAGATTTCGTATCCGGTCGTTCAAAGCATTATATAGACATCTGGGGCGAGGCCATTAGTCCATCACTCCGCGACAAGGTCCAGTTTAAGTCGCACCTCTCGCCCTGAAATGTATCTCGTTCGCACAATGCGCCCGACTCTAACAATAATTGTACAACTTCGTAATGCCCACACAGGCTCGCCTTGTCGCAACGTCAACCAGAGTGCTCGCCGACAAAAGGGGGCAAATGGCGACACACGGCCACCAAACCCCCCGAGAAGAAAAATGCAAGACCTACCAGGATCAAAGGGGTATAATCATACTGGTCTTTCGCGTTAATATTTGTCCCTTCCTGAATCATCTCCTGGCATAGTCTGAGGTCGCCTCTCCTGCAAGCGTCGCATAGTTTCTGGAAGTTGAAGCTGAAATCGAGGGGATTGTCTTCCTTGAGAATGCCTTCCTCGATCAACTTCTTCTCGTCGTGAAGACTGAGTTCGAGTTGATCCTTGCGCAGCAGCCCATTGGCACTCATGATCCCAGACCGATAGGATGGAACAGGACGTGGCAATGGTCCAAGGGTGAAATATGTAGGAGCCGAAATGGAGAGAAGGCGAGGGGGCCCGTTTCCGTCATATCAAATTTATATACACTCGGTATCCTGTATTCGGTCTATCGCCGGGCTTCGGGGTTAAGATGGATTAGGTAAGATCCGGCTGGCTTCACGTGACATGGCCCTCGTTGCAGCGCACACTGGCGGTCCTTGGAATTTTATGCAAGGCTGAAAGTCCCAAAATTTCCCGCCCCATCCCAGACCAAGTCCAAGCCCAAGCACAAACTACACTACGCACTCTACAAGGCCAGGGCAGTTTCCACCGCCTGCGGAAGACTGAGGCCCAAGCTAAGACAAAGATTCCTCCAGCAATAACTCTCCTGTCGCCCAACATGGCTGAACAAGATTCGTTCCTCCATCTCACGCGCCCTCTCGGCCCGGTCGCAGTAGGCGCACAACCCACCACAGCCCCCCTCCGCGTCGTGATACAGCCACAAGTAAGTCCAGGAAACCAAATGTCATCTGAGAGACACATTGAACTAAATTGGCTTTCTCCCCTGCAAGGCTCTCTTCTCGATCCTAGACCACTGCGTCCGCCGGCCGCCCGATCAGCAAAGAGTCATTGGCACCTTACTGGGAACCCGCTCCGACGCAGACGAGTCCCAGGTCGTCGTGCACTCCTCCTTCGCGGTCAGCCACACCGAGACAACGGACCAGGTAGAGGTGGACATGGAATACCAGAAAGCCATGCTGGCCCTGCATCTTCGCGCGAACCCCAAGGAGGTCCTGGTGGGGTGGTACGCCACCAGCTCAGAGTTGAACACCTTTTCGGCCTTGATCCAGAACCACTACAGCAGCCAGGGCGAAGGCACGTTTCCATACCCCGCCGTTCATGTCACGGTATCGTGCCAGCCAGGCCAAGACATCGAAGTGCGAACATACATTTCCTCCCCGGTGGGGGTGAGTCCCGAGAGAGCGGCCGATTCAGCAGCCTTCATCCCGATCCCCTACACTGTCAACTACGGCGAAGCCGACCGCGCGGGCCTCGAGGCGATTGAATACGCAAAGGGCTCGGAGACCAGGACGACAACAATCCTCACCGAGATCGAGAGCCTCGAAAAGTCCCTAGAGGACACATTGGGCATGCTAGACCGAGTGGGCAAGTACGTCGAGAACGTGATTGAAGAGGAGACCGAGCCGTCCACCGCGCTGGGCCAGTTCCTGCTCAACACGCTGGCCCTGGCGCCGAAAGTCGATGCCGCCGAGATCGAAAAGGACTTCAACAACCACATCCAAGACGTCTTGACCGTGTCCTACCTCGCCAACATGATCCGTACGCAGATGGACTTGTCAAACAGGTTAGCGACGTCAGCGTTGACCATGGGCGGCGGTGAGGGCGGCACAACCGAGAAGGAAGGGCGAGGTGATCGTAGACAGAACAGACAAGGCGGACAGACAAGGCAGAACAGGACGGAGAGTTTCTCGGTGTCTAATGTTTGAAATGATCATGTTATGAAGGCAGCCTACCTGGGAATCCGGCTGCAATGCATGAAGACGGACGGCGCACTGGCACCTGCTCTGGGCGCAAAATATGAGCCGGCCAAAATGGGTGCCAAAAAGCAACTTTGAGTGATGACTGCATGACAGAGCACTTGAGGTGTGCTCCAATCAACACATGGACCTTGCCTCTGAAGAAATAGAGGATGATTACCAAAGTCATTCCCGTGGACAGTTCGGTCAAGGTCTCCCGAACGATAGCCGCCCACAGATAGCAGCTGCTGAGCCAAATAGACAGCCCGACCTCGTTTGGAGGGAACTTTTCGCAAACAATACGCTGCACCTGTTCGTCATCCCCCGTGGAAATTTTCTGACGCTGGCGTCCGCATGTTGTTGACGAAGCGATCCTCATTGGATTGGATGCCCGATCCCGTCCTGGCGTAAGACGTTTCTCAGGGATGTCGGCAGTCGTTCTCTGTCGACTTTGGATGCTGTTTCATCGAGTGGTGTGCTCTGGGAAAGAGGCTGTAAACGGCAACTCTCAAATTCATCGCCCTTTTCATCCAAGATCGCTCTTTGCCCGCTTGCTTGCCCTCTCCTCGCCACTCTCGTCCGCTCCCGGCGTCCTCTCCTTTGAATTTACCCCTCCATTAGCCATATCACTCTCCACGTCCTCTATATCCCTCTTCTTCTTTCTTCCTCTCCCTCTGCCCCTCCCTTTCGACGTGCCTTCCTCGCCCACAACCTCCCCCAGATTCACCAGATCGTCCACGGCTAACTTTTGCCCCTCCTTGCCCTCGTTCGTGTCAAAAAGTTTTTTCTTGTTGTCAATCTCCCTCTTCTTCTTGAACATCTCCTGCACTCTGCCCAGTTTAATGGTGTCTTTTCGGATCGCGAATTCAAAGTCGGAGACCTTCAGTTTTGCGCGCCCGGCGTAGACGGAGACGCCAACGGCATTGTGGCACGTTTCTATTATGAAGTCCGTTAAGATCTCGTCCAGGACGCGGAGTGTTTCGGGAAAGGGCTGAGTGAATGGTGTAGGTGGGTGAGTGGTGTTGGGTGTGTTCTGAGCAGAGAGGTATTGCCGTGAAGCTGCGCCGATGGGTTTGGCAATATCGGGGTGCGTAGGTGCGCCATATGCGTACAGAAGCGCCGAGAGTTCGGGGCCAAAGTTCAGGTTGACTTTGTGCCGGCCGGCTCGGGCGCGAGGTTCCATGACTGTAGGAGGGAGCGACTTGAAGAGAAGAAGATGGACCGCTTTGAATTCGGGTCGACGAGAGAACAAACTACACCCAAGAATGAAACAAAAGGGGCCGGAAAATCGCCAGGTCACACGCACAGACAGAGGCCAGCAGTGTCGAGCGAGACGATATGAGAAGGATAGACAGGAGGATAGACGATGCAATAAAAGCTGCTGTACGGAGTACACCAAGTACATGATTGCAGAACGAAGCGGAGTGAGGATGGAAGTCACTCCGCACGAGTCGCTGGCGAGGCTGAAACTGTGCCTGCCAAGCTCAACCCGGATTGGAGGATGGACGATGCCAGCCTCGCCAGCCTTGTCCCTACAGGGCGAGAGGGTACATACTCATCTCGCCATCTCGCCATTTGACCAGCTATAAAAAGGTGACACCGAGAAACATTCATCTTGTCAAGATGAAAATTAACCTAGCAGGACAATGACTACCCTCCTCGATTGCCTTTATGAAAGCAAAAGAGATCAAAGCCAATGACCGCGCAGGTAAACTCCGATACAGCGATAATGGATGCTTTCGCGATCAACGACAAAGAGCGTCCCTTCAACAAATCCTCTGCGATGTTGAGACAGATCTAGCGTCACTCTCAGCAGATCTTGCGGAACAAGCGAAATGAGACAAAAGGTCGAAAGTGATTGATGTCGATGAAACAGAGGGTGGTATCCTTGACTCTGGCGACCTCTTATTCGGCGAATGAGATACCAGAAGCTGCCACAGAACCGAGTCAGGTCTCCAGAGCAGGTGAAGTTGCAATTGGAGCTTGGTGTGCCGCCTGATGAACGTACCTCATTGCCGCAAAAGCATGGTGTTGAGTACTCAAGGCCGACCTGCTAAAACCCGGTACAGAGTCCGACGCACAAATTTGTTGTCATGAGCTTCTCGCTGGTGTAAAACACATCACGTAGAAGACGGCTATCACGGTTGTCGACGTAACACCCTTTTACAACGTAAGGTAGGACACCAGGATTAACCCGGGCTCAGTACATAGATGCTGATATAGCTGAAGGCCCCACACCTTTAGGACGCCGCCACTGACTGCTGCGGCGGCTACCACGACAACATCAACAATCAAGATTCACAAACACTTTCAACTGAACCTGGGCTTTGCTTGTGTGGGCTTTCCAATCTCACTTCGTCGATGATCAGCATTGTTCGATAGAAGGGGTGAGGTGTGGGCAGTCGTATTACCTGTTCCAAGTTGCCAACAGTCTCTGAGATAGGCTTCGTATCGCCTTTGATCTCTCATTCTTGTGCAAAAAAATCTTTCCTTCTGGTCCGGCTTGTGAAGCAGTCGGTAGGCCTTGCGTTTCCGAATCATCTGACGGCACAACCTGGATGCCCCCATGCTGATAGTCCTCGTATCTCACGTCCGAAAAGTCTGTCGCCATTGGAAAGCGCTTGGCGGGATAAACTGCACAGCCAAATCTCGATATAGGGTGACTTTTGCTCTTAGAGGCAGGCTTTCCATGTTGTTTAAATATGGTTTATTCCGGTGACTGCTTGAGCTCTCGAAGTCTATGCGGTTGGACGAAGCTGGGTGAGTGGAAGTAGTGCCAATGGTTCGAAGCCAGCTAGTATGTAAATGGACAAAACTGACCTCAAGTCTGCTAGCCTGGTTCGACTGTTTGCTCCATGTATGCAGCGAGCCAAGTTCAAAAATAAGTGGCACGCTGCCTTCGCTGTTAGAACCGAGGTGGCCTTGTTAGTAATGAGCATTGTATTTACCTTTCGATATGGGAGTGCTCTACCCTTTGCCTACTGTTAGCTATGTTCGATATAGCGACCACTTCGTCGTTATTGAGCCCCTTTTAGCGACATTAGATGCAGCCTTTATTTGGTGTCAGACTGTGTCGCTTGCTTTCACTTCGGATTATGTATTGTGCTGGTAATAACATGCCGCTCACGGCCCCTGAGCCGCTGTGGACGCGAATCAACTTCCTTGGACGAGACCTTCCACAAGCTGGTTCTGATGGAGAGTCCGCAGGAAGCCTCTTGATACATGTGTCCGGCTCTGGTTCGGCGGAGAGTGGGCAAGAAAGATGGATGAGGCAGAACACAAGGATGGTTCTGAGCGGGAATGGGTATGAAGAGTGTGAGATGGGCTGTGCGATTTGGAGATAATTACCTTCTCCTGGATCGAGGTGTGCTCGTCCTGCGTCAAGCTCAGGACATAACTTTATGATGAAGGATTCATACCACCAGATCCCTGGAAAAAGGAGGCACCAGTTGATGGGGTCTTCTAGACTAGAGTACTTTTCAGATCGCCGGTTCGGTGTGAGATCAAGTCCTACTATTCGGCAGAGACACCTCTTGTGAATACCTGAAAGTCGGACTCGTTTTTGTCGGGGTTCGTAGCATGGACCATTACTTGCCGCAGCAATTTACAGACCCTTTTGTACGCAGCTATTGCGCCTTCAGGATCTCCTTCATTGTGGAGGAGAACACCCCTTCTAGATTTGCGTAATGAAGGCTTTGCGGTGCGAACGTGACCATGATTGGGGCTCTTGTCGTAAGTATGACTTGCCAGTAACGATGAGATATGGTCTTGAAGATCCCCGTTCCCTTGTGCAGAGATAGATGATGACTTTTCTCTCATGGAGGATTGCCTAAGGTTGATAGCTATCTGATATTAGTTACGGCCCAGCGCCTATTTTCAACATTCCTCACCTACCTAGCAAGAAAGTAGAAGACTGGGCCAGACAGACAGTAGTATGGCATTCTGGGCATGCACTTGAGTCTATTCGAACGCCTCCGCAAGAGCAGGCTTCATGAATTAAATGGTTAGAGCTCAGAATCAGCGTTCTTTCACATCGTAGTTTGTGTTCCATTGGCGCATCACAGGCGGCACGCCCCCGGATAGAAGATAATGATCCATCATGTCCTCCAGGTCGTTTGGCTAGACATGCTGCAGACACATCAAGCGGGTCAAGATTGAGAGCCTATCATCCGTGAGAACACGCGAGGGTTGATGTAATGGTAGTATAGTATAATGGTGACCATTGCTAAGATAAGCATTCGATATTGGAAGAGCCACAGCTGAGATATTGGACTTCTCACTCAGGGTGATCTCGGACAGAGAAACAATCCCAAGGTTTGCCCGTCATGTATCACAAATAACCTGGTGCGATAACGTTGCGCTTGTCAGCAAACCCAGCTTGCTTGAAGAGACATCTCAATGTCGACTGTAAATGAGGTGCTTTCGGCGATCTCTGACCGAGAGCTAGGTGCATTGTCTTTGGGAAACGGAAAGGTAACCTGGTTGCAATGAGCGAAGACATGGTTGGTACTATGAATAATGCTCGAGGTGCCATCACGCGCAAGTATGGAAAATGATTTTGCTGTCGACCTTGCATAGTCAGAAGTCTGAAGGCGGATCGCTAGTTCTCGATTTTTAGCGAGCATGCGTTCAACCAAATTCACCAACCTAGCAGACGCCTCGACTGCATCGCGCTGGCTCTCACTTTATAGCCAGGTGCAAGGTGCAAGGCAAGATCAGAGTTCATGGTTAAAATCTACCACGTCAAGATGTTCAACATTAGAGCCAAGGACGTCTTGTGTCTCTCAATTCGCTGGGTGATGTTGGCCACCCCATCACTATACTTTATCCACCTTGGTCGGTCGATGGCTCCCGTGTTCGTTCTGACGCGATTCAGGAAGACTCGAGCTCTGGTAGAGCACAGACACAGTCGGTAAGAGTAGCCACGACCTCTTCTAGGGTCAGGAGGGATGTCCGCGATTGTGACGCTATGGTGGAATTCTTGAGATACGACTCGAGTTGACGCAGGACGCTTGTCACGGCTCTGGTCTCGTTCGGGGCGTCCTGAACGGTCGTCGGAGCTTTCGAAACACTGATACAGAGTGAACCCAGAGTGGCGGAAACGCTGTAGGTTGTTTTAAGTAGCCTTGCCACTGCTGCAGCGATGGGCAATGGTTCTGGCATAATCAATTGCAGCATACGTAAGATTCAAGGTCGAGTTCGAAGGACGGAGGATTTATTAGCCGCAGCCACAAGGGTCCTGCCCAGCCCTGCCTCTCTGCACTTGCCAAGAAGAGCATCACGTGATTGCTAGGTTGATATGGAACTAGTCTTGTTGTAGTTAGCGTCTTGCTTTTCTCGAAACCACCTTTCAACATCAACGTAGATAAATCTGTCTTGTATTCCACAACGCCACCATAAACGCCGCAGAACAACCGTGCCACTTCACTTCCTTCGATGCGTACCGGCCCCCAGGTCTATCCTCTCATTTTCGGCGAAAAGATCGACTCATAATGGTATGTCTCTTACCTCTATTCCCCCCAACATAAAAATGATCCATACTTGCGAATCTCTCCAAAATGCCCAGAAGAAAAACGGTTCAAACATCTTCTAACTAGCGAACTCCCGCTGCCACATAGACAGCCATATTCAACTTCCAATCCCTCCTCCTCGTCATCCTTCTCATAATCTGCACGTCGACTTACGTGCACTCCCTGGCTCCCAGCGTCATGGACAGGAATAAAGACGGGTAAGCAGAGGCCGCTTTTTCCTCCCCAGCAGCAACGTCTCTCATCCTTTGCTGCCTTTTCCTCTTCTTCCTTTTTTTTTTTTTTTTTGGAAACCCAGGCTGATCAGTGTCTTGAGGGGAATCAGCGTGATTGGCATATTCTGGAAATGCGCACGGATAGGCGAGCGCCTCAGTCCATACGTTAGCATCTTTTGCATTGCTATGGCTGTAAGTTAGGTCTTGCTCCCTCTTTACTTGACATTTGGCATCTCTCTATGTAGCCTAGCGTCGTTGTGATCGGCACCCTTCCTCCTAAGAAATTGACCTTTTGACTTTCCTCACCTTTTCCTACAGAAGAAACGGAATCGGTGTGGCGTTGTTACTAACTAATGACGGCAGTGTTCGATAATGATGGGTTATTAAATAGATCAAATCTCTCTTCTTCAAAGTTGTGGTCGCGCCGGAGCGATCATGGTAACCCACGATAGATGCATGGTGTTAGGAGTTATGGCGCGGACAACATGAACTGGGGACTGCAATTCAGGGGTTTGAGGCAAGGCGGTACGTGGAGAGTATATCAATATGCCTTGACACGATCCACGTCGGTATCCAGTTGGCTCTTTTGGGAGGTGGACTATATATGAGTTGTGCCATGCTCTGCGCTCTACATGAGATGCATACCAACACACTGGAATTAGCATGTCAAGCCCGGTTTCACTTCCATGTTTCTCGACAGACATACACAATGCTCCATAATGTCCCCAAAAAAGGCCCATGCAGCGCTGGTACTATGAAGAAAACAGTACCCCCGGGCATCAAATCATCTCATTCAGCGTTCAGCACGGTCATGCTTTGACTTCTTAGGTTCAGAGGCAATACTGCTTTCCATTCTCTAATCCAAACGGCCATGATTGTGTCGTCCAGAGAAAGACAACGAAGAGTCTGAGTGCTTCACTTGTAGGTGTCATACACGAAAGGGAAGGTATCCCCCTCTGGAACTCGTTTCCCCCGCGTGCTCCTCCCCAAATATTCATTGTCTCGCTTCCCCTCGAGAAATACCACTTGACCCCCGCGAGCGTCAATCACCGGCTCTTCCGGCGCTCCAAGAAATTCGCGGAAACTCATGGTCACTGTCTCTATGTCAGCTCGCGGCACTCTCCTGTCAAACCGAATCCCGCGGTGCAAGACTGCAGTGACTTGCACGTCCTCTGGATAACGGCGGACTTCTTGATGAGGGTCGCTGAATTCCTTTCTGCGTTGTCGGCACTGGTAGCTGAAAAGATTTCCAATCAATTGCTTCTTGGTCGGTCTTTTATGTGGGGGTTTTGCAGAAGCGAGATTCTCCTCATTGTTAAGTATAAGTAGTGACGGATCCATGTCAAACAGATTCTGAGACTCCTGCGGCTGCCAAAGTGGATCAATCCGACGTGGAGGAGGCACATAAGTATCATGATCACCAATCTCGGCATCATCGGTTTCGGCTTCGGATTCAAACATAACGCCACGCGCTCGCAACTTTTCAATGGCCCGGGCTTCGTCCTCTTCCGTCCACGCGGCCTGCGCATTCTTGGTAGATAATTGACTAATAGGCTCACGAACTTCGACAACAGAAGTCACTGTTCTCGACGGACGAGGCGATTCAGTTGCCTGATGTTCAGATGCACTTGCGAAAGACGAAATTCCTGTTGTCGACAGGGCTCTCGGCAGTCCTATGGGTTGAGCAAAAGTAACGTCCTCATCTGCTTCAGTTGCAGGCCACGAGAGGGCAGCACCAGAGGACAGCAGTTGCCGGCTCAAATACCGAGATTGTCTGGGCGCTAATTCGTGCTCGTCGTCTCCCTCTTCTTCACTTGTCTTGTGACACACCTCAACAGCCGCCTCTTCTTCGCTATGAGTTGAGCCATAACGGGGTTGTAGGGATGGCGACTGGGTCGTAACCTGTTTAGTAACATTAGTAGGCGTTTCCGGCATATCAGGCGTCCGGGGACGAAGAGAAAGCGCATCTGCTGGAGCTGCTGACTCTTCGGCTATCCCTTCTACTTGAGGTTCCGCCATATAGCTGATACTCTCAGGATTCTCAAAGTATGCGTTGATGAATAAACCACCCTCATCCTGCATGAAGCTGTCGTCTACTGTCAAAGCTGAAGCGAGCTGTTGTGATAAGCTGTGGCTATCTTCCTCGTCACTGGGAAGTGCTTCAATAGCAGTAAGAGATAAAATCGACGGTACGACTGTCTCGATATTAGAATCTGGCGGTTCGTCGATCGAAGTGCTGCATCGACCACGCTTCTCAAGTATTTGAGCGGATAGCTCTGGATATTGATTTAGACTCTGAAAGGATTGTGTAGTGGCAAGCGAATCCCTCGAAGACCTAGAATCGCTGTCGCTGTCGCTCTGCCGCGCAGGCGATTGTGGACGTGCGTCATTTGTCGACCTCTCTTCTGAAGCCTGCTTGTCAGTTCTTTCCGGATCCTCTCCTGAACTGCCGCCTTCAATAGGTGACTCTGGAGTGTCAGCGTCAACATTGACTTGGATGTCGGTCGCTCTGGCCCCTTGAGATAAACAGCGCACAGCATCATACGCCGACATCTTTGCGGGCTGATTTCTCTTTCTCGGAACGAACATTGAATCTTCCTTTATGCAACGCTTCATAGTGCTAGGGGTTAGATGTTGCTGAAGAGCTGAATCTGAACTGTGAGGCCGCACAGGATTCATTTCTCTTTCTATTCCCATTTCCAATAGATTCGACGCATCCTCGTCGTCTGAAATCGTTATCGTCACCGGAGGCGGTCTTGGGCGGTCTATACCTTCGTCAATTGTAACTTCGTCGCCTGAAATCGTTATCGTTATCAGCGACGGTGTGATATTACCATCACCTATGGGCACATTAGAAGTTTTGCCATCCCTCAGTCGATTCAGAGGCCTAATTGAGCATCGGGCACAGCGTACAATAGAGCCTATAATCGATCTGCCGCAATCCTCGCATTTCTTCGCGCCGTTGACTTCTGTCTCTTTTCGAAAACCGGGTGGGGGTTTAGCAGCCGGTTTTAAGCTGTGCTCATCCCGGCGGTACGAGTGGAGGACTCGACTTCGTCTAGCCACACGCCTGAAAGGAGCTGGTTGAACAGCTGTGGGATGCAGCGCCATTTGTGTTTTGGTGATATCTGCTGGCACTTGACCTGTGCTGGGCCTTGACGGCAGCGTCACTGCTCGAGAAGTCGACTCCTGGTCTATGTCGCAATTGGGTAGCGGGAACTCATCAGTAATTGAAGGCCTGTTTGGTCCCTGAAAAAGTTGAGACGAATCTTTGTCGAGTGTGAATCCACAGCTTACCGGAGAGTTCGGCCGCTCAGCGATCGGGACAGGGCTCTCTCGCACGCTTGCTGTCCATGATGAGGAAGGAGAGCCATGTTTTGGTGAGCTGTTTTTTGGTGGACATGGACTTGGAGCTGTCTGGTTGTTGCCGTCACTAACGCGGGCAGTCTGATTTGCCGTGGTTCTGGGAAAATCGACACAAGTCATCTGCTCGTACGCTCCTTGATTTGACGCGCTACCATTGATTGCAGGTTGTATGGGGGCATCGAGTCTACCATCGGAGGCATGCGCCGGATGAGCGGTCACTGAGCTGGTCATGCGACTAGTTGTAGATGTAATGTCAACCTGATGCATGTCTTGGTCGGAATTGCTCAATGGATCAAGATCAATGGCAGAGTGGTCCACGGGAGAGGAGTGATCCATGCTGCTTCCGAACAATTCATCTTTGCTGGTCGTGCTTTCCCGCTCCTTTAGACATCTCCCGCAACTGAAGCCATCGAAATTCTCACTGCATCAAGTCAAGTCAGCGTTATGACGTGCTTCGCCACTGTCCCGCCATCTTACCTTTGTCGCGGTTCGGGGTTTCCGCAGCAGTTATGATAGCCTTTATGGCATGCTTTGCATTGGACAAGAGGTATCACGCTGCTTCCAGGCTTGCGACAGGCTCTGCACAGGTTCTTATTCCTAGAACCACAAGTTGACGAGTTTGACGCGCTTTCCTCGGTTGAGAAGCGCGATGCCCGATCGTTAATCATCTTGCGGTGAGCTTTGGGGAAGCTAAGTCTTGGTGATGGCTGGATCGGACTCTCTTCCTCGACGAATTTCATCGAATTCTCCTCTTCATGCTCTGGTCCGCAATCCTGACTGATTAGAGGCACTTGAGGTAAGGTCACGCTCAATGACACATCTTGGTCTCCCTGGGTATAAGCGGACCCTCCCTTCCCAACCTCTTCCGGGAGCCCATTGGAACCATTAACAACCATCGGCGTAACCTCATCCTGGGGGATTTTTGTCCTTGCATTGTCGCGTTCATCTCTGATTTCCGGCTGGACAGGCGTGTGCAACTTGTAGACTTTCCGAACCTTTCTTCTTTCAGGATGCTTCGGAGGCCTTGGTTCATGAAGAATGGAGACTTGACTCGGTCTTTGTCTGGCGTCTAGACTTGAAAGATTTTGCATTGTCTGTGGATTGTTTGGAATATGTGCTTCACCTACCATAGCCTCGGTGTCGTAACTTTTTGAGATGAACTCGTGCTTGCTACGCGCGGGACCTTTATAGCGGTCGTTTCTGTCTCCTCTTGGAGGCGACTTTGTTCCTAAGTCGCCATCTAAGCCGTCGCGACTTCGCGGAGACGATGAAGTTCGATGACAATCAGCGACAGCAACTCTGCCGTCATTCAAATCGTCACCATACCAAGGAGGTGTGGAAGATTTCTGCTCTCCGAGGTATCCAGAGGGACGGTAGCTCTCATATCTTTCTGTTCGTAGAAGGCTTCTTGTTTCCATCGATGGGGCTGCGGCTTTAGGCTTTGCACGGGCGGTAGACATTGACACCTTGGATTGATTCATAGAACTAGAACCCTTGCTATCGTGAGTGCCAGACGAAGAATTCCATGCCCCTCTGGCGGCATGTTGGGTTTGACTCAAGGGCAGGATCTTGACTGTATCTGAATCATCGGCATCCATTCTAGCAAACGACGCCTCGTCTCTGAGAATCTCATCTCACAACACTACTCCGAGTTCGAAGGAGGTGGGAGGCAAAACTGATTTGAGGGTCAAGTTAGCAGATAAGACCAGCAAACGAGAAGCGAAAGCGGCGTGATCGCGGGTCTATCTCAGGTCTTTTCAGTTAAACTGGTCTTCACTTTGTGCCGCTAGGGTTGCTGCGAGGATTAGGCAAGCTTTGACAGCAGATAGAGATCACGGACCGCATGCGCTCCCAGCATTCCCAGCCATCAAACCAAATCTCGGCAAGAAATCGTGTTAAGAATGTGCGCTGCTGCCATTGGCTCAAATATCCATTGGGTCTTGGAAAATGAGCCCCATATTAGCAACGTTCATCGGTTGTGCTTTTTGTACACGAACTCTCCAACAATGCAGCTCCAACTGTTGAGAGTGCATCATTCTTGCGTAATTTCGTGTCGTCAAGGATGGAGAGCTGGCAAGAAAGCGGGTGCGCATGAAGTCAGATTCCTCCATTGGGCACAAAGAGCAAGTCCCCAACAACGAGCTACCTCTAAGGACGGCTGTTTTCAATCGGACCTTTTACCATTGACTCATCATTCGGGCAGGGAATTGGAAAGGTCAGAGGATCCATTGCAAAACAGGAGATTGCTTACCAATGGCGATTAAGCACAGTTCCCCTATGCGGGGTGTACCATTCAGCCGCAAGCTCCAATCCCATTATCCACTGTATGGATCCATATAGAGACACAGTTTGCGAGTCACCAGGACAACTGGCTTTTGTTGCCGAACTTGTTTCAAAAAGAGGCGGCTTCGTGGTCGGGGGAGACTGTCACCCTCAGATAGCGATCCGTGTCAACAACACGTAGGAGTGGAGAGCGGCAAAAGGGCTAAAAAGAGGTGATATCGTCATAGGAGAGCGGTCACTGATAGAGTCGTTCCTGAGTAGAGTGAACAGGTCCAGACAAATCTTCGTAACGTGCACAAGGAGAAGACAACTCCCACTGCGATCTCATAGGGGAGGACAATGGATGGAGGAAGAGAATAAGTAGAGATGAACCTGAACAGGGTTGAAAAGCGAGGAGGCCAAAATAGAGGAGGAGCTAAGCGCCCATGGACATTTCAATTGGCTGGAAGTCCCCCGCGTTCTTGGCGGGCGCTTGGCGGCATCGTGTGCTCCGCAAAATGTATATTTACTCCGGGCAAGCCTCCTGCAACGGCGATTGATGGGTCTAGACTTGGTAGGGTCTCTCGGGTTGAGCGCCTGTCAGAATCCTTGTGCATATCTCTCATCGGGATCCTTGGTCAACAGGCTTGTTTTCAAGCAGAAGGCTCGGCAGATGCGTCTATTATTAAAAGACGTACTATTGGTACATGTTAGCGCCTCCAAGGGCGTGGTCTTCCATGGCGTCGTTGAATCCGTAGCTTTCGAATATCCCATCGTCCTCAATATCTTGCCTGCTACCCGCGATTGATTGCTGAGAGTCCCCTTTTCTTGCTGCCGCTGCATTCGCATCATCTTGCCATTTGAGGGCCACATCAAGGCCGTCTGGAATCCGCCGTTCGTCCAAAACATATCTGACCAGCTTGGCAAGCTGGCTTTGGTCGTACTTTCCTAAGAGAAATGCATAACCCCTCTCGGTGGGTTGGACATCCCGTGCCAGCATCATCCGCCAGATTTTCTCTGCAGCCTCTTCTTCACCGTGTTGCAAGAAGCCACAAAGTACTTCGCTCCACGTTCGCTCGGTCGGTAGGCACAGATCACGCTCAATCATTGCTTCAACCACGTCCACCGCTTTTCTCAGGAAGAAACGGCTGCGCGCGTAGAAGTGGATGAAACCGTTGTACAAGATGTCGTGTTTGGCGCACTCGAGAATACTCTGGTCCCCCTGTTTGATCATGTGTATGATCCAGTACCACAACGCTGAGACAAGTCGTTCGTCTCGTTGGCAGAGAACATAGGCCCAGATTGTAAATCCGAGGACCGCCGGTGGAGGTTGATCAAGTTTTTTGGAAAGAGACTCCTCGGCCGGCAAAGGGTTGACGATCCCAAGCTTGACAAGGGGGGCCCTGTCGTAGGCTCGATCATAGATCGCGAGAAGGTGTGATACCGATATCCCAGAGGGTAATTTGCGGTCAATTGTACAAACAACCCTCACGATATGCATCATATATGTTACCAAGTAGGGATACCGATAAAGATCTTCGCGTTGGTGGATAGCAGACATGACTTCATCCAGCTTGTCACGATTCTGTCGCTCAAAACTATCCTTGAGCAAGAAAAGGTGACTTCGTTCGTCAACGTGGATATTTCTGGCTTCCATAAAACGGAAAACCCCCCACGCAACGTCCGGTACGTTTAATGAAACTGCGCGCTCGATGATGAGATTATGTGCCTTTGCATCCATTGGCATGCCAAGTTCAATCAGCTTGGGAAGAGTCCTGAAATTACCCACAGTGTCAGATTCTTCGACCGTGTCAATTGTTATGAGGTTGGCACAGCGGTCAAGAATCCCCACCTTGTATTCTTCCCTCTGGCTTGGTGGAATGCGTGAGAGGAGTTCTATTGCTCGATCTGCGTCGCCAAGTTTCGTAAAGTGGTCCACCATAATCAGAATGAGTCGCGGCGGCACAGATGCATGATTCTGGAAGATGGTGTCGATGATATTTTCGCAATGCTCAACATCATTGTGCCGCAGGAGGAGAACGAGAAAGTGGGATGGTATGGCCTCCCCAGGCAATGTCCAAATGCGAGAGACCAGAGCAATTTGCTTTGCGAACAGTTCTTGGAGATAGGGATCTGCACCGATCTCATCCCGGTAGACCAGATCCAAGTAACAAAGACACTCGCACCGAGTTCTCCAATCGCGAGGTAACACTGGGAGGACAGAGAGTATGAGGAGGGTCTTCCGAGCACTGTCGGCAAGGCATCCAAGCAGAATGTACGCAAGATGTCGCGTCTTACCACGAAGGGACATCTTGAGCCACGCTTCGCGAAGCTCTTCCAGAGTACGATCGCCAACAAAAGCTTCCGCCACTTGTTTGTGCACATCTAACTCTTGACGCGCCTTTGCCTGATCGCCGTCTGGCGGAAACACCAGCTTCTTGTACGCCTTCCTCCACGACCTGCTAAACCAGCCGTTTCCAGGCGGGTATCCTAAACCTTCCTGAGATCCAACGTCAGGAGACTGGGGTTTTTCGAGGTCGAGCCCCTCCGACTCGAAAACGTTAGAATCGAGAACTCCGGGCTCAAGGGATCCGGACTCTAGGGCGATAGATTTCGAAGCTGGGGGATAGGACCATGTTGCGCCTAACCCGTCACCTTTGAGTACAGGAACTGGCAAAGGACCAGATAGCTTGCGAGACACTAGATGCTTCGATACACCAGGTCGAGCCTTCTGGGTGCCAAATATCCGGTCCGAGAGTGATGTAACATCTTGTAGTCTGCCCTGGCCTCGAGCACCATGGTTATCTTTCCGTAGTGGAGGACGGATGGCCTGTACCCTGGACTCCGCTGGCGGCAGAGCTTTCTTGCTTTGAAAAGGTACGGATTCTGCCGAATCTTGCAGCGGACTCTTTGGAGCGCCCAACTTTGCAGTATTTGCCGTGGATAAAGAGTGAGCTGCCTCCGGGCGCTGCGCAGACGCTTCAGTTAGGACAGAAGGTTGATGGAGCAATCTCCTTCTCGATCGGCCGCGAGTGACGAGATCGAGGCAAAGGGTGTCGAAACGACATCGACACCTGCCGTAGGTTGCTAGATTATTGTTCAAGCATCCTCTTAGAGTGCTAATTGACTTATTGAACATTCAGGTTTCCGGGCATCTGGCTCTAGTTCCCGACGACAAGTAAGGGGCGGCTGGTAGATGGGTAGGCAATGAGTGACGGGCTTGGACTGCGGACAAGTCGAAACGCAGTTGGCGAAACTCTTTTGCGGGCGCAGCCTGGAAAGGGAATTTTCCCGAGTGAACAATACTCAGACTCCATGGGACCACTCAAGAACACTTTGTCGTCGCCGTCTTTCCTCACCAGACCGGATCCGCGTGGTATATGTTAATAGCGGCATGATCTTGTACTTGAGAAACGATCGGTAGGATAGACGGACAGTATCCCTGCGATGTCAGCCAGCCATGGCGCCCTAGATGCTGCTGCCATCGATAGAAAAGCTCGCTTGGCGAAACTCGCATCCCTGAAGCGCAAGCAGCCAGGCTCTCATTCCACAGTTTCGAGTTTACAGGCGGATACTGAAGAGGAACACAAGGAAACACCGCCTCAATCCACCACCGACCAGTATCTCTCAGGCCGAAACTACGATCTAACCACGAAAAACGCGAAGCTTGGGTTCGAAAATGCCCCTATCGGTGGCGATGTCGAGACTCTTGAAGGGCGGGCCGATCGCATTGTCGCATCAACTGCAGAGCAAGCCGCCAAATATGAGCTGGAGGCAGAGAAGGGCATTGATTTGTTCAAGCTGCAGCCGGAGAAGCCAAATTGGGACTTGAAGAGAAACTTGGCCGAGAAGATGAAGATTCTGGATGTGCGCACACAAAACGCCGTTGCACGTCTCGTGAGAGAACGCATTGAAAATTCGAAGAAACAGGCTCTAAAGAAGAGTGCAGTTCAAACGCAGTCTACGAGCGAGATGGGAGAGCAAGGAGAGGAGGTGGGCATCGAAGGCAATACACTTGTCGAGAGTATACATTTGCGAGAACAGGAGGAGGAACGAGAGGCTGCCCTCGAAAACGAAGAAGACGCCATTTCGTGATCGACGACACAGCCTAGCGACAGTTGCACCAAGTTGACGGTCAGAAAGCCGAGTTGACCGAGAATGCAACAACAGCGGCCCGTCCTTGCCCTTGTTAAAGACACTACGGTTAAAAGGAAGTCGTTGCCTCGCGTCACGCGCGAAGTCTGGATCCTGTTTCTCACGATATCCTTCAACATCGGAAGCTCACAGGCCAAACGCAGCGTCACGTGGAATCATAGCCATCTGGGCTCAAATAAAAGTGCTTTGAGCAATTCTCTACAATCAAGCAGAAGACCTTACTGTTCCAGGCAGCGCATTTGGCATGGGTATGCTGCTCCATGGAGTGTGAGCAAACAAAGGGGGATCGAGCAGGAAGTCTCGTTGATACAAAACATTGGCCCAGGATGTCTGGGAACTTACGCCAAATGACATCTTTGAGAACTGCAGGCGAGTAAGCTACAGAAATGAGCATGCAACACCGAGCAATGAAATTTCAATATCCGATCGACCACCAGGAGCCACGATAGGAACAAGCTCTCCGTGACAACAAACATGAGTTGCTCGTAGGGGTATGATAAAGGAAAATTAGCCTGTTCATGCCTCGATGCAGCCGCCAACGCCATGCAAACCACAATCGAACAATACTCCACCAAGTAAATGTTTGTCTGTTTAGAATTAGAGCATCCAACCCCTATCCAGAATACCGACTTTCTGGTTTGACCTATAACATATTCATTGCCTGCGTAAGAGCCAGCCTTTTGCTGTACGGGCTCAAGCTCCGCTCTCTCGCAATGCTCTGCTTCTCCCTGCCAACCCTTAAGTCTCTCTGAGGCAATGCGTGGCGATCATTGTCGTCGTGGTCTTGCCTACGTCCACGAAGACCATCGCGGACGTGGTCTTCTGTCTCAAGGGACCTTCTCTGCTTGGTAATCTGGCTCTTGTCCATGCTTGGACTGCTAGTCCGGCTGCGGTGGCTGCCCCGGCGCATGGAGCTGGGTCGACCTCGGTCAATGGGACTGATGGTGCGATGACGCCGGCTTTTGCGGTGCGAGCCAGGCTCTCGCCTTGGAGATCTCGGCGACCTAGAGTATGAACTGGAAATGGACCGGTGTTTTCGTTTCCGCAGGATGTCAGTAGGCGGTGTTCTCGAGCGGTTTCGACTTGCACGACCACTGGTGAAGAAGTTATCGTCGCGGTACCGTGAGCGAGACCGTGATCGAGACCGCGACTTGTTTGTCGATATGGTTGAGACGGAATCTGAGGAGTCTGGAATTGGCGATCGACCCCGATCTTCTGGTTCCGCAACAAGTTTTGTCCGTCTGGCCTCAGCCTCAGCCAATTGTTGGTCAGCCACGCCCTTACTAGGTAACTGTCAGAAAGAGGTTGTCCCCAGGAATCCGGACAAGCGCAGTCACCTGTTCAATAGATTGTTTGGGGTGTCGCTCGCTAGTTTTGGCGCAAGTTTGGGGTTCAAGAGTTGCTGGGTCCTTGATGGCCTGGATGTGTACGGCCGTTCTTGCACGCTTGATTTGCACTCATAACTGTAGTGGCGTGAACAATTCGTCAGTACGGATGGCGGTAGGACTGAACAAGAGACGCAAACATATCTTTCTTCAAGCATTTTTGGCACACGGTACTGGCGATAGCCTTCTGCGGCCCAAGGCCCGGAAGGGTGCGATACCGGTTCATCAGAAACAGTCTCCCCTACAAACGGCCAGGGGGGGATAAATGGTTGTCGACCAGTCTCACAGGATGTCGTGATGGTAAAAGCGCAGGCCTAGCAACGGGGAGCGTCAGGCCCGCTTGGTCAGAAGTTATATAACGGGGAACAGTGCGGTTCCGACGTATATGGAGGATAATGGTGATGGAACAATGCTGATGCCTTGAAGCCGATGGGGAATCTGCAACGTATGGACATGAACAGAACACTACCCACACTGGGGCGGATGCGAAACGTAGCGCATCAAGAATCCGAGGAAGAAGGAGCCCTCTTCAAAGCAGCCAGGCAGGCCCAGAGCCACAACCTTTACACAGTAGAGAGACGAAACAGCGGCTCGGGAAGAAAGAGGTTGAACGAAGCCCGACTGGGTGGCTTCCCATCCGAAGATGATGGATGATGCTGGTTGGCCTGGAATCGTTTGTTGTACCTTTTTTTTTTCCTCCCTCTCGCTGATGGCGAATGGGTTCGGTGCCCTGTGCCCTGCTGGTTGAGCGATGTGCCATTCCAGAGGCTTCGCAATTACTTTAATCCGCCCCCGTGGTACAGTAACACAGCGAGACTGACATGGGGAAAAAAACCTTGGCATTCACCCTCATGGGCTGCTTTGCCTGCTTGCGCTTTTCGATACCTCAAGACTGCCACTGGTCATGCTTTTCCCAGCCTTGAGCTCAGTTGTCGCTCTTCACTTTCTCAAGCCTGTTGATCTCCATTGTTTATAGGCACAATGGACTGATCCAACTCCCTTTTCAACGCCGCTGCATCCTGTCAAGGGTCTGATATTTCTCCACTTTGTGAGCGCGATCTCGACGACTCAACCCCCCCCCCGTAATCCCTCCAAGGTGGGCGAGAGCCTTCACGGCAATCTGCTTGTCGTCCTCTTCAATCCCTGCGACCTTTCCACATCCTACAAAGCCCTGTCACCTCGGTCTCTGGCCTGGGTTCCGGAAATCTCAAACATACCATTCCCGCCGAATCCTACAAGATCTGCCCTACCGCCTCATTACGCTCGACGGCATTCAGTCTGTCCCTACGCACGTTGACAGCCCTCAAAGACCGCCTTGCCGAATCCATGGAGCCTTTTAGGTTGTGCTGTGTTGGCTCGTTCGATGAGCAAGACGTCGTGTGAGACCGCGGAAGGAAGAATTGAAGCGTCGACTTTCGCTCGTACAATTCACATTCATTTTCAATCTCAGTCCTCAGCTTGATAGCCGTACTTGGCGCTGTTGGATACGACGTGACGAATCTCCTTGGGCATCATGGCGTCTTCTCAGGTCGGGCCGCCTCCGGGGAAATTATCGTTCGCAAAGGTAAGTTTGATCTGCACGTGTCACACCTATTGTGCGTTTCTGACATTTCTCAGGTCGCAGCAATGCGTGCACCTGCTCTTCACACACCACACCCTAATGCTTCTGACGAAAAGAAGTCTCGTCCCGTCGAGAACACTAATCCAAAGGCTGTCCAAACTAGCATTCTGAAGACTCCGCCTTCTCCCAGAAAGCCTAGCGTTTCACAGTCGAGAAATCTGGAAGAGCACAGCCAAACCGACTATTTAACACCCGCAATTGAGGGCCTTTCTCTGGTTGAAGATGCCAGCCTTGGATCAGGCGGTCCCCAGAGTGCGGAAAGCGGAGAATCTCTTGAAGACGATCAATCTCATCTCTCCAATTCGTCTACCAAACAGCAGAGTTTCGATACCAAAAGCATGGCGTCCGTCACAACCTTTGCGATGGATGAGAAGGAGAGCATTCGTCCAGACGATAGTGCCAGCGTCAGGGCCGCAGAGGACGAAGATGCCTCAAATGCACCACACAGAGAGGATCTATCTGCGTCAAATGCTCGTGTTACATCGCGGCCAAACAATTCTGGAGTGACTATTGCGGCTCGCCGTTACCACACGTTGACTTTAACGAATCCTCCGCGATTTGGAGATCTTCCCCTTCCCATCATCCAGGCAGAGAATACGGACCGCCAGCCTCGTTCAGAAGGATCGATAGAGCAGCCACGCGAGCTGCATGAGCGAGCTTCATCACTTCCACTTGCACCCGATGAGAAGCTACTGGATGCATTAGCTACCCCAAAAGATCGCCTTCCTCTCCTACAACTCGAAGAGAAGTTCCTTGCCTTTATCGCAATTCCTGGGTATGTCTGAGTGTAATCGTCGTCGAACCATCCGCTAACTCCAGCACAGAAATGATTTTCTCGACCTACCCCCGCAAAACTCCTTCACCAGGCTACTTGCACATAAACTTGCAGACTATTACTCACTCGCTCATCACATCAATGAAGACGGTACATCCATCCGCATTTTTCGGTCGCCCAAAGTGTCAATGTGAGTGCACCACTTACTTGAGTCCCAAAATCCCACTTACTGATTTTAATTTGCAGGCCAACACCGCTGCACGTTTTAGCTCAGTCCATTCCCGCTGGGCCATCTCAACCTCCTTCCGCTGCGGGTTTTAAGATCATGCGCAGGGTCGGTCTGGGTCCACGGCAGGGCTCGGCCGATGCCAGCACACCTGCGAGCTCTTCAGCCCCATCTAAAGCCACCTCTGAAGCGGGCTTGGAAACGAACAGCGAAGAAGGCATCATATCTCCAATGGAGGGGACGCCAAACAAGGACAAGTCAAAACTCACGAGAGAAGAACGAGAGGCTCAGTACAAAGCTGCCAGAGATCGAATCTTCGGCGACTTTCAGGAATCGGTGACCAGTGAGAGTGCTTCGACCGGGGAGAACTCGGCAAGCATGTCGCGGTCGAGCTCATCTAGTGGCAAGAGGAAGGCACGCAAGCACAAGACGCCAAAAGACGACAGTTTCGAAGCGCGATCAGCATTCATTCCCAGCTACGCCCCGATGCACGTGTCACATATGCAAGCTCAATATCAGCCGCATTACTCGGATCAGGCGTATCATGGGCCATACCAATCCCCGGGTGGCGGATTTGGCGGAAACATGAATTACAGTTCTACGCCCACCCAAACATACCCCAATTTTGACTCCTCCATGTCGTACAACAGCGCCCCAATAGGCTACGGACCCAATAGCAGTCAGCCCTTTAGTCCTGCAGAGTCTTGGTCATCGATGCAGACAGCCTCTTCGAACGGATACTTCAACTACTCTGCCTCTCCAACTACCTATCAGCAGAACATTTCTCCCATGATAGCCCAGATGAACAATCAGTTCATGCCATCGCCACACCTGGGGATGCAACAGCCACAGAACTGGATGAGCAATCAATTCCAAGTTACCTATCCGCAACCTCAGGGTTCGCAGAGTTCCAACATGAACGGTTGGTCTAGTTATCAGCCTAGCGCAACCGTCAACAACCCAACAAATTATGGCTATGGACAGCTTCCTAGTCAGAACTTTGGCGGCAACGCGAATCACCCATACAATGCTCAATACTCCAATCCAAGCACGTATCCGAGGTCACTCTTCAACCCACAGACCAGATCTTTCGTCCCAAGCAATTCCACAAGCCGCAATGGTGGTCGCAGTGGCCACAATAACAATGGCACCAACGGCGGACGAAAGAAACCCTCTCCATCATCGTCGAGCCAGAGTCGAGCGAACAGCATTCCTCCCAGCAAATCGTTTAGTTCTGATGTTTCCGGAACGCCTCCACCTGCGCGGGCGTTCGAAAAGGGACCAGCCAGTAATGTATCGTCGCCCAAGCCAACTCCGGTCAAAGAAGACTCACTTCAACAGAAATACGGCGCCCCTGCACATTTGCCTAAGAAGCCTCCGCCGTCGCAGGTCCCGTCCCTGTACGATGTTGAGAGCATTAACACTTCTAGTACTGGTGGGGTAGGGGTAGGAACGCCTGCATGTGGAAATCCGAGTAATAATGTGACAGGGACGGGACAAAGCAACGGGTGATCGGCATGAGATATGGAAATGGCAAGGGAATTGGACACGTGCTCAGGCCGGGATGGGCGCAATAGCGCATTGTATGGAACTCTCGACATCTAGTCTCTTTGCCCTAGCAACTGAGGTATGCAAGGAAGGGAATGATCATGTGTCAAACCGAATTGGCTTGGATGAGCACAGGGATCAATCATGCATGTATCAGGTTCTCTTCGGACATGAAAAGGACCGGAATAGGGCGGCAGGCCAAAACAAAAAGAACCAAAACTGGAATCAATATGACTGGTTTTTAGACAACTCCCCTCCTCGCCATATCGAACAGTATGAAATATTCTCCTATACCTACTCTGTCCCAGAACGACGAGACCGCCCACCGTCCCGAACGTCCACGCGGACGGTCACATGTCCCGCGCTCTGTCTCTGCAACAAGGCAGCACAGGGCAGGAGAGATAGCGAAAAGGAGAGAAGGGGAGAAAGGACGAAGAGAAGAAAGGGAGACGGGGATCACGGCTCGTCCTCGCTGTGGCTTTGGCCGGGTCGAGGCTGTACTGGATGCTCGGACCTGTTCATCAATCTATTCGTGCCCTGGGTACTCTTGATGGTATCTGTCCCAATGCGCCATGTCGTGGCGTGCTGTGCTTCCTGCTCGTGCTGGGTGCTGTGTGGCTTTCCACGTACGGGGCTATTTACTCCATCCCATGCTCCCGGAAGTCTATGACCCCAACTCCGGCATGTCTCATTGCCAGTATCCTCTTTTTGCTTTCTACTTTTGGTTTCCCGACGTCGTGCATGTCCTTGTGTCCTCGACTCCTTTTTGAATAACATATGTCTTCGGAAGGTGTGGATACCGTCACCCTTCACTTCAAACCTCCGCTCGTGTCCCGGCGTGAATCACGCATTTCTAGGGCCTCGCTGTGCTCGCCTTGTCGTACAGCCTCGTCAATGGTATCGTCGTCATCAGGTTCATCATTTACCTCCTCGTTTTCATCCTCGTGGCCCCTCATCAACCCAATGGCCTCTTCTTCATGAGTGGCTTCTTCCCCCTTGGACCGTGCGTGCTCTCTCAGCACTTCCAATCCAGACGGAGTGCTTACACGAGCCCCATTCTCACTCCGCTTGGCCTTAGTTGCCGAGTCCCTTGCAGCAGCCACCCACACTGCCCCTGCAAGAATCAACACGCTGCCAATCCAGCTCATCGTGTCCGGGGTGACGCCGAAGACCAACTTGTCCCCAGCTAGCGCAAAGAGCATCTGCGTGTAGCACATGGCTGTTGCACGTGTACCTGATGGTTTGGGCTTGGGCTTCGCCGAAGAGTTACAGTAACCGGTATCCCCAGGGTTTTCCAGGTGGGCGGCTGGACCGGAGCTCTCGAGATCCCTAAACTTTTGGGTGGATTCATTTTGGTTTCGACTTTGACTAGACGGTTCACAGGGTCCACCGTATGCTAGACCAGCCGTCAGAAGGAATTGCATGACAAAGCCGCAGAGACCGAGGCTGGCAAGCAGGCTCCATTCGGTGAGATTTCCCGGTAGCCGGAATTTGACATCAGGGACGATGACCAGGCACACCAGGGAAACGACACTGCACCAGACGCTGAAGTAATTGATGCTGATGAACGCGTGGGCTCTGGTGCCGATGACACGTATCGCAGTGAGGGCGCCAACAGACCCAACAACGCCAATCATTGCAATGCCAACTGCTGCCAGATGTTGTTCGGGAGTAATGTGTTGAGCCGTCTCAGATGTCACGGTCGAGTTCAATGGAGGACTCACTATGGCGTCAGAAGGCTGGGTTGACGATGAGGCTGAAGAGAGCAGCGAGGCCGGTCGGGCAATGAAGAGGACGCCGATAAGACTGACAAAGCCGGCAATTTGCTGCTGTGCGGTGAAGATTTCCCCGGGTATAATAAAACTGCAGAGGTAGCAGGTAAGGATTGGCGACAGAAACCCCAGGACGGTTGCCTCGCTCAGGGGCAGGTATAGCAGGCTGAAGTACAAGCCAAACACTCCAAAGAAGCCAGCAATGCCGCGTAACACCAGGAGCCAGCGAACACCTCGTGGACCAAAGGGAAAATATGGAGTAGTCTTGAAGTAGATGCCGTACGTTGTGCAGATGAGCGCCGTGATGGACTGGCGAGCGAACAGGATCTGAAATGGATGCATCGGTTCGCCGTGAGCGCCAGGCGTCTCAAGGAGTCGGGTACTGATGTTCATGCCGACACCGAAGGCCTGAGATGCGAGGACCAACAAAGCACCATAGTTCGTCACATAGAAGGAATCCCAAGCAGCTCGGAGGCGCGACGGCAGAGGCGGGCCAGTTGATCTCGAGCGAGCGCCATCGTGGGATATGCTCCGGACGAGCGGGTGGGCGGTTTGAAGTTCGGTGGAGTGAAACGAGAGCTCTGAGAGCTCCGAGTATGTGCTGTCAAGCGAAGGCCGAAAAGACGGCACGTCAAGGTAAGAGGGCTTCCGGCCTGATGCAGATGCTGCGAGAGGAGGCGTCGACTTGGACGACGAGGGAGAAGCGACGACGGTAGTGCGGCTGGAAGGTGTCTCGGGCTCATATCCATATGCACCTTCACCTTGGGAAGACGCACTGCTCATGGACATGGTCTCAGATCCGCCATCCCAATGACCCCGGTTGATACTTCAGTTCTCTCAGAAAAGGGAAACGGTTCAACTTGATGATAAGAGACACAAGACGAGACTGGCGGGCAACGGCCTTGACGGAAGAATAAAATGCTGACCGAGATCCAGCGAAGGAGGTAGGTATCTTAGATGGCCGTATACGTAATGACAGGAAGATGATGACCACTGCTATTCGAAGGGAGTGTACTCCGTGTTGGACACGCACAGCAGAAACGATACAAACAAGATGACACACCAAGACAATGACGGAGCGGGGAGGCGGAGGAGAATAGCCAGAGCAACAGCCGAAAAGAAGAGGCAAAAAATAGGGCACAAAAGGGCGGGATGAGAAATGAGGGATGAGGGAGGATGAAGGATGAAGGATGAGGGATGAGGGATGAGGGATGAGGGATGAGGATTCCACATGGCCATCAGGTATCGCAGGTACCGAGCCACTTTCAATCAGTTACCTTAGTAGGTGCATATCGTCCCCCTCCAGCGCCCTGCGACTCGCAAATCCGTGTCATACACATCTATCACCCGGCCCGCAATTGGATGATATATTACACCGCAGGATAAGGCCCAGTGGGTCGACCGGGGGGGGGGGGACGCCGGCACACTTGTAGTATGGGGTAATGCTCCCACGGAAGACTCGGGAATACTCTACAAGTCATGCCATCAACACGAGAAATGGTGGAAGAGGCACTCTCGAGAGACACAAAGACAGAGACAGAGAGAAAAGAGTTCGAGATGGAAACACCACAGGGAACACAAACCGGGACAGCTTTCGTTTTTGTACACGAAATATCAAAAAGGAAAAAAGTCCGTCTTCCTGGTCGTATGCTTCTTTTTAGTTCCTCGTCCTCCCAACCGTCTACGAGGCCGACGCCGCGGCGGCCTCTGCCTCTCCTCTCCTCAGCGCCAACAGCGCCCGCACATCCGTCACGTACTGCAGCGCCTCTAACATGGGTATCAAATGAAGCAAATCGTTGTCGGTCGGGTCGTTGATCCATCCTTCGATCGGGATCGCATTGTCTGTCATGCCCGTGGCCTTAGTCCGCCGCCCAACTCTCAGAGAGGGCTTGCTTACCTTCGTGGAAAATGTAACTGACGGGACTGTTGTCCAGAATAATGACCTTGCTCAAATCCGGCTCAATGCTGCTGAGATCTTTGATGTACGCCCCGTTGCGGAATGTGCAATGTTGCCGGTAGTATCTGCCCACAAAGTACTTTCGCTCCTGTTCTAGCCAATCAATGACTGGATCCGCGTATTCTTGCACCGACGCCGTAAACACCACCAACTTGTACCATTTGGCAACTTTACGCAGAAACTCGTCGCAGTGAGGTCGCTTGTGCACGTAGTATAGAATAGGATGCTGGGGTCCAATCACGGCCACGGCTTGGCCAGGCTGAGGAGGTGCCAGAGCCACTGGGGCATTCAATTTGACCTCCACCATATGCCCTGACGACATCCGACCTCCTTTGGCCAAGGAATGGATCAAGGTCTCGTCTAGGTCCAAGATCAGCGTTTTCTGCTGTAGCGGCGGTCCATGGCGGGTGGGAGTTCGGGGAACCAGGTTGGCATAAGAAGGTTGCCTTCGAGGAACGAGGGGCCGAGGCGGTTGGGGCGCGTGAGGATATCTGGTGATCTTGAGGGAAGGAGAAGGCGATCGCGGCGACTTGATGTTGTCTACGGTCAATGGTGTCGAATCGGCCAAGGGACTGGCAGCTTTCTTTTGTTTCCGCCTTTTGTGAGCAAGGTCATTTTGCTCTTTGATTCTGATGGAGGATCGTCGGGTTTCTGAGTCCTCGCGCACCGTCTTATCGCGCTTTGGCTTTGAGCGTAGCTGGGCACGCTCGGCCTTGCGCTGTTCTGCATCCGAATCTGAAGTGGTGGTGTCTAACGAGTCGCTCGAATAAGAGTGGTGCAGCTTCGCCTCTTGGAGCGCGCGGTGGGTAGGTTTCTCGTAGGCCCAAGTGCCGTCCGGGGCAGCATTGGAGAGCCCCATTGCACGGGCAGTGCTTTCCCTTCGCGGGAACCTTGGGACAAGGGTGAATTTTCCGTTCTGATCCCTAAAACACTTTGCGAGGTAGACGATTGGGGCGCCAATTGCGGCCAGAATGGTGGTTATAGCATCCGTAAGCTTCTTAACTAGCAGGCGCCAGCCTTCCGCGGTCGAACTTCCATCTTCCTTCTCGCCCGCGTACAGTAAAGGCTGCTTCTCGTCCTCCGATTTGATGACAGGTTCATCGTCTTCGGCAGTTGCTTCGGTGGATAGCTTGTCGGAGAAAGCAGCGTCTGGCTCATTCTTCAACTCAGCCGTGAGCTCCGCGCCGTAAGATCTGCCTCTAAACTCCTCATCGCCCGACTCTTTCTTCAGAAGTTCACCTTGAGACCTGGACCGAGGGCGTGAGGATGACTGAGACTGTCCGATGACTCGGGAGGAGATGAGATTGAGGGAGTTCATCTCCCACCACAGGCACAGGCGCGGACACTTGGTAGCGGTCGACGCATCGGCTTCGGGGCAACAGGCTCTTTTGGTTTTCACGACGGCGATCGCATGACGGTTTTATGCGATGGCGGGGAGAATCGGCGAGTAGCGGGATAGCGTAGAGTGGTGGATAGCGATGAGATGACCCGATATGCTCACATAGTCCAAGTCAATGTTGTGGTGAGAGTCCCTTGTAGTTCCTGCAGACGTTTGCGGCCACAAAGAAGACGACAAGGTCAAGGTCAAGGTCAAGGTCAAGGTCAAGGTCATTAAGCTCGGGTCAGGACAAGTTCTGGTTGATGTAAGGGTGGTGGCTGGCGCAGCTGATCCGATCAACCAGCCGGTCACGAAATAAGTCGGTTGGGAGTGGGAGTTCGAAGTGGGAGTTTCGGGAGTGGGAGCAACAGCCAACGACGCGGGCGGCTTCCGTGTCTCGACTGTCGAAAATGGTGGCATGCGAGTCATTCAGTCATTCCCTCCACCATCACCACCACACACCACCAAAAAATTGTCTACTCACTCACACCCAGCACCGCTGTCAAACTGGAACCACACATCATTGACGGCCACAGGGGCTGAGTCCAAGAAAGGTCTCCTCAGAAGGACAGGAGACCACTGTCACAGTCCGTTGTACCCACAACACCAGGCGGTTTTTCTGTTCTGGTTACAGACCCAGCAGCATGGCGCCCACGGCAGCGTCTTTGACGCCTGGGTTTGCCAGTTTCCAGAAAGTCCTATCCACAGAGCCGCTCGAAACTTCAACAACGTATCTGGTCTCGTGGGTTCCCGATCCTGATTTTTCCCACCAACAATTGGGCTAAGGCATGTGCAGATTGCTTAAGAGACGGCAAATAAGAGGCTCCAAACGATGCGCTATTGTCACTACCCTCCTCCTGCTCCGCACCGTTGAGCTGACCAAACAAGTCGACTCAGTCAGACTGATCCAGAGAGTCAGAGAGGTTGGCAAAAAGCTCGTTGAAGCTGCTCCTCACGAACCCGCCGTTGGGAACATCGTTCGCCGAGTCTTGGGAATCATACGCGAAGAAGACGAAGATGATGCTGCGGGCACAAAAGGTGGAGATGAGATGAGCTCTGTTGGTGGTGATGCTGATATTGAATCGCCTTCGACGTTGGAACCCACGCAATCAAGAAACATCTCCCATACGGTCGTTAATGGCGATGCTTCCAGTCCCTCACCTCCGAAAGGCACTGCAAGTCCACGTCCCCCTTTACTGAGCTCGCGCACTGGCGCCCCAGAGACCGCCCGCCCTGTGACGTCTATGTTCAGCATCAATGCCCATCCAACAATGCGAATGCTCGGTGGTCCAAATGACTCGCCCTTGAGTCGCAGCGGGCAAGCTACCCCACAGCTGCATCCTGCAGGGACATTTCAGGCGAATATCCGTCCCGAAGTGATCAAGGGGATTAAGGAGATCATTGATGAGATCAACGCTGCCGACGATGAAATCGCCACTGCTGCACTCGACCAAATTCATCCGCAAGAAACCATCTTCACATATTCCTCTTCCTTGACGGTCCAGCGGTTCCTCCTTAGGGCCGCCTCAAAACGGAAGTTTACAGTTGTCCATGCGGAAGCATATCCCAACAATCACCTCCAGACACACGCTTTGCTGACCGGGAACCAAGATGTTGTCACAGAGGACGAGGACAATCTGCCTAACGACACTTTCTCAAAGACATTGACGTCGGCTGGTGTTACGGTCGTGGTGATCCCCGATTCGGCAATCTTTGCAGTCATGTCTCGCGCAAGCAAGGTCATACTAGACGCCCACGCTGTTTTAACGAATGGTTCCATAGTTGCTGCGGCGGGAAGCAAGGCCGTCATCAAAGCTGCCAACTTCCACCGCATTCCCATCATCGTGTTGGCAGCAACATACAAACTCTCTCCAGCGTACCCTTATGATCCGTTCAGACTGATCGAGTATAGTGAGGCGGGAAAGGTGGTACCGTTCCAAGAGGGCGAATTGCGCCACGGATTGGAAGAAGGAACGAGGAATCCATTATATGATTTCGTCGAGGCAGGCGATGTGGATTTGTTCGTCACCAATGAAGTGCCGGCTGTTGTCAGCACGGGATACCTTTATAGGGTTGTGAGGGAGCAGTATCGGGATGAGGACTTGCAGCTGTGATGAAGCCTAAACTGATGAGAGTCTGCTATTGAGCTTAGCTGAGGAAGGCTCCCCCTTTGGTACAAGAGCAAATGCTGGAATAGAGAAGAGCTTGATACCCCCCCCTGACATTGGTGGATTTGGTGGAATGTAGATTGTTTGCGGCATCTAGCGCCCCTTTAAACTCCCGCACCATGTGCTATACAAATGCATCTTTTCAAGTATTGCAGGGCAACGGCCCGAGTGAACCACGGAAGGTCCTGACACGGTGATGATACAGTTTGGAAAAATCCCTTTTTCACGCAAGAGTTGGGGGAGAACTCTATGAAGGAACCTCCTTATCCTCGCCGACCCTCTGCCTTCTCAGCCGTCCCGGACCCTTCTTCTCCTTTCCTTTGATGTCGCTGGGGCGATCCTTCTCACCCCTCACCCACTCATAGAGGGTTCCGTCTTCGTCAAACTCCCTCCTCTCTTTCTCGAGCTGGTCGTTCTGGCCCCGCTCTAGCCTGTCGACCTCGTCTTCCAGCGCCTTCTCCCCGTCGATCCGGAACCGGGTCACCTTGCGAATGTTCGCGGCCATCATCTCCGACATGTCGAAGTTCTCGCGTCGTTGCCGCACGAGCGCCTTGGCCGTCATGCTGAACCGCATGTCCCGCGGCCCGTCCACCAGCGACAAAATCGCAGAGGGGGCCTGGTCCTCCCGGATGGGTTCCTGCCTCAGCACGCGCGTGTAGCCTCCGGGGCGGTTCGCGTAGCGTAGCCTCAGTTCGCCGAATAATTTGTCCATATGTCCTTCTCGCTCGGGTTCGAAGAAGATGGTCTTTGCCCGTTCCCGCGAGGCGCCGGTGTTTTTTTTCCCCAGGGTGATGAGTTTCTCCGCGAGCCGTTGCGCCTCTTTGGCCTTGTGCCAGCTTGTCGAGATGGATTCGTTGGCGATCAGCGAGGTGACGAGGTTGCGCAGGAGGGCGCGCCGGTGGGCCGAGTCGCGGCCCAAGTGGCGGTATTTGAGCGTGGACATTGTGGGTTTTCAGGAAAGATAGAGAAGAGGGAAATAGAAGGTAGGCCTCGTTAACGAGGGTGTGCTGGATTCAGGTCGTCGTTCGTGGGCAGACTAAAGTCGTCGACAAAGGATCAGACTTATGCTGGGGCGTATTGTAACATTGCGATATGGTTTTGGTTGGGAAGCCGGAGTGAGTTTTAAGAGTGTCGGTAGAAGGCGTCAAAGGTCTGCCAGAACGTCCCCTTCCGCTGTCCCTTGGGATTCTTTGCCAGAGGAAAGCTTTTTGTTCAATCGAAGCCGCGGAGTTCTGGACAAGCCGAATGATCCACACTACAGAGAGACACGAAGAGACAGCCGGAGTAATACGGCGGATCATCAAACGGTTGATACGCAATTCAGCCGAAAGTCTGATCCGACACCACCTCTGACATGGACGGCTTTGAACTCATATTCTCGTCTTCAACGGATGGTATCAGCCGATTTTTCAGTCGCAAAGACAAATACTCACTGGTGACGGCAGCAAGCCCCAAAGTTCGAGGGATGCCCCCTGTGCTCACACGAGGCTGTCTAGGACTGAGACGTTGGTTAGGGACCCCCAACTATCAAAGTGTATCTAGGGCCACCCGTCAGAAGGTTGCTCCCCGTGTTGGCGTATGAGTTCTCGGGTTGGTTCCCAATAGCGCCACCGGATACCCTCTGAAGTCTTCAGCCTCTGCTACGAGATGTTATCAGCGTGTGCGTCGCTGGGTTGTCATCATGCCGCCACCAGTCACAATCGACTGCCTCGCACCTCAAACGAGTGGGTAGCCAGCGCCAATCAGTTGGGAAGAAACTCATATGCCTACTGTAGTCACAGATGAACGACTCGGCGGCCTTCATGGCCTCTGACTCCCGTGTACCAAGTAAGTCCTCATTGTAGAAGACTTGAATGACTGGGAGAAGCCATCGGCAATTGCGCTTCCGCTCGAGCAACTTTAGTTTTAGCGCTTCAAAGAACACACACGCCACCATCCCAAACCCATCCCTCCCACCACGGCCATTGCGTTGAAGGTATCCACCGCAGCCTGGCTTTCTGAGCTCAAGCGCTGCAACGAGGCCCCTGACGAAAGTTCGGTTGGCTGTGATGTCCTCATCCAGCCTTGTGACGTAGACATCGATGAACAAGTCCCAGACGAGGAGTTTGTAGTTGGGCAGAATCGGATGGGCTTCTCTCACCGCCTGATCCTCGAGCGAAAGCAGTGCGTAGATCTTATCGCGGGGATCCTCGCAGCGCGTGCCTCTGACAAGGTGTATCAGATTGTTCAGATTGCAATGCTGCCGGTTCATGGCAGGAGGGCCGTGGGCCTGTGCATCCCGTGGCGTGCTGACCCCATTATGGCCCTGCCCTTTTTTGGATTTCTCGAGAGCTCGGATCAAGTACAATCGTGTGAATCCGCTCCATCGGACCGGGGATTGTTGTCCGAGCGCATCCAGCAAATAAGAGGGTGAAGATAAGTTGAAAACTCCGCCGTTTGTGTGCTCTTGACTGGGACGGGAATTCAGGTACACCCCCCAACCCACAGCGTCGTCACCACATAAGATGTGCACACGCTTGGCCAGGGCTATTTCTTGTGCAATCCAGGTTCTGCGCCAATAGTTGCGATTCTCGAAGTTGAGCCACAACTGGCTGGACAGGCCTGGCAACAAGGCTGATGAAGAATTTCCGGACAGCGATTTGAACACATGACGGCTGCTTGTATCGTGCTCCCCGGTCCAGGCTAGAACAGCTTTCGCCCCTCTGAAGATATCTCCGATCAGGCGGACCTGCTCTGACTTCTCCGTCAGATCAACTTGACTAATGCACAGGCAGTCAACCCAGACGATGCGATCAGTATCTCGACGGCGTACTCGCTGGAGAAAACGCCATAGGTTTTTCCGGACATCGACAAGCAGTCCATTGACTTGTATCCCTTTGAAACTTTTCTTTGGGCCCCAAGTATAAGACAGAGCCTCATACTGTGGAGCCTCGCCCAGGGTAAAAGTGGTCAGCGTGGCCTTGATCGGACTCCACTGATAACCAGGATGCAAAGTAATCAGTCGAAAGCTGTTAGCCGCGAGCGGTCGAAATAGCACCTGGGAGGATAAATTCGAGCTCTCGAACCATGTCAGCGGTGATTGTCGACGTGCCGAATTATATTCTCGACTGGCACCCCCTATGTTAGGACGACCAGTAACGTACGACCTGACAACCATGTTTAATCGTATACGCGACACAAGGTACAAGTTGCCATGTTTCAATATGGCTTTAATTGTCCCGGTTTCCAATAGTATTTGAGGGCGCTGGCTACACATGCCCAAGGAGAGAGAGTGGGCGGCTGCACGGCACGAATGGGGGTAATCGCTCCCAAGCTCCTAACCATCAGGCTAGTGAGGCTACTGGCCCCCCTCTCTCCGCCAAGTCAAGTACCGAGTATGGCCTTCTGTGTCGTGTTGAACAAGGCTACAAGGGTACAAGGCCAGAAGGTTGCATGAACGACACACCCAGTATCCTTCATTTACTGCCTCACCTACAAACAGAGCACGGCTGCACCTATCTTCCTACTGTGGGTCACGCCAGAAATGAAATACATATCAATCTCAAAGGTCAAATTTATCTCCACATTTTACTAGTGTGATTACCAGTGCAGCAGCAAGGCTCGTCCACAAAATCCGATTCCATCCATAATCATCTCCCCAACTTGCAGCCAGGAGGACCCTCCCCTTTCCCCCTTTCCCCTTGTCTAAGTGTGCTGGAGCTATGACATGGAGATATCAGATCAAGAATGGCTGTAAGGTGGGGGCAACTGCGGAGTGTGATCGACCCTACCAAATGACATAGAAACTGGAAAAAATTCCTTCGCGGGGTTTCTCACAAGCTGAGTTTTTGACTCTGTTTTATGGTTCTTTTGTGGAGGGTGGGGGTGGGGGAGCTTCTGTTTGACACCTTGTGGCGCGTTGCTAATATTGACAATGAAGTCAACATCCTAGGAGTCATATAAGTTTGGTGTGCTGCCCCTGAGGATATGAGCATCCAATACCTGGGTGGGTTCTGCCATTGGGAATGTATTTCCAGAGAGCCAGACGGCCAATAATGGCAATCCTGGCATCGGAATATTCGCTGATGTTCTTGAGAATGCCGATAACATTGGCGGCGGCTGTTTCGAGCTCAGTTCAAGGAGGCATAGTGCTAGGCGGTCAAGGATAAGACAAATATGACAAGCGTGAACGGACAATAATCGAGGAACGGGCGTGCTGCGACTGTCGTGGATCTGAGAAGTCATTGTCGAACAGAGGTATAGTGGCACGGCTTATATAGTTCGACACAGTGGCAAAGGTGGCGAGATTAAAGTGGTGTTAGGTGTCTATCCGCTGATGGACCAAGAATGCTGAGTGCGCCAGAGAGGGACACAAAATCCAACGGCTACAGGTGTTTCGAGAGGTCACAAAACTATGATGAACGGTTGGTAGAATCTGGAGACAGTAAATGAAACTTGGGAGGCGAATCGCCGAAGTACTCAAGGATGAGCGACTGGAAATAAGGGGCGTCCAGTTCTTCATATCCTAAGTCAGGGCTGGGGTATCCAGGAAGAGTGGCATAGTAGGCGGCCGTCTCTACACTCAATGGTTGGCGAAGTGGCTGGTCGGTTGCCGCCTCCGTCTCGTCACGTTGAATGATGATGGTGCGAAGGGCTGGACATATTGTCGCTAAACGCTGGCATGTCCTGGCAACGCTCCCAAACTGATTCCATAGTAGAGCGACATGTTTGAACTTTAACAGTTCATCCGCTCCAAAGCTGTTCAGGACGGTCATTGCGTCCAAAGAATCGCCGAGGTAGATGACCGTTGTGTCCAGATCGACCCAGTAGGAGCCAGCACTTGTCGCTAAACCACTGGAAGGTCCACGAATGGGTTTAACGTAGAATTGTTCCAGCAGTCGCCGAGCCTCCCAGGAGGACAGGCCAGCTAAATATGGCGCAGGGCCAATGTAGGCCATAATGAAGGGGAGGCAACCTGCAGTGAGGTTGCGATCTGTATTGTTCTTGTGAACCGCGGCCCAGACAGACGGTACGGACAGCGCGTCCCTCCAAATTCGGAGTCGCAGTTCTGGGGGGGGCAAAGTATGAAAGAAGGTGAAACTGTCCGCGGCCGACATTGTTGCGATAAGAGATGAAATGACGAGCCGCGCGCTTCCAATTCCGATTTGCAGAGTGGTGTTGAAGATGGCAAGATTGATGTGAAACAACACGTCTTAGATTTTTAGGTGCGAAGACTGGCGCCAGCGCTCCAACGATGACGCTTTATCATTTACTTGGCGGCGGCTACGCTGCTAGGTTACAATTATGTAGAGCCTGTGTAGAATTAGCATTGAGGAGCTAACTATAACTACTCGGTACGTTGGGGGAATGCCGCTTTATAGACTGTCCCTGAAGGGACTAGCGTCCCCTTGGCAGATATCATACAGTACATACATACCTGCCGGGACTGGGCAACGCTTGGCACTGATAGATATCAGCTGCTGGAGCCTCCAAGAGAAGATCTTAGTTTGTGGCCTCCCACCTCTTTGCTTCCTAAACATTCGCTATCTTGCTATCCGTAGACAAGTCAGCAAATGCCCAAGCCATTGACCCCTTGGAAAAAGCCAAGGAAAAGAGGAAAGCATGTCGGATCTTTCAGAATCGTTCGTGGCATCCATTGCTCGGGCTCTCAACTCGGGCCGGGTTCCCTGTGTCCTCTGGGGCCACTATCTTCTCAATGTCCATGGAGTGCCATCAATCATCAATGTACGCATCCTCGATCAAGGAAATTCCAGATCCTGAGCCAATACTCTGCAAGTCGATTGACTTTGTCATTCCGGACGACCGTTTACGGGTTGGCATCGAGACTCTCTCTCGATTCAAGAGCCTCGAGCCATGTCCAGACTGGGAAATCTGCCCGTCAAGCTCGCAGGAGCGGCCCACGCCGCCACCAGCATTTCATATCCACATCAAAGATTCAGAGGTTACAGTGGCCCTCTATCCGCAATCCGAGACTATTTGGCTCCTACCACCACTTGACAGCTCTCTCTCGTCTCCGAACAAACACATACTTCCCTCGCATTTTGTCCTTGCGTCCGACCAGACTATTCTCCCACCCTGGCGGCCGGGTCGGGGATCGGGTGTCTTTAAGTCGGACAGTGATCCAGTGGTCGTCCCCAAGTCTCATATCTTGCTGGAAGCCTTTCTGCGTCTGTACGCGCGCGATTCAGGGAAGCGCATAGGCGCCTTTGCGATGGCAATGATTGGGTATATAGAGGAGTATGTCGATGACGATGGGCTTTTGGACGCAAACTTGCTTCCGGAACCCCTCAAAACGTCCTACGAGGAGCTTAGACAAGGGATCAAGCCGGTTCGTCAATGGACCCAGGAGTTGAAAGAGGCTCTTGGGATACATGAGGATTCCGAGGATGATCGTAACGGTTAGAACGCTGCCTTTTGAATTGTCTCCGATCGAACTATTTAGGAGCTGGGAAAGATCCTGACGGCTCAAAGCCATGATATTCGGAGTTTCCCGGGTAGATGGAGCTATCAAATACGCGGCACTAGTCTCGTTTCTGTTACAAAGAAAACCGCCGGCCTCAAATCCCAGGAGTTATAGTGAGCATGGATACGTACTCACCTATCAGCAGGGCGCTAAACTTGAATGTTTGGCATGGCTCTGAAATGCGCCAGCGTCCCACGATTTGGCTAAGGTTGTGAAGTCGTGCTGCTGGCCGAAAGAACTATGCCGCATCAACCTATCAGAATGAACGTATGCGCCGTGAGCTGCGCTAGGTCTCCCGGACAATGCAGTTTCGTTGGCTTACTTGCTTAACAACGGGGAGGCCCTATCCAGCAAGGTAGTAGGGAACGTAGCAAGGCATCCTCTTAGGGATCTCACCTCTCATCAGGGCCGAAACGGGCCATCATCGATGTGAACGGGTAAAGTTACTACATGGCTAGGTGTACGCGACGTGAGCGCGTGCGAGACCGAAGCCAAAACGGAAGCCTCACTGGCACGTGAGGGAGCAGAAGCGAGCAGGGAGGGAGGCGAGGAAGGCCGGCAGGGGTAGGCCGGCGGCGAAGGGAGTGGAAGAGAGTGGAAGGGGAGCCAGAAAGAGACGAAGGGCGCAGAAGGGAGCTGACGGGGGAGCGACGAGACTAAATGGTGGTTAGCGGGGGAGCAAAGCGGCGGGTCATTGGTCAGCCAAAGAGTAGTGACGGACGATTGTTCAAGGATATATATATATGTGTGTGTGTGTGTGTGTGTGTGTGTGTGTGTGTGTGTGTGTGTGTGTGTGTTGGTGCGCACGCGTGGTCGTATACATAGTGCTGAACATTGTTGGTCAACCCGGGCACCACCGCTGGTTTTAAGTCATCACCAATCAAACATACATAGGCGGATTTCTCTCGTCTACATCGCGCATGACAATCTTTGTGTAAACCTCTCTCTCCTCCCAATCCCTGAGCAGTCGTTCCGTCTGTTCGTTCCTCAGACGTCGACACAGTGGCCCACAAGGCGTGGCCATAGGTCCCAAATCATAAAATATCTGCAGAGGCACTTCAAGCCTGAGTTTTCCGTGTAATTTGATGCCAGCAACCCTCACGTCTAACAGCAAACTGTACTGTTGACTTGCCGTGGTGCTCCAGAATGTTGGTACTAGACCGTGTGGGATGGTTAGAGAGCAACAGAAGTGGCCATGCCAGAATGCATCGAGCTTCGGAGCGCGTGGATCGGCATTCGATTCCTTGTTCTGATAGTCTTGATCTGTTTCGTCTTTCTCCCGGGCCGCTGCCGGTTTCACAGGAAGACCCATAACAGCATCAAGCAAAACCTCCTCATCGTTCATCCGGCAACTGCTCATTGGAGTCAACATCGTCTGGCCTGGGATTTTCTCGAAGGTGACTGGACTGTAGAATGTCTTCCCTCGTAGACTTGCTTGCACCTGGATCTTGATTTTGGCAAGGAGTCTACGAAATCGGCGTTCATCCATGTATGAAGCTGGTCGTGAAAGGCGAGCACTTAGGTACACCTTGGCTGTTTGAGCCGATTTCCAACAACTGAATGCTACCGCGGCTGGTTCTGTGGTCGATACCCGGAAGCGAAGTTTGGGCGAGTCCAGCCTTCGGAGGCCACATGGAGTCTCGGAAACTGTTGTGTATTCTGCAGCAAAGTCATCCAGGCTGATTGGTGGCATGATTGACGACGTCTTCCAAATCTTGACGGGCTTTTCTTCCCTCAGAATCCACGTATTTGATGTCGATTGATCAAAAAGCACAACTCTAGCAGCTAAATGATAAGAAATATTGGGTTGAGCGAAAACTCTGCGATGGTCGTAACTCCAGACGGCTGTACCAATTAACATTGTAGGGGGGGGTTCAAGACTCTTTGTTGGTGATTTGTCTGCGTTCGTTGATATTGTGCGGGATACCACGAAATCAAAAGGAATTCGATAAGTTGAAAAGCTAGACCTCCGGGTCTCATCGTTGACCTTATGGATGGAACGCACGTCGTGGTTTTGTGAGAGGAACTAGATTTTGTGTTAGCTCTGAGAGGCCACAAATATGCGTTGTATCCAATACTTTGTATACGGAAAATCTCGTGCTCCGATCCTTGTTGATAATGTGTATCAGTGACAAGCCTGTGGCAACCTCCCCGTGAGCGGAATTTGAATGATACTTCATATGGCTTCGCGCACCTTCGAGGTCAATTCTCGCATTGGAGATGGTTGCTGAACATGGCACTTTGATAACGACAGACCCCCGCATGTGTTCTCCCGGAAGCCAGTACTGTTGCTCAAGTATATCGAAGGAGATCGTCGATTTTGCTTGGTTGTCAGGTTCCGCCTTCCATAGTTTGACCATTTTCTTCCCCTTCTGACAAGGAACCCAGGTTTGTTTGCTAAAGATGTCGTATAGGAGCTATACGCTCTGCTCGATGCGGACTTCCGGGATATCTGAAAAGTCTCTCTCCGAAGGTAACGAGAGGGACTGATGAGTATATCACTCAACTCACCTTACCTTGGACGCGGTGGCTATCAATACGCCCTGTGCATATCAGAGCCCGTCGGAGCGGATTGTAAATAACGTTGCGTGTATAGTTATGTAGATGTCTTTCTCATGGGGATTGCAAGGTACCTTCGGTAGAGAGATGGGGACTTGACATGAGGGTGGTATGACGTTTTGAATGGTATGGCAGCCACTCAGGCTATAGGGGTAGATGAACCAGAATGTAGACAAAACGGCATGGAAGTGGTCAGGCAGGCAACGGAGGGAGATATATAGAAAGAGGAGGTGAGACATGACACCAGTGACCAGTCCCCAATCCAAGACTGTCGATCGATGTAGAGGGAAAGCGCCCATCTATGCTGAGGCTCGCGGTCACTTGACCCAAGACCAAGAAGACTCGTAATTGGAGTAGACTGTCCTGAGGGCTCAAACCCAGTCTGGGACAACCAATAGCCCTGCAAATTCCGGTTATGCTTTGTGGTCAAATCAAGCTCGCGCCATGGGGCGACCAGTGCGCAACAAACACCTACGGTTGATACCAATTCGAGTAGTCTAAACGCCACCACTTTGCTGCTGCCATGTCTAATGATTTGACGGCACACAATGTGCTCTACCAAACCAGGCGTTCCAGGCCATTCCTATGGTATCACTCCAGAGAACGAGGACATGTGCGGGAGTAAACTTTACCCGCGACGACCCGATGCATCCGTTAGGGTGGCTTCATACTCTGATGCTGGGGGTACCTCTGTCCTTGGACATTTAGAAGACCGAAACCGACAAAGTCGTCTTCCCTGCCCGTTGGTTCGTCACCAATGACCGGCATGTACGGAGTACTTAGTGAGGGCCCTCGCTCAGGCTAGTGAGGCCCCTCTTGGGGTGTGGCTAACATCCGGGTCGGCGAGCCCAATGCTTTTCCTTGAACAATGACTTCGTGCTCGTTTGTGTTTGCCGAAATTGGAAATTTGTTCGCTTGACAGGCAGAACAGCCTCCTTGTCTCAGAGGATTGGAGCCGCAGCACGAGAGAAGGCTGACAGCAGCAAAAGCGCAATATTCTTTCGTCGTGGATCAATGTTGATCAAAGCACTCACTCAAATAGCGGCAGAAACTTCTCTCCCTGAAGGAACAGCATCTCCGCAAGCAACGGGAAGCGCATATGAGAGTTTTGCATTGATATCAGCGCCCACACGGACCATGTGCGAAAAGTAGTTCGCAAGCATGGAATCGATAGCTAGTGGGCCGAACCTGGCTGTAAGGAGCTTCTTCTAAGCCTCACTGGCCTTCAGTGATTGGTAATAGACGTACCTAAAGGGCTCCGCTTAACGGGATTCAAGACGGACATTGTGGAAGTACTGGGTAGTGAGCTTGCGTTGGATGTAATACCTGGTAATGGTTGAGACGAGACGAAGCACATGTTACCTGCAATGGTCCACCGTACTGTGCGGTGCCCCAGAACGGCGGAGCATATATCTCCAAATTTAGGTTTCTGATATCAGAGCTCGATTCCGATCAATGGATGCAATGAGCTTCTTATTGATACTTCCACCTTCGTGGGGATCGGAACAACTAGAATATTAAAACAGAACAAACAAAAGAGCTCTTTCCGCACTCGACAACCTTTCGTTCATCTCCCTCGACGATCTTACGTCGACCGCATTCTACCAACCAGACCTAACCTCGCAAGCTCTGAAAACGGAAAGAAGAAAACGTTCACTCTTCTCAAGAATCTGATTCGGGAAGCCAATTTCGGAACTCCCCTCACGCCCAAAAATGGGCTTTACAACGGGCTTTGTGAGCAACACCGCCTCTTCCTCCGTGGATCCCCTGCAGACTACGGTCCATAATACTAACAAGATATTTGAACAGCTGGGCGGCGCAACACTAACCTATTCCCTTCTGTACATCTCTCTATACATCCACCGCGCAAACCGTAATGTTCAACGCACCCTCTTGTCCCAACAAGCCACCCTGTTAAACTCCGTTGTTGAACCTGCACCCCCGTTGCCTGAGCCCCCGGCATACGAAGTCCGTCGAGCCGGATTAGTAGAAGAGCTCAAGGACAGGTGGAACAGAGAGGTGGAGAGGTTAGTGAAGAATGTCGAGGAGACTGACTGGTCGGGCGTGCGGGAAGAGGTCGAAGAGAAGGTGGGCAATGTCTGGGCGAGAATGAGGAAATCGCAGGCTGGCAAGGAGGTAGAGGACAAGGTGAAGGAGGTGGTGGATGCGGGAAAGCAGAAAGTCAAGGAAGAGACGGCACAGGAACCGACGAGGCTGTTGGAATTGAAATGAGGGTTGCGACCATGGTCTTAGCAGCAATACTCCATTCCATTAATGAACGATCTCGCCTCCTCTGGCACGAAGCTCTCGCGACTCAATGGAATCTATCGCAAGACACCAGCCCTCGCACACAAGCAGCCGAGCTGCCTCCACAACGATCCTCTAGCCACTGAACCTGTTGAACGGAGCTCGGCCGTCTCATCTCACCCTGAAGCTCAGCTTGACCCTCTACCCCCGCCACGGTCCAAAGCCTCCAGCAAATATTGAATACTCAGCAACAATGGACCAGCCTGTCAGACGTCTGGTGTGTCTGAAGTGGCTCGCGCATGACCGATGCCAAGTGAGGTCACAAAGCACCCACCGCTTTCTTCTTCGCCTGCCTGATTGTCCCCTCGATGACTTGCAATGGTCAACCAACAATCTCAATGTTGAGGCCATCGCAGCAAAGAAAAGGATGTATGTATCCCGACAGACGGCGATTTTGTGACACAGGACCGCCTTGGACGCCTAGTCTCGACCGCTCGTTGTCTTATAACACCCCGCCACGATGCAGAGTTACACAGTAAGGCGCCCCTGGGAAGACAACATTTGCAGACTCGAGTTCCTTTCCGATATGAATGGCAAGGAAGAAGCAATGGAGGAACCGCGGACCTCACGAGGAGAGGAGAGAGGCTAGGGAAGGGAGAGAGGTCGATTGGAAAAGGTGGCCAAGTATCCTTAGGGACGAGGTTCTATCACAAAATATCGAAACCTAGTTTTCGATTTCCGCTCTTTATCGAGCAAGGAATGGCCTTGAAGTATATCTTGCGGCGACATCCCATGATTTGTAAGGACCTTGCCGCCTCCGGCATATTCTTGTTGGACCTCCAGCCCCAAGAAGCAAGTTGGACTATGTGGAAAATAAAACGCCGACAACACCATGCATGCTTTGGTTCAAGTTCCTCGATCATTCCTTTGAAGAAGTGTTCCTCCGTTTGAAAAGTGGTCCTTGTACGGCGAGCACAATCGTCATCTCAAGTTGCTCATTCGTCGTCATCATTTGATTCATCATGTGGCTCCTTCCACTGACTCTCTCACATCTGAGTATCTGCAAATAGTCTTCCTTGACCTACTGCTCTCCTGCCTGCCTGCCTGCTCTGTAGAGACAGTGAGCGAGGTGCCTCGAGTACTCACGATGTAGTCGTCGTCGTCGTCGTCGTCGCCTGCGCCAACTCGTTGGCCCTCTGCAAGCTCTTCTCCAAATCCTTGACCCTCGCCCTCAATGCCTCATTCTCCCGCTTCACTGCCTCAAGTTCCGCTCGCTGCAATGCCGCCTCTTCATACCTCGCTTGCGCAATAGCTGCGTTGGAGCTTGGAGAGCGTGTCATTGCGGCATGGGGCGCAACAGATGAGGCGTCCATCGTTGACGACACGGAGCTGCGGTGAGGATATGCGTACACTCCCTGGGTCAAGTGCGGTGAAGAAGTGATCGAACTGGATCGGAATCCTGATGCAGAGGTCGAATTCTGCCGACTCATGTCCGGCCTGCTCATTTCCATGCTAGGTCGCGCGCTGGCCTGGACGCTTTGGTCTCGAGGGGCGGCCACGCCGGAGACGCTGGTATTGGCGGCATTGGCGAGACTTTCACGGATGGAGCGAGCTGAACGAGTGGAAAGATTCGAGGAGGAACGATGACGGCGGGTGGTTGTAGGGATGATTGTGGTTCCCGTTGTGGTTGTATTGTAGGGGTCGCCAGAGAAAAAGTGCTCAGACGTGGACGAGGTGGTGGAGGCAACAGAGGCCGTTTGGGCGCGTAGAGCAGAGAGTTCTCGTGTGAGTCGATTCACCTGGTAGCCGCCAACGTCAGTCTTCTCTCTCCTGCGGCCCATGGTCCTTACTAGCGGTGGGTGCTTACAATACTCTCTTGCTCTTTTTCAAGTTCCAAATGTAATTCAGCGGCTGTGAGAGGTCGGGGATGTCGGATAGGTCCTGATGCATTGTCAGTTGATCGGCCTTGGGTGGTGGGGATTGATGCTGCTCTCTTTCCACTGACCTGGGCCTAGACCTACACCTGTGTTGTCCATCATAACCACCTGTGCCGGTCTAGGGGAACTTGGAAGACTGTTATTCTGAGGGAGCGGCGGAGGCAGCATTTGCGTCGAAGTTCTCCTCGACGCAGACACGGACGGAGGCTGTGGTGCAGTAGGGTTCGTCGTCCCTGGAGCCTGGGGATTTGAAACACCCCGCGGCGATCTTGGAATCGAGTTCAGGTCGGGCATCTTCACGTAGAGGTAAGACAGCAGTACTGCAGTAGTTGTCGAGACAGGTGTCAGAGAGGAATATGTGTTCTGCAGGTCAGTTCTGCCGGCTGGCCATCAGATGTATATATGTAGGAGTGGGAGTCAAAGGATGCGGTCAATGGCGGGTGACGGTTTTGTAGGGCGAGGCTGGTGGGCTAGACTCGGGGCGCTGTCTTCAATGGCCTTTCCTGTATAGGTGAGGCGAGCACTGAGCGCTGAACACACCGGACAAGACGTGGGAAGGAATGAGTGGTTTCAAAGGAGGGCCAACGAAGCAGGTCTCAGGTCTTAGGTGTCAGGTCCCCTTGGTCCTCTTAATTCTCCTTGCCCAAGTTGAAACCATGAGGTCGCGTCGCCTGTGGCCAATCACAATTCAAGGCCAGAGCACCTTCAACGGCCTATTCCAGGGCTGTAGAGCCAGCAGAAGCCGGCCACCGTGAAAGGGAAAAATTGTAGCGTGTGATGAGCACGGGAAACGCTCTTGAACATCTGTCAAAATGTCTATATCTCGGGCCAGGATTCATTGGACTTCATCATGCCGCCCCCCCTCAAGCCTGTATGACCCCTTGAATCATTGCATTGCCCTTGCCCCTTGCATACCCCTCGATGTCCATTTCTGAAAACACGTCGACTCGATCATGGACCGACGTTTGTGACATGACCTCCAAAATCCAAACAAAAACACATTCCATCATTCCGTGCAAGAAGCTGGAGGCAATCGCCTCGTCTTAATTGCCTTTTGCCTTCTGCCTACCACCCAGCGCGCGTCCCTCGCTCACCTGCCGAGTAATATCCCTCATACATGTGATACACTGGTTGATGGTTCAGTGACAGGCTTCCCATTTGCCGCTGTCGGGTCCGGATCACTCTCCCGCCCCGGAGACGAATCCGAAGATGCAGAAGGGTCCGAATCGTGTTGGTCCCAACTCTCGCCAACTTTCCGAGGTCCCTTCTCTCGGGCGTTTTCACGAAACTTTGGTGATTGGTCTCTGGCAGCGTTTTCAACATGAGCACTGTCATTATCTTTCTCATCTTCTCCAATCATTGCAGCCAGGCTTCTGAAGTTGAACATAGGCTCGAGACTTCCTGGTGGGGGAGTACCGGAGCCTGAAAATGAAGCTGCAGGACCTGGTTCGACAAATGAAGAGGAAGTCGACGAGGCATTCGACATTTGCCGGAGATGAGAGCGTCGGAATGGCTCAGCCGCAGTAGGGATTGGAATGGAGCTCGCCAAAGACTCTTGGCTGGTTCCAGACAGCGACAGCGCTGGAATATAAGATGGCCGCGGAGCCTCTTCCTCCATCTTGGCACCTTCTACAGGAGGGGTATCAGTCCGCTCTACCCCTTTACCTTTGCTGGTTGTCGAGTCATCGTCTTGGCCGAGAGACAGATTGCTTTGGGACCTTTCCATCTGACTGCTCGATGCATCCCCGTTACTACCGTTGGAGTTGACTGTGAAAAGACTGTTCTTCCGTGCCGCTTTCTCGGCCTTCTTGGTCTCTTTTTCTTTCTTCTTCGCTTCTTTGCGCGCTTCTTTTTCCTCCTTCCTACGGCGTTCTTCCTCGGATGCCAGACTCAAACGGATAGCCTCCATCATCATCATGTCTTCAAGGTCGTCCATGCGACTTCGTCGGGAACTGCTGCCGCGTGGTGGAGGCAAGAAAGAGCTTGCGCGGGTCTCTCCAGCAGCTTCCTGCTGCCGCGCTGCGTGTCTCTCCGCCAGCATTGTGAGTGCACTCAAGCTCGAACTTGGGCCGTTCTCGCCACCTTCTAAGGTGGATCGTCTCAACATCCCGCGTCGGCTAAATGCCGCGAAGGCTCGTGAATCGGCACCCTGCCCATTCATCAGATATGCGGCTGTATGCAGCGCAGTAGCTGCTGCAGACCGTCGGGCAGCGTGGGCCCGAGCAGCTGCCAGCTTGGTCGCCCAATCCGGGCGGATTTTATCCGTTGTAATGACCTCCGGAGCATTTGCCGACAGAGAAGTTCCTCGCCGTCGCCCAGGCCCCGGAGATAAGTTTCCAGAAGAAATTGAGGTTTGAGAGGACATGGCCGACATGACCTGGTATGGCTGGGATCCAGTGCCGTAAGTGAGCCCTCTACGGAAAGGAGGCGGCGCGTAAGTAATGCCAAAATCGGGAGTTTTGCAATACGGGCAGGTTGCAATCTCAGAAACAAGCAAACCATCCGCCTGCACTTCACGCTCGGCGTCAGAGACAGGTGGCGCATTCGGATCTGGTTGCTCGTGTTCCGGGGGGTGAGGATCAGGCCGCTTGATTTGCACGAAACATTCTGAACAGATAGGCTGTTCACAGCATCTGGTGGTGTTGAGGTACGGGGGATAGTATAGAAAGCAGATTGGGCATTCCGATGCGTCCTTGTAGAGGTAGACTTCGATGGGCTGTCCATTGACGAAAGGATCCGGAGGCAGCTGGAACTCTCTTGGGGTCATATCTACCTGAGAATTACCCCGCGATGAGGTCGCCAGAGAAGCTAATGTCTTTGCCCGGGTTCGAAAGGTGCTGGCGCTCGGTGAGCCGGACGGTGGCGGCGAGGAGGGCGACGGAAGTGGTAAGGAATTGGCAGGTGGCGACAGGGGTGCAGAGCTATCGGACTGGAAGGATTGTGATCTTCCCCCAATGGGTATTGTAAGGCTCTTGAGCGCAGATTCTTTGCTCCTGTCGGTGGTTATCCTCTTCGCAAGCTGGTATTCAAGCTCTGGAGGCACTTCATCCGCTGGCGGGATAGGCATGCCTCGGGCGGCAGCCATAAGTTGATGCTCCGCCCACGAATCTGAGAAATCGTTCAGACCTCTCCAGAATGGAGCCAGTCGTCTCTCAATCTGAAGCACGTCAGTTACCTCTTATACCTTTGGAAAGCCACATTGTCTTACCATGAATTGCCGGACAATTGCTTTGTTGAAGTCTTCCGTACCCACGTAGACGCCTTGTGTCACTAGATATCCTCCATCAACGTGCTCTTCTCTCATGCTGCGCTCGCGCTCCTTGATTCTTGCGGCTCTCTCCTTTTCTGCCTTTCTAGCCTCCCTCTCCACCTTTGTCTCGCGTCGTTGCTCGAGCGAGGAGGCATCTTGATCACTGCTCCCACCAATGCCGAGGAAGGAGAAGTCGGGTCGGCTGCCTCTCCGTTGGCGGGAGTGAGCGGGTCGAGGGGGAGCTTCCAGGCCATTTTGTTGTCCATCTTGTCGTCCCGTAGGGCTCGTGCTGCCACTGACCCGTGAGCCAGAGGAGCCGTGGCCACGTGCTTCCTTCGTCTGAGAATTGCCCATGGTATATTGGTTCCTGGATCAATGGGCAACCTCCTGCTGCTGTGATACACCGACCTGCTCAATCATCGCCACATTTTAGGTGTGTCCTGCGGTTCCGGAGACAACCTGAGAAGGTTTGGGATTTTGTTCCTTTTCGAATGCAGCGATCGGTGTAGGTCCTTTCGGGGAGCTAGGACCCGGTTCGGATACAGCGGAGCGTTCAGTCAGAAAGAAGTGCCAGACAGTAACTGAGATCTGATGGGCAGTTTGTGCCGTGAAGTGAGAAAGCTGATGCAAATCGGGTGTGGAGTGATCAGTGACCTCGCAAAACAACCATGTGAGATGAAATAAACTGGGACATAGTACATGCACGCAGTAAGTTATGCCGTGCAGTAGTGAAAGCACAGGGCAAGCAAGACCCAAGATGGCAAATTTCGCTGCAGCGACGTCAACTTGCTGTGCCTTGCTTTGCCTGACGCAGGGTGCTTAGAAGAGAAGCAGCTTGATGCACGGCGAGACGGGAAGTGTGAGCACGGAGGGGAAACGCAGAAGCTGGATGGTGAAATGTCAGGATTGGGTGGTAGCCATCCGAGCTTCCACGATAACGATACGGAGGTATATACTGGTGGCAGCGGCGGGCGATCTGCTGGACTGTCCAGTGCCCACCTGATACCTAATACGCTGGAGGGCCTTTCCCTAAATCTGCAATTCATCGGCGGTGGCTCAAGCCTCGGGGCCTCACTAACCCCCGCATCACCTAGCACTCTCAAGCTTTGGGGACGCCTGCGAGCCCGTTAACCACGGTTTGTGCCTGAACCCTTCAAGCCAAGGCTTGATTCGTTGGGCGCACGGGTCCTTGTGCTGCCGAGCAGCATATCTCCAAAAATTTCATCCAGCCTCATTACGTGCCCGCGCACCCAAGGGCGCCAAATCTTCCAGCGCTTGTTCTCGGCCAATTCCCATCGCGAGCGCCTGGTGTATGAGATGAATTCGCCATGGTCTCTGACCTGACGCGACTACATGTAACGCCCTTGGATCCCGATCTTCTTCAGGTCGTCGTTGGACCGCATCTACTCAAGTTAGTAGCCAATTTGTCTTACCACACGATCCAAACGTCTCCCGAGAACAACTACGGCTACTTCGACCTCCCTGCCATGGAAGCGGATAAACTTAAAAAGAAGCTCAATGGAGCAATCTTGAAAGGCAGGAAGATTAAAGTTGAAGAAGCCCGGCCGAAAAAGCGCAGGCGGATCGAGGATCTGGGCACAGAGGACGCCCCCGTCGCAGAAGCTAAGCGACGGAAGAAGTCTAAAGATCGCAATGTTATCCAAGGACACGAGATCCCCGCGGACCGGAGAGTGAAGCGTGGCTGGACAGAACCAAGGTCTACCAAGTCAAGCAAAAAGACCAAGGGCAAGGCTGTCTCGAGCAGCTCAAAATATACAGATAAAACTGAGGCCCTCTTTCGGACGAAGGTACCCCCCAACAAACTTGACGGTGTAGATGCAGTGAAGGAGAAGGGCAAGTCGAAGAAGAAAAGCACCCAGTATGTTGTGCACGAGTTCGAGAAGTCGACAATGCAACCATCCTTCCTCAAACAAGATATCGGACCAGGAGTCAAAGGAAATCTACGGTACGTTGAGGGTGAAGGTTGGGTCGACGAAGAAGGACACGTGGTTGAGAAGGAAAACGAGCGCGTTTCACAGCGCTGTGAGAGAATCAAGCTGAGAGCACAGTTGGATCGCACAACTGCAAAGCGGCCACGTCCACTTTCTGAACACTCTACCTCCTCCTCGGCTGAAGACACTGGCGAAGCTGAGGTGGAATCCAACTCTCGAAAGGTCAAGAAAATTGATGAAACAAGCAGTTCGAATTCTCCTTCCGACTCGGAATCCGAGGAAGAAACAACTATGAGCGCGTCACCGCATGGCCACTCAGCGGCAAATTTACAACCGGAGCTGCATCCACTGGAGGCTCTCTTTAAGAAGCCGAAAACAGCGGCTTCACAAGATATTGCAAAGCCGTCCTTGGAGATATCGACGTCGTTCTCCTTTTTCGACTCCGGAAATCCTGAAGACCTCGCAGAAGAGCCTAGCATCCCATTGACACCTTTTAGCTCTCAGGACATCCGTTACCGTGGGTTACGGAGCGCTGCTCCCACGCCTGACACGGCTCACCCAAGCCGGTTCAGCAGCTATGGCAGCTCTGGGCTACCAGGAGATGAGGAACCGGAGGGAGCTGATGAAGAGGGATCAGGCGAAGCTGGGCTGGGCGGTAATTCCGTGTCGCAGGAAAAGGCTGATGAGCGGACATCCCGGCCCCAGAGTGACTTCGAGAAGCAATTCTGGGAGAATCGGGCAGAAAACAATCGGTCTTGGAAGCTGCGACGCAGGACTGTGCTCAAAGAAAAGAGGCAGCGGGAAAATAAGGCACGCAGACCCAAAAATTGGTGATATTTGACCTATCCTCGTACTGAGTATGTTGGATGCTCTGACCCGTCTTGGGGCAACTTGGAGGGGGCCCGAGGGGGCAAGGAGGGGGCAGCAAGGGGCAGATAGTGATCAATTGGCAGCTTGTGCTGAGTCAGAAAAACGTGGCCGCTTGGCAGTTGGAGTGCCAATTTGGTCGAATGGGATGAATTGACGATTTGCTGAAATTCTGGAGCCTGATCCTCCCTCGGGGCTTCCGTTCGTGTCCAGAATCAACGTTCTCGTTCTTCAATCGCTTTGTTTTTGTAGTCCTCTCACGCTGTACATCTCGCGCCCATCTGGATACCACACTCCTCTATACTAAGCGCATGGCTTAGGTGTAATATTCCGACAAAACATTTAGCCCCCTCAAGGCTCAGCTCAACAGTCGCACACTTGATGCCATTGTCATGACAGGCGACCGACCACGACCGCCCACGGACTGAATTGCTGTTGATAGTTCGCATTTTCTCATGCCGCCAAAGAACCAGCGACGTTCTCACACGAAATCCAAGAACGGATGCAGTCAGTGCAAGGTCCGGCGAATCAAGGTCAGCGTGGTCGAACATGCACCGGAAAGTGCTGATCTGATCTCGCTTCGCAGTGTAATGAGGTGCATCCGGTTTGTAACAACTGCGAACGTCGCCAAATATTCTGCGATTTCTCGGCGTCACCTGGTAGCAGCAAATCTCCCAGCAATACTGCCCCAGATGTACGAAGGCAGGAAAGTCAAGCAGGTTCCGTCAATGGGTCGCAGCGGACGCCCACACAGCCTATGGTCGATCCATTTCAGCAGCCTGACCTCGTGAGCACTAAGAAGAGCACTGATTTGGATGTGACCGATCTTCGGTTAATGCATCATTTCACCAGCGTGGTCGCCCTCGATCTGGCCAATGCCCAGACTCCCGAAGCTCAGGCATTGTGGCAAGTCCACGCGGTTAAGCTGGGCTTGAAGCACGAATTCCTTCTCCGGGGCATCCTAGCCGTCTCAGCGTTCCACCTGGCCTATCTTTGTCCGGACAGGAAGGCCGAGTACGAATTGATCGGGACGACGCATCAAAGCCTTGGTCTCACCGAGTTTCAAGAAACACTAAGCCACGTCGATGAAACTAACTGCCAGGCGCTTTTTGCCTTTTCTTGCCTGTTAATCGTGCTCGCTTTTGCTTCGAGTGCGAAGGACAAACCCGAGGACTTCACCCATGATGTGCTGCATTGGTTCTATTTGCTGAGAGGAGCAAACATAGTACTCAACATGCACCATGACACAATCCGGGGCAGCTTTCTCAAGCCGCTCCTGGATGAAATGGCGCACATGGATAATATCGCAGCCTACAGATTTCCCGATACCGATCAGATCACCAAGCTATTTCGAGTCTGCAGTTCTCCGGAACACGACAAAGAGACCGCGCAAGCCATCGACCTGGCGATTCATTCACTGCTCAGCACTTTCATTCAAGCCTCATTACTCAAAACCCGTGGTGACGGCACGGTTTTGGCAACATTTGTCTGGCCGATCAACCTACCGCCCAAATTTCTCGATCTTCTGAGCGAGAAGCAGCCTGAAGCCATGGTCATTCTCGCACACTACTGCGTTCTCATTTACTGGGGAGAGACCCACCACGAGGACACTTGGTTCATTAGTGGATGGGCGAAGTATATGCTTGAAACGGTCAAGGAATCGATCCCCGACCCCTGGCAGGAACAGCTTGAATGGCCAACCATGATGATCACACAAGAACATGGCTCATCCAGTGCCGAAGCAGCCCTTTTGGTCGGAAATCGCTCAACGGGCTGAAACGCATCCAGCCTACCGCCAATTGTCAATGGTGAATACGGCGCAGACCGCGGACGCACTAATGTATAACGGGAATTTTGTACACTAGGATACAATGGGAAGGGATCAATCTCTATGCTTTGTTATAATGCTGCGATCGAGAGAAAATGGTCGGCGATTGGACAGTCCCATGGAAATGATACCATGGACGAAGAGCCAGGGTGTCTCTTAGAAGGCAAGGCGGTTCTCCAAAAAGACGTACAGCTGCACACTGGCTGGCTGCAATGTGGAGGAATAGTCCACGATGGGTCCACGATGGGAGTAATGTCGAGTATGAAGAAATTCTTGACGAGTAGACCGGCGACAGTAGCCCATGAATATCACCACTTCTACTCCGTGCCTTGCTCTGGATCGGGGGAGTGAAAAAGAGCGATTCCGGAGAATAGTCATGCCGAATCCGTTCCCGAAAATCCGCAGGGCCATCACTACGGCCACGCCATCTTCATCGTCCTTTCCACTCCTGCGTCGATTGTCTTCAGAGCCTCGCAATTCTTTAAACGAATATGCACCAACATGCCACTACATGAGAAGCTTGGCCATCTAGGCCACTCGATACGAACTATTAGGTGGGTATCTGGTACTGGGTACTGGCAAAGACCAAAGACGCGCACCCTCAGTGGAGCCAGTCTGAAACGCCTGCGTATCCTGAAGCGCCCCCTTGCGACCATGAAGCTTCAACCACGACCAACCGAGCTCTCCTGACACAGACTCGAGTCCCCCTAGCCCTGCGTCTTGCGTTTTCCTCTTCATCTGTCGCGCCGTGCGTTTCGAATCTCTTTCCTCTTCTACCCTCGGCCATATTCACTTTTTCTCCTTCTAGAGGTGCATTTTCCTCCCGCTCGACCAGATCGACAGCGTCTTTCTTCGAGCAGGTCTCGTCCTTTTCCCTTCGACACTCTTTACATTAACGACGAAGGTCTTGTTCCCTACAGCTTGACCACCTGCTGGGACTAGGAGAATCCACAGCAGCAGCAATGGCGAACAAAATTCTCCTTGTCTTTATCGTGTTCGATGTCATTTTCCTCCTTTGCGCAGGTCTCCATCTCTTCATCCCACTGTATACCCGCATGAACATTAAAAACAACAACAACGTCAACAACATCGCATCTAACCTCTTGCTCGACCATTGTCCGCTCACAGGTAATCTTTCTCGTTCACCGTATCCTGATCTCTAGGGGGATACTAATGACTGCGTCCGCATAGTGAGCGTTGTCAATTCGATCATTATGTTCATCGCCTTCCTCCTCTCTATTCCGGCCTTGTTCATGCAGCGCAACCGCACATGGTTGAAAGTTCACGCTTGGGGAATTGTCATTGCCGCTCTCCTTACTCTGGCCATTGGTCTAGACATCTGGTTCTCCACCCTCGAAACCAAGAAGAATCTCGCCCCAATTTGGAATGCTCAAACTCCAGCCGTTCAAACGATGCTGCAGACCAAGTTCCAATGCTGTGGATACAGCAATCCGGCGCTGTTTGTTAAAGACCAGACCTGTACCAGTGCGGCGACGGCGGCGAGACTGGGCCCGTGTATCACCCCCTTCGGCACGTTTGCAAATCGGTTCCTGGATGTGGTTTTCACAACCTTCTTTGGATTTGTGGCTGTTGATATGATGCTCCTGTTGGCTGCGTTGTGTCTGATCAAGGATCGAAAGGAGAGGGAACGATACAGGCTCATTGATGAGAAGAGAGGATTTGGACCAATCTAAGACAAAGAAGAGCAGGATGGGTGGGGAGACAGGTGAAAAGAGAATGGACAGAGGCATGGGATGCAGAGGCTTCGAATGTTGCTTTCGCCGGCGTATGGGCCGAAAGAGACGGACTGGCAGCATAGCCATCTCCGGATGCTGTATATTACAATACATGCTGAGCCAGATTTTGTGATTTGATGGTTTTTTATATGTGGAGCTTCATTGAAATTGCCCAGACCATTTGGGAGCGACGAGAGCGGTGGGTTTGAATAAGGACATTCGTGGCATTGACATATTTTGACATTGGATGACCAACACGACAGATATATAGATTCAGAGAATTTCAGAGATTCAACTGGCATAACCTCGTTTCTTCGCCCTCGCGAGTTTTTTGTGCATCCGGGCTTCTGCCTTGGGAGGCGTTCAAGATTCACGTTCTTGAACGGAATTTGAGTTTGAGTTTGGGTTGATCTGTGCGGACATCATCGACATCACCACTGCATAGTATCATCATCATCCATCAATCACATCATGACTCCCCCCCCCCCAAGCTTGTCAATACAAATCTATATACACACATAGCACACCCCAATCGTCTCATCACGCCGGCGACCAACCTATGGGACAGCGCAATCGTCGTCTACTCCATACAGGACACATACTAGGATACCATGAGCGAGAACGAAACGAAACAAACGAACGAACAACGACAAGGACAGAGAACTGCTGGCTGGGCAATAGCCAGTCATAATGGCCTGGGCGCTTGTGACTCCCGCGTCACGAGGGATTGGGTTCGCATTGACCCGTCACCTGCTTCGGACTTTGCCCGCGAGCGTGCCGGTCGTTGCGACGGCGCGTTCAGACGTGGCCGGCGTCAGGGAGAAGCTTCTTGCCTCATCGCCGGGGCTGTCCGAGTCACGGTCGTCGCGCCTCGACGTGCAGGAGTGCGATGTGCTTTTCGAGCCCTCGATTTGCAGGCTGGCTCGGTACTGCCAGGAGCGGTACCACGACAAACGGCAACGCCAGGAAAAGAACGCTCATCTACGCATGGGGTTCGTGATCCCTGGCATGTTGATACCCGAACGAGCGCCAGATAAGATCGAATACGAGAGGGCGCTGCAGACGCTAAAACTCAACCTCCTCGCACCCATGATGCTGGTGAAACATTTCGCCAGCTTCCTCCCGCGAAAGTCCACGCCGATGGTGTCTGAAGAGGGAACATTACCCAGGCCAGCCGTGCTGGCGCTGATGAGCGCTAGAGTCGGATCGATCGGGGACAATCGGTTAGGGGGATGGTATAGCTATCGAGCTTCCAAGGCTGGAGTCAATCAAGTGGTCAAGTCCACAGACATATTCCTGCAGATGCAGAGCGGACACAAGGCCATGTGTGTCGGGCTGCATCCCGGAACGGTCAAAACGGACCTGAGCAGAGAATTCTGGGACAGCACGCCCCCAGAGAGGCTGTTCAGTCCTGAGTTCAGTGCGCAGAGACTGATCGACGTCGTCAATGGGCTGGAGGAGAGTAGCCGGGGGAAATGCTGGGATTGGAAGGGCGAGGAGATTCCCCCATGATGATGATGATGATGATGATGATGATGATGATGGTAGTGTACGGAGTATGATGTGCATGATGAATAAGGAGTGGAAACGAGGCTGTTGTGGGCCGAGCCACTTCACAAACCTTGACCCAGCGGCCTCTGGGTCTGTTTATTATTTGCCGAAAGGCTTAGACAACAGCTGTAGGGCCGGGTTGCACAGTCATGAGAGCCAAAAAAAAGCCGGGGCACTCCGACATCTTCAAGTATTAGGCAGGGGGGGAAGAGAATGGGATTTGCAGGATGGGGGTCGCCAGACCAGACAAGACAGAGAGAACGAAAAGCTCATCCAAGTCCATGACATTGAGCCTTCCGGAGATGCGAGCTTACTGTGTTTGACTTGAGGTTCCCATGTTACGGAGTGATACTATCCCATGGAATTCCAATGGCTATACGGATTAGGTAGAAAATGGTGGTAGGAGACGGATGTTCGTGGGAGGAGAGCGACGGCAGGTCATGGCTGATAGGTTTGTTTGGTGGCGGTGATGAATCAGCTGGGCCCTTACTTAGGTAGGGCGGTGTTGCTAATCTCGGGGCTAGCAAGCTCCTAGGATTGCGCTAGCCAGGGAGCAGCAGGGCGTGAGTGGATGAGTTGGATTGGGGGAGAAGAGATGTAGTGGACATAACAAAGTAGAAAAGTGTACCTCGTACCGTGTACGGATAGTATACCGTGTTGGGTTCTGGGACGAATTTTGTCTGAAATGGGAATGGAAGTGGAAGGGGAAGAATCGGAAAAGGAAATACAAGGGGAAAAGGCAGAAGGGTTGTTCGTCTTGGGTTTGGAGGGAAAAGCCATTGTACTCCGTACCCAGTGCCCAGTACATGAGTAACAAGTAAGGAGGTAGCCACTCCGGACCACGGTACATGTGCGCTGCGGGATGAGCGAGTCTCTTGAAGCGTGCACCGGTGAGCACTTGTGCGGATAAGTTGCATCAAGACACACAGAGCCGTGGTGGTCAGTCAGCTAGCAAGATGCAGGAGCCACGCTAGCGACCCGGGCTAGACATAAACGGGGTCTAGGGGCCCTGAGAGTGGATCCCAGTGAGCCAGTGACACCGGCCCTTACAGAGCTCGTGAGGTCGGGGAAAGAATGATCCGCCACTGAGACTGCCTATTGCCCTGCCATTGCCCCGCCATTGCCCCCAATCACGGCCCAGGCACGCCCGTGGCTGCCACCGCTGGGTGGGTGGTGTTTGCAAGTGCTTGGGCGTGTTGGGCGGTGCTGGGTGGCCCCCTCCAGGTGGCCCTCTGTCTACAAAAGGCAGGCAGCTGCCGCTATGCCCTTTCCGACTCCCTTTCCTCTCTCGTCCATCCTCAATTCTGTCCAGTGTCCAGTACCAGTGCCTGTCGCAGTGTCTCACGGCGCGCCCTGTCCCATCCACCATCCATCCAAGTTTTCCCCAAGTCTCTGTGCGACGAGATCCAGGGAGCGCTGCAGTGTCTACACTGTCGTGTGCAGCGTGTTTCCTTTGACCTGGGCGTCCTGGGCGACCACCAGATTCCTGGCATCCAGCGGCCAGCATCCATCCACCACCGACCCTCAATCTCGCCCACTGACCAGAATACCGTCCACCCAACTCGCAATTCATTCCATCTGACACTTTGAGCAACCGCGACACATTACATCGCTGTCTCAACCCTGCTCGTGACGCTATTTCTGACTCCTTGAAAGAAGGTACGTGTACGTCCATGGTTTTCGGTTGGTTTTTAGTTGTTTGCTTGTTTCCTCTTCCATGCACGAGGCGAAGATCATCCTTTTCGACCATCCCGCATTGAGCACAGTAAGGCCACGACAAGCTCCCCAGCGAACACGAACAAGGAGCACTCAGAATCCTGTGTTGGTGGTTTTGACAACCGAGGTTTGTCGAACATGGTCACGGCCATTCTCGTCCTCGTTGTCGGCCAACATGAGAGCGAGTGCATGCTGGTTCATGGATGGCCGGTGAGTTTTTGTCGAGGACCGAAGCCAATGGCCCAGCCAGACTTGAGGTACCAAAAGTGGAGTTTTGGCTGGGCAGAGAGACAGAGGGAGAGAAAGATGCGTGTTGTCGATTCACGCCCCGAGGCTCCAGGTTCCATGTTCCAGGTTCCAGGTTCCAGGTTCCTTGGACCTTCAGTCTCATCGCCAAGCCCCGCCCATCAGCCCCCCACTTTTTGTCATCGGCGGCTTGACGCACGCTCTCTGATTTGTCCTCGGGCCCTGCAACCCACCGAGAACGACAAACCTCACACCTAAGGGCCTCAGACCACTTTTGCACTGCACAGCCCACGAGCCCCAGTCCCCCTCTGGTGCCTCAACCCAGCCTGCTCCATTTTGCCGTCCTTGGTTCTGCCGACACTCTCCGCCCCTCTTTCTTCCCCCCCCCCTTTGCCCTTTTGTCTTCGTTTCCTCCTTCAGAACATCCCCCCGAGAAAAAAAAAGCTCCCTCCTCCTGCACACCAAACCGCTTTCTATCCAGATCTCAGCCCACACAGAAAGTGGTTACTTCTCTGTATTCCAAAACCCACTTCTTATCCGTTTGCAGTCTGATTGTTGCACATCCGCCCTCTGCCCACAAAGCTTGACCCCCCTTCAAGCCCTTCCAACTTGCCTGTCATTTGCCCCCGGATTTCCCTGGCGTCTGTACCTGCGCTTGCGAGCTTGCCGCAACCCCGTGGGCCTGCGCCTTTCCGAGTACGTGAATATGATCTCGCACCTCTACAAACCTCGCTGTCCAATCCGTGTCTTCTCTTCACCAATTGTCGCCGTCCTTCACAAGTTTGCCTTTGTTCACTTGGTCCAACTCACTAACCTTCAATTCCCGGTCCAGACGCGTCACCAATCACTGTCTACCGTCCGCGATCTGTTCGACCGCACCACTTCTGAAAAGGTATTCTATCCGTCGACCAACTTCCTCTTTCGTCTATTGACACTTTACTTGTTTAGGGTAGACATTGTCACACTTGATCTATTCCATCCGAACTCACCATGGCGGACATCACCGATCCTTCTGCCGGTCTCGAACATCCCTCACCTGGCGACGACCTTGCCGGCAATGGCGTCGACTCCCGAGGCACCAAACGACCAAGAGCATCCATGGCCGGGGAAGACGATGATGATGACGATGAAAAGGGAGGACGAGAGCGCAGAAAGATCGAGATCAAGTTCATTCAAGACAAGTCGCGTCGCCACATCACATTCTCCAAGAGAAAGGCCGGCATCATGAAGAAGGTCAGGCGCAGCCGCCACCCATCAGAGAAGCCCGAAGACTTGACTGACTTTCTTCCAGGCTTACGAGCTGTCCGTGCTCACCGGGACTCAAGTCCTCTTGTTGGTTGTCTCAGAAACCGGTCTTGTGTACACCTTCACCACTCCCAAACTGCAGCCTCTGGTCACCAAGGCCGAAGGCAAGAATCTCATCCAGGTGTGTATGTCGCGTAATCTTCCCATCGACTTGTTACTGACATTGGCTCAAGGCATGCTTGAATGCTCCAGAACCCTCTGGCAACGAGAACGGCGTCGATGCCGCTGACGATGTCGCGTCACCTGACGATGTTCCCTCCATGCCGCCGGCCGCTGCCGGCGTTCCCCGACCCGCACCTCATACTGGGTATGGCATGACTCCAGAACAACAGCAGCAAGCCCTGTATTACCAACAACTCCAACAGCAAAATCAAAGCGGCCAGTATGGCGGTATGCCCCAAATGCCTCAACATCAACGCGCATAATCAACACACCAGTCCACCTCCCATACATTGATACCCCCCACCACCTACGAAACGGTCGGCTCTCGTGCAGTCATTGGCCTTTCTGACACATGGGCCTCGCTCATTGTCTAATGGCGGTCTGATATCGGCTGAGAGGCGGCTTCTGATTTCACTCTCCACTGATCGACTGGCGTCTCGAAATTTTGCTCTTTCAACATCAACATCGGAGTTGTCCCAAGATGATGTGCTTCCAGGGTGATTTCTCCTAGGTCCAGTATTCTCTCACATGCATTTTTGTACGAGTCAGTATTTCGAAGAATGGATGAGGGACATGGTGGGCAAAGACTGGGAATCGGAAGGAATACACTCCTAGTGTGCACAGTCATGAATCGTGTGTCATGCTTTACAGGCAGAGAAAAAAAAATGTCCAAACGAGATTCAATCCGTGCTCAAGTCCTGTGTTTGCTGATCTCCAGCATCATGTTCCAGATAAGCCCCATTCCACCTTCCTGGATCTGTGAAGGCAAAGGAGGCAATGATGATAATTCAACGTGCTTACATTGTATCCGGTTTACTTTTCTCCTTCTGTGCTTCTCCTACAATTTACTGGGAACCCATCTTGGAGCTCGCTTCTCCACAAAAGCTCTGACCCCTTCGCGAATGTTTTCTCCCTCGTTCAGCCTCTTTGAGTAGATCTCGACGACGTTCTGGGTGGCGTGTTCGGCACTTCCGTCTTCCCAGCCCTGGATGACCCCAGCCCGGCTAATGATGACACTGTCGGGGCTATTGCCGCATATCTCTTCAGCATACTCTAGCGCCTTCTTCACGACAGGCCTGTCCAAGATGCCGGCGTCGACGGGGGCATCCTCAGTCACGGCATTGACCAAACCCCATTCCCTGGCCTCGGGCGCGGACACGGTGCGTCCTGTCAAGGCCATCTCCATGGCCCTAGGCCGTCCGATGGTACGCACGATTCTAGGCAATGCGCCCGCGGTGGCGACGACGCCCCTCTTGACCTCGGGCAGGGCGAACAGGGCCGATTTGGCAGCGACGACGAGGTCCATGTTCGCCACCATCTCCATGCCGCCACCGAACGCAAGGCCGTTGACGGCGCCGATGACGGGCTTCTTGCCCGCTCTGCGACTGATGGCACCGAAGCCACTGCTAGGCACAACACGCTGGCCAGATTCTCCGCGCTCCCTGCGCGCATTGGCCTCGTTCCACTCCTTCAAATCGGCGCCCGCGCAGAACGCCCGCCCCATGCCCGTCACCACGCAGCAGCGCAGCGACGCCTCGTCGTCGTACCACTCCAACAGTGCGTGCAAGGCCCAGTGCGTCGACGTCGAGAGGCAGTTGAGCCCGCGCGGGTTGTTGAGCACGAGAACCAGCACCGCCGGGTGGGGGAAGAGGAGAATTGTGTTGGGCGTCGGCGGAGGCGGGCGTGTCAGGCTCGGCGGGTAGGACGACGACATTTTGATTTTTTGGGGGGGGGTGGGAGGGGGGAGGTGGTTTGGTCTCGATGGTGTTTGGTTGAGGTGGGAAAGTCGCTCGTAGGGGTCCTGGTGAGGGACTCGTAGAATACCTAGGTCCGTCTTGATTGATTGATATTATAGTCCAGGATGACTGCTTGCTCGCCTGCTGTGCTCTGCTTTGGCTGCTCGTCTCCTCGTCTGCGCGCCTTCAACCGCAGTCGATGTCGGTGGTCAATGGACATTTGACATAATCCTAGTTCCTCAGTAGCCGAGGTATATACATCGGGGGACGGACAGGACGGAGGACTCGGTACGGAGTATGGGGGGAAACTACTAATCCGTTTGTGTACCTCCAAAAGAAAGGTGGACACCGCGAGTATGTGGGTTAGTATGCATGGTGGATGACTTATTCCAGCTTCCGTCTACCTATCCGTGGTGACTATGTATATAGGAACATATATAGGTATATTGCCTAGGTGGCGGGCAGGTCCGTGTAGGGGTCAAGTTTGGACTGGCAAGGGGAATATTTTCTCAACTTCATTCATCGTGGTAAAGGAATGTGAACCGTTGCTTCATTACCCAGTACCTAGTTCTCTTCCCGATGCGTGCCCGAATCCTCACATCTTGTAGCTGCAGAATCACCGTGTCTCTCTTATCTCTGTTTGCCTAACCTCCCCGGTTCTAGGAGTCTTTACCCCTGACAGCCTCCGACGTTTTTGAACCCCAAGACAGCAAGTCGCCCTAGATCATATCCCCCAGCGCTCTCCTCTTCTCCTGCATCATCTTGAAAGCCTCTCCCGCCCACAGTCCTTCTTCGTCATCCTTGAGATCCACGGCGCCTTCCGGGGCCGGGAAGATCGCAACAGCCCGTCCATGCAAGCCCTCATCGACTGCAAATCGGCCGGCCACATCAACCACGGTCTCAGTGTCCACAAAGGTAAATCCCTTGCCTGGTTCCATCCCGGCCGCGGAAAATGTAGCCAGCGCGTTTTCGACCATTGGAGTGCGCATAAAGTAAGGTGCTAGACAATTTGTGCGAATGTTGAGCCGGGGAGTCTCGTGGCGCAGGCCACGGAAAAGGCCACGGACGCCGACTGGAGAGCGGATAGACGTCAATATTGGCACAAAATCTGGGTCTCGTCTTGGGGCCAGTGCCTGTGTTGGGTGTCTTTTCACCCCCAAGGAGCAGGAAACGAGGGATTGCCGCCACGATCAATAACGACATGGGAAGTAAGAAACAGATGAGGCTAGAAAAGGACGACACCCACACTTGGAAGCGTGATAATCTGCGAAGCTCCCGACGTCTGTATAAGCGACTGTCGAACTCACAAAGATGAGTGACTTGGAGGGCTTCTCGTCTTGCGCGGGTCTGGCGGACCCATTCGATTCCATCTTCATATACCACAAGGCCAGATACGCACAATTGTACACTCCCAGAAGGTTGACGTCCAGAGCCGGATGGCGTAGCTCAGGCGGACTGATATGTTTCTCGTTTTGCGAATCGAGCACCTTGTCGACCAGACTTCCGGGCTCACCGAGGACGCCTGCAATCAATGCTGTCACATCGATTGACGTGTTTGGCGATGTCCGAAGCGCGTGTTCAAAAGCTCCCGTAGAGCTGGAATGGTCGGTTATATCGCAGCGAACGAATGTTGCAGAGAGGCCTTTCGCCTCGAGATCCTTGACCACGCGGGTGCCACCTTCGACGTCGAGATCGGCGATGGTAATGTGCGCGCCTTCATGGGCGAAGCGTTTGACGATGGCAAGCCCCAATCCTGAAGCACCGCCTGCGGAAATCATCAACAGGAGAACAGGCCAAAGTCAATGGCACCGCGTCAAGGAGCTCAAGTAGAACGTCTTTGCAGGTCATTCTATCGAGCAGATCCAAGAACCTACCTACAACCATAACGGATCGGCCATAAAGAGCAGAGAGGTCCGGTTGATTCGACATGGGGAGTCAATATATTCTGAGAACAGACACAATATTAAGAGACTTCGTGGTTCTGCTTTCTTCAGCAAGGGGTGTGACAATCTATAACGATCTGGAGAGGGGTTGAGGGGCTATGTGTAACCCGCGAAGCTTGTTGATGCTAGATACCAGACTCTGGGACGTAGCTCCCAGGTCAATTTGTTGAACAATTTCATTGAGCTGAACTGGGTTATCTTTGAATTGCCCGTCCGTCCTTCGGAACATATGGGGACGATGCCAATGGCCACTTGTTAGCCTGTCTTTGCTCGAGTTATGTCAACTGAAGAAGCATGCTGTAAGGAGGACGGACATCTGCTTCGCTTGAGGGCGGTGCCTATCGCTCTTCACACTCGTCAAAGCTGGATGACATTGGACAGTGCCACCATCTCTGCGACGGCGCAGCAGAATGACCAGCAACGGCCTTTTTGTGCCTGTTTCAAGATGCCTCGCCATATGACCAAGATTCCGCCTTTTCCATTCGAAGACCTTGGCCATCATTCTGATGTCTGTGTGTCCGCGTTTCTTGACGTTCGAGAGAATCGGCAGCATCTCGTGCGCTTGAGGGCTATCATATTGACTCGCCCACAGTCTCAGACCTAGCTGTTGTGAATATTCCGCTTGCAGCTTTTGGCCTTTTGCCTCCCTTCAAGCCCGCATCATACGGTGATGACCAACTTTTCACCTTTACTCTGTCGGAGACAAATCGAGGGCGAGTCGAACTGTCGGAGGGAGGACATAATTCGCAACAGGGGGTCTGGGAGGGTCCCTTGTGAGGCGCTGGTGGACCTGCAACTGAGGGTGGCTACATAACAAGTTTGAGCTGGTGCAGGCAGGCGTGGCAGAAGAGTTTCTCTGCGGATGTGGGCTTTGTTGGGCATTCGGACGAACCATGACACAGCTCCTGAGCCCTTGACCAGGTTACGGTTCACGATCTGCGATCCACGATCTCGATCCCTCGATCAGCATGCGCAAGTTGGCTCGGAGCTTGCCGACTTCACCTCCCTCAACTCTCAGCCTTGTGGTTGTCCTGGGAGGCTAGGACCAGATCACACGGAGCTCGCAATATTTGCCAATGGCTGTTGCGCGTGGCCGACTAGATTGAAAGGACACATGTCCTCTGCTATGTGATAGTTGGTATGGCAAAGAAGAACCTCGCTTTTCGTCGTGTCTCATACAAAGGTGATAGGGAACGGCAAGTCCGTGGATTCCCAACAACCAACCAGCCAGCGCCAACGCTAATACTCATTTCCTATCAAGCCGAATCAACCCCTCGACCTCAGGGAATGTGTCGAGAATACTTTCGCCAACGCTCCAATTCTGGTAGTTTGTGACATGTTGGACGAATTCTTGAGAGAGGCGGCGGCGGCGGCGTTGATCGTCCCAAACTACCGCTGTGTCAATACCGCGAACCCAATTGACGCTTAGCGGGGCTGCAGGCAAAGCTGTCATCCAGTCCCGCAGATTTTTGATTAGAGCCTCCCGCAACGGTGGCAGTGGTAAGAAGTCAAGCGCAATGTGATGCGGTACCAAGTATTGGATTGGTCGCGGTCTGAGAATGGCCGGAATGGCAGCATAGGATTGTGCTGTGGGGACAAGCATCCAGCGCATGACTGTGGTATATGCTAAAATCTGCGCCAGCCGGACATACACGTCCCAATCGTGGAAGCTTCGCCATACCTGGAGGTTATTGCCGTCAGTTTTCGAGGGGAGTGGGATTTTTTTTTGTTTTGTTTTTGGCTGACTAGAAGGGCGTAGCTCTTACCTCGCAAGCCCAGCTGCAGACTGTAAATTCATCCTCCCGAGTCCGGTCACGGAAAAACAGATCCACATCAATCACATCCGAACCAAGGACACTAGACGGTGAGACGCCATATGAGAGCAGGGCCTGAGCGTTGTCCATAAATCCAGTAATGATGTCGCTGAGCGGGGTCTTTTCCTTCATAATCAGCGTTTGGATGCCGTAAAGCGGGGAGCCGTGACTGTGAGAAGCACCGCGAGTATTGGGCCCTTCGGCACTCGTTGTTGATGGACTGGTGCCCTGAGCGGCATGTTGAGCCACTAGCTGATATGAAGAATGTGTTTGTTGTGCCCTCTCTTCAACCTGATTGACTGCTGCAGCTTCAGTAGGATGAGCTGAGTGAGTCCCTGGAGCGCATAACGTGAAATGCCACCCCCGCCGATTTTGTTGCAGGTCGCCAATATTGCTTTGCCATCTCGAAGATGATGTCGTCGTGTTTGGAGGCGTCGCTCCACAGGCGTGGTGAGCTCTGCCACTGCGGAAGTCCGTTCCTTGGGCGTTTTGTTCATCTGCCACGGAATGCCCTGGATGCTCGTGAGCGCTTTCCGACGGACTGAGTGTGTCGGTAGATGCGGGAGAAGGTTGATTGCACGTAGGACATATCCTGCCATTAGGGCGACTGTTTGGCGGGTTTTCATCCTTCCCGTCGCCATGGCTTGGAGGCGTGCTGATCTCATAAGCGGCTTCTTGGCCATATGTGTCTCTGTCTAGACAGACAACATCCGAATCGTCCTTTTCAGACTCTTCGGTCGACGATGTAGCGAGCAACTGCAGTTGGAAGTCAGATTGCAATCCATCAACTCCGCCAGAAGCGGCAGGTTCGCCTTCGTCGAGTTGCTGGAGACAGTCCTGAATGGTTGCAAAGATGTCGTGGGTCGGGTCGACCTCGCGGATACATTTGATAACGGCCTCAACCTGTGCGGTCGAGCGGAATCGGACCACTTGGAACAGTGCCGTGAGAAGCCGGTTCTGCACAGCCAACGCTTCACGGTCTTCACGATGGCCCGCCCGTCGACCATCGAGCGAAGGGTCGAAGGTACACTGGACTCCGGCCTGCAGGCATAGTTTGCACGGCGCAGGGAGGCCGCTACACTGTATTTCCGGGGTGCTTCAGTCTCACCCTCCGCATAGGGTATAAGCAGGGCAGTGCAAGGCAGGGCAGGGCAAAAGTTCTCACCGACCTTGGACCTGCGCCGTTTGCAGGATTCGCATGCTGTGCCCACCCGGGTGATTTTATTGCGTGCCAGCCTCTCAGCGCGGCCAGACCTGCTTGAGCCGGCCGAGAGGTTGGTATTGTTGCTGCCGCTGCTGCTGGGAAGCAATGATTGCAGTTGTCTTCGATCCATCAAGCACGCTTCGAACTTTGCAGGACTTGGGTAGGGCGAGAGGGACGACCCAGGGGAGAGTGTGGAAATTTAATCCTGCGTGCCACCCACCCACCCCACCACTGTTGCCCAATGCTGCCCATTGTTTCGCGCCCAAATTCCCCGCCCTGGATGGCATCCGAAAGCTACAGTTTGGCCCAGTTGCGAGTCACAAGCAATATGACCAGGCACGCTGTCGGAAAAATGAACCGTCGGACACGGGCCTGCAGACGATGATCAAGGGCATCTGTCCGTAGCCGAGAGTGACACTGAGAGTCCTTCCAGTGCTTCCATTGCATGGCGGGTCCAGGGTCGGACTCGCATTCGGTTCAGCCCATCGCCCATCGCCCATCGCCGTGCAGATCTCGACGGTGAACAGACCGGCTCCCCAAAGCACTGTGCATCGAGCCAATCAACGATGCCGTTGAGGTGCATTCTCTGCAATTCCGCCTCTCGACAATTGGCTGTACATAACGAGGACGTATCTGAGCTTCTCATTGGGCTGATCAAAGAATCCCAGAAGACCCTAAGGGGTGGCAAAGTGGGTGTCGGCATGTGCCCTTGAAGACCAGGCGACAAGGTTACCAAGCCCACAATGAACCCGGTAGCTTTGTTCTGCCCTGGTTGGAAGTGCAAAATTCAACTCAATCTAGACGTGTCGATCTACTCGTCAACCCACGGTCCTACATCTTCAGCCAGATGGGACGCTGTTGATTACAAGCAGTGGCAATGGCATGGCGCTTGGTGACAATGCAGAAGAGGTATTGTTAGAATGCAGACTGACTGAACACCAGACTCAGCCTACGTCGAGGCAATGCTCCCTCAGAGCTAATGACCCCCCTACTTCCGGTGCGCCTCAAAAACAATATGATTCAAGCAACCTTATAAAGGGGCGAACCGAGTCGAAGCAGCTGCTTATTTCTGATCCCAGGCGCTACTACAGGAAGAGGTTCAACTGAAAGGTCGTATCTGAGGTTGAAGGGGTCCACAACGCTCAGGTTATCAAAACATTCATGGCGCTGTTCGTTCGAAGTCTATCTGAGAAGTGTGCTTTTCAGAACTCTGCAAAATACCTGGTGGCTCGTACCTTCCCGTCTCCATGGAGGCCGCCGACACCTCTCGCATCTCTCATGACAATTGCATCTGTCGCAAGCCGACGGATGTGAAGCTCACTTCTTCTCATTCTGGACGATCTTGACCTTCTCCAAGATCTTGGTGTAGAGAGGGTGGCTCGGCTCGAGGCCAGTGAGCTTGGTGGTTGCTTCCTCGGGGCTCAGGGTGCTCATGATCTGTGCCAACTCCTTACTCTCCTCGTCACCTTCCACGTTCTGGAATCGAAGAGCCATCTCCACACCGCGGACCAGAGCCGTCACATCGTAGCCACGTTCTGCCAATTGAACGGCGGGACCGATGAAGCGCTCTTTGCGACCAAGTTTTCGGAGGGGGGCGCGCCCAACGCGGACCGGGACATCCTCGAGGTGCGGGTTGGAGATACGAGAGATGATGGTGTCGACATATTCCTGTTGCTCCTCTGGAGTGATGCCATGTTTGCCGCTGATGAGGTGCGCAGTCTCCTCCAGAGCCTCATGAACCTCTTGTCGGATCTCGGGATCTGCCATGGCTTCGTGGATGGTCTTGATGCCCTTGTAGTAGGCAAAATATGCGGCAGTGGCGTGGCTGGTGTTCACCGTGAAGAGCTTGCGCTCGATATATGGCTCGAGGTCATCGACCCAGTGGATGCCCTTGACTTTGGGATGGCCCGACTTGAACCCAGTGGTCTCAACACACCACTCGTAGAAGCTCTCAATGACGACGTCGAGATTGGCATGTGCAGGCTGAGTTGGGACAATTCTGTCAATTGCAGAATTGCCAAACTCAGCCTTGGAGGGGAGATCTTTGAGAACCTCGGGCTTCATGTTCTTCTCGTCGGTGATGAGAGCCTTGAGGGCATCGGTGGCATTGATCATGTTCTCGCAGGCAATGACGGCAAGAGGCTTGGACTTTGTGCGTGCAGTGATGCCATCAGCGATTGGCTTGGCGATGAACTTGAGGATGTTGGGACCGACGGCACAAGTGACAATGTCGGCGTCAGCGATGCACTGGACGACCTCGTCCATGTTGTATTTTGAGTTGATCGCACGGTAATTTGTAATGACCTTGCTCTTCTCCCCTTCTTCGCCAACCTCTGTGATTTTGTACGACTTGGAGGCATTGATTCGGTTGATGAGGTCGTCGACGACATCGACAAAGATGACTTCATACCCAGTCTCATGGAGCAGCTCCGCGATGAACCCACGGCCGATGTTACCACCGCCGAAGTGGACGGCTGTGCCAACCATGTTGGAATAAAGGTTATGAGAATGCGTGAGAAGGTTGGTCAGAGGTGGTATGGGAAGGTTGCTGCCCAAAAGTCAGTGCGTGTCGCGTCCAAAACCGGCACGGCAATAGCGACACCACTCCGCAGTGCTGTACGTACGTGTCTTTGTTTGAGAAGCAGCTGCTCTGGAAGCTCAAAGCAAGTCAAGGTAGGACAGCAAGAGGCAGAAGGGAGGAAGGTGAAAATGCTTGCGAGAAGGAAATAAAAGTCGGAGAAGTGAGAGGAGATATATGTATGGGTTTTTGGGAAGCGGTCAACAAGGAATTGGATCGAGTGGGATGGCAGAGGTGAGGCAGAGAGGCAAAGAGGTTAGCAACTGGAGCTCACCAAGTGAAAGCTTCGTGCCCCGCGTGCCAGTGCGTCACCGGGACGCCAAATAGCGACGGGAGGACGACTTCTAATTGGCCCCGGGCGGCCACTGGTGCGAAACTATAGTGTGTATCGACCACGGGCGCCGATTTGGTGCCCATGGGGGTGTCAATAGGTACCTACTTAAGTAGGGTATTCCGTTACCCGTACCTAGGGCGCTGGTGGGCTAGTGGGCTAGTGGGCTTTGATGGTGTCGATTTGGGGGTGCACTGTTTTGACCCTTGGACTTTTCATGATATCGCATCATTACGTCATGTTCGCTACTATCAAACTTGACAGAGAAGAAAGAAAGTGTGGTAACTCTGTGCAACATTCTGAATAGCGCTGCAACCCAATCTTTACCTAGCTATTATCTATCCAGTCTGGTGCTGGTGGCTCTGACGCCACTGGGGAGGAGAAAGCAAAAATATACAAGTCGTGCCATCGTTGGCTTACCCTCATCTAGATCCTCAAAGTCGTAATGTATGAATGCATCAGGCCATGTCAATCTCAGTACCCGTCCTTTTCGCCATATCGTTTGGGTCTCCGTCGTCCCACGCAGCATTGAACAATAGACACAAACGAAGCCAGCAGCATGAGTGCCGTGGCTGCCCATGTTATTCCAAGGAATTTCCCACCTCTGGTTGCAGCTATGCCAATTTCATCGGTGTATTTGTTGATTCTGTTGGTTGCGATGACCGCCACGGCCGTTGCTACAGCCGAGGCGACGCCCAGCGTAAGGAACGCAAGCTACCGAATCATGATTAGTACAAATCGACAGTGGCGACGGAAACAGGAGCGCTTACCACATCCACCAACCAGTTGAAGAACGCTGAAAGTCGTCCGTTGGTAAATATCCCAGCAGCAGCGGTGAACATGGCAACCCCGGACAAGACTATCCCGATAATATAGAAGATGACCATGATGCGGCTGACGACTTTGATAGTGTGTTCTGCATCTGTGATGTCGCTTGGCCAGTGGATATCACCCAAGGTGATTCCGGCAGGCAAATGCTGCTGGACAATTTCGGTCGGCTGAAAGTGGAAGCCCAAGGTCGACTTCGAGCATTCTGTCACGTTTTGTCTTGCATTTTGCGCAGTCGAGTTGGGTGAATAGGTGCCCTGGCAATAGTCTGTGGCATGGACATTGAAGAAGTCAGGCAAGCCGAGAAGCGTGGCAATATCAGTGGCTGCATCGCCGATCACGTTGTTGATATCCTGCTGAATGGTGCTGCTCAGACCTGAGAGCAAGCCGCTGTCGCCACTTGAGGTGTCGAAAAGATTCCCATGACCGAGTCGCGAGATATTGAGCTTTGTTCCAGTCAACATATGATGTACCTATAAACCGTGGCAGAAGATGTGCTTACTGTCAATATATCGGTATCTTGCAGGAACGTCCTTCTATCGCCAGCAAGCAGACAGAGGATGGAAAGGATGAAAGCTGTAATGGCACATGCCAACGTGAGGAGCGAAGACAACCGCATTTTGGAAATGGCCTTCTGGTAGACCTGTAATGAAGAACGAATGGATTTTCTAGGAAATGAACGACGTTTGAAGCCCAGGAGCAGAAATACAAATACCGCGTGCAGGTTTAATGTTGCGAATGATCGAGTTGAGCAGATGACGTTCCATGGCGGTGGGCCCTATTAAATGTCGTTTGTTCTGAGCCTCAAACTGGGACGTACCTTGTTTGTAGGGCTTGCGTCAAAAGCAGACCATTACAGCAGAGTTTTGGATGTGATGCCGAGTGTGGTCAGAATCTGGCTGGGTGGTGAGAAAAACAAGGCATCTGTGTCTCGCTGGAGCCTTCGATTCCACAATAATGGCTGATGGCTGGTGTTGGCCATGGGTCTCTGAGCCAAAGAAAGGCACGGCTAGGGCCTGGTGGCCTCTAGAGTGGCCCCTAGAGTGGATCGGGCAACCCCAACCCCAGCCACCAACGCTTGCCCAGGGCGTTTGTTTGGGCATTTGGGCATTTTAGGCATCACGGGCGCCAGTCAGGCCCTTAAGGGTCCCTACCTAAGGCTGCGATGCGGGGCCCAGTGAGTCTCCGATTGGCGCCTCAGCCACACCGAGATCGTCGCCCAAAACATTCCACCAACGTCATGCCTTGTCGGGCCACGACGAACGTCTCTTTGAAACAGCGTCCTATCGCTTTTTTTCTTCTTCAGTGGCAAGGCAATGCGTAATCTGGGACACTCCTCATCTCGTAGCGACACCGACCGGGCTACCTGCTCTGGGAAGTTGTATGTGGTTCTCTCAGAAAGCAGCAGGCTGAAGGTTGAGTTGCCCATGCTGCTTGGTCACCTCTGCCCTCACTCTGCTGCCAAAAGTAACTGGCTCGCTGGTTCGCTGGTTCGCTGGGTCTCCGCTCCGTCTTACAAAAAGCGCAAGGGTGCGACCTAAACAAATCTTACGCGTCCTCTTCTAGATCTTCTCCGGAGAAAATACCAAACCCGCTACAGTCACGTGGACTCAAGAAGTGTTGCCGCTACACCCTACAAGTACATTGGCTTGAGGTTCACCGGTGAAACGCGTGTCGCATCGCATCGCCAAGTGCCATCCCGACCTGTTTGTGGTATGTCTCTTGCAAGTTGCTCTTCCAATCGGTTCAGGAAAAGCACCTTTCTCCCTGCCGGCGGAAGCTGTCCGGTACGCAACAGGGGAGTGGAACCGATTTCGAGACATGAATACGAGGCTGATTCAGGGACCAAGGTCGAAGACGTAGGCGTACCCGATCTGAAAACCTGACAGAGGGCACGGGTCCTCATTGGCAGATATCCCCATGGCCGACCTTCGCCTTCCGAAAACAATTCAGGTGTTCAGCGGCTGGCAGCTTGCAGCGGAGCCTTTTCATTCGGACATCCCAGACCCCGGCCGCAAATCCTGAGTCTCTTGTCGCAATTCTTTGATCGCGGCCTTGAGGTCAATTAGCACTCGCCTCATTGTGAATCGGTCCAAGTTCTGCACTCACGGCTAAGGCCTCGGGGTTCACCCCATTCTCAATAAGAGATACACAAAGCGATAGTTGTGTTCGATCGAGTTGTGTATTCTGCCTCCCCTGTCAGAGAGCGGTGCACACGAGAATCATCATCACTTACGAGGAGAATTGATATCTCTTCGAGAATATCAACAACTTCCCGAGCCTTTTCCCGCTTGTCGGTGGTGGCAGGCATGCTGCCTACTGCACAGGGAATGACAAGAAACTGAAGATCGGATCTGATAGCTGAGCAATTCGAAGTCTTGATGCGAGGGGTGAAGAATCGGGGGGCGTGTTTGAAGCGCGCTGAGAATATTCCGCAAAGTCAGTCAGGAAACACGCTGCTTTAGTGAGCGTAGCGTTCTCTGGAGCACCGAGAACCGAGTTATCAACAGCACGACCCAAAGCACCTCAAACTTCAGGACTCAAACTTGACTTCTCTTTAGTAACTTGCCTTAGTTTGATGTGTGCGTCTGATTCATATGGTCGTTGCAGCCGTCATTGCCATTCTATGCTGCGGTAATAACTGAGACATCTGCCTCAGCATGCCCTGCGGGGGCGCAATGGGACATCACGATTCCTCTTGTCCAACTCCCATTTTCCACAACCTCCGGCGACTGCCTCGCCCTACTGCCCCACGCATTCTACATGAGATGAGGAGTCTGGAAGGCAAGGTGTTTGCGTCCCATGAAGTATTCCATTTTGACGAGAAAGTCCTCAAGCAGCGCAATATGGAAGTGATTGTCGGACTCTCTGATCGAGCAGGATGTTCGACCGTTGTCGCATACGCCGTTGTTGTGAAATGGAACCATCGACTTCTTTTGCACAAGATTTGCGTGTCACCAGCTGCAAGAGGTCATGGAATAGGTAGCTTGTTGGTGCAGAAAGTCATCGAGGACTCGAAATGCTGGTCTTGTCGCGCAATTGAGCTTTGGGTCGACGAAGCAAACCATATCGCTAGAGGTCTGTACTCTAAGTATGGTTTTGTTGTGCAAGACACTGTCAACGACTACTACTCACCTGGCAGGAATGGGCTCAAAATGGTCCAAATGTTGCAGTCTTGAGGTGGGAGTTCCCCTGGCTGTAAGGTTATCACATTCTCGCCCAGAGCTATCCCTTGCAGACATTATCCATTTTCGAAGGCCGACCAACCCTTTGGGAACACCATAAAATGCTCGCAACCGCGTTTCTCGCGCAACGCGCGCGTCTGCAATTGGGACCGAGATTCTCTTCTCTGCAGATGCTCTTTGACGGCAGCCAGCAACGCCTCGAGTTCTCCCATAGCAAAGAGTTCCGCACTCCCAGTTTATCACATGAATGTATCTCACGGCAATCAGCAGGCCTTTGTTGGCATGCTCGCTCGCTGTAGCCCTCGATCTCGTCGCGGCCATACCAGAGCTCGCTTTTCCGCTTAATTCTCAAATCCCGCCCGTTGCATACGTGGCGCAGCCCTACAGTTTTGCATTTTCCGCCAACACTTTTACCTCGAGAGCTCCGCAGATCTCCTACACGTTCACACAAGGTCCAAAGTGGCTTGACCTTGACAGTGCTTCTCGCCAGTTCTCAGGAGTCCCTACCGGAAGCGACCTGGGCACCACAACTTTGCAACTGGTTGCTTCAGATTCGACAGGACAGTCGTCAACGAGCGTTACATTTATTGTGCTTGAGTCTCCCACATTGAAGCTTAATGCACCCCTTTTGCCTCAACTAGAGAAAAGCGGCATCGTCTCTCCGCCGAACTCATTACTTGTCCATCCGCAGCAGCCATTTCATCTTGCCTTCGAAAAAGATACCTTTAGCGGCGCTACATTTGGTACAAGATACTATGCAGTCTCGGTGGACAGCAGCCCCCTGCCCCCGTGGGTGGAGTTTGACGAATCCCAGCTCGCGTTCTCGGGCACAACCCCTGCGTTGGTGTCCTCTCTGGCTGGACCCGAGACGTACGGCCTAAGACTCGTTGCTTCGAACGTACCTGGATTTGCGGAATTGAGCATTGGCTTTCAAATTGTCATTAGCCGTAGGCTGCTGGCATTTTCAACTGCTTTTCAACATATCCGCATTTCCACTGGTGTACGATTTGAATCTGTGCCGCTGCGGCCCTTGATCACACTCGATGGGGACCCTGTCAGGGACGATCAGATTGTCAGTATAGACGCGAATGTTCCAGCATGGGTCGAGTTGGACAGAAAACAAGTGTCTCTGCGCGGTATCCCTGATGCTTCTGTCAGCGCTACTATCACCATCAGCGTCACAGATATCTATGATAATGTTGCCAATGCGACCATCTTTCTCGAAAGTACTGGAGCTTCAAGTGTATCTCTCGGGACCATAGGCGTCGTGAACCTTACAGCCGGCGAATACTTCTCATACACTTTGATCGCCCCCACCTTCTCTCCTTCGATTCACGACATGCCTGTTTTAGGCAACGCATCTGTCTGGCTTGACTTTGACGCTCAAACCTGGACTCTGTCAGGGCTAGTGCCCTCAGATCTATCTCCCCAGACACTAAATATTACCATCACATTTGTAAACACAACAACTAATGCTACGGGAGATGTGATTCTACATGTACTTCAGAAAGCCTTCGTTACTGCAACAACACCAACGCATACCACGCAGACATCAAATGTTCCGGGAGCTAGCGACACAAGCAAAGGGTCTGAAGCAGCAATGAGGTCTTTGAATGGGAACGCAGCGAACAGACGTGTGCTGCACATCGTACTCGCCGTTGTCTTTTCTCTTGTTGGAGCCTTGCTTGCAGCACTTGTGATTCTATGTTGGCTCAGGAGGAGACGTAAGAAAAATGAGACTGGTGAGACTTCTTTTGAAGGAAGGCCCGCGCTTGTCAATGGTCACTCACATGAGCCACCGAACCAACTGCCACTAGCTATGGCAACGTCTAACCATCTCGCCAGTGCCCAGGGTACCGCCGCTCCTGGGCCGCTGAGAATGGTTCATGCATGGTCAAACGATTCCTTGCAGAACTCTAGGCAGAGATTATCGGGCACAGGGCGTCTAGATCCTCTTTCGCAACATCGCACTTCACAAGTGCTCCCCCCGAATCGAGTTCCGGTTGCCCACCCTGAAGCTGCCGAGGAATTTGACAGGGCGGTGGATTCAGCATTTGAAGCTTCGCCTGTCAACGCGAGGCTGTCGCCCCCTAGACTTCCAGCCATACCGAGCCGATTCTCGGCAACAGATCTTGAGAGTCAGCAGAGGAATTCGCCAAACAGTCCCCGCCTAAATGTGGTGTCATGCGTGGTCGGCTTGCCGGACAGGAGCAGCGGCGCTGGGCATGGGGCCGGTATCCTTATCCCTCCTGATATCGATCAGACGTCTTGGCGGAATACTTGGGCATCTAACTTCTTGAGTGAGCGCAGGAGGACTACATTGGTGTTGGACTCATTCCCTGCGCCTCCCGTGGAGGGATCGGCCTCGGCTAGAACTGGGTCTAAGAGTAAGAAATCGGTTCCCGTACTCCGAATTGTTCCAGAAGATAGCAGTCAACCTCTATCCTTTGAGGAGCTGCGTCAGAAGTGGCATACGGAACGTGCACGGGCTAAACTAGAAGGGTCTGCAAGGTTTTCAAATGCAGGCTCGGCGCGGATGATGGCCTCACCGAGAACTATGTTGTGTTCTAGAAACGCGGCAGCGTCTGCGAACCAAGATCCGCCAACATCAACATCAAGGGCGAAAGAGTCCAAAATCGTGGACATCCAAGCATCTCGCGAGCATTCACGGTCAAGGTGGTCTGGCGTTGGGCTGGGGGCTCCAGGAACCGCAAGAGGAGGCAGTCTGTTACACTCTTACACGGGGCATTCACCAACGTTGAGGACGAAGCCCAGCATCGCGAGCAGCGGGCAGTTTGAATCAGTCGCTTCCTCAGATGGCCACTTGGAGGACGAGAATACGCCTGTCGAAGAAACAGCAGCGGAGCCCAGACAGTGGCAGGCGGACAACAACTCGCAATCTTCACCACGGATACCATTCAACATCCTTTCACATTCACGAGAAAATGTAAGGAACAACGATTCCGATGCCGATGCGAGGCATCGAGCGTCGCTGGCTGACGGCCGCAAACATATAAGTGTTGAAGAAGGCGGACTGAAGAGGACCCAGGGCAGCCGAAGAGGGAGCTTTCGGTTTATATGATTGCAGACGGGTTCGAGTAACGGTACCTCGTATGTTGGAGCAAATCTGAATACAGAGGAGTCTGCAGTGACCAAAGAGTACCAAATAAGGCTCCGAGTGGACGGGCAAGACGGGCAGGACAGCTCGGATACGCTGTTGTGCGGAGAATGGAATAGTTAGAGACAGAGCTTGGCCTTCCCCCCCCCCCCCCCGAAAAGGCACAGGCGGCCTTCTCGCTTTCTTACTAATAGGGTAGGCAAGCAGGCAAGTAGGCAGGCCAGGTGTGAGCGGGCTTTTTTGAATGTATCGTCATTTACTGCTCACTGGCACCACCATTACTGGCCCCGTTGGCGCCGAACTGGGTGACAGCCCGAGCATCATTCCTGCACTCCCTGCGAACTCGCCTGCCCACCTTTTCAGATTCGGATTATCATTTTCTGTTTGATTGACATTCTCTACCTCCTGCACGCGACACCCTGATCCCCAGCAATACGAGAGCGCCTTGACCTGTGTTACGGCCTGTGTCGTCTTTCGGTGCCTCCCGCAGGCGGTGCATATTTCCCTCAGGTTGCAGAGCCTGCGCCTCTTCCCGTCCTAGTCCTCGTCTGCTGGCTTTTGACCTACCACACCCGCCGCCAGCTTATGACACCGCGTGCGAGGAGTACATGAGCACCCTCACCTCCAATTCCAATTGCAAGTTGAAGAACTACCAGCATGGGTCAGACTCTGTCAGAGCCCGTTGTCGAAAAGGTGTGCTCAGATAATGCCTCTTCCCCTCAATGCTGCTCGAAGAGAAATCCTTGCGCCTGCGCGTGATCCTGGGCCAGAAGACCGCCAAACCTGCGGATTGTTTGCTCATCTTTTTCAGTCGTTGCAGTCCTGACCATGGTAGCTAACGTGACTGCTTGACAGACGTCCGATAGCGGCGCCGATGACTGTGTTTACTATGGCCTCTCGGCAATGCAAGGATGGCGTATAAGTATGGAAGATGCACATGCCGCCGTCCTCGACCTACAGCCCGACGAAAGCGGCAAATCCAGACAGCCATCGGCACCAGATAAACGGTTATCGTATTTTGGTGTCTACGACGGGCATGGTGGGGAAAAAGTCGCGCAGTTCGCAGGAGAGAATATCCACAAGATTGTCGCAAAACAAGACTCGTTCGTCAAAGGAGATATTGAACAAGCCTTGAAGGATGGCTTCCTCGCTACCGATCGTGCAATCCTAAATGGTATGGGCGGCATCCACGAGAACATCATGCTTGCTGGTACTAAAGGATTGTCCAGATGCCCGTTACGAAGATGAGGTGTCCGGATGTACCGCGTCCGTTGGCATCATATCAAAAGACAAGATATGGGTGGTGCGTACGGCATGTTCCCATGAGCTTGTGCCTTTCACTCACACTACTAGGCGAATGCTGGAGACTCTCGCACGGTACTCGGCGTCAAAGGGAGGGCGAAGCCGCTGTCCTTCGACCACAAACCCCAGAACGAAGGTAGGCCATTCGGCTGTATCGCCGCTTCCACAAGCTAACCAGAGTCAGGCGAGAAAGCCCGTATAAGTGCAGCCGGAGGCTTTGTGGACTTTGGTCGAGTCAACGGCAATCTCGCTTTGTCACGTGCCATTGGCGACTTTGAGTTCAAGAAAAGCGCCGACCTTTCTCCCGAGCAGCAGATTGTCACAGCCTTTCCCGACGTGATTACGCACGAAATCTCGTCTGACGACGAGTTTTTAGTGATTGCGTGCGATGGTATGCCTCCTTGTGGCCCCCCTCCAACCCCCCCGGTGTTTCACATGACTTATGACGAGACAGGTATATGGGACTGCCAATCTTCGCAAGCGGTGATCGAGTTTGTGCGGAGAGGTGTTGCGGCCAAGCAAGAATTACATCGCATTTGTGAGAACATGATGGACAATTGCCTCGCGTCCAACAGTGAGACCGGAGGCGTAGGCTGTGACAACATGACGATGATTGTGATCGGTCTGTTGAACGGCAAGAGCAAAGAAGAGTGGTATGAGATGATCTCTAAACGAGTGGCAGACGGCGATGGACCATGTGCGCCACCCGAGTACGGCAAGTCCAGCCTTGATTTCCATGAGGCCAAGTCTTGTCTAACGACCGGCAGCTGAATTCCGCGGACCGGGCGTCCGACATCAGTTTGATCATGACAGCCCAGACGAGTACGAGCTTGACTTGGACCATCGGCAAAGAGCGTTTGGAGGCCGGAGTGGCAGGATTATTTTGCTCGGGGATGGGACAGAGGTCCTGACAGATTCAGACGACACGGATATGTTCGATCAAAGCGATGAAGACAAAGATGCGGCGAACCAGGTCAAGAAGGGCACTCCAGACACAACAGATATCGAGTCTGCGCGAAGTGAACGAGAAGGGACCCCGGCTCCACAATCAGCTGGCGATGGATCGAAAGCGTCGAGTCACCATGATGCGTCGCACATCAAAGACACCGAGATCAGAGGAACAGCGGATGATACGACCCAGAAGACGGCTGCCTGAGCGCGGAGTATGAGCGAATCCAGACAGGCAGATCTAGTTTCTTCGCGACACAAGATCCCCCCCTGCTGTCAGCGCATTGACGAAGAGTTCCTAGCATGCATGATACTGGTTTTAGACCTACATGGAAGAGCGTGCACATGGACTGACTTCCTTGATGCGGTCATGTTTTCCCATTGCCGCGCGACGAGGCAGTGAGCAGGACGGTAGATCGATGTCACTTCCTCCGGTACCTCTTATCTATATGCATCGCGTGGGAGAGGGCATATGTCGAGTTTCTTTTGAGCGCCGCATCGCAACCACCAGTTGTCCATCAGAGATTATACGATTCCTAGAGAGGATGTGCACGTGTCTGCGTGCGCGTGTGTATCTCAATCCGGCCCGGCGGCAGCGACTGGCTGGGGGAGCTTTGCCATACACTTCCCCTCTACCAAGTAATCTCCCGACTCTGGATGACGTGGCGAAACAAGCAGGTTGTGCTGTATTTGTAGTATAGAATATCTCGTACCCAGGGCAGCGGATGACGTTTGACCAGCGGATTGGCCTTGGTGCACTCCTGTTTCGACCGCCCTGACTTGGCGGATGTGTGAGGGACCAAAAGGACACAAAGACGAGCCACATGCCTGCGTTCCTCCCTTTCTGGCACCTCTGACGGCATTGCCAACAACAGGGTTTTTGGGCCGCGAGACTCTTGCATTTTCCAAGTTGTCGGGGAGAGGGACGCCGTTACCATATGGAGCCCAGTACGGAGCTCCTGTAGAAGGATTCCTTGGACAAGTAGGGCTTTTATTTGGTGGTCAAATCTTACGCTGAGCAGACCTGACTATCACGCAACTCCAACTCGCTTCATTCTCTCGCTTCTCACAATCCCCGAAATTTGTTTCTGTCTGTGGATCTTGGCACGGTTTGCTGGAAACTCCGTCTCTTCGTCTCCCTCCCAAGGCACAGTCTCCTGACACTGCCCTTCCTGGCGTGGGACTACCTAGACCGACTTGAACATCGCCTGGAGTTCTCAACATCCTCCCAACATGTCGTCGCCATCGTCTACGGCTTCCGCAAAGCGAAAAAGGATGGTCGCCCTGACCGACCTCCAACAGCCATCGTCACGCGACGCTTCAGGCGAAGAATTGGCCGATTCTCCCTCGCACAACCTGCGAAACCGAAAGCATGCGTCCAGCAATTCCATCGACGGCGCCGTGCCACCTAGCAAGCGAGCCCGTACGCGGTCCAACGCCAAACCTGTCGAGCCCAATGGAGCGCCTGAAAAAGATCTGGTCAATAAGGAAGACCCCGGCGAGCCTTCAAGCACTACTGTGGATAGTGAAGAGGTCGAGGAAACGGCAAGGAAAAGGCAAAGGACCGTTGCAAGTGCCGTGAGAAAAGCAATTGTCAACGAGGACCGGGGCACAATGGAGGACGTGCCAAAAGCCGGCTTGAGAGACCCCTTTGGTTACACGACCAATCCGCCACCGGTGGGTAGGCCGGTGAGGGTCTATGCCGACGGAGTGTTTGATCTGTTCCACCTTGGGTAAGCCACCGCGCACAACTCTACCGACGTGAGGGTGCTAATCTCCTGCAAAGCCACATGCGCCAGCTTGAACAGGCGAAGACCGCATTCCCCGACACCTACCTAATAGTCGGAGTTACGGGGGACGCGGAGACACACAAGCGTAAAGGTCTGACCGTGCTCACAGGTGCAGAAAGAGCAGAGACACTTCGCCATTGCAGATGGGTCGACGAGGTCATTCCCAACTGCCCTTGGATTGTGACACCAGAGTTCCTGAAAAAGCACAAGATCGACTATGTCGCCCACGACGACGAACCCTATGGCGCCGACGAAGGGGATGACATTTATGCACCTATCAAAAAGGAGGGCAAGTTCCTCGTCACGCAGAGAACCGAGGGAGTCTCGACAACTGGAATCATTACGAAGATTGTCCGAGACTATGAAAAGTATATCGTTCGCCAACTCAAGAGAGGAACCAGCCGCCAGGAGCTGAACATCAGCTGGCTCAAGAAAAATGAACTCGATCTCAAGAGACACATGCAAGAGTTGAGGGATAGTGTGAAGTCAAACTGGGTTACCGCCGGAGGAGAGATCTCACGGGACCTGCGATCGTTCTGGATGAACGCCAACTCGAGACCCGCGAGTCCAGCTCCGTTTAACAGACAAATGAGTGACGGAGCTCTCAAAAGTCCCATCAGCGGCGGCATGACTACCGTCGAACAGTTGAAGCAGTTGGAGACGATCAACCCAGAGAAGAGAAATGACTCTCCTGGCAGGCTCAGTAGGAGCGAGGACTTTGCCGCGGGCTATAGCTTGGGCTTGATCGGCGGTGTGAAATCATGGGTAAGCATGGGAAACTTGATATGGACATATCAATATGGTTCCGGCGCTGACATGGGCAATCTTGCAACAGATGATGCGAGGCAAACGAGCTTTGCGCGACAGCCAGCCACCTAGCCCGGAAGGAAGCGAGGATGATGAAGCCAGAAGCCCCATCAGCAATGACGGAGAGACTGACACGATCGGGCTGAAGACGCCTCCCTTGGGCTCGATTCGGGGTAGAAAGGGCAAGAATGCTAAGAGCGACATTGAAGGATTCAAGCGAGAAGCTATGGACGTGATGCATTGACTGGAGTCACCGACGAGACCACTTTGGCAGTTCAAGATCCTTGTGGATTGTCGCACTCTGTCCGCTTTCCCTTCGACGATGATTAATTTATACGCAACACTTAATTTGTGCGGTTGGCGGGGAGGCTTGTCAGAGCAGGGCATGCAGAAAACAACTGCCGGTAATGGCTTCATTCGTTACAAGGGTAAGCACATCCGTGTGTAGGTGGGCATGGACGTGAGTAGGAAAACACCACGAAAAGTACATGTCTGTTTTCGAGAAATACACATAGCGTCGTTGACTTATGGCGGAGGATGGGCATAGGGAATGGTGATCAAGACTTCATTAAGCGGTGATTCCCGTACTTGCTTGTCTGATGTGACCTAGTCGGTCTGTCGGTTGGTCGGTCTTGAATTCTAACCAGCATTGTCTATTGAGGGAGATAGCCTCAAGTTGCATTGTACAGACTCGACTCGGCCATGGCAATCCAGGAGCAGCTGGGAAAACTCAGCCCTCGGAATGGGGCGCTTTTCTTTTCTTGTCTTTCTTCTTTTCGTTCAACGATGCTCAATTCCACTTTGCCCCCGCCCCCCTGGCGCACATTTTGCAAGCTCCTTTTGCACCCTTCGTCTTCCTCCGCAAGGATGGGCGACAGTATGTTTGAATTTTGTTCACGAGCACTCTCGCGTCCTTTCCGTGATGGTCTCTGCTGAGCATGGGCGTATATCTCTCGCCTCCCCTATCTCCCACCAGACCAGGCCAGCCTTGCCATCTGTCTCTCACGCTGGTGTTTTCGAAGCTTGGCCACCACACCAACACGAACCGCCCTATCATCCATGCATCCGTTTATGATCGTGGCTTCTCCTTCTTCTCCTTCCACAGGGCACTCAGGCCCACGCCGGAGACCTTGACGACCTTGAACCGCACACCGGGGATATCGCCCTTGGCTTTTCCCTTGCGACCGAACCCGGCCAGGAGGACCTCGTCGTTCTCGTCCACGAAGTTGAGACAGCCATCGTTGGGCACTGTGGGGAACAGCAAGGACGGCATTCGTCAGCAAAAGAGCTTTCCAAGTTTCCTGATCAAGTCTTTTTGGGGAGAATGTTGATCGTTTGTTGGCGGAACACATACCGAAAGCGGTCACCTTCTTCCCGTTCTTGATCAACTGCACCCTGACACATTTCCGAATGGCCGAGTTGGGCTGCTTGGCCTCGACTCCGACTTTTTCCAACACGATGCCTTTGGCGTGGGAGGATCCACCGAAGGGAGAGGACTTGTAGGCAGTGCCGAGAAGGCGCTTCTTGTAGTGCAGATCGGCCCAGCGACCCTCTTTGCGGGCGGCGACGAGTTTGCGCGCGGCGTTGAGACCGCGGGGTTTGCCTCTGTTTGTCATTTCTAGAGAGTGAAACAGAGAATGGTTAGCTGATAGGGCTTCTTCTTTCAAGGTGCGCTTTGTGTGAATGGGAGTGAAATTGAGCCTTGAGGTTCGGCGGATAAGCGTATTGCAGATATGTCTTTTGTTGTATCGTGATATCTCTTGAGTGATGGGAGAGACTGCGAGAATGGTACGTACTGGCTACTGTGACAAGCAGATGATTGGTAAAACTCTAGGATTGACGGTGTTGAGGTCGTGAGATCAAGCAACGGCGATATTGACGAGGCCCCAGAATTCGAGAAAGTTTGGTGCGCTTCGCCAAGAGTGAAAAGCGGTGAGAGGAGGCAGAAACAAAATATCTCTACGGTGGAGCGCAACTGCGTTTGCGCGCACATCTCTCGTCCAGTCCGATCCAATGGGTCTCCATTTATTCCCCCGCCTCGACCTCAGCCTCGTAATAATCCAAGTGCTTCATCGGCCGCTCAATCTTATATACGAGGCTCGACCGATCTCTCAATGACAACCGAAACATAGCCCTATCACCAGTGGCGGGAGCGCGGCTCTCTGGCAAATCCCCCCCCTTCAGAAGCCATGGCATCGTCTTCGGCGAGAAAAGTGCCGCAACTAGAAGTCCCGGTCGCAACGCCCAGTGCTGAACGACCCAAGCTCAACACCACCACTACTCGAACGACGGCCCACCGTCTCCCTCCTCCAGCCCTCTTCCAGGGTCCTCCGTCCAAAAATGCGTCGCATATCTCCCTCGCCATCCCGACAGATCGCCCTGCCGCCGAAGCTGAAGGTGGAGCTCAACATGGACAGCGAAAGGTCATCCGCCCGTCTCGCGTTCCTCTTGCCTCATCATTCTCTGGCACTTCTCCATCTCAGCTGCGCCACCCTGCCGCGGGGACAGTCGCGGACGACCAGCGTGCTGAACAGCTCTGGGCGGAAATGCAAAAGACCCTTGCGGACGTAGAGATCTCGGCTATGAACACATCCCACGTATTTGGGTCATCTCATTTACGAGCACTGGAAGAGCTACGGACTGCACAACTGTCCCTGGCGCAGACATGGGCGAAGATTGAAGCGGATGAGTCGTTGGATCATGACTTTGACATCGTCTCGCAGAAGGAGTCAAACTTAGGCGCGGCATTAGAGACCAAGACTTCCACAACCCCGTCCACTCAACAGCGACCGAAAGGTGCAGGCCCTGGTACCAGCACCACGACCTCGCCTGCCACAGCCAAGGATGGAGGGTCTCCAGACGGGAAGCCAAGCGCGTTCACGAATGACAAGAACCTCGAAGAAGAAACTGAACGGGACATTCAACTGGCAAGGAAGCGACGCGAGGCGAATGATCGGTACTTCTCGCAGGTCAATAAGGGCGTGCTGGATGTTGTGAGCAAACTGGACGAAGTCGCTGGCGCTATGAGACGAGTAGAGAGGGAGAGCAGAGAGATTTGGGATGAGTCGAGCGACGATTCAGACGATGCCAATGAGACGGGAGGTAGTGATACGGAAGAAGGAGAGGCGACGGATCGGACGGGAATGACGGATAGTCCTGTGCCGATGAGGAAGGATGCTTGAATTCTCTCTATTTGACTGTAGTTTGGACCAAAACGAAGGTCCAAATTCTGTCCAAAAGCGTCCCTTCCCCTCAAAGGCTTCCACTGCTCTCGGTTGAAATGGACAGGGGACATGCCTTCTCTCCTCTGAGGATCCTGGGCGGCAACCCTGGTATCAATACTCTCATGAAAGGCAACGAAGATGCCAACGAGGAACGCGAAGCAATCAAGCAATCAAGCAATCAAGCAATCAAGCAATCAAGCAATCAAGCAATCAAGCAATCAAGCAATCAAGCAATCAAGCAATCAAGCAATCAAGCAA